ATTCCACTGCTTAATAACCTCCAACAGCTACTTTACGAGATAGATACAGGCCGGCATAATCCGAAATTCTGAGCTATTCCTGAGCTATTCTGAGCTATACTTGAGTTATCCCTGAGCTGTCCTGAGCTATGCTTGAGCTGTCCCTGAGGCGTCCCTGAGGCGTCTCGATTTGTATTTGGACGCTAACCAAATCGGGAAATTTTGCACCGCAAGTATTGCTGGAAGTCCGAAGTGCAGTGGAAGGATGGATAATAATACAAATTATTTGATTGGACTGGTTTATACACTGTAAATAAAAGTTTTGGTAATTTCATTTATTATACGTTGCTGCTCTCAAAAGCAGACTCCGATGTACGAGCAAACCCTCCACGAATGTCATTTATGGACTATCATTGCCCCAAATTCAGCGTCAATACGATCTGGTAAAACCTCAGCAAATCACTTTGCTCCTATCCGCCGAACCCTTTGCCTCAGCATCGAATCCAAGCACATAACCAAATCCTTCGTCGTGATGCTAAACCTGGCATCATAGCCAACCTCGGTCGGCGGGCTGTCTTCCACCTTCAGATCTTCCGGGTCCCTCCGGTACACTTCGGATACGACGATGCCGGCCAGCGTCTTTATGTCCCGGGCGTTGGACCAATCCGGTGTAAGGGCCAGCTTATGAAACAGAAGCAGCGCATCTTTCTCGTCCTCCTCGTCTTTGTCCCGAATGAATATGCCGTCTTCGTGGATCAAGTTGGTGAGGTACTCCTTGCACTGCTGAGGCGTCATCGGGCGGAACATGATATCTGTGGGAAATCGACCTCGTAGCCCCGGGTTGACTCGCATGAGAGCATCCATGCCCTGGTCGTATCCCGCCAGTACAATGACGAGCTTGTTGAAATATTTCGGCTTGGTCATGCAGTCGACGAGCTCACCAATTGCCTCATCTTCATAGCTCCGAGCCCCCGCCGTCCGAGACTTCTTGCCCAGCCGGTAGGCTTCGTCGATGAACAACACCTTTCCCAGGGCGCGATCCAAGAGTTCGAGCACCTTGGGTGCCGTGCCGCCCACCCACTGGCTTATAAGATCGCTTGCCGAACACTCGACGACCTCGCTGGTGGAGAGGAAGCCCATGTCGTAGAAGATGTGCCCGACGATGCGGGCCGTGTGTGTCTTGCCTGTGCCCGACGCTCCGCGGAAGACGAACGTGAAGGGGATTCTGCGCCTCGGGTCTTTGCCGTGCAGGCGCATGTTGGCCGCTATGCGCTGGTAGTCTTGCAGCTCGCTGATGATGGCCTCGAAGCCAATCAATCCCTCGAACAGACTCTCACACCTCTTACTCGCGCCAGCGCCGCGGTTCCATTCTGGATCGAAATCCTCCCGCTCGAGAACTGCCATTCCTGCTTGTTCGTCCTCGGATGTTCTCTTTAGAAAGCGAGCTTTGGCTTGGTCAAGCAAATTCTGGACATCGCCGCCGTTGCCAAAGTTAGGTCGATCCCTCATCCTGCGCAACACTTCGGCCGCGACGTCCATGGCTGGCTGCTCGGCTGTGACGTCCTCATCAGCCATCTTTTGACGCAAGATCTCGTTGAGCTGCTCGTCTCCATAGTCCTCGAAGTTAAACGCGCTATTCAGAGGGAATCGCCTCCGGAGTCCAGGATTTGCACGACGGAACATCTCCTCTATGATGTCGGCGTAGCCCGCAAAGATGATGCACCGATCTTCGCCAGGTCTGTTATGGACCTGGGACACAATCATATCCAAGCACAGCCCGCAGGGGTCCGTATGAGAAGACTTTCGTTCGCCCCCCTGGTAGAAAGTGTGGGCATCGTCGATGATGAGCACTTTACCGAGCGTAGAATTGAGGATGCCCATCATCTTGACCTCGGACTCACCGACATAGCTACTGACGAGGTCGCTAGGGTTTGTGATCACCACCTTGTTAGTAGACAAAAACCCAAGGTCTGCCACTATTTGCCCGTATAGCTTGGCAACAGTAGACTTTCCAGTTCCCGGCGGGCCCAGGAACATGCAGTTCAACGAAGGGTAAAGCGGCTCCTTGCCGGCGAGTTCCCGGTGATAGTTGAGCTTCGCACTATCCGCCAGCTCTCGGACCGCCTTTTTGACGTCTTCTAGACCTGCCATTTTCTCGAGCTCCTTCCACGCGTCGCTGTGGTTTAGAATGTCTGTTGGCTCTGGTCCTAGAATATCTTCCATCGTGAGTATGGCGGGAGGTGGACTTTCGGGTTGGTTGTTATCATCCTCTGCCTCTTCCGCATCATCTCCGTCGTCGTCTTCGTCGTCGTCATCTTTACCAGCATCTTTTTCGTCATCACTATCGTCATTTTCGTCCACATCTTCATTCTCATCAGCCTGTTTATTGCTTGTTTCCAGTGCACCATCAATGGTTGCTGTAATTCCGTCTTGAGTCCTGTTGTCGTTCATGTCTTCCTTCTCAACTTTCGGAAACTCTTCCTCCGCGAGTAAGGGTGATTCTGGAGCCTTGTCTTCGCTGTCATTGGCATCTGAGTCTTCGATCTTGGGTTCCCCATCCTCGAAATCCTTGTTGTTCTCCTGTTGGATAGCATCATTGGCCTCTGGTTTATCATCTTGAACCATTTCCTCGGGATCACAGCTCTTATCTTCATGTTCGCAATTTTCCGTTGGCGTTTCCTCCTCCTGAATGTCGTCACTTGATCCCGGTGCCTTCGTACGTTCTTTACTGAGTCTAGTCGAGTGCCGGTCGAGAATTCTTTCAAAAGCCACCATCAAGTCGTTGGCGTTGCCAAAGCCATGAGAGCCTCTACCGCGGCCGACCCGCTTGGCGGCAATGAGAGGGTAGCGACTATCAACCCCATCTTCAATAGTCAAGGAGTTGCTGCTCACAAGCCTCAAGAAAATGAGCCGGAGCTGCTCGTCGGTGTAGTCCTTCAGTTGTATCCTCCGACAGAAATGCCATCGGCCTTGGGGATGGCTCCCGAGAAGCTCCGTCATGCTATCGGCGCTGCCTGCCAGCACAACAACAGCTTTGCTGGCATGGGAGTCCAAGACGTCCAATAGTTGCTTGTAATCATTTTGTTCAACCGAGTCAATGTCGTCAATGAAGAGAAACTGTACGAGCATTACGCCCAAAAGTCAGCTTGTCCGAATCGCAACACACGGCGGGTATGCATCAGCAACATACTACTCCACTTCCATGGCGGCCAAACATCCGGTTGAGTTCATCAACATCCAACGAAGAGCCCGATATCACTTTGGTGTGCACCTTCCCGTTTTCTATGTTCGGCCAAACGTTGCATTCTGAAAGCAAGATTCCATACAGCGCTGCAAGAGCTTTCTTGCCTGGGATTCATGAGTCAGTTTCAGGCACAACGGAGCCCAGAGGCGAATTGTCAACAAGACTAGAATGAGACATACCTGTACCAGGATTTCCCATGAGAGCCAGATTTAGCCCCTGTCGCCGCAGTCGACCCTTTCGCTGGCGGGCGGCTTCAACGGTCGCTTTGACCTTGAGGAATTCAGCCTTAGCTTCCTCCACACCCACCAGTGACATGAGTTGATCAAGAGATTTGAATTTGAGGTTAAACTCTCGTTTCTGGCGTTCCCACTCCTTTTCGACAGGTGATGCGGCTTCAGAGTCGCTGGTATCTTCCAATTTCCTCGGGAGGAGATGCATGTTGGGTCGGCTGGGTCTTGTATGTGAATTTCCCGATGAAGATCCCGATGAAGTGCTGCTTGACCCGTCTGAGTCGTCGGAATCCGATGTGTCTTCGAAAGGATTATGCGGCGGCGCCTTAATGCTCGACTCAGAGTCCGAATCCGAATCTGATCCGGCCTGGACATTGGTGACAACGCCGCCTAAAGGAGCCCGTCCTGGAGCCCCCCAAGTTCCCCAATTCGTCGGTCTACGCCCTGGAGGGGGGCCCCGGACTGGCGGGCCATGGGACCATGGGGTGGTGGCGGTGGCGGTGGCGGTGGGATCCCATGGAGGAGGATTGTTTTGGTGAGGCCGTTGGAAAGGAGGCTGGCATGACCCCCAGTGCCATGATTCTGAAGGACGTAGCTGTGGCATATGAGAATCCGGTGAGAGCTCAACCCAGTTTCCATCGAGGTAGACGACGCCTGAAGGAGGCTGAGATCCATACGCAGCATCTTGTCCCAGACCTGGCCCTGCATAGGGTAGGATACCGGGCGATGAGCTGAAGGACGGGGCTTGTGTCGAGAGCAGATGGCCGAAACGCTTCTGGTGATATTTAGCGAGGACACGGGGAATATGGATCAGCCGTCTGTCCTCGACTGGCGATTCGGCGGCCGTCACTCCATTCTCGCTCGTCGGTTCTGCGAAATGGACTGAACGTAGGCTGGCCTGGCCTCCGAGCCGTGTTGTAGTCTCCGCCCAGGAAGCCTCACAGTCCATCGTGTACGCCGTCCCCGTCTGATCGTATGTTGATATCCGTTAGAGATGATACGAACGACGTCTTTGTTTGCGGGATTTTCGTCAGCAACCGAGCGGTTGGGCGAGTGTTGTAAGAGTCCAATCGTCAGCCGGATTCAACGCGGGGTAGCTGCAGGCTGAACAAAGACTTTCAACCTGAGTCTTATATGCAGTACTCGCAGCGCTGTATCCATATTGGTAGTCGCCGTAACTTATGCAGTCTGGCTGCAGCCCTGTTGCTGCCTGATTTACTCGGACGATAAGCGCCGTACAATTAACCCCGGCATTAACAACATCCCTGCACATTTTATCCTGGACGTTGTGGCGAGCGTATGAGCTACGTTTAGGCAATGGCTACACAAGCAAGGCAAGGAAAAGGCCGATCTAAAGATGGCACTCAACAGCTAAATATTGAGCTGCAGGCCGGGGCCTACTAGCGATGGCTTAGGCCCGGGTTAAATATACTACGAAAGAGAAAGAAAAGCCAGCCTATTTGGAGGGACCGCAAGCTGAATCCACAATACTGACAACGCGAATCATCGTGCGATCGACTAACACATTCACCACTCCTACTCCTCGTACATGTCACGGATCAAGCTACCACATTAAGCGACTCCGGCTTCAATAACTATATATTTTCCCGATGTTGTACATTTTAAATCCTTTTAATTACCTCCCAATTTCCCTTAGAACGTTGGCGCCACTCTCGATTCGCTTTGCTCTGCCAGGCTGCGCAGCTTAAATGACCGTAACCAGCCGGTCGACTGTCCCCGCATGTGCAGCGGAGACTGTCCTCTTGCTACCGCGCTTTCCAGCGTCATTACAGACTTGGCTCGGCCCCCTCCAGCGGCCTGCGAGGGAACCGGGCTGTGAATATGCCCCATGGAATGAGAGTCCGGGCGCGTGTTTAAGCCAGACAGCTTCTTGTGCAGCGCAATCTGGGCCTCGGTCGGTGGTGTAGGGGGGGCTCCGATGACCGGGTACCCTGCTATACCGCCAGGGCTCGAGCTGCGGCTGAGTGAGCTCTGGCGGGATCGGCTTAGAGATTGAGAGCGGCTGAGAGACTGAGAGCGACTCATCGTGCGTTGGTTCAGAGAAGAATACGACATGTGAGGAGATTGACCGCGGCCAGTTACGGACCGACTCCTGTCGCGAGTGTGTGGGAAGGGAGTAGCACTATGCGGCACCGCGTTGTTGAGTTGAGCCATTGCGGCAGCGGGCAATCCTCTGTACGAGTCCATCCCAGCAGGCTCTTGGCGAGATTCAAGACCCAGCTGAGCTGCAGCCTTTTGCAACTCTTCGAGGTTGATTGGGCCGGGCGGAATTCTGCTCAGCCTTCGGATTGCCTTTTTGTTTGTCTCCATGAAGCTGGTCATTGCCTTGAGAGAGCCAACATTTGCCCGTGAAGCCATCAGGGAGTTGCTGTTCATGGTCCTGCCTCTTGCTTGCTGCACTGCATTGACCGTAGTAGGTTGCACCACTCTAGCTTCAATGTCCTTCTTGGCCAATCCGATGGTTTCGTTGACCTGGCGCAGAAGCTTGTCGAAATCGATGTTCTGGTTCGGATTCGCCCGAGACATGTAATACGACGAGGGTTGTCCGTTTGCGAGCGCCCCGTCCTCTGCCTTGTGAGAGAGCACAAACAGGGTTCCATCGCGCATGCATCTGCGGACAAGAGCCCAACGTGTTCGAGCTGGGTTGCGCTCGAGATCTGGGCGGTAGACGGAAAGACGGGCGAGCTGAGAGTAAAACAGGCTCAGGCGACGCGCCATGCGCTCGAGTGTCTGGAGCAAGAATGCTGAAAGTGCCGATAGCTGGGCCGTGTTTGGTGCGGAATCTAGGTCTCCATCGGAAGAGCCCATGGTAGCAGCGATGCTATCAAATGCATCCATGCCGTTGCATGCCTCCTGGCGGAGATCCTCGAGCAACTCAATATCCAACTCGACACTCTTGGCTGCGTATTCAAAAACACCACGCTCCTGGAATCTGAAGGCAGATTCGGGATCGCACACAAACTCGCCAAGAAGGCTCACCTCCTTGGTACAGGAAGCTGCGTCTTGGCCTGTCTTGGCACGGGTGATGGTTCCAAGGATATCTGGAAGCTTTGCGTCCGTACTGAGACCGTTGGCGCTGGCCACAGAGAACGACAGCTTGAGAACCAACTCTTGCATCTTGGGTCCAAACAGAGCTGCAAATCCACCTTGGAGCAGACGGCTCTGATAACCGTAGAAAGTACGAACGGCAATGATATTCGGAAGACCCTCTTGCACAAAGATGTTGGTGTTTCCACCTGGGCCTTGGGTAGATGAATGGTCCATGGAAGCACCCATAATCTCGTACATCTCAAATTGATGGGCCACAAGGGTCTCAACGATTGTCCTCAGATATCCAGCCCACAGATCGTGCAGGGATGACATTTCACTCATTCCGTGGTAGTCAGGCTTCGGGGTAAGATGGCCCACGAAATAACGGGTCAAAAGACTCGAGACCTCTGGGTTATTGGTGTGCGCGAGAGTATCGAAGGTCCGAGAGCAATCGACTCCGGCGTTGGACTTGATGATCAGAGTGCCACCGGGATGCATGGGACAGAAGTCAGTGACGTCGTAAACGCTTCCGTGAACACCAATCCACATCCGTGTTCCAGGTCTGTGACCCGTATGGAGAGCCAAGAGAGACATGGGGATGGTTGGAAGATTGCACGGAAGGGGCTTGGGCGTCATGAAAACATCAAGCATGAAGCGACGTTCCGCAAAGGCTTTGTTCAGAATCATGTCAACATTCTCCATGGTTGCAGTCCGGTAGGTATAGAGAGCCTTCCGAATTCCATTCATGACCGAGTCGAAGACTGAAACAGAGCCGCAGACGTACAGACATCCACCCAGGCCACCCTGCTTCTTTGACATGACAAGATCGCAGATGTTTGCTCCCTGTTCGACAATCAGAGTGTCAATGTAGCGGGGAGGAATCTGCCTTTCCACAAGATCCCGCGTCGAAGGGTCGTAGACCAGACCTCGAGAGTCTCGAGAGAAAGCCACATGAACTTGCATAAAGTCGGCTTTGACAAGTTCTCTGAGCTCCTCCTCGAAACAGAACCTCTCCCGGGATTGAACTCCCAAGTACAGGAAGTTCTTACCTCCAGACAGGCCCGAGGTTGTAAGCCGATATTGCCAGAAGCCTCGGAATGGTGCGATGCCACTACCTCCAGCAAAGTAGGCACAAGGAGCCATGCTATCGATAGGCAGCTGGAAAGCTACTGGTCGAGATATACCAATCAATAGTTCTTCGGCTGGTGGAAGCTCATCGGGTGTCGGGTAAGGGTTCAAGAAGCCGCTGGAGACACCAGCTCGTGAAATCTCATGATCTCTAGCGAAGGTGGCGCACAGTTTGTACTCGGCACGGGAGACAGCGAGATCGACAGTGCTTGGAAGAAGGTCGTCCGAGTAACTGGCGATGGAGTATGTGCGAGGGACTTCCAGATTAACCAGATCCACCAGCCAGGATAGGTTATCCAGACTGAAGGCCTTATCCCATATTTGCATTGGTGTATCAGTGAGCGCATCTTGAAGCAAATCACCCAACGAGCCAGAAACCGGCCACTCTTGGGTGGCTAGGATCTGCAGCACAGTGTTGGAGGAAGCATGCAGAAGCTCGTGGACCTTCAGTGCGAGCTCCTTGGTGATGGGGGCAAGGTGACCCCGACGGAGGATATCGGTGACTGTCAGCTTCTGGACAGGCGTTCTCCTCACAGAAGCGAGATGTTGCTCAAATCGCTTCCAGGTTCCGGTAACCTCGACGGGGTCATCGATGTGATGCTCGAGACCAAGCGCAGCAACCATCTTGGCGCACTCATCCCAACCGTTGAGGGGCATCACAGCCATTCGATCGCCGGGTTGGAAAGTAATGCCAGTGTCTTCAATGTCAAGAGTGACGAGAGCAATGGAACGCTTTGGGTCGGAATCCACATAGTTGCAGGTAGCAACTCTTGTGGCGTAGCGACATTCCTCAAAAGTGCCGCGCATTTGATGAGGTTCCACGGCCAGTTCTCCGCGGTACGGTTCAAGACGCTCCTTCATTGCATCAGAGAATTGGCGGTGAGTTTCCTCCCACGGCCTCGAAGCATCAGCAGCTCCAGAGGCACCGTTGGTCTCCGTTCTGCCCGTCTTCGCCGCAATTTCCAGGATGCCGAACACCTTGTATCGGTGCACGCCCATGAAACCACGCTCGCCGGTGTAAGCTTCGACAACGCCATCGAGAACGCCCATGAGGCGAGGGTCGCCAGATTTGGCCACAAACTCAGGGATGCGGTAGTGATATTCAATGGCGGCAATGAATGCTCGGAGGTTTGACGGGAGCCACGCTCGTAGATGCACGCCCTCGACGCCAAGGAACGAGTCATACCTGGATACATATGATTAGCATAATTCTTCCGATTTGAAACGTAACAGTGTCGATCTAACCTTTTGCGTCCCAAAAAGGCATCCATGACCAGATATGGCGGGAACTGGAGCCCAGAAGATGCTGGACATCGTTTTGAAAGCGGCGCCGAAAACAGTGCCCATCGTACCCATCGGTCGGCAGAGACATAGTTTTCACCGGCATTGGGGTTGGGAGAGATGGTATGAAACGCATTGGGCATGCGTTCGAGAATCTCCTTCAGTCGGATCATTTCTCGAAGAAGGCCCTCGACGTTGTTCGTCATGACGTACTCCTGGCAAGCGGCAATGGCATCCGGGCCGTGCTGGAAAGACGCTGAACGAATAGTCAGTAAAGAAAATGTGTGCACTTGTCTAGTTCATACCTGATGTGTCGGCGCAGCCCTTGAGGAATGCCACCTCGGCTTTCTCTCCAAACATGGGCCATCGCAGATCTATGTTGTCAAAGCGAGCAACATACGGATACGTCGAGGTTACGTCCTTGATCTTGATGTTGTAGGATGACTGATCTGGGAAAGTCAAGTGTGGCAGCGTGCGTCCCATTCGACGGGATACCTGATAGAACGGCAGCGCAATGGCGAGAGGAATGCCTTGCAGCTCCTCGCCCAAGTCGTCGCCCATGGGGCAGTTTGGCCGCCACTTTGTCTTTTTGTTGGAAGACACACCCTCGGTTCCATCGTATTTTCCTTCGAAGCGATAGATGGAGCAAAGCATGCCAAGAGCCACAAGCGCAGCCCAGAGTGCTTGGTCGGGAATGACTTCCTCCGTGCCTTCGACCATTGGAAGTGCAGCGATGGCCTCTCTCACCCGGCCTCGGGCACTGCAACCCGGCATCCGCTCGCAAATATCAGACCAAATGCGTCCTGGTGATCTTGAGAGAGCACCTGCGGCTTCTTCGTAGTCCGGGGGACAGAAGCCGTGCTCCATGCTGAGATATCCATCGCGCCATCCGGTTTGCGGGCCAACTTCTTCGGCTCTCCGCATAACCTGCCGAGCAGGAGCTCCCAGGGCGACGGCAAGTAGGTCGTGCTCATTTGCATTCATAGCATCCAGCTCTTTCTGACTTTTGACGGCGTCGATGGCATCTCGGGAGGGGTAATTGGAGTATAGAAGCTGGTTGATCGACTTTCTTTCCCTACAAAGCATCACGTTTAGTGGTATTCCTTTAGTCGTCCAATCTTCAAAGCTTACCTCATACGAAGCCATTCTTCAGCATCAACTCCACGTGGGATCTGTACTCGTCAACACTGCAAATGAAGCTAGCTTCAAGTATCAAACTCACATCAAATGCGGCATGTATATCTCCAGGTTGAGCAACACCAGAAAATGAGCATCCTCGAGGACCTCGACTGCTCGCTGTACCAGATCTGGTGCGGTTGGAGGCTCCTGCGCCAACTGGGCACATTCCGCCCATGGAGCCGGAAACGGGGCAAGAGGCAACAGACATTTTGAAACCTCAAAAAGGTAAATTATATACTAGTGAAAATGAATCGCTGATGGCCACCAGGGCAATAGAGTTAAAGACAGACGCCACCAGGGCAAGATAGCTGTGAGTGCTTGACGGAATATTTGTAAGACTGACCTAAGGCAGTGCAGGGAACTTTTGCCAGAAACAGAATTATTTAAGAGAATTTCGTATACGCGGACGATGACCCGACGATAGGGTCCCATTGATGACCCCTGAGTCAATTGCCGCTGTCGTGACAGGGGCACTTGTAACCGAGTTTGAAGCTATGAAACCGTGCACGAAGGCTGGTTTTGACGCGGGAATATCCAGCCAATTGGAAGGGGGACATGATCCGCGAGATTTCCAAAACATGCCAAGACCACCCTTGACAGCTCGACGTTACCCAGCAGCGTGGTGTTGACGCGCGGTGTGGCTTGCCAAGCCCGGAGCGAGCTTCGTGAGACGAGCGATGAGACGGTCATCGCATCTTTGGCTTCTCCAATCGTCTGCATCTCCGAGCCCTGTGATCGCTGTTATTATTGTTATGACACTGGGCTAAGGAATTGCATGACCGGCCTGTCCGCTAGGCTGGAATTCCCCTGGAGATCATTGCTTATTGTGCTCAATTGCCAAACTTGACGCTGCGGCTTATGCCAAGAAATCACATGTACGATCTTCGCCATGACTGTGAAACATAAGGCTGAAGGATGCTGCAAGAGGTCGTCGAATAATGCTTAAAAGGCGGGATGTGCAGATGAGGGTTGCAAAAATTCATTAAATATCCTCAAAATTAACCTTATTTATTCCACGGGCCTCGATCGCGGCATTTGGGAGGGTTGTCCCAAATAAAGGATAGCAGGCGCTTTATGAAACATCACCTCCGATCTCCACGACAATCCCCACAACAATCTCTGGCTCCCTGGGCTTCCCCGGCGAGACTACCTGGCATGGCATAGCTAAAAACCCAGACTCCCCTGTTCCAGATGTGAAAGAAGTCTAGCAGGGCCGTGTCTTAAACCTCTTCCATCATAGTGCTATCGGCATGTGGGAGTGCACAGGGTTGTGGGGGATGGAAATGGGCTAGGGTGCACATCGGGATTGTGGGGGAGTTTCAGCCATCTGCTTCTATTCGTCTTCTGTCACGGGATGGTGGATCTTATGCAATTTGAGACTTATATTTAACCATCTCAATGGACGCACAGTCAGTCTCATGACACCAGTTTTCGTTTTTCCCGTTTGACGTAGCGCTGGCTTCAATAACCCTGCAAGGCGTGGCCTGTTCCGCGGACATGCTTGGTTGACCTCCTCGCCTCTGCCCCCTTTTCGATTCGCCTTCATCAAAGGGGTCACCACCCATCGTCAGTCGTCTAGCTTTCCGAAATGAATATAGACACTCTTGAGAGAAGACCGTCGAGGTTGTATTCAGCTTAGACACGGCCCACATCTAATTACTCTTACAAGATGCTTACCTTCTCCTTCCCTGCACCGTGATGGAACTATTTCGACTAACCTGGCCATTAACCTTAAATCGGCCTTTAAACGGCGGAAGAATTCTGTGCTCAGGCCCTGCCAACTCCCTGATTTGCACGACAATTTTTCCGCTGGCGTGTGTAGTACCCATGCCGTGGACGCGCGTCTAGAAGTCTAGAAGGCGTCGGGGCCCTACCTGTACCCACTCAGTTTTGAACCCTGGCAACGGCAAAAATAGAACTTCACATTATACTCTTACTATCGGACGAATTCCGAGCGCGTATTCTTAAAAACCTAGTTAGGTAACTACCCCAGAAGTGACTATTCTCTGTGAAAAGATGAAGGCCTGGATACTGACCATATGGGTGCTGTCCGGGGCGTGGTTTGGTATCCAAGGAACAGCCCCTGTCTCAGTGAATGAGTGGCTGGCACACCGTCTAGCTTAGTATTTAGGACATATTCCTAGTATCCACCTGTGTAGTTTATGTCGCGTCGCACCATTGGACCCCAAGTGTCGTCTAGCAGCTCTTGCGCGAGCGCTACTTGGCTCTCCATTGCTGGACCTTCGAGCAAGAAACTCAAGCTGTCTGGATTAACTACGTGGGGAGTATCCTAAAGCGGGTGCCGTTCATGTCGCCGGTCAAGGCCCGTGGCGCCAAGAGCTTCTCCATACAATCCACGCGTCATTCTTCGTCCGAATCTTGCCAAGAAACGCTTGAGCAATGTCCATCAGATCTTACCCCGGCTCACCAATGGTGGATGCATAGAACGTTGAGCTCCACAGGAGTCAATCGACGCCCTGGCGGGTTAAGGAAGCCTGCTGTCGATACGCGATGGCCGACGATACATAGCCGAGATAATCTGCCATATCGGCAAGATGTTCGAGCCCGAGGATGTTTGCAGCACCCGGCGCCCCCCTTTTCGCCGGAAATTGGAATACCGAAAGACCCCGTCGGTGCTCCGTGAGCTGGGTTACGGGGTCAAGACTTCGGTTGATGGCATAGCTATTAATCCTAACCATCGGGCTCCAGTGCTGTTGTAAAAGGGTATAGAATTGTTAAATAACGGAATATTTATCAATGAAGTCTTACCGAAGCCAACATTCATATCCTTCGAATTAAATCAAATCTGTAATCGACAATGAGGAGGTCGACATTTAAGGTCCTTACTGAGACACTCTCAGTATCTAGAGGGGAGAATAGTATGTTGATAGGATCCTGCCCGGTTGTTGTCTGTCTGAACAGGCCTTGTTCTGCAGGACCCCGGACAAACTCATTCTCTGCAGCGGACACCATTGTTGCTCTGGAAGAAATGAGATGATCTGCGACCCAAGAACAGCGATCCTGCTTCCCAGTGTCCAAGCATGTGTATTCTTTGTTAGTCATATCTTATTCTGATGTTTTGGCATTGGCATAAACCGTCTCTCTAGTGTTTAGGGTAAGTTTGACGTTCCAGACCCAGGCTGCTTGGTTCAGCCACGCACGGAATGCAATGCTCTTGCTGGCGCCACCTAGGATACATAGGTTAGGATTGCCTACGTCATGTCAGCTAATTTCGAAGTGCGCGATTTCTTGGTCGTCCAATGTGATTGTGTGTGATCATCACTGTGCGACAACGGTTTGATGGTGTGACATTCCTTGTCTGTCACGTTCTACATAGAATATGGATTTATGTGCATGGCATTATCCGTGATAGAAGGTACTGAAAATATTTATTAGGAACTTTCTAACACACAACCCAGAAAACTCGTTTGGTTTTAAAGTGACCAGGCTGGGCCTAAAACCGAAGTATTTGGTGGGACTAGGTTTCGGTCAATATTCGCGAAGGACCCTTCAGGGTATGCGCTAGTGAGGACGATCAAAGGTAAAAAAAAATTGACAAAAGGAATCTTAGCCTGACCGATGGCATTGGCCCGGTTGCTTGGATGGCTGAAACACAGGAGAAGGTGAAGTACCGGAGTTTCATCTATGGTAGAGACAAGGCTAGCCCTCTCGCTGGCTAAGCCGGATCTTCACACATGTCGTGTTGACTCCCATCTTTGTGAATCTCGAAAACAAAAAAACCATCAAGTTCGCCATCATGAGTTATGTTGAAGGTTCTCAACTCGAAAAAATGGCGGCCGGACTGTTGGCAAAGGTGAAAGGACCGTCTCCTTGAGGCTTTTCCAAGCCGCTCTAAATCCGCATAAGTCAAAGCGCTGTTTCATCTCCATCAATGCGACGCAGTGACATGTAGGCTTCGCTATGCCTGACCTCAATTTGGGCGAAACAGGTGACAGTGATTGTGAACTTAGGCTTGCCCGTAACAGCTCTCCTGTAGTCGACATGTTCAATAACAGATAGCCAGCACACTCGGGACATGTTTCGCACTGAGTAGTAACCTCGCAATTATTGATCTAATTGAACACCATAGGGTAGGCAAAATCCTCGAGATGTTCTGAGCGGCCTTATCTGGGAGCTGTAATTCCAAGATACTTGCAAGCTGGCTCACTTTACACAAACTAAGTATCACCTAGTAGCTGTGCGCCAATAACAATGAGAGTCTAATTATCTTCTTGAGCATCTCGTAGGGTTCTACGCCAAGGCTCTTTCAGAGTCCAGCTCTTAGAATATTCTCGATCGCAGCATAGACTAATAAATAGTGAAGTCTCTCGGGATTTTCAAGTAAATTGATTCACTATCGCGTGCCCCAAATTAACCTCGTCATTTCAAATCTTAGCCATATCGGTGGCAGCGAGGCCTTGATGTAAGGACAGGGTTGTTCGGCTTCCTGGATAGTAGACACAATGCAGTTCCACAGGCAAGAAATCATTTGGAAAAAATAGACATTTATTTTCACTGGTTATTGCATACGGCATTGTTCAGATTGGACGAAGAAGAGCTATTGTGTTCGTTAAACAATTGTATCGCGGGTAGGGGCGTGGTACACAAGAAGGTAATGTAAATTTACGCACAACCCATGAGGATTTCAAAGGTGATTCGCTCCTTGCCCCGCTCGTACTCATACTCCTGCTTCAACTATAAGCAGAGCTAGATGGGTGGTACTCAGTACATGCAGGGCTTAGCGTATGCAAGTGTGTGTATGTCCAGCTGCCAATAGAGAGAGCTCCTCAGCCTCAGGGCAACCTATGGGAGGTTTCCAGTGGAGGCCTTATGCAATTATGACTGGAATCAATCTTTGTAATCCTTGTGGGCTGTAATTGCTGACTGCGGGGTAATCAGGCGATCGAGGCAAACGGCCACATGTAATATAGCAACACACTCAGCTTAACAGATCACATCAGCCCCGATAGTATGGCCGGCCGCTCCAACGTGTCGTTCACTACTGACAGGGACGGGCTGCCCGTTGCGCGCCCGGACCAATTCCTGCAGGAATATGCAGATTGCGAATTCATGGCGACTGTCATGGGCTTCGACAGACGAGGGGCATCCATGAACGAAGTTTCTGTCCACGAGCTTCTTCGACAACCCTATTATTCGGACCAGGAACATCGGTGGTTTCACCTTCCAGCCAATAACGTAACTACCAACCCTGCCCAGTTGACTTACACGTGAGCTGACTGCTTGGTGGATTTAGATGAGATGGGTTGAGGTGGGAGCTCCCCAGGCCATCATGCTGTCTTGACCTAATCATCTGACATACATCTTGCCAGGCCCTGATGATCAAATTGTTTGGTCGTCATATCGCCAGCGAGCTCCTGCGAATAGACCGATGGGTAGGACGACAACATGTTGGCTCACCCGGAGCGTAACATGCACGATTCATGCAGCCTATCTGCCAAAAATCAGATATGTACGGCAGACACTGTATGACATTATTCGTACGCATCCTTGAGTCCTTGAGTATCATCTCCTGATTTGGATACTGACCATCCTACCAGATGCCGTACCTTCACTGAGATGTAGTGGCGCAACCTGGGGTACCGATTTCCACGGCTGAGCCTGGAGAGCGGCCTAAAACACCTTATCAGAAGCTTCTGGCGGCATACCGCGACAACGACCACCCTCTCCACGTTCGTCGCACTTTGGATCAGTACTTCTACCATATGCTACAGAACACCAGATCGCGCGATACGGACCAAGTGATATCTCGCTTCCAGAGTAAACACGACCTGAAGCCCGCAATTCTCACTATGGTTGACCAGCTGTGGCTCTGGGTGGTGTCAGGCGTAGATGATGACATTGATGAGAGTGACAGAGAACCTTCCTGCTTCACGGGAAAATGCACCGTCATCACCTGCTTCCCTCAAGTGACTCCAAAAAGCGACAATATCGACTTCCCAGACTGTCGCGGCCTCACAGACGTTCTAACAAGTATCAAGGCAGGACTTGGATATGGATCAGACCTAGACCCTAGCCACCTTGTCTCCCTGATCATATCCACCTGCTCCGGCTCGTTAATGGACCAGTCGAGCCACCTGGTATTCGGGCAGACGCTTGTGCGGTTTTCCGACGCCTATGAAAGCACTATCAAGGCCGCGGTAAGTGCCACACCGACACACACATGCCTTGCGCATCAATTTAAATAGTGCTCTTCTCACGCGGTATCTTAGATGGACCAGGAGGCAGAGATCTTCCGACAGTTTTCCAAGTCGACGGCCCAGTCAGACCTCGTGGATATAACACGAGAGATCTCCGTACTGCGAGAGATGAAGGACGTCGTAGACGAGCTGGGCATTATGTCCAAGTTGTTCGTGGACCAGCTAGACGTTCTTGGAATTCTGCGGGAGGAAAAGGGACCTGGATGGCACCCCATGCACTCAGACCTGGCTCTTGAAAAGATACGGAACATGGACTCACTTTCCAGGAAGGTCACGGATGACGTCTGTTGGCCACAACTCTTCCCCTTGTTGCATATGTCATGTCGTCTCGGTGGGCTCGGGAGCTAACATGCATGCGTAGTTGCACGTACTCGTGGACCTGAAGCAGAAGCACAGTACGATGATGGATGCTCGCGCTACCGCGAGGCAGGGAAAAACGCTCATGGTCTTCACCGTTGTCACCATTGTTTTTGTATGATTTCGACCGCCTATCCCTAAATAATGGACTGCTTGCCACAACGGGGGAGATCGCTAACAACATTCGCAGCTGCCACTATCATTCATGGCCGCGTTCTTCGCTCTCAACATCACGCAGTTCCGGCGCGATAAGGGGGGGACTTTGGATTTGGCCTACGTCTCAGAAATCATGTATACGCAAAACATCTGTCACCTCATTTCAATGCCGTCGCGCTTGACTGACACTGGCCTTGCTGTTCCCATCTCGGCCGCCATTACTGCCATTCTCATCTATTTTGCGTTCAAGGTCGAGGATCTCGAGATCGGGTTGCAGAAAATCGGGTTGAAGAGGGCCGAAGCTGGTTCCAGAGCTGTGTGCGATGACCCCAAGGAAAAATCTGGTGCCGCGAGATGGACTAAGCGGGAGTCCCGGGACTTGACGGAACAGTTCGCGCTAGTTCGGAGGAAGATGATCATGACTAGGGAAGACACAGTCCTGTCAAAGGGGAAAGAAGTGTCGGATGGGGACGTGGAGGCACAGCGGGACGCCACGGATCCGAATTGATGTGGTCTGGCCCAAGGTAAAGTCCGGCCTTAGAACATTGCCTGGGGGCAATCGGATGACCGTCATACAGTCGAGAAGATCAGGCTCTTATTTTCTGTTGAAAGGACAGTGAGGGGCGTTTGTATGTCGCAGATTTGCTTTTTTAAATTCTGAATTGTGTTTCCATTCTGAGCGATCTGCTCTTTTAAATTTTGGATTGCTTTTACATTCTATATGACCTTTCAAATTCTGGATTGTGTTTCCATTCTGGAAGGCCTACTGTTTGATAAGTCGAAGATCCTGGGCGATACTCTGAGCGTCAGAAACAGCTGAGCCGGCACGGCACTGAGACGTTCAAATTTAACGCCAAGGCTTTAGTGATAAATGCCCACCGACGTCAAGCTGGTAGTCAGGACTGTGCTCGCAATTATGGGTAGAGAGTACAGGCACGTAGTACTGAACTGTGGCGCGGGAATATGACTGGGCGCACAGTAGTGGCTGAAAACAACATGTGATAGCTGCTGAGGAGCGAGTTTGTAACCCGCCAGACGTAACGAGGTGTTTAGACAAACCCACCCTTTGATAGAACTACAATTTCAACTGCCAGGGTCGAGGTGCGATGATGGTGGCGAAGAGAAGTGAAGTGGCTTCTGACTGAGTCGGTTCATTGCAGCCCCCGTTTCCCCAAGAAATGATGGTCAAGAAATATGGCTTTTGAAACATATAGTAATTATTGTCCTTTGCTGGTATAGACATGAACAGGAAGTAAATGGTTTGCAATAAATTAAACCATTTATCTCACACTGATTTATTCTACCGATTGAGTGGAAATTTCTAAAAGTACAGACACCAACACCAACCCACCCTCCTTCAATTTCATCTTCCACTAATCCAGTCTCAATCTTAGATCAAGATCATCCTCCTCTCATCCCCCTTTTCATTACACGGCCTGCCTATCTCATTCGTCGTTCCATGACAATTCAAGCCTTTCTCTGCTGACCTGGTATTCTCTCAGCTTTCCTAGAGCCTCTGAGACTTTGCTTGTATCGACCATGATACCGGCGTTGCTCTCGGAGAGAAACCCTTCCTTGACTGCCTTTTGGATCCAAGCAGAAATAGCATCCCAGTAGCCGTTGATATTCAACAGAACTATTCCCACACGGTGAATGCCAAGCTGATTCCAAGTCGTCATCTCCATTACCTCCTCCAATGTCCCGAATCCGCCGGGCAGGGCGATGAATCCAGACCCCGGGCCGCCTTCAAGCACCTTTGTAGCCATGAGGCGCTTGCGAGTATGCATATCCGGGACGATGGTAATCATGCCAAATTCGAAAGAAGCTGATTCAGACCCGTTTTCGACAATGCGTTCCACCTTCTTCTCTCCTTTTGGACCATCGGCAGCTGTTTGTGTCTCCTTTCCTTCGTAGCCCTCCTCAACCCTGACGAGAGCTCGGGGAATTACGCCATGAACAGCGTCAGGTCCCGAGAGCGAAACCAGGGTTTTGGCAAGCTCGCCCATCAGGCCGACGGTGCCTCCACCATACACAAGGTGGACGTTGTTCTTGTGGAATTCCGCTGCCAAAGCCCGTGCAGCTTCCATGTGAACTGCATCGTAACCTGCACAGGCACCACAGCTATTGTTCAGTTAGTGAGGAGGAATCGTGTGGGTCGATGATAGACAATACTAACAATACGCAGACTACTGCAGGCTTTGCACTCTCCTTCGTATTGGATTCTGCCATGATGTCTGAAAATTGGTGATGTTACAGAAAAGGAGGCAAATCTAATGACGCAGAGCGAACTCGACTCGGAAATTCTCGTTATATGTCATGTCTACTTACATAAGCCGCCTGGGCCCATGCTTCATGCCTGCACACTCTAGCGTGCACTCTAGCACACCTTTTATTCAGGCTTGATCAGAGGATGATGATAATTCGAAGTTGCAAAATCAAGACCTTTCCTCTTTAAAATGCTACTTCCGGCGCTAAGTGACCAAAACGCCGGGGTCCTGATGAGAGGATTATGATAATTCGGATTAAATGTAGATGGAGTCCATAAATACATTCGTCATGCACAGTGAGGCCGTACTGTTTTGATCCCTTGTGCATTACATAGCATACCGCCTTCTTACCTCGAATTCCGCCTAATCCTATTCCAGATCATCATAATCCAGCTTGAAGTGGGATTATCTCGTGGCTCGGATTATGATAATTCGGGCTTATATTTCGGCTTGAAGAAAGATACATCCGGACGCTTGTATAACTCCGAGCCCTAGTATTCTGGTCATTTAGCGTCGGAAGTAGCATTTTAAAGAGGAAAAGTCTTGATTTTGCCATTTCGAAATATCAAACCGCCCTGTCTTCGTTGTGGGACGTCGCATTCGTATTACGCATGGGTATACACAAACCACAACGACAGAACGGCACAATACATCGAGCCCATAATAGGTTCGGGTAAGAGATCGACGGCATCGGACGGGGCCGGCCGAACCGTAAGCCGTGACTTTTTATTTACTTTCGACGTCGGTGGAACTCAGAGCAAAGGGTCAAGGTACACTTAAGCTCTGAACATTGAAACCACCACACTGAACTACATATTCATTTCTAGAAATATTAAATCTCACACCGGTAGCCCCATGAGGTGATTCATGGATAATAACGTCAAAACTTGTGCAATCTGGGAGCTGAGTCAACACACAGATTCGAGCGGCCGGCGAGTTCCGCTTACCGTTATGTACTAGTAAGCCCTAGCAGGTAAGCATCCGAGCCGTCTCCCTCCTGTGAGTCAGACCGATGCGACGCAAGTTTCGCAGACGAGAATAGTGACAGCCTCAGGTTTCTATGAGCGATTGATTTTGCTGTGCATTGCATCGCTACCAACTGTGTGCTGTAAGCATATCGCAGTTCCTTTCTTCTAAATTTGTACGCCAATTTCTTCTTATTCTGTCCTCTACATTGTTGTCAAAGATCCAAAGTTCATATCTTTGACACTGTTTCCGCAGAATCTCCCAATTTGTACTCGGCTTAGTCCTAAATATAGCTACCGGTGACTAGGTATGGCATATAGAATAAAAGCCTAGGTAATTCGTATTCGGTTTGAATCGTAGAATCGTAATGTAGTAATAATAGAGGGGGCCTCATAAACAATTTCTTTACTAGACTCATTAGTCGCCTGGCTGATAAAAAGCTGCCAAGGCTAGCTAAAACACGGTTGATGCCTGTTGGTCTCCCTGGCTAGCATTTATCCAGTGTTTTCTACCCCATTTATCTCGTAATTCTCTTTCATGTTAGTATTCAGATGCCGCTCTAGGGCATGCTGGTGCGGCTGCAGGGAGAGGGCGGTCTACAAGTTGGCAACGACATGGTTCGGCCGCCTCTAGTGACTGCACCCTTGGCGAAAAGTAGCGGACATCTTCCAACTTCCTTCGTCTCAGGACAGAACAATCCAACATTGGAATGAAGACTGCGTTTAGGACTGCATAAACGATGAAAGTACGCCACCCAATGTTCGCAGTCGCCATAGCTAGCAGTGTTTATTCGGGGGCAGAAAAACAGAACCCACCAAAAGAGATCGGGGTGATCTTGACCACCGCAAATATAGCCATCCAATTCCAGCCGGAAGAAATGGATTGCATGCGGGTAGAGATGCGAGTGGTATTAGTTTCTGGAGGGTGGAACCAAGGCACCGGCAGCCATCCAACGCTGCCAAACAGAGGGAAGATGAGGGTGAAGGCCGTTGTTCCATATGCAGCATTTTCGGATCAGATGGATAGGAGAATCGTTACCATGATGAAACAGAAGCATAGACCACCTGAGCAGATCGTGAGAAACGACCGTCCTCCGAAGCGATTTATGAGTGAAACGGGAATAGCAGAGCCGACCAGGTATGTGCAGAGCGATATTTGCTGCAAACTAATTGCCCCTAACCACACCTGTGCCGGTCTTAGATCCGACCGGGCCTTAATAGCAAATGCTGCCATTGCCCAGAGACACTCTTTTCCTTTTCAAATATTTTATCTTGATAAAAAGTCGTTCTCTGCCTCACGAGTGGTGAATAAATGTGGTGTGCGGCTCGCCGGATCGCGTCTGTATGTTTGAGAATGATTGCACAAATGAAGATGAAGATAGTATTCCCGCCTGAACTCGCTCTAGAAAAATCTCCTTTGCGCATCTCCTCAACCCCAGAATTTACGACCGAGTCTAAGACGGAAGATGTCTCCTCTTCTCCACTCCCAAACGTGGTGCAAGGGATTGACTACCTACCCGGCTATCTAACTGTCACTCTTGGAACAGCCTGGGTCCATCAATTTTTTTTGCCTACGTACCGAACGCACTTGTGTTGGACCAGGTTCACAGCATGATATGGATATTCAGTATCACGTTTGGACATAACATCGATCCTATCCATCCACAACGCATCAAAGGCCGGGAAATCGTGCTAACTGAGGAGGCCAAACTTCATCTCGTCGGGCCAGTGACAAGATTTACATCAAGACTATGCCGATATGCCTGCTCAATCATACTGTCTAGGAAGCGCTTCTACAACCCGAGGAACAAAGTCCAGTCGTCACAGTGCCCGACTTAACTTTTGACCGACGAGTTGCCCTAGGATTCCTTCGCTCGTACACCTTCCTCACCAAATCCTCGCTCGATCTCACGTTTGCCAAAAAGGCTCACCCAATCCTAGACGACTTTGGGATGGACTGGATCGGGTGGGTCAAGTTCATTGCTCAATTCCGTCGCATCGAGGACCGTCAGGTTTCGAAGCGATATCATTTTGGACAGCTGCGTCTCGATAGGCTCAACTGGGCTACACGACTCGTGCGATTCCCCTTGGGAAGAGGTTGGTACTCATTGGCCTCTTGGCGAGCTAATCAGGGAGTCGTTCAGCATCCTTCTGTTTGCCTTTGCGACATTATCATTGATCCTCTCATCCTCTCATCAATGCAAGTCATCCTCTCGATATCCGCCGACCTCGCGATTTCTCTTGGCAATTGGAGTTCGGCACATGTGAATACCGCATTCTTGGTTTTTCGTCAATCAACATCGTTGGTTGTGCTTTGACATGTGTTCTTCTCGCAATGGTTCCTGTTGTTGTTTTCTTGGTGCAACTGGCTTGGCCCATCAAGTATAAAGGGGGGTTCCTCAGCGCGGTAGTATGATAAAGAGGTCGGCGTCCCATACCTTTCAACGATGAAACACTGGTTAGACATGCATACGAGGTTAATATGAGCAACAGGGACGGTTCGTTGGCGAGCTAATCAGCAAGTTTTATTATAGTGTTCTTGTTATCTCAAAGTCGTGCGTCGCGCATTGGCTTTTAATCTTTCCTTGAAGCTCTTTGGGGTAGTTGTTAACAGAAGCTTCTCTCCACTCCAACTCACACAAAAATATCCTCTGGAAATAGATAGCATCGTACGACTTTACGATAATGCTGGTTAACATTCTCCCCACAAGATACATATAGAATGAGTCCAATATTAGGGTACTGATCGAACAAAATTACATTTTTTTTCGGTTGACCGTGCGAAGGGTCAGCCTAAATCGCATCCTTATGGTTAATTGAGTCCATGGTGTCTCACACTAAACACATCTTGGGGATGTAGAGTCTTAGGTTCGAACTCAAGACAGCTTGAGCGACCTTCAAGCTGAAATCCTCCATACTCGTGTTGAAGGCTCGCAGTTGCTGTGTTTCAGCTTGTAAAATTAGCCAGAGACAGCGCGGTTCGAATGGATTCCGGACCGTTTTGATGGGCAGTCCCGTATCTTGGCAGATGCCCGACAACTCAGCCGCCGGTGTGAGTCCCCGTATAGTCTCGCTCTCATCTGGAGCCCTTACCGTCGCACACATAAGTAAAGTGGGTATTTCTAGTCCGTTACTGTATTGATGTGGAACATGGGTATTGGTTCGATTCTCCAGGAAAGATGAGGCCGTGGTATTCTGCAATGGAGCCTTCGCTCGTTGTTTCAGAACTCGAGACAATGCCTGTAAAGACAACTTTTACTTCGGCAGGCACGCAAGTATTTTTCCTTTCGCATTTGTTGGCCTCACCGGAGATTTAAGTCAATACGCCAATGCAGCCCGTCTCGCTGCAGCCTTCTGGAATCAGCATTCTGCTAAGGATAGCAGGAGAGATCTCAATCATAAAGCAGACAGCATAATAGTGTCCTTTCACATCTGCAGAATGACGCCAATGTCTTTCCTGGTCATCACTGCTCCAACTGGTCCGTTACTCCAGGTGATAGACTATTTCACCTTGGATATACCTTTTGAGCAACGAGATTCCGAAGATCTGTGGAAACTTCGCTCCATCATCTCAGGGCAAAAGCGGGAACGAAAAACTGGTTAAATCGATTTCGCCTCTTATAAATTGAATTCCTTCCTTGGACCTGAAGCGACTTCCTTTGGTGATACCCTGAGCAGTTGCTTTGTCCAATTCGGTTTGTGAATAACATTATGCCCGGTGGCAGAATATGGTACACCGAACGATTTTGCGAGCCGAATAAATCCTCGCCACCCCGGAATAAGCGGCGAAGGATTTCGGCAGTAGATTAAATCCATTTGTGTGGCAATACGGCTACATCCAGAATGAATTCGGATGAATGAGTGGTCGCTCCACGTAGATTGTCAGTACGATCTGCAAAGAAAATCGGTCCAGGGCAAGAAGCAGTCAAGCAGACAATCGTGGAAATGTCTCGCAGCGTCGCATTTTTGTAAGAAGCGAACCGCTTTAGTATCCACTGTTATCTCCGACAAGGATGCAAACCCTCCTAGTTCAGACCGCTCCACCTGAAAGAACCAATCAGTAAATGTTATCTCCGAAACCTCTGCCTCTGCAGCCAAGTCCAGTCGGATACACGAGCCGAACCCTCGGTGCGCGAGCCCGGTGGCACGTGAAATGAGATCATGTGGAACGATCAGGCAGGCTAGGTTTTGGTACGACACGGGTATTTCTCATCGAAATGTTTTTGTCGGGTCCTAAAGGAGGTGTTCTTCTAATGCCGAGACACACGTCATGATGAGCATATGGGCAGAGCAGACGGGAGATAACGAACCGGACTACACCACCTCTAATATTCGCGTTGTACCTGTTCGTGTCTACAGCAACCACAACATGGTGGCGCCAATCGCTAGTGGCTCATTCCAAGCGGATGGAATGGTGGCTGTGCCCTACAGTATGAAGAACCCCCTCTCCGCCATCAGTTCAGGCTAATGCGACGATGTTACATTCCGAGCTGGGGCTAGATTTTGCTGTGCAGAGGGCAATCGGGTGTGGCCCAAATAAAACGAAAGCAAATGGATGATATCTGTCAAATGTCATGATTTCCTTGTGGTGATTACTTGCACCGTTTCCATGACCAATTCTGATGTCCCATCGCCTCGAGGAACTAACTGTATGTGGTAGCAAGCTTCCAGTTCATTAGCCAGCCAATGCTGTGATAAAATCCAAGCATCTTCAATTAATCCAGATTGAATGAGCAAATCCCACGAGATGCAAAGACCGTACCAGACTCTCTCTGTGCTCCCCAACGCGGCAACGCCACAGCTGATAGAACGTGTGATATCGGGGATAACAAGCTAACGTCGGAGAAAACACGTCCGATCCGCCCCACATGGCCCGGAGAAAATATCTCAGCGCGCAGCCTTCTCTCCATTCCCTCTGAACAACTCGGCTCCATGCCCTGGACGAGGCAACCAGGGCCATGCCAGCACCCGGGAAAGTCATACCGGGCACTGGGACGCTCCGGCCCATCAGACCCGTGATCCGAAGACGATTCCGCAAGACCGTCAGCTGCCATCCGTGCCGCCGCTCGAAGCTGGGCTGCGATCGCCAGACGCCGTGCGGTGCTTGCTTGCGCCGCAGTTGCGAGGCCGACTGCCAGTATCCCGGCCCGGACGGACGCGTCCCGCCATCACCGTCCTCGCGTTCATCGGAGGCTTCGCTCGGGGACCAGGCAAACAGTTCGAATGCCGCGTCGATGGCGTTGGCCGAGGTTGAGCGGGGCAGCCGGGAGTATCACTGGGATACCATCCTCCGGCGTCCCATTAATCACATCAGCCATCCGCTGTTTGATGCACAAGATCCTCTCTGCCAACCAGGCAATTTCTTTCCCTTCCACTTCGGCTCCAATCTCTCCAGGACTGAGCTGCTGGCGGCTTTGCCGACTCCCGAATCGTGCGAGTACCTTGTAACACAATATTTCGTCCGCATCTCTCATTTCTTCCATGTTTTACACGGCCCGACATTTCAGCGCCAGTTTTTAGACTTCTCCAAGGATCGCTTTAGCTGTGACCTCTCATGGCTCGCGCTCCTTTTCCTAATTTGTTCTGCTTCCGTCAACACCATGGAGGAGGGCGATTCCATCTTGACCAACATTTCAGAAACCCTACCCGGCGCTCGGGATGCCGCCGCCATCTCATACCGCTATCGCGTCATGGCCATGATTTGTCTCTGCCAGGATAACTTTCTCATACGCCATCGTCTGAGTACGCTTGAGGCGTTGCTTATTCTGATATGGACCATCGGTCACAATGAAGGTGCCGAGCGTAGTTGGGTATTGCTAGGTAAGATTGATCATTCATCATTCGGAAATATGGGCTTACGTATGATCAAGGTATGGCTCTCAACACTGGGATTGTGCTGAAATGCAATGCGTCAGAACCATCCACGGAACTGAACTGTATCGATATCGAACGTCGACGTCGTTGCTGGGCCGGTATACTCATGCTCCATACGTACCAAGCCATCTTAAATAAAGACGTCGACATGTCTTTTCTTCTAAACATCCAGGCACCTATGCCTGCAGACGTCAACGACGACGATATTTTAGAGGATAAAATCCTCCCGCCATCAACCCAACCAACGCAGGTGTCTGACATGAAGTTCAAAATACGGCTGTTTCAATTGTCCGGTCGTATCTGCAACGTCTTGTCCGATGAATCGGGATTTAATGAAGAATGCCTAGAGCGTCTAGATACCGAGATCGCCCAGGAACAGAAGCAATGGGATTCGACCCTCCTTATTGACGGATCACCAAGCCTTCTAGACACCTCGAGTTATCCTCACTGGTGCGTCCTGCAACTCTACGCGCACCAGCTTTACCTTCTCCTACATCGGCCTTTCGCGCTTCAGGCGAATGCAGCACGCTACCGGTCTTCATCCAGAACGAAATGCATTACTTCAAGCGCGGCGCTGTTGGATATTCATCGACAATTAATTGAACTTCCTCGAATGCGCAACTATCGATGGTTTGCCCATGGGGTGTCTGGCTTTTTCGCTGTCCATGCAGTAATTACGCTGGCTTCGTGTTTATTGGAGCAGGACGACAAGGAAGCCGATTCATCAACCTACCGATCCGCTTTTGATGCAGCTATCGTACGACTCAGCGTTGTACAAAATCGGAGTCCACTTTACATGAAGGCGTATCCAGTTCTTCGGCATTTGCAGTACGCTCCTCCACCCTCTTCAACGACAACTAAGTAACATGTGACAATAGGACCATGCTTTCTGCAGATCAATTCCAATGGGCCCCCTCGGTAGGCCAGGAATTTGGGAGTAGCTTTAACAACTGGATCGATACAGTTCAGTGGCTCAACCCCGAATCCGTAAATTGGGTGGGTAGCTACAATCACCCCTTCAGTCTCCAACTAATGATTGTAGGATTTCTGGGATGACCTTTTAAAACCCAGCTCGAGTTAGCTCTAGTGTGACTGATTTAAGCCATCGGAAAATATAAGGGAGTTCGTCTATCCAACATCAGGACAAGAGGTCAGTACTCGTTGCTTCTCAATGTAACATGCGGGAATACCCATCCAGGGTCACACAGTACACAACATACTCAGCCGCAGAACAACACCAGAACCCGAGACCTTGTGTGAAACTTTTATCTCAACTCTGTTTGAGTTAATGCAAACCAGACCCGGGTGGAGACTACAGCATGCATGGTGGTTTACTCCTGAGGCGATGGGAACTACCTCTTAGCACGAGCTAACGATATGGACGAGCGAGCCTACGCTAAGCTCATGCAATGGGATTAATAGACCCGCCTTAGCTTCATCGTTCGGGTACGATTCGGAGGATATTTCGTCTATGGTAGGCCGGAAAAGTTGGTTCGGCGGCGCTTGTCATGCAGCAACCACCTGGCAACTGACTCCGTGCCTGGGAATTGTGGCCCCTGTGGGTTAGCGGATTCAAGAAATCCTCGACGGGGCGCGGGTCAGAGACAAATGGACCAAGAGCTCAGATTCCCAGATAGCCATGGGCCCGGATTGCGTGAGGCTGTAGCAAATGTGGCGGCCAAAGCACCGCTTGTTGCTTGAACGTGGCAAAATCCTCATTCAGAGATTGCCTAATATACCTTGAACAATTTGTGAATACCACTACACAATACTTCACAGCTGTGCTGCAGTTCATGTTGCATTTAATATTTTGTGTCATCTTCCTAGCTGATTTAGCCACCCATTCTGCCGCCACACGGTCTTCAGTATATTACATCAATTTATATTCCAGGCCTGTTTCTGCTTTCTACAACTTGGAGGCAATGTTAACGTGCACCGCCTTGATATTTGAGTAGGCAGCCAAGCCAGCCTCGCCAAGCTCCCGTCCGATTCCGCTCTGCTTGACGCCGCCAAAGGGAATGCGCCAATCACTATCGTTGCTAGAGTTGATCCAAACCATTCCAGCCTCGATTCGCTTGGCCACACGGTGGGCTCGGGTGAGGTTCGTGGTGAAGATGGCGCTTCCCAGTCCGTATTGGGTATCGTTGGCCAAGGCGATGGCCTCGTCTTGGGTGCTGAACGTGGTAATCACAACAAAGGGGCCAAAGACCTCCTCTTGGAACACTCGCATTTGAGGAGTGACTCCGGTAAACACTGTGGGCTCAATGAAGTAGCCCTTTCCATCGCCACCCTTCTTGAACGGCTGTCCGCCGACCTCGAGCTTGGCACCCTCGCTCTTGCCGACCTCCACAAATGACATGATGCGGTCGTATTGTGCCTTTGTGATCTGAGGACCCTGGAAAGTCTTCTCGTCGAAGGGGTCGCCGAGCTTAGAGATCTCCTTGACTTGCGATCGGAAAGCCGCGAGGAACTTGTCGTACACGGTGTCTTGGACCAAGATACGGGAAGTGGCTGTGCAGATTTGGCCTTGGTTCGACATGATGCCGGCGTGGGCCCAGTACACAGCGAGGTCGAGGTCGGCGTCCTCGAAGACAATCAGAGGGCTTTTACCACCCGTCTCAAGCGTAATGTTCTTCAGGTTGCTGCTGGCCATCTTCATAATGTGCTTCGCGGTGGGCGTAGATCCGGTGAAGGCGATCTTGTCGACATCGGTGTGGGATGCAATAGCGGCTCCAGCGACGGCGCCGAGTCCGTTGAGGACATTTACAACACCGGGAGGGAATCCGGCCTTGGCGACGAGGTTGGCGAGGAAAAGGATAGAGAGGGGCGTTTGCTCAGCCGGCTTCAGGATGACGGCGTTGCCGCAGGCCAGTGCGGGGCCCAGCTTCCAGGCGGCCATGGCCAAGGGATAATTCCAGCTGTCAAGGAACAGTTAGCCTCTGCAAGGAATCAAGTTGTAAGGCGGGACAACTTACGGAATGATCTGGCCGCAGACACCTACGGGCTCCCGGACTGTGTACGCAAACTTGTCTGAAGAGGTCTCGATGACCTGGCCAAACACCTTGTCGGCAAAGCCGGCATAGTAGCGGAGAGTCTCAGCAACCTCGACTAGATCCTCGTTCAGAGCGACCTGGTACGGCTTGCCGTTGTCCCAAGTCTCAATAGTGGCAAGAGTCTCACGGTTCTCGTCAACCAAATCAGCGAGGCGGTTCAGCAGCTTTCCACGGTCGGTGGCAGGCAGATCGCGCCACTCAGGGTTGCGCAGGGCATTGCGCGCCGCGACGACGGCTCTGTCGACATCCTCGCTGGTAGCAGCATAAACCGAGACGATTTCTTGCTCGTTTCTAGCCGGTCAGCTCAGTTGCAAGCACGAGGGTGAGGGAATCAACATACGTGGGGTTGATGCTGGTGATCTTGCCGCCGTCAGACGACTTCACCCACCTGTTGTTGATGAACAGGCCGGTGGGCTGGGCGTACTTGCGGCCGTTGGGGGCCGTCAGCTGGATGTCTAAGCTCATTTTCAAACGATTTCAAGGATACGGTGCGTATGATGGGCCTGATGGATCTGGATCTGAACGGTAGCGGCATCTAATATGTTGGGCCGCCTGGGTGTGATTGTCACGATTGACACGACACCAACCGAAAACGGGCAATATGCAGCAACTGCGGGGAATGCATAAGGTTTCAGCCTCTCAGACGCTACACAGGCTGAAAGATACGCCAACTCGCAGCTCGCCAAGTAGCTCGGCATGGCCCAGCCGGACCGGGGCGAAGTGTTAGTAATGGAATAGAGACCGGTCCGGCGGAGATAAGCCACACGGGAATCTAGTGCATCGTGCATGCTTGTCTGCATCTGGCAGTTCATGTGCATTCATCTCAGATGAATCCATCGGAATGCTAGATTTGTCGTCACTCGGCATGGCTGGGATGTTGGACCAGGTTGAATCCCTGGCGTGCACCGGTCTCGGAGCCGTTGTGATTGAGCGTTTACGATCGGTAATAGAAATTAAGTAGATCTTTTGCTCAAAGCTCGACTAAGCTAGCACACTTCAGGGCGTTGGATGCGCAAGGTATCATCGACTCCCGATCATCTCCACTTGGATCTGGGCCGCCACGCTACGTATGCACAATAGGGTACACCCATCGCATGGAAAATATATGCCCCAGATCATTTATGCCGATTCATCTATACGATTTACATGGATTAGGATTTACAGGGAGTGGCAAAGTGAACGTCTCGTCAGTCAAATGTCACGGTAACACGTCTCACAAGCAGAACCGGCTGTTGAAAATTGGGAGTAAGGTAAAAAAGGAAGGTCGGAATTTGATTATTTCCAAGTGATCCCAAAAGGAAGTTGACTAGTATACAAGAAAAGCCTCAAAAATGGCTAGAGATCCTCTAGGACGCTAGTGATCCTTGCTCTCCGCCTCCTTCTCAGTAGGAACAGGCACGTCGCTGTTCTCGGCGTAGATGACACGGCCTTCAGACTCCTCGGACTGGAGGTAGGTGACACGGCCCTTGATGACCCAGAAGCTGAGGGTAACAACCATCATGACGCCAAAGACAGCGATGGCATAGTTCATGTCGGTGCCAGTAGGGTTGGGCGAGCCGGGGAAGAAGAAAAAGACGGTGGTGATGGCGCAGTAGATAACCGAGACCCAGTTGCAGACGGGGCCAAGGCGGCCGAGAGAAAACTCGCCAGGGGGCAGCTTGTCGCGGCCAGTAAGGAGGAGCACCAGGATAGGCATGCCGTAGGACATGGTGAGGGCGATGGTGCTGACGCTGAGAATGGCCTCGAGGACGGTGGAGGCAAAGGTGTAGAGAACGCCAACCAGAGCAATGATGGCGCCCTGAAGCCACAAAGCGCGGATGGGAACCTTCCACGTCTCGTCGACCTTGGAAAAGTAGTTGCTCCAAGGAATACCGCCATCACGGGCGAAACCCCAAGTCAGACGGGAGGATGTAGTGACGATGCTGATACCCTGACCCACGCCGTTCATGATGAACAGAGAGAGGAGAACGGTTCCACCCTTGAGGCCAACGGTTTCCTGCAGGAGTTCCATGAAGGGGAGACCGGTAGGAGGGTCCAGAATGACGTCGAGGTCCTGAATACAAAAGAGACAGACAACCATGAAGATGAAACCAGAAATGGCTCCCATGCCGACCGAGGAGTAGATGACTCGTGGGATATTCTTTCGGGGGGCCGGAATCTCTTCGACAAGGTGAATGGCCGAGTCAAAGGCAGTCAGACCATAGGCAGCCTGGAGGAGGCCCATGAACCAAGTAACACCATTGGGCCAGGTGGTCTGGTTGATCCAGGTTCCAAAGACAAACGAGGCGGGCTGGAAAGAGAGACCCGACTTGGTACCGACGGAAATGAGCAACGCCAGGCTGATGATGAAGAAGAGGCCGGCGAAGCAGATGCCCACAAAGTTGTTGAACATGGGGAGGATCAGGTCCCGGCGACAGGCAACCATGTTGAAGCCCGTCATGAAGAAGGTAGTGCCGATATAGACGAGGAACAAGACCCAACCCTTGCTGGCGCCGGTCCACTCCACGTCGAAGAGGACCTTCATGCCGAGCATGAACTCGGTCATGAAGGCGAGTTGCGAGGCAGCCAGCGTCCACCAGCCAAAGGTGTTGATCCAGGCGCACAGGTACGAGCAGAAGCGGCCGGCAGGCGTAGGCCACAGGCGCGAGATCCAATACGCCTGGCCCAGCGCGGTGGGCATGCTGCTGACGAGCTCGCCCAGCGACACGGCGACGCACATGTTGCAGATGGTGACGAGGACGAGGCCCCAGAGGATGGCGATGGGCCCGCCGCTGGTCAGGCCGCTGCTGAGGCCCTGGGCAAAGGTCGACCAGGTGCCCAGCACGGAGAAGGCCAGGGCCAGCATGCTCCAGATGCTGAACTTGCGGGTGAGGGCCTGCGAGTGGCCAAACTCGGCGAGGTCCCGCGCATCTTGCAGGGCCTGGTCGGTCGGCTCAGGGTGCTTGAGCGAGGCGGTTGTCTCGACGTCCATAACAGCGGGTGGTATTATATTCGGGGCGAGGGGGGAGGTTTCTCAGGGTGGTGGCAGCAGGCGAGACTGCTTTCGCAAGTAGGTGAGGCGGGAAGGCGACGACGGGGCTGTCATTCGCAAAGGGACAAGGAGAGAGGGCGAGAACGCGGAGGTCATTCGCAAATTGAATGAGAAGGACGTTCTCTGCAAAGGTGAAGAAGAGAGCTTGCTGGGCTGGGAGGGGCGAGGGGAATTGGGCGGGCTTGCGACGAGGCGTTGCGGGTTTAAGTATGCTATAGACAATCCCCAAGCTCAGGCTCAGCTTCAGGGTGCGTACGGGCCAAGGCTCCCCGTCAGGAGACTACACATGCGGTGTTTACTCTGAGTGGCATCGTGTGACGGGGACGGAGCACGGAGTACGGAGTGGACGGGCTACGGGCTGCCTTCGCGGAGATGGGAGCTGGCACACGAGAGGGATGGGTGGACACATTGAATTCATTAGACAAATACAAATGCTTATCCGTACAACTTGGGCCGTTATCTCTGCTGCCCTTAGCCACCCCTAGCCAGCCCTAGTACCATGTGCGTAGCGAGTACATAGTTAGTGTGGCCATGGCAGGCCGAGTTGTGGGAGGCCACACCACGAGCGGCGAGGCCGAATGCTGGAGAAGATGGCATTTTCCCGCTACCATCGCAAAGCTGCGCTCGATGAAGCTATTGAGTAGCACTTTGCGATGCCGCCGCCGCACCGCTGCAGGGGACGCAGCCCATCCCCATGGGGTATTGTGCCACACGCAAGCCCGGCGGCGATGGCATTACGTGATAGCTCAGAAAGAAGCAAAAGTCTTGGGTACGCACGGCGGCCTTCCCCACGGGGTACCCAAACGCCAGGAGGCCAAGCCCGGGCCGGAATTGAGGCGGCGAGAAGTTGTGACAGAGGCGTATGGCACATGGCAAATGGGAACAGCAGCCGGGCGCAACAGCGAGCAGTCAGAACAGTTATCTCGGACGGCGAAGCCCCTTATCGACAAGCTCGGTTCGCGAGGCAATGTGGAGAAGGAAAATGCAATCGATTGCCCCGATTCGGCGTGGTGGCATCGCCGCCGGATGGCCGGGGGACGCGTGAGGATTAGCTGCCCCATGTGGTTAAGTCGCGGTGACAATGATGGAGAGTGACAAAGGACGGAGAGTAACACTCACCAAATGGAAATGCAATCGAATGGCCAGAGACGGCGTGACGTAGGTGGGCCTCTTGGTCTGCATTGTGAAGCCTGTTACGCTGCCCGTTCTCTCAACAGCATTGCACTACTGCGCAATGAGTTACAGCACTCAATCGCGCATGGAACGACGCCATCCCACTCGTCGTCACGACCTTGGCGCGCTGTATCTTTGGCGCCTGACTTGACACGGCAGTTGGCACGCATCTCGTCTCCCTGCGGCCGCGAAGAGACTCCACCGGGCACTTGTTTTGCTTTTGCCTCTCTCCACGCGCCCTTGACGCCCGCGATGGCAGAGTTGCACGCTTATCCTGTTATCCTCCTTCTCCGCTTCTCCCTCGTACGCAGCGTCTCGCAGCGTCCGGACCATTGTGGAGCTCGCAGCGTGCGGTGTTCCGGTCTGACGCCGGCAGTCACCGACGACGATGCCGCCTGCCGACTCGTCTATAAGAAGCCGGCGTCCTAAGTGCGAAGCGTAAAGTCCTGTAGAGTTTCAAGATCATCATCATCACATAGCTTCACTCACAGTTTGTGTCCTCACACTCACAACCCCAACTCCTGCTTCACATCGACAATCGTCGTCGTCCTTTGACACAACCGTATGGCACAGTCCCTCAGCCCCGACAAAAATGATTCAAGACACCTCATCGATTGCCGGCTACACCGTTTATCGGGAAGAGCCCAGCGACGCCGCTCCCGATCTGTCCAAGAACCACTCAGTTCATCCGCTCGGTATGTCATCTCAACGCTGTAGACTCCTTCACTCATGCTCACAACAACCCCCCTCAGATCCGCTATCGATTGATGAGATCCGCTTCGCCACCAAGCTCATCCGTGATTATGCCAACCCCAAGACCCTCAAGTTCAACTGCCTCACTCTCCGCGAGCCCAAGAAGGCCGAGTATGGCGCCTTCCGCTCTCGCCGCGCCCCGCGCCCCGACCGCCGTGCCTTTGCCATCGTCATCGAGCGAGGCACCTCGCAGGTCACTGAGGTCATCGCCAACTTGACCTCGGCGCAGGTCGAGGAGTGGAAGCCCGTCTCCAACGTCGGCCCCACGCTGACCCTCGAGGATCTCGACGTCTGCGAGCGCGTCTGCCGCGTCAACCCGCAGGTCATTGAGGCCTGCCGCGGCCTCGGCATCACCGACATGTCCAAGGTGTTCCTCGACGCCTGGGCCATTGGCGTCGACAACCGCTGGGGCTTCGAGCGTCGCCTCCAGCAGGGCATCGCCTACTACCGCAACTCGGCCTTCGACAACCAGTACGCGCACCCGCTCGACTTCTCCGTCGTCGTCGACACCGAGACCGAAGAGGTCCTGGCCGTCGACATCCGCCTCGTCAACGGCGAGCGCACCAAGGTGCCCCTGGAGGAGCACAACTACATGCCCGAGTTCATTGGTGAAAACTATGTCGACGGCCTGCTCAAGCCCATCAACATCACCCAGCCCGAGGGCGTGTCCTTCCGCATGCGCGGCAACGAGATCGCCTGGGCCGGCTACAAGATGCACATCGGCTTCAACTACCGCGAGGGCATCGTGCTGTCCGACGTCCGCATCGAGGACCACCACGAGCAGCGCGAGCGCACTCTCTTCAACCGCATCAGCGTTGTCGAGATGGTCGTGCCCTACGGCAACCCCGATCCGCCTCACCACAAGAAGCACGCCTTCGACGTTGGTGAGTACGGCACTGGTCTGATGACCAACTCCCTCAAGCTGGGATGCGACTGCAAGGGCGCCATCCACTACCTCGACGCCGTCATGGCCACCGGAAACGGTGACCCAGCCGTCATCAAGAATGCCATCTGCATCCACGAGGAGGACAACGGTCTTCTCTACAAGCACACCGATTACCGTGACGGCACCGTCATCTCGGCCCGCGACCGCAAGCTCATCATCTCCCAAATCATCACCGCCGCCAACTACGAGTACGGTTTCTACCACACCTTTACTCTCGACGGCACCTACAAGCTCGAGATCAAGCTGACCGGCATGCTCAACACCTACTGCATGCACCCCACCGAGACGGCCGCTCCCTACGGAACCGAGGTCGCCCACCGCATCAACGCCCACAACCACCAGCACATCTTCTCCCTCCGCGTGGACCCCGAGGTCGACGGCCCCGACAACTCCATCCTCCAGAGCGACGCCCTGCCCTCAGAGGAGCCCGTGGGATCGCCCGAGAACCCCTACGGCAACGGCTTCTACTGCAAGAAGACGCCCCTGCGCACCTCCAAGGAGGCCGCCGCCAGCTACTGCCACGAGACCAGCCGCTCCTGGGACATCATCAACCCCAACAGCATGAACCACGCCGCCAAGAAGCCCGTCGCCTATAAGATCCTCAACAGCAGCTGCCCCGCCGTCCTCGCCAAGCCCGGCAGCGTCGTCAACGAGCGCGCCGCCTTTGCGCGCAAGAGCCTGTGGGTGACGCCCTACAAGGACTACGAGATCTTCCCTGCCGGTGACTACGTGTGCCAGTCGACGGGCGAGCTGAACCACCCGCACAACTCCAACATCATCGACTGGGTCGAGCGCGACGAGCCCATCGTCAACACCGACATCGTCTGCTACATCCAGTTCGGCCTCACCCACTTCCCGCGAACCGAGGACTTCCCCATCATGCCCGCCGAGCCCGTCAGCGTCATGCTGCGCGCCTCCAACTTCTTCCAGAAGAACCCCGGCTTGTGGGTGCCCCCCTCGGCCATCTGCGTCGACAGCGTCTCGGCGAATGCCTTCGGCTCCAAGGACGAGCCCGCCGCTGCTCCCTCGTGCTGCGCGGTCCCCAACCCGCCCGCCCGCCTGTGAATTTGAGAGAGTTCGCAGGGCCCTCGCGCTCTTTTCCAGAGGCGAGAAGCGTCTAGGCTTTAAAGCTTCACAAAGCGCTGTGTGGAACCATCGTGTCTGGATTTATGGAGTAACGAGTTGTTGAAGGCGACCAAAATGTATTCCACTCTGTCGTTTGTTTGTTCGGAAAGCATAGCCATTGATATAGTAACTTACCTGTGTTTAACTCAATTCCTCGTTGTCTGTGTTCTCCTTCGTGCTGTGATATGTGACTTCGAAGTGTAGTTCTAATGCTGGACTCCGTCCGCCGATACGAGTTGTCTTGCTTCCAATCCGACACATACGACCACAGGCGCTAGAAAATACGGGATCCCGTCAAGTCTCATCTGCAACCCATTTGCCTCCATTTTCTGACTCCTGTACATAAATATGTCGCACATATAAACAACTCCGACTGTAGCCCAGGCGACTCTCACATATAGGTCTTTTACCGTCCCGATATAAAAGGCTGGCTGATTAAGGCAGCAGGCATGTTGCGACCTCAATCGCATGCGAACGAGAGGGCTTGAAAACCCGTATTGCTCCAATGTTAGGCAATGGAATCCAGGGGAGTTAAGAGGAAAAGGACAATTGCGAGCAGTGGTGTTCCTTCAGCGTTAACCGCGCAAGGTGACCTACCCTATACTTTGGCATTTTGGAAATCACCTTGCCCTATACTTTAGACGCTCGATGAAAACAATATATTATCTTCCTAATTAGTTAGCATACTTTTTGAGAGTTTGGGATGTCATGTCTATATAGAGTTAACAAAAATATTATTGTTATTCATAAGGATTTAGACTTAAAATTCAACCTTGCACGAATTTGTTGTTAGATTTGGGACTCTGTTGATCAGTGTGGTGACTAAACTTAGAGAATCCTTTGAAATATTCATACGATAGATGATCTTCATGAGGAGAGTCACTTTATGGCTGTGTCTACAACATTAATTGATTCGCTGTTTTGAATCCAATTCCGTCCAGCCTATTCCAGTCACGACTTGCCAAATAGAGATGCCATCGTTACGAATGAAGAATGGTCAACAATATTGCGACTACAACAGCCAGAATAGATCCGAAGGGAACAGTCTTGTTTTCGCTTTCTTTCGAGACTATAGCGAAGTCCGCGCAGACCGTGTGTGACGCGACAGGATCACGGTGGTATCAAACCCATGAGCGTATCGAGCCTAGGGCCGAAGTAGCAATGAGGCTTGAGAAGAGGCGTCGATGCGGGGTTCGCGAGCGAATCTTTGCAGACCACATGTAGCGTGGTTTGCGTAATCAAGTCTGCCTAAGGCTGTAATATTTAGATCAGGCACCCATCAAAGCCAGCCTCGTCCTCATAATGATTCAATTTTTTCAAAGAAACAGCCAGGGTCAAAATCCGAATAATGCCCTTGCCCCATTTGTAAATTCATTTCTTCCAGCATAGTGCTCCCTATCACGGCAGAGCCATGTCTGGCTTCGAGATTTTCGGCACCATCGCCGGGGTGCTTGGGGGCTTCAAAGGCGTAGTGGATGGCTACAATCTACTCGTCGACATGTTCGCCTCCGACACGGAGATAGACTCCGTGGCGACTGCGTATAACGTCGAAAGTATCCGATTCAAAATCTGGGGCGAGGGTGTCAAGCTCGATGATGCAAGTGCATGTCTTTTGAAGGATAAGGATCCATATCTCTTAAGCGCCGTCGCGAAAATCATGGCCGAGATCCTGAACATTCAGGAGAAAGTCCTCAAGCACTTCAATGACAAATATCAGCTACCCCCACTCCCAGACACACCAAAGAATCCGGTGTTCAGTCTTCAGAGTGCTTGGATTGCCCAATTGCGGGCGGAGCGCACGAAAATGAAAGTCAGGCATCGTTGGAGCTGGGTGACGAGAGAGAAGGCGGAGTTGAAGGACTTGGTGGATCGCCTCCACACCCAAAACAATATTCTACAAAGTCTCGCACCGTCCGTTTCGGAGGAGAGTCGCATTGTCAAGGCAATTATGACTGAGCTAGACGAACGTCTCTCCCTAGCATCCGTGCATGGCCTGGACGGAACAGCTCAGGAGCTCATCGCGCTGGGCAGGCAAATCAAGGCGATCCAGGAACAGGACATGAGCACGGTGAAGCAGCAGGTAAAACAGATCGACAAATCCGAGCTCGACGTGTTATCTCCTCCAGATGCGGTGAGCGGCCGCTACACTGGCTCTTACGAGGTTGGTGGGAAGCCCCTGGAGCGGGTGTTGGTGGAGTGGAAAAGAATCGACGCAGGCAATGCCTTTGCGAAGGACATTGTGGCACGGATCCAGGTCCTTGGTGCTCTCCTATCTACCAAAAACGCCCATGAGTTTCATCGTCTCACATTCCTCGGGCTGTTCGACGACAAAGACTTCGAGCATCGCAAACAGGGCCTCCGCCGAATCGGGCTCGTCTACAGCATCCCAACGCGTCCCAGCAACCCAAATCCGCCTCGAAATCTCCTGGAATTGATCAAACAAGATGCAAAGAACCACACTCGGCCGGCTCTAGGCGACAGATTCCACCTAGCACGCAAACTGGCGTCCGCCATGTCGCTATTCCACGTAGCCAACTGGTTGCACAAGTCATTCCGCAGCGACAACATCCTGTTTGGTTACGACGAGGACATTACTAAGCCCTACATCTCCGGCTTCCAGTACGGCCGCCCGGCGGCAGATGCTTCTATAGAGACGCGACCAGTTGGCGATCCGAGCCTTGATCTGTACTACCATCCAGACGTGATGAATGGGTGGACCACGATCAAGGAGATATACAGCTTGGGTATTGTGCTTCTTGAAGTGGCTTACTGGAGGCCCATGTTTGAAAAGAGCTTCCAGAACATGACCATGCAGCAAGTGTCAAACGAAATTGTCACATCTCTAAACGGAAAGTTTGGACGGGACTTGGCGGGTATGGTGGGCACGGCCTACGTTGATGTAGTCAAGTGCTGCTTAAATGGGTCTCTGGGAGTACAAAGGGGCGACTCGCGTGAGGAAGCGAGAATTCTCAGTAAACAATTTTCTCTTTCGGTTATTCAACCATTGACTTCATGTAAGGCTTAGCAAGATATAGTTGGCAAGTTGATGACGTGACTATGTAGTGTGGAGTTTTCATCTACCATCGGATAAAATGCAATCAACGGCCTGTTTTCAACTATGAGTTAAACTTACAAGGTATCCCTCCAAGCTTTTCTCATCTTCTGCACCTCATACTCCAAATCATCCATATAACCCTGAGGCGGACGGGGTTTGGCAAAATATTCCACCTGTACCCCCGTATCTAGGCCATGTGTCACATGCATACCGACCTTCAACTTTACGAGAGGCCTGATCGCAGAGAGGCCATTCCATTGGAGGTATTCCTCACCGTTGGGACTTTGTGGCGAGATGCCCTCCCCTTCCCAGGGCATTCTTGCCGGCCATTTGTCGTCATTCTTTCGTTGACTTGATAATTCGCCTTCAAGAAAGTATTTGTCAGCTAAGAGCCCAAACCTTTGTCACCAGTTCTGGTTTCTTACCACTATCTTGTCGGTGAAAGTTTAGGATGCCACGTAACTCCGGATTGACGGCGACCTGAAACCTGCCACATGTGACCTGATCCGCTCCATGGTCAGGTGTCTGAGAACCCGCTTTGACGAGCAGGGCAACAATCTTCTTCAAATTACTCCTAAAGAGCCCAACTTCCCTTTGACCACCTTCCGAAATCCAGTCTGGAACATAATCCTCCCGGTGAATAGCAAGGCCAATGCCCTTTATCAGTTGACTTCGTTTCTATGTCAAGATACGCCCCTTTCTCTACCAGTAACTCCACAGCTGAAAGAATCCCAAATATGGCGGCCATGTGTAGCGGAGAAAAGTATGTGTTCTCCACTATGCTATCTGCCACGTTGATCTTGTCGGGAAACCTTTCCAGGAGGAGTCCAAGAACTGATGTTCTTCGGGAGTCGGCGGCCCGGTCACTTGGTAAATGGTGACTCCCGAGTAGGAGTGAGAAAGCAGACTCATTGGCATCAACATTTGTGTAGTACCCGGGGTTGTATTTCGCCATAAAGTTTCGGATTCTGTCCACCCTTAAGCCGCCCTTGTAGAGTAGCCTGCCAAACACATTGCGTCCTGTACGTAGGCCTAGGATTTCCTCCTTGTTGGCAGCATGCTTGTATATAAGATCTGCATTTGCCTCTGCTGCTTCTGTGTCTCGACCATTGATGAGTGACATGACGAAGGGACACAGGTCGTTATCAGCCATTATATATGGGCAGGCACCGTGTCTGAGCAACTCCTGGGTGTATGAGGGGCATGCATGTAATGTCGCCCGATGAAGAGGTGTACAGCCCACGTTATCCGGTACGTTTATCAAGCTCGGACATATCTTGAGCAACAGAAAAAAGATACCTCGAGCTTCAAACCCAATCGCTTGCTGAAGAGCCGTGTAACCAATGAACAAGTTCGTGTTGCTCATAACGGCGTTTAAGCTATCCGTCTTGATATGGTTGATGAGAATTTGAAAAGCTTCAGTGTCTTGCCCTTCTATTGAAGTGTATAAGGCATTATGATGAGGCCTTCTGGACTCAAGATATGATGTTGGATCCGCCCCAAGAGCAAGAAGAAACTTGACCGTCGCTATCTTGGCTTCACGGAAAGCTTTTTTGTGACAACGACGGCGCACAAATTCGATGGCAAGACTTCGATCTAGACTCATAAGAAGTGCGTACGAGCATCCGTGAGGACCAAGTTTAGGAAATTCGAGTATTTGTAGTAAGTTATTCCGAATGTCTTCCAACACAGACTCCCCAAACCAAGAACAAGCTTGACGAAAAGTTTGCGTCTCGATGAGACGATGGGATCCGCCAACGATGATTGGCTCAGACTTGACTGCTAACACAAGCATGTCGTGATGATGACATGCTGACAAGACGAGAATCAGCGCGTAGTAGTCCCCGACGCTGAGTTGCTGACCAGGGCTCGTATGCGCGTTCAGAAGCGTCGCGAAAAGAAGAGGGCGGCATTTGATGGCAGCCCAAAACAGTGGAAGTCCTAGTGCGATCGTGGGAAATAAAATCTTGGCATTGGCACGCGGCTGTTCCTGCGCAGCACAATCGAGTCTCGCTCCGCGGCTTATCATCAGAGGCGCGATCCCTGCAGCTTCCTCGTCGTCCATTGATGAGAGAAGATGCAAAATTGTGCATCCATCAGTGTTGATGTGGTTGGTTTCAGCACCGTGTTTGTAAAGGTACTTTGCAATCTCCAGCTGCCGACCACGTACAGCGTAGAAGATTGGTGTTTCATTTTGAATCGTTGTGGCATTAACATCGGCGTTTGCCTCTAGTAGCAGGTAAGCCACTGACGTCTTGTCCCCAGCAGCGGCACATATGTGCAGGGCGGTTTTCTGAGCATCCCCGTAAACTCTGAGAGGGTCCATTGCTTTGCCGACAATGAGGTCGTTATTTTGAGTCAGTCCAATTAAAGCTGACACACACTCTCGGTTGAGCGTTCTCCAACTATGCCGCCTGGAAGCGTGGTCGACCATCTTGTAGAGAGAGGGGTGCGTGTCTCTTAGATACTCGCCAGCTAGTTCGTACTCCCTGAGCATAGAGAGAGAGCACCACAGCTTCCGTGGGACTTGTAGTGCCACTTGACTCTCCACTGTGTGCTCCAACATGCAGAAAATGCTCTGGACTACCCCATCGCCTATAAGCGCAGCGATTGAGAGCCAGAGGAGCCCTTTTTGTCCATCAATCCCAGTTCCCACGCCCCATAAATAGGCAAAAGATATAGAGAATGTAAGGAAGAGCCATGCGTTTCGAGCGTGAGAGGGTACAAGTTGCTTGCCAGCGACATCATCACGGAGTAGCACATGCCTGCGCAGTTCGTCTTCGGTAGAATATTCCTTCTCTTCAAGCTCGGGTTGACCCCCAAATTTGAAGAATTTCACGCCCTCCGTACCGACTTTCAGTAGTTCTTGAAAAAAGTTGGCTTGGAACTGTGTTGATCGTTTCAGAAAAGAAGTGGACATCGTCTCGCACATTGTCAGAACCACCCCTCAGAAAAGACTTGAAGAGCCTTCGTCACTCACCAAAATATATTCCATAGGTTCGTCTTTCCCGTAAGAAGAGTCGGTGTCATGATCGAATCTGTGCCGTTCGTGAGTTATGGGAGCTGATCAGCGTCATTTCAGGCCATCTGCTTACGACATGTCCCTGCGAAAAGCCTGGGCCCACGGAACGAAGAACCGATCTACTACCTCAGCTAGTGTCATCCTTCTTTCTGGTCGAGACGAAAGGGTCGAGTCGATGATGTCCCTCAAAGGTAGCTGATCGGGTCCAATCAGAGATACGGCCCGGCACGCCATCTGTATCATGCTGCCTTCTCTCTCGTCCGGTATCAACTTGAAACGTTCAAGGGGTTTGACCTTTTGGTACGGTTCGAGCTCGAAAACTATACTGGTATCGAGAAAGCTGCCACCAGAAGGTATGAATCCATCGACGGAGCACATGGTAGCGATCACCATGCCCAATGAGTAGACATCCGCGAGCTGCCAGTCGACGTCAGATTCGCCGAGACTGGCCTCGGGCGGTTGCCAGGCGGATGTCCCGACTGCAAATTGACTCTGGCCGTACGTTGACGCTGGTGCGACACCAGTAAGATCTGAAATCATGGCTACAACCCCTCTGGTGGGATGGCGGGAGACCAGGATGTTTGTCGGCTTCAAGTCTCCGTGCACGAGGTTAGCTGAGTGAATGGCTGATAGCCCCAAGACAATGTCGAGGCTAAGGTAAGACTTTCTTGTGCTGGAGGAGTAGGATCGCACATCCTGTAAACAGTCGTCGAGTGTTCCTGGCATTTCCACTAGTCCGTACACGTGGAAGGTAACAGTAGAGGCCAAAATTGTACCAAAGTAAGCAATCTCCAGGCCCAGAGCAGGCATAATAGTCGTATCCTCCCACACAACACACTTCAACTTGCAAATGTTTTCATGGCTACGGAGGTTGGGATGGCATAGCGCCTTCATCTCTCGTGATAGCCATTGGTACACCTTCTTAGTCGCGACATTGTGGGAAGTCCCTGCGCCAGTTTCGATCGTGTACCGTTTGAGAGCGATCCAGGTTCCTGCTCCGATTTATTCTATTAGTCACCGAGTATTCAATAGGAAGTCGTATCACCACCCACATACCATTTGGGGATTCTTTGTCAGTTTTGCCGGGCATGGGTAGCAGGACCACGGTGCTAGAAATCCCACCCCCGAGGCTGTATTCCTTTTGAAGGTTGAATAAGAGCGGCCCTCTGTTATGTATATCGTCCAAGGAAGGGGTCTTTTTGCGGAACGCATACTGTCCCTTTATATAGTCAAGGTTTTGATGATCGACGTCGAATCTCTCGGCCAACGCAAGCATAAAAAAGATCTCCGGTACGTCAGGGAATTCAAGTTCCTCAGTTCTATCAAGAACAGCAGTATCGTCATCGATGCGATTCTCGTCTTTCGGTCGACGCACTAGAGATGATATCGCGGGCATAGCTGTAGGTCTCGGTCTCGGGTGTTGGGTAGAATAACGATAAAGAAAAGCCGCATGGCCCAGAATTGGCAGTCAGGCTGCAATATCGCGGGCAGCCTTAAAAAACTAAGCCTCGCGGTAAATTATTCGCCCGGGTCCGTTTTATCAATTCTTGGGTCGCACAGCGCCCTACCCTCTTACCAAGTCGCATGTAGGTTCTCAGGTGCGATACAGGAGGGTAGCCAGACGGCAGAATCCTCAGAGCAAGGCTGTTCTGACATTATACAAAGCTCTCTGCGTAACGGATATTGTTGGTATGGACTTGGTCCACCAACCTGCTGTAAGTTCTTCAAAGAAGGTTGAGTAAAAACTTCGATGAACGAAGTCTTTCTGTGGCTAATCTGCCTGATGATACGCGCGACAGCTATGTCGCTAGGAGGAGATGAGGCGGGCCGCGACCGATTCCACGAAGGTTAAGCCGAGACACTAGTGAGGCGTGCCTTAGCAAAATGGAGCTGAAAAATGCCATGGGAATACACCAGGCCCAGATAGACAAATAAAAGGGCTGAGCCGGCTGCGACGACATGCCAGCCTTCTTTGCCATCCTCTACACAGTTTTGGCTGGGGGTTGCGGTGAGAGATTGCTAAATTTCCCCACCGTACGGGCTATTGGTGATATTAGAGCCGTGGCTTTCTCCAAACCGAATGGCATCACCACTGCCACACTGAGAAGTCATCATAGTTGCCGTAGTTGCTAACATTGACAATAGTCAACAGTGACTATTGGTGTTTGCGCGGCCTATCATTGCTGCTTGGCCCCAATCTTAGGTTGTTCCTGAACCCAACTACTCACTAAAAAAAGGAGAGCGGGCTCTCTTTCTGATAGTACTGAAGCGAGGCTGGAAGGGTCGCTGGGCAGACTCGTCGCCGGGTAATGCGGATGAAAAGGGGTGGAAGAAGGACCAGTTAAAGAGGAGAACATTAATTCATTATCATGGCACAGACCAGAGATATTTGCCAGTGCTTTTTTTGTCGGAAGTTATTTTACGAAGAGATCAGACCGTAACTATGGTAGTCTACTGGTTTTCTTGGCTAGATACTTGGAGAAAGAGAAGGAGGCAGATTCTAGTTTGTCTGCAAATTTATATACACGCTCATCTGAGATTTACTCAAGCTCCTCAGATTGATCAAGGGCATATGGCAGGCGCAAACTATAGGCGCACACACTTATGACTAAACATAGTCCTAGAAGATGCACTATTTAGATTAATTAGGTTGTCCACATTTTCTTTTCCTCTAGCACCACTAAGCTGAACCTGCCCGCGCCCTTACCGCACGTAGCAAATTATGTACATTTGCTGAAGAATGGGAGAAATACATTTTGGCGCTGGGCCTCACCTTGGCTCAAAGCGGAATGCTGCTGCAACCTTATTATAATACCTGTTTACAAGGGAAAAGAGACTCCACGAACTCGCTCAAAGCACCAGAAGTACTGATAGAAGGACTACCGCGTGGTGGGATAGGTGAAAACGAACATATGTATTGGAGAAATATGGAAGTTATCTCGACGTCGTGGAGTTCATCAGAAATTTATGATTGAGTAAATACTGGCCATCTTCTCCAGTAATCTTCCCCGGCATTGGTTCCCATCATGTACTGAGGTACCTGCGCCGTTCGAGCCTATGTAAACGCAGCAAGCAACAAAGCATTTGGTAACCAGCTAGTCAAATTCAGCGAACAAACAGCGGCGTCCAAGAAAGAGGTTGTAGCGTGTTAGTGGGTTGGAGGATCCTGGCCACTCACCCCGTATACTTCATCCGGAATAAGTCTGAGACTATGGAAACGCTTTCTGAGGAATAGGCTTAGAATTTTACACCATCAAAGCCCTGCCTATTTTGATACTCCCTCCCATCCCATGTATTCAGTATCATGCTACGGAATTGTGTGTGCTTACAGCTCTGGTACTGTAGATAATAATAGAAGAGGCTCTTGACTACGCAGAATAGTGACCGAAGATCTGACCTGTGTAGGTATAGTTTGAAAGTCAAATTGACGGATATAGATGGATGAAACAAAAAGGAACGACTTAGCGGCATAAAGTACGTAGAATTGTCCGTAGTGATGCGGGCCGCTGAGAGCAGGGTGTCCTTGAACGGCCCGTTAACTAGCCCAGGCAACTAGGATTCTGAGGATGGTGCTAAGCTTTAGTGGACCAGAGTAGTAAGGGGGCGCTGTGGGTCGGGAACCTTAGGGGCCTGTGAGCGTTGAAGGCTCAGGGCCAGGATCAAGATTTGACAAGCTGTCTTCCGCGCCGAGTTGGTATGTAGCCTTGCATCTCGGTTGGCATAGCCTGGTTCTTGAGAGTTTGCATGGGAGTAAAAATGATCGCTCGCTTTCGAAGTCAATCGAGCAAGCCAGTGAACAAGGCTGCCGCCCTGGGACTACTTCCCTACACCGACAGCCCCAAACTAGACAAGGCCTGTCTATCTCAAGACCCAAGCATGGTCGGCGTTTACAATCAGCGGGCCGTTAGTAAATAACACTAGTCGGATAGTAGTATCCTGGAAGAAATCCCGCAGGACACTAGCAACCTTGTAGTTAGGGGACAGGGAAAGTCAAGGCAGTCGTAACTCTTTAGTCGGGCACAGCAGGGGTCTACATGAGTTCATTAGTCCAAACATTGGAAGTGGTTCACCCTATCGTAGGCCTCTCCGAGTCCGAAGAGGAAACCTACGCTGGGATACACATGAAACAGGAAGAAGACCCTCAGCAAAACCACTCAACGGCGTTACTGGCCAGTACGGAGTAAACACCGCTGGAATGGTCTGACTTGAGCCTGTTATTCTGGCCTAAGCGGTCTGTGTCAACCCTTGCTTCCTTGCGTCCGCTTTCGGTTACACTAATCCATGGCGATCGACATACGCTAACGCCCGCTGAAGTCTAGACCAAACACACACGTAAGTTGCGACGTAGTATCTCTTTGAGATAGATCAGGCGGTTCTCGTCGTGGAATGCTCCTTTGAGTCCAATGCGTAAATTCATGGTGGTATCTAGTTATCAGCTACCCCTACGCTTCAGCCTTGGCAGCCTCAGCCTCAGCAGCCAACCTGGCCTCTGTCAGGCGCCGGAGGACGTCATCCTCGCTAGGGAAGTCTGGACCCTTGATAGACACGAATGCCGGGAGAAGCACAGCTTCGTCAATCTCCTGGTACTTGCCGTCTTGCACGTGGATCACGTGTCCGTTTCGAGATGTGTCGGCCATCAGTACAGCTGCGGCGCGGGCCACGGCTGAGGCAGGCTGCACCACAATGCCGATGCTTTCCATCATGGCCTTGAGGTTGGGGAGCACGCTGCTATCCGTCCAGGTGGGAGCCAGGGTGTTGACTCGAATGGGCAGCTTCGCGGCGTCGAGGAGCGGAACGAGACCTCGACCAAAGCCAAGCACGGCGTGTTTGGCCGTGGCTGAGAGGTATTAGTTATCGGAAGCTCACCCCGAAGAGAGGGCAGTATTTCTGAACTCACCATAGTCCACAGCGCGGAGGCGTTGCAAGCCAGTCGATGAGCCGTTGATTACAATGCTTCCACCTTCAGGCTGGTCTCGCATGTAGTGAATGGCGAGGGTTGCCGTGTTAATAACACCCTTGAGGCTGACATCCAAAAGCTGGTGTGAGGGCTCCTTGAGATCTCCGTTCTCATCTACTTCGGTAGATAGATAGTCGGTGCGAGGTCCGACACCGGCATTAGCAAAGACGTGATCGACGCGGCCGTAGATCTCTTTGGTGGTCTTGAACAGCACCACCAGGTCGGCCCAAATGGCTACATTGGCTTGCACGAATGTGTAAGCGCCCTCGGGCTGCTGAGCGGGGGCCTGAAGGTCGGCATTGACAACAGAGGCTCCCTGCGAGAGGAGCGTGGCGACAGTGGCAAGACCGATGCCAGATGAGCCTCCTACACAAACGCCGATGGTTAGCATGCGTTCCCAAGTCCTTGGATGTGCCGGCAGGACTTGGCAGGGCGTAATCAATCGCACATACCGGTAACGATGACAACCTTGCCCCTGAGGCCGGCTAGGTCCTTGTCTTCAATGACGAATGCGGCCATGGTTTCTTAGGGATATAATGGGGTGATGTGATGGGGTTGAAACAACAATACCAATGAGCTGCGAGAAAATGTTGGTGTCGCTGAATAAATAATAAAGTTCATATTGAACTAAACACATCTGCTCCTCGCCGTTGGTTCTTTTCTCCTTAATTTCCAAGCTAGGGTTTCTCATGTGCACTAGATGGTTGCACCCGGAGCGGAGTTGACACTTACGCGGGGAACTATGTATCCATGTCTAGCAATGATGGGCAACAGACAGCAAGGGTCGGCGTCGTGTCGGCAAGGTCGGCAGACTCGTACCAGGAAACTGGAAAGCGTCCCAAGGAGTTCTTGGTAGCATCATGTGATGGCACACGCATGTAGTAATAGATATTCATTATGGCGAATTCTCGCAGCTCCCTTGTGGTCTGCATGAACGACCGTTTGGTTGGGATTTCAGTCCGTACGATATGATATGAGCTTCCCTTCTCCCTGGCCCCTTCTTCTCTAGAGCCCTGCCACGCGGTCTTGACAGCTATGTGGCCCCATCGGCGATGCACCATCGGCAGTGCGCTTCCAGCGGCCCACTAGACCAGGAAGTACGGCACACAACGTTCATTGAATTGTGCTACGGAGTATGTATGGAAGGATATCCCTGGTTCGTAACGAACGATGCCCCGTTCGCCGATCAGTTGGCCGATGCTGTAACGGTCAACAAACGTTCTCTCCACTGGCGTCACTTTAGAGCAATGGTTAATGGGAGGAGGGTTCCAACTTGCGTCACAGACTATACCGTCTTGAACGCCTTCTTGTCTCCCCCTTTCTCTCTAGTGTCCCTCAACGCTCGGGATTCCAGAAGCATAACGTTGTGGATAAAACCGGGTTTGGTCGAGTGGGGGTACGGAACCAGGATACCGGTAATTCGGAGCAAAGGAGAAAAAAAGCAAGATCATGTACGTACAAGAAAGCCTTGGTTCACCCTTGCAGAGATCGATCCTCTTTGAAACGCCAACCGAGGGTTTGAAATTGCCAGCTACGCACAAGATGCAGATCTTTCAGTTTACGGGTTTCCAGGGACGCGTTCATAGCAGGAATTGTCCCCCATAAACCCACCACTCGGTCGGTAACCGTTTATAGCTTCCTTCCGTCCCGACCGTGTGGTAAATGTGCGTCCTTCCTCTCAACCAACAGTCCGATCTATTCCAAACTTCAACGTTCTGGAATAACGCCACCCGCAGTTGTTCTCAGAATGGCCCCGGTGGCCGCTGAGGGTGTACCCCTTCTCTATGTCACCATAATAATGCTCTCGTTCTCCTGGGTGGCCCTCGTTGCACGCCTGGGAGTGCGGAAATGGAAGAAGAATCTCGGCGTGGATGACTGGCTTATGTCCGCAGGTCTTGTATGTGCAACCGACTTCCTATCGACGTAACGAGCCAACAACTGACACAAAGGTGTGGCAGATTCTCTACTCGGTGACAGCGGCTCTGGTCATTGTATGCTGCTTTTACGGTGCGGGACAGCATTCAAAAGTGCTTGATAGGCCTACCATCCAGAAAGGAACCAAGGTAATTCCCCATTTCCTAGAGTTGACCGTGCCGCAAAGCTAACCATGCATGACAAGCTCTTTTTCATCGCCGAGTTCTTCTACGCTGCTTGCACAGTCCCCATCAAATGCAGTATTTGCGTGACACTTCTCCGGATAGCCGACGCCCGCCGCCGATTCGTGTGGACTATTTGGGGTATGATGGTCCTGATGGCCCTTGCGGCTGTCATTTTTATCATCGTCATCGCAAACATCTGCCATCCGATCATGACACTCTGGGGTGAGGCGAATGGTGTTTGCAACCTGGAGCTGAACAGCAGCGTCAGCTTCTTTTTCTCGGCCGTTTCTATCGTGACCGACTGGACTCTCGCCATCCTCCCGGGAGTTTTGCTTTGGAGAATCCAGATGAAATCTCGGGTCAAATTCTCGGTGACCATCATGCTTGGTTTGGCTGCTTTGTGAGTAGCTAGCAACAACCCTCTAACATCCATTCTCATCATACAACTGACACTTTCTAGTGCGAGCTGTGCGACCATCGTCCGACTGCGATACCTTACATTGTACAACGATCCGAACGAATTCATGTACAGCACGGGAGCGATTGGCCTGTGGTCCATCATCGAAGAAGGCATCGGAATCATCGCTGGGTCTATGCCAGCCCTACGACCTCTACTCAGCCTGCCTATCTTCGGCGGCAGCACTTATGCCAGCGGTGCTAACTCCGGAAATCCTTCTGCCCAGCTCAAGTCTGGCGCATCTACACACAATCACGGCCACAGCAACTCTCGAAATCGGTTTGGAGACACCGTCAAGATGGACACGTTCGATCCCTCGGCACCGGCCGAAACTGGCTACCACAAGAAGGCCAGATCGCACGGGAGCGTAGACGACGATGGCGACAGCCAGAAGTACATCCTGAAGCAGACACAGGTCACAGTAGAAGCAGCTCCCACCACCGCGGCCGAAGACTGGGGGAGACAACAGGTACTTGGATGGCAACCCCAGAAATTTTAAAAGAAATGAAGAAAAGTATTTGGTGCTGGTACTGTATACTTGTCAAACAGGCAGAGTTGCAACGGCGTCGGCGACGGCGACGGCGAATGGTTACTCAATAGTACGTCTACAGGCATGTCAAATTGTGCATTGTCACGCGATGCACATCAACGTCTACGCACGCAAATTGAGTATCAATTTTTGCACATATCTCGGTATTGATTACTATTTGATATCAAGTATAAAGAAGCCAAAGATGCGCATGGTGATAGCATCACAAGCTCGCTAGGGCGGCGAAATGGAGGCCGGTATGAAGTCCCGGCAGTTAGAGGCTACAGCCGGCGGTCGTGCAAGTATTCAGTGTCAGTCATTATAGTACAGCAATTATCTGTGCATATGAATGTGTGCACAAAAGAACGCCGGATCCAAGGAAATTGTGCACTGGTGACAAACATCCCCCAACCAAAGTGAACTTCTGACCTGGCTCGTGATGTGTACAAGGAAGGGTTGTGGCACATTACGCAGAAATCACCAAATACTGCGTAGTAGAGCGATGAGGTGCTCCGCAAACACCCAATGCACATGACTAGGACTTATTGCCGAGCACGGCTGGGCCACTGACGTTGAAGGAGCTTTCCACCACGGCCCGTCGAAGTCTTACAAAGGTGTCGGCCGTGGGATCGTGATCCAGTCGTTTGCTTTCTTATTGGGCTTCGGCCATCTGCCGACATAAGAGCTAAAAGGAGAAGACTTTGCGAACTGCGAAGCAGTTCCTTCCACTTGTGCGTTATGCCTCTTGACACCGCCTGCTGTGGTATTAAATGCCTTCGTGAAAGACCCTCGTTGGGTCATCCACGTCGCATCATTCACGCCGACTTTCGACCCAAATTCATTGCACTACCAAGCAGGCTCTTCGGAATCCGCTCATGTTTTCCTGCTGTAACCTGAGTTCTAAATACAACGAACTCCAGCCTTACGGAGATGTGGCTGGTCCTGGGGTGAGTGTAGTAGTTCATTTGCTTCGTAGATGGCGCAATAGGGCTGTACCAATTTGTCGCAATGTGTCTCTCCCTTTCGAATAGATCACCGTTAATTGAGAAAACAGGTCATCGCGGGATTTTTGGGCACAGCATGGTTTGTCATCGGTCTCGTCATACTTCACTATCTTGTCGCATTCGACCCCCAGGAGAACCCTCTCGTGGATTCCAGCGATAGTCACCCAAGGACTGCAAATCCAATTGACGTGATATCGAAGAAATTCATAACACGGATAACTGGTTGTTGTTTATTCCTTCCTCGCTCCTCGACCTTTCAACAAGCAAGATGGAATGATATTTTTATTAAAGTTGGTTGAGGGCAATGTTATGCTGCACCAGTACTGACACGCTCTTTAGTCAATCGTGGCCATGTGTGACATCCAGATTCTAACGGGACTCGGAATCCTTATCAGCGCCTATGCAAATTTGTGCAAAGGGATCTCGGCCTACCACTTCTTGGTGATAGGACACGTCGCATGGTTTTCCAATCTTACCCACATCGCTGGTCTCACGGTCCTCCGCCGCTACCTCTTCCTTCACCCAGTCGAGAAATGGGTCCGACTTTTCCTCATGATAACTTTAACCATCATGCTACTCGTGGCTATGGGTCCAACAGTCTTTTTTGATTGGGCGCAGACGGATGGGTTTTCAAGCACTCCCGGTACGGATGCTGTGTGCTTTTATGACGTGAAGCGAGCCCTCAAGTGGCAGCGAGAGGCAACTACTCAGTCAGTTGGGAGTTCACAGCAATTTCTCTCTGTAATCACGTCGATGGTGTTGGCCGTTCTAAGTCTAACAAGCAGAATCATAAAGCTCCAAAGATCCCTCTCCGGTGCTGTCACAACTTTCCGGAGGAAATGCAGTGATTTATGGAAGCAACTTATGAGCTGTCTATCTCATGGTTGTCACCAGGCTTCAGGCCTAAATATAGCACTCCGGCAATTTATTCTGCACATACAGGTGGCAAATCTTTGCCTCGTTAGACTTTACTCGGATATTCTTTCCTCCACTCTATCTGACGTTAGTTCCCCTGCTTTCCGTAGTGTATTTTTTTTTTTCAATTATCTAATTATTGTTACTCAACTATCTCTACAGGTCTACTGGCTGCTTGTCTCTGGGATCTGGGGCACAATTAAGCTGCTCCAGGCAAGATCTTCAGCCGAGGTTGAGGAAAACGACTGGTCTTTCGGTCAGATTCTTCCGATCTTTCTTCTTCTTGGGCCACTCGTTACTATATTCCAACTTTTCTTTGAACACGACCCAGAACTACCACTGCCACACCGAACGACCTTCTATGAGCTACAGGATTGCTATCCCATGGACGCACATATCCATTCCGTGGATTTAGAAGATGAACCAATGAACCCGGCTTCTGTATCAGACGAAATGTTTGACTTCCGTTACCGGCTTGCTCATTCGATCAATCGCAACTATTACGATGTTACGACATGTCCATGGATTGCTCCAGCTATTGTTCTCTTGGGTCTTCAAGTTGTTATGGTAACGCTGATGCTCCTCATATTTGCCGTTCTTCGGGAAGGGCGCATCAGCGCGCCAATTTTGTTCCAGGCTTACTCCTTTGTCCTTTGCGTTGAATACCCGTCGGCTTGCTTTATCTTCATTTTTTTGAGCATCTTGTACGAAAAGTATGCCCCTCTAGGAGCTCCGAAACTGGGATATTGGATCGTGATGTTGGTTCTACTTGGTTACTCATTGTTCCCCGTACTGGTTATCTTCGATATTCCGGTTCGCCGTGATCATAAGGCATTGGGTGGTGTTCTTGGAGTGGGCGATTCAGTGTCCTTCAAAGGTTTCATGGTAAGGGGTGCCCTTGCTGTTGCTGGTATAAGCCTCTTTGGGGTTGGATGCAATGTTGTGGCCTTGATCTGGTTTAGGCGTGTTGCCACTTGACTTGATAGAAGGTTATCGGGGAAAATTGTCAATGGAGATGGGCTATTTCGGAGCAACAGGCTTTCTTACCCAGAAGTTTTACACATATTACAACACTAGTATGATTGCAATGTGGGCCTCTGTCGGATAATATCTTGAAGGGACGAGACATCACACCCGTGCAGCCGTAGGCATCCAGCTCTTCTTTTGCCGCGCTAGCTTATTGATACAACAATATCTAAGACGCTCTATTGCAATGTGCAAACCTGGGTAGCGTTGAGTACCAAGTGATTCCTTGGTGAAACACGATAATGAAGCCCACCAGGTAATGGCATGAGAACCTTGGAAGCCAAGCTGAACTAGGTATGCCTAACCAGATGGACTTGAAAGTTGAAATTGGTTGTTTATTGCTCATCAGGTTGAAAATGGATATATGGACGTCGCACTGGGATACTACGAGATAATTATTGAAGGAGTGGAATGGACATAATGTGGAAGCCGGAGTACAACGTCTTTGTCAGACAACCTGATAGGGAAAAGTCAGCTTTGCATAGGGCCGGACCCGTACCGTGGTTTCCTTTGAACCTAGATAGAGACTCTGATCCGTACCGTCAACCTAGATGCCCTCAAACAACCTAGATTAACCTCAACAACCTAGATCTACGGATATCATCGGCATCATCAGATCAAGGGCATCAGGGTCAGTCAGATCCCTAGGCATAAATAGCTAGCTTTCTTCCCTCCTAGACCAAAAGAAAAGATGATCCATCGTCCCTCAAGCTGTCTCAACCAATCCATCCATAGTCGAATAGCCTTGCACCGCAATGTGAGTATTTTGTGACTGATAACTACCTCTTTTACCAAAGTCGACTGCTTCTGAGGGACAAAATTCTCAATTGGTTGTCCCACCTATTCCCAAATCATCTTTCTTGACGCAGGGAAGAGTCCGCTAGTATGTGACATTGTCAGATATTTCTTTAGTTCGCAACGTTCTCTGTCGATACGATATGCTTTCACTCTTTGTTCTCTCTGCGTACGCCTAGTATTCATTTGAGTTTTCGAACCTGCCGGGGTAACGTGCACCCTTACTACTGTTCTTCTAAACGCTGCGAGCGTTGAATGTGCTATTTTGACACGGGGCGACTGGGCAATTAAGCATTATCATTCAGTTTGCGTGCCCATTCTCCAACTTCCGTCAATCCTTTCTTTCAACGCGCCAAATCCACCTCCGGCTGCCCTTTTCGCGCACCTAAGTTAAGCTTGTTCCTATTCTTTTTATTCTTTCCTCTTAGTTTAATATCTAGCTTTACAAATGGCTCGTAGTATCTATTCGAGTACGCGCCAGGCGTTGCTCTTACCCAGATGCTCTGGTCTCCACTAACTTCATGCGAAGGAATGATATTCAGCTGGTCAGCGTAGCTTATCTGTGTGACCTTCCTATACATCAGCCAGGCGTGCAGACAGTCCATCCTCCTCGTTTGCAATCTGATTTCCTCCTTTAGAACGTCATCACCTCCATCTTGTACACGGTATCCGAGAGCCGTACTGATATGTCGGCGTCAACAAGCCGAAACGCTGCTTCCTGGTCCATGAGGTATGATGCGCCAGAGCAGTGTATCTCGATAGGACCTATCATTGTGATCAGTACCCAAGCCTCCATCCCGCGTGTTTCTCAAGTAGTAATAATCCCATTAGACTACTCCTTTGCCTTCTGATAGCCAGTAAGCGAGTGAGTCCATTCGGCTCGAGCAACCATGCCCCTTATCCTCTTGCCAAAGACGTAGATGGGGATCGTTAATACCGTTACAACCGCAGAAAACGCTGCGAGTACGCCGAACACAACGAGCGGCCCCGCCGTCTCGAACCATGAGATCAGGCTACCCGAGCCCACGAAAATGACGGTGGCTGCAATAAGGTTGACCACTGTGAAAGCTTGGCTGGACTGATCCGTGAAACAGTCCACCACATAAGTCAGAGCAATCTGTGTGGCCCCCATGGCTCCAAAGGAGATCACAGATATCCACAACAGGGGCCAGACGAGAGGGAGATTATTATCGATGCTCATACCGAGGCCGATAAGGCCGACTGCAGTTACAGGCGCACTGACGAGCAAGAGCACCAGACGGAACTCAGGTTCAAACGTGCCCGGATTAGTTCTGTTTCGTCTCGCCATGAAGCGGGCAAGGACGTCAGAAATCCATCCATTTAGAGGCCCACCAATAACAGAAGTAGCGACGAGTGGGAGGTTTGTAAGCCCAACTTGGGAAGGTGTGAGGTTGTATGGCGGTGTGCTAAAGACGACTGACATCAGGATGGGGATGCCGACAAGGAAAGCGAAATAAGTGCTAAAGAGGATGGTACTGGAAAGTATGGTGGGGAGGACAATGAGGCAAGGGGGTTTCAAAACACCCTTCCAGAAAAAGAGGTTGCTCAGGCGTCCGCGAAATAGTGTAAGCTGGCGGCGATACGGCTCCTTGGGTTCGACCTTTGCCATCTCCTTAAGATCCTCAAATTCCAATGCGGTAGCTCTTTCAAGGCCACCATTGGAAATCCCAGCGGAGGTGGTGTTGGGTAACCGAGGATAAGATGATTCGAGAACGAGAAAGTACGCCATGGGAAAGAGGATTACATATACAAGAGATGCAAATGCAAAAACAGCTGACACACCCATGGCGTCGATGATAAATCCGGCAATCACTTGGCTGTGAATATCGTTTAGGTCAGTCCGTTTTTTTAGGTGGCGGGGGTTCATAACCTACCCCAACTGAGCGCCACAGTTAAGTAGGACGGTCCAAACTGCAATGACGATACCGCGCTCGTGGACAAAGAAGACATCTGATATCGTCGCTGTGGCAAGGGAAAGAAGAGGTGCCGAAGCAAAGCCCGTAATCGTCCGCATGATAGCTAAGACCGGGAAAGTCTGGAGGAATCATGTCAGGAATTTTCGACCGAGGAATTGGCACAGATTTCCAGGGCTGTGTCAACTAGCAGAAGAGAGAAGCCGAACTTCACGCACCTCAGCTAGGTAAGCCAGGTAATTGGAGATGGCCAAAAAGACGATGCTCAAGACGTAGAATGGCCGTCTTCCCCAAATACTCGCCCCAGACACAACGAAGAAGCTTCCCAGAGCCGTCCAGAAGCCAACGGCCCCAATCATGAAGGATGAGGCTACATCGCCCGAGACGCCAAACTTTTCTGAAAGAGGAATAAGCCCCGGAGTGATCATCGCGGTAACTCTAAGGCAAGGGTCGATCAGAATAGTTTCACAGGGGCTCACAAAAGGGGATATAGCATACCCATTCGTGACGCCGGACCCAAAGACCACGACAAGAATGTGTGCGATTTTCCAACCTTGAGACCTGAGGAAATCAGCGTCGCTTCGGGTTATTGCAATATAAGCCGACTTGGCTACGCTCTCACCAGTTCAGAGGATCATTCGGACTATCACTCGGCTGCGGTTGCAGAACAATGTTTCCCCGCTTCTTAACGTCATGCCTACCAGCCAAACCGTCACCTGCATAGTTCTTTGTATTAGAGTATTTCTCGTAAGCACTATGAAGGTGCGTAAGCTAACTCACTGCTTGTGTCGTTTGTCAGGTTCACCGTCCCGGGAGGCGATGCCAAAAGCGGATCGTCCAGAACGCCCCACGCCATTCCGGTAAATCTTTCCGTGATACTCTTACGTAGGATATGTGCTGAAGGAGCGAAAACTTTGAAGCAAATAATCGAAAACACGAATTGCGGTACTGAAGGAAAGCTGAGTCAGAGCACTGATCTGAGGGGCAAGGAATGGGAATGAACAAGAAAGTAAAAGACTGACGGAAGAGGAGAAGCTATCCAGTAGCTCTCGAGTAGTTGACGACAGTGGGGAATTTTGGATCGAGACAACAATTGACATAAATAAAAAGAGATCATCTCCCCTTAGCCTATTTACAACAACGAACCAGAGTCATACCGATCAATGCATGTTTCGTCGTTGGCAAAGGCAGCCGAAGATGTGCGCATTGAGGCTGATAAATCACCACGAGCGAAGGTTTTTGCTGCCCTAGGTTGATCTGACCTTCGATACAATCCCGTAACTCGGTCTGAAACGGCCAAACCACACAAAACGTGGATGAGGCAACGTGCAGAACAAAGGTGACGTACGGAAATCTCGTTTCACCTCTATCGCCGGAATGCCTCAGATCCGCGTCCGTGAGTAGCCTGGGTATTCGCCCTGGTGGGATCCGCGGATCCCGCAGATCGTGGACCAAGACCTGGTAAAGGTATCAAATAGTATATAGCGCGCACGTGTTGGAGCTCATACCTCCAAGTGACGCGTGTTCCACGTTGGTCTGAAAGAAACTCAGCAGATGACGCGTGTCATGATCAATGCAGTGATTGATATGGAAGTGTCATCCGCTTCGTGAATGAAGACTGTTAAGCGATATCGTTGGCTGATGGATGCTTGAACATGTCCCTGTGGCTCTGGGCATGATCGAGTCTTGGCATTTCTATGGCGATCGAACATAGCCCTGCTCATGCTGCAACATCATCCTCATCTCCTTGACTGAAAATTTTCATTCCGGCGGAATGTGCTCGGAATGTTCCTTCCGATCTCTTCAAGCGGCGGAATGAGGTCCTCTCGTAGGAGCGGTTTGTCGCTGTGTTGCTGGTCAGTAATATCGTTTGGCTCCGTATTGAACCAGTCCACGATGTGCTTCATCACCTATATTATGATCTGGCACCCCTTCTCGGTGGTCTTCCAGAGTAGATGAAATTTGGGCAACGAAAGCCCAGCGCGGTCTATAATGTAGCGATAAAGTTGGGGAACCTCCTCATCGTCGAGCAAGGCGAGAAACCTCGGCTTCCGACCAGCATTCAATCAGGAGGAGTCTGGGACGTTATGATCGCCATCGCTTGTTCAGGCTAGATAAAACAACTTTGCAACCGCTGTCGCAACATAGGTGCCGGACAAGACAGAGGAAAGCTGATCCCAATCCGTGGCATGTACAGCGACGACGGCATGTCCCGGAAGTACCATGAGCGTTTCTAGCACCTGGTGCAATCGTCGCATATCCTCTTCGGGTTAAATTCCGAGACTAGTGTGGAGTATACGATCCACCTAGATTATAATACGTGGCTAAGCGTTCACCGATCCCATTTCAACCAGCTCCAACTCGCGGCATTCACAAGTTGGTGTTCCGTACATCATCTTGCCGATAATCCTTTTGCCTTCCACTACAATCCCAACACCCTCAGGAACAGTATCGTCATACAAGAGCCCAGAAATCCTATACACTTGTGCAACATCTGGTGCAGGTTGTTTCCACATGGTTAGTCGAAATATCGATCGCCGCCCACAGATCTTGCAACTAACGCGACCGACTCCTTCCATGGCTTTCCCGTACTCTCGCAAGAACCAATCCGCTTCTCCAGCTGCTAGCTCTAGGCGTGACTCTCTCGAATACTTCCCTCTGTTGCTCAGTTTCAAGGTTCTTACCAGTTTCTTCGCAATCTCTAATCTCTGTCGAGTTGCGGCTTCCCTTGCTTGGGTATCTAGCAGCGGTCCATATTCTTCTAGAAGACCCCGTAGCTTGTCTAAGTCGTACCTCTGCGTCGAATTCCAAGCCTCTCCCTGCTTCGCGTCCTTCCACTCCATGTTGACTGCTTTCCTATCATCCCATGGGAAGACACGATCCGCAGCTTCGCATAGAGCTTGGGGGTCCCGTCCGCGTGCCTGGACTACCTTCGATGCAATATAGTCCATGACGGACTCTGCGTCACCTCCGAAGTCGTAATGCTCAAACCATTCGATGATACCCACCGTCTCGAGTTGGGGCTGGATCTTGCCTTCTCTGATAATGGACTTAGAAGCCGCTTTCCTATGACATCTACCCATGTCCCAAAGTTTCCACGTTCCCGTCGAGTATCCATGCAGCCACGGCGCTCGGTCATCCGTGTGCTCATCTGGCGGCGGTATAAATAGCAGCGGCGTGTAGTCATTTTTCTGTAGCGCATGTATCGCTAAGGTGAAGAAGTATTGGAACCGGTTCTCGATAAGGACAAGAGGATCTTGCTCTGGCCGGAAGTCAACCATTTTCCCAAGAGCCAAGAAGTAATCTCTCGTGTGCCGACACTGCCGATGGCCCAATATTCCAATTGCCCACCCAAGAGTCCTATGCATGTCGTGCTCGTTTTTCCATGCCTCCATGTCTATCCACGAAGTCATCCTTTTCAATGTCGTGTTTTGCTTCCAGATAGCCTGCGTGACATCCGAATTGCTGCGCTTTTTTACCCATTTTGAGTGCGTAGCGTCCAAGCGTTGACATAAATCCCGTGCATTGGCATCGCATATCGTGTATTCCTCCGTAAGAATGACGACATCGTTACTCTGAATATACTCCAGTGTCACCCACATGCGGTCAAACCATCTCGACCGAATGATAGCTGCAAAGTCCATGATGAACTTCTCGTATGCCGAATTCTTGGCCTGGCCCAAGAGGTGCATTGCCCCAACGTCGTCGAGATGGATCACGGTTTTCGAGGCGTGACTATATATTTCTGGAATGGCGAGGAGGAGCCGTGCCTGGACGTCAGTCCGCCATTGTGGAACGCTCAAGTAGTCATGCCAGACTTCGCAGTCCGGGAACTTCGCCACAAGTGCTAGGAGAGTTCTAACTGGTGTTTGGTAGACGAGCCGCGCAACGTCGATGCTCTCAAGACGAAGATCCTGCGCCACGGCCACGTCGGTGTGCCAAGCGTGAGAGATGGGGATATACTTGATATTCTTGGCCTCTATGCAGGTGAAGTGTCGGTTGAATACGCGGAGATTCCACGGCGATATCGGATCTTGTGTGATGTCATTCACTGATGACCGAGAGGTGCTGTCTCCAATGCCGATGGTCCGTATCGAAGGCACGCCACCGGGAAGAAAAGGCTCCCCACACGAAACGCAATCGGAGTCAAGGCCAGTGCCCCAGACATATGATAAGAACGAAGCCTGTGGGGTCTGCCGCAATTCGTTGTCGATGTGAAAAGATACGACAGGCTCCCATGGGATATCTGGAGTACTGACGCTGTTCTCGCGTTTCCTCTTCAGATATGTGGCATCCGGCTTCGCGTTGAGTATCTTTGATCCATCCGTATCATTTACGCTCATTATAGAGAAGAAGATGTCCCCTCAAGCGAAGGGATATGGGCGATGGCGAAACCTCGAGAGCGATGACGAAGTTGAGTTCGCGTCGCCTTTCGAGATGTCTGAGGCTTTCTACATTTCAACACGTGTTCCAGCCACAGCAACTGTGGCTGTGGTGGCCACGGCCACACCACGCTACAGGCCTTATTTAACCCCAGGGTATCCAACAATTTGAGTATTATTAACTATATTTAGATCGTCAAGGCTAATTCATCTGCGAAGTACGATAATTGGCGATTGAAAGGCTGCTTAAGTAGAGACAATATTGTGGCTGACAGAAGGAGTCTAACATACCGTCTAAGAAGCGATGTTAACTTGAATAAATATAGCCACAGGGTGAACAGGGCCTCTTCCTCACATTCGTCAGACTCCTATGGAGTTGACATGAAACTTGCCTTGCGCCAGATGTAAGTCTCATCATTGAGGAACACAGGGTGACTATAATCTAACACCTTTAAGGCATCGAGGAGGATATGGACATCTTCGCTTTGAATGAGTTTGAGAACATAAGAGCAAAATCATTCAGGGTTCGTTTTATTCCAAAGAGGGATAAAAGTGTACATATTATTCAATCAGAAGCTCTGGTTACACGAGAGTTCCTGAGGCAGTACGATGGCGAAACCAGAGTTGCGATGGAAGCCCTAGACGTATAAAATTCCTGCAATATATGTAAGAAAATCATCTCAAAGATGCTCTAAGCGTGCATGTGCATGGCAAGAAGTAGGAAAAGATGATTTATCGAATTCAACGCACTTGTAATTGTATCTTTCAACTCGTAGTACCTTCACTGCCCACACCTGCCAGTACTGCCCCTTTGATGCTTCCGATGCGCCAAGACCGGCACATACGACCATAGCTCTTAGAAAATACGGGATCCCGTCCGCTCTCCCTTAGTCAAGCTGAGAAGCGGTGAATTAGTACTCGGGTCGGTGACGACCGGGGAATCCTCACTGTTGTATGTCTTTTTTTGCAAATTCTTTTTGGCCGATGTGGGTCTATTAACGGCAAGTGGCTTCTTGTTGAGAATGCCGGTGGAAATAGGACGGCTGGCACACTGGAGGAATTTAAGTCTCTTCCTGTATTAAGTAATTATTAAAAATATCAAAATAAGAAAATTCTTAAACTAAAAGTAATAGAGTTGGGTAGCAAATATCATTTGTGAATAATTTGCATGTTTAACGTCTTTCTGTACTATTTTGCCTATAAGATACCAATACTGGACTTAAAGCTTTAATATACTTAGTTAGTGAGAATAAAATTTGCTGCATAGCATACCTTAAATGCATTTCCCACTGATACATTGAAAAATATCACTAGATAGTATACTTATAAAATGTTGTGGTGCAAGACCATAAAGTTCCCATATAGCAGTGTTGCGCAGCATCAGGACAGAAGACTCCTCATGGGGGGGCATGAGGCAACGTGGGACATCTTATAGCAGCAAAGGATAATCTTGGAAATCGCGGGGCCACATGGGACAATGTGGGACATCCCAAATAGCTTGGAGCAGCGCGGGACAATATGCAAGGTGAGACCGCGCAAGGGATCTGGGGAAAGCTGGTGGCAGCGTCCAGGACAGTATAGATCACCGTGTGACAGCCTGCGTCAGAGCTAAGTCACCACAATTAGAGAGATCACAGCTCGCCGTTACTCGAAAAGCAGATCCACTACGGGTGTCCAAAATGTTGTTTGAGGGGTCTTCTTATCTTCTCGTTGATGAATCCTGAGCTTTCTACGTTAGCATCTTGCCTATGCTATTAGGCTCAACGAAATGTATTCTACCAATGACGAATGTTATTTTCAGACACCTCTGATCACGATCTGGGCCGTGGTGGAACCTCTTATCCCCTGTTTCTTGTTGTGCTATGGAGAAAACGTTTACTGAGAAAAAGGGACGCTGCCTCTCACTCCCCGCCTCCCTGGCCTTCCCTTCTTGGGCAACAGGCTCGATGCCATTAGAGAACTAAGGAATGGGGGATAACATCTCCTGGAACTGATGGGTAAATTTAATATGGAGAAATTTTCCAAGTTAAGATGGGACCCTTAGTGTAATATTTTGTCAACTCTGACGGGGCCGTGAAGGTGAGTGGACCGTAAAGGCTACCTGATTCCGTACCCTAATGACTAACCTTGGGTTGCTTCTCTAGAAGTTATTCGCAAAATCATCTTCCAGGACTTTTGAACATCCACGCTGTATTGTGAGCAGTGAACTAGTGTAACAGTATGCCCGTACCTTTCATGGACTTGATTGGTTTATCCATGCCGATTTGTCAGCCTGCATGCAGATACCCTACGGAGCAGTTGACTTGGCTGCCTAACACAGCCTCGTCGACGCCTGACTGAACTTCCACTCAGCAATGTCACCAATCTATTCAAAATTAAACAGCTGAGATCAATCAGAACCATGCTTACCGGCTTCGAAGCGCTCGGCGCTGCTAGCGCTGTCCTTCAAGTCATCTCGTTCGCAGGCGAAGTTGTATCCGTCTGTCGGAAAGTCTATGATGGACGGCCTACATCCAACGACGACCTCGAGGAGCACGTCAAGGGAATGTCTGACGCCGTAGGCCGGATCCAAGATCGTTGTCAAGCTATGGCCAACACCCAGCAGTCCGGGTATGACAAGAAGCTCGGTAGCATTGCCGAGGGCTGCAAAACTGCCGCTACAGAGCTGGAAAAAGAAGTGCGTTTTGTCACGAGCATGCATGGGAAGGGGAGTCTTCTCAAGGCAATCCATGCAACGATCAGAGCCTCCAGTCATCGCAAGAAGATCGAGAGTCTGGAACTGTCACTGTTCAGGTATAAACAGGTGATGGAAGTGGAGATTATGTCGCATCTGTGTTAAGTGCTTTGTCTAAATTGACCAGCCATATACTAATTGAGTCCTCCAGTTCGCGCAGTGATGCAATTGAGCTTCAACGAACAGACAACTTCAAAAACCTTACAAAGGACGTGCAAAGCCTTGTCGCACAAATTGCCCAAGGCCACACCAAGCTAGAAGGTCTCGTCAGAGCAGAGCACGATGTGACTCGCGAAGTCGTCGCTCAGGAAACGGTCAAGACTCAGAAAGCCATAAACACACACGTTACAACCGAAGTGCAGGCATTAGGCACCAATGCATTGACCGAAGCCCAGCGCAATAGCTTCCTCCAGAGTCTCAAGTTTCCAGAGATGAACCAGCGATACAACGATCTGATGAACTCAAGGGAAGCTAGCTTCAAGCGAGTGTTTGCGTCCTACGAGGAGATGACTAGCCCACGGAATCCATCTCAAGTCACTCAAGACACTGACAAGGCATACTTCCGTAAATACAGACACGAAAAAAAGGAAGCCGACCGAGCCTGGGCTGAATTCATTGAGTGGCTACAGTCAAGTGACTCGTTATTTTGTATTGGAGGAAAACCTGGCTCAGGGAAAAGCACCCTGGTCAAGTTTATCATAGACAACAAAAATACGACCCAACTGCTGTTGCGCTGGAGCCAAACCGCCACAATCATATCGCACTTCTTCTGGAAGATCGGATCTTCGCCCCAGAATAGCATAAAAGGGCTCCTGTGCTCTTTGGTCTACCGAACCCTACATGGAAACCAGGATATGATTGACCACACACTGCATCGTTTTCATCATCTGTCCTCCAACACCACCTACCATGATTGGTCAATGGAAGACCTGGAAACTGTTCTCTTCTTCGTTTTGGAAAAGGACACTCGACACCTATGTATCTTCGTTGACGGCCTCGATGAGATTTGCAACAAAGATGGTCTCTTCAAACTCACGCAGTCGATTGAGAAAATCCTGAAATTCCCAAATGTCAAGATGTGTGTTTCCAGCCGACCGGAGACACTGGTCATGAACTGGCTCGAGAAAAAGAATGTGCGCGGAGTCTTGCTCGAATGGCTCACACGTCCTGAAATGGTCACATTTGTGCACAAGGAACTCGAACCCTTCCTTTCAAACAAGACTATCTCCTCAGAGACCTACGAAATTCTAAGCCATGAGCTTGTTTGGAAAGCTCAAGGCGTTTTCCTGTGGCTTCATCTGGCTACTCGAAGCCTCGTAACTGGAATACAAAACGAAGACTCCAAAGAGATGCTTTGTGCTCGAGTCGGGGAACTTCCCACTGAGCTAACGCAGCTATATGTGAACATGTGGCAGAGACTAAACGAGAATAACTCCATATACCGATATACAGCAGCCAGAATCTTCGGCTACACTCTGCAAAGCCTGTATCCCATCTCGGTGTTTCCCGAAGACGGCTCGCACTCCGAATCTACACGGTTCCAACAGCCCACGTTGTTCCAAATAGCATGCGCAGAAAGTATCGAAACACAGGACATTCTTCTCACAGGCACAAGCTCCTTAGACTTCACAGAAGTGCAACGCTTGTGCGAGAAAACAAAGCTTGACATTCAAAACCGATGCGCCGGGCTTTTAAGAATTGAATCGCCGCGGAAGGGAGGAAGATTACTGAAATTGGTCGGAAAGGCAGATGGCCTTGACCTTCCAGAGGGAACAGAAGACGTCAATGATGGGCTGTTTAGCCGACTGGTTTTCATCCACCGCACAGCTCATGATTTTTTGACGGACACGGAAGCCGGCCAAGACGTCCTTAAGTGTGGAATGTTGTCTGAGAACGAGGTGATAATTCGGCTGCTGAAAGGTTTACTCTGTCTCCTTCGATTCATTCGCTCTAAGTATGGCAAGTTGGCTCATCCAAATGATATTTTGCATTTTCTCATCAGGCTGTCGAAGACCCCGGCCAATGAGGGACTGGAGGAGGCTACCGAAATGCTCCAAATCGTGCAGAGCCTTTACAATAACGGGGTTATCGGAGCTCGTCGGCTATCGTGGCAGCTACGGGATCCATTCTTCAGTCTCTTGACAAATTACGCCCAATTCGATGACTTCATCATATCAAGTCTTGCGCAAACAGATCCAAGTGTCTTAGCTACCGAGGTCTTGCGCGAGGCGTGGGACCCAGACTTCTCTCTGTCTGGCGGAAATACTAAAGGGCCGTCTGCGAAACTCGTTGAGGCGTTGATTTCGATGGGTGCTGATCCACATGCCTATGCTGTGAATCAAAAACAGTCTACAGATCTCATGGTGCCCTTTGCGCGGCAGGGCACAGCATTTACTAACCTCTTAATGTGTGGCATACTATCAGAATATGACAGTGGCTCATATAAGGACCTTAGCGGTGATCGCGCACGTGAGATGTTGAAAGCCATGGTGAGCATGGCGACGATTTGCCCAGACTTGAGCGCCACAACACTAGCAATGGGATATATCAACGAAAGTGGGCAAATATTACTGGTGAACTTGGCATGGCTCAATGAACTGGCGAGGCCTTCGGAATGCAAATATCTCTTGCTCTTGTACGAGGTCGACATGAAGTGTCTACTCTTACGCCTACTTTCGATGCTTGCTGTTAAGATCGACGAGGACAACTTCGATGGGTCTCAGGTCAACGAGCTGTTGCCCAGGCTCGAGCACCCCTCGGCCAAGCTACGTTTCATCATTGCTCGCAATGGAGAATCAAAGACCCCGGTATGCCATCGTGTTTCCGCTGAGCTTTCAACCCCCAAGATCACCGAACATCTCTTCGCGCCCGCCACAGACTTGCGAAAGAAATCCCATCAAGTACGAGCACCGGAGAAAATTGGATCCGCCTACGAAGACTTCATGCACCTCACGAAAGATCCGAGTGTGGAAACGGTCGATCTCGAATCTGCCGTTATTTCTTTGGCTGACGAGAGGCTCGGCTTCTGTACGCTTTTGGAAGCTGGTATCATCCCCACACTACCGTACGTAGAGTCTTTGGAGACGTATCGGTTGTCTTATCCCTCGACGATTGAACAGTTTAAAAACGCAGTATCCAGTGATCTTCTGGCATGACAATGAAGTAGTTTTCTTTCTTAACTTTACTCAATACCATCAGATAGATCAATGCTATGCAATATTTTCAAATAATAGAGATAAACATGGAGTGCTACACCCAGAACCTAAGAGATATATATAGATACTAATATTCCCTCGATGAGAGAACCTAATATTTGAATTTGCTGCAATTTCGTTACGCACTTTTACAGTTGCTAAGGCCTAAGTTTGAGTTTTAATCTGTGACTTATATCCAGGAGTCTAACACCACTCTGTTTCAACCCACTTGTATTTAAATACAGTTACTGTAGTTGTATTGGCAGTGTGTTATATGGTATTCTTAAAAAAGCCCACTTTTGTATATAATAGTTCTGACTCTAGACAGATGCCTTCTATAAAGTCAGAGTAAGCTTCTTCTATGTATATATGGTTAAATAACTATATTTCTTTAGCGTGAGATATATTATAAGATGAGTAAGATAAGGATTCTATTTTTACATATAATAAACATATAACACGAGACCGGTGTGCAACAACCTTATTGTTCAGCTACTGTTTCTTCTAGTGCTAGGTATTGCACTTATTGTTTATTCCTACTGTTTGAGATTACTGTAAGGCTTTGATCTACCTAATGATATTGAGTAAAGCTAAAAAAATCAAATAAACATATAACACTATTTTTAACTTTTATTTTCAGGCTTAATATATAATATAAAAGCTAATAGAGTATATATTTCTCCTATGTAAAGAGTGTATAGTTTATCTTAATATCTTAAATAGTGTACCAAAACTGTTAATAATATTATTTAAATGTTTAAATATATTAATTAAGATACTGGTGTTGCTATCTGCCGAATCATATAGAGCTAAGGAGTGCAGTGGTGCAAAGTCGTGAGGTTTAATTGCATCGGGGATAAGCTCTGAAAAGAAATAGTCTAGGTCTTTACAACTTAGAATTGGCTCACTTACTTGAGTTTGCAGATGAAATTTGTAAGAAGAGAGCGCGGTTCTATTGATATTATGGTATATTATATTACATCTATAAAATAAAACGGAACAGCTGTTCTATATCTTCTACTTATGTCTGTCGGCTCAGTCTTTTTAATCTTTCAAGCGCACAACTATACCAGAAATATTCCTCCGAGCAACGCCCCCCACAATACCCAAACCATTGTAGAAGTGGGTTTATCCCCTGAGCTGTCTTCGGCTTCGTAATTAGGATACATCTCTTTGCATGATTCGCCGTCTTGCAGATTCTCAACATCGGGCCATGAGGCATTGCTCGGGCACGCCGCAGCCTCAAGCATTGCCGATGTGACGTTGGCTTCCAATTTCGACCCAGGATGAACTTGCTTGAAATCTCCTGTCAAGGGCTTTTTATCCACCACCAGGCATCTTTTAGATTCTATTGTACCCTGAGTTTTCTTTGGAGTTTTCATTTCGTCCAGAAATCGGATTCTTGTCGCTTCAAAGACATCTCCGGTCATGTTTGGTAGAGTGCCATTCAAAGACGTAGAAAAGTTCATCGAGCCGGCTTGGGTGTACGTTCCAACGTCACCCAGAGGATAGCACTCTTGGGGTATTGAGACGGACCACGAAAGAGTCCAGTCCGTAGCCGAAGAATTGACAAAGACCTCACTGCCCGAAATGAAGTAGTATGGCTCTGCGGCAGGATCGAGCGAGCCCGAGGTGTAATCGCCAGCAGGAACAAGCCATTGCGACTCCAGGCTCCTGTCATCACTTGCAGTGCTCTCTAAAGCCCAAGCGACATTGAATCCATATGGCCATATCGATGATGCGCCACTTATGGCGAAGACAACAGGAAACGGATACACGGGGTAATAGGTTTCGCTAGGGCGTGGAAATACAAGTACGAGCTCAAGGTTAACTGGGAATGGAGACTCGTCCCTTCTTTCTTGATGATACAGGCCATTGGCGGTAGATAAGCCAATCAGGAGACTAGTGCATTCAGTCAGTGACAAGCGATGGCCAGTGTTGAGTTAGAGAGCCGCTCCGGCCAAGCTGAGTAGGGATAAGGCGGGCGATAGAAGGCGGCCCTTAGATTTGAACGTACCTAAACTTTGACAACAGTCTCATTTCGAATGCTTTTCTTGCTTTTCAGGGGCCACAAAGAAAACGGCGAAGCGTTGCAGATGGTTGAAGATGGATGGGTGGAGGAGGATTCCAGTTGATCGGGATTCTGGCTGTTCCCGTCACAGTTGCGGAGTTGTCGATGTTTTATAAATGCTGCGTTTGGAAACATTTAAAATTAGGAGAGCAAACATAAGAGTATTTTCACAGAATGGGCAGCGGTGGCAAGGGTGGTTCCTATTTGGGTCAGTTACGATGAAAACCCACTGGGGGCATAAAAATAGCTTCACCTGCTCATCGGAGACCCCGCCTCTTCGTATGGAGACGGCATAGAGATCGTATAGACGCAGCTGCAGAGGCCCAATACCGTAACCGTTTTGGGGGTTTTTGGCTATGACGACGTTACATTCCATACCCAAACCTATGCTTGATTGGGCGTGGAATCTGGAGATGGTGGGATTGTTGATCAAGGATGCCACGTTAATAAGGGTTTGTCATCGTACTAAGGTGTGGCGCAGCACAAGCATGGTCTGATTCTCTCGTCTAGAAACCTACCTTGCCCAGCAACCTAATCAACACTTCTTCTTTCGTTCTACGCTTTCTGTCAAACCCTTCGGCCTTCGAATTGTTCAACAATAATTTTTGCTCTTCTCGAATCCATTCCAGTCCATTTCCTGCCTGCTGGATGAGATCTAGCTGCCTCATCGCATGCCTGCGGCCCAGAACGCGTGGTGCCATCTAGCTGGACACTGAACTGTGCGCTCTAAAATATTGTCATCTATTGGCTAAGGTACACTGTTAAACTATTAACCGCTACATAAAAGCCGCTATTAACTACTTCTGACGGTATTCGTGTATCATCTCGATAGGTGTTCGTCTTACTCCAATCTCCAAACTACGAAAGTGATGATCGCAGAGCTCTACCCCACGAAGTATATTAACTGTTCCATAGCCAAATCAAGTAACCTAGGCAGCCGAAATCTTGTCACGGGGCATGACGAGAGTCTGCAACATCGCAACCTCGGAAAATAGTAACAAAACCACGCAACCTGCGACACATTGCTAAAGTGGTGCATGCAGATTCTATTATCTCGACTAACATCAATTATCTAGTAATATTGATCATAACGGAATACACAGGGTTGGACTCATAACACCAACTAAAGCAGAACCACAATATTCCTACACATAGATGTTGGGCCCTTATCACTCTCTTCATTGTAATGCTACTTATTTTAGAAGACTGGGCATGACTTTCAGCACCCTCTCTTTGTCTCGTTTCTGGATAGCTTTTGATGGCGCTCGCCTAGAATGCCTAATATTATGATGTGCGCTGCGTGCCAGTGATGTTACGCTGTTGGAAAGTAGACGACACCTAGGACCGGGGCCACTTTCTGTGGTATTGCACTAGGAAGGGTACCTTGATCTTGAGGGGGTTTAACACAATTGAAGTTTGGCAGGGCTACTAAGTTGGGCGGCATTGTGTCATCAAGTTGAGTTGTCCCAAGGAGGCTCTAGGGCAGGGGATATTATGTTGGATATTATTGGCACTGCAGTGAAGATTTCCGAGGGCAGTCTCGTCGTTCCAGAAGCCTCGGTACGGGTTCGATGCGTCTATTGGGGGGCCAGTTCGTCGATGCCCAAGGGATTTATCTGGGATTTATCCGGGATTTTCTTATGCCTGATACCTGAATTTGAAGGATTTGCGATCAATGATCCATTACGTGTGAATGCCAACTCGAGTGGTGATATCCAATCCCGAAGTCTATATCGTGCAAGAGAAATTCGCACGCTAAGTACACCTCCGCACATCACCCTCGTGGCGGGAATTCTGGGGTTTATCTGAGAAACAAAAAAAAAACGTCTTTGGCCAAAATTCTTTTTGATGTGGCCGTGTTATTAACTACCTAGACTGAGAGCTTCCCAGCAGTTGACAAGCAATTCAGCGAACTCTGGCAGAGGACTGATGTAAGCCAAGGTTAGTGCGGATTACAAATAGCCGAAGTTGAGCCAGTGGACTACGACTCCTAGTAGGAGACAACTGGAATCTCGTCTCAGATGCAAAACATCTAATTTCTTTCCAACCACCATGACCAAAGTCAAACCCCACCAGCGCAAAAGAGCCTGGGCACCCAAGAGCCGGTCTGGCTGTACGACGTGTAGGTAAGTCACTCGAAACTCGGGATGCGCGCTTCAATTGGTGGTGGACTCTCCCTAACAACGGCATAGAGGTACTTGTGAATCCTGCCTCAGTGTCTTTAGGCCCCGTGATTGCCATCGGCACGATCCGCGACTTCCGGGCTGACTCGACGTTCGTAGTGCGACGTGTAAAATGTGACGAGACTGTGCCCATCTGTTTAAAATGTAGGTGACAAGAAGCAACCGGCACTGCTATTCTTCTCACACACCATAGGCTCTCGGGGAGGCTTCAAATGTGACGGAGTATCATTTGGCGCCGGCCGCGCGCATCATGATGGGCTGGTGTTGATACAGAACCCCTTATCGTCTCTCGCGCTCCTCAGTTCTGGGGAGGATGCCAGGGCTTTTGACTTCTTCCAGGCGAATGGCATTTCCATGCTCTCCAACGGTTTCGGCTGCGATTTCTGGGAGAGGCTCGTCATCCAGACAGCCCACGCCAACCCCGGCATCTTTCGCTCCATTATTGCCTTGAGCACCTTGCTGGAAGACTTTACGAAATGGCAGATGAATTGGGGCGCGGGACTTCGGGCCCCTATGAACGAGAAGACCAAGCTGGCACTTAAGCATTACGGATTGGCCTTGCGACAACTTTCAAGCCACCTCCAGGGGTCAGAGTCGATGAATGTCATATCGCTGACTTCGTGCCTGCTTTTCTCTTGCATTGAGGTTGGTGCCAAAATCCCTGAAGAAGCCTGGAGATTTTGATTCGCTGACGCGACAGTCCAGGCTCTTATTGGAAACATAGCAGGTTCAGCGAACCTGGCGAATGTCGGGTTGAAGATGCTATGTCAAGCCGAATCTGAAAACATTGACATCGAGTCACATAGCCCTCTGCGAAGTTTTTGGTCGGTTTTCATGCAAGCGGATTCGCTTTTTGTTCAGGTTCGTCGGTCTGCATTTATCAATTTGGTCAACAATCTCACGGCCCTAGATGCAACGCATTCGTGCACCAGAATATCAAGCACCTTTCATTTCCCGACCTTTTCACACAATGCCTTCCTCCTTCTCCAATCTACGCGAGGCGACCTACTATCTCAATGCCTTGGTCAACATGTCCAAGCGCCTGGGCAGCGCCACTGAGGATCCCACTGCCAGGCCTCGAAACCTCGAAGCATGCCGTGTGCTCTTTGTGCAGTGGAACTCTGCATTCCATCAGCTGGTGCATCATATCAAGCCTGCGGATGAGAGCGAGAGACGAAGGTTGTGCCTTTGTCATGTTTGGAGGCTGGACACTCGCCTCACTTTATACGGACCCCAAGAGGGAGCACCTGAAGTGGAGTGGGACAAGCACGAGCAGTCATTCAGCGAGCTACTAAAGCATGCCTCCACGCTTAGTAGGCTGGACTCTCAAACCCATGACGACAATTTGACGTCCTTTTCGCTAGGCGGCGGCATCTTTTTCCCCATTGCCGGACTCGGCTTCAGGTGTCGAGATCCAAAGATGCGCAGGGCTGCCATCTCCCTCCTCTTCCGCCACTCTCATGCCGAAGGGCCTCTCTTGGGACCAATAGCCGCACGATTCATTCAGAAGGTTGTGGCCATTGAGGAACATGGTCTGGGCCAAGTGTTGACGAGCGCCGATGTGCCTGAATCGGCACGCGTAAACTCCTTCTCTGCACACCTCCGCGGCAAAGGGAATGGGGCCGAGGTTTCATACTCACGGCTGGATCCGGACACCGGGGCTCGAGTCACTGTGTATGACGCCGTGTTAGGAGCGTCGGGCCTCCGAGCGGGTATCGAGCAATGCCGGGTCTCTCCAAACGACGACGTCGACGCCATTGTCATTAGCATCTGAGTATCTGGGCACAGCCACCATGCCCTCGTCGTGTTTAGTGGTCACCGGCCCCATGGCAAGATCCAGCCTATTAATCTGTCTCCGCCGGATCCTCGCCCGAGGTGTCAAGGATCAATCGACTTGCTAGTATGGACAGTAGAGCTGCAGCCAGGTAGGATCACGCTCAATTATACGGTCCCGCAACTCTTCGAAATCGCCGGTTACATGAAACTCCGGCTTTGGCTATCGACTGTCAGCTCTTTTGACCTTGATCTCGCGTAACGGTAGAGAAGCGCTTCGCCAATGGCTCCATCATAGCTGGCAGTGGGCACCCAAACGAGCGACACCTTTTCTGCCACGGGCAAATTGTGTGTATCACACCTTGCCTTGGACCCAAGCCGATCCATGGCTTTTGAACCGTACCACCCTCACGATCGCGAGGAACTTTTAGACTAGAGACAAATCGTGCCTGTGGAAAAATTGGCCTGTAGCCCATAGCGCTGCGCTTCCATCCTGGCGAGCGGCTGGTAGTGACGATTGCACCTTTAGCCATCTCATCTCCCCAGGCTGATGCTGGCTTTGTGGTGAGAATTGTGCCTTTTCCGAAAAACGGCGGCACGTTTGTTCCTGGCACGGATGTCTCAAGTATCGTGCTGGGCGGAGCGACGGGTTCAATCCCCGAGTTTGTAAACGCCCAACGCAGTGATACACCACTGAGCAAGAACAACGGAACCCACTTGATTCACTTCGGGGGTAAATATGACAGCTTCTTGCTCATGACGGTCCCGGTCAATATGGTGAGCTCGGGTACGACGAAAATGCGACTTCAGCATGGGGCGAAACTGCGTGAGTACCACTGCATAGGCTTGCAGCAGCCAAATCAGCACGGAATTGGCTATAACGAAACTCTGAGTAGAAGATGAAATAATATTTCGGGATTTATTTATATATTTGGCTGTTGTTTCAAATCCTCCCTTGACCCGTCGTGATTCGATATGGGCGGGAGTAGCATCGGTTAACATAAAAACCTCGATTGCCACGACCAGATTGGAAACTGAGCCGAGAACAGCAGCGACATTATGTCGGCATTTCGCGTTTATTGCAGCCGAGAATTCGGCTCAACTTCCCATTATTGGCGCGGTTCAAATCGACCACTGAAATGTGGACACAAATACAGCTCTAGCCAGAACCACATGATGGCGCAGAGTCTGGTGAAGAGCGGGGCACATTGTCAATAATGAATGTTGCAAAATGACTCGTTTTGAAGCCGTCGTCATGGGGGCTACTTCTGTTGACCACCCCAGATATCCTCCTTACTCAGCCAATCCCACACCATTTCGTCGCCCTTTTCTGCGTTGCTCGTGATAATCCCCTTCTCTGGGCTCATATCTGGACCCGGGTCATTGGTGACCGGCACCTGTCGCGTGTTGTCTTTCCCAACTTCCAGAATTGTGCCCCCAACGTGTTCGTCGCTTTCCACACAGCTGAGCATGGCCTGAGCGACCTCTTGCGGAGTGACCCAGCCGTCTCGCGTCTGGTCGACGTTGATCAGCTTCTCTGGGTTCTCGGTCCATAGTGGTGTCCGGACTACGCCAGGCGCCACGGCGTTGACCCGAATACCAACGGAAGAGTCCAGTGGAGCAAGGCATCGAACAAAGCCGGTGACTGCGAATTTAGATGCACCGTACATGGGCGCTCTGAAAACCGGGAGATATCCAGCAACAGAGGCAATGTGAATAACTCGCTTAGGGTTCTGTACAGATACCTTGGCTGGGGCAGGATGAGCTGAGTCCGGGGCGGCTTTAGGGTGTAGCCAGTGGGACATTGCCATCTGGGTTGCGCGAATGGGTGTGTCAGGTTGATATCAAGAAGCTTGTAATGTCCAGCATCAATCTCATCCTTGCTCTCTCCCGACCCCGGTGGGTGCCAGAAGCTGGACCAATGTGGCTCGTAAACTCCAGCTCCGGGGCAGACAACATCGAACCCGCCAAACTCGGAGAGCGCAGTTTCAAACATGCCACTCAGGTCGGGCCATGAAGTCACATCTGTTTTTACAAAGACTGCTCGCGGGGTCGTGTCCTTGTGTTGAGAAACAACCTCCTGGGCTTCTGGTCGGAGCGACAAGTCTGCAAAAACGACATTGCAGCCTCGCGACAGCAGGAGTTCAGCAAATGCCAAATTGATACCTGTAGATGTTAGACTCGACGGTGTATTAGCGGAGGATGTTGCAGTGGCTCACCTGAACCAGCACCAGTGATGATGGCGGTCTTGCCAGAGACAGAAAATGACACGGCGGAAGAAGCCATGTCGATAATTCAGCACAACAAGACTGAAGAAGATTATTATAACGAAATACGTACTGAATATCCGCTGCTATATAAATGAATGTTAAAACGATTGCCAGGTCTTACAGGCAATTATAGTTATATGGCTGCCTGCCCAAATGACCCACCTGGGCTCCGGTGTCTTTAACCCCGCACTCGCCTCTATAACCGGATTTGGATTCTTCATCTTGCCCCTCGGCTCGCCTTCCTCATCGATTTAGGCCGATTGGGCTGTTTCGTGATTTATCTCCATTTTACCTTGTCTCGCAGAGTCATAACAGTTCCTTCCAAGGATCACGGCCGAATAGACTCCCCAGGGGCATACTGACGGTCTTACTATCGATATCTACTGTACGACAGTCCTTGGCAAGGAATGCGCTCCTACTCTGGATGGTAGGTGCTCTGGAGAGAGGAATTCTGGAACTGTGATTGACTTCTCGCCAGTCTGACTTGTAGATGTCGCAAATTGAAATGCGACGAGATAAAGCCAGTTTGTGGGCATTGTACCAAAGGCTCCCGAGACTGCAACTACACGGAGCGATCCATCTTTCGGAGCTTTGAGATTCGTTCGCCCTCAAAGAGGAAAGCTTCCGACATCTCCGACTCTCCGCACCGCCAGCTCTCCATCTTCGAGGGCGATCATGTCTGGCTGGATGTGCCAACACAGCGTGCGTTGGACGTCATCTGCTTTTGATATTGCTGACACGTAGAACCAGTCACATTTGTTCACATTGAAGATCCTTATTCACAGGAGTCCTTGGAAATCCCACAGGAAGAAAACGAGGTTTCTGCAACCACAGAGAAAAATGGCAATATCCTGCACCACGGTTGCCACGATGATTTCGATCAGCCTCTTGAAGTCGAAGATGATATTAGAGATGATCTACCTCTGGATGTTTCCAGCGAACCATCATCCCATGGTGCCGAAGTAGCCGAGACGTCGGTTGATCCTAGTATCCTTGCACTGCACTTACTAAGACACTTCAAGGAAGGTCCAGGTCAATGGTCAGTATGAGCTTCCTTTATTCTCTCTGCGTATACTCACTTTTGACCAGGATGGACCTCTTCGACACCGGCGCATACTTCTCCTCTAAAGTTCCCGTCATCGCAGCCACTCGGCCGTTGGTAAAATCAGCAGTTTGCGCTCTCGCCGCGAAACATTTGCACAACAGCCAAAGATCTCTAAAATCGTTCAATCGGAGAAATAGCATTCTACCTCTATTCGATCAAAATGTCGACTGGCACTATCAAGCAGCAACGTATTATGATCAGGCCATTGGCCACCTGAAAACAGCCGTCAATTTGCAGACTTTTGACGAAGATCCTATCGACAAGGAAGAGATATTTGCAGCTGTAGCGATCTTATGCACCTATGAGCTGATGGATGCCCCGGGAACAGCTTGGAGGGCACATCTCAGTGCTCTGCCGCTTTTCAGCCCTGAGCAAGACTCTGCATTGGCGCCGTCCTCGCCGGTTATCATCCCGAGAGCGGCTATCAAAGGACCCATCTTTTGGAGTCTTGCAAGGCAGGATTTTCTGTGTGCCTGTAAGTTCTTGGGGCTTTCAGACTCGACGTGGTGTGTATTTCGCTAACACTCCCAGTCATCAGTGAAACTCAGACTCGTCTTGATCTGAAAGACATGCGGCTATGGCAAAACGCAGGTCTCGCCGCTGACGAATACGGCTTTCTACTGCCCTTCAGCCCCCAATATTCTGCTGATGTGCGCACCTTGGCAGATGTTGAAGAAGACACGAAGGCGAATGAGTTGACCTGGCTGCTTGGGAAAATTGCAAACTTCCTTACGTCTGGAGATGCCTTGAATCCCGAGGACTACGCGCTTCCTCCGGGCCAGAGGCCGGTCATTGGAGTGACTCAAGAGCAATTACTAGAGCGGTGGAAAATGTTGATCACCGAGCTGCAGAGTTGGCATGCAAGCCTCCCGGCGACTTTCGGAGCAAGCGCTCGCACCAAAGCCTCAAGTCGCGCCCGACACCAGCAGCACGATATCAGCAGCAGCATTTTCGACCAGATTTGGTACGACCTACCTTTGTGCGCAGCGACAATGCAGAGCTATCACATGGCCAGTATTTTGTTACTTGTGAACCGGCCGCAGGAGTCGACTGCCATTCGATCCACCGTTTCCGCCCGTCTGAAGTCGTATCGGCACATCCAGAGCGGAGTTCTCCATCACGCCAAGGAAATCTGCGGCATCAGCCTCGCAAACCCAACGGATCCAGTGCGTATCAACTCGCTGCATTCGCTTTTTGTTGCTGGACAGGTTTTTTATGAAGATCCGGAGCAGAATGCGGTGCTGGAGTTGCTCTCGGGGATTGAGAGGGACCTGGGCTGGACAACGAGCTATCACACAGCTAAATTAATTGATGAGTGGACAAGGGGTCGGAATGTAGGCCATGATGGACGAAGCTATGAAGGGAATTGGACACTTTGAGAGTGACTCTCCGTAGAATGCGAAGACACCGTTAAACTTAGACCCAGTAAAGCAGCACCTGACACAGATTCAACTGGATCAACCAGCGGTTGATGGCCATGTCGTATCACGCATCCACGCCTGTGAGAGCATCTTTTCTCTATCCTCTATCATGCATGCGCCGCCACTTCGGCTCCCTTGTTACTTTCGTAGCTCGTGCTTGGGTGGGCCGCTGGAGAGCTGCAAATATTGACTAGAGGGGTATCCCTTGCCGCTCGGGGTCTTCGATCAAAAGTCAATTGTACGATAGTATTTGGGGGCAGCCTGCGTTGTTAATCCATTTTTAAAGCCCATGTAGCTTACGATAGGGGTAATAATAGTATGCCAGGCTCGGTTTCTTAAGCTCCAATCATCTGTACCGTTGAAGTGACAATAAATCTTGTCAAATTGGGAATCTCTGCATACGCCGTTATCAGCGCCCCCTACTTGGGTGTGCACTTCACTTTAGCATGATCAGTCAACTATATGTCACAGCTCAAGAAATCTCCTAGCTCGAGCCCCCGAGCCTATGTCACAATGCATGATCTGTAAGATAAGTGTCGCTTGCAGCTACTAATTCCCCTCTCCGGAACTCAATTAAGGTAAACAGAGCTCGAGGTGCAGTAAGCTCCAGGAAGCTCATATGATGAGCTATTCAAGAGTGGTAACGTCAAAATTTGTTTGAAAACGCGGTACGATAGACCGCCAGACAGTGTAACTGCCGAGTCAAAGTCTCTCAATCCTATGCGCATTTGTTTTCAAACCGTCCTTTCTGTCAATCATTCACCCCAAACAGGAAAATCCTCTATCACGTAGATATACGGGCCCGTATGGGCCCGTCTGCTCCCGTAGTCACCTGACCCCTATTATAAGAGCGCGAGCCTAAAGTTCGAGCCAATAACAGGCATTTAGCAATAGCCTCATTTTAATGATGGTGACACTGTGATATCCCATATCGTTATAGACCAACTTTACTGTATTTTTAACTGATCTTATTATACCTCAAAAAATGTACCTGAACTCTTTTTTCCTCCTACTGATAATGCAACAGAATATTTTGAGACTCAACCCGCGTCGACAGCTCCCAGACATAGTCCGCATTTCTGCTGAAATCCTATTAGGGGTAAGAAATAATTGTCAGTCAAATGGATAACTACAGCTGATACTGGCAACTGGTATGCTCCCGCCCCATCCTGCCCTCCCATCCCCTTCTGTCAGCATCGCCATATCCAAATCTAACCACTCAGTTCAGGCCTCATGGCCTAGATAGAAGCAATCATTGACACTGCACCTACAATCGATAAAGATGGCATCCCAAACTATGGATGTTCTAAGATGTCTAGAGAATTTCAGTCCAGAGACTAACTCGCCCTCAGAAGTTACCTTGGATAGACAGGGGCGATTTGACCATTTGGTTGACATTGATCAATACTAAAAGAAATATTCCGTCTAACCCGGGATACCGCTGCCCGTGGAATTCAGCCAACGAGAGGGTGTCATTATTTTACGTCACCAACTTCAAACTAGCGGCATTTTCTCGACACCTGGGGTCTCTGATGATCAGTTGGAGGAGACAATTCGAAGAGGGATGAGCTCCATGTTTCAGGCCTTCCGTCCCGGCACCATCTCAACAGCCACCCGAGGTTCTGCGCCGTCCGATGGCAACGAGCCTGGCGCCAGCAGCCAGTCCACACACCAGGGAGTGCCAGTGGACTCTGGTGAAGATAGCGGAGCCATGTTACAGTTCCTTCCCCTGGGCCGTTCTACAGGGAACGACACCACATCTCCCTTGCAGGGCTCTATTCACGAAAGTATCCCTCTGCAGCGTGTCACTGAGGACCAACAGCAGGTGGATATCATTACAGCAGTGGAGCCAAGTGCAATTGAGTCCCTGGATGGTGGAGCCGACGACCCGCTAGCCATTCCCCATGACTTCGACTTGGGGACGTGGCACTGGTGATCTCAAGACTTTGATGAGTTACTGCAAAACATGACATGTACAGGTACTGAAGCGGGGTAAAATGGGACAATGGACGAGCTGCTCTACAGCTAGCGGGGAAATAGGTTTATAGGGACGGATGGGGAAGATTACAAACAGAGGAAGGAAAGTTGAGCAGATATTTCGTTCATTTCATTTCAGTCAGGACAATAGGGTCCATTCTTCAACTCAGATTATCAGTCATTTTAAAGAGTATCTTGCCCTTCAGCTATTCTACTCGGTTACAATCGCCAAATTTTCTATGTCCAATCTTACCCCCTCAAAATCCTCAGGCCGTTCACCATTAATGTATTACGTAGCGTTTTAGTCTAGAAAGTATCGGATCAGGAGCTGAGATGGGCATTATGGATTCAACACCTTAGGCACATTTTTCATCACTAATTTAAAAGGCTAAACACAATAACTTTATATTCCAACTTTTTTTGTTCTTTTCTTTATCTACTTTCTAACCTCTCTAAACCATGCCCCCCAATGCCCAATACCCAATACCCAATGCTGAATGCCCATTAAGGTGTCGTCCTTCGTCTTGTTTTATACCGACTCACAACCACCTCTATAAGCAATGTAATAACAAAAGAAACCCAGATACAAATGCCTGCTAAGCCTGAAATCGACAAAGGAAATGTTTAAATGAGTGGATAGTTGTGCGCCATGATCGCTGATGCGTCACAACTGGAAAAAATAACTCGTACACGCTCGCTTTCTCGTCCCGTTCCCTGCCGTCCTAATCACACAGAAAGAAATTGTACATTGTACATCAAGTCATTACACGTTACTCCCCTCAGCTATCAGCCCCCGAGCCCTCAGACTGCGACGCCGAGCGCGTGAGGTGCAAGTTGCGTCGGCGCACGATATGGCTGTGCTCACGTTAGCGACATGCCGAGCAACGCAAACGGGCTGGGGAGAACTTGCATGCCGCCGCCCTTGTTGGCGGGATCGCGCACGACGACAATCTCGTTCTTGCGCTTGCCGCCGTCCTTCTTGCGCGAGCTGCCGCTGCGGCTGCGCTGCGGGAGGCCGGCCGACGCGCCCAGCTGCACGATGAGCGCGGCGACTTGGCCCTGCAGCGCGGAGACGTCGTCCAGCGCCGCCTGCTGCGACTTCTGGGCCTCGTCGAGCTGCTGCTTGACGTCGGCGAGCTGCGCGGCGAGGCTGCCGTTCTCGACGCGCAGCTCCGGCACCAGCGCGGCGTCCTTCTCGGCGGCGTCGAGCTTCTTGGCGATCTCGTCGCGCTCCGACGTCAGCGAGTCGACGCCCGCCGCCTTTTCCTCGGCCGCCGTGAGCTTCCCGGCGATCTCGTCGCGCTCGGCGGTCAGGGACTCGACGGCGGCGTCCTTCTCGGGCAGCTTCGCGGCTTCTTCTTCGGCGCTGGCGAGCTTCTGGGCGATCTCGTCGCGCTCCGTGGTCAGGGCCTCGACGCTGGCTGCCTTCTCCTGGAGCTCGGCGTTGCGGGCCTCGAGCTCGCTGTTCTGCTCCTGGAGCTGTGCGAGGAGAGCTGCGTCTGGGGACTCGACCGGCTCGACGGCGGGCTCGGGCTCGGCCTCGACTGGCTCAGGCACCGGTGCTTCGGGCTCTGGAGCTGCTTCCTCCTCCTCGACGACTATCACGGGCTCACTGTCGTCGGGAGCCACCTCCGTCTCAGCAGCAGGCTCAGGCACCGGCTCCTCAGTCGCAGGCTCCGGCTCTGCCGACTCGGGCTCGACGCTCTCCGGGTCAGGCTTCTCCGTTGCGTCCGAGACAACAGTAGCCGTATCATCATCGCCGCTCTTCGTGCTGAAACTCACGACGCTCGACAGCGAGGACATGTTGCTTCCCGCCACGCTTCCCGCCTCAGACATGGACCTCAGAGACGAGTTCTCATCGCGCAGCGCCTTGGCCTCGACGGAAAGCCGCAGCACGCGAGACGAAGCGTCGTCCTGGTCCTTGAGCAGCTCTTGGACGTGGCCGTGCAGGGTCTTGTTCTGTCCGCTCAGATGCTCCGCGCGCTTCTTGAGCTTCTTGCGCTTGGCCTCGAGCTCGGTGAGTTTGGCGCTGACCTCGTTCTTCTCCTTCTCGAGGTCGTCGATGCGGGTCGTGAGGTCGGCGTTGACGGAGTCGGCGCCGGAAATGCGGGCGTCTTTGGTCTCGATCTCCTTCTTGAGTTCGTCGATGGTGGCTTGGAGCGCCTCTGCCTGCTCCTCGAGCTTCTTCTTGTCGCCTTCGACGTTGTCGAGCTGCTCCTGGAGAGCCTTCTTCTCAGCCTCCATGTCTTCGAGTTTCTTCAGGAGCGCATTCTTTTCTTCCTCCAGCTCCTCTGCCTTCAGCTGGAAGCTCTTCTTCTCCTCCTCGAGCGCAGTCTTCTCCTTGCCCAGGGATTCAAATTCCTTCTCGCGCGCCTTGAAGTCGGCGTCGAGGCGGTCGCGGTCGGCAGTCAGCTCGCCGATTTCAGTCGACTTTTGCATCAAGTCGGTCTGCAGCCCGTCGACGCGGAACTGCAGCGCCTCCTTGGAAATCTCCAGCCCGGCCACCTGAGCGATGAAGCCGGTCTCTTGGGACTGTCGGATGGCTTTGATATCGGACAGCTCCCGCTCGAGGTTGATGGACTTGGCCTCGAACCGCGACGTCGACTCGGTCTTGTTCACGGATTCCTTCTCGAGCGTGTCGCATTTCGCCTCGAGAATCTCCTTGAACTCGCGGTAGCGCTTGACATGAGCTTCTAGCTCCTTGACCTTGCTGTCAAAGTTGCGCTCGGTTTCCAGGAGCTGATCGCGCTCTTGGGTGAGCAAGTCCATCTTCTGGGTATGCTCGCTGGTGAGCTTGCCGATGGTCTGGTCGCGTTCCTTCTTGAGCTTGTCCAGAGACTGGTCGCGCTCTTTCTTGAGCTTGTCCAGCGATTGATCGCGCTCTTTCTTGAGCTTCTCAATCGACTGATCGCGATCCTTCTTGAGTTTCTCGAGGGATTGCTCTCGGTCCTTCTTCAACTTTTCAAACGACTGGTCGAATTCCTTTTTGGCCTTCTGGAGGGCCAACTCTCGGTCCTTCTTGGCCTGGCTGAGGGTCACGTCAGAGTCCTTTTCGAATTTGTCAAAGAAGCGCTTGTGTTCGTCGAATTTGGTCTTTGTCTTTTCCAGGATCCGAGTCTGCGCCTCGAGGTCTTTGTCGAGCATGTCCCTGGAATCTCTGGCCTTGTTTCGCTCCTCTCTCAGCTCGTCCTTGTCGGTTTGCATGCAGGAAAGTTGGTGACGAGCCTCGTCCAGTTCTTTGGTGATTAAGAACCGTTGGTCTCGGAGAATCTGGACTTCCTTCTTCAAGTCCTCAATCTTGACGCCCATTGTGGCCGTGACATCGTGCCTGGAGCTTGCCCGTTGGCGAGCGGTTGGCTCAGGGCGTTGGGTGATCAACGGAGCATGCTGAATGATGGGAGCATGCACTAGAGGAGCGTGTTGGACCAGGGGAGCATGCTGAATCATTGGAGTTTGCTGGACCATCGGGGCTTGCGGGACCATAGCAGTCTGCTGTTGAGAAACCATGGAGGTGTGATGGGGAACCATTTGGCCAACCTGGCTCATCATCGGCTGTGATTGTGTGATCATCGGCTGTTGCGGCTGAGTGAGCATTTGCTGTGGAGGCCCGGCAATCATGTGCTGTCCCTGGTGGGAGAGCATCGGCTGTTGAGGTTGCACGATCATGGGTTGTTGCTGCTGCTGCTGTTGTGGCTGTTGCTGTTGCTGCTGAGGCTGAGGCTGCGTGGGCTCAATGTGAATGTGAAAGGTACGGCCTCGGCTCCTTGACCGAGCCTTTGATTCCTTGGATTCCTTTGTTTCCCTTGTTTCCCTCTCAGTCTGACGAGCTGGCGGGGTCTGGTTCCCATTCTGCCTCCGAGCGACAGCCTGGGACTGAACACGCCTCGTCTCGACAGGCGCCTTGCTCTCATCATCAGAGACGACACTCGTCGCGTCGGTAGTAACCGACAGGTTCGAAGAACTCCATCTGAAATCCGGCTCTGATTCAAAGCGGTTGTCGTCCGAAGCATACGGGCCTCGGGGAGTCACCGGGTCTGGGGATCGTGGCCGGGGCGGGTCATCTCTAGAGCGGAACTTCAGGGTGGGAGGTTTGAATCGGAGGGGTGCCTTGGGCGTTTGTTGCTGCTGCTGCGGTTGAGGCCGCCTCATTTGTGGTCGCGGCGGCGGTGCTGTGAAGGTGGAGGATGTGGCGGAGAGCGACGATTCAGACTCTGTGACGGAGATGACGGAGGCGGAGGAGACCTCTGAGACGGTGGACAGGCCATCGTCGAAGTCTGGCCTGCGAGGGCGAGACTGTGATTTAGCCCTGGGTCGAGATGGCCCGGCGGTGTTGTTGCTGGTGTTGTTGCTAGTGGTGTTGCTGTTGTTGTTGGGCCGGGGGGTTGCATCGGAGGACGACGTCCCGTTCTTGGGCGGGTAGCCCCGAATGGTGAGGGCGGGCATGGTGTTGATTGTCCGCGGATGTTGGATTTGGGTTTTTGATGTCGACTCGAGTAGTGTGTGTCTTGTTTATTCAAGGGTTGACGGATGCGGGTCGGCGGGTCTCGTTGTTGAGGGTGTCGAGGTGGTGGCGAATCGATGCTTCTTGGTGTACTTGGACGTGGGCGTGAGATGGCGCGTCAAAAGGAGGATTGCAGATTAAGTCGCGGAATTGTCGTCGCATATTGGCATCCGGTACATGAAAGAAGAAGAAAGAGCCGGTCCCGGGGGGGGGTTTTGATGGATATTGGTCCCGGTGGCGACGGGCTCGCTGCGCAGAGACTGATATTGTCCTGTAAGTCTGGCAGCCCAATGCAAGAGCGGCAACCCTGCGTGTGGCCCCAACGTGGTTCGAGGAGCCCACTACCCAACCACATTGGGCTCATTGGGCGGGTAGGACGAAGATATCATCCACTAACAAGAACCAAGGCACGGCCCTGGGGGGGATGACGGGGGGGGGGGGGGGGGAGCGAGCGGGCGGGAGAGGCAAGGGAACAGCCGTGGGGAGAGACAGGGTGAGGGCGTAACTATTCTAGGGGATGCCGGAGGCCGCGGGGGTTGCGATTGGAAGGGATTAGGACGCAGTGGGAGGGAAGTGGAACACATGGGACGCATCTCGGGACGTAAGAGAAGCAGTAGAACGTGATGGGACATGGTCGAATGCACCGCAATGGAGCAGCCCACGCAGATCCCCGCTGAAGCATCCAGACGGCGTCGTCCTTTTCCTCTTCCAGCGCGGCCTCAGTGCGTCACCCGCCCGCCCCGAATCACAGCGCCGTATCACCTCCAACTCACCATGTGGACAGGCCTGGTTTGTCTTGAGGCCCGCGATGCGTGGATCTCGCCTCTCCTGTTGCCCTTGCCCGCCCTGCTGAATCGTCTGGTCCTCCGCCCTCACCTCCGCCGCCCCGGTTTACCTCGACGTGGAGCCTCCGTGCTCTCGCGGCCTCAGCCAACGACGAGCCATTTTATTCTTGACGGGCGCTGCACGGCCACTCGCGTATCCAGGGCGGCCACTCACGCCGAGCAGGACTTGATTTGTTTTTTTTTCTGAGGCCAGGTCAGGCGCGATTTGTGGGTTGGGCCGCCAAAACCACCTGGATCAGAAATATGTGGGCGCCCGCCATTCGCCCGCGCCGCTCCACGCCTTGGGGATCGCCAGAGACACGGCACGCGAACAACGCCGTGTTTGCTTAAAATCCCAGCGTGAGGGCGCCCGGTCGACGCCTGTGAAAATGAGAAAGCCTCTGCAAACAGGAATTTGCCCTCGTACAAGACAGTGACTCAAGCGACGCGATGACTCTTTGCCCTAGGCTGAGCCTCGTATTTGCTGGCGGCTTACTTACATGGCCAGGCCACGCCGAGAAAGGGCGCCGTTCAACGAATCTCAACCGCCCGCTCAATTGCTTTTTTTACACCTTCTCCCTTACGTGGCGGCCTGTGCCGCCTTTTGCTTGTTGCACTGCGGCCGTGTGATTGTCTCGCCGACCGGCCAACATTTCTGGTCGCCTTGTGAGACCTGGTGACGCAGCTAGTTTAGGGTAAGCCTGCCAACTGGTCCGTCTGCAGGATGGCACGGGGAAAGAGGAAACGCACAGGTTGTGAATTTCCAAGAGGATTGAAACCGCCTCGCTGTTTTCTGTTCTCGCTCCTTCTTCGTGTTTATCAATCGTAGTCCATGGCCGATTTTCAATTCCCGAGTTTGGCGGTTTGTATGGCTGTCGTAAGCGTGAACCCCACCAGACCGTCAACCGACACGACATCGAAGGCCCACCCTTGTTTATCTATCATTTATTTCTCCCATGTCGTCACAATCTTCAATCACGTTACACTATCTTACATGTGGGCTCAGTGAATGCAATGCATCCTGCTCAATGGAGTGATATCCGCAACTGCGTTGGCATCTCCTCCACCAAGTAAATATGGCCGAACAAGAGTTCCAAATACCGATAGGGTATCTCGTTCAACCAAACTGCGCTAGTATTTATGTCATCGAGCGTTATTCACTCACAATCTACCCCATAGTCGGATAGTCCCCAGACCTGATCAAACTAGCTTCCTTGTCTAGGCCCCCGCAAACACAACGCCCGATGACGTACGGCCATGCCATTGCCCATGTTGGTAGGACAATTATGCCCCGTGATTTCAAATGTAGCAAACGTAACAATATCCTTCGCGATGAAAGGCTCTCTAAACGAGGGCTAGTTGAAGTGCGGGGGTTTCGTCCATGAGTAATGAGATCCTCACGGCCCCCGCCGACAAGCACTAGTCCCCGGCTTGATGAGTTGTCAAGCCAAGCAATGTACGACAACATGTCAGAACCCCATATCTCAGGGGCAAAGATGCGGGGTTGTAGGGATGTCGGTTGGGTCAAGGGTTTCCCGAATCGTGGTCTAAACGTCAATTATCATCTGCTATGTACACTTTAACGCAAACTATCCTACATCTGCCACCACTGCAAACCGAGGCTTTGCGAAGATTATGTTGACCGCCATATACATGTCTGGGCACGTGTTACACGCCATTACTCCAAATCTCCGCACATGTCAAGGCTCCACATCGCCTCCAAATTACTCGGATTCGCTCTGGTGGATCAAGAACTGAAGTCTCAAGCACGATCACTTTCCATGCCCACAACCAGGCTGCCTGTTGCAGTCGGACCTTGATACCCCTTTCTTGCACTTCCCAACCACCACAAAGCAACCAAGGTGGTAAATCCGCCCCAGATGACGCATGTGTAGTTCATGCTTGCAGCAGCTGTGGGCAGGGAGTACGGGAAGCAGTATATCACGCTCCAGACGAGCATGTATGAGCATGCAATTCCGTTGATGACGAATCCCACCCATCCGTGCATGCGAAACGGCCCATATGTAATGTTCTTCCGTCCAGTGAGCAAGTTGGGTAGAATTGCCGCCAGGAATGAACTGCTAGACAGAAGGATGAAGCTTCCGACAAACGCGTTGAAGGCGGTTGTGCTGCCCACGTTGATGGCTCCCAGAACAGTGACTAGCGCGACTGTCGCAAGCGTGGACCACAGGGGCATGTCCAGCTTCTCGTGAACCTGTCCGAGCACATGCGGGAACGGGGTGGCGCCATCGCGGGCAAGAGCCCAAAGCGTGCGCCCACAGGTAATGTATAGACCGACAACGGTCAGGGCGATGCAAATCAGCACCAAGGAGAGCAGTCCTGTGGCGCCTGCTGCGGAACCAGTGGCTTGGCGGTAAATCTCGGCAATGGGATAGGCGGATTCAAAGAGGGCGTCGTAGTCGTTGATGGCGTACATGATGGCGATGAGGTAGACCAGTCCGGTGATGAATCCCGTGATGACCTGCAGGAGCAGGGCGATGGGCACGTTTCGCTGCGGGTTGGGAATCTCCTCTGCCAGATGGGTTGTGGCATCTACAGGTCCAACGCTGAAGGCACCGTTGAGCATGCCGGCAACAAAGACAAATCCGCTGGGATAGCCGATATCAGCCTGCCACTCGGTCCACACAAACGACGAGCTCGCGTGCGGCGGACGCCCACCCCGGCCGGGCATGATGGCGACGACGAGGACGGTGATGATGAAGCCGCCCAGGACAGCAAAGACGCCAATCTTGTTCAGGCTCGGCATGGCGCTGTTGAAGAGGCACACGGCGGCGCACGAGATCCAGGTCGTCAGGATGTAGGCGATGAAGATGTGCCACGACTCCGCTACGAAGCCGTCGTGGTTGAGCGCGTACATCTGCACCAGCGTGTTGGCGAGGATGGACGACATGCTCGCGGCGCCGAGCACCCAGGCGAGATAGTTCCACCAGCCGGCGAAGAAGCCAATGACTCGGCCCCAGCGATGGCCCGGCGTCACGGACGCCCAGTGGTAGACGCCCGCCGACGAAGGGATGGCGCTGGCGAGCTCGGCGATGCTCGCGGCGACGGTCCAGTAGAAGACGGACACGACGATGAACTCGTACAGCACGCCGGGCGGCCCGCCGTTGAAGATGGCGACGAGGATCGAGCCGCCAATCGCGGGCCACACGTTGCCGACGACGAGCCCGACGCCGGCCAGCGCGAGCAGGTTGAAGTTCTGCTGCAGCTCCTGGACGTGGCCCGACGCGTTGATGGCCACCTCCCGGTTGGACGTGGTCTTGAGCACCGGCGGATGCTTGTCATCGTGGTCGACATCCTCGGCGACGCGGTTCGTCTTGGAGAAGGGTGAGTCTCCCATGGCTGCGGTATGGCGATGGGCGAGCAATCGTGCGAGGGTTGAGAAGAGCAAGATCCGAGGGAAGAAGACCCGAGGCAGCGGGATCTCGAGACTTTATCAAGACTCAAGACAGGGACGGATCTGCTAAGCCCGGCCGATACCACGTTGGAGAGCTGGGGTGCGAGCTATCTCTCGGCCCCAGTCGCCCTTGAGTAATGGAAATTACCCCGCACGCCGCAGTGAACAGGATACGCTCTCAAGGATGATAGATTGGGGATATTCCGGGGCACGGTTGCGAGTATCAAACATGCCATGATTTTCGAGATTTGCGACGCCGCGTGATTGGGCTGAGGCGATACGGGGGGGGAGGCGAAACCATGCTTAGCGGCGGCGGGCGGGCGATTTACCAATTAAGGTCGGCGGCTGATTTTCCCTTTGCGGGCTTGCGGCTGATTTCCCTGTTGGAGGGTGGCTGCGAGTCTAGCGGCTGGGACACGCGATTCATGGAGGTGGTCCCGGGATATTGGGACTGAGCGGTGGGGGGGGGGGGGGGGGGGGGGAGCTGCGAGACGCTGGTGATGGGTGGATTGAAACATGGAGAGCAGGATGGTTCATGCGTCGAGAATGCGGCTTCTGTTATCTACCATCTGATGCTGTGTCTGGGAAGCCGGATACAGGTTGCCATACCCTGGATGACGAGGTCGACTCGGTTCTTCAGCTTTCTCACCGGCCATCTTCAAAATGAAGTGGATAGTGACTGCTCTAGAGTAAAATAAGAGTATAGAAATCTCTTGTCCGCATCAGATAAAAGATGTGCATTTATTTGGTGGTAATCTCTTCATCTGCTTGAAACTAACGCCTTGAACCATCATCACTGTTGTTGTGCTCAACAAACGTCCTCTACTCTACACGGGCTCAAATCCAGCCCCCAAAACGGCCCCTAGGCAGGGATTGAGCTATCCTCTTCTCCATAATTCCCACAATCCCGAGTCCGGAGCCTTGGACGCGCGGAGAGGCCGAGTCAGAACCCCGAGAGGGTTGCCGCATTTCCGCCCGCGAAAGAATAAGTGGCGCTGGGCTGACGGCCGGCGGCGGGGCGAAAATGGGTCGGAGCGGTTTCGCCGGCGGCGGCGCAGTTCCCACCAACGCGGATGCGTCGGTTGTAGCTCGCCGGAGCCAAGAATCTGGCGAAAGGGTGTGAAATACATTCATTAATCAGCTTTAGGTCGTTTTTATTCAGTCTTCATAGACTCTACTGGGGCCATGTGCTCTGTTCTAGGGGCGTCACGTCTTTTTTCACCTGGACCGCAAGCAGCGTCATCAATCGTCGCCGATGAAAGTCGGAACTTCGGGTTCAAGGGTTCCTGTTCACCTCTCACCGGCGATGTATAAAAAATACACTCAGCCAATTCGAAATACTGGGATGCTTTATATCAAAACGTATATTCATCAGGTTACATGCCGCCCTCTATTTCCGGCTCAGCCCAAGTAAAGATAGCCGACGAAGATGATCATCAATGCTCGGCTCGGGTGGGTGTTTATCAATACCACTTTCAATTGACCTAACATTAGGTAGATTCACACGGCGATGGTTACTATTAGAACTACAAGATGAGCTCACGATAAGATTGTAAACAGGAGCCTCGAGGCATCGGCAGCAATGGAAATAAATGTAGCATCTCATAACATACAAACAGTTGCTTAGCAATCTGGCACACTAACAGGAATGTAAAGCGGCACGCTGGTAGCCAACCCACTGAGACTCGTCTCCTTAAACTCATTCCTCATACCCTTCGCCGTGAGACGCATAGCGCGGATAGCGTCGTCCAGCCTGACCTTTTGCGTGCCTATCTCGCTGCTCAGAGCGATGTTGGCGCTGGAGATGGCCTTGATGGCACCGAGGGCATTGCGCTCGATGCAAGGTGCCTGGACCAAGCCGCCGATAGGATCGCATGTGAGGCCGAGATTGTGTTCGATTCCAATCTCGGCGGCCTGCTCGATCGTCTCGAGCCCAGCGCCCATGCAGGCGGCAAAAGCACCGGCGGCCATGGAGCACGCGACGCCCACTTCGGCCATGCATCCGCCCTCGGCCGCAGAAATGGTAGCTCCACGCTTGTACAGCATGCCCAGGGCGGCAGCTGTCAGGAGAAAGGTCGGGATGTCTCGCTCGGGATCATCACTGACAAACTCCACCAAGTACTTGAGCACCGCAGGGATGATGCCAGCCGCGCCGTTGGTCGGCGCCGTCACGATGCGGCCGCCGGCAGCGTTGGTCTCGTTGACTGCAATGGCGTATACCGACAGGTAGTCCATGGCGGGAAGCGAGGTCCGGCGCGTGGGCGAGGGCATGATGGGATGGGACAGCGAGCCGTGGACGCGAGGAGGCCGGCGAGCGCGTTGCATCATGGCCGCCGACGTTGCGGTTTTTTGGTACGTGGATATGTCCGTGCTGGCTTGCTCGCTGTGGCCGGCTCCCTCTGAAATTGCCTTCTGCTGCTGCATGTCTCCCATGCCCCCCCGTGATTGCGACTGGGACGGGTAAAGGCCTCTTGTCAACCGCTGGTACAGCGCCGGCGCTCGACGATTCAGCTTGAGCGAGCCGGGTAGCGTCGTGTTCAAAGGCGCCTGGACGCCTTCCAGGATGCTGTTGTCCATGACCTCCCAGATGCGGAACAGCTTCTTGAAGATCTCGTCGTCTGTGTAGCCGTTGCTCTTTTCGTTTTCATACACCAGCTGGGCGATGGTCAGGTTGTGACGGCTGCAAAGGGACAGCAGGCTGTTGGCGTCTCGGAATGGATACGTAGGTTGGTGAGCAGTCTTGTCGTCAGATTCCTGAGCGGTGGCCTCGACATCTGCTTGTGTGGCCTTCTCAAGACCGGTGCTCGGCTCATCCGTTCCAGACCCGAGCAATGCCGCCTCATCAGATTCAGCCTCGCGTGGCTTAATCTCAGATCCGATTCTGCGATCTCCCGCCGCATCGGATCGTCGGATTTCCTTGTAGAACAGATTCTCAGCTAGATCGGCGGGATGCTTGCCGAGGCTAGATTCCGCATGGTCTTGTCCAGTAGTATCAGAGCTGCTCGGAGAGACTTGGTCATCCGACGGCGAGGGTGTCACGATGGACAGCGCTCCGTTGACGACGAAGCCGCCACCCACACTGAAGAGGTCATTGGTTGCCAAGATGATGCCGTCTTTATCAAACACGGAGAATCGCATGCCATTGCTGTGCAGCGGCAGCTTGCGACCCCATTCCCACGTGAACTCGCGCTCATAATCAAAGTCAATCTCCCTACCACCACCATGCGGGAGCCCATGGCCAAGAACCATCTTTTTGGACTTTTTGATCTCGGCGAAGCGGCTGGGTACGTAGGCCGTGTCGACCGTCTCAACATCAGCGCCCTCGAGGCCCAGAAGCAGTGCGCTCGGCGTCATGTGGCCTTCGCCGGTGAGGGCCAGACTGCCGTAGACGGAGATGCGGATCTTGTGCACCTTTTGCAGCAGGTCGGCTTCGACCAGGTCTTCGACGAAGATGTTGCCGGCGCGCATGGGTCCCACCGTGTGTGAAGAGGACGGGCCAATGCCGATGGAGAAGAGATCAAACGTCGAGATGACGGCGTGCTCGTGGTCGGCCTCGCTGTATGTCCCCGAAGGGCCATCGTCGGCATTGTCGTTGATACTGTCGCTGGCATCGGCCTGGGAGTTGAAGGCCCGCACCGGAGTCACCACCGGGACGCCTCCGCGGCTCAGCACCGGTCTCGCGGCGAATTGGCTGCCGAATTGACTGCCGGTGATGGCTCCTCGTCGTCCCGACCCTGGCGCATATTGATGGAACCTCACCTTGGCCGCCCCAGATTGCCACGGGCTGCTGGTCGCAGGGCGAATCGGCCCACTACCCACGCCGTGCGGCAATCTAAGCTGCTTTCGCAGCGAGATGCGGTGCATTGGAGGCTAAGAAACACGCAAGAATGGACTGACGGTTGAGAGATAACGGAGATACGGGTTCGTGATGTGAAGGGGATTGTCAACAGCTCGTGCTCACGCTGACTCAGGGCAAAACCAACCCCCTTGATTGGTCTAGACTAGACTCTCAACCCTTCTGGCGGCGAAAACACCCGTGTGAATTGCGCCCCGCCATGCTCACTTTTGGTGTAGGGAATTTGAGGATTCGGATTTGCCATTGAATTAGACTGTATATCATACCTTGAAAAAGACCCATCTCTTTGACTCTTTTACGCCGTCCCCAAGCTGTTCCGGTTCCGTTCCCTCTCAACCGCGTCGAAGCTCTCAAGATGTCGGTGAGTTCCCCCGATAGCTAAGAAGCTGTTGCCGCGCCTAGTCCCTTCGGGCCCCTCTTCCGGCAGTCGGACAGTCTTCCAGAACGAAATATCCTTCGTTTGATTGGTCTGTCTCCGGCTTTCACAGGGGCCAGTGTCCACAGCGGTGGGGTCTTACGTACCGATAAGCAGAACGCGGGCATGATACCAACAATTCTGAACTAAGCAGGCATCATTAGCGTAATCATTGGGTTACTAATTGTGCTCACCGAGGGTGACACAAAATAGCAAGGGCTGGGGTTATATCGAATACGAGAAAATTGGGGTTTAATTGTTAGTGAGGCTAGGTTTGTGGTACCGATGCATGAGACTCGAGTTATGGGCGGTTAGGCATTGAAATATCTTGAAATTCATTTTTCTATCTCCATGTGTGTTGCCCATATCCAACCCTATCGAAAAGTCATTTCCAGACCCGATTTGATTACTCAAGCTAGAGATCATCAGCAGAACCTAAAAATGGAAATTGCGTGGTATCTTCCTCCTCGCCCCATTTGGCAGCCCGATCAGCCTCGCCCATGATTCCAACAGTGTACGATGTAGACAAAACGTCGCCTGCATCGTCCACAGCCTGGGCAAAGACCCTGATGTCTTGCACCTGGCAGCGAATAGAGCTAGTGCTCACCTGGATGCTAGATTCGAACGACTTCTTCTCCACTTCGCCCAGGGCAGTTATCTCGACTACCTCATTCTGTGTCTCACCGCAGTGAAAGTAGAACCGCCATCGCTTGGCAACGGTATCTCCATTCCAGCTAACATATGCGACGGCCTCCTTATCATTCCCTGAGACGACAAGCGCAGGGGTCTCGCTTGAGTAGCCGGTCCATGGATATCTGAAGCCACGGTAGCTTTGCACGCCGGGTGCAAGATCGCCAGAGTCCAGGTAAGCGTGGAATACCGCAGTGCCATCTGGTGTGAACTCGGTTACAGCACCCTCCTGACCCCAGTTTACAATCCGAGTCCCGCTCTACATCCGTGGTCCTGGGGTTTCCAAGGGCCGTACCGAGAACGCAGTAACGACGCATATTGACCTCGCGCCGACCTTTTTTAAAATCGCCGGGATGGAACTCCAGGATGATTTTGATGGGATGCCAATCCCGTTGTCAGAATATATTGGTATACCTAGAAAAACCCCAAACACGTTGCTGTCGAATATTGGGGCACAGCTATAGTAGAGGGATCAGTCGGCGGATTCGGTAAGCCATTGCAGATATTTCTTTGGCACACCCTCTCCTCGAATTACTCACTCACAAACCTTGATTCCAGATGCTCAGGGTCAAATTGTCTAGCCCAATAACACTTACAAAGCCCTCGGAGTCAAGGGGGAATTTTACGACATATATTATATTCCGTGTGGTGCAATAATGAGCACGAGCTGTACAACATCAAAATTAGTCTGACTGCACATTGCTGTCCATTTTGCTGACCCATCTTGCAGGATGACCCTGGTCAGATGAGAAATCTCTACCCTATTGAAGGAAACCCTTCCCCTGCTTCTGACCAGTCTTTCCCTGGATGGCAGCTGAGCCATTTGGTTGCTCAGCTTGACAGTCTCATGATGGTAATGAAGTCGTGTTGAGGCCAGTCCTGTGTTCAACCAGGGAGGACCCTGCATCCGGAGGGAGGTGTCGAAACCTTGGAAGATGCGCTGCAACCACAGTTCAATGCGTTTTACGAAGATCAGGTTAAAGTGACTTTCACAAAGTGTGAAGCTGGTTATATCATTGACTCTGAAGGGTCGCAGATTGGGTATGAGTATCGGCAAGGCTTGAGATGGTCTCACTGGAGCTGAAGCAATCGGTGGTATTTAATAATAGTAATTCGCGCGGTGCTTTATAGACCTAAAGATCCATCGCTTCTTGCATCACTTCCGTTCCCCCGCTCGACAATTTCGTCGGATTCGATCCTGGACGACCGATGCACTTGTCAAAAAAGTCTTGAATCATCTTAGCGAACTTGGCGACTGCCGTTGAGACCTCATCAGCGAAATGTTCGACATATGTCAAGACCGGAGTACAAGAAGTTGGAGTAGGCTGTCCGATGTTGGCGAAAGTTGTTGAAGCTGAAGCAGAAGAGCTGGCAGGCTCAGGCTCGTCGACAGCATCAGGATCGGATTCCACAGCCATTTTCAGGCCCGTATTGAAGACACTGTAGGCTTGTGCGCTACCACACGCCTCAAAACCATAACCGAAACACTCATAATCGCACTTTTCGTCTTCGAGGATTGAGAGCCGAGGTGGGTACGTGTCAGCACAGTAACAATTCACCATGTGCAACAACATGACGGCCTTTCCTTCCTGTCTGCAGCGTTGCCAACACACGCCCGAAGCGGGATATTTCATCCTCTCACCACTCGCAGAAGCCGAGAGCGACCCGAAGCAGCCTTGTGAAGTTGCTCGGCCTGGCACGGGATGAACGGCGGGTCTTTGTAAGGGGCCCTGGGCGGCCACAAGGGTCAACCAGAAGACGAAAGTGGTGTAAATCATGGTGAACAGCGCCATTTAGAAGATTTGATGCGGAAGAGGTGAATGGGTATGGAGGAGTAAAGACGCGGATTTTCAGGTTGAAGGGGATGCTGTGGTTTTTATTGCGGCGCAGGGGATCAATCCCAACCCCTCAAATTTTACTGATCCACCCTTGCTGGCGGCCAGCATCAGCAATTACGATGCCAGGGTCGACCAACAGCATGATCAGATCGTCAAGGGAGCAAGTGCCAAGCTCTTGAAGACGTCATCGTCGTAAGTGATGTTGGGCTCGGGTCGAGTTACAGAATGGAAATATCTGGTCTATTTCGTATGCATGTTCAGCCTCCCATGTCTAATTCTTTTAGTAATGTCTAAAATTTCCAGTAACACCTCACCGAGTTACTTTTCAACCCAACATAATCTCATTCCAAGTGTTCCTCTGCAATGTTGGCTCCGAGAAAAGTGGCAAAGCACGAGGTGAGAATGCATGCAACGAAACCCGAGACTTGTATCAATTTAGTAACAGTGCTGGGCGGTTTGGGGATTTCTGAACTTATTGTAGTCGCTCTTCAATGAGCCAACAAATGCATCCACAACGGTATGGTGGAGTTCTCCGTTCAGGTTTGCTATACCGTATCGACTCGAGAAATCGAGAAGGTCTAGCTGCATATTAGCGACGCCTTGGCAACGTGACCAGGCTTAACAATGGGTCCAATCGAACTTCCACCCAATAGACTCAAGTAAAAGGTAGCCTGATACTGGGTCTGGTCGAACTTCCATCCAATCGGCTCAGGTAGTAAGTAGCCTGATGTTGCAAAAGCCACATTAGTGCCCAGCTAGACCTTCTCAATTTATTGAGTCGATACGGTATTGTTCATGTTCGATGTAATTTTTTCAATAAGCTAAATCAAAGCGGAAACTTAGGATGCATCATAGAATTGGGTATTAACGAAGATAGGGAATCTGTAGCTGTACAGGAGGAACTTACTTCGTCTTTGTCTGGATCCTCGATCACCCGCTCGAGATTGCGACGGAACGAAGATTGAAGCATCACATTCGTTACCATCACGCTGGAGACAGTGCCCAGACTCGACACTAACGAGAACCACCCTGTGGCCATGGCTAGGTCTTGGTTTTCCAGACATGATGCCATTGGAACAAAAGCTGCGGATTGAGCTAATCCAGTTGCAAAGCTTCTCGGTATCACATATAGAGGCTCCCAAAAAGACGTATGTCCATTCCAGAATGCGAAGATCAACAAATATGACGACGCGCCCAGAATTCCAGTGCTAACGGGGATGGTCTTTTGGCGGTGGGAAATGTGTAGTAGCTTGCCAGACAGCAACGCGCCAAATGTGTTGGCTACAACAGCAGGCACAATATGCGCACCGCTGGCAGTATCAGACGCACCCTGTGTTACTTGAAAATACATGGGAACTGAAAACATCATACCAACCTGCGCGAAAACTTGGAAGTAGTCGACCAGGTACGAGAGTGTCGCGTTTAGTTTGGCTAGAATCCGGAGATGGAATATTGGCGTCTCAGCTCCAAACAGCTCCCAGAACACGAAAAGATCCGAAGATGACGGCTGAAGCGGTCAAGAAAGCGACGGATGGGGACGATGTGCCAGCTCCTGCAACGTCCAATAGCAGAATAAGTGACACAATTGTCTTGGCTAGGAGCAAAGCGCCTTTGTAGTCGACCTTTCGCCATTTCTGCAGAAATGATTCCTTCTGTATCGAGTTGTCCGATTCCGTGTCATTTTCAGGTGCCTAATCAACATCGTCCTTGAGACTTATCAGGATAAGAGAGATGGAAAGTGTAAAGAAGGGTATTTGATCCAGAACAACCACTGCCAGCCCAGATAATCGGATATAAATCCTCCAATAGGGCCGCCGATGCTTCTTCCAAGAGTGGTTGCCAAGTTGATGTATGAAAGATACTTTGCAACGTCACGCTTGGGTACCGAGTCTGTAATGATGATGGATGCCATCGTCATAACACCCGCTCCTCCAATGCCACTTATAGCACGACCAATGATGATCTGAAACCGTGTCGTGCTCGTACCACAGATTATGCACCTAGAAGACAGATCCAGGACCACCCTGAGCGAGAGCTTTTCCGGAACCAATGATAAGCCCGGTACCGATGGCACTTCCAATGGCAATCATGCTAATATGGCAAGCTTTGAGGCCGCGATGCAGCTGAAATTCTGGACTTGATTCAATCCCCTGAATGCTTGGAACCTTGCCACCATATTCCCGGCCATATATTTCGGACATCTGGAGCTCGCCATCGCTCAGGAGGGGAACCTTTTCGGCAATGCTGTCCCCCATGTTGGAAGATCGGGCTAAGAGAACGGAACCGATTCGTGAAGGGTAAACGAAGATGTCGGAAGTAGAGTTAGATGATCGAATGGGGGATTAGATTGTTGGCATCACCAGAGATGGCTCAAACTACATGGAAGGGGCCTTTATATATTTGGTGGTAGGAGTTGATGGATTGCAGTTGTTGTTAAGCTGTGAGCATCTGTTCAAGCCTGCCATAAACCGAGTATCAACGATATGCTAGGGTTCTTTTTAGGAAGATAAGACCAGTGAAGATGCAGCACTTAACACTTGCTCCTCCACTGCTACAGATAGCCGAGCAAAATATTCAGACTTTAGAGAGGCGGGCTGAGCTACGCTTTGTGGGAGGCATGCCAGTTCCGTCGGATGATTACGTGTTCTGCCCGTATCCATAACAGGTCTAAGGTCTTATTAGCGTGGCTGTTATAGCGGTTGATAGCCGAGCATCAACATCTGGACCCACTGATAGGCGAGCCGCACATGCGCATCACGATTAGATGCGCTCTTCTTTATTTATTAAAGAGTACTGCAATAATATGAGTAGTATAAAATCCCTTCGTATGAATGCCCCATAACTGTGGCGTATATGCATTGCCGGCCCCCAAGTCCCCATTATTTGCTAGTCTCTCGTATATCACTCCTGCCAGGTCACGCTATCGGTCGGCTATCAGACATGACGAATTATGCGAAGCGGAGACGTCAAACCTATAAACGACTCGGTCTCCGTAAATGGCGTGTTTCGGTAGTATTATATAATGGCTGTTCTGCCGTGATGGACTTTCTGTCCGCCCGCTGCACGCAATAAATCTTCTTGGCCGACAATGGGCGAACTCCCGAGATCCGTCGGCAGCTTGAGTCGAGACAAAGTTCTCATTTTCCTACCCATCCCGCCAAAAAAGGACTGGATCTTCCGGGTCGAGACTCGCTTTCCCGGCCTCCGAGTTCAATGGATGAACTGCAGCAGGACGGGGGGCGGATTTCTAAGCCCAGACGAATTACCCGATGGCACGTGGGATGAAGTTACCATTTATTGCGCATTCTTGCCGGCTGCATCTCACCTGATGCGCAATGTCCGGTTCGTACAGTTAGCCATCGCGGGCGTTAATTCGTGGTTGGAGAATGAAGCTTTTCGAAACCCCAACGTGCCGTTCTGTTCTGCGAGCGGCTGTCAGCCGTAAGTTTTCTCAATTATGCTAACTCTATCACCTCCAAACGTTAACCGTTCTTAAGGCCTCAAATCGCTGAATGGGTAATCGGGACGTGGCTCGCAAGCCAGCATTCTTTCTCGAAATTCGCCGAGAATCAACAACGAAGCCGTTGGGACACGCTACCTTCAGTAAAGGTGGAAGACTCTGTCGGTTTACGCATGTATGAGTTCCAACTTCTACATAGAGAACGGATAGACTAATAGTACTCTAGGGGAATACTGGGTTATGGGGCGATTGGTCGGCAATGCGCTAAGCTTGCCCAAGCCCTGGGGATGGAAGTTTACGCCTACACGCGTGGCGAGCGATCCACGCCAGAGTCTCGGAAGGACATTAGCTATTGTGTCCCTGGAACAGGCGATCCAGACGGCTTGATCCCTTCCAAATGGTTTCACGGAGCTTCAACACAACATCTCCATGACTTCCTCAGCCAGGACCTGGATATCTTGGTTCTTGCCTTACCTCTGACTGGTGAAACCAAGGGACTACTCGGCCCGGAACAGTTTGAATTGTTATCCAAGAGGAAAACGTTCATATCGAATGTTTCTCGAGGGCCATTGGTTCAAACAGATGCGTTAATGGCAGCCTTGGAGACTGGGAAAATCCGAGGCGCGGCGCTGGACGTGACGGATCCAGAACCTCTTCCAGACGCCCATCCTCTGTGGAAAGCCCCCAATGTATTCATCACGCCCCATATCAGTTGGCGATCGAATGACTACTGGGACAGAGTTGTGGATATTCTGGAAAGGAATTTGGAAAGGATGAACACGGCTCAGGGCTTGATAAACGTCATACATAAGGAGCGACAATACTAGGTACGAACGATCATTGTGCCAATTTGTTCTTTGTTGCAGAGTTTAGGATAGCTTCCCCGGCGGTATGGTTTGGTTCTGTCTACGGCCATGCACATTAACAGACGGTCTGCCATTCGGAACATGCGCCGGTTTCCGCAGCACCTCTACCGTCAACTTAAATGGGCGTCAACCCTGGCCTCTTCATTGGCCAGATTCGAAGCTTCCGTTTCAATCCTAATGACGTGTTTATTGCCAAGCTGCTCATTGCGGGGAAGATTGATACGCATCGCGTCTTCGATCGGGTGCTAAAGCCGGGAGTAAGCAACGATCCCGGACTTAAGTTCGGCATCCGGATATTAAAAGACAGACAGCCTTGATTCGTTTTCGCATAAATACGCATATCCTATTCAATCATACACGTCTCAAGCGTTCGAAAATCATAACTTTCTCCAAAATGTCTTCCCCATGGTCGCGTTTCCCTCTCACCTGGCTCATCACAGGGGCTTCGTCGGGCTTCGGGCTTGAGCTTACGCGACTTGCCCTTTCAAACGGGCACAAAGTCATTGCGACATCGAGAAATCCGGCCCGCAACTCAGACCTGGTTTCCGAGATCAAAGCACAAGGTGGCGACTGGCGTACTTTGGACGTTGACGACCCGGACTGCGGGTCCCTCATCAAGCGCATTGAAGATGAGGGCACAGAAATTGACATTCTCGTCAACAGTGCAGGATGGTCTATCCATGGCCCTGCCGAAAGCTTTTCGGAAGATGAAGTTCGTCGACAGATGGAAACTGTCTTCTTTGGACCTTACAGGCTGATACGGGCTGTCGTGCCGTATATGAGGCAGAGGAGGCGTGGTCTGATCATCAATATCAGCTCCGGTGCCGGGGTATCAGGTAGGGAAAGTATGGGCATTTACGGAGCCAGCAAGGCCGCCATGGATGGTAAGATACATGCCAATTGCCCAGATTTCAGGCTAAATTGTACAGGTCTTGTAAAAATCCTGGCGCGCGAAATCAGCCCGTTTAATATCCGGACACTCACAGTACATCTTGGAGGCTTCGACACGAATTTCTCACATTCAGTTCAGACTTCAACGCAACCTTTCCCAGAAGATTACTCCGGTAGCACAACAGCAAAGGTCTTGGAATCCATACAAGGTTCCAACTTCAAAGCAGATGGAGACCATCGGAAGGCTACCAAGGTAATTTATGAAGTAGCAGTGGGCGAGGGAGTGGGAAAGGACAAGGAGGGCGAGAGGGTTATCCATCTGGGGCGGGATATGTCTGAGCGCATGGGCCAGGTCCTTTCGCAGATGAACAACCAAATGGCCACATTTGACGGTATCGCGAGGGATGTATACTTAGAATAGTAATTCTAGATATATCCATACGTTTCATCTTGGGTGTCTTTGGAATCATATCTACTTGTGAACGTCGGTGACATCGTGGCCGCAAATGAGACACGAGCGGTGATGATGCCATGGTCAAATCGAACGCGTTATAACAAGGTCGGTGGGCCAAGTCAGATTCTAATTCTTAAGCATATCAAGACCCAACGGCGTATGTGAAGCTTATATGATGGCTGAGACAGAGCTCGCTTCGCAATAAACATCACCATGTCGGAGTGTTCTACCTTGTGACGAGTCGGCTCAAGGACTCGAAGCGCTCAACTCAGTCAATCCCAGATGAACGCCATGACAGGCTATGGTCATTTCCCGATATTTCAACTAAATTGTTACAGGATATCAGACAAACGGAGATCCCACGAGAGCTTCAAGGTCACGTGTTGAATTGAGTGCGTGTGGTCAATAGGTGCAATAGGTGTAAACACTCCTGGACCATCGAAAAAATACCCATCAGCGTGTTTTGACGAGGTCAGGCCGGAGAATTCTTGCCTTACCAGTATAAAATGAAGCTTACACGATCCACCATCGAAGCGAGGATGAAAATTTTGAGAAGCATTGGCCAAGTCCCCGCTTCTGTAATAAACCATGGGCGGTTGTCGCGATTACCGAGAGGAGGTGATTCCAGGGTTACATTACAGGTAGGAGGAGGACATAAATAGCAAGAGATCAAGCATAATCCGTTCCTTATTAGGGCATGCATTGCGGACGCTTCTCTGCACTAACAGACGGCGGCGTGGTCCCCATGAAGCTCCACATTGGCCAGCGCGGAATGTGAGGGAAAATGTGTGTCGGAGCTAATAGACGAATGATAAGTGTGCCGATCATCTCCCGGAAAGGGGACGTGAGCCAGGCGCTGACTCGTCTGGGGTGCTTGATGCAAGTCTAGACACCAGGAGGGTTAATTATGCGAAAGGCAGAGATTATGCGAAAGGCAGAGCATGTTGAGATTGCTGCATCTTGGACGTTGGTGGCTTGGTTCGGCTGGCGCTTATGCAGGGGAAGTGAGGTCTGCAAGGCGACTGGGGATGGTGAAACGCAGCCAGAAATGATATTTGACTGAAGGAAACTTTGAGACTATCGGCAGATTGACGATGCATAATAGGTACGGAGTACAGTGCAGAGTAATAAGTGGAAGAAAGGGGGTCTCCCTGCCTTGTGATGTCTGGTGGTAACACCCCTGCATTTGGGCTGTGAGAACAGACTCGCCGCTGTGACTCCCAAGCGGACCGTGAACTGCAAGCTTTGAAGCGAGAAGACTAGCGCTGGAGAGCAGCTATTATCCCATTATTATAGCTGTTTTACATTGCACGGATCAGCCACAGGGCGGGCGAGGCAGAATACGACAATACCATTTCCGGATCCACGGCTCCATCTCTCGCCGTGAAGATGATCCCCATCCTCAAGGCTGGAGTCTATTAGCGCCTTCAGCTGGCGGGCCACACGCTCCACAACGGCCTCTGCCTTCATTTTAACGTGCGTGTGGAGCCTTCGCTGGGCGTTGCACGAGGCAAACATCCACGCGCCGCCCGGTACTTGACGATCCCGGCCGGCTTATCGGAGCATGGATGCAGGCAGCGTGGTCCCTGGAAGCGGCATGCAGACACGCAGACAGACGGGACTCTGACTGGTGAGACGGAATGTTGTTTGGGCCGGTAACCCTTGGCTTTACTTTTTGCCCAAGCCGAGCGTGATGCCCTCAGCGCCAAAGTCAACAGCCACGACAAGTCGCCTCGCGCGGTAGCATCCGCCCACCCGACGGCATATTGATGTGATACTCGGAAGATCAACGCCCGACGCGCGGCACTGCGAAATACAAGACTGCCCACATTGAAACAACGGCCTGGAAGCCATCCACAAAGCTAGACGTGTCCGCCCTGCAGCAGCCCAGCCAGCACGAGCACCAAAAAAGCCTCGACAGCGTCGCGGCTGATATAGCGCACGCCGCACTCCCGCGTAGCTTTGAAGTCGCAGCGCCTGGGCGTCGAGCCCGCAATCTCACTTGATGCCGTCGTCCCATCCAGACCTCCCGCCGGCTGCGCCCTCGCCCAGGAATGCAATTTGGTGGCGCTTCAGCTGGCGGCGCAAAGGTTGTGCCCATGGCCTGCCACCACTTCCGCCGTGCCGAATCAAATATCCCAGGGGGCCACAGGGCTGAACAGACACCCCGCAGCGCTAGATGGGGCGTCCAATGAGTCGAGCTGCGGCGTTGGACCCATGATCGTGGCCGTGGTAGCGTGGCAGCCGGATGAACACAACGCCTGCTTATCCCAGGCCAATCTTGAGAGGAGCAGACGCAGTAGACGAGCTGCGAGGTTGAATGCCGGCCTGCTTTTCACATAAGTTGACGCCGCTGTCCCAGCCAAGACCCGAAACAGCTCTCCTTCATTCTTCATTCACCACCAGTCTCTCCTTGAACCGCTTTCTTACCACAGCAGCACAGCCTGTTCCATTCACTTCCCTTCTCTACATTCTAATCCTTCTCTTATACACACACCTTTCCCAACCTTTTACAATGGCCACCCCTGCCCAGAACCAGAACAACAACGGTCCCATCGACCACGATGACCTCAACGAGTGGAAGGGCCGCTTCAACGACGTCCTGGCTCGCCCCAGCGAGCATGTCAACTCCAAGTCCCCCGAGTCGGCCCAGCCCTGGGCCAGCGCCTTCTTCGGCTGCTGCAACCCCATCGACACCTGCCTGATCACCTGGTGCCTCCCTTGCGTCACCTTTGGCAAGACCCATCACCGTCTCCGCAAGAACGGTAACCTCGATGGATACGAGCCCATCAACACCTCTGTGAGTCCATCCATTTTTAGTCGCTCCGTCTCTCCGCTCTGACTAACACGTCTCCAACAGTGCTTGATGTTCTTCGGCTCCACCTGCGTCGGTCTCCACTGGATCCCCATGGCCCTCCAGCGCGCCAACATCCGTGAGAAGTACAACCTTCAGGGCAGCTGCCTGGTCGACATCGCCACCGCCTGCTGCTGCGGCATCTGCGATCTCGTCCAGCAGGAGAAGGAAACCGTCCACCGCAACGCCCAGGGCGGTGCTGTCTCCGAGCAGTACAAGACCAACGACGACATGGCCTACCCCGCCAAATAAGTTGCTCGATGGCTTTTGATCTGTCAACCCGGAAGGAAAATATCTTACGAGTGCTGCGCGAGCGGCCTCGACCCTAATCGACCTGTGAAACTTTCTGATACTGCCATGGATACCCCCTCGAGGACACTGGATGGAGGATAAGGTCTGCTACGCCAGGCAGCTATCTTCATGGACATGCCCGAGGTATTTAGTCACGCTGAAATTGGACAAACGTCTTTGAATGCATGTATTCATTAGCCTTGAATTATGACATATTATACTCAAAGAAATGTTTACCTCTACTTTTGTCTGTTGATTGTGATTGATGAACCATTTCCTTGTCGCAAATGTCTGTTTGACCGTCGTCTCTACGCGCTATATTATTGTCATTGTAGCCGTAAATGAAGGTGCTGATGGAAACGCTTAGCTAGCATCGACTTATCTTGACGCAATATTTTTATTTAATTTAAGATCCAATTCTAATGCTGCCAGTTGATGGATCTCTTGTCGCAGGATGTTTGTTAGGTGAAATATCAGTGGCTCAGGCTCCTCTAGGGTAGGACAACAGGCAACGGTTAACAGGCGCATCCGAAGCTCTTAAATTCTGTAGTATTGATAGGTCTGTTGAGGTACACTTTCTTAAGCAACTTGAATCCTTTGGTCTTGTTTCTGAGTCTCTCAGTGCTTGGATTGGTGGTGTTTTTATCGTGTTGCCTTTGAAATGATTCCGTGATGCGAATCGACGCGGACCTCACCCTAGCATGAAACCTCTACTCAACAAAGCCACGAAACCACAGAATGTAAGGAATGTACGAGCTGTCTTCAGCAGGGACAGTTCACTAGGCCTCAATATAATATGCGTAAGTTGGAGTAGCTCGTGCAGCCCTACCTGCTTATTTCTGCGACACGCTCCCAGAAGCTATTTGTGGAGGTGGGCCCTATTCAACAACAGTGGAATGCGACTGGGATAATGATTCAGTGGGGGGATTGGATAAATACCTTCATTGCAATCGTACCGGATAGCTTTGCGGTTAGCACGTTCCCTAAATTTAATATTCCGATGTTCCGTCACCGGCGCGACGTTCCGGGCGTGGCACTTTTCCCCTATGGACTAGTAGATACTTCAGACTCCTCGGGAGCGGATGGCGGTTTTCGCATAGCTCCTAATACCTGGATGATCTTGAAAGTTGGCAGATTGTCCAGGAGAGATCATCCTAGACAAATAATGTTTTGACGACTGGACCTTGATCAGTGGTATACTCCCTCATCTATGTCATCCTCGCATAGAGGCAGATAGCTAGCACGGGCATATCGGGCGCGGTGTAAAAAGACAGCTTTCATTCAAGAATTACACGCCAAAATGAATATAGGGGACCCAGTGAACACGTCCCAGCTCTTCATCATCGTCACACAAAAGCACATCTCTCGATAACTGACGCTCCCCCTGACCCTTACGTCTTGGACCCGGCCTATCTACCCGTTCCCGTGCCAGACCCGTTCCCAAGTCCGTACCCGAGAGTTTGCGGTTGGGCTCGGCTGGCGTTCCAAGCCAATTATCCCTTAGCGTTCGAGTGGCCATATGAAGCCCATAACAAACTGATTCGTCAGTCATGCCTCTATCTCTCATCCCTTCGTACGTATATCTTGCAATATCCACACAATGTTCATCATTGACCTCCCACAATGTGCCAATCACATGCCGAAACCCCGCCATCTGGAACGCACTAATCAGATGGATGCTTTCGTCAATAAACTTATCGTCTTTGATCTGGCCAGTGCTGCAAGCCGACAGGTACGCAAGAAAGGGGGAGTGGTCATAAAGGTTCATCTCCAAGAGGTCTCCAACCGTTAGTGGAATGCCTTCCAGCACCAAGCGGCTATTAGATGGCTTTGCTTTATCCGTATAGCCATGACCAGCGAAGTGAAACACACTGCAGTTCAGTAAACGTGATGTGACGTCTTCCTTGGAATGCCCAAGCTCAACCGGCTCGACTGGCATCGACTTGAAAAGGTCCCGCAACATGGCTATCTCTTGGGTTGCGAATGGGAGCCGAGAATGCCCTGGTGTGTATTCCATGCCTAGGAGCAATGCCTGACTCAAGGCGAATTGTTGTGGTCGCCGTTGACGACCGCAGATGATGGCCTTAATAGACGTGCTATACGAAGACATGACCCTGTCAAGGACTGATTCGGAGGACCGTTTGTAGTGATATCCTGCTGCGTGAAGCGGGAAATGGCTTAAAGGCCCAGTGGGAATCCACCACACATGCGGCCAACAGTCGTCAGCAGGAGACTGGGTGTATCCGAGGGCCTCTAGAACCGGGCTTGCAACAACGTCCCATAGCCACTCTAGAGTCTCGGGGCTATCCAGGCTAGATTGCTGTGTCTTCAGCTGAATTTCGTCCAGATTGAGGAGAGGTAAGCACAACGACCAAATTCGATGCCGCTCAATCAGGATCGCATCACAACGGAGCTCGCTAACATTGATGGCGACAATAGGGCCGTGTCTCGCAGCAGCACGTATTTCCTCCTCTGATGAAGCGAGGAGGAAGTTTTCGAACCCGGGTTGTTTGCGGATTTCGACGATCAGCTTATCGAGTTGACTGCCGATGTAGGACTGTTCAGCAGGAGTTTGTGGCGCGGGGTCAAGTCCCTCCAGCCTGTCCACGAGAGAAGGGAGACTCTCGCGGAGGTCTTGTTGCTTCATGGCCTGGGTAGGGTTTGAGGCAGCAGGAACTTCCAATTGCTCCTTTAGTTTGATAAACCTCTCTCCCAATGCGGGATAAGCTGAAAGAAGCTTGGCCACATCTGCAGCCATCTCGTAGAACAGTCCCGAGATAACTCCACGCCCAATCTCAAGAAGTTGAACTGCGTCGAAAGCATGCTTTCCAGCATTCAACGTAACTGCTGTAGCGTCCGAGGCCAGACCAGCATCCTGAGAGAGTAAGCTCTGCTTATGCGCGGCTCCAAGTAACCGCGGGACGACTGACGGAATCAAGTGTACGGCTGTTTTCGCAAATTCGTGTGCTTCTTCCCAAGCTTCCAACTCAGCATGGATATAGAGTAAGATTTTACCAGCTACTAGGCGGTCTGGAGTAGGTGACTGAGAATGGTTGAGGGCCTCTCGAAGTAAGAGTATTGCCTTGTCAAGGTCAGACCTGATGTCATTCTTTTGATACCTGTCGTTGTACACAGCCGCAAGGTCATTCAGTCGCGTTGCCCGGTCGGAATGATCTGTTGGTATTTGTTCGAGGAATTTCTCAAATAGACAAATCGCCTTATCTAAATCCGTTGCAGTGTCTCTCTTGAGATATCTTATGCGATAGGCCTGTCCGAGGCTGCGAATTCGAGACGTCTGGTCGTGATAATGTGTAGGTGTGTTCTCGAGCGATTCCTCAAAGAGTTCGATTGCCTTGTCTAGGTCTGTCTCGGTTCTTGTTTCATTGTATCGATCGTGGTATCCGGCTCCGAGATCATAGAGTCGAGATGCCCGGTCAGGATGATCCATCGACGTTGCGCGGAGAGATTCTTGGAATAGCTCAATTGAAGTATCCAAGTCTGTGAGGGTATTCAACTCCTGGTATCTGCGATAACGTCCCATTCCAAGAGCCCGAAGACACGATGGCCGGTGCGAGTCATCATTTGGTAGTCTGTCGAGACATTCTTCAAGGTACCGAATTTCAGTATTTATATCTTCCACGGATTCTGTTTCCTGATATCGAGCCTCATGTATGGCCCCGAGTTTATAAAGTCGAAGTGCGCGGTCGGGGTGGTCCATCGGTGTTGTATCGAGACATTGCTGGAACAACTCAGTTGCTCTATCCAGGTACATCGCATCCCTGGTTACACAGTATTTTAAGTAAAAACCAACTCCAAGGTTGCTGAGTCTGGGTGTGCGATCATGGTGATGTTCTGGGGTATTGGCGAGGGATTCTTGATATAGTTGAAGTGCCCTGTTCAGATGCGCTTGGTCTCGAGGCAGCAGTGACCTTGTCTCGGAGAATCTAACGTGATATCCAATCGCAAGAACCTGAAGCTGAGCTGCCAGATCGATTTCGCCAGTCATACATTCTGTAGTTTCTGGGTATTGCTCCGAATATTTCGCTCTCACTTCCGCGAGGCGAGACATCTGGTCGGGAGGGTGTGATGGTGGTGTGTCAAGAGACTCTCGAAATCGTTGGACCGCCTTTTCAAGATCCGGCATGGCTTCTGTTCTTGAATACCGGTGATAATAGCCATCTCCAAGGCTATCAAGTAAAGACGCCCAGTCAGAGTGGTCTCTTGGAGTTGTAGAGAGGCATTCTTGGTATAGCTGAATCGCCAAATCCAAGTCTTCCATAGCGCCTGTCCTTGAATATTTGGCATAATACCCACCTCGCATAGATGCAACTTGGGAGTCACGGACTGGGTTTTTGCTCGATGGGCTGCTTGACATGCCACCATTTTGGACGGAAGACATGAATCTGTCGTCGTCGCCGGGTGTCGTCATTGCAATCTCGGTGGCGTTGGATCGAGAAACGGTACTGTCCATCATTGCAGAACTCATTGTGTGGCGTAGCTCTTTTTGCACACAGGGAGCATGCAAACGAGGGTTGAAAGAGCCTACTTCTACAATGGAGATGGGAGTTGGGCAGCTAAAATAACAATAAGCACCCCACAAATGGGGTTGTGGTCTGTCTAATCACAGGGCAGCATCTTATGTCACATTGCTTCGGCAGTCATCGGAAGTAGTAAGGGAAGCGAACATCTTCTCGGCTTTGGCCACACCGCTGCGTTGATCCAAGCCGCTGAATACGTCTAGACAACGAGTCAATATTGAGCGCAGCGAAATTGTCAGTCTTCTCGTACTCAAATGCTCAAGAATGCTCTATTTGACACATGCTCCCACAGATAGGACAATTACGCATCCTGAAGCCTCAACGCGCCTACATCCAGGCGGGGTAGTAAGGTGCTGTCGCCCGATATGTGTAAGCCCTTGTACTTTCGTGTCAAGCACAGTAAAAAGCCGCGAGGCTCTCTATCATTGTTCGGGCTGTACTGATGCGCATTAGCGTGCGTTTCAGGAGCTATGGGGTCCTGTGCCAACGGCCAAAGAAATGAACTTGAAAGACGATCATGTTCGCACGCGAAGACACCCGCCGAAGCATGTCATGGTAGGTAGGCATCAACGCATATGACGAACGGCCCTATGATTGACTATTACGAGAATTCCGCTCCTCAAGAGTTACCTCTACGCATGGATGAGCCCCCTTAGCGCTACGACTCGTGCCGAACAGAGGACCGATTTCATCGGTATATACTACCTACACACAATCCGTTCCAGGGTTTGAAGGCCTGCTTCATCCTCAATCAAGACCGGCCCCTTTGCATAGCCGTTCATACAGCGCAGAAATGATTACTACACCCTCCTCACCTGGATGAAGCGAGGTAAAGAAAAAGAAGAATCCCAGACTTAGGATTTGAACCGAAAACTACGGCCCCTTGAGGCCGAGGAATTCTTCGCTGCTCTCCAGCTCGTCCTCCGGGACCTTTGGGAATTCACGTCGTTTCCTCTGCCAGGAGTGGCCATTTCCGTCTTGGCCACCTAGCAGGTCTGGATTGGCCCGACCCGGCATTCTTGTCTACTTCGCGTGGGCTGTTAGTGTTCAATGTCTATTGTAGTAGCACATATAACGCAGCAGATAGGAAAGGCCAACTAGATCCCAAAATGTGGATGTGGTCCGAGATCTTGCCCACGCACGGAATCCATCCACACCCGCAGAATCTATAACGCAATACGCCTTGGCCGGCTACGTAGCACAGTCAAATATGATCCGGTCTCATAGCATCGGCATAATTTGGACCTAATTAGCTAGGTTTGACAGCACGGCCATATGATAATAAGCTAAAATACATGTACATCTCTAAAGCGATAGTCGCACTCTTGGGCATGAAGAAACTCTTGAAATACCACACCAGACTCGGCGAATTGCTTCTGCACTCTCTCTCCGTCAACGAGAACCTGGCCTGGCTGAGGCTCAAACTGTTTAAGAGCATTCCTTTCAGCCCAAGCACTAAGTGGCTGGATCGGGAACGATCCAAAAACCATTACTGAACGAAGGAATGGATGCGTGCTGCTACATGTTTGGGAAAACTCGTCCAGTGCGAGGGATAATAAACGCAAATGCGGGAGGGGATTCTTCTGCAGAAAGAAGTATTCTTCTTCCTCCGAATCCTCCCGCTCGTAGCGATTGGCAGCATACTAGTCGTTAATTGTGAGCGTCTTGAGACGAGGAGGGAGGATTGCCGCCAGCGGTCGAGTGGCAAACCATTGTTTGAGTTCAATAAAGGCAACCCGATGCGCAGGTGCTCAAGGGCTACTAGGGAGGGCAGACAAGATAGTTGCTGATCAGCCCTCCATTTCGTGGTCTGGGGGGCGAGATCCAGAGTCTTCAGCGTTGTTGCCAGTGCTATTAGGGATGTATCCAAGATATTGACATCTGTCACAGGTCTCTGAGGTCTTGGCCGGTAAAAGGGCTCTTGCTCGGAGTAATAAGTAGCGCACATCCCAAGCGCAGTCAAAGGCCAGTGTTCGCAAACATACTCAAGCATCTCTTGGTCGAAAGCGGCCGATGTAAGAAAGGCCCGCTGTATTTTCAAGTTCGCGAGGGGCACCTGGCTGTGCAATCCAATTCCCCTTGTTGCGGTGTCCATGTCGGTCTCAAGTTCTTTCAAGTTTGGAGCTTGGAGTATGCTAAGGCATGCGTCGATCTGGAACGTGTAGTAAGGTCGGGCTTTTGCATTCCAGCTATCGGTTCGTGGAATGACGGTAAGTCTGACGGCGTCAAGGTTCTGCAATGTGGCCGAGGATAGCCGCGCATCATGGGATACTCGTCCAAGGAGCGAGCTTAGGGTATTGTAGGTGCCCCTGTTCGTGTGGTCGGAGACATCCTCATCGAAGTCCTTCACATACCCTCGACACCACGCTTTTCCAGGTGGGGGTGGAAACGCCAACGTTCGAAGCTGAGGAATGAGACAGAGAATTGCCGTGAAAATTCTTTCGGCAAGATCATGAGATGTCCCTCCATTCGAAAGACTGACATGGTCCAGTACGGCGCAGTCATACTCGGATTTGGCGCAACTGAAAGTCTTTTGCGAAAAGCCAAGCTCCCACTTTGTCACGGCCCGCAGGGAAGATTGAGGGGGGCCGAACCAATCTTTGACTTTGACATCCAGTAGAAAGAAAAGAAGATCCAAGTGATGGACATATTTTCGAAGCTGCGGCCGCTCCAGCATCGTGTGTAGAAATAAAGCAAGTGTAGCGATGCCTCGGTCAGGAAATATCTGGTCCTTCTCCGTTGATAGCTTAGGCACGTCAAGCTCGATCCCCTTTTTGAGGATAACTTGTTGATACAGGAACGGGGCCACGGCTGCGTTGAGCTTCCGAGACGACAGGGAAATGGCAAGTAGGCTGCGTTTGCGTTCCTATTCAGCCTGACCACGAATGGGGGAATAGTAGGGGTGAGGATAGCCGGTGTCCTTGTTCATTGTACATTTGTCAATGAGGCATTTGATGATATCCCGAAGTATCTCACTGGGTAGGGTTTCAAGCCGGCTTGGCTTGGCACTGGGACTCATTGTTGCTGTAATGGACTTGAATAGTGGCGTGGGATATCTGAACTTGGAAGTAAAAGCCTAGCGACTGGACTGTTGACGGCTAGCAAGAATTATGGGTTTTTGAGAAATAGAGGAGACGATCGACCGACTGTGGGGAGCCGATGTGCTTCACTACCCCGCCCTAATAAGTGCATTCGCTTATCGTCACTAGTGTCCACACTAAGCATGCCCAGGCAGGGCATCAAAGGTGACTGACGGACATTTGGTTCGGCTTTCGTGGGGTCAGCACCGTCGAAAGACTATTTTGAAGCATCATACTTCTAGAAGGTAGGTCTGGAGAATTTACAAGAGGGAACTCGACTCTCTCACATATCTATCGTCATGTATACTTTATTGCTACGTGCCTAAATAATAAATAGCCTCCTTAGAGGGATACACAGAATGGCGCCGCACAGGCGTCTCGCTAAGTCGACCCGAAGTCGCGCTGGACTATTCATTTGAGGTCCGACAGATCTGTGACTTCGATCATCCAATAGAAAAACATCTAATTGGATGCTTTTTCTCGTCTGCTGCGGAATAAGACAGGGCAAGGCTTCAGAGATGCCTGCGGCAGCCTGTTAAGTGGCGATGTAGGAGCTGAGGTCGGATAAGGATCGTGAAGGCTCTTGTAAAAGTCTCTTAAAAACGCAGCAAAAATTCAGTATTGACTCTGACAACAAAGACTTTCAGACTTCTGTCTCTCTGACTGAAAAGAAAAATGTCAAGGAAATATCCCATGCCTCCTCCCCTTCCTTTGTGTGCAGCTTCCTCCCTTATATATCCCTGTCCCTGCTAGCTACCAGGTAGCCCAAAAGTCCCTGACCGCCTGTTATTGTCACAACTCAAATGTATTAGATGTAAATGAACTGGACAGGACTTCTAGCTCCTCGAAAGCGTACCTGTAACAGCTTGTTCAATGTGGTTAGCTACTAAATGCGGGTTCGACAAAAAAGGAGAATGAGACGCTTTGATGTGAAATACAGCCGAGTCTGGCCCAAGTAACGCTGCCATTTCTTCTTGAACAGGTAGTGGAATCGCCCTATCGTCATCACAGCAGATATATGCGCACTTGATATCATGCCAGGGCTCGTAAGTGATCTTGTCCTCGAATATCTTCAGCGGTTCAGGTCTCAATAGCCCGATGAACTTTTTTCCCATAGACGGTGGCACGTCGTGGTAAAATACGTCTTCTGGTGTGACAACATGTACGAAGCTCCCCTAGCACTTAAAGTCAGCTTCTTCATAACCCTTGGGCTTGGACTGTGACGTCTACTTGCCTGGAGTTTCTGCCATGGGGGAAGAGTCCCTCCGGATGCCTCTAGGATACTAACGCCCTTTGGGATGACAAACGCTGTCAAGTAAACAAGCAGAATCACACCACCGTGTTGCCCCGCGGCGGCTCGATGCTTGCTGGCAAGGCCTTCAACAGCACACGAGCTGGTAGCACCACCATATGAGTGGGCAACGACAACAATCTCCTTTCCCTCGTCGCAAAGCCTCTGCAAAACCTTTCGAATAGCAGCCGCGTTCTCAGCCGTCCCCACTGCGGTGCCGGAATCAGCACCTGGAGAAGGGTGGGCGGGTGCTTCCGTCGGCCATCCGCGCTTGTGGAGCTCGCCACGGAGCAGATCGAAGCAATCGACTGAATGCCAGGCACCGTGAACGAGTACGATAGTCGGTTTCGTTGCGGGCGCCATATTATATATCATGAAGGTAGAATGCATACCAAGGCAATGGAGTGTCGAACTAGCGTTTCCTGAAACGAGAAGCAGAGTGCTGTTGTCGCGTTGGGATGAATGTGCACTTTGCTTGGGATGCCGAATTCAATTTTCTGATGCAGACCAACTCGCGAGAAAAATCCGTGAATAAGCTGGAAATGATTATATCCTGGAAATAAAGCACTCGCCCGCCAGTGACATCTTATAGCTAGGTGTTTTAAACCTAACTGCTGTTTAGATATCATCTAACTTTTAGTCTAAAAAGTAGGTTATCGCCGAAGCTTGACAGTGGATCGTGCAACTCCACACTAGAGCACGATACGTATCTGCCTGATAGGGAAGGGTGCCGATAAGAGCGTCGTTCGGCAGTCTTGGCTAACATCCGGCCGTATCAGTTGATTCAAAAGTGCAATTTTCCTGCGGCGATAAGCACGTGGACCATTTTCTCGTGGAAAATCCGTGCCGCTTGCTCCGACATACCCTGCCCTAGCTTAATTTGCGGCCCGTATACCGATAAGCCCCGGACCTGGCGCGTCGATCCACAAAGATGGAGAACATGGTGTATGGGCCAGCTTATGGGGAGGTTTTACATGCGTGTCCAGATGGAATTCAAAGGAATGCCTTCGCGATCTATGGAATTGTATTTGCTTTTTCAAAAGCAAGCATGGTACGAGATCCCGTGACAATTCAGAAACATGCAGCACGTGACATGATCGTTCGCATTCTGCCGTTGCCTCGTCTTGCAATCTGTTCTTCAATCTCTGATTCTTCACCAGATCCAAGATCACATCATCGCCACATCACCCTAGCAAATCATCCGACCAGACACCACCAATCAGGACGCAAAGATGGCCTCGATTACGATCGCAAACCTCCCGACCGAGATCCTGACCCAAATCTTCGGCAACTTCTGTCTCCACTGCTGCGGGGAACACGACCAGCCCTGCGATATAGGGCACTTGCGTGACCCCCTAGCACAAGAGCGGGGACAGATGCGAAGGAGCCGGTCGTGGTACTACAAGCACTACCGGCTCCCGCTGTGCGAGCTGAGCTTCGTGTCGCGGCGGTTCCGCGGCATTGCGCAGTCGGTCCTCCACCACGAGTTTGTCCTGGGAATTGGCGATTCCTGGCAGGCCTCGGGCTTCCAGTGGGACAGCCGCCTCGTTCTGTTTATGCGGACCATGAGGCGGCGACCCGACCTGGCCAACCTCGTCAAGGTCGTCTCTGTCCACCGGCTTCTCTTCCAGTCGATCCGCCAACACCACGCCAGCACCGCACTCGATCAATGCGCCAGTGCCTCGGGAATCCCCCTGCCCGCTGCTTGGAGGCGACGCGCCGCGCGAATCGCAGCGCTCCCCCTCGACGACAGACCACAACTCCCCGTTGACGAGTTTGCCGAGTACGCCGACTCGATTATGCTACATCGACAGAGCATGCCTACCGTAGGTGCTATGTCCTGGCTGGCACAAGAATTCACGCCTTACCACGAACGAAAGGAGAACTCGGTCGACGGCGAGATGCTCGCCATGCTGCTTTCCCAGCTGCCGAATCTGGAGCATCTGATCACCCAGGATCCCGAACGAGACATGTCCCCACTCCCGAACGGCGCGCTCAAGGCACTCAACGTGTCCCATCTGCCGCTCAAGACTCTCGACGTGGATATCCTGCCTGGCCCAATCATCGAAATGGCCTCCGGCTTGGAGACACTTAACCTTCGCAACGTCGCGTTTGTGGGCACCGCGGTCCCTTCCATGCCAAATCTGAAGGCTCTCCGGATGTATGACCTTAGCATGAGCGACTATGATCTCCGGGTCCTGCTCTCTGCCTGCTCCGGTGGCCTCCGTACATTTGTTTATGACGCGCCCCAATACGAAGAGGGCGAAGAACACTTTCGACTTTGCCCCGCAGTCAAGCACCTTTACAGGCACAGAGACACTCTAGAGCGCTTGAACATCGATTTACGCGCCAACCACAACCCTATCAGCCACGTAGACGATTTTTCTCTTACAGACTTCACCGCTCTGAAGCATCTGCTACTCAGCACCAATGCAATCATCATTCCCTTCAGCCAACGAAAGAACACTGATTTCCTCGCCAACCGTCTTCCCTCTTCAATCGTCTCATTGTCCTTCCCAAACGTTCAGTGCGACACGAAGTTGAGCATTTCGAAAGGGCTTTTCGGTCTTTGTGAGCGAATGAGGCTTCAACCATCGCAATTTCCGAAGCTCCGACAGGTCATTTGTGACGGACTGGCTCGATACCCTGACAACTTACTGGAAAATATGTTCGAGGCAGTGGATGTCGTGTTTCGATACGAGCGCTGGGAGGTAGCCCGCCATCTTTGCCGTCCCCAACAGTTTGTCGGGGAATCCACAGTTCCGATCCACATCCGTTTTAACTAATTGGCCGGGCTTCAAATGATCACGAATGCGCTATTCAGCCGAAGACCGAGCATGCGAGTATGACCTTGTTTTTTCAGGCGCCAGACGATGACTTCTAACGACTTTCGGAGTTCTCAATACGGGGCAGGTGGATGGATGGAATCTCAATTTTAATAGAATCCTTGATTTAGTTTTTTTATGCAGCTGTATTGTTCAATCATTATTTGACACGTCCTTGAGCATCCCTTTGCCTTTCAATCCGCATACCTATATTATGCTCCTTGTGGATCGTAAGCAACAGCCTCGATCTCAATGAGCATCTCTGGAAAGGCGAGCTTCTCCACACCTACTGCCGTCCATATGGGCCTGTGATCCGGAAACCACTTTTCCAAGTTCTCCTTCATAGAGCTAAGGGCCTCCCGCGAGAGATTGGGGTGGTATGAGTTGATGCGAAACACCTGCGAAATTCCCTGACCGCCAGCGCTTTTCAAAGCGTGGTCAATATTGCAGAAAGCCTGGTCGATCTGCGCCTTTAAATCTGTAGGAAAGACTGGAGGAGCCGAGTTGGGGTCCCATGCACCTGATGTACGTTAGTTGTCGCTACACTAGCAGTATGGGAGCGTAGCAGCAGAGGACGCTTGCGCATACCTTGTCCCGAAATCTCGATTCGGTCCCCCACACGAACTGCTTGGCTGTATCCGTAGTTTTCACGGGCGAATTTGCCATAGCCGTCGTAATCGAAATACTTCAAGTTCGACATGATGGCAGTGTGATAATTTTGGCTGAACTTATCGATTGGCGTGGATAGTTGACTGATTGCTTCATACACGGATCAACGTGGGTTGTTAGTCGCATTAATGTCAAGCGCGATTCGCCCCAGCAATCCAGAAGAAGCGAGGCTTATCTTCGAATTGTCGAGCTCCCCGCATGGTAGCAAGAGAAGTGATGTTCCATTCAGCGTGGCCGTTATCTTTTTTTTCTTCATCTTCGGCTTTCATGCGAGACATGGGCACTCCTTGCACTGATGTTCTCCTCCGATAACTAATGGCTTGACCTTGGACGCGACCGATTCGGCCGCGCTCGGTGCATGGTGTTGTTGATACGAAACCACCCCACTTGGCGTCGGCTTTTGATACGTTATCGTCCGTATCTAAGATACGAGGGGACCGAGTCTTGGAGTCGATCTGGGGTCAGGTACCGAGTAAAAGTTTGGCTCGCTTGGGTAGGAACAAGAAGATTAAGAAAGAATTGGCAGATTCAAAATGATCGAGTGAAGCAATTGTGTATGGATTCGGTCTAGTCTCCAGCCGTTGGTCACTTCTGATCTTGGTTGGTTACGCATGGGCTGCTGATGCAGTTTCCTTCCTCTCTCAAGGAATATGACATGGATTTCACCGGCAGAACAAGGCTCTCAAACAAAATTTGGCTATCCTACACCACTCCGATCTTGATAACTTGAAGGACAAGCAAAATGCCCGCTGTCACCAACAAATCAGAATTAAGCGCCAGCCGCGGGCAAGATTATTATTCCAGCCAAGCCCAAATATCGCCAAAAGAGCATGACAGCTTGGCTCCAGGTAGGGAAATGGAAAAGAATCATCGACAGATATCTGAGGTGCTTCTTTCTGGGCTACCTGACGGGGAGATGCCCGATAAAGAGGTCGGCAAAACTGAGGGTGTCCAGGCCCAGTCGCTTGATACCTCAGCCCAATGCATCTCAGACAACACTGTGCCAGACGAAAAACACCACGGGTTTCTGGGGTGGCTATCTCTTATACCGGAGATCGAAAACCCGTATCACTATGGAAAAAAAGCGAAATGGCTGATCACGGGTGTTGTGGCCATCGCCGCTGCCACTGCACCAATGGGTGCCTCCATCTTCTACCGTGAGCAGAACGTCCTTATCTAGGTGTGCTGCTGAAGGCATAATACTGACGATAGTTGCAGCTGCCACTCCCGACATGTCGAGGGATTTACAAGTTTCTTCGACAGTCATCAATCTGTCAGTGGCGTTCTACTTGCTCTCTTCATCAATTTTTCCACTATGGTGGTCATCCTTTTCAGAGACAGCAGGACGGCGCACGATATTGATAATATCGTTTCTCCTCCATGTGATCTTCACCTTTGTGTGCGGAATGAGCAACAATATCGCCATGCTAGTTGTTTTTCGACTTCTCTCTGGTGGTGCAGCCGCATCAGGACAGTCAGTCGGCGCCGGCACCATTGCCGACATATGGCGTCCGGAGGAACGCGGCTACGCCATGAGCATATTCTATCTCGGGCCATTGGCAGGGCCGCTGTTTTTGCCCTTGGTTGGAGGTGCTCTTACTGAGAAGTTTGGATGGCGGAGCACTATTTGGTTCCTGACCGGGTTTGGCATCTTGGTCTTGGTGTTGATCCTGCTTGCCTTGCCCGAGACCTTGTCGGTGCAACGCAAAGTGGAAGCATCAAGCCTCGATGCAGCCCAAAGGACCGCGATTGCAGTTCCCGCCTCTCAAGTCCATCCCTTCAAGAGAATGGTGGGACTTGTTAAACGCTGCATGGTTGAGCCTTTGAGAGTCGTGGTGTATCTGCGCTTTCCTGCCGTTGCGATTGTCATCTACTGTGCTGCCGTGGCGTTCGGGTCGTGCTACGTTCTCAACATATCCATGGAAGATGCATTTTCCGAGTTGCCGTATGGATACTCACCCACCATTGTCGGGCTGTTGTTTATCCCGAGTACTATAGGGTGCATCGTGACATCCGTATTCGGGGGTGCCTGGATTGATCGCATCATGGTTCGAGCCGCAGAGCAAGCTGGTCGTTACGACTCAGACGGCCAGCTCATTTACCTCCCAGAGGATCGGATGGGTCTCAATGCATGGGTTTCACTCACCGTCTACCCAGCATCGCTCATTTGGTACGGGTGGACAGTGCAATACGGCGTGCACTGGATAGCACCATCAATTGCGGTATTACTCTTCGGCGCAGGGTCAATGATGGTCTTCAGCGCGACCACTACGATGTTAACGGAATTTATGCCACGGACGAGCAGCAGCGGGGTGGCTCTGAATAATTTCATCAGGAACATTTTCAGTTGTATCGGCACCATCGTTGCGCAGCCTCTCATTGATGTCATGGGGCATGGCTGGCTCTTGACCATGGTGGGACTCGTGGCATGGACAACTGGAAACGGATGTGTCTATTTGCTGAGACGTAACAGTCAAAAGTGGAGGATGGAGTTGGACAAGGCTTTGAATGATTAGTGCTAGACCTGGATGACGATATGTTAATTCATGTGGTGGCGCTGCGAGCTCGCATAATTTTCATAGCGTCGTCGCGAGGAAGAATCCTTATCTTATTCAAGGTTTCCTACGTACTGTTGCGTACCTAGATTATTCTGGGTCTCGCCAGGGCCGTTTTAGTGGTAATGCTATGGATGGTTCCTCGAAAGGCTCTTCCTGCGGCATTCAGATTGACCTCTGGTGCCCGATGCCTTCAATACCATATTGTACGTCATCCCGGGAACCTGCCGGTATCTGATGTATTTATCTCCGTGTTTCTTGACTATTTAACCCCATATTGCAGGCGTCGATGCAATCTACCGAATGCTTTGATAACACTGGGGTGAGTTGTCCACTGGTAGGTTGTCATAACAAATGACGTGTGTCTTCGACAAAACTTTGACTGTTACTGTTATAAGTAAAGGTGGGACTTCTGTATCAAATGCATAGGTTGCCCTACTCTATTATAGTGCCTTGGTAACAGTCCTACCGACCTAACATCGAGACTTGCGAGTACATGGAGAGTTGATTTTTAAAATTCCTTGATTCGAGATTCAGGCCACATCGCACCTCTCAAGCCTATGGCCCCGAAGAGTATAAATCCATTCTTCTTCTCGTCATACTTCTCCGTATCCGATGATCCTGCTCTTCATCGTGATGTAGCTGCTCCCCCGGTAGTCTCACAGCCTGGTCCAACGCGACCGGCAACCCGCGATGCCTGCCACGGAGCATGACGAGGCACAATATAAGCTTGCTCGCAGTATGCCACGCTCCAGAGAAACTATACGCAGCTGTCGGGATCCCTACGGAGATGCCTACCGTGCCGTACGCAGACACGACCTCGAAGATGATATTAAACACGGAAAATGTGATTGGATCCGCCATGAAGTTTGAGGTTTCAATCGTGGTGATCACTAGGACTGCCACCACCAGCCACCAGATGTCGTGTGCTAGCTGCCCGTGAATCTGCTGGCTGATGAAACTAATGCGGCTGTTTGTGTTGCTGCTGCGGTCCGGGCGAGACGATGCGGGACCGTCGTCGGGCTTGTTGCCGCGCTTCATGGGCGGGACGCCGACGCCGTGCCAGGTGAAGGTGCGCTGCAAGGCGTGCCCGACGTCGACGGCCGCGCTGGAGCGGCTCAGCCGGCGAACAAGAGTTGAGCCTTTCGATAGCACGCCGTTGGTGTTCGAAGCCTGGGCGGAGTTGTGGCTATTAGGCGAGAGCAGCGGAGAGACTGCCTCGGGGTCGGAATCGAAGTTGGATAACTCATCACCACCATAGATACCGAGCGAACGCTCCTCGTAGACGTTGGAGTGGCGCATCGTAATGACTACGGGGTACACGGAAATGTACATCATAATAACATAGAGCACCTGGAGGCCGATATAGAGCTGGGAGATGGGCACGATATAGAAGCCACCAGACCGGACGGCTATGAGAAACGTTTTAGAGTATTGATCGAGGAAATTAGTGTTGAAAGCTTACCGAGGGCCTGGAAAAGGCCGTCAATGATGCGAGAGCCTACAGAAAGACTCTCGATAAATGGATTTCCGAGATTCAGAAGCTCAAATGCGACCCAATCAATGGAATTCAACGACACGAGCATGAAGAAAAGCCACCAGGTCGGACGAGACGGGAATAGGTTTGTGTAGACTCGTCGAGGGTACTTGAGAATAAACTCGAGGGTGGCCTTGAGTTCCTCAAAGGCATCTTCTTTGGTTACGGCTTTCAAGAGCTTGAGGCCCGTCCATATAATAAGGCGGAGGAAGAGAGGGTAGGCAGTATTGCCGGCCAGGATCATCAGGCCCATTGTAATGAGGACGAAGTAGGAGTTCTGGAATGGTATCATGTTCGCGTCCAGGAGCGACATGCCCGAATTATTAAAGGCTGAGACGCCGTTGAAGATGCCGAGCCACCACGGGTTGATGCCGTTCGCTTTTGCAGTATCCGGCATGTTTTTGCTTATCCATGCCCCAAGCGCGATGCATCCTAGGAACTGCCACAGGAAGAAGTAGATGGGCACCACGGCTGCAAGGACTTTCAGGGCACGGTACTCGCACCCGCCGAGATTTTCACGTTCCTCGCTTGTGAGGCTATGAAACTGGCCGTTGTGATTCGAGGAGTGGCTCCTAAGGAAATGATGTATGCCGAGATCGACATTCGCGTGGTCCCCGAGCGTCTTGGCGGCGCCGTTTCTCCGCGTGGGCTGGATCTCGTCGAAGTAGGAAGTGCCGGTAGAAGTGGCATTGTTGTCCACGGCCCTCTGCGGAGCGTCGACAAAGACAATGTGTCCGCCGGGACTGGGCGGCTCCGCTAAATCCTTGGCTGGCTCCGTCGAAGTCTTGAATAGCCCCACGAGGTCGGCATCGGGTAAGGACGAAGCATGCTGAGATCTTGGCGTCTCCTTGTGAATCTGCGGCCCGTCTACGACAGGATCCAATGCTCTCCTTCCTGTCGCTGGTAGAATCTGGTCGGGCAGAGGGACGGTCTGCGCCTTGCGGAATGAGACTGCCTTCCACAGCTTCGGTAGGGCGAGTGATATGCTGCTATTCTGTCGGCTGAGCCTGCGGGCGCGCTCGGCACGCACGACACGCTCGAAGCGCTTCTCAAAGACGTGTTTGCGCGCCATCACTGTCCAAATAGAGACCCAGATGGTGCTGCCCAGCATGATAAGGAGGAACAGCATCGTCTGCTGCCAGGTCGTCATGATGCTGAGGTTGACTGTGTTCAATCCGGCCTCGGTCATGGCAGACACCACGAGGAACAGACTATCGGTGTAGCTGATGGCCGAGGCAGGGTCCGACGACTGCCAGAAAATGACAGAGCTAATCAAACACACGACGGAGAAGTAGGCATAGTGGATGGTGATGAAGTTCAATGGCGGCAAATACCTACGTGCTGAGACGACCTTTGCCACCCACGGATAGTCGTCGACGAAGTCATCCCAGCGCAACATTTTGTCCAAAGATATATGGCTTCGGAATACGGCGACATAATTATCTGTGTATGACTAGAATCTCACCTGCCTGGCTATTTGAGGCGGGAATGGGATGTTTTGCGGTGGCTCGGACGGGCCGATTGAGCCGAAATGAAATCTTGCTATGGCTGCAAACTTAGAGCGACAGCCAATGGTTGGCATGGAATGACGAAGCCGGATCCAGGATAGTTTCCGTACTGTCATACCGTCATCGATCACGTGGTCTGTTTTAAGATTGTTGGATAGGTAGCGTACGGCACATTCGATCCGAGAGATTGGTGTTCATGACGGATGTAGAGCAAGACCATAATCCCGGCCTTTGTCACACAACAGCGCTCATGCCGGACCGGCTCGAAGTCTAGGTCTCAAAGTACAGCGGTGAGTTTCTGCTCCCAAAGGAGAGGGGATTCTAGCAGGAGGTGCTCTTACCGAGAAGTTTGGATGGTGGTGAATGATTAGCACTAGACCTGGGTGACGATAGGGTAATTCATTTAGCGATGCCCATGATTGGATTTAGAGGCCAACGAGGAGAGCGATATGTTTTTGAAGTGTGTGTCTGTAGCCGATGTGGACAGCAAGTATTTCTTACTGATATATAAATCCTTTAAATGAGCTGCGTCTCAATCTCCCCAAAGTTCAGACAAGGCGCGCACTTCCCGCCCATGACCCTTATCTGTGTACTCTGGAAGCTTGAGCGCTATCGTCCAGTGTAAATTAGAGATGACCCCGCAAACGTTGGCTGCTGAGTCATGGCGGCTTCAGCCGAGGACTCGATTTAGCTGAGCTGCTAATCTGCCGACAACTCGGCTTATCTGCTGTGATTCATCTTGCGATCCCCAAATGCCTCATGCTTCTCGTTACTTGCAGAAAACCAACTGAAAAAACGGGCCATATCAATTGCGCGGCACTGGTCTGGACTCCTATCTTACGTGCCACGTGCTCTTAGTATGGCCGAGACAAACTCGGAGTCACGATTGTCACAAATCCAGATGCAGACACTCACCGCAGTATGCTTAACCCTGCCTCTTCTCCCTAATCAGATACGCCATAAATGACACATCGCTAAAATCCGTTTTTATTCAAAGTGCGACCTATGCCATTATAGAAAGGTAGAGTAAAGTCGCTTGAGGCAGCTAGATCTTGTCTGTGTTGGTGCACTGGCTTACTTGGCCATTATACAGGTCAGATGTGACAGAAAGGACCCCTGTGGTCGCTGCACCGAGTCCATTGTCCAGTGCCTACGTACGAGGCTATTGATACGCACAAGGAAGAGACGCCAGCGTTGGATGGAGCACCCGTAAGGTTCCCTTTTCCCTGCTTCCATATTCCTATTAACCTGGATTAGAACTGACACCTTAACTACCCACGCTGATCAACGACTTACCCAAAACTCAGAGCTGGAAACCTATCTTCCCCGTGATGAAGAACACTTGGATTCTCCAGTGCCCACGCCTCGGACCATGTTGAGTCCGTCGAATTGGGCTCTGGGCCAGGGCGAGACTACATCCAGGCTTGACCTAATCGACAATATAGGATTGAATGTCCATCAACCACAGTCTCAGCAAAGCCCAAACCAATCCGCGACAGCATCTCCCTGGGGACGTCCTACAGGGTCGACTTTGTCCCATGATACATCGTCTGATAAGGGAGAGAGGCGAGAGAGCCAGATAGCTGCAGCGTTCGAAGCACAAGCTTATATGCAGAGCGAGCTGCAAGAAAACCAAAGGATAGGCCACCAACAACGTGAGATATTGCAACTAGCCATCGAATTATCCTCCCAAAACGCTTCAAGGAATGAAGGGCCCGTATCAGACGTAGACGCGCCGCCTACGGAGAGAGCAGATTTCCTTGACCCCAGCATGTACCCTTCCTCTGAGGCTGTGTGCTTTTTACTGAGCGGTGAGATAAAACATGGATTATGACTTAAACTTATGCCAGAGTGCTCATGTAACTAGGTTCTCGAACTGTAGCCGCCTCATTTCACTCAGAACTGTCATCCATCATCTCTAGGGTGACCTTTGAACGAATGGCTTTCGCTCTTATAGACCAGCAGGTTCATGGCCACACACGCGTACAGTATATCGTGTGTGTAAATTTCATTGCTCTTACGTTTGCTGTTGGCCTTGAGGCAGAAGACCAAACTCGGTCTATCCAAGAACGTCTCAAGACCCTGCAAGATGGATATCGAAGGAATGCCTTCACAGCCTTGCGCCATGTCAGCATTCTCGACCCTCCGAGCTTACCGCTCTTGCAGACCCTACTATCAGGTGTAAGTCAGGCTTTCTTTCCACTTCGAAGCAAGTTCATCCAATTTCAGCGGGCTTACTGTACTCGTCTAGGCAATCCTCTACCAGATGGCAGGTAGTGTTGATAAATGCGCGCAGCTTAGTACCGCCGCTTGCGTTGTGTGCACACACTTGGGCGGCCGCTATTTCGCAAACCTAGCTGCTGGGGCTTCTCAAGCAGAATCTCTAGAAGTTCGGCAGAGTCTTGGGCATTGCTACATATTGGATAAATCCCTGGCCATGACTCTGGGCCGCCGTTCATTCTTGCCGGAGATGGAGGTCGACGCGGCCATGCTGATACCACCAGCAGTAGAGAAACCGAGCGCACCTATCTTCAACGTCTACATTGAGTTTGCCAAGATCCAGGACAGTATTGCTCGCGACATGCGAGCGCATCATCCAGGCACCAGCAGTAAGAGGTTGGAGGCTGTAAACTCTCTTCGTAAGAGGATGAAGGATATTCGAGTCAAGATTCGAGAGGTTTGAGGGTTCTTCAAGCAACCCCTTTGCAGATTTGGTGACTAACCGTGCTTCATAGTTTCGCCTCCAGCCCCCCCATTGCACTGAGCACCTACTCCAGGGAGAGTGGATGGGTGTAGATTTCACATACTTCACCATCATGACGACGATCATCCGCCTACATCCAGACTTTTCGACGAATGAACACGTCAGAGAGGACTGCCTCGAGAACGCGAGGCGTTCTTTGTCCGAGCTCAAGAATATGGAGAATCATGGTTTCAAATCTGGAAAATACCGGAACGCCTACTGTTATTCCGTCGCCTGGTGAGTTGTGGACGCAAATTTGCTGTCCATATATCACCTCTGCACGACTGACTTCTAACCGCTCACAGGATCGTGCTATTGTACCCTCTATGCCCTTTCTTTACACTGTTTTGTCATGTTGTGGAGACAGGGAACGAGAGCGATTTCCAACTTCTGAAAGAAGTCGCTGATGGGCTGTCGATGTTCGCAGAGTATATTGCATCGGTTGGAAACCTCCAGAAATTATGCAACACACTCATCTCTTTGTGTACAACACATCTAGATGCCTTGATTGATGTTCCGAACTCATGTTAGGACGCTGGAGAGTCCGTAGCAGAAACCCAAATTGAGGCTCAGCTGGCTGGGGAACGCAACACAACCCAACAGTGCGTTGATGTCATGTAGAGGGTTTTATTTCGGAGGATAATCATACGGTGTGTCTTTCTGCAGTCTTGTCTTTACATTGAGGTATGCGGCTCCCGATTCTAAGAATGAGATTGGTTTTCTTGTTCTTTTAGCCTAAGGTTACACTATCTTTGTGGCTCTGTGGTAGAATGAATTCCTTCGAGTAACTCCTTCTCTAACCATTCGTCGCCGTACCGCATTAAAATGTAGTTCTTGAAACCGCAGTCCTAGTGATTTCAGACTTTGAGTGCTGATTAAGTCTGCTGTGTCGTTGACTTCCACCAACTATGATCGAATGGATGCCTTCATGTTTCGCTCTCTCGCCGCTTCCACGGCTGCATCCCATGAGGTGGAATAAATATAGTACCCTCCAATCAACGAGTTTCTGTGGCATCGTTAGCAATATTCCAGCCATTCTGGAGAACATGCGAAGACTAACAAACCAAGAGCAACTGCAATCCCTGTCCACAGACCGAAAAGCTCCCATCGCAGCCAGAAAGCGGTCATAAAGCTGATTGGCATGGCGATGATGTAATAGCAGAATACACTTATCAAGCCGCCGACCGATTGTTTTCCCAAACTCCTCAAAATCCCATTGAAGGTTATCGCCAAAGAGTCAAATAGCTGGAACGTTGCGATGATAGGGACGACCTCGATGACTTGCTCGACGACACTTTCATCAGATGTCAACCAACCAGCAGCAGAACCGCCTAGTCGTATCATGAGCACGAAGTTGAGCGCCCCGATTAAACAAGCACCATACGCCGCAATCTATTACTCGTTAGATAATGCCGTTGTTCACAATTAGGTTGTCGGGTACTTACCGTAGCACATTGCTTCGCTTGGTTGGGAGCACCTCCTCCAATGAGATTGGCTATTTGGGTTGAAGCAGCTATCGCGAGCGCAAACGGAGCCTGAAAAGTCAATGCAATCAAGGGGCCGACGATGCTCTCGGCAGCCAACTGCGTCGTGGAGAGGTATGAAGCTGCAAGGGTCAACACTTCGAAAGCGAGAAACTCTGCTTCAAGCATGAGAAAGCCCGGGAATGCTAATTTGATCATTATACTCCAGTTTTGGAAGACCTTGGTTGTAAACCCGCCCCAACACTTTCTGCCGTCGATGAAATAGACGTAAAGAAACAAGCAAAACGGGAGTAGATTGTTAGTGATTGCAATCGAAATCGGGGCACCAATGAAACCCAGTTCCAGTTTCCAGACGAGAAACCAGTTGAGAAGAGCGTTTAACGGAGCAAGTACAAGTAGAATATGTGTTGCGGCGTGGAATATTCCTTGGGATTGGACGAATCGTTTGCCCGCCTCGAACGATGCATATCCTGGGGCGCCAAGGAACAAAATCTTCATGTATACTCCAGCGAGGTCTGCCGTTCTCTTGTCAGGTACCATCACACCTAGGATCTTGTCGGCATTGAGCCAGATGATTCCAATAGGGATGGTCAATAGCCACAAGAAAATTACCATCTGTTGAAAGTAGAGGCCAACCAGATGATGCCTCCCGGACCCGTAGGCTTGTGCACAAAGTGTGTCGAGGGCAGTTGCCATTCCTTGGTAGACGGCATACCCGGTAATATTTGCTGACATGATGGATAATGAAACTGGAACGAATTAATTATTGCTCCGTCGCTGCATCGCCGAAGGACCTGCCTGCTGCTAGCTCAATCTCCCCTAAATGACCAACCGCAAATATATTGGTAATGGAAAGAGAATGTTGTAATAGTCCTGCAACTATGAGCGGCACTGAATTTCTCGCTAGCAATCGAGCGTCTCGCACCCAATTCGAGTTGGCTTTCCCTCATGCTTCGTCAGTGGCGACCTCCCTTTTGGGATTACTTTTATCGTACCATTGGTTGAGTCAAGCCGGTGATTAGCCAACAATGGCATCCTCTCAGAGGCGGGCTCTTGAGGGAAGGAGGAAGAGAGTCCATTTTCATACGAGGCTTGTCCGTCCATGGTGACCAGATGGAGGGGAATACTGCGTAGCGATGATCCTGTAGATGCAAACAAGGATATAATCTCATCCAATAGCCGCGAACAAATCAGTTGGGGCAAAAGAATGCTCCCCCTAAAGAATGGAAACGTATTAAACGTAAGAATTCTTTCTCAGGCTACAAATATTAATGGAGAATGGTATCAATTTCCGAAGAACCCATGTAGGTTTAGCTTCTATGGCTATTACGAAGCCGGAGAACTATTTGGCCTCCAAACCGACTTTCCAAGACCAGAAGCTGAACGCCCCGGCATCAAAGGGATTGTCGTTTGGGAACTGGAAAGTACTTTGGTACCTGGGTGGTATCTCGTATCAAGCACCATCCCCACCCATATCGGTCGATATGATAGCCGGAAAATCCGATCCTGTGTGCCTTATCAGGTAGTCGGATGACGGAACGTCTTATCATTACCCGTCGGCAAACGGGTACTCGTATCTTGGCGTGAGTTAGGGCTGTCTCGGATTACGATCGGTCAGCTTCTGTAGGAGCATTATTGACCTTAAACTTGACTACTATTGAGTGCATTTCATCTTGAGCGGTATTCAGTTTAGATTCACCTTCGATACAATCAATTCACTAACTCTGCCATTCTCCATGATCCATTCAAGAGCTTTGGTTACTATCGCAGTGCTTGGCAGCCTGTCTGGCGCAGCGATAGCGGTCCCCAGGCCACAACATGACCAGGTCCCGCTGGCCTCACAGTCTCACCACGAGCAGACTTTCCACGAGACTTCCATCTACAGATCATCAAAGATCGCCAACGCGATGGGGCATGGGTCCAACACGCCTCCAGAGTTTCACTTGTACGATAATTTTGGAAAGGACTCGCCGATGCCTGGAATAGCGACCTTTGCTCACATCAACTGGACTAACTGCTTTGTTCCTGAGAATGATGGGTCTTTTGACATTGGCATCGTCGGTATGCCATTTGACTTGGGTGTGAGCTATCGCCCAGGTCAGCGCTTTGGGCCGATAGCTACCCGAATGGCTGCGCAACGAATGGCCCCTTTCATTTCCTGGAGGTTAGACTTAATTCCTTCCAGTAATTGCTGGGGGATTTAACTGACATTTATCAGTATGGCCCATGACATGGTCAACCCGTTTTTGGATTGGGCGACTGTTACCGACTGCGGCGACATTCCCAATTCAGTATTCGACAAATATGAAGCGGTTCAGGAACTTGGTAGTGGACTTCATTCCATGGCTTCCCGAAAACCAAAGAACACGGCCATGGTTGACAAGGTTCGCCTAATAACCCTTGGTGGTGACCACACTATTAGTAAGTGCGGGTTTTTGAGAGCAACGCGCTTCAACGGAGCTTAAATGCGAGGCTAATTATCTGCATAGCCCTTCCATCTCTTAGGGCCCTTTACCCTATCTGGGGTGAAATCGCTGTTATTCACTTTGATTCACACCTTGATACATGGAACCCTGCCCAGTGGGGAGGGGGTGTAAACAAATACGATGAGATCACCCATGGCACGCTGTTGCATTTCGCTCACGAGGAGGGCCTCTTGAAAAACGACACGGGAGTTCACGTCGGCACCCGAGCGGTACTCTTTGACAAAACGGAAGATCTCCGACATGATGCCGAATGTGGGTTCCGGTGTATCATGGCCACGGACATTGATACATTTGGGATTGATGCAATTGTCAAAAGCATCACTGAGAGGGTCGGCGATAGTCTTGTCTACGTCACCATTGACATCGATGTTTTAGATCCAGGTTAGTGAATAATGCCGCCAAGTAAGTTTTCTCTAACCTAAGTTCTAGCTTTCGCTCCAGCCACTGGCACGACTGAGATTGGAGGCTGGTCGACGCGTGAGCTCATGGCCGTGATTAGGGGGCTTAGCAATGCAGGTGTAAAGATCATCGGGGCTGACATCGCAGAGCTTTCACCCGTCTATGACGATGTCTCTCAGTCGACGGCGACAGCTGTTGCGCAGCTCGTTTTTGAGTTGTTACAATGGATGGTCAAAGTACCAGTCACGCGAGACTAGCCAGTCCCCCGTCTGGATTCGGTCAATTTGTGTAGCTAGTTGTGTAAAAATTGACAACTTGTTTGAAGAAATGCGATGATGAAGGTTATCAATGGTGCTCTATGTGTTAAAAACTCGTACGACACAATTTTATCTTCTCCTAGTCCATCAAGTATTCCTAGGTCCTTTTTTGCATTTCATTTGTCCTCATAAACCTCGTATTGAATGGCAAGATGGTCTCACTATAAGCTACCTACTGTTGGTAAACATATTATCTCACTTCCATTTGATCTGATACCATCACTTTTTGACGATGTTGAGACTCATGCGTATCAACGGAGAGAAGGTTTCCAAAAAAATCATGTCGTTGCTATATTCGTTAATTTACAGATAAGAGCCCCGAATTTTTCACCTTGAGATTCAAGATAATATGCTCAACTACCCAAATACTCATAGTCTTGCGTAGAAAACCCCGAAAAAATGCCATCTCGTACAAACCAAGATGCGAGGGTATAGGGTAACACACATCGCAGCAAGGGCTTAATCTCGTCGTGTCGTGTAGTTTTAGTGTGACGGGCGTGGTTTGCTTGGCTGTATCCACTATCTGCCGAATATAATCTAGACTACTACACCTTATCATCCGACCTGTTGCCCAAATCACGTATCTTATGTCGTATCTACCGTTATCAGTCTTGTTATCGTACCCTTGCTCCTGGCCACCACCGGTTTGGATCTAATTCGCATTCCTGCCACTTTCCTTGATACTCATCCCATGTTCCTGCTGTATCTTCCACTATCGCCTAGCTGTGATACAGTACCTATAGTCTAGTGGTGTAAGCGTTGATCTTGTGACCTTCGTCGGTATCATGCAATCGGGACGCCGCTGAGACTCGTAAGGTTGCCTTTATATCTAGCCATGACATTCAGATGACAGTGCTCTCTCACCACCTTTCGAGCAAATATTCTTCAGACATTGATTTTAGTTTCCTGACGCATTGAACCATGTCTGGGGAAGCCGCGACCAAGATCGAGGCAGGGTATCTGGTTTCTGACACTGAAGGCGAAGCAGTGATCGTTGGCGACACGCACCAAGATTTCCAGCGAAACTATAATGTTTGGACGTTGTCGGCACAGGCAGTTGTGCTTCCCGGATCTTGGGCCTTTGCAGCAACATCGCTCACAATCGCCATTTTCGGTGGCGGTGCGCCTGTTGCTATCTGGGGGACTATCGTCATCTCAGTATGCCTCTGCATGGTGGTTGCTTGCCTCGCCGAGTTCGGATCTGCCTATCCATCAGCTGCTGGATGTACATATATAGCTTCCAAGGTGGCTGGCCCGCAATGGGGCCGATTTTGCGTGAGTTACGCACCTTCATGTGGCTTTCCTGGGCTAGACACGTTCCGAGCGGGACATCGATACCCGGATGATTGGCTTGACTTGTGCTGATATTTTCTAGGGCTACATGACAGGAGCGTTCCACTGTCTGGGTGGTGTGTTCTCACCACCGGCATTCTTGATTGTGCTATCACAATTGGTTCTCACTTGCGCCGCCATCTTCCATGAATCTTATAGCCCCACGCGTTGGCAGGTCTTCTTGCTGTATCAGTTCTGGAACGTGGTAGCCCTCGTTGTCTTGCTCTACGGTAGTCGAATCCTGCCACTACTTAGTTCCATTGCCTGTACGATTGCCAACCCTTTTCAAAGACTATCACAACTGACTTGGTAAACAGTTGTGTTCTTGGCAGGTGGGTTATTTGTTACTATTGGACTTCTCGTCGGCTTCGCTCCAGTCAAGGCCTCAAACCAGTAAGCTGAGCAACTTAAACCCCATAACAACCATGGTTAACCACATTTATAGAGTCGTCTGGTTTGACTTCCAAAACCTGACTGGATATGAGTCTCCTATCATCTGCACGATGCTAGGTTTGCTGGGACCTGTCTACGGTTTTGGACCTCCTCACTTCCTTCTCAACATGGCCGAAGACGTCAAGAACCCATCCAAGAATATGCCCATCGCTCTGGCAGCTCAACAAATTGGAAGTACGATATTGTAAGTTTCAGATGTGGACTTCTACCTATTTCGTACTAATGTTGATAACGTAGGCTTTTGGCATTTTACATCGCAGCTTACTACACAGTTGTCGACTACGATGCTTTGTTCGCATCGACGTTTCCTTCTGTTGTTGGAGCTGTGTACCTGGACGCAACCAACAACCGTGCAGTGACCCTTGTCCTACTCATCATCGTCTTGGCACCGGCGTTCTTTTCGTGCTTTAGCTACTTCCTGGCAAACATCCGCCTTTTGTATGGATTTACGAGAGATGGAGCTGGTATGTCTTCCACACCACCGTTTAAGATTGTCTTCTTTTTATACACAAATCGCTAATGCACCCAAGTTCCGCACCGTGATTGGTTTTCCAAGGTTGATACGCGCCGAAATATCCCAATCAATATTCTCTACGTGTCAACATTTATCAACTTCCTCCTTGGTTTTATTTACCTTGGTAGCAGTGCTGGCTTCAGCATTATATTAGGATCTTCGGGAATATTCTACTGTGAGTACTGCATCGAGTCACTGATAGAGTCAAGTTATAACGTTGCTTAGGTGCCGGCTACATTGTGTTCTTCGTCCCAACAATATTTAATCGTCGTCGGTATATCGGCGATGGAGTATTCAAGCTTCCCTTCGGTGTCGGCATGGCCTTTGCGATTTTTTCGGTTATCTATGAGGCATGGACGATGGTTCTCTACTCTCTGCCTCCAGCATATCCAGTTACCCCCGAGAATGCCAATCTAACACCAGTGTTCCTGGTCGCCGGGACTTTGTTAAGTTTGGCAGGGTACCACTTTCACGGCCGTACACATTTCCAGACCTAATCGGGGAAAATATGGCACCACCTTTTAGACAATACATCGAGTAATTTACCCTCGTATTCTTATTGCATGGATCGTCGACGTCCCCAGAGTGCGAGACTTTTTCAGCATGAATACCTACTGTGTCCCTACCCTACTGTATTGCTCTGATTCCAAAGAGCCTTGCGGGATGATATGGAACTGAATGAAGGAGCTCAAGTACAAACAAGTACAAGATTAACGCCCAAGCCCGTTCACTCGACCACTTAAACATTTTGCTAGCCGTTTTCCGGATATTCGCTGGGACCGCGTACCTGAAAGCTCGTTTCACTCCGTCAACATCTACTGACTAATTTAATTATCAAGATATTCACCGAGCCTACATCTCCCCTCGGATGACGATTTGGACGTGGGCTGGCGGAGGAGAAAATCAGGGCGAGTAAGAAGTAGGTGCTGCGTTTGGGGCTGTATTAGTGTGCAAGCGTCCACAGCCGTTGCGAATGGACAGAGATGGACCGAGTATGCCGCCGAACATATCATGCTCGATGCATCGTTGCATACCTGGAGGACCCATACCTAAAGATAGAGGTGCCGTGGACCCGGCGACCGAGCCATTGTGTCGCAGTATGAAAACAGTGAGCGGTCAAAAATTAAGGGGACTGCGTATTAACTTTAAATACGTAGGGTGCATGTAATAGGTTCCATTGGGATGGGATGCTCAATAAGCTCTATTCATTTCCGAATCCAGAAAAGCTAAGGGAGATGCTGATTCAATCAATCTCAAGCTAACAATAAATATCCGATCAACGACATATTTGGAATATGGGTGCCGCCTTGATTTTTATGGAATCTTGCCGGGGAGTCTCTGACGCATCGCACTCCTTGGGCCGCCATTGGTAACATGATCTGCTCCGACTACGGACCGAACACAGCTAATCGTCGGATCATTTGCCACCGAGTTTCGTCGATGCCAAGGGTGGTGGCTCCACCATTGCAATTCCGGGAATTATTCGTTTAAGCCCATGCTTTTGGGCATCCGTACCTTCCCGAGAAGTGAAATATCCACAGTCTCATTTCCAGCCCCTGAAACCATACAATCGCAGCTCACATCAGCCAGTCGCTTGAATAACGATCCACTTCTACGCACTGATAAGGCGAGTGAGAGGTCTCTGACGGTGAAGGAGAGAAGATGATCGACATGATGATTCTCTAGGCATAACATGCTACTTTGAACTAGTTAGTTAATTTATTACGGTTCTGTGTTTTGGGGGTGGTAGAAGATTTAATGAAGAAACAAATGAGTGGCCGACAAAGCACTGAGGCTGACACTTGGTTGGTGGTTCTCTATTGCTTCTGGATGTTGTGCTACTGCAATTGTCAAATCACCCCTCTGCTTTGTCTGAAAAATCGATATTTTCTTCCCCATTGAATCCTCCCTTTACTATACGAGACCTAGATAAGCATTGGGCAATTCCTCTTACACGGACTACACCGTGGGACTCTTTGTGTTACATTTGGTGACATTGATGTGCAAGTATGAATGAGCAACTGAATTGACCTTGCCAAAACTTCTAAGGCCTAAGGCAAATTGGATAGGGAACCGATGGGCATGCGGCTCAGCTATCAGGAACGCAGCTAACCGAAGCACGTGGCTAAACATACATGCCGCATCCTCTCGCAATTTGCGCTCTGAATATCTTACTTCATGATTGGGAAGGAAACGAGTTGGGACCTTCAGGGCTGGTGGCAGAAAATGGTCGGCTAAGTTCTCTTGCCCTCGTGTTTGTGCATATAATATCTTTTAGTAGATCGTAATTTGCTGGGACCTTCAGATCTTCGTTGGTGTTTTGGTGTTTCCATGTTCTTCCTTAGCACCTCCGAAGCTTAAATGCTTCCCCACAAGTGGTTGCTGCCTTTGCAGACCTTGTATCGTTGGGCTCTGAGGCTAGACTCTGCAGGCCTGATTCCACTAGTGACGTTGTCGCGACCACAACATCCGCTCCGAACTAATCTCGACCACTCCTACTCCCTGTAGCTTCGAAATTGACGCTGGATATTTCGATGGGCAGTATCTCTACGGTATCTACGGTGGTGCCGCAAGGATCGTGCTCGATAGTAAGAAGGCCAAGGCGGAGATCTGCACACTTGAAGTGGGAGTATCATACCTGAAACTTGGCAACGACTACGCCCAAGTCGGCTCAAACTGGAATGACCGCGTAACAGCATACGTGCCGTATTTCTGAATTTGGTCTATCTGTATGTAGCCTAGAAAACTGCCGTCGTCAGTGCACGGGGTCGTCGGGTATTCTCAGTGGCTCTTCTTTTGAGTGAACTACTGTTCAGGTCCGGCGGGTTTGAGCTGGTTTACAGAAGATACCCCGGCTGGTGAAGTCAGTGAAATAGTATACATCAACCCCAAGTGCGACGAAGCTGTTGACTCTGGAAGATGCTCCGTCGCTAGACCAATTACTTGCATCCTCCAGCTAAGGGCCACCATTAATTTACGCCCTAAGCTTAACCGAATAAAAACCCCAAATTTAACAGTCGTATTGAGGCAGCACAAAGTTTCTGGAAGAAACTCAAGTGCCTCTAATTCTGCGGCGTTGATGTCACTGCGACTGGGTGCAATAGTGATTTGGAAAAGTTACACTGATCTATTCTTGTAGAGGGAAGTATGAGTGGGCTTTGTGCCTGGACGTTCCCCTACATGCATACCGAATTTTTTCGTAAAATACCGGCACAGGAGCCGGCCAGGGGAGATTCGCCGCAAACATGGGCCGGTAGACATGGGTCATGCTCCACTGAACTCGTTTGAACAGCCCAACTCAATTTTTGAGCAGTGGGCCGTAGATACGGGCATCCTGTCAATTCAATCGTTTCTTCATTTATTCGAAGGACGGGGCGGCCCTCCCGGAACTCAAAGTAGTGGCAAGGTGAGATGACACGTTCAGGCGACATTTCCCTCCTAATGGAACTTATCTTTCGAGCAAGGCACAGCCGTGTGGCAAAGCCCTTGGCATCATTTGAGGCTCGGTCTTATCTTTGCATCCCTGTCGTCAAGGCCTGACGTCCAGGGGCGTTCGCCGCTCACCGAGGACTTGGGATTGGGACCGCGCACCGGAAACTCGCCCGCGGCGTGGCTCGATCACGCTAGCGAAGCCTGATGCAACATGATTTTCTCGCTGTAAGGTGACGCATCGTTCCTCGCTACCGGGTCTAAAAGGGGTGGGGGTCTTCGATCAGGGATCGTACAGGCCAGTCCAGGGGGTCCCTGTTCGTTTTGCTCCGGTCGGAGCCTCAAATGAACGTCAATCGAAGCACGTCCGGCCTCCAAGCTGAGGGACACGTCGAATTTTTCTACTTTGTGGCTCGTTATTGGGCATGGTTCCGTTTGGGCTCTTATTTCGCCAAGGTATCGCCGTGGCCGTGTCCTGGGTTACGTATCGCACATCACGAGATTCTTAGCATATCATGATTCGCGGCAGCGATACGACAATTACTTCGGCCAGTTTTATGGATCGGGTGATTGCGTGGAAGCTTCCGTAGATGGGTATGAGTCCTCCTTTTTAGTCTATAAATAAGGCCGCTTTGCCACTCAATTCCAGTTTATTGGTACTTAACCATGGGCGCATCGATTAACAAGCTCCCCATTCTCCTCTCTTCAGCACACTGCTTTCAATACAGCGAATACCCACCTTGAAATTAACATGGATCGAAGAGATCTAGACGCCCTGTGGGTCGACTCCAATGTGTCGACCCGACGCAATTCGATCGAGTCGCTTCGCGCGATGGCCATTTCGCCAACGGACGACAATTGCTCCCACGACAGTCGAGGCCACCCCCTGGATATCATGTCTCCAATTGTCGAAAAGCCCACAAATAAGCTGGACGTGGAGAAAAATATCGACTGCACCGATCCGGTTCCCCAAAAGGTGTCTCTCCGACAACGGATACATCACTTCACCTGGGCCTGGTTCACACTCCCAATGAGCTGTGGAGGCCTCTCATTGGTCATTTTCGTGCAGCCATACCAGTTCACAGGGCTAAGAGTGATCGGAACGATCTTCTACTCATTGACCCTGTTTCTGTTTTCTATTGTTTGCCTTGCGATGTTGTGCCGCTTCTTGTTCAATCACGATGACTTGACCAAGTCGGTACTGCATCCGCGCGAGGGCTTCTTTTTTCCGACATTTTTCCTGGCCGTGGCTACACTCATGACAAGTACTGAGCGGTATGCCATGCCCGAGAATAACACGAAATATATTTGGGCTACTCAGGCAATGTTTTGGGTGTACCTAGTCGTCACCCTTGTGCTTGCTGTCGGGCAGTACACGTACCTTTTTGCTGCCCACAGCTTTAATCTGCAGACAATGATGCCGAGTTGGATTTTGCCCATCTTCCCAATCATGCTGACTGGCACCGTCGCCTCAGTCATCTTGGAACAACAGAGCTATATCAACCCCCTCCCCATCATTGTCGCTGGTGTTACCTGTCAGGGACTCGGCTTCTCAGTGGCCGTGATGATGTACGCTCACATGGTCGGGCGACTGATGCAATCCGGGCTTCCAAATCGAGAACATCGCCCCGGTCTTTTCATGTGTGTTGGCCCACCGGCCTTTACTGCGCTTGCCCTGATCGGCATGGCGGATCGGTTGCCACAAGATCTTGTGAGCTCTGCCCAGTTCACGATCGATGCCAACACGATCCGCGCTGTGGCCCTTTTCAGTGCTATATTCCTCTGGTCCCTGAGTCTGTGGTGGTTCCTAATCGCCGTGGTCGCAATCGCCATGTCCCCTCCAGAGTACTTCCACCTCGGCTGGTGGCCGATGGTATTCCCCAATGTCGGATTCACATTGGCGACTATTGCGATTGGCAATCAATTACAATGCAAGGGAATCCTCTGGTTTGCAACTGCAATGACGTTGCTTATTTTCATCACGTTTTGTGTCGTGTTCTTTTTTAATATCCGGGCCGTGTTAGTAGGGGACATCATGTATCCAGGAAAGGACGAAGACACGGAGGACCATCATTGAGGCGTTGTACTTGAATCTTAAAATTGTATAAATATTTAGAAGGATTAAAGGATAGAGTATATTGGGTTGGGTATAGACAAAACATGTATAGTAGTGATACCAACTTGGGCTGGGATAGATATGATCGGTGTTGCCTCCTTTACTTATTTGATGTTGAAGGCTCTAATAGTAATTACTCGGTTCAATGCCGTGCTTATCATATGGTGCCACTCTAATCACGCATTGGTCATGCAAATACTAAGTTACTAGGGTGCGGCCGGTAGTCAAAAATAAATCGGTGGTGGCAAGACAGCCGGAGCTGGGAACGGGAGTGGCCTGCTAGGTGGGTCGAAAAAATGGACCAATTCGGAATATCCGGAGCACAGAGAAAGTACAGCAAAGATTTTTTCGGCATTCATCCCCGCCTTTAAGTTCTGGTGCAATAAATCCCAAATTGGGGCCTTGATTTCTGGTGAGAACGGAAGAAAACGACCTGATGAGGGTTTGTCTTGACGAGGCCACCATATCCCCAAACGAGTGGATGTTTTAACAGCCGAAAAGGGACAAGAACAACACCCAACTCATTAACCTACCCTAAAGAAACCACACACAGAAAGCCGTCGCGCAGGCGTCTTAGTTGATCAGCCTGAAGCTGCATCAGATTACGTATATAAGGTCGGAGCAGTATGATTTCTGGGTCTTCCGATAGGGAAGTATCTCATAAGAAAGGATTTTAGGTCGGTTGCAGGAAATCTCGCTGGTAAGGCATCAATTGGGTCTGCAGCAGCCCAATATCAAAGGGAGGTTGAAGATAGAGGTCGAATGAGATTGCGATATCAGATAGACGGACTTAAAAAAATCTCTTAAAATTGAGAACAGCAAAATAATAGATCCTCTATCCGTCTCGAGACCTTCCGGTCTCTCTGATTTCCAGAAAGTATCTTTTTAAGGAAAGGAAATTGATGTCCCTCATCCAGCTTAGCTCCAGCTGATCCTTTTAATCTAGCCCGGACCACCCTAGAGGCACCCCAGCAAGCGACCAGCAAGCCCAAACGTTCCAAGTCGCCTGTCACAATGTCATAGCGATACCCACGTTATAGCGCGTAATAAGTAAAGAAAAAAAGGTGAAAATAAGTCGAAGTGGGAGAAGACACCATTTGGCTTAAGATCGATGTGGTTCTTCAGGGCCGACCATACCAACTTTAGAGACACGATGGAATTCTTTGCACCAACGGATTTTGTGAAAGAGACCACCCCCGATAATAACTTGGCACCCGTCTGGCAATAAGGACCCGGTTAAACAATTGACTGCATATGATACGACGATGCATTTTCTCCACGTCGAAATGGTCTTTTGGTGGAACTCACTAGCTGCCTCCAGTACCTGCGCCGCTGATGAGCACTCGTTGCTGATTTCGAGAAGTAGACGGAGTTTGCCGAGCCCAGTCAAGGAGATGGTTGCATTACTAATTTGCGTTGCAAGACGCAGTCTGCCTAACGGCAAGCCTCTTCTCTGACTTCAGTTGGGCCGAATGGGAGACATTCTTAATAATGCAGGTTCCATAATATTTCCTAGAAATTGTCTCCTTTGCGAGCTGGAAGATTTCGGTTGGAGAGTCGCCTTTTTGATTGGATATGTATGCCTAATGAGAGATGTTGATTGGCCTTGCGACCGATCACAGCTCCGCCGATCTCCACGGAGGTTCTCTCACGAGGCGTATGTAGGACTTCAGCTTTGCCAAGCCACATATATCTAGCGTCCAGCTACAGCGGGTGACATGGCCCAGCAATTAGGCTTAATCTTGTTGGCAATGCCCCGACAAAAAACGGCAGAAGCAAGTACAGAGCCTCAGCGAATGAAACGGAAAGTTTAAACGAGGGCTGAGAACGCCACCTTGAACTTTGAGGTGAAGATCTGCATGGCTTGGTCCAGACCGCGGATGTCTGGGATCCGTCAGTGCAAGCATGAGGTGGAAATGGATTGTGGAGGCAGGTAGCTGTACAAGGACTGCGGCCGGTGAGTTCAAAGGGGCATGTTCTACTGGTCATCATCTCCGGTGTGCTTGTGGCGCCGCCTTACTGCAGTTTATCCTTGATGGATTTGCGGTCAGAGAAGAGATGACAAGGAGAAACTTGAGAAGATGTCGCGTTCCTCTATTCATTCACTGACCATACTCGCAGTACCATGACCAAAAACACTGCAAAGCAAATAGAGTAGGAATTTACCCACACCACTAGCCGTATTAAGGTGCGGCTTCAGCCCTGTCGCAGGCGAGGTCTAGACTGCAGGCCCGTGACCTACGCCACTGTGATGCGTGTTTGATCTAGATCAGTGGCAATGGAGAACGCCTACGGAGGCGGAAGATGTGCGGTGACAGAGGTTCGAGATTCAGCCTGCCGCTCCGAAAGCTCAGAAGGATGACTCTATCGTCATCATAGACGGCGCATTGGGCGCCACAATGCTGATGGCTGAAGACTTTCATAACCCAGCCGAGGGGGCTGAGAGGTGATGAAGAGTGACAAATACGCTGCCTACTACCTCAGCCCCATCGGCTGCCTCAGTCCTCAACTGACGCTCAAACAAGTGGCATGATCAATGAATGCGTTGCCAGGCAAATTCCGCGGTACATTGGCGCCGATCAGGTCTGTGGGCTCCAAACATGCCCAACCAACAATCAGGGCTTGCGCCACTGCTGTGACAACAACGCATCTAGGTCTCAGTCCGCGACTGCAAACAGTTAGATGCATCAAAGTGGCTGCGCTATTGCTGACACTGTATTGGTAGGCGAGGTGGACAACAGCAGGCGGACAGCAGAGACTGCATTAAGCTATTGAGGAGAGTTTTTAACAGAGGGTTAAAGCCAGGGTTTTGTACTGGTACACTGTCCTAGCCGGATGAGAGCCTGGTGAAATACGCAAGGGGCGGCTGATGCCACTCCCTGCCGCCACGCCTGATTGGAAGGAGGCCCAGTCCAACGCAGAATATCACGGCACTCAGTTGAGTGGCGCCATCGTTGTCCTCAAAGTGTGGAGTAGCCCAACACTCTCAGCTGAACTAACCAAGCCACAGGGAGCAGGTTCAAAATTTGAGCCTCCCCGGGAGGAATTGGTGGGGGTGTAATCCCTTATTGATTCCTCGTGCCCTTTCCCTCCCGAGAACGTGAAGAAGTGCGTCCAGTTGATCAATGCCGACCATGATCCGTCCACAATCATGGCTGGAAAGTCGAAAGCGAGCGCTATGGGCGCTGCTGTTGCTGTGCGCTGTCCATTGGGTGATTGCCAAAAACCCCAAGGACGACTTCTGTCGGAGATTCGCACACCAGACGACGGTCATCGATGACAAGCTGTACATTGATGGGGGCTGGGTCAACTTCGATGACTTTCAACAGACACACGAAAACTACTCCAGTGGGTCATCTCGACACTCCCTTCACGAAGATCAAATGGAGCGATGGACTTGGCTAACGCACCAGTCAAGACACCTGGCTAGCATACCACGATCTCAACCACCTTGTATCCCGAAACTCCGAACTTTGGCCCGACCTGAACATCAGCCTGAGCAAGAACGACAGGCAAGTCGAACCCCAGCGTTTGGATTGCTACAATAAAAAAGGCGCATCTGCTGTATGGATATACTGACTGGTGTTGCAGCATTCCCTCGGTGAATGGTGGGATGCTATGGGGCGACAGCGTTAACAAGCGATTCTACGTCTACGGAGGCGAGTGGAACGGCGGCTTTGCACAAGACCCCTACACTCTTCTAAGCTACGACATCCTCTACGATAAATGGGATGACTTTGGAGCGCCCGACATCAGCCCCCCGCCGAAGCTCGCCTCCTACGGTGCCGGAGTCGGCGTATCGGAGACTGGTATGGGCTATTACCTTGGAGGATGGATCAGCAATGCCTCCATGAGTGGATGGACCCAGCCGCGAACGATGAGCTCGAACTTCTACTCGTACGCCTACGATACAGGCAAATTCTCGCAGGCAGCCGGCCCTGATAAAAATCCGAGAGCAGAAGGTGGGATGGTCTGGCTCCCAGCTGGCGATGCCCTCGGACTCCTTGTGTACATGGGTGGTGTTCTCAGCCCAAATGGGAATGGCACGGAAGCTCCTCAAGCTTTTGACGAAGTCTTTGTGTTTGATGCCCAGGGCAATTCATGGTCGAGTCAGAAGACCACGGGAGAGATACCACAGAATCGGCGCCAATTCTGCGTTGACGTTGCATGGGCACCCGATAAGTCGAGCTTCAACATGTAAGTGCGAATTCCGCCCTCAACCACGAAGAGCAATACTAACCAACTCCACCAACAGCTACTTGTGGGGAGGACTGAGCGTGCAGCCGCCGGTTGTGAATACCACCTCGTTCAACGATATCTACATCTTGACCCTCCCCTCGTTCATCTGGGTCAAGGCGTATCCTGACCACCATGGAAACGCCACGCTGCCTCCGGAATACGACCATTACAGCGCTTCCTGCAATATGGTCAAGTCGATGTCGCAGCTGTTTGTCATCGGCGGCACCTACACGGACACGGATGCCTGCGACCTCGCCGTCGACGCGTGGGCGATGCACAACTTTTGGACGGGGACGAGCCAGAACGCTGGCGATAACGAGACGTACTGGGCATTGTACGATCCTTCTGTCAAGACCAATGTCGTTCCTATTGACGTCTACAACGTCACTGGCGGAGACAAGGAAGGCGGCGCCACACTCTTGGCGCCAAAGTCTGGGTTTGACTCGGGCAACAAGCCGCTCCAGGATCTTCTAGGGCGAAGGCCCTCGATCCCAGAGCGTTCTCCGACCCGCAAAGTCACCTTCGAGACCAAGTCGCCGACATCGACGCCGACACCCGACACGGGATCGGCGCTCTCTACTGGCGCTATCGTCGGCATTGCAATTGGCGGCGCCGCGGTTCTAGCACTCATCGTGGCCGTATGGTTCTGTATCGGCCGAAGGGTCGTCCGCCGTCGCGAGGAGCGGCGTCTGTCCCAAATGACGCAGACACAGACGCAGCCTTTGTACTATGGAGGCAGCCCTGCTACTCAGCCGAGCCTCGTCAGCCCACACACGTCGGTGGGATACTGGGGATCCAGTCCAACGAGCCCGCAGATGGTGACGCCACACCAGACCACCCTGATGCCGCCGTCTGAGCTCCCTGCAGAACATCACAACGACGTACACGGTGTCAGCGAGCTTCCCCAACAGAGGGAGAGCGACAAAGGCGCTGTGTCCCCTGTTGGCGTGCCGTCTCAAGGTCATTCTCCCGCTCCTGCTGCTAGTGTAACGCCAGAAGTACACCACTATGGATTTTGACCCTGTGAAGCTAGTAAGAGGGGTATGACTAGGGTTTGGGTTAGCTGGACGGAGAGATATACAAAGGCCGCATCACTCGTAGTCATTGAGTGAAGGACAGCGACTTTTGGACATCTTGCAAGTTTTGTCTTCTATTATAGGCCTCAGTGCCAGTTGCATTCACGGCCAGCAATTTTATTCCTTGCCCTAATTTTTGATCTTCTCTATTGATAGGCCTTGTTTGATATTTAATGGAACGGAGTATAATTGATATTGAGCCTTTAAGAATATGAATTGGCGAAGACAACAGCAAGTTCAAACATACGTCGAAACACAGGTAAGAACACCTCACCGATGTTGGTTAAGTATTAAAGGGAGAAAACAAACAGGCTACCATTTCATACTTGGGTAATCTGGCAGACTCATTTGGGAGGATCTGATCTGGCAGATCATCGTCACTGTCGATGTGTCTTCCATGGTACTGAGAAATAAGACGAATAAATACGACAGGATACATTGCATATTTATTCAGAATGTAGACGAACGTATCCATACCTACACCTTATATCACAACTCTTTAGCGAGCCTGTTTAACAGTAACTGTAACTAGTGGCCTTAGTGGCGACACCAGCTTTGATCAGATCGACAAGACTCCAGAAATCCCGCTGAACACCTTCCCCATCAACAGCCGTGTTGGAATAGGACACAGCAGTCCAGAAGGCGCCTCCACTGACATGCTTCTGCCAAGCATACCGCTGCGTATCAAAGATGCTCTTGCGCTTGGTGACATTCAGAGTGTTATTGTACATGGTTTGAAGGGACCACTCGCCGATGAAGACAGGGAACTTGGTCTCCTCCCCGAGGTATGAGGCCTGACCGCAAATCGCAGGTGAGACGTACTGGGAGTAAGTACCAGCAGCGGCGAAGAAGTAGACATGGGAGTCGATAACCAGGTTCGTGTTGGCATCGAACAGAGGCGACCAATAAGAAGCTCCCTTGAAGCTATCCTGCAGCATCACAGGAATGCGCTTGTCAACAGCAACGACCCTGGTCAATACGCCGTCCATATACTTCATGATCCAGGCGGCAGCCTTCTCAGAGAGACCATCGGCAGAACCGAAAGCAGCCAAATTGTCACTGGCCTCGTTGATGGGAGCGATAGTGAATGCATTCATATGACCGCTATTTTCGATGAATTTGAGAACCTTATCAACAGCCGTCAAGCTGTAGTCTAGGTTTGTGGTATTGTAGAACCATGCATCGTGGAAGAGAGCCTCGCCAATGTCGAGGTTGTTGATGCCACCGGGAAGCGAGTGGAGGCCAATGATGATGTGCATCTTGTACTTCTTGATGGCGTAGTTGGTGATCTTCCGGAGGTGGGCTTGCTGGTTTCCGTGATAGAAGGCTGATCCAGGAACATTGACCCACGCAGCATAGGTCGTGGTAATGCGCAGAGTGTTGATTCCGATGCTTGCGAGCGTATCGATGGTAGAGGTGTTCAGGAACGATTTGTAACGCTCTTCCAGGATGGGACCGCAGCTCTTGCCAAGAGCTTGGCACAGGTTCCACTCATCTGGGGTTGCGGCGGCGACGCTGCCAAGAGATGTCCACCAGATCGGATCGTGCGTCCTCTCCTTGGCAAGCCACCCTCCGAGGTTGGCACCGTTGGCCTTGAATGTCCTCCAGTTGATGAATTTACCATCGTCGCGGCAGCCCTGAGACCAGGGGATGTCGTGATGGACGGGCTTCCAGTGGACGGGTACCGGTTTGACGGTGAAGGGACACTTGTGCTTGAAGTCCCTGGTATCACCGTGTTTGCCAACCCCCGCCCCATAGTTGTTGGAGCGGGTTTCAATGCTGTGATCTCTGGTAGGGACTGCTGAAGAGGAGCCTAGCAGCAGGCCAACACAGAAGATGGAAGAGAGCTTCATGGTGGGAGTCAAAACAAACGACTTGTGGGAACAATTTGAGAGCTTGGAACATTTCAGTAGAACGGGCACTGTCGTATCCATTTATATAGGAGTGGCCGCATCTAATAGTGCTGTACAGAAAGGTCGGCCATTTTCTTGAGGAAATTAGTTGTTGCCACCGGAAGCCACTGTCGATAGACGGCGCCATACTAGAGTTGACCACGATGCCATCGCCTGTCTCTTTTGGGATCTACGGAGTCCCCGTAGATTATCAATAGTCTCGGCTTCCACAAACCAAGCACACCAAGTCTTGGTGTGGCATTGGGCTCAAATAGACCAACAAAAATTTCAGACGGTAGTTGGCTAATGACCCAACAGGCAGTCCACAGGAGCTGAAAGTGTAGTCCACAAGATCTCGTATCTGTATTACAAGGCTAAGCATAACATGACTAGTAAATAGTCGGCCCGAGCGGATCGACGTCTTCAAACCGGGAGGCCGGCTCAGTGGAGTCATGCACATGGCATCACCACGTGGTGGTGTAATTTGCTTCAGCTCATATTATCAGGTGGGATTGGGTCTGGATTCGAGCTATTCATCAATAATTCGGCTAGTCTTGATAAGAACTGTCCGGGTCAAGTCCGAGTTGGAGGGCCGGAACGTTCGTACTTGCATGAGTTAGTAAAATACTGCAATCATGATTACAAGGAAGCTCAGCCCTCGGGGAATCGAGGACCGAGACTAGCACTAGTAAGGGCTCACTGGACAAGACGAGTAGGGCTGCCAGGTTAATATACTGTCATCTTAGTGTACTCGGCGTCGGTATGATGATGACCGATCAGAGCTTTATCAGAGAATGAGTCCACCCGGAATTCCCGGGAGAGATTGTTAGTTGTGGGCTGGGTGTGCCGGAAAAGCCGGTCATTAACGTGGATGAGCACCCAATAAGCGTGTAAGTGTGGCCCTAAGTCGGAACATTATCACAACGGTCCAGCCCCTTGTGAAGGGAAAACCTGCCGTATTTTCAGGGGCAAACGGGGGCAAAACAGCTGGGTGATCTCAGGGATGCCGAGGATCCCGAGTATTTGGAATCGAACGCTAATTTGACGGACTGGGCGAGTATAGCGGCCAAATCGGTCACTTTGAACACGCAGACCAAGTTCCGGATCGAAAAAGAAGAAGGAAAACAAAAAGAGGATAATATTTGATCGAAGGTTTCGGTTCATTCACTCGACTATTTTCACCTCCACCTCTAGCTTCTACGTGAGCTTTGGCGCACAGGGCTTCATCTTTCATGTTTTTGGCCATGCACACTAGTGCCACGGCAGTCTCCGCTCTTTGACGAAGTTCTGGCGCCTACGATAGCCTCCTTTCCCGCTCTCCTCGAGGGTTCGTATGTGACCTAACCTGAACTGGATGGCATACTTAAGATGATTCATCCGTGCCGTTCTACAGGCATGGATCGAATAAACTCCAGCAACAATCCGAGCTTTCTAATTGTAAAGTGGCCCGCAATATGACGATCCGAATCTATCCTACAGGTATAGGGTAGGCAAGAAGGACGTTCGATACTTGATCGAAGTGTAATCAGGACGTCGGCGTTAAGCAATATAGGTCACGGTCTGGTAATATATCAAAAAGTAGTTTGATGTAACTAAGTGTATTGATAGCTAAGGGGCTCAAGGCTTATATTCTAGTGCTAAGAGAGTATATATATTAGTGTTGATAATTGAATAGTGTCGAATAGGTGTTGTTCGACGTATATAAAATAGCATATTATTAAGGAGTGTCAAATTGTGTTGAACGGAGCTCGTTTGATGTGTAGGTTGACTATACTGGTAATTGGTAAAGAAAATAGGTTAGGATAAGACTGTGCCTAGTCCCGAAAAGTGGGTATCTTACTGCCGGTTGTGACCGTCTGGTTCTAATACGGGCCGCGACACGCAAGTGATCGGAGGAGGTAGATAGCCTGTAAGTGATGCTAGTCTAGCAGCTTAAGGGTATTAATATAGACTTTAACCTTTTAATAAGTTACTTCGATTGAGTGATAGCTTTTATAAACTATATATTTAGGGGGAAATAGTTATAATTCAGTAACTTAACAACCTTAAGTTAGCCTTTAGCAGAAAGTTTATATTATTACTATATTTAGGTATTTAATGTAAACATCGGATAGCGGATAAATTATCACTTTATTACATAGCTAGTTAGTTTTATTATCCCTTGTGATGTAGAGGAAATATATTTTACTAATAAATAGCACTTTACTTAAGTCTAGCTTGAATATCCTTTCTATACCTCTTTCCTACTTAGATATAAAAGCAGAGGTGTGTCCTCTCTGTGCCTAAGGCCAAAAGTTCTCAGAAAGGGTCGAGCTCATCCAAGAACAAAGAGCCTAGGTCCCAAATCTGGGGACTAAGGAGGATGAGGCGTGCGCAAACGACTCAGAGCTGCCGCAGCACAAGATGAATCAAAGTGTGTGCAAGATGCTGCACCATGGGCCTGGGTACCCAACTAAGCTGTAGCCCCTATCGAGACATATTGGGCGACATGGCCAAAAGACCGAATCTGGGCAGATGGGTTCCATCTAGACCGCCCGATCGGCTTTTAATACCAGACGTCATGAGCACTCGTTGGCAAGACCGCGAGTCTCTTCCTCAAACAACATATCCCCGGCCTCCACGCCCCCAATCGGCAAGAACTGGCAGCTTAGCAACACCGCGAATACAATATGCACTCGGGCCCAACTGTCCGCAAGCGCCGTAGGGATGCGCCGCCCGCTGCAACTGCCTAGAGTCTCGGTGGCTAACTATGTTGTCATACCTCTCGAAGGCGTTGTTGCCAGAGGGTACAGAGGTCTTGGGTACCGGGTCATGTGTGTAAGAACTTCGCGTAGTCTTGCAAACAGTGACGTAACTTCGGTCAATGCCGCATGCGTGAAACAGCTCAGCACATCGTAGCTTGAGATGTTGCCAATACATTACAGGTACAACTGGCTCATCTTTCCCTTCAGAATATTGTGCTAGATAACGCCATATGTTGGTCTAATAGCACGCTGACGAGGCGTGGTCTATGACGCCAGCTCGTGGCAAAAGTTCTGAAACAAGCTCCTACTGCATGCGCATCGCGTGGAAAGTCGGCGTCCAGTGAATCTCGCCTCCAGTCATGGACGCCGTGACGACTGGTGTGTAATGCGCCATTCAATAGTTCCGTCTCATCAGTTTTCTCCATTGACCGCTATTCTGCGATTATAAAGCGATACTGAGGGGAGCTCGAAAGCGTTCCCCCTCGTGACTCGGTCCTCATAGCAGGGCGGCCGGTTTTGAGGCCCCCTAGGGAGTATGACGAAAGAATCAGCCCGAAGACGCACCCAGGCTATGTCTGCAAGATTATGACTCACCGACAGCAGTCCCTACGCCGCCATATGTGACCGCTTGCTGTTCATAGCCATGTTCGGAATGTGCCAAGCCAGGCTCTCACGAGTTGATGATGTCCATTGGGATGATCGGCTGCCGAAGATCCGAAGCATACCCCACCTTGTTCTTGGATTACGGCCATCTTGGTCCTCGTACTTCTGCAGGGAGGTCAAGACCAGCCAGCCACAAGCTGGTGTGGAAGGGACAAGTTTCCACACTGACCTGCTGGTCCATGATGCGATGCAATGACAAATTCAGACTGGCATTAGAAAAGAGGCTTCATTTTTAGTGGAATCCAACATCCGCTTTCAGACGCTCATGCGTCTTATCTTAACTGAGGCCCGAGACAATATTATTGGTTGTAGCTGGCTGTAAATATGACGAAATGTTGATTAGCACTGAAACACTGAGAATCACGCCATGCACCTCGCAGCAGTTGCCCGTGATTTGAGGAACATGTCAAGATACACCGCTTGCGCACTCGCCGTACTAATGAGCCAGCCTTTTACGCCAGTCAGAAAATGATCAGAAATGCTACAAACCATGAATTGAATACCTAGGCTGTTGAGAAGAGCTCATAATGCGAGACACTCAGTCGAAGCATTTCCATTCATACATCCAGAGCTCCTGTTAAACCCGGGGTACCGAAATCGTCACAGCCCTAGGTAGTCTCGGCTCGCTCCCGGCTCAGCCTAGTTTGGTTCATCCACTTACCGAAGATCAAGGTGCCGGCACTTGAGTAAAACCTGTGGAGACGGAGAGTCCTGTTCGCGGATGTAAGTGGTTGTTATGCAGGGGACAGAAAACGTGGTACCCCCAAACTGAGCCCCCATGCTTATCAAGTGATGGCGTCTCTTAAAGAATACTAGAAAAATCTCATAAGGAGAGATAGGTATACCAAGCAGCATGTCTCTGTTTTTTCCTCGTCTTTAAATGCAGTTATTCTGTAGGAACCCAATCCTGCGATAGGCGTGAAAGTGGCCATTGCAGTGTTGACAAGGCTTTTGGTATGCTATTTTTCCTGGCCACGGCATGGTTATCTTGCATTATCAAAGGGACAAGAGGACAAAGAGACATGGATACATGTACGGCGCTGGTAGTGTTCAGCCTACGTTCCGATTCCAATACCTGACCGGAGAACACCTTCCGGTAATATGCAATACTACTGAGACCAAGTACAAAAGTGGTATAGATCTTACATGTGGCTGATAGTTGCAAGCTGGGCTAAGGTCGAGGCTTTGATAGTGAATGCATATCGCCTGAAACAGTGCGAAGGGGTACGGACTCCGATGGAACGGTAAGGTTGCGGGGTTGATGCAGGAAGAAACCAAACTCCCATTGGAGCTGGGCCCAAGCCTTCTTTAAGTCTCGAACATTCTCTCCCAGCCTTATTCTCTTTCTCTGGCTTATTGGCCGTTGACTGAATAGATGTGGAAACTACTGTGGAAACTACTGCACAGGATATTCCGATTGAAGAGCAGCCTGCCTGTACCGACACCAGTACATGTTGTGGAGATGTCGGTAGAAAATTATTTCAACCTAGTGTTACATCCAGGGGAATTGCAAAGGATATGTCGGCACTGTACATGTCTTTGAGTGCGGAACTTATCTCAAATCTGTCTTCTCTCAGAGTGAGCAAGTTGCTGGCACAAGGTAAGAACAACACAGTTCTTTTCCACAACCCAAACATTTCCTGCCCAATGCTTTCACAGTTGCCCAATATCACTGTGGAATTTACATGTAGTCGCGTCGATGACGAGCATCTCCACTGGGGAGTAACGTGCCTGCCCGATACATGCGGTGGAGACGTGATCAAGAATTGTTCTAATCCAGGGTTACATTTGAAGAAAATGCAAGGGAGCTGACGGCATATCTCTTTGAGAGATGAAATGCCTGTCGAGTTGCCTGCCGCCATCAACGAGATGACAATGTGGCTTTCCAAACTCGAGCTGAAGTCAACCAACAACCCATGTCAGGTCTGGACAGAGTGGGGAGTGTCGATTGCAGACACATCGGCCGATGCTGAGGATCAAACGTGCCCCACGCGGTGCCTCCGAGACATTGAAGCAAAATGTCCATCAGAAGTTCAGGAGGAGGAAGTAGTGTCCTCAACGCCTTGTGGTGCTGTGGCGCGATCCTGCCGGCTACGTAAGGTCGCATTGAAGGCGGTCACGTTGGAAGCATGCCGGCAGGCAAGTTGGCGGTCAACCGTCTTGCAGTGCTCCATGGACAGAAAGACACGTAATGGAATACGCCTCTGATGCTATCAATCTGGAATGACTTCAGATGCTTGACATGCAGAACTATGACGCCAGACGAATGCCGGTCTACCTTGGAGCACTTGGCTTTTTAGTATAAATACAGTCCATGGCTACCCCCTTTCAAGCCAACTCATCATCTACCAACACCTACCCGCTTCAAAGACCTCTTTCAACCTGTTCAACTCACATCATCATTCAAAATGGCTCCAGTCGTTTTCACTACCAACAACACCACCATCTCTCTCGACTCTACCGTTGCGTCAGTCGACCTCGGCTTCCCCCAGGCCTATTCACTCAGCAACAACGACACTGAAAGCGCAGCCCCCCTTACTGGAACTTCCACAAGTATCATAGTCACTTACCTCAACAACACCCCGGAGCCCGTGACATACAATGTCACCCAGGGAGTCAACTTCACGCCGAACGCTACTGTGACAATCACCGGTAATTGAAGCAGTCCTCCGCAACTTGAATCGCAGCTGACAAAGTTTTCTAGACGGTGGCGCCAGTGGCAATACCCTTGTTGGCCTCGACGACCAAAACAACAAGGCTATCTGGACCAAGGCTTAAATTTAAACAATGCACACTTAAGAGCGAGCCCATGCCCCTTGTTGCGGAGGTTTGTCACCGGTGCCGGGTTCGGGTGAATTCGGATGAGGTTTTCCTTGCAGCAAACAAGATTGGCGTGGGGGACTGGGATTGGGCTTACGGGAAAGTTCTTTTTTACATTACTTTGCTTTGATCCGTCTTGTAATGACTAGCAGGTATGACATTTAGCTAAAAGAGAATTGACCCCCATCATGAAAGTAGAAAACATTGTATAATCGTGAGTCCTGGTTTAAGTATGGTTAATTCCACGTGATTTGCATTTTGTTGACCGGTGGCTCTTCAACTTTTATCAGATTACACTTGCGCCAGGACCAAAGATCTTCACTAACAAATAGGCGGAAAAAAAGAAGCAGAAATAGTCACACCAAGCTTAAGGGGACATAGAAGTCATCGCTTTTGGGATCTACATTGTAGTACATATTGCTTGACACGTGCTGCATAATTGTCGTAATCCAGGGCGTCATAGGCCTATCCGCACTATACGGTCTCGATTTCTAATGTCTCAGAGCCAGATAGCCACAGCGGCGGGCACACTTTCAGAGCCGCGTAACCGAAACACCGCCAAGAGCGAAAATTTTGGGGCTTTGAGGGTTGAAAAAGAAATACGATTCCTTAGTTGCCTTAAGACGCCACCCTGGTGATCCAAAGTCCCTTAAATCAAACCTCACTGAGCCTAATGACTGTTGCAATTGGGCGAGTAATCCAGCAAGTGGATAACGAAATGAATTGTGTCTTGAATTACTTCGTAGGTGTCCGACTTCGCAAGCCACTTTATGTACCTGTGTCTTGGCGGAGGCCGTGTACGGCTCTAGAGGCGTACAGCAGTTTCAGAGATACGCAGATCATTGAATCTTGAAGAGGAAATTAAAAGAGACCCCACGTAGTGTGTCACAGTTGACGTTTCACAGATAGGGCTGTGATGAGGGCTTAATAAGGCTTTGAAATGAGCGCGATTTAGCAACGCACGCCGACCTAAGGTAATTGAGACTAATCACCAAGACTCAGGATGGTTTGCCGATGGATGAGATCAACAAATCGGATTAGATGTAAGGTGATACCCATATTGTTTATTGGGATCCTAAGCCAACAAAGCCGCTGCCATCTCTCCATAGGGCTTTACGACGCGGTTGGATGTACAGTCCACCGCTTCACCGCTCCCGGGAATAATGTCTCGCGTTAAGAGAGCTGCCTATAAACCTCACACAAGGTCGTATAGGATGCAAGACGGCTTGCTCTGCATATGGATCAAGTACCTTTGTGCTGTTGAAACAAGGCCAAGACCCCCAGCCCCGAATACAGGGTATACCAGGGCCGAGTGATTGGCTATTATAATGCATTTGTGCAGAGCCGACCGCCGGCTGAGTATTCTAAGTGTTCGAGATCGGTTAAATTGTGCCAAGGCAAATGCCGTGCTAGCATAGCTACGGAGTGGACCTCGGATGGGATTCGTGCCTGCAGAAGCCATATGATGTGGGCGTGGAGGCAGAGCCGCCATTTTGTTATTGCTGGCTACGATTGAGTGGGGAGGCATCTCAGTTGTGCAGGAGAGCTTTTTGCTCGGCTCATTAGCTAGTAAGTTGAGGCGCTTTAACATGCCTTCCTTGGTATATAAGGAAGGAAGAGTTCTATCACAGCTACGACATCACCCCCTTCATCATCCAGATTAGTCCTCAACATTCGTTCTTAGGGAATCTGTTTAGTAGCAAAGATGGTCCGGCTGCTCTCATCCGGTCTTGCCCTGTTGGCGCACAACCAGATGGTCAGTCGCCCGAGCCGATTACCTAGGTCCGGGAGACTATCTTGGCGACATCGATGTCAAGGACACCGGAAGGTGTCTGCCATCCAAGACTGTGGTGACGTGTTCACCTTTCATCGCAACCGGAAACATAGGTCAGTCCAATGAAGCTGCCGATGCTTTCTTGAAGCAGCTCTCCCCCTTCGACACGGCGGTTCCCGCCCATGCTTGTTTCCACCACGACACGAACGGCACGCGGGCACAGATCTGCAACCGGTCGGACAGGGAATTCAAACCCTTGGTTGATCAAATACATACTGCCCTGGACGTAATTCTGGCGCACTGTGCCTCATACGACGGCACTGGTAACATCCTGACGCCCGGCGGACTGTACGTCATGATCGAGAGGTCTGGCGTCGCCGTCGTTACGGATGTCCTAGAGCTCACTAAGAGAAAAGAGTGCGTGAAGAGGGGTTCTGCTGAAATCACAGAATGCGACGCTCCAATCTGCGATCCCAAATACAGGATGAATGAGAAAGGCGATTGTATTCATCTGGGTAACCAAAATAGCGAGGTGTATTGCGAGGTGAGGGGCTACAAGTACTATGGACCCGAAAATACCTGAAAGAGGAGTTTTGTCCGGTAAGTCTTGACTACTGCATTCCCATCTAAGATCTTCTAACGCGACTCATAGGGACATGACTGCTATCTAGAACGCGGTGTATTGTTCAGTTACGAGGAGAGCTTCTCCATTAACCTTGGTGCGTCCGCAGGGGACATTGGCGCGGTCTCAGCTGGTGTCGGATGGAGCTGGTCCACTTCGCATGGCACATCGTCGACGCAAGGCGTAGTTTTCGGGGAAGGCAAATGTGGTTTCTGGACCTATGCTGCCGTCAATGCTGTATCATGTGGAACACTGTCGCGCTACAGAGGCTTTTCCGTGCTTGGCATACTCCCTTGTAAGTGAGCTGTCCCCTCAGTGTCGATTGATCGTTCCCCAATACTAGCCATCCTCATACTCATGTAGAGGTCGAAACAGCGCTGACGTGTTGAAAAGCTGTGTGTGGAAAGCATCTCACTGGTCCAGTCGTCAAGCCGATACACAATGTCTGCTCGGAGAATATCACAACCATCTCTGGTAGCGATAAGCCCGACATCGTGGTGATTCCGTGGTACTCGACGTGTGATACTCGCAAACCGCTTCCCTTTAAGGACCAATCTAAAGCGTTGAAAGATATTTATGGATCAGGGCTGAACAACCCGGACTCTTGCCCAAATTAGCATGCGCCAGAGGAAGCAGAGTGCTGGCAATGTTAGTGTGATAGAGCCGCAGGCCTTGCCGTCTATCCCTGTCAGGCCTTTGAGCTTTATCGAGAATCACCAGATAGATCAAAGAGATGTAGTAGTAGCAATCAATCCGCACGTACACGCGACACCTTACCCGGCACTAGAAGACCCTCCCACCTTAAGTTCCCCATTTCCTGCACTAATTATTTCAACATCAATTTCTCCGTTCCGTTGCAGTATCAGCATGTTTTCTCCGTCCAAGAATCTCGATGTAGGTCCTAACACGGCCTTGTACCACTTTTTGGACGCGTCAAGTTTTCCACGCACCTCGAGGCTGAGGGACATGCTACACGCTGTGTGCATAGCGTCGCGGGGTCGCTAGATCCCAGCAGATAATGCCGTACCATCAACACCTTCGGCAACTCATTCTCTGCCTCGTTCAGGTCTCACGTTGTTAGAGAAGAAGATCAACATTATGTTGCGTGATTTGGGTTCCACAGTCACCATTTTACAAGGATGCACAACGTGGAACGCTGTTTCTTCCTGTGAGCTGCTAACAATATTGCCTGACGCCACAGTTTGGAGCCCGATGACCAAAAGAACCCCCCTCCGGGCGTTGCCGGTCAGATTACGCCCACTGGGTTGGACAAGTTTGAGCCAAGGCGCATAAGGTACGTCATCAGCTTAGCATGTGCAGGGCGTTCCCCTCTGTTGGTTGGCTTGAGACTGTCGCCTCACTTTCACTCGGGATTGCCTTGCATGCGGCTGAATTGCACATTTACCAGCCAAAAGTTCGCGGACAAGGCCGCCACTTCTGTTGGTTGCCAAAAGAACCGGCCCGTCGTTTTTCCCCAACAGAATGAGAATGTACTTACTTCCCGCGTAGAACTTTGGCTCATAAATAAACCAGCTTATTCCCAGGGAGAATAGGCGAGCCATCAAAACCCCTAAGCCTTTCCTACTCGACACGACTCTTTCAATTTTCCGAAATCTACCATCAATCACGTTCCTGGTGCATTCGCGCTGACTTTTCGGTCGCCATGTCCATCAACTGGGACACATACAAGCCCGACATCACCAGGTTGTACATCAATGGGAACAAGACTGCTGAAGAGACAATTGAGTATCTCAACGAAAAGCATGGAGCTGGCATCACGTAAGTACTAAAAGCCCTCGAAGTCTCATATTCTAACAACCATAAAAGGATCAGAAAGTTCAAATCAGAGTTCGGGAGCCTGAAGAAGCTCCAGGCCAAAGAATGGCGGGCGATCTTTCAAGAGATCCGCAAACGGAAGGCTGGCGGCAAAGATTCTGAAGTGTACTTATGTGGTCGACGGCTTAATCAGAGTCGTGTGGACAGGGCCAAGCGACGATACGACAAGGGTACTGATGCCGGACGGTCTGCGAGCACATGTATATGAACCCTTTACCACGCTATTTCGGTTAATACTTAGCTAACGGTTGGGAACAGTTGACCACAGTCGCATCGAAATCAGAAGCCCGGCAGCACAAAATTCGGAAACAATCATCGAGGCAAGTTTTGACGCCGTACGCGCCTCCACAGACCATGGAAACCAGAAAGGCGTTCGTCAAGGGATTCGACCAACACCGGCCCACAATGCGGAACTGGCTGCTGTACGCGTATCTGGGGACACAACTACAGCCCAGAAAGCCGACGAAGAAAGGTTGCCGCGGGTATCTGCGGATGGCAGGTACATTGACGACGTGGATATTCACGAAATTTCCTATGATTTTAGTACTCCTACTTTGGACAACGACTTCATTCACGACCTGACTGATACTCCACACGTTGACATGCCTGATGTGAAGGAAATATCAGACCGAAGCTTAATTCCTTTCCTGTCCCAGAGCACAATTCCGACGCAAGATACGACTTGTTCAATTTTCAACCTCAATCATCAAGCCCCGCGTCATCACCGACGGTTTACCTCACCACAGGCGGCCATCTCCGTTAGAATAGCCCCATCATTCTTCAATGTTGTACCTGGCTGCTCGACAAAATTCTTACAACCCTTCTGGAACTCAAAAGGTATTTATTACCCCTGAGACCATTGCTGTACGCGGTTCACTTACAAACAAACAGGCATCTCTAATATCTTTCCCGAACTCCAAGACACAAGATACTGTGTCAGGATAAGCAGCCGCCAATCCCATTCGAGGGCAATGTTGGGCAAGGTTGGGTGGATTTCATCGCGCCTAGCCGACACGGATCCTACACTACGCGTGCTGCATCCTGCTGAAAGCGTTCTCGAAAACATTGTCTTCAACTCGAACTCGGGTGGCATACCAAGCCGCGAAGTCTGGCCATCTATGAATATGGACCAGAAGTCTATCTATCAAATCTTCACCGTCATCCTATACGTCGTCTCCAATAATCATCTGCAGACTCATACAATCGGAGCTTTCATCACTTCGGTCATCTCCAGCAGATACTTTGGCCAGTTATCGAACTTTTTGAAAGACTGTGTGTCTGGATCATGTGAAGCTCGTGTCTTCATAGTCAAGGCTCTGCAAGCAGCTATTCCCACCAGTGTGAATGTTTTTCTACCTCGAAGCAGCTTGTTCAAGACACACCCTGATGAGTCTTTTCAACTCCTTCTAGCATTGGATGAAAGTATGGTATTGGGTTCTCTGGGTATTGACCTGCTTATCACCGCGGCAGACTCCGATCACTTGGCTGCAGTTCAAACGCTAGTTGCTCAAGGAGTTGATGTGAACGGAGTCAATGATCGGTTTGACTGTGACAGTCAGGATGCATCATGGACTCCACTGAGCCGGGCTGCAGTGCACGGTTCCCTAGAACTGGTGAGATTCCTTGTCGAGTCTGGCGCAAAAGTCAACACCCAGCTCCACGGAATCTACACAAGGGAAACCGCACTTACACTAGCTGTGAAAAAACGAAGGGTCGAGATAGTGTCTGCTCTCTTGGCTGGAGTAGCAACCATCAGTCTCCACCCCAAGACTTTGCGAGATACCAAGGTGAATTCACCAGGCATATATCAGTTGCTATTGGGCAAGCTGGAAGGTGCCGAGGCTGAAACGTTGCGTATAGTTGAAGCAGCAGCGGGAGGGGCGGAGAATCTTTCCCAGTTTCTTCTTGCTCGAAACATTGTCGAAGATGAAGTGCTTGAGTGTGGATTGCACCATGCAGTTGTCGGGTGCAATGTGAGAGCTGTGAGGACATTGTTACGCCGTGGAGTAGATCCCATGGCCCGAAAGTACCGCAAACTGACCCAATTTGCGAATCCGAATGCCGAAGACGAATTGGGCGGTGTTGAGTTTGATGGAAACAGCCTCGTTCTCCTGGCAGCTAAAGGGCTCACAGAAGAAGATGACCAGATGCAATATATCCTTTACCTCCTAGTAAAGGCTGGAGCACGACTGGAAATGAAGACGATCAAACGAATCCAGGATGAAGCGCTGCGAGAAGTATATTTTGACTTCTGTACTACTCTATTCAGTGCAGGACACGATTTGTCTTGGATTGGCTTAGAAGTGCTGAGAGATGCAGCCCAGTATGGGGACTTTTACAAGTGTAGGGCTTTGCTCGACATGGAGGTACCAATTGATGCCTATGGATCGCGTGGGCTGAGCAGTTTGCAGACTGCGGCACTCGCAGGCCACCTTATCCTAGTGCAGTATCTGCTGGACCGCGGTGCAAATGTCAACTTGCCTGCGTACCATCATGGTGGACGCACAGCTCTGCAGGCTGCAGTCAGCGAAGGCTACTCGGACGTCATTGACTGTTTGCTGGACGCTGGTGCTGACGTCGCAGCACCTGCCGCTGAGACTGACGGTCTAACTGTGTTGGAAGCCGCTACTCTTGCTCGCCACCGGTCTCCGCCATCGACGGTCATTTTCAAAAAGCTGCTTGCACATGGGGCTCCAGTCAATCGTCCCAATGACGAGCCCGGCCAGGTTCTGCATGGACTTATTCAAGAATCCAAATTCGAGTGTCTCAAACTGGCGCTACGAGCAGGCGCAAGAATTGAGGACCGATGTCTGGTTAACCTCTTCGAGCCAAGGAGGTCAATGTTGACACCACTGCAATTCGCCGCGCATCGTCTCGATGAACAAGCTATCCAACTCCTTCTTGAGCATGGGGCGGATGTTAATGCTCTTGCTATCGATGGACACACTGCTCTTCAGTGCGCACTATCGCCGCACATAAGGAACCCCAATGAGAATTTCAACCTCGAGTTACAGGCTGAGATTGTCCAACTTCTCTTGGATAATGAAGCAAATGCCAACGCCCCGGCCAGCCCCAACTTTGGTCGTACCGCTCTACAAGTGGCAGCATCATACCAGCATGCCAGCCCTTATCTCGTGGATCTTCTTCTACAGCGTGACGCAGATGTCAACGCCGAGCCTGCGATGCGTGGTGGGGTTACAGCCATCCAGGGTGCTGCAATCAATGGAAACCCACAGATTGCGCTCATGCTGCTAGATCACGGGGCCAACATCAATGCCCCTGCAGCCCCAGAGGAGGGTCGTACAGCTGTTGAGGGTGCGGCCGAGCATGGGCGGCTGGAAATGGTTCGCCTGCTTCTCCGTAGTGGTGCTCTCCCGGATCCAGTTACAGGATTCTCAACTGCTATTGCCTTCGCTAAAGCACAAAACCACTGGGCTGTAGCAGATCTATTGGAGGAGAGCCAGAATGCCTTTGATCCTTTTTCTTTGTCCTTTTGCGACTCGTTGAACTGGTCTGATCAAGTCAGCCAAGACCTAGGGATGGGGTTTATTGACAATGAACCCCCGATCTTCTAAATTCGATGGTCAAGGCGATTTCGGTACACCAAATATGAAATAATTCCTTCTGCGTCGTTGTCAATGCTTTTATCTTGAGTATCGTTGATCATATCTTGTTAAATCCACTCGATTCTCGCCTCCAGGTCTGACAAAGCCGAGGTTATCGATGTACTGAGAGTTTGTTGGGGTCGTTTACTTTGACAGCATGCTGCAGTTGTGACAGGGATATATGCCAATAAAATTTAATTCCTATGTGATTCCGATACCAGCTCGGCACTGTATTTATATAAGACTCCCAATCCTCGTCTGGGTTACAATTACTCCAGAGATTTGTTTTCGGCTTAACTTCGCACCGGCTCCGGCGTTGCTAGGAGAGTGTCAGCCCGCAATGGGCCTGATCAGGGGTGAACACGTCACGACCAACAGACCATGCTAGGTGGCCTACTCCGTAAGATCCCGCAGAATCCATTTTAGAAAAGAACGCCCGACACAGCCCCAATAACCTGCACCTCGTTTGTTTACCCGGGCGGCTAAGCCCAACCACAGCCAATGAGTGTGAGAGCTCTGGATAGATCCGAAACTGTTGTTGGTTTTGCAGCCAACACAGCAAACTCATGTCTCAAGAAGAAGAGAAAAAGCCTCAGCCGCACCAGCAGATTTCTCACGAAACTTCACAATCATCACAATTTTCTCTTGGACTAATTGTGGATGAACTTAGCTTCACCTTTGTTTCCTCTTCATACAGCCCAAAATCGCATTCCAGGATGACTGGCATTGCAAAATCCAAAGCACAAGCCGAGTTCAAGATCGAATGCCTCCGAAAGGAAAGAGGCGTCGATGGACGAGAACAAAACAGGCATGACTTTGCAACGTCTACGCTAAACAATCTCCTAGAAATGTGTGAATCATCATCGGATCCATGAGGGGGAAATACTAATGCTTGACAGGACTTCGGATCAACTTTACCAAAACAGTTCCCATTTTCTGCTTGAACTCATTCAAAATGCAGATGACAATACATTCCCGTCCCAAGTGACCCCTACCCTCAGTTTCACTCTGTCCTCAGTACTGGGATCCCAACATCTCCGCGCCGACTGCAACGAGGTCGGCTTTACATTCCAGGATATGGACTCCATATGCGGGGCTGCGAAAAGCACCAAGAAACATGTCACGGGGGCCAAGAGGGGCTACATTGGGGAGAAGGGGATTGGGTTCAAGTCAGTGTTCAAGGTAGCCGACGTCGTCAACATTTCCAGTGGCTACTACGAATTCAAGTTTGACAGGCACAAATTTCTGGGCATGATTCTACCAATTCTCTCGCCTTTTCCAAGCGGCGAACGTCTTTTGAACCACACTCAGTTCATGCTACATCTGCGGGCCGCCGAGGACTTCAACAGGATCCAGAATGACCTGCACAGCGTCGAGCCCCAACTCTTGATATTCCTGAGAAAGATCCGGGAATTGAACATCCAAACGAGCCACATCAAAACGAGATACCACGTTGATAGCGACGCATCTAATGCTATATTGGGTGAGATAGCAACCATCTCGACCCAGCGATCTAACGACGCAGCAGAGGAGAGGAAATATCTTGTCAGGCGACGAGATGCCAGAGGGCTGCCGACAGATCCTCGTCGACAAGGTGTCACGACATCAGAAGTGGTGCTTGCATTTCCTATCAACAATTCCGACAATGAGGTCATTAGTACGCAGAAAGCTTTTGCATTTTTGCCGATTGACGATTTTGGCTTCAAGGTTAGAGGGACTCGCTGAAGAAAAACCAAGGCGCAATTGCTGACGGATTTAATATCTAGTTCCTGATCCATGCCGACTTTCTGCTTGTTGCCAGTCGGGAGGGCCTTGATTATGACTCCACATGGAATCTGGCCCTTCGGGATGCGATCCAACAAGCCTTCGTAACGGCTATCAAACGATTTGTTGATATGCCCACAGGTCAATTCGGGCTAGGGCTGCGATATGGATGGCCGAAATACATCAAACATCGCCAAAACTCACAGAACTTTTGGAACAACTTAGCTCAGGCTATCTTGCACAACCTCCGTGGGCAACAAATCCTCGAATCGCGAAATGAATGCAGCTACCATCGGCCCAACGAGCTACGTTTCCTGCCCACCGAGTTCCGATATCAAGGCAATGCGATTTTTGAAAGCTTTCATCTGCGGCAAGCGCATTTATCGTTTAATTACGATCACGTTTTTGATGAACTTTCACTTCTTGGTGTCCAACAAACCAGCGTTGAAGACTTGGTAGACGAGTTCTCGATTTGGATTGCGGAATACGGGGTTTCTGGGTTGAGCGCCAGGTCCATGAAATGGCATCAGACAGTTGCTTCCATTTTTTCCGACCAGGTACAACTGAAGAACACTCTCTCGGGACTTCCAATCATTCCTCTTAGAGATGGGTCCTGGGTGAGTGCGAACACGCCCAATCTTTATCTGCGGGCTGAGACTGGCGACGAATATGTTCCCGCCTCCATCGACATATCAATTGTGGACGAAGCTGCATCAAGTGACCCTGTGAGGAGGCGCTTCTACCAATTCTTGGGCATCAAAATCTACACTCCAAGGCTAGTTTGCAACTTGATCTTGGAACTACATAGCGGACACCCTTCGAGCGTCGCAAACCGCACACCGGGAGATTTGGTCATGGATGCGGCTTATCTGTTCAAACATAGGAACCTACTCGAGAGAGAAGGCGCTCCTCAGATGTACTTCCTCGTCAAGAACCAAGGGAACCATTCGCGGCGCAGCAGTCAGGTTTATGTTGTCGACCACGCTTCCGTGCCTAGTCTGATCGACAAGTACAAGGACACGCCCGGAAACCCATTTTACATCCTGGACGAAGAATATGGAAACTTCTATGCCGAAGATGAGGTCACCAAAAGGGCATTCTATAAGTGGCTCTTACAATCAGAACACATCTCCACAGTTCCAATCCTGATTCAAAATCACCACCTGACTGCAGAATGGACATTTTTGCAGAAACGGGATGTGATAGATCTTTTGCTGGTCGTTGAGCAAGTTTGCAAGAATAGTGCCATTCCACCACAGCTTTCACAGTCCGTCCCGGAGCTTCAGGTAGGATGCCGCGACGGTGATGGTAGGTGTCAAACACTCGCCGACTTGGCCGTTCCGACCAAGGATCTTTTGCGAGCATGTCCACATATCGCCTTCGCCAAATTACCAAACCCAGAGAAATGGAAGTTTCTGGAGAGGTTTGGCATTCCTGCCACTCCAAATACCACAGCAAGATTGCGAGAGCTTAATGCTTTGGCTGATCTCCCCATTCACTTGGTCGATAAGAACACGGTCCACGAGTGCTACCGTGGGCTGAGCCGAAGCCCAGAACAGCATAAGCGGATTATCTTGTGAGATTCATAGGCTATTCACAGCTTATTCTTAAGATACTAACTGTCAATCACAGGGAAGCGTTCATGTCCAAACCTTTGGTGTTTATAGTCCGACCACAGCCCCAATGGGTAAAACGTAGCTCATGCGTGTGGAATGCACCTCCAGTACTGAAGCAGGTTACGAGGCTCATCACTCGATATAGCGACTGTCAGAAACTATTTTGTGATTATCTTGGTGTTGAGTCGGCCAATATCAAGGACGTTGTGGATGAGCTTTGCACCATATCCGAAGGGCCTTCTGAAGGCATAGTACAGCGGTGTGAAGAGCTTTTGACGACACTGAAAGGGTTTCTCACACCAGAATCCGAGTTTACAGCGACGCAATTCTTGCGCGTCAGACATGCCAGGGTCTTCCCTGTCTTGAATGCCGAGCATCTCACCCATCCGGTTTCCGAATCCGAGGTCCATCTCAAATCCCTACGAGATCCGGATTGGTACATCCCCGACCTGTTGACGTTGGAGCTTGCCTTTCGAGGCAAGGTTAATCTTCTCAAATTCTCTGTCAAATCAGTAACTGGTCTCGAATCAGTATTCTCGAAGTTGAGATGCCAAAACTTGTATCTGTCCTACGTTGTCGAAGAAACCGTCAAGCCACAAGGTCTGGAAGTCCGCGACTTGATGAGAGAGCAAGACCTTATGGCACGATTGCCGTACATTTCAAGGTATACCCTCCGGTGAATCCCTCGTCCCAGCATCCTTTTCTTATATATCATAGTTTGGAGACGATGGCTAGCGCCAGATCCAGTCAGAACTCGAAAACTATACGTGCCTGGTCCGTCCCATCCGTTGTCATTACCAGGCGCCTGGATTCCATTGAAATCGAAGAGGACAACGAGTTGGTGACGTTTAAAGAAGACCTTTCTTTCACGGATATTTATTTTCGTGCGGTAATAAGCCCATCAAATCAACCCAATGTCATCTTCAAACTGGCAGATTTCTTCTCACGACAGTACGCTGTGAAGAGCGAAGACATGAATCTCTTCATTCTGTTGTTGAATACCCCACTTGACAACCTAAACAGTACCATGGCCCAGCACAACCGATTTATCCCAGATGGGGGGATGCTCGACTGTGAATCGTTTAATCAGAGAGCCGTCAATCAGCCAGAGTCAGGACCAATGGATTTTCTCAGGAATCAACGCAGTGAAGTATCCGAAAGGGTCCAAGAAGACCCCGACTGCGTGATGATTACAACAGAAGCTATTGAGCCGAATCAGATGCCCGGCTCCAGCGACTTGATCAATTTCCAACATCGTCTACGGCAGTTGGTCCCCTCTTTCGAATCGAGGTCCCGGAGCATTGCGAACAGCGCCAGGAACTTTCGAATATCAAAACATCACATCGTGCGTGGGTCTGACACGCGAAGGACAAGCGAGAGGCTTCAGCGGATGCTAGATTCTGCCCCAGGAAATTCAGTATCATCTATTATCTCTCTACTGACAGAGAGAAATTTGCCATCTTTCGTTGCAGGCTCTGGTGGAAATGACGAACCGTCTCTAGAATTGCCTGTCACTCCAAGCGCTCAGCAGGTTCGAACGAGGCAGATTGGTTTCTTGGGAGAAGTTTTCGTATTTCACCCCTGTCCACATTTGTTCGCCATGTCCTTCTAACCCCATATTACAGATCCACAAGCTATTCGAGAACCAGATCAGTGGCTGGTCCCACGAACAATGGACTAGCAAACTACGTGTGGAGAATGGGCACCCGCGCTTCACAGAGCTGGAACGGAATTTCGCCGACTTTACTTATACCGATGATTCCGGTCAAATGAAGGCGTATTTCCAAAATGCCGGCGTGGATCAAGCCGCACGATGGTCTAATGACACTACATACCATTTGGAGGTCAAGACCACCACAGGTTCCTGCAATCAGCCTTTCTTTGTGAGCCAAAATCAAGTCAATATGGTATAACTTATACAAGATCAGAGGCGTTAGAGGGTTAGAGCTGACAGTTCTACAGATGCGGAAATTTGACAAGGATCCCGGGAATGCATACATTCTTCTTCGAGTTTTTGACGTCGATGGCGATAACCCGGGTCTCAAGATTTATCCGAGTCCTTGGGGCCTTGGTTTAACTGGCATTCTTGGCTTCTCCGCACCTGGTGGGTATGAAGTACTTGAAGTACGGCAAATACCTCTGTGAAAGGTAGTAGCTGGGAGGAAAGACAACTGGAAATCCGAACCAGACCACCCACAAGCAGCCTTGGCAACAACAGTACGGTGGTGCATCCACAAAAGGAAGTTGCGCTAAGATCTAGAATGATAAGAACATATCAAGTGGAACATAAATATTGCTGATTGTGCCGTTCGAGCGATGTGTCAGTGAATGTTTCGTGGTGAGAGTCCAAACCGACCCTCTATCCAATAACCTGTAAATTCGCTACTACGGTCAGAAAAGACAATTGAAGGAGAGCGCGTGGCTAGATTACATTGGATACTAGACTTGAATCTTACTATTGTCTCATAATCTGCTCAACAACGTCTAGTCCTGTCATACTCTTGACTGTTGAATCCAACGTACCAAATGGCAAGACCGTTCCAATCCGGGCTAAGAACGCGGAGTCCCCCTTCCAAATAACTGCTGGCGGTTTCTTCTTCAATAGGTCGTGGACGACATATTCCGCCCACTGCTCAGCTGGCATACTCCCGCCTTCATGCACCCCCAGGCGCAGGCCCTTCTCCACGACCTCTTTTGCAGGTTCGTAAATGGAACCCTCTGGTAATGATGGCTTGACTGATTCCACCATGTTTTTTATGAAGTTGGTATTGACAATCCCGGTTCTGAGATCAATGACCTTGACACCAAAAGGCTGGAGCTCGAGCCTCAACGTGTCGGAAAGCATTGCTAAGGCAGCCTTTGAAGCGCAATAGACACCCTGCCAAGGAACAGCCGCCACTGCTGCAATTGACGTTTGATTCACAATCATGCCATTGGAGGACTTCATCAACAACGGTAAAAACGCCTGTGTTACAGAAAGATGCGACCAGACGTTGAGGTCAAATAGTTTCTTAGCTTCAAGAACCCGGACGTCGGCTATAGGCATAGAGAGCCCGCTCCCAGCGTTGTTGACGAGGATGTCCAGTGCAGGCAATTTACTGACACAGGCAGCGATAGACGACTCGGACTGCACATCGAGTGTCAAAGTTTTGATGCCTATCGATTCGAGATGGCTCATTTTGGTAGGAGTTCGAGCTGTTGCATAAACCTGCAGGCCGGCCTTGTGAAACGCTACCGCAAGGGCAGCACCCATTCCTCCATCTGAGCAGCCCGTTATTAGAACCGTTCTTTTGAGGCTTGACATTTGAGCTGATCTAGAATGGTTGGGTTAAAAGTGTAGAATGGTGAACAAGGGGCAGGATGGCGTGAATATTTCGGCATCGTTAGATTTGCAGCTACCACAGGCTATATGCCTATTATCACCCAGCACTCACGGAGGCTTCCCCGATATTCACCGATCTAGAAGATCCGCACACCGTCGAGATAGTTATCCATTCGGGTGAGGGATTGACCCGAGTCGGGCAACAATTCTCCCGATCGCCTCATACGTCGATTGGAGAGTTTCCAAATATCCCGATCCTTGTCTATCGGAAGAATTAGTACCGCCGAATCGTAAGCAACCCAATAACAGATCCAGGAGAATGTTTCAACGGGTTAACTTGTAGCCGTGTGGCTTGGAGAGAATCCACTGATTTTCCGCATCTGTTGGAAACTCGCAGATCCGCAAGTCCGCAAGTCCGCAATATCACAGGGCCCACTGGCTCAATCACCCGGCAGCACAATGGAACCGCTAATATCTGTAAACTGGATGAGCCTTTGATAAGTACTCGAAGCTTATGGTTAGCAGTAGGTTAATTATCAAAGTCGGGTACGGTAAGGAAGATGCCGACCACCATTGTTCGGTTTAAGTGTTGATAACGTCCCGACGAACCATGGCTAAAGTCAGAACACCGAAACGAAACTGACTGATTTGCCACTCTTAGATCTTAGATAGTATTCAATACATTTATTCTTAATTTTCCTCCCCAGCCAGTTCTCCCCGCCTCGCTATATGCCAGTTGTCCTTGAAGCTCGTCAATTTCGAAGAACACCTTGGGCCGTTGACCTTGTTTGGTCTGCACCATGAGGCAACTGAGCCATCCATACCCGGGTCCCTTCTTCCTCTCGACAGATAGAATTTTCGCCATCGCCCAGCTCTTGAAACCGCTAAGCAGCAGACTTTCTGAGAGGGTTCGATGCTGCTCATGCTTGTTGGATGTGAGGCGGTAGTTTCCGACCGGGGAGAAATAGAGCCGCTCAGGGAAATAAATGAGGGCGCGGTGTGTGAGTAGTGAAGTAGATGCATTTGTTAACCACCAATTCCAAATCAGACAGCAAAATTACCTACAATTCCACCAATTCCACCAAATCTACTCATGGAGGTAAATTCGTCTCGATGACAGCATCCAACTTCAGGTGCGGGGTAACATCCCTGCTCCATGTCAGCATTCAACTTAGTCTACCACGTTCATATCAAGCACTCACAGCATCGGGCAAATGCGCAAGAAATAATGGAAATCCCATCGAACTGGCATTCCCGCCGAAACTTCCGTCGCCGGGCCGAATCAACAAGCTGTCCCAATTGTAAGGATTTTGACTGGGATGAGCTCCAACGGCACGCATGGGACACCTTCTTTACACGACCAGAGGACATCGCTCACTCAGCCAGAAGGGGGTGTGCTACATGCCATATGCTCTCCAAGGCCGTCGAACATTGTTATCCGGCTGTGGCAAGCAATCCCAGCGGATACAAGATTGCCTTCCATGGCCTTGATGGGCCAATACACTGGGATGTTGTAGGTCCCGGTGAAGATCTACTAGACGCGACCAGACAGAATAACTTCATCGAGATATTTTCACACCAAGGTTTAACCTTTGACCTTCTAGCTGGTGTAGCCATATACACTAACCGGTATCGAGTAGGCGACTCATGTCCGTGGCCACTCGTTGGGCCCGCGGATAGCATCGACTACAGCCTCGATGGTGCCCTGATACAGACTCGGGGATGGCTGACAACTTGTCAGGGCCAGCACCCTCGATGTGGCATCGCAAATGAGACAGCCTTGCCCAAGAGGGTGGTTCGAATCAGCCGAGAAACAAACGGTGACAAGACCGAAACTTCGGATCACCCACAAGTGCACCTCTACGAAACCCGAGATGGGGAGCTAGGAGAATATGTTTGCCTCAGTCATTGTTGGGGTAAAACTCAAATTATCACGACCACATCTGATAATATTGAGAAGCACAAGGTCCAAATCGAATGGTCAGATCTCTCCAAGACATTTAGAGATGCCATCATATTTGCGGACAAGATAGGCATCGACTTCATCTGGATAGATTCCCTCTGCATCATCCAAAATAGCCGTGAGGATTGGGAGTCAGAGGCTGTCAAGATGGCATCCTATTATATCAACGGCGAATTCACCATCGCTGCCACCTCGTCTACGGGTGGTTCTGGTGGTTTATATCACACAGTCCCCCCGGAGGAAGAAGCATTGCAAATTGAAGGATTGGATCCAAAGAGCAACACAAATTTTGGCGTGTGGGCGCGCAGGTCTGTCGCTCACCACCACGACGTGTTGGAAGACAAGACAAAAACAAATGAGCGGTTTCCCCTTTTGACAAGAGGATGGGTCTATCAAGAAAGAATCTTGTCTCGTCGATTTCTTCACTTTGGGCCGAGGGAAGTTCACTGGGAATGTCACGAAGAGGTGTCATGCCAGTGCGGTGGCATCAAGGGCGCCCTTGAGCTAAATCCATCAGGGAAAGAAACGGCCAACCAATCCCTAGCCATCAGCCAAACTCAGCTCCAAATGGACAAAATGGTGCTTTTATGGAGCCGACAAATTGAGAACCTAACAAGACTCGACTTTACGTATATCAGCGATCATCTGGCGGCCTTGGCGGGCATTGCAACACTGATGGTACAATCTGGGCAGTCTAGCAGATACCTCGCTGGACTTTGGCAGGATGGGATATTGTTTTGGTTATGTTGGTCAAGCACCAAAGGCGGGACCAGATCGAAGGCACTCTCCGGGGTGCCTTCGTGGTCCTGGGCATCCGTTTCCGGGAAGATTACCTATGACTTCATGACTCACTACTTCCAAACCGGGCCATGGGGAGAACGAGGCCATAGGCTGTTGCTACTTGTCAAAGCATCTCAAGTCAAAGTTGAGAAATGCATCCCTGATCGGCCACCGCTCTCTGGGAAATTGGAACTGGGAGTGTTAACAATCACTGGAGATGCAGCGCCAGCTACGGTTCGATGCAAAAGTCAAGCGGACGGAGAAACAGTGTTTGAGTTTATACTGGAAGAGGGATCTGGACATCATGAACCCAATGATGTCCAGTTTCATTGGCCTTTCCAATGCGACTCGGACGATCCGGATAGTGTAGCAGAACTTGACGGCCAGAGTGTCCTTGTTTTGCATCTGCTCAGCTACGAGAGATTGTGGGTTGAGTACGATGGGGCTTATTGGATGAGATCAATGCTTATTCTGAAACCTATTGATAAGGTTAAGAATAGGCATTGTCGAGTTGGGATGTTGTACACAAATGTCAGTAGACACTACGTTCCCGCCAAGGCGTGGCGGGAGATGGAGGGTAGATACGGGATGCCTCTGGAAGAGATGGAGGATGTTTTATTACGGAAGTTTAGGAAGCTGGCTACGGAGCAAGTAGTCGAAGTGATTTAAGATCCGTTGCGGATAGTTTTTGAACGACACGAGTTCAAGGGCGAGGTAGAAACGTGGATAGATCGGATTCTGCTATGCGTCCAAGGAAGAAGACATTGAGAGCTTTCAAGGTTACGAATACGTTTCTGTGACATTGACATATTTAGTCGAGTAGACCATGTCGAAGTATTTGACCCCCAATTCTTGCAACTTTCAGGACTGGATCCTGCCTACGCAGCGACTTGCAACACAGCGCGTCCAGCTACTTGTCCAGCAACCAATTTCTCAACCCAAGTATCCAGGTCCTCAAGCTTTCCCTTGGAAATAATTGGCTTGTGTTTTGTTAGTACATTCTTAAACTCAGTCAGAAACAACTGCTACTCACATGGACAAGACCTCGAGCAGTAAAGTCAAGGGCCTCCTCAACTTCCTTCAGGCTACCCACAACGCTTCCAACAATGTTGAGACGTCTCAGCGCAACTAGAATGGGGGAAGCCCCAGCCATGATTGAAGGATCTTGAGGCAACCCAACGGCTACCACGGTGCCATTCGGTCGCAGGAATGTTGGCGCGGACTCATAGGCTGCCTTGGTTGCTGCCGTCACGATGACGCCGTGCGCGCCGTATGTCGTTATCTTCATGATTTCAGCGGTGATATCCTTCGTAGTCTGGAAATCAATGAAGATCTCAGCGCCGAGCTTCAGGCAAAGGTCGCGCTTGGCGTCGCCGCCGTCGATGGCAATCACTCTCATTCCCATAGCGCGCGCATATTGAATTGCAAAATGCCCGAGCCCACCACCGGCTCCTGGAAGAACGATCCATTGGCCAGGCTTGACAGCGGATCTGAGATTAAATATTAGTAAACAGATCCAGGTATTCATCTTCGATATCGTGCCGTCTTACCGCTTACATGCCGTGTAGGCCGTGACGCCTCCGCACATGATAGGGCCAGCTTCCTCATCAGAGACACCATCGGGGAGCCTTGAGGTATATCGGCCATCTGCGAGACAATACTCCTGGAACGTACCCGGAACTGAGAATCCACTATTCGATTGCTTGATGCAATGCACCTCGTCGACTCCATCCAGGCAGAACTCACACTCGCCACATGTGCTCGCAATCCACTTGACGCCCGCGCGATCACCCAACTTCCACCGGCCTTCCATGCCTTCACCAATTGCAACAACCTCGCCTGCGCCTTCGTGGCCGGCAATGCCATGGGTGCTTGACATCATGCTGATACCAAAGCCGCTCCAGTCATCGTGCAGCAACGACTTGTCTGAACCACAAAGTCCAGTCCACTTAATCTTTACAAGGATCTGTCCTGGGCCGGGTCGCGGGACTTCGATATTCTCGACCTTGGTGGTGGATGTTGGGCCGCTCCCTTGACGAACCGCAGCCCTCTGTTGTGTTGGAATTGCGGGTGAAGTCATGTTTAGAAGAGGAGCAAATATTGGCCAGTAATATGCGATAAAATCTTTCGTACTATGGATCGTACCATCAATTGCTCAGAGACATGAGAGGCCACAAAACCAGCTTTCGGCTCGTGGCAGTAGTATAAATACCAGAGACCCTCATCAGATCATGCACCCCGCGATCAACTTCAGCTCAGTCCGCCCTGCAGCTCGGTCCGACGGGTGTCACCAGCTCCAGCTACCGCTCAGTCCGGTTAATGCTGTCGGATATGTGGAAACAGGGTATTGTTAAGCGAGTACGTCACCCCAAGGTATCACCAGACCGTTTTGATTGTAGGACTGTGTGGGTCAATCGTTGCACATTGTAGTGTGACGGTCGTACGTCTCGGTGGTTGAGGGCGGGCGGGCGTGCGAGCTTGCATCCTTGCACGGATACTACGGAGCACATTCCCCTGCGCTGATCAATGCGGAGAGCTTTGTAGGGCGGGGATTATGTGGGCCAAAGAGTAGAAGACAACAGTGGGAGTCAAAGATTAGAAACTTCGTGCCCATAACATTGTCCGATTTTCGTGGAACTCCTGATATCTAGCGCCAGGATCATCTAGCCGGTATTAAGTTGAATCCAGGCCAAGATTTATGTTTCCTTGGGTCGTTTAGCTTCAACAGATATCCAATACCATGTGCGTAAAACTGGTGGATGCGGAAAACGTGGCCCGGCTGGGCATGATAACTTGGCCATGGAACGTACTACTTCCAATCAAGTCAGCCCATGCTTAAGCGATCTTCCCCAGATTATGGGGTTACCTTAGTAGCGGACCCCGCTGCTAAGAAATCTCATTGGTATGTAAACAACGCAATTAATTCCGCCCCCGCGTTATCCTTACTGTAGGCGCCTCCTTCGGGCAAAAGGCAAACAAGATTCAGCAAGGGGGGTGGCCACAACAAGTGGGGAACACTGACACCGAACTTTCTAGTCATGATTCCGAAATCACAAACCAGAGCATAATCTAAAGATCTTAGCCAGTCAGCACTCCTCAGGTTGTATGTACAGTAAAGCCGACCGGTATGTTCGGAGCCGATTAGATTGAGCGGCTCCGCTCGATTCGCAACTCCCACAACCGACACATGAGACAGTAGTCAGTCATAGCTCGATCAAGTGGAATATTGCCGCCGTTCAGATTAAAAAAGAATTGGGCTGATAACCGGCAGAAGGCACAACCATTGGTTCCTGAGAGGTTTAAAGGTTTGATCTTGACTAGACAGGTAGCGTGTCCATGAGCCAAGCGGTTAACGACTCAACATTTAGACTCGATCAAAATGAAAGCACTGAGAATTAAGCGATACAATAATTCCAGAGATCTAAGTAACATGATTCTTTATGATGGTATAATGTAGGTCATTAGTGTGCGTTTGATTCCCAGCATCTCCTGTGCCAAATGGGAGAAAGCTCTAGGGTAACCCCTTGAGTAGCCCCCTCTTCAATTAGCCACAATAAACAAGGAGAATCGCGAGTACTACTCTTTCAAGAGACTTGATAATTTCGAGCAATTTTATTGCATTTGTAGAGTTTAATTTGAAGTTAAGCGCGAGGGTGAGTGGTCAGTTTTCTGTTACTGAGCGACACTGAACAGTGCTTTTGCTTTCAAGAACAAATCATCTTGTTAGGTCGAGCTTGGATTCAAACTTGAGAGAGCAATGGCTAGATATTTTAAGTCCTCGTTTAAAATGTAAGAAACATGAGCGTTGGCAGTGATTATGGAGGATATAGGTATTGTTGAGATTTTATGACGAACTTAGGGAGGACTTGAGACAACTAATCACCGGCAAATCACTACTTCTATATGTAACGAGTAACGTAGTGGACACGCGTAGTTGCGTGAGAGATATACGGCAGTTGTGTCCATTTAATTTACAGCTGTGCATTGATGACAATCATAATATTATTGTATATTCGTATACTGCGCTTACAGACCCTTGGCCTTGTTATATTCGTCTACAATCTCCCGGGTTGCCTTGACAATCTCTACACACCCTGGCGAGTCTGAGTGACAACAGATTGTGATTGGGTAGTCCTTGACCGGCATTTCAACAATCTCGCCAGTCACAGCAGTCACCTTGCTGTCATATAGTTGCTTCTTGACATGCGCCTTCACATCTTCCATTTTCCACGGCTTCTTCTTCCGATCCACGATCAACGTACCGTCAGCACGGTACTTGACATCGCCAAAGTACTCTGCCCAAAATTCAAGGCCGGCCTCCTTGGCAGCGGTTTCCATGTGTGTACCTGCCAGACCGAAAACTCGCATTCCCTTTGGGACTCCTGCCCACACGGCTCTTGCTACCTCGAGGTCGCGAACCATCATGCCGTAAAGAATGCCGTGAGGCTTAACGTGGTGCATCTCGACACCTTCGCGGGCGAGAAAGCCTTGAAGTGCACCGACTTGGTAAATAATGTTGGCCGTATGCTCTTCTGGGGAAAGCTTCATCTCACGCCGGCCAAACCCTTGTACGTCTGGAAGGCCGGGGTGAGCTCCGATCTTAACGTTATGCTCTTTACAGAGCGCAACCGTTTCTCCCATAATGAGAGGGTCACCAGCACTTTCAGATCATCAATATCAAGAAAATACACTCAATTTCTGATCTTAACTCACTGGAACCCGCAGGCGACGTTGGCGTGATCAATCATGGGCAACAATTCCTTGTCTGGGCCACAGATGAAATTCCCATAGCCCTCGCCCATATCGACGTTGATGAGTCCTTTGTGCATCGTCATGATTGGCGTGCTCTGATTTTTTGGATTGAATATGATGAGAAAATAAGAAAATGTTTTTCAATTCAAACAAATATAAGGATCGTTGGATGAAGAAGGGTGAGAAAGATGAACCATCTCGACAGAGGGCATGCGGGCGCTGGCCATATCAAAGCGTTGCTCCAATAGTGGAGCTAGTCTCCAACACCAAATCAGCATGGGTCGGACTTCGGTGCCCGATAGCAACACCGTGTCTCGGAACCGAGGGAGCCGAGCGGGTCTGCATCTTTCGGAGCCTCCATTGAAGGATGACATATTGGTTAGGGATGCTGCGTTTTACTTTGGGAGGAGTAAACATCCAGTATCAACCTGCCAACGACAAATGGCCTAGTAGAGAAGCTGAAGTTAGCGACAGTCATCTGTAAACGAAGCCTGATGGACGATACTTCCCACATCGTTAGTAATTCTTGTCAGCCTGCGCGAGTCGAAGATGACGTGCAGGACTTTCATCAACATGATTCAGGCCCTAACTATCTTTTTAGGCACTGTAGTCTAGCCGTCTAACTCGACGACGGTGATCAAGATGGTGGCCAAAGCATTTGGAGATATATTCTATGTTGGGACAGAGCGGGCAGATCGTTGAATGGAAGAGAGAACACACCTATGGGGCCATGGCTAGCAGTAAAAAATGCGACGGAGCTTCTTGATTCTCTCTGACTGGAAGATTCAGATTAATAAGTGCATGCTCTAAGCTGATCAATTCTTCATCCAGGAGGATGATCTCTTTAAGGTTCACCCCACCATGTTTGCACGCATCGGAGGATTTCAATTCTCCAGGAAACAATCTCCGTTGAAACAGATTTACCGATGCCAGCGCTCATTACGTGTATGATGTTGAATTCTGGCCAATTCTAGCGGTTCCGAGCTGATGGAACGCCAAGACTAGAGAAACTCCACACCTCTCCCGGTCAGCACATGGCCATCTCGAACCCGAATTTCTTCGTAATTTGTCCACTGATCTCACCGGACGAAAGGAATAGGGACTCAAAACGGGCGCATTGTCTCAGACGATATCTCAAACTAGGCTCAAAGGCCGAATTCTGGTCAGGACCGGCCCGGGCGCGAACAGCGGACGACTCCAACAAGTTGGGGTTAATGATAAGGGGTCCAGTTTTCCCAAGTGATCGACCCCAATCCACCCAAACTTCACAGATTACCGGGTTACTATCTCACTAGACCCCAAGTGCTTGTCTCTAGGCAATCGTAGGCCTGGCATCATGGCGAGATAAGCCAACATCCTGGTTCCTTGTGGTCTTGATGCGACTCGGTCTGACCCCCTCGTCCGCTCGGAGTCTTTCTGCGACCGCTAATCGTTCACCAAGATCCATGGTGAACCAGTTATCGGGAAATGCTCCCCGGTACTGCGTAATGGTAATGTGCTTAGCATGGGTGTGAATCGCCTGATGTGATATTCGTGATTTACTTAAAGTTACTTATGCACCCCCGATGGTTCATCGCGCAGCTCTTGCCACGTTTTCACATTCAAACCAATCTGGGATTCATAACAGTCTTGGCCCTGCCCCAAGTGCCGGCATCATTGGATACTCGCCGAAATGTCTGAAGAAAATGTCTTCCAAATCCCAACGCCCTTCTCCCCGGGCGTGGGTTACGGCCTCGTTGTGGGAGTCGGAGCCGCCTTCGCCATCGGCATGTCCCTGATCTCCTGGATTCTCAGCCGCTACATGAACGAAATCCAGGATTCCGAAATGTTCATGACGGCAAAGCACTCCGTCAAGACGGGATTGACTGCATCTGCCGTCGTCTCTTCGTGGACCATTGCGACCACTCTACTGAGCAGCACGACATACGGATATCGATACGGAGTTTCCGGCCCGTTCTGGTATGCTGCTGGCGCCTGTGTTCAGATCTTGCTATTCTCGGTCGCAGCTGTGGAACTCAAGCGGAAGGCCCCTCACGCCCAGACTTACCTTCAAGTCGTCAAAGTCCGCTACGGAAAGGCGGTCCATCTTGTCTTCACCTCGTACTCGTTGATCTACCAAATAATCACCACTGTCAACCTTCTGGTGGGTGGATCGGCCGTCTACGCTTCGATTACTGGCGTCAACCGCGATGCCATTTGCTTCCTCTTTCCTGTCGGTGTGGTCATCTACACGTTGATGGGAGGAATCAAAGCGACGTTCATCACTGATTGGGTATGTTATCATTTCTGCAACCCTCCAGGTGTCTAATGCTAATGAGGTGGTACTAGATCCATACTGTGATCATCTACGTCATTATGCTCATGTCGCTTTTCGTCCTCTACGCAACCTCGAACGTTGTCGGCTCCCCCGGAAAGGTGTGGGAACTCCTTCGGGAAGCGGCAGTTCTCCACCCGGTTGATGGAAATGCAGAGGGACAGTATCTTACAATGAGATCTCAACAAGGTGGTTTCGTCGGTCTGGTCTTCATTGGCGCTGGTTTCGCCGCGTGTGTCGACAGTCAGCTCTTCCAGAAGGCCATTGCTTGTGACCCTCGCAGCACCTCAATGGGATATATTCTCGGTGGCCTATCCTGGTTCACAATCCCCTTTGTGCTTGCGAGCACCTTCGGTCTTGCCGCTGCTGCCATGGAGCATCTTCCTGAGTGGCCTACCTACCCGAACCGAATGAACGACTATGAAGTCGCCTCAGGCCTTGCTATGCCCTATGCTGCAATCGCGTTAATGGGCAACGGAGGTGCAATTGCGGTGCTTCTGATGATCTTCATGGCCGTGACAAGCGCAATGTCGTCCGAAACCGTCGCCACCACGGCTCTCGTCACATACAACGTTTACCAGGCCTATATTAAGCCCAGTGCCACAGGCAAGCAGCTTCTCGCATTTTCTCACTTTGTTACCGTCGGCTTTGCCATCTTTGCGGCATCGATTGCCGTGGCTTTCAATCATGGAGGCTTCAGCGTTGAGTTCCTCATCACAGCCATTGGTATTTTCGTCGACGCCGCCATTGTCCCTATGGCTTGCACCATCATGTGGAAGAAACAATCCCGACTCGCAGCATTGATTGTTCCCCCGATTGGCTCTGCAGCGGGCATCATCGCCTGGTTTCTCACGGCCCACAAGAATGAAGGGACCATTTCAATTGCCACGCTCAGTACAAACGAGCCCCTCGTGGCTGGAAACATCATGTCCCTAACCGCACCCTTAATTCTTACGCCTCTCATCACGTACATTCGACCTGACAACTTCGACTGGCACACTTTTAAAGATCAGATCAAGCGTGGTGATGATGAGCACATTACTGTCCATGGGCGAGCTGTCAACATACAGAGTGCCGAGGCTGCCGCGGTGCTTGCCGAGCAAGAGAAACACGAGGAGGAGGATGATCAAATTCTTGTTAAAGCCAGGAACCGCGCGCTAGCTCTTGCCGTCTTCATCACACTTTCTTTGTGCATTCTGTGGCCCATTCCCATGTATGCGTCGAGCTATGTTTTCAGCAAGGGCTTCTTTACCGGCTGGGTTGTAGTTCTGTTCCTCTGGGCATTCTTTGCCGCGAGTGTCATTACGTTGCTTCCAATTTGGGAGGGCCGAGGCCCTATTGTAATGGTTTGGCGGCGCCTGATTGGAACACCTCACATCGACGCTACTGGGACGGAATCGGACTCTGTTGCTGGCTCAAATTCTCCTGTTGAGAAGGTAGCAACAACTGTTGATATCAAGGCATAATTGGGTATCTTTGGAGGAGAAATGAGAGGAGATGGTATTAATTGGAGACTCCTTTTTCTTGAATGGATATTTAGAGCTCAAAATCAAGAAGTAGCTTATAGCATCCAGAGACAAGAGTTATTCAATGATATTCTTCAGGTATTCACACCGATTTCCATGCTGGCGTGCAGTGTCCTCTACTGCGGCTGCGGCTGCCAACCCGCATGAACCAAGCGGACCCGTATCTGTCGTTCATGCCGCTTACACCGTTCCCCTGCGTGTAGAAATAGTGGAAGAATGTGACATCTGCCATCTGGAAGAACCAGCCAGCTGGTAAGCTATCGGCACGGCCTCATCAGAGATGACCCCAACGCCTCAAACCCGTTCAGGATGCACCCCGACATCGACTGGGGACTTGTTCATTCCTGACCCCAAATCATCGGCTATCTTGGGGTCGTATCAGTTGTCATTGCGGGGTTTATCGGGCGCATGATAGCGTTTGGACAGGTTATCCTGGACTAAATATCGGAAATAGTCCTAGGGTGTATTTGTCAGTTGATAAGGCTGCTACTATTGATACGCCAAGAACGTGGCATCCTAGGGTATACCAAACTATAGCCAGTGTGACATCATCTCGGAACCGAGCCCCCTCCTTTAACAGACATTTGTCGTATCACGACCACTCATCTAGCAACATTAATATGTATCCCGGTTTTGATCGGTATATCTACTGCGACCGGAGCCGAGAGCCCGACCCCAGGGTCCCTAGTCTCCCCGCAGCGTAAGCTTTATCTCGACATGAGTAGATAAAGGAATGATGCGAAACATCTCCAACTGATTACCAGTGGCCTGTTCTCTCCACCCAATAATCGTTTGATGTCCTGGAGCCGGCAGAAGCTTGCCTATCCATAGGCCAGACCTGATTGAAGCTTCTACCCTTGCTCTTTATCTGCTCTGTCCTCCGCATCGTTGACGTTTCCCTTGGATACCGCCCTTGGGTTTCGACCCCGATTATTACCTGCTTCAAGTTTAGAGAAGGGCTTCTTCTCTCGGCCACGCCAGGATGGAGTACCTCAAGGCGGTCCTGATCGCTAACCGAGGCGAGATCGCATGTCGCCTAATTAAAGCTGCCAAGTCAGTGAAACATGTCGCAAACGAGGGTGAAATGGGCTAAACATTGCAAAGGAAACTAAACATTCGCACCATTGCCATCTACACGGAGCCCGATTGTGCATCTCATCATGTTCTCGCAGCAGATGAAGCGTACTTGCTCAGTGGAGAGTCGCGGTCTGCATATCTTGATGGGTTTGTGACACCAATCCCTTGCATACTCGAGCTTCTGAGCGCTAACTGTGGATTTCAGAGACCAGATCATCTCCATTGCCACAACACATGGTGCGCAAGCAATCATTCCTGGCTATGGCTTCCTCTCCGAGAATACCGACTTTGCCCGTTCTATCGCCGCGGCTGGTCTCGTATTCGTTGGACCGTCACCCGAAGCCATTGAATCCTTTGGCCTAAAGCACACGGCTCGTGGCCTGGCAACCACTGCTGGAGTGCCTGTAGTCCCAGGATCTGAGGGATTGCTTGATTCCGAAGACGCCGCCGCTTCAGTTGCTACAAGCATCGGGTTTCCAGTCATGCTCAAAGCGACAGCCGGCGGTGGTGGTATGGGGCTTCTTGTTTGTGCAGATGAAGCCGAAATCCGCAAGAACTACCAGACTGTTCAGTCTCGGGGCGCTTCTCTCTTCAAGAATTCCGGTGTTTTTGTAGAACGCTACTATCCCGACAGTCATCACATCGAAGTGCAAGTGTTTGGAAACGGCCTAGGCAAGGCTATAAGCATTGGTGAGCGAGAGTGCTCGATTCAGCGCAGACACCAAAAGGTGGTCGAGGAGTGTCCCAGTCCATTCGTGGCTATGAGGCATCCCGAACTCCGGGCCAAGTTGACAGCAAGTGCTGTGCGGCTAGCAGAGAGTCTCAGATACGGCTCCGCAGGCACAGTTGAATACCTCGTGGATGATCACACGGGCGACTTCTTCTTCCTAGAGATGAACACACGATTACAAGTCGAACATGGAATCACTGAGATGTGCTATGATGTCGATCTCGTGGAACTCATGTTCCGACAGGCGGATTGCGAGCTTGGAGGAAAAGGCGGCCTGGCAACGACCGAGCTGGAGGCCCTTCAACAACGCTGTCTTGAGCCCAGTGGTCACGCGATAGAGGTACGCGTCTACGCCGAAAACCCAGCGCGAAACTACACGCCCAGTCCTGGATTGCTGCAGAAAGTCTCTTGGCACCAGTCAGAAGGCACCCGCGTGGATACTTGGGTTCGAGCTGGAATCACGGTCAGTCCAGAATATGATCCTCTCCTGGCCAAGATAATGCACCATGCATCAACAAGAGACGCAGCCATCTCGGGTATGGAGTCAGTTCTCAAACGCAGCAACATAAGCGGGCCTCCTATCAACATGGACTTTTTGCTTGCAATTATCCAAAATGCCACGTTTCAAGCAGGCAACACAATCACAAAGTTCCTAGACTCCTTCAATTACGTTCCTCCGGCAATTGACATCATTTCTGGTGGATCTTATACCCTCATTCAGGACTACCCCGGTCGACCAACTGTGGGACACGGCTTTGGCCACGCTGGGCCCATGGATCCTATCGCATTCCGTGCGGCCAATATTCTTGCTGGCAATCCAGTTGGCGCCGAGGGTCTAGAAATCACTCTCACCGGTCCTGATATGGTATTCCTTGGCGATGCGGTAGTAGCTTTGTGTGGACCTCCGGTGCCTGCCCACCTGGACGGAGAAGACTTTCCACTCTGGACCCGTGTGCATGTCCAAGCTGGCCAGCGTCTGACTATTGGCAAGATGGCTTCCCACTGCAGAGTTTATCTAGCCATCTACGGAGGCTTCCTCAATGTGGCTGAATGGTTCGGGAGTAAATCCACCAATCCGATGGTCAACGTTGGTGGCTATCAGGGCCGCCCCTTGCGTGCTGGAGATTTCCTCAAGATTGTTGACGCCGCCGCTCTGCCGCCGAAGAAGTCAATGACCATCCCTCAGAATCTCATCCCACAGTACACCACCAACTGGGACATCCAGGTTATGCCGGGTCCCTACGAGACTGGATATCTCTCGGAGGAGGACATCGAGATGTTCTACTCAGAAAACTGGCAAATCAGCCACAATGCCGCTCGAGGCGGTATCCGTCTCATCGGCCCACGACCTAAGTACGCCCGGACTGATGGTGGAGAAGGCGGTGCTCACCCCAGCAACGTCATCGAGTATGGCTATCCCCTTGGTGGCCTAAACTGGACTGGTGATGAGCCTGTCCTCTTTCCAGTCGACTGCCCCGACTTCGGCGGGTTTATCTGCAGTCTGACGGTGATTAAAGGTGATATGTGGAAGATGGGACAACTTCGCTCCGGAGACCACGTAAAATTCCGGAGAGTCAGCTTGGAGAGTGCGTTGGATTGCCGAAAGAGGAACGAAGACTTTTTGCAGAACTTGATCTCCTCGGTGGACACAGGTTCTTGGGATGGTGTCATCGCATTCGGTAGCACCATCCTCGGAGAAGAGGTCAAGCAACCTGGGCTTGATTTAGTCAAGGTCATCGAAGCCACCTCTTCCAGTCCAAAGGTATCGTACCGCGCTGGTGGTGATGACTACATGCTCGTCGATTACGGCGACGGCAGGGCCGATCTGAACAACAAGTGTCGCGCCACAGCCTTGAAGCGCTGCCTCGAGAAATCTACTGGCCTTGCGTCTCTAAACATGGCACAGGGCGGGGCGGTATTCAATACCGTTGGCTGTGGCAATGCTCTGGCTATCTTTTATGACGGCATGAGACTGCCGATGAAAGAGCTTATGGACCGGCTTCTTGAGTTTGAGGGTTCTATGGGCGATATGCGATCCGCGCAATTCCCCAACCGTCGGTTCCGACTCCCTGTCGCATTCCAACACAAGAAACTCGATGATAGTATTGAGCGATATATGGCCAACCAACGCTCTCTGGCCAGCTACTTGCCAGATCCGTTCCAATTTGTTGCCGAGAACAACGGAATGACATTGGATGAACTGAAAAAGATGTTCCTGACCCTCGAGTCCGTTGTTATTGGCGTGGGTTTCTTCATGGCCTTACCACAAAGTCTTCCCGCCGACCCGAGACACCGGCTTCGGGCCCCGAAGATGAATCCTAGTAGAACCTACACTCCCGAGGGAACTTTCTCGTGGGGTGGCACCTGCATCGCCATTTATCCCGTCGACTGCCCTGGTGGTTACATGCCAACGGGCATGACAATCCCTGGAGTCGACGTGTTTGGCTACAAGGCAGGATTTAGCGAGGAAAAGCCGTGGATGTTCGAAGACATGGACACACTAAGCTTCTACGAGGTTTCAGAGGAGGAATATGACCTCAAGATGGCACAATTTAAGTCGGGAAGTTACCAATTCGAAGTTGAGGAGGGCATTTTTGACATGGCAGCCCACAACAAGTTGCTCGAAGAGGCTGCGGACGAAGCCCAGGAATTGCACAAGCAGCGAGCTGTAGCTCAGGTCAGGATGGTGGCCAGAGAGAAAGAGCTGCTAGAGCAGTGGATTGAGCAGCGAAAAGCTAGCGAAACCAGCACCGACGAAATCCAAACTCTCTTGGATGGTAAGTTTTCCAGGCAGTTTCTACCCTCTTACGCATGCTAACGCGATTTTGCAGACCCAGCCATCGAGGCAATTGAGTCACCCGTGAATGCAAACGTATGGAAGGTTTTGGTACAAGAAGGAGAAACACTGCAGGCTGGCCAAACAACAACGATTCTCGAGGCTATGAAGATGGAAATCAACGTGCTTGTGGAACCTTCCATGGCGGGCGCAACTATTGTCAAGGTTTTGATAAAGCCTGGAGACGGCGTGGAGAGTGGGAAGCCGCTGGTGCTTGTGCGGAAGAGTTCTGGATGATTACGTTAGGGAGTGTGAGAAGGGGAACTTTACGGCGTATTGCTCTTTAGTTTTTTTACACAAGATCAACTCAAGCCGAAATCTCAATTATATATGCAATATCCTGGTTGGCTAGTTCAGTAAGGTTGTTGTCCGTGAGCCGCAAGCTTGGAGGCAGAGGGTCTCTAGTCAAGAGCCGTTCGTCCGCCGGAAATCCGCAAAATGAGCAACCTAAAGCCTGCTCATGCCACCATCCGGCCCGGAATGATATATGCCACGCTATGGTATGAACTAGATTCTCTCAGCGAGATAATGAGTCGACAACAAGCACCAGGTGGTGCGAGATAGAGTTTGGGTTGGAGTTGGGTCAGTCGTCTGGTGGAGTCTAGTTCTTGATCCTGGTCTGGCTCTAGCTTATCGGGTTTTTGGAGCAGCGAGATCCAATTAAAGAGGAGATATCTCGTAGCTATCTGCTTACTCCAATTCGCATTAATTGACCGGGCCGGTTCTATTCCGATTCTCCAGCGCAAAGTTGGCCGACCCGGGTGCAATTCCGGCCCACATCTGGCGCATCCTCCGCCCTCTCCGCGTCGGAACCGAGCCCTTTTCACAGTCTGCATCCGATCATGCAAGAGGCACAGCAACGCCGACGCCAGCAGCGGAAGGCCTGTGATCTGTGTCGGCGTCGAAAGGTCCGGTGCGACATTGTCGTTCGAGGAGCAGAGCCTTGTACGGTATGTGAAAAGGCTGGTCTTGAATGTCGGTGAGTGCTTAACCTCGGCTCCGAGAAGTTATTCTGTTGTCTGCAATTGAATGGGCTGTTGACCCTTTACAAGGTCGACGACCAAGTTCGCAGCTCCTAGACGCAGCCTCACCAATGCGCGTCGTCGGTCTTTCGACAATAACGTCCGCGAGCGCTCCCCCTCGGGCGTATCCAGGCGAGACGTGGACAGGACAGGCGAGGGTGAACCAAGCAGCCTCCCGCCTCTCACAAGGGCGGCATCTACACCGTTGGTAGTAACCCAGGTGAAGCATACAGAAGAGCAAACGCCCCGGTCCGGCGGACAAGAGCAGCTTGCGCGCAACGGCCTCGCTCGGTTCTTCCGCCACGGCATCGGCGCCGCCGCGTGGACCATCTTCAACGCGACGCAGAGCTTCCGCATTGCCTACGTCGGCACCGCCGTGTCCAACCTGGTCCACCTGGTCGATCTCCACCGGTCGTTCCGCCAGCCGTACGCCAGCGCCGGGGGCATCCACCGGCCGCTGTCGGCCGCAGCGGCGCAGGAGACTCCGCTAGACAATCCGGGCACCGGGAGCAGCTCCGTGAGTGACACGGGGGCCGTCACCAAGCCGCTGCACTATCCGTACCCTCCGATCCGCCAGCCCAAGCCGTGGAAGCCGAACTGCGACATCTGGGGGATTCCGTCGGCGCAGGATCTCGCGTCCGAGGTGGCGTCGTTCCCGGCGCATGATGTTCGCGATGCCCTGGTGCTGGCGTACTTTGAACATATTCACCCGTTCCTCCCTATCGTCTCCATGCCCGAATTCTTTGACAGCTACAGGAGTCCGGATAAACCACCACCGCTCTTGTTGTTCCAGGCGGTATTGATGGCCGGAGCACATGCATGCTCTCATCCACTGGTGGCCAACGACCGCCATGCCGTCAAGAACGTACTGTTCCGCAGGGCAAGCATGCTCTACCACATGCGCCACGAGACGGACCGGATGCATCTCATGCAAGCAGCCGCTCTCTTCACATGGCACGTCGGTGATGGCGATACCGTTGCCGGAGGGCCGTGGTATTGGTCGGGGATTGCCCTTCGCATCGGCCTCGGTCTGGGAACGCATCGACACAGCAAACATCTACCGCAGACGGAGACTTCGCAATACAGGCGCTGCTGGTGGTCGGTGTTTGTTTGCGAAGTATTTTCGTCTCTTGAAACGGGGAGGCCATGCGCAGTTCGAGCTGAAGACATAGACCAACTGCCGCTCTGCAATGATGATATGACGGATACGCCGGGTCCAACGACGATTACTTTGGGCAAGGATGCTCGACCCGACTTTCTCAATCGCATGGTAGAGCTTGCGTACATCGGCCTCGATATCATGGCAGTGAATGCTCCATCTCAAGAGAAGTTGATTGACATCAGCTCCATCAACGCTCGACTCGGCCTGTGGTCTCTTCAATCAGGCATTTCCTCCGTCGCCGAGAATGACGATTCGTGGACTTGCCATCTCCGCATGCATTACAACTTAGTCCTGCTGCATCTTTATCGCAACATGTCAACAGAGTCTAGCAGCCAGTCCATCTGCTCGACCGCCGCCCAGGCCATCGTCACGTCACTCGAGCAGCTCGCAGCCCGAGACGAGATGCGACAGTGTCACTTTACCGCCGTCAGCGCCGTTACCGCCGTTGGGATCCAGTTTGCCAGTGAGATACGCACAGCTGTGACAAGCGGCGTATTCCTCGTTGCTATCAGCGCCTTGGAACAGCTCGCGCGACTTCTAAGATCGACCATGCTACTTTCTCGATACTGGCCGAATGCTGAGGCAGTTCACAACGTCTTTGAGGAGCTTCACCAAGAATATGAACATCTTGTCACTCAACACCTCCAGGGCGAACGCGTTATTATTCCCGAGAGTCCGCCTGATTGGAACAGGCTGCTCGCTGGCGAGCCAATCCAACCACTCAATGATTTCGGTGCGGACCAAGGCTGGATGAACATAGCGAATTGGACCGATATGTTGTGAGTGGTATTTTCCAAGTCAAGAATGCATCTTGGATGTGTATCGTAAAATAATCGGTTGGACGCAACTTGGATGTTCTTAGGGTGGCAAGTGTAAATGAGAGGCGATGTACTCTCGAGTCATTATATAGAACAACTTCATAAACTTTATTAGAGCATAGATGAACGACGCCCAATAGATAATATTTCTCACACTAACGGACGATCAAGTTTCATGTTCAAGGCTGGCCTACATCAGGCGCCCGTTCAATATTGTACGGGGACTACAAGGCTATAATCTAAATTCGTTAAAATATCCAGAAATTCATACACATACTCCCGCATTCGTGTTTTGACATCTCCAAGAACTTCTAGTCCTTCGCTGCCTTCCAGTAGAGTGGATGCAATCTCTCGAATCTTGGCAATCTGGGATATTAATTAGTAGACAATCCATTTACCAACATCTCTAGGCTCATACCATAGATGCACCATTGGACTCAAGTGTCCACGGTGAACAAGAATGCACGACCCCGAGAAGTTCTTTTGCAACCGATTCTTTCATTTCCCAGAGTTGTTCTCGACACGAAAGCCTGGCCATCGTGGCGGCTTCGTTGCTGCGAGGAGATGTGCCCGAATGAAGATTATTTCCACCACCTTCCTGTTCAAGTTTGGTCAACCCCATCTCTAGCATCATTGATCTGAGGTATATATTCGTGATGTGAATATTAGCTCGCATGATGTCGAATTGGGCGGCTTTCTTGAGGTGGGGATCCTCGCCAAACTCGCCGTCCGTGTTCATTGCTTGCTCTTGAAACTGCGGAGTTCTGAGTTCCGAGGGCATGTTGCTGAGTATTATGGTGAGTTTAGATATTGCCTGAAACAGAGATTCCATAGTAGGAATGGAGTTATAAAAGTGATGGTTGTCATTGCCTTGTAGAAGCCGTGCTTCGGGAGGAGAAGATGCAAGGTTGTACGTTTGAGGGGCTCCAGGAAATGCCTTGTGAAGGATGTCCACGACGCAAAGAAAAACCTTGAGAAGCTCAATGAAGCCGGATATCAGTGGCTTTGTGGGGTGAGTCCCGTCGAGGCAACTGGGTTGGTCGGGACTATCATCGACCAGAGCATAGTCGTCAAGCTCCATGGGGAGCATAAAATCCCAGTCGATGTGTGCTGGATCATATCCGAGTCCAGTATGTGGAATGATATGGGATATTCTATCATGCCTTTCGTGCTGTCAGCAATATTCCAATTCTTACCTCGAGTCGTGGGGCGACTCTCTGGTCCATATCTTTCGATGAAGACTCACACTTGGACTATAAAAAGCATCCAGAAGCATCTTTTACAGATCTCGGCATCTAGCCTGCTCATATCCGCGTAGACGTGCTTTTTATAGAGTTCAAGAACTCGGAAGAATTGGAGAGCTTCGCTTGACAAAGCCCAGCCCGTCGTGGCTCGCCCTGCATAGTGAGTAGACACTGAGAGGATGACGGAAATTATAATCGTGTCGATAGTCGGATAGTTCTGCCATTGGGGATCACTAAATATCCGACTGAGAGATACTAAATGAACCGCTCTATCGACAAAACCCTCAACCGATGTGTAGCCGGGCGCCTTGTAGACGGTTAGTTTGCGCGGAATGGAAGCAACGGTCAAGGCGGAAAGAGAAACGCAAAGGCGAAAGAAGGCCGGGTCTGTGTTGTAACATCGTCGGTTGAAAGCAATTCTAAATGTTGGCTCATGGACGAGAGGGAACACCGGGTAGACTCTTTCGAAAAAGTCATCCATAATAATGTCCAGGATGCTTTCTGGGATGAAGTGGGCCATGGAGAGTTGACCAACAGGCAAGTCTGGAAGTCGATTGCCACCTGAAGAAAGTCCATCTGTTATAGCTGCGCGTTTTCGGGCTTCCGCAACACGTCTAAGGAAATAACATGTCTTGTCAGAGCATGGTACCCAGCATAATGACTCACGAGAACCATTACCTGCTCGGAGGTCCCCGGGGCTTCCGGTCGGTCAAGAAAGTGCAGGGAGCGTCGGACTTGACGCATCTCTGACAAGTAGTGGAGGTGTCATTTTGGAAGACGCACTATGAAGTCCATATCAGCCCTCTTCCACGTCCACTGTGCATGGAGAAAGGTGGGGTGTACCTGGATCTTGCGCTCACGACAAAGGTCGCATGCTTTTCGTGCAATCGGGCGGCCCTTTCTAGAACTCTGCGACATTAAGAAGGCACTTTAACAGACTTAAGTCTGGGCAATCGGTGATATATCAGCGCACAGTGACTGGCAATGCTCAACTCTGTCTTAGAGAAGTAGAGTAAAAGGAAGCAAAAACGCCGGCGCGCAACCGGCGATGCGACGCGGAAAGTGGAGTTCCGGCTAACAAACCCGACGACTCCGCTCAGCTCCTCGGCATAAAATATTGCATAATTCGGGGGAGTTCAAGCAGACTACTAAAGCCACCGGCTTGACAAAGTCGCCTTAGCTAGTTCCTTGGCTGCCGGTAGCTAATTCTAAAACCTGCAAATGGCTTAGTTTGTTAATAGGATTGTCATTTAAAAGAGAATACACCACCCCTATCTTCGAGTTGAGAACAAACTAGAGTGGTGAAATTGTAAATACCATCCTGACTACAGTACTATCTATACTACCTAAGTTATCTGATCTGATCTCCATCGATGCTCAAAATTAAAATTTCCAGCCAATTTCAACCATTTGCTTCACAGACATTGGTTCAATCTCGGGGAACAAGTCGTTCAGGCTTTGTTCCGGTTGGAGGTCGAACTTCCCTTCTTCAAACAGTATGCCGAACATGGCGAACATACCCTGGAGCCTTTCTTTCGGGAAAAACTCATAAGCAAGAACATGGCCCGGAAGTTCAGTAACCTTTCCTGATCGAAGGACATCAAGGGAGTCGTGGGTTATGTCGAATTTGATGCCTACGCATTTCTGTCAGCCTAAATCGACGTGTAAGTTCGAATATCAACACTTACCTCGCACATCCTCTGCAATCTTGACGAAGTCGTTCCAACAGATCTTGGTGCCAATTACGTACGATTCCTTTTCCCATTTCTCAAGCGTAAGTGCTGCAGCGGCAAATCTGGCCACATCTCCGCTGTACGTGAAAACCGCGGGCGTAGCTCCAGATCCTGGAATGCCTGCTTTCGCTGCACCTATATCAAGGAACATCGTCACAGGGTTGAGATAGCTCTTCACCTTCGGCATACCCCAATAATCGAGGAAGTATCCATTGTAGATTGCAGTCCACTCAAGACTCGACTTTTCGAGAGAGGCCATGGCAGCCATCTTGGATGCGGCCGGAGGAAACCATGTTTGACTATTGGGAGCTATTAGTCGAGTAAACGTAGGGGCGAGGGGAAATATCTAGGAACGGGCTTACTCAGGAGTGTACTTGATACCGAAAACACTTGGAATGAATCTTCGAGTCGTGGCTGATATGTCGGCAGCCCGAATGAGACTTTGCTCGGTTTCGGGGGGCGTATTAGCCCCCAAGGCAGAGATGATGGTGTGAACATTGTTTGCCTCTAGGAGGTGCACAAGTCCGTTCACGTCGGCGTAGTCAGTGGCAGCTACTCGGGCGCCAAGGCGTTTCTCTGTCTCCTCATCTGACTGCAATGGGAATTAGCTTGCGATGGGAGATTGTTTTCGAGTATCCATACGTTTCGGCTGAGAACAATGACTTTAAATTTGCCTTGGGCTACAATTGCCTCCACAATACTCCTACCGATACCGCTGGAACCTCCTGCTACAGCGACAGACATGGTGAATGTGATAGAAATGGAAGTGATAATGCGTGGCGGTATTGCGTGGTATTGGAACTTGAGTGTTCAGTTGGTCGATGTTGATGTCCAATTTTACTGCGCGCCTTCACTTACCTTTATATATTCAATTCAATGTGGAGAGAAGCGAGAGGCTCATGGAACATTAAGAAGTCTTTCTGAATAATCAACAGTGGCACTTCCGGGTTCTCGTCTTACTTTCTCCGATTACAGCAGCTCATAAAGCGCCAAGGGGGCTGATAAATGTGAAATGAGGACTTAATTGGCTGAGCATCATGCACATCCCACATCGCGTACATTCAAATCCCACATCGTAATCCCGCATCCCAATCCCGCATCCCACATCACCCCATACACCTATTCAAATCCTTCCGACATCCATCCAATTCCACATTCGCTGTGTTTGCATTGCAGCGGAAACCCCGACACCCCGAATCCCGCGGGATTACCATAACAAGGATTCGTGTGTTCAGTCGCCAAGTCACACGCAGCAGCTTTATTGATAATTTGCCGGGCCCCCTTCGTCGCCGGTCGCACCATGTCGCCGGACCCGGTGAGATTTCGCTGTGCCTTCGCTGGCTGCAGCCGGTCGTACAAGAGAAAGGAGCATCTTTTGCGACACCAACGAGACCATGCCAATCGTCGACCCTTCGCTTGCAAAGCTTGTCAAGCGGCATTTAATCGGAGGTTAGTAGATGTTCTCAAACCAAATCGTTTCTCTTGGATGCTGATGAATGAACTTGTTAGAGACTTGTTAGCTCGTCATCTGGTGTTGAGCCATAGTGAGCCACCCCTCCAAGTCGACGACTGCGAACAAGTCAATGAATCTCCTATCGCGGACGATGGTACCAAAACCAATCCCGATAAGCAAATAGGGGCTGTGTCTACCACTGAGGGTGTGGCTGTGGTTGAAGGCTTGGACCTACTAGGTGCATCATCATTGCTCGAAGCAACGAATCGATCTGAACTCTTGGCACTCTATTTCAGCGATTTTCATCCACATTGGCCCGTCTTGCATGAAAAGTCCTTCCGAGGTTCGCCGCAACCGCCTAAACTAATGGTGGCCGTGCTTGTTACAGGCCTATGGATGTTGAAAACACCCGAGGCGCAGGCGAAAGCGACATCCTATCATGATGCTTTACTCGAAGAACTTGAGGAAGATATGGTACAGTACTCGTTGCTATGTCACTCACGTTGCATGTCATGCATGCCATTGATACTGATACGATACATAGGCTAGTAATGCCCACCTATCACTGAATCCGCGACCAGAGCTACTTGTCGGTTTTCAGACATTAATGATCTTGACCATCGTTTCAACATTCAAGCTAAATGGTAGCTTCTTCGCGGTAATGGTATTTGCCAAGATCGTGTTTCGATACTTCGATCGGGGCGGTGTACATGATCAAGCTAAGATTGATGCTGCGTCTTCGGACCTGATCATTCGGGAAAGCTATCAACGGTTCGCAATAAGAAGGTCCCCGACGGAAACAAGTTCATCTGACCACTGACTGAGATAGGCTTGCGCTAGTACATTTCAAGTTACATGTCCATATAAGCTCTCTCCAGCTCACCTTCCTTCCCCAAGTCAAGCCTTTTGACTTCTTCCACCCTCAACTCCTCAGAGTCCGCGTTCCATCAACAGATAGCATATGGAAAGGGGCATCCATAGACAACCAAGATGTACTTGGCTCTTCCTTTCTTGTTGGAAGCTTGTTTGATCAATCTTCGGACTTGAATAGTCGCAGGTATATTTCTCTGGTCGTGGCGTGGGACTTTCCACTTGGGATGATTCTCGGGTGTTTTTTAACTAGGCAACCTAGTGAGAGCTATGTCTCTGTCCTACAGAGAATAAAGCCCTACATATTTTCTCATTCGTAGGGGGACCATTAATGTCAATTATCACTAGCACTGCACGATTCTACCTCATAACAAGTTCGGGAATGCATCTGGTAGATGGCGTCTCATGGAACTGAGTGACGTTCCATATTCCGAATCTTCAACAAGCCCACCGTGGTACGAAATATGCAAGCGAGATTCATAACCTCATTCCGTTGTATTAAGCCTCATAGACTTATTACTAATTCTCAGTCTTCTCCTCCACGTCCTTAGCTCCCGCATCTGCCAAAGTCACAAGTTTTGTCTTGTGGAACATGCGCGGAGAGATGCCTCGAGACCACAGCTCGTCGATCTCGGTGTATGTACGCTTTCCAGTCTCCGGGATCATGAAGTAAACAAACACAGTCGCGATGACGAGGATAGCACCGAAGATGAAGGCAATCTTTCCGCCGAGGTTACCTTGATCCGGGTTGATGGCATATGGAAGCGAGAAACTCCAGATGCTGGCAGACAAGCCATTCACCATTGTGGCCAAAGCCTGCGTTGGTGCTCGAAGTCGCGAAGTAGCATTTTCGGACGTGATGGGCCAAGCGACCGAACCGATAGTTGCTTGGTAGACTGGACGGAGTTAATATGGAGTCCTCTTTTAAGACAGAGAAGGGTCACTTACCAAAAGACCAAACGGCCATGAAAACTATCTGGCCCCAAATGGCACCTGGAGCATTCACTACTGCCAAGATTCCAATGAGAAGCAGCGTCACGGCGAGGCCGGCGGTTCCCCAAAGGGCCGTGTTTCTTCGGCCAAACCACTCAACGAAAAACCAGCCGCACATGTTACCCACCACCATCAAACCACAAAGGCCGACAGTGGTATCAAATGACTTGGCCGTATCCATACCAGCAAGTTGCATGAAGTCTTGACTTATGTTAGTTTATGGCCTGTCTAAGGTCGGGTGGAACTTACAGCTCATGTAGCCAACAACCCAGGCATTTCCACTAGCAGTTTGGATGAAGAACATGCTCGTGGCGACTACCGTGCGCTTAAGTTGCTTCCTTGAGAGACATTCAGCCATCGACCCTTGCGACGAATTATCCTGGTTCAGGCGAGCAAGCGATTGCTGGATCTCCGCCATTTTTCCATCGACGTCATAGTCGGACTTGTGCAGCTTAGCAATGTTTTTACGAGCCTTTTCATCTCTCCCATGAGCAATCAGCCAATAAGGAGACCTATATGGTGAATTAGAATCCAAGAGGGCCGAAATAGCGATGCATCAAACTTACTCGGGGAACCAAGGAAGAATTGCCAGTCCGACGAGGGCAAAGCCCCATTGAGTGGCGAACAAGACTTTGTAAGGCATGGCACCATTATACTTGCTAGCCTCGCGCATAACACCATATGCGATGAGCTGGCCTAGAACGATAGCAAAGTTCATTCCGGCAGTAATGGCACCTCGGATAGAGGTAGGAGCCATCTCAGAGGCGTATGTAGGCGCAACAGTAGTAAAGCATCCCATGGGCAAACCCGTGAGGATCTTGGACCCAAAGAATTGCACTGGTGTCGTGGCAAAAACCTGCAGGAAAATGCCGCCAACACTGAGGATGTATGCCACTGCGATGCTCGGCTGGCGGCCCCATTTGTTGACTGTAAGTCCTGTAACGAAGGCGCCAAAAACGAGGCCTATAACACATCAGTTTAGTGATTTCCGGGCTTTTAAATGTTTACTAAAGTTCATCGGCACGTACCAAAGATAGTTGCGCCCATCCACCCCAGCTGCCAGTTCGCATCGACAACGTAGTCACCAGCGTATGGACGGCCAAAATCCTTTCGGAATGCCGCAATGGCCAGTACAATAGCACCAGCAAGACCGTCGAAGCCCCAGGTCACACAGATGAAGAACATGTACATGCCTAACAAAGTCAGTCAAGCCTCTCTCAGCATCGAAGTGTTGCTTACACCAAAGAATTGGCTTTATGTTCTCCTTGATGGCTTCCGACCGTGTGAGCGACTGCTCTCGGGCCTCAAACCGAGCTGCCAAAGGCGTCAGGGCCATCGTGGCGTCCTCATGGTCAGGCTCAAGATGCTCAACCTGGGCATCGGCTGCCCCCTTCTCGGCCATTCTGGTAGATGCAGCTGAGACGAGTGTGATGACCTTGGAACAAATGCGGCAATGTATCAATGAAGAGCCAGTGAGATCTAAAGAATCATGGAGTTGATGTTGCAACAAGATGGGCCATGGGCTCTCCTTTATGTATCTGAAGAATTTGCCGCGGGTATGACCAGTGGCCAAGATTGAGTCGTTGCGGTCGCGGACTCTAGTGTCACAACTAGTACCCGACATGAGCCACGCGTTCCACTAGCTTCATGTTTGTACTATGGGGAAGAAGCTGGGGAGACAGGGAAAACCGGGGAGCTGGGGCAGCCAAGACACCATCATTCCTCACGAGTCGAAATAGCCTACAACCCAAGAACAGTCCAAGCCTCGGTAGTCAACGGGACCTGCGCTCTGACATCTATCATCCAACCATTTCACAGTGGAGCCAATATCTCGGAGAATCCTTGGAGAATCCCCCATCAGCTGGTGTTGTGGTGTGGAGAATGCGGGCCTTCCCCAGCCTGCGCGTCTCCCAGCTTTCCCGGATTGGATATCGGGTGATAAAGACCTTGTTTTATTTGCTAACCTAGTTGTACCCTTGTTCCCGTGGATAATGGAATCCGGCCGCTTCGTTAGCGATATATTACATGAAAGATGGAGAATTTACGGCCCCGCTTGTAAATGATACCAGCATAGTACGATATTCAAGTCATTTGACCTCATCGTAGTATTCTCCGAGTATACTCCGCCGGGTACGCCTCGGGTATTGTGGAGTGTCCGATGGCCGGCAGATGCCTCGAGTTACAGTCAGATGAGGTTGATGGATCTTATAAATATGTCTCGTTTCGTGCTTGAGTAGTTGCAGACATCGTTTGTTCACATAAATACGTATCTAATGGATTCGAGAACCAACATGTCAAACACGATGGAACAACCCACTGACGCGGAGCTCCGAGCTCTACTCGCTCAGCTGGAGCTCCCTGAGAAGTTGGCAATGCTGGCTGGCCGCAGCGCCTGGGAGACGCACGCCATAGACCGTCTAGCCATCCCTTCTTTGAGAGTAAGTATTGATCATCGCACACAGACTTCAATTTTCTACAACTTGTTCACACAATTAATAGGTCAGCGATGGCCCGAACGGAGCACGTGGCAGCGACTTCTTTAACGGAAAAACTGCCGCTTGCTTTCCGGCCTGTGTATCTATTGCCGCCACCTTCAACCAGGCGTTAACTCGCCGGGTTGGCAAAGCTTTGGGCCAGGAAACTCAGACCAAGGGTTCTTATGTTCTCCTTGGTCCCACTGTATGCCCTCACCGTTCGCCCCTCGGTGGGCGCAACTTTGAGTCTTTCTCCGAGGACCCGCTCTTGACTGGCTTGATGGCGTCTGAATACGTCAAAGGTCTTCAGAGTGAACGAGTGGGCGCGACGGTGAAACATTTCGCTGTGAATGAGCAAGATACAAAGCGCTTTACAGTCAATGAGACAGTCTCTGAGAGGGCACTTCGGTGAGTCTTGATTGAGTGTCTCATTTTCCCAGCTTGCTAATTCCGAGATAGCGAGATTTACCTTCGTCCATTCGAAATCACAGTCAAGAATTCCGACCCTTGGTGTATCATGACATCATACCCCAAGGTCAACGGCGCCTACATTGACGCGCAGCCCACGTTTATTCAGAATATTCTCCGTGGCGAATGGGGTTTTAAGGGCCTGGTAATGAGCGACTGGGGTGCTGTCTCGAATTCTTTTGACAGCATCAAGTACGGGTGAGCAAAGTCCACTCATCCACACGTCGAGAGTAGGACTGATGATTTTAGCCTCGATCTCGAAATGCCCGGTCCCACGTATCGCCGAGGCATTGAGACTCTCGCAAAGGGAATTCAAGACGGCCTACTTGACATTAAATCGGTTGATGATAGAGTCGTTGCGGTCCTCAAGCTACTGCAGAGAACTGGCAAGTTCGCCGACCGTCGAGAGGCCGTGACAGAAGAAGCTGTCAACACGCCCGAGCACCGAGCGCTTATCAGAGAGGCGGGAGGAGAAGGTATCGTCCTCCTCAAGAATGCGGAGAACATTCTTCCCATCAACCCTAAAAAGGCCCGCAAAATTGCCCTACTTGGTCCCCTAGCCAAGACTGCGGCGGCTCACGGTGGTGGAAGTGCTTCCCTCAGCTGCCATTATAAGATTAGCCCCTATGATGCTTTCAAGGAGAGACTTGGCTCCGATGTCGAAATCACTTCCGCAAAGGGTACTCTGGCTCTGTTGATATCATGGACTTTGGAAAATTGCTAATTGACCCTAGGCGCCCACATCTTCCGAGCATATCCTGACATCGAGAATGGCCTTGTCTGCGATGATGGCGCTGGCTTCACTGCAACCTTTTTCAACTCTGCAGACTTCTCCGGCACTCCTTTTTACACCAAGCTCTTCCCTGTTGGCAATCTAATCAGCATCATGGATGAACAGGCTGTCGGAGCAAAGGCAATTCGTTTCAGCACGACGTATCATCCTCCTCGGTCCGGAAACCATTATCTCAGCTTCTCTGGCATTGGGCCGTCGAAGTTGTACATTGACAAGGTTCTCGTCCACGACCAACTTAACCAAACGAAGGACTCGATGGATTACTTCCTTGGTGTGCAAGAAGAAGCCCGCTTCCAATTTGCGTTTGACTCGACCAAGAAGTATGACATCGTCATCGAGACCATCCAACCACCGGTCGGAAACTGTGACCTCTATTTGATGGCAAACACAATAGGAGCTCATCTAGGATTTATTGACCAAGCTGAGATGGAGACTGATCTCCTAGCGGAAGCGGTCGAACTTGCAAAGGACGCAGACCTTGCCATCTGCTTCGTCGGCAACTCAACACAATGGGAGACAGAAGGACAGGACATGGCCGCCATGGTGCTTCCCTCAAACGGTTCGCAAGACGCACTTATTGCTGGCGTAGCAGCTGTCAATGCCAACACAATCGTGGTCAACACTACCGGTGTCGCAGTTGAGATGCCCTGGCTTGACAAAGTCCCGGCAGTCCTCCAGGCTTGGTACGCCGGCCAGGAGACCGGAAACGCTGTCCTGGACGTGTTGCTGGGAGAAGTAAACCCGAGCGGCAAGCTCCCCATTTCATGGCCCCGGAAGTACGAGCACACTGCGTGCTATGGCAATTTTGGGCTTGACAGCTATGACAGCTTGCAGGTAGAGTACGTCGAGGGTGTCAATGTCGGCTACCGCCACTTTGACCAGCAGTATGGCACTGAGAAGGAAGTCCTCTTCCCCTTCGGGTACGGCCTGAGCTACACGTCGTTCGAGCTTAGCGATGCAACCATCTCGGGCAACCTCAGCGGAGCATCAGATGTCGTCACTGTTTCTGTATCGGTGACAAACACTGGCTCCAGGGCCGGTGCAGAAACAGTGCAAGTCTATGTCGCGCCGCCAAAAACAGACTCTGCAAGTGGCAGACCGCCCAAGGCCCTCGTGGCATTTTCCAAGGTCCTCCTACAGCCAGGAGAGTCGAAGACGGTCTCAGCCACGTTTGGTCGAGATTGTGTAGCGTATTGGGATGACCAAAGCAAAGATACTGGAAACCAATGGTGGGTCGACGCAGGTCCGCACGAAGTCCTGATCGCAACAAGTTCTAGACCAGCAGACGTTAAGGCAAGTTTGGTGCTTGAAATCGCTGAAGGTTTTCATTTTGCACCTTAAGGGGAGATAGTCTAAAGTGTTTAACTTACTGTCATACACTGGTAAATAATATTTTACACCTCTCTAAACTATCACATTGCTATCTACGAAGAACATATTATTGAAACCACCGTATTATCCTAACGCCCCTTCATTCAATCCCCCCCCCCTCCTATTCTTTAGCACCAAGCTCCCTCAGTACTTGTACATTACCCCACTCCTTAGCTCCAATCGCAACCTGCAGTGGTGTCTTGCCATCTTGGTCCTTTGCCTCCATGTTCGCCTTGAGCTCCTGAACAAGCAACCGCACAGTAGCCTCTTGCCTGAATCTGGCAGCCGCATGAAGTGGTGTACGACCACGGTTATCCTTCGCCTCTGTATCCGCGTTGAACTCCTGACCAAGCACACGCACAGCGGCTTCTTCTCCACGCCTAGCAGCTCTGTGTAGTGGCGTCTGGCCCTTTACATCCTTTGCCTCTTTATCGATGCTGGGCTCCTGAGCAAGCAATCGCACAACAGCTTCGTGCCCGCGATCAGCAGCAAAATGTAGTGGTGTGCGCTCGTTATCTTCCTTTGCGTTGGTGTCGGCGTTGAGTTCTTGAGTGAGCACCCGTACCATACCCTCGTACCCTCGTTCAGAAGCCAAATGTAGGGGCGTATAGCCACTCCTGGTCTTTGACTCGATATTGGCATTACACTCCTTGACGAGCAACAAAGCAAGTGCCTCTTGTTGGAGATCAACAGTTGAATGTAGAGGTGTCATGCCAGAGTCCTCCTTTGCCTCCGTGTTGGCATTGAACTCTTTGACAAGCAATCGCGCAACAGCCCCTTGTCCGCATTCAGCAGCGACGTGCAGTGGCGTTTTGTTGAATTGGCCTTTTGTCTCTTTATCAACGCCGAGTTCCTTGACAAGTAACCGCACGAGAGCCTCGTTTCCGCTTTGAACGGCCATGTGTAGAGGCTTCTGGCCGAATGAATCCTCAGCGTCCTTGTCGGCGTTGAATTCATTGACAAGCAACCGAACAACCACCTCATGTCCACCTCTGGCAGCCAGATGCAACGGGGTACGTCTATTAACGTCCGTCGGCTCCCTACTAGCCGTCTTGTCGATGAGCAGCCGAACAACAGCCTCATTCCCACACTCGGCGGCACGATGCAATGGCGTTTGGCCATGGCGATCTTTAGCCTCGTTGTCGGCGCCGAGTTTATTGGCAAGCAACTGTACCATGTCCAATCCTCCTGCTCCTGCTGCTAGATGCATAGCAGTCCTGCCGTTGTAGTCTCGGAGCTTTTTGTTTGCATCTGTCCACAGATCCTCAACCATCTCCTTCCGCCCCTTGTGCACAGCCCTGAATAGTGGCGTGTTTCCCGAGGCGTCCAGGATGTCGATAGTCGCTCCAGCCTCAATTAAGAGCCTGACAACATCCTGGTGGCCATTCGCCGCGGCACAGTGAAGTGGTGTCACTTTGTCTCTTCCTTGAAAGTTGACGTCTGCGCCCCATTGAAGGAGCATCCGGATGATCTCAGTATGCCCGCGTTGGCAAGCGTAATGCAGCGGGGTCCATTCAATCAGGTCGCAATTTTTCACGTCCGCTTGAAGAAGCAGCAGTTGGTTGGTGACAGGAACACATCCTCTGTCTGCGGCATAATGGAGCGGTGTCCAATCGTGGATGTCCCTCACATTCACATTTTGTCCACCCTCCACCATATACCTGATCCCCGCTTCTGTGATAGGGTCATTGTATCGAGTGTTGCTATGCAGTAGCATGAAGTTGAACGCCTTTGGATACTCTGCATTTGTCTTTTCAGACGGCCCATCGTCCTGCAAGCCGTCACACTTCCAGCCACGGTCCTGCTCCTCATACAAGCGCATGAGATTCGATACTGTCTCCGGAAAATTATCTCTCAGCTCTTTTCGCAAAGCAAACTTTAGCTCTTCGAGCTGCCGAAGTTCGTTACCCTCATGGTAAACTTCCCCCGAGTCGATGGACAAGACAACTTGCCTTAGATACTCAAGCAGGACTGCTGTAGCCCTAGCGACAATGCGACTGTTTTCTGGAAAGGTCTTTGCCGTTCGGAAGAGCCATAAGTATACATCGCCAGCATCTTTCCAATGCCCAACTTGCTCATGTCGCTTAGCTTGGAGTCGTGCCGATTCAATGATAACGTCAGCTTGCGGAAGTTTGTGCTCCATACTGAGTGGTGGGATGATGCTCAGGTAGATTTCTTCGAGACTTCCAATTCCAGTGTTTTGGAGATCCTGCGCCATCTTGGACAAGTTATCATTCCGAAGTGTGAAGAATTGCCAAGTATTAGTACCACTAGTTTCGTCAGGTCGCAAGTCGGCATCGCCACCGATGGGATCGGTCAGTGTCTTTGCTGCGGCCCAAATGAAAGCCGAGAACATGTCTTGGGCATAGAGCAACTCAAGGGGACTGTAAGACTCGATGGCCAAGTAATTATCTCCTGTTCGTCCCTTGCTAAGATCGGTTTGATCGAAACTGAGTTTTGCAAGTTCCTGGCGATTGTATTGTCGGGTTTGTTTGTTGAGCTGTTGGTATGCAAGGCCAGGATCAGACCCGCCCTCGTCGGTCCTGTGTTCCTTGAGTGTAGCGCTGTCGCCCTCGTCCTCGCTAGGGTCCATGCCGTAGCCAACGACTCGGTGGTTCTCTACCTCCAGCGGGCCTCCTTCGGCTTCCTCTACCTCCACGATTCTTGATGATGTATCACGGGGCATCCACCAGTGCAAGTCTCGATGAAGGCCTGACACAGACGGTCCCAGAAGCCGCAGGCTGGGTTTTGCCGGTGATCCTTTGGCACGTAACCACGCGTCGTCTTTGCGTGCCCTTTTCAGAATCTCCTCTCTTTCCAGCCGTTGTTTATTATGGCGGTGTTCCTGTTCATTGACGGAATATAGCCACAATGACAGTGCTGCTTCGATCTCGTCCGAATATGCTTTCCAGTTTCCAGTCTGTTGCCGCTCCAACCGGAAATGGATATCCCCGCAAAAGGCTTTCAGCGACCAGATAAACTTCCTAGCGGGAGAATCAGAGAAGAGAGCATCCATTGTGACTTCCAGTGCCCTTGCAAGAGCGACAGCCTCTGCAGATGCAGGGCCACGCCAGTCTGCGAGCTGACCAAGGTCCCTCCTCGTCATCATGACACTGTGTGCCTTCGAGTCCTCTTGCATGGGCTCCTTGTCTTCACGTAATCTCTCATGTGCAGGGCTGCCACCGGTCATGATTCTCCAGTCATTGTCACATGTAATCTTGTCGTTTGAAGCATCCAGTCCAGCTCTGTCGATGTCCCTTAATGTCGATGCAAACCACTCGAGCTCGAGGCCTGGCGTGAGACGCTTGCATCGCAGAGGCTTCGCAAGCCCACGGCGAACCCATGCTCTCAAACCGGCCATGGTAAGGACTGCACCAAGTTGGGTGAGTGTTACAATCCAGGACATTCCTCGGAAACCAATGAATTGAAGGATGAACCCGCAAACACTGACCATGGTGCCAATGACAGTTGTCGTGGCTAGGCTATGGCCTTCGATTAGTTTGCTCGCTCGGTGAGACGTCGTAATGACAGTCCTATCATCGATAGGAAACAGGGCGAAAGAGTCAAAGACTTGGTCGCTCACGGCATTGGTTTTCTGCAGCCATACAATGCGAGCTTTCCTTCCTAGCCCTGGCCGGTACACTCTCTCGTCTGTGCTAGTCTCCACGACGTGTGCACAGAGCAATCCTCCAAGGACTAGCAGAATTGTCCCAACAACAAAACAAACAAAGGCGTAAGGAGCGATACGCTTTCCGTCCTTGAAAAACTTCTTCGTCGGGTAGTAGGCGGCGAACGTTGCAAGTATGAGGATTCCCAGCTGAAGAATCGTTCCAATGACCGCTACTATTCGAACTTCCGTTCTCCCGAATTGGCTATGGGAGTTGAGCGAGATATTCGGAGCGTGAGCAGTTGTATTCCGCACAATGATGATTTCGGGTTGTGACGATTCGGTTGATGCTTGTCCTTTCTCGGCTTTGGACTCGGTGCGGTATTTGGACGAAACTTGGTTGGAATCGGTGTCCTGGTCATTTGAATCTGGAAAAATGATAAGCGCGGTCCGATGCAAGATACCCAGAATCACTAACCAATGTCCCTTAGATACCCATTGGCCAGCGCCTGGTCCAGGTCGCATGCCATTATCTTTGGGGAAGTTTTAAGATCGCTACCGGCGCTTTCCATTTCCTCGGGAATCAAACAAATAAACTCTGCGATCGGAGCCGTACCCATGCATCTCACGATATCGTTGCCGTTCCACAGCTCACAGACTTCGTTGGAGGTTGATGACATCAGTTCCGCTTCAGCGGCTGCGAAGTTTTCCCTAGCTCTTCCAATGATGGCCTTCAGCCATGTAGGGCCACCGACTCGAATAGCGCTGATGATTGAGGTGATTATGCCTATCGGGACCATAGCTAGTATGACGTTGTCAGACCAACCCATAGACTGGCTCATAAATTGCATCGTGACTTGTTCACCAAAGAGAGCCAGCAACCTAGCGCAAACGATCAGCAAAGGATTCAAAATAAAATGGATGAGAAAATCGGACGCACGGCCCTAGGTCTGACAATAAGTTGTTGGAGAAGTCATCTCCATTATCCGCGGCTGCGTATCCCGCGAAGGTTACAGCAACGAGGAGGAACTTGAGAGTGCCCGTAACGGCCATTTTAGTACCCGAAGGCGGAATGCCGCCTAAAATCAGGTCCAATATTCGACAGTCGGCGCAGGAATAATGTTTCTGTAGGTTAGTGTTACAGTAGATGCGTCGGCAAGAGCGAATTGTTGCGTGTACTCTTGACGGTTTCAGAGGTGAGGGTTGGGTGTAAAATTAAATGATACAATTGCGCTCCAGGCGGTGGAGGGACCGAAACCTCTCTATTAATGGACTGCTGCGGGAACCCACGAGGCCTCGCATCTCGTCCATGCGCGCTTGGAAGTATGCATGTTGGTCGCATCGACCAGTGATACCAGGATAATTCTAGGCACAATGCTTCCCTGCATCGTCGAGGAGGCAAAATAGAAAAACCATTGCGGGCGGGCGAGCGGGCCGTGAGCGGGCCGCTGGCTGGCGGGCGGTTCGGGGACGTCAATTATTAGCCCAGCCGAATAGCCCCAGTCTTTCTCGTCCTCTGTTTGGTTGGCACGGACAGGCCATGAAACCGCTGGCTTTCGGCGTGTATCTGGTGCTCCCATTGGCAAATGTCAGGCGCGTCGCAGGCCGAGCACGCTGTAGCCAAATGAGACAAGCTAATATTAATAGAAAAGCGGCCTTCGCTTAAATCAAGCTGGGATCCCAATGAAGTTTCTCTTGTGTACATCAAACACTTCGAATTGCTGTGCCACCAACATGCTGATCGCGGAGGTCGGCTGCCCACCACTGCGCCTCCAGCGCTACGACCCTGGTTTATCTATTTCATGCAGGGGTTGACTGCCCATTGTAAAGAATGGGGCCACTAGCAATGTCATGGTGTTAGGGCGAGGAGAAGACTCGTCGGTGTTGCGAACTCCTCACTCCAGGGCACCTTTTTGGTCAACGTAGAGTGACGAGGAACGAAGGAGACCAGGTACACCGTCGGAAGGCAATCCATCTCTGTGGGGCCAATGCATACTCAGGGGTTAGCAGGGCACTCTCGAGCTGAACTCAAGTATGGCCAGCCCAACCAAGCTTCTACTACAGCGAAGAGTGCACTGTAGCTTGGGAGTATTTACAGTGGATACCGCCACCCACAGCGTTTCTACACCGTCCGCAAGCCAGCCGGCATGAAGCATGCTTTTCACTTCCACTACATTTCACGATGGCTTATAACTCCCTTAACCGCTAGATAACAGAGATTAGGAAGATCAAGGAGGAAGGGCGGTCAGGTGGCCCATCCCGCCATCCCGCCATGGGTTGCAATGAGTGCACACACAGCTGTCCAATGTTTCTTCCCAGTCCAGTCAACCTCTATGGTTATTCTTTTACTTCAATATGCTAGAAATCGCCTACCCGGCACCGTGTTTCCTCATCATCGTACAATTCATCCGCCCGTGTCATGCGCGGGCAGCCCCATCACGTGCCTTGCAGATGTCCCGCAGCCAGTAGTGTGGCCGTTGAGTACGACCGTAGCGTACCTAAGATGCCCGACAACCCATGTGAGATTATTGGTAGCGCCGCTTTCAAAATAAAAGCTACCTTGGGTCTCTTCTTGTGGACTTTTATGAGTTCCTATGCAATGCGAACACGCAACTCAATCGACGCGTAGAGGAGCGGGATAAACTTCCCCCAAGCCCTTCACGTAATTTCGGTAAATTAGTCTGACAAAGACGTTCGCAACATCATGTGGAAACCCAGAAATCCCCGGTTGCTGCCCCTAGAGCAACCGGGAGGTATCACGTACCACGCCCAGCCATCAAATGGGTACCTAGCGGTAGGCAACTAGGGCAATTGCCAAGTAGTGCAACTATTGGCTTCCATTTACATGTCTTGTCTCAAGCTACCATCCCTACATGCGCTTATGGTACGCATTAGAAACAGCTGGCCCCTCTCAAATCCCAACCACACGTAATAATATCACGTCGAGCTTCTTCCGCGAGCTTCCTTTGCCCCTCATCTCTTGTGGATCCCAGCCCCTCGCTAATTGACGCTTCTGTCGTCATCGCCAATCCCCCGCCTTGGATACGCACAGCTGCCCCGCCCTCTACCATCTGGTGTCCAGAGGGCGAGCCAGGATTGGCAGGGACAGACTTCCAGCCAACGAGACGGAAGTCCTGTTTTTTTGTCTCAGCTTGGCTCCGTTTGTATTAAAGCTTGCTCCTCCTCGCCGAAGCTTCCCCTCCCTCCTTCAATCCTTCCTCCTCCATCCACATATTCATCTACCCCACCTCGCCAAACTACCGTCAATCATCATGGGCGTCGTCAAGACTACTACCAAGCCTGGCAACGGCGCCAATCCCCAGGTCGGCCAAACCGTGTCCATGCAGTACACTGGCTACCTGAAGGACCCTGTCACTGGCGGCAAGGGCAAGAAGTATGTTCTCCGCGCCGCTCTTCTCTCTTCCGCGTCCACCAGGTGGCACCAAACCAATTGATTGACTAATGTGCCTCCCTCGCAGGTTCGACTCCTCTCTCGATCGCCCCGGCAACTTTGTGACTGCTATCGGCGTTGGCCAAGTCATCAAGGGTACCTAATCTCACCCCCAGCTTCCCCTCCGCTCCAAGCGAGACTCCAATTCTAACACGCTTCTCCCCCAGGCTGGGATGAGGGTGTCCCCCAGATGCAGGTTGGCGAGCACGCCACCCTTGAAATGACCAGGTATGCTTCCCATAACAATCACGAAATGCCATATTTTGCTAACGAATGATCCCCCTCCAGCGACTACGGCTACGGTGCTCGGTAAGCTCTCCACTTCTTCTCCTCAGCTCCCCGGCCAATTACATCGTCCGACCCTCGAAACGTGGTCCACCCCGCTCCAAGTTCCTGTCATCCGCCCAAACGAGAGACGGATAAATTACATCTCCCAATGCCAACATACTTCATCAAGAATTTCGGGAGACCCTGTGCTGACGAGTTCTATGCAGCGGTGCTGGCGGCGTCATTCCCCCCCATGCCGACCTGATCTTGTAAGGATACACTGTAGAACCTGACACCATGGACTGATGCTAACTTGTTGTAGCGATGTCGTCCTAGTTAGCATCGATTAAATGCATTAATAACGCTATCATTTCCGACTGTTTGGTCTAGATGTTGCAATGATGCTGGGTTATGCCGGAGCTATGTGAGCCAAAGACCCCATCCGGACTGCTGGACCCTGCCTCTACTGTGGTATTCTCTGTACGAACACCGCACTTGGCCTTGGGATATCTGGCTCTTGTGTCCAAAATATTGGCTACGGATAGTTTAATAAAGAAATAATTAGTGCTTGCTTGCGTTTTCCTCGATGGGGAAGACATTAGCTCGTTTCGGGCCTTGTCTGTGACGACCCAGCATGTCTCTTGCGAGAATTTCTTGTTTGCGTAAGTATTAAGAAGTAAATCGCAATCAAATAGGTCCTATAGTAGCCAGTCAACTATCGTTATACGTCATACCTACTTCATTTCGACCTCGGGGCCGCAAATATTATCTCACAAGCCTTCTACCAAGTGATGCTGTACAGCACGATCGCTAACTATCGTCCGCCACAATAGCCCAGATCTAGATCCCTCTTACTTAGGTCCAGATATTCTATTTAGCAGCCTAGTACACCGTCTTAACCTAACGTAGGACTTAACGGGACCTTATACCCGTATGGTGTCAATAGAGTGATGATGATGATCATCATGTGTTAGAGTAGCACACGGTAAAGTGTCAGACAGTACCCAGGTTTCAACTTCATCCGTAGAATTAAGTATCAATTAAGATACTAACTACTTAGTGGTGTGACAGGCGGTTAGGGACGCTTGGGCTAACTGGTCGCTAGCGGGGATGTCTCTAGGGTGACCCGGATGGGGTTAAAAGGGGAGGTCAGTGCCGTCACTGTGGAAAATCATCGTCTTTTTATTCATCAGAGATTCTTCCTGGAAGTCAGAGAGGCCGGAAGGGCTCGAGGCTGCTAGGAAGTCTATTAATTGATTGTCTTTATTTTTGAGAGATTTATTTGAGTCTATTCTTGCCGTCACTACATTCCCTGTCCAACCTCCGTCTTCAACCTCCCTCAGATATCGGGCTGCCGCAGGCCCCCATTGATGCCTTGCCAGCGAACTTTCCTGCGACTGACGCGATATTCTATCTCATGAGATGCTTCCCTATCAGGAGACATAAGCCGCAGATTGATCCGACCTCATACGCGTCATCTGGTGCAGCTTCGGGCTGACCGGCCAAGACGCCTGTGCGACGACTCTCTGTGCATTTCCCCTAGGGTAAGTTAATGAGTTGGGTGTTGTTTTCCGTCCCTTCCTGCTGCTAAAGTGGCCTGAAAATAGTTAAAATATCAGCAACGCAGTTCATCACTTTGGCCATGTGTGTATTACATATCAAACACCTCTCATATATCTTTAGTCCTCATATCTTTTCGGACCTCCTTGCGACCCAAAATTGGGCATTATACGCACTCTTAGTCAGAGCCCTATCATCAAAGCCGTATATACCCTCCATTCCCCTGACCTTTCTATCGGGCAACGTCAAATCTCCACATGATTCGTCAGTGTCGAGGTATTGAAATCCCATCGCCTCGGTGACCAACACAATCTCTTCCAGAGACAGCTGAACAAACGGGCCTGTGCCGTATAGAAGCGGACCTAGGTTGATCCAGTAACCACCTGGTTTCAACACCTTCTTGATGGTGTCGAAGTAGCTCATCAGATTCCGCGCCGTGTCGATGAAGAAGTACGTCACGACGACATCGTAGTTTCCCGCCTGGTTTTGGAAGGCTGTGGTGAAGTCGCCCTCTACCATCACCACAGAGCTGGCGTTGATGTCCACGTCTGGGAAGGATAGTTTCCGGTGCATATCGGCTTCTGTTGCGTGGTGCGACCATCCGTCGATGAAGGGGTGGAGGGATTCGGTGTGCCGGGCTCGGTGGGATTCCAGGAAACGGTAGGCCACGTTCATATACATGGACCACTCGTTGAGTGTAACGTCGAATCCTAAGTGTTTGTGTCAGTGAAACTCCCTAAGATTCCTCAGAATAGTATTTCGTACCTCCGAGGTTGGCAATATCGTATCCAAGTCTTCCCAACCCAGCCCCTGGCAGGAGTGCTTTGATAGGAGCCGAGGTTGAATCTCGGCCCGGGAACATTTGCTCCAAAGTTTTCAGAAGACATTGGAAAGGCCCATCTCGCTCATGTGCTCCAGGTTTTGTCCAATCACGCACAATGTGTTTCAGGGACTGCGAGACTGCAATTTTGTCTGCTTTCTTCCCAGTACTTTCGGTGTTTTTGATGTGCTTTTGGAGCTCTTCAGTTCCAATTTCGTAGAATCTAAGTGCATTTTCGACGATACGGTCACAGAGCGCCTGGTTTTGTGATAGAATGTGGTTGATGCGGTTGAACTTCTGGGAGTACTTGACATGGTGCTCTAGCAACTGACCTGAGCGTTAAAAAAGCCACACCTGATTTTACTTCATAAGGCGGTCATTCTTACCGATTTCTGAGCTTTCGAAACATGTTTGTAGAGACCTTTCAGTCGATCGAGCTCTGTCTTTTGGCGCTCTTGGTATCTGGTGAATCCATGGAGGGCATCGAGGAGACGATGCCTCGGATGGTTAGTTGGCAAGGAGCCTCTAGGTCTAGCAAGACTGCTGAGCAATTTGCTCTTTTCTTGTGTATGACGAGTAGTGGTGGGGGCGCCAGTAATTTGCTCAATGGTGACGATGACTTCGTGGAACTCAACCAGGGAGTTGAGATGATCTGTCTGTTGGTTTCCCGGTAAGTGACTCGGAAATCATGATGAAGATTTGAGAGATGGGTGGTGAGTAAGACGAACCAGCTCTTCCCCGTCCAAAGCCATTGAGGCCAGGTCTGGTTCACCCTCATGTGAGAGAGTCTGGATTCTACCCGCTTCGCTGGCTGCTGAGATGGCCAAGAATGGGGTGAAGACGAGCGGCCAAAACATGGCAGCGAGACGAGAGATCCGAGTCATTTCCGAAGTCTTGTTTCGGGGCCTTGAATCGTGGTTAGGTTGGTAATTCGCCAGAGTGGAAGAGCCTTTTGGTGATTCCGCCTGACGCAACTCGTCACAACAGAACCAACACGAGAAACCGCAAACCGAGAGACCAGACGAACCTGGATGGACTTGGAGGTCTTGGCGATTATTTTACCTGATGCAAACTCGGCTGAATGACAAAAATCCCTTTGCCACCAGCCACGCAAACCCACTGTTTCGGTGAGCGGGACCTCGACGAGGACCCGGATGGCCACGCCAAGTATCCGCCAAGCCTCACCTCACGATTCTCACCTCGACTCGCAATTCTCTATTGGGGCAGCTTTTCGTACGAGGCTAAATGAACCCCACGCTTTGTGTGCATGGTATGGAGCCAATGGTGGTGTGGTCAATCATGCTTCCCGCCATGCTTGCAGTCATGCTTAACCAGGCTTGACCAGCTTAACCGGGATGTTCAGGATGAGCAGAATACTTGCATGCCTGTAGCACGACTCCTCGTCTGGATCGCCTCTATTTGTCTCCGTCGTCTCCATCGTCTCCCTTACTGGCCCCCCACCGGTGACCGGCCTCCCCAGTTGTCCCGGAGGATCCCAGAAGAGGTGCATCCCAGAAGAACTCGTTTGCTAGCCTGTTCGTTCACTCCTCGGCCGTAACTGCATGTGGGAACCCGTGATTCACTGCGTCCGTCTGCGCTACTATGTACATTGTGACTGGCTGAGTATTGACTGCAGCTCCTGTTAACCAGCTCGCGCCTGCATGGAGTATAAAGACCTCGCGCACTCCTCTTCCCTCCCTCTTCCCACACTTGCATCGCATCTTACATCACCAACTCTGTTCACCTGTCACTCGTTGTCATCCATCCTCCTCTACTGTCAAGATGAAGACCGCTGCCTTCGCCGTCGCCCTCCTGGGCCTCCTCCCCTCCACCTTCGCCCAGACTCTGGCCGCCTCGCCCACCGAGTCCTACGGCTGCGAGCCTCACGGCGACCACTACCACTGCGAGGGCGCCCGCGCGACTCTCAGCACCGTCGTGACATCTGCGGCCGCGGCTGCCACCACCGAGGCGCACGACCACGATGAGGATGACCATGATGAGGATGAACACACCGACGCTTCCGGAACCGGAACGCTGGCTGCTTCTCCTACCGAGTCGTATGGCTGTGAGCCCCATGGTGACCACTACCACTGCGAGGGTGCTCGCGCTACTCTGAGCACCGTCGTCTCGCAGGCTGTTGCTGCCACCACCACTGAGGCTCACGACCACGATGACCACGACGATGAGACCGGCACCGGATCTGCTGCTGCCAGCCCTACCGAGTCCTACGGGTGTGAGGCCCACGGCGACCACTGGTAAGTCATCCTCAGTCTATCCCATAATCACTGCTAATCATCGTCCAAAGGCACTGCGACGGCGCCCGCGCCACCACTGGCGGAAGCGATTCCACCCCCGCTGCCAGCGACTCTACTGCCGCTGCCAGTGACTCTACTCCCACCGCCAGCGGCAACGCTGTCACTGCCACTGGCGCCGCCGGTATGGAAATGGTGCCCATTCTAGGCATGGTTGCTGCTGCCGTCCTGGCTCTCTAAACGATTCGGGATCTGAAATGGCTGGACTTGTACTGGCTTGGATCCATTGGACATGGAGCAAAATGATAGATGCAGGATAATTACTTCGATTCAGCAGGGCAATTGCTTTATTTAATTGAGCCGGATACATGTGGGTTTCTGGCTTCACGTCAGTGATGTCATGGTTAGAGAATTAAAGAAGACGGTGAACTATTTCAGGTTAATTCAGTGCATAGTTCTACAACACCACTTGTTGAACATTGTAGATGATGATGACTATCACACCCCATGTTCTAAAATAAAGTAAAAAATCTCGATCAAATGTTCCCGAACCCTACACACCCTACTAAACCCAGTAGTAGCCGTCAGTTCAGAGTTTTAAGTTAGGTTTCCAATAAGCTTACGCATTAGAGCTGCCAAACACCCACGCCAGCCAGCAGCCTCCCCGGCCAAACACACGCAACCACGCCCAAAAAGACCGAATAAAATATTTCCCTCATCCCAGAAACCCGCCGTGCATGCAAGCCATGCGCCGGCGCCCTGGTCCGGTCGCGAAGGGGGGGGGGGGGGTTCGGCCTTGTCCCCAGTGCGGCTTGGCGCCGTGATCCATCTATCCATCCGGGTTCTCAACTCCTCCATGGTGTTGCTCGCTGCCAACGAAAACCACATAAACAACATGGATACGGTGGAGAATGGCCCCCAGCGGTTGCGTCGCCTGGATAGAGCAGTGCCATCGACGTAATGCGTCCGCGGGGCGTCCGTATTGCTGTCGAATCGGGTCTCCCGTGTTCGCTTTGCCAGGGAGCCGCAGTTGACAAGTGACACATATTGATGCACTCTCGCTCCAATACGACCGAAAACACTGTGAGCACCCTGATGTCGGTAGAGTAATCAGTGAATCATCATGCTGGCAAGTTGCTCGGCCATGGAACCACTCTGCACCAGTCATGTCATAGCCCACGAACCTCGTCTCCTCCCAAACCAACTTCCGGACCAGAACATATCATCGCCCCGCCGCTCGTCTGTCTACACATCCCTATCCCTCTCCACCTGGTGTTTCCTGCAAGAGCACATCCCAAAAGGTCCGGTCTTGCAGAAGCCCCGTTCCGCTGGAGCCCGCCGAAGCTTGGCACTCCATCTGTGAGGACCTTGATGTTGAACGCCTAACCGCACCAGAGCAATCCGCTGTGTCATGCCCTCAAGGCCCCCACGCCGGCCAAGTAAAAATTCCGTCTTTGAGAACCTACATATCAGTGCGAGCTCACCACTTGCTGCCTCGTCTTGGTATCCGCCGAGCCTTTCTCAGCTGCGATTCCCTAGACTGCTCGTTCTATGCTCCCTCGACGCTCGGCATCTGTAACATACAGGACAATCATGGGTCGGACTAGACACGGCTATAGCGGGCCCGCCGTCATGGTGGTTGGTGCTCTTCTGTTCGTGGGCATCGTCTCTGCTTCGATGAACCCGATGCGAAGACAGGAAAACTCGGTCACTACGACGGCGAGTTCTTCCGGTGAGGAGCTATCCTCGCTGACAGACTGTCATCTTCACGGAACCGTCCAGTAAGTGAACCCAAATATTTCGTCCGTGATATTATTGTGCTCTTGCTAATCAGAATCCGTGAACTCAGGTACTGTCTAGCCGATGCGACTGAGTACCGAATCCTCGCCGACGCAACAGCCACTGAGGACTTCCCATCGTCCTACACTGACTGCCACGCCCACTCCACAGAGACGTGAGTTTTCTACTCTTTCCCTTGCAGACAGCTTCTCACTCGTTCTTAGATGGTGCATGTCTCCCAGCGGCGGCGAGGTCGAGATCGTCGGCGCCGACGCCACCGTCACGGATGCCGCTTCTGCTACGGCTTCAGAAACAGGGACTTCAACCGGCCTCACCATCACTGCTGTCACTGATTGCCATCTGGAATCAAGCTCCGTGTACGATATCTCCGTGTCCAACTAGCCATGTGGACCGTCCAACTAATAAATCCTAGACTCTGCACGGCTGATTCGACGGAATACTACGTCCAGACCACCATTACCGTAACCAGCGACGTGCCAGCCGAGTTTACAGGATGCCACAGCCACGACACCGAAATGTAAGTCTTAAACCAGCACAGCGCCGCGGATGCTTCAACGGTCTTCCCTTCTCAACCCGTGCTAACCAAACTCAGCTACTGCTTCACAGACGACGGCGAAGCCAGCATCATAGCAGTCGAAGACATCGAGTCCGGAGAGTCAGATCCCGACGAGGAACACTGCCACTTCCACGCTGGCGTCGAGTAAAAGCCCCCTTCAATCTCGTGTTTCTCTCGTTGGTACTAACACCCACAGGCACTGCACCGGCGGAAACTCCGAAGAATCTACAGCCACCTGCGAGCGAAAAGACCGCGACTACAACATCTCCATCCGAATCGGCATGCTTTTCGTCGTCCTTGCCGCGAGTTCAATTGGTACGCTTCCCTGAACCAACCCGCAAGTCCGCACTAACACGCAGCAGGTGTCTTTGGTCCCATCCTCATGGCGACATTCACGCCGGTCAAGTCCAACCTATTCCTCATCGTCCTCAAGCAATTCGGCACCGGCGTCATCATCTCGACCGCGTTCGTCCACGTACGCGCCCCGTCTCCGATATCCCATTCAGACCGCGCTAACTCGGCCAACAGCTGTACACGCACGCGAGCATGATGCTCACCAACGAATGCCTCGGGGAGCTCCAGTACGAGGCCACAACTTCGGCCATCATCATGGCTGGTCTGTTCCTCTCGTTCCTGATTGAGTTTATTGTCCAGCGAGCTATTCGATGGCAAGCCAAGAAGAAGAGTGAGACTGACGAGTCCGACTCGTCTCCTAAGGTTGTTGCGTCGGCTGAGATGGCCAACATTACCATCATGGAGACTGGTATCATCTTCCACTCATTGCGTAAGTCGTCTGCCTCCTCGTTTAGCACAACACTGACAAGTTAGTTATTGGCATCACCCTCGTCGTCGCCGGTGACTCCTTCTTCATCACCCTCGCCATCGTCATCATCTTCCACCAGCTCTTCGAAGGCATCGCGCTGGGCACGCGTATCGCATCTCTCGGCCACGGCGGCGTCGCTTTTTCGCACACCGACCACGCCCACATGCACGCCCACGACGCCCCCATCGGTCCGCCCGTCGACCGCAGCCAGCCATCCACGGTATCGCTGGCCAAGAAGCTCCTCCTGGCGTCTGGCTTTGCGCTGGTCACGCCCATCGGCATGGCTATCGGCATCGGTGTTTTGGACGTCTTCAACGGCAACGACCCCAAGACGCTGATTGCCATTGGTACACTGGATGCGCTCTCGGCTGGTATCCTGATTTGGGTTGGGTTGGTAGAGATGTGGGCGCATGACTGGATGCTCGGCGGTGAGTTGACGGATGCAAATGCACTGACGACGGTACTGGCCATGTGTGGATTGCTCTCCGGCATGATTCTCATGAGTGTGCTCGGAAAGTGGGCTTAAGCATGCTATCAGGATCTTGTGGTACATTGAGAATGTCGTATTTAAAACCGTTGGCGAAACTTGACAAGGAACAACACAATGGCGTATGTATTCTGCCCTGAAGTAATCTCGCATTAATCGCATCACTTTTTCTCATTGTCCTGTCATCGCAACTCTTGACCATTTCCCTCCCATTCGTCCAATCCATCTATTAGTCCTTCTTGGCCCACGCAGCCTGGAGTCTTTTTGCCATAGTTCCCATATTGAAGAAGATGGCTATGAAACGCTCACTCGCCCACCTCGGCAACAACGTCGTGCACCACACAATTCCCGACATGCCACCAGCCCAGTACCACTCAGGCGTGGCCCCAATCCACCCACCAAGCCAGCCCTCGCCCTTGAGAGCCTGAGTTACAATCTTGCGAGCGTAGGCCTCAGTCGGCACCGTGGCACTGGTCTGGCTAAATGTCAAGCGGCGCTCGAACATGTCGTTGACGGGCATGTAGAGCGAGCCGGCAGGCAGCGTGCGGTGGAAGTGACTCGCGATGTTGGACTGCACAGTACCTGTCATGGCGACCATGACGCGGACGCCGAAAGGGCGCAACTCCATGCGTAGGGCGCGAGAGTAGGTGTTGATGGCGCCCTTGGTAGAGGAGTAGATGGCGCCGAAAAGGTAGGGGACGACGGAGGAAATGGACGAAATGTTGATGATGAGGCCGCGGGCTTGTATGAGCAGAGGGGCAAAGGTCTTAGCCGTAGACATGGGGCCAAAGACATTGACCTCGTATGTGGCGCGGACATCATCGAGGTCCATGTCAAGTGCGGGAATGGTGTGAGTTCGTCCACTAGCATCATCAGGATATGAGCATAGGTTCTCTGCTTTGAGTGGGATGAACTCACGCATTGTTGATGAGAACATCAAGACGTCCACCGGTTATGGCGCCGACTTTGTCCTTGCACTCGACGATACTGGCCGGCTTGGTGACGTCCAGCTCCAGGACACTCAGGCTGGGACCCTCCATGTGGGCGATGAGGCTGGTGTTTCGCGCCGTTGCAATGACATGACAGCCTATAGATGGATCAGAACGCGGACAACAAGTGACACCACACTGCAACTCACCTCTTCGCTGGAACTCGAGCGCCAACGCATGGCCAATGCCTCCGGGCGAGCACCTATTGTAGCTCGAGTGTCAGCGTCGCATCTCATCCCTAACCAGCCACTTGGCTGTTGCATGCTGACGCCCCGCTGCAACATACCCGGTAATGAGGACAAACGTCTTATTGGGCGCCATAATAACGATTCGGTGGTTGATGACAGTCCTTTGTAGTAAATGCGTGGCAATATTCTCGCTGGCGGTTGTTTTTGGTGAATTCGACGTTGCAACTCAGACACGATGGGTCCGAGTGAACACAGAAGCATGTGCAAATGTGGCCTAGCCGCCGAAAATGCCGACGCTTGTAGCCCTTTTCAGACATGGGCGGCAGCTTCCCTCTGAGCTGCCACCCAAAGAAGAAGTGATAGTCCCTTCAACCAGATCTGTGCGACCAGATATGCTCAACCATGTCACAACTCCATCATCACGAGTGACCGACACAGGACTTCAAATTGTCCATTGTAGGCCAGAGCAGGATGAATCGCCTAATTCCAGGCTTAAGCACCAAACGGCCATAGCGTTGGACACCAGCTCCCTCTCACCCAAGTGGTAATTGAGACGCTGCAGGGCGAATCCTATGAGAATATATTACCACGAGCTGCACGAAATAGCCCAACAATTGAATACGATGCAGACATTGAAAGAGCCTTCATTTTACAAGGGAAGCGTGGCGGTCTGCCATTTAGTACGTTGGAGCGGACCCCCTGCTACGACCCCTACAACCCACCATCCTGGCTCCTTGCAACAGAATCCTGTGAAAGCCAAATATGTATGGGACGATTTGGTAGCATCCAAGCCAACAATCCATCCTCTTTCATCAGTATTGCCAGAGATTATTAACCTGCTTATTACCAAACCCACCTCCTTGACACATAACCCGCTTTTACCATCAAGCGGTGGTGACTCTCAACCGCCATGCAAATCATGTGGACTCTCACCAGGGAGTTGGTGGGGGCAAGGCCCATCACCTTGGGGAAAAACGTCATCCCAGTTGATCAGTTCCGCGAGGTCAGAAACCTAGAGCAACTGATTAAATCTCTAGAACTAGAGCGCAAGCAAATCGATACCGCGCGGAAATCACACTCGCAGCCCGCTTCAGGAAGCGTTGACTACGAGAGCCTCGTCAAGCCAGAGCCAACGCCGACATTCTTCCATCACCCGCTGCCATCTACACCCGAAGGCCCCTGGATCCGCCTCATCGAGCTTCAGCCCTCGGCCTCGCTCTGGGCGCCCATCGAATGCAAGCTCCGCAATGTCCGCCTCACCGAGAACCCCGTCTACGACGCCCTCTCGTACGCGTGGTCGTGGCAGAACGACTACCCGCAGCCCTTCCAGCCCGTGTACATCGACGGCCGCAAGCTCACCGTCAGCCTCAAGCTCGCCGAGGCCCTCGTGCACCACCGCAGCCGCGACGGCGTGCGCGTGCTCTGGGCCGACGAGATTTGCATCCCCGAGTTTTCAGACGAGCGGGACGAGCTTGTCCTCGTACGGCGCGACATCTTTCGCGGCGCGGCGACGACCTTGGTCTGGCTTGGGCGGGACAATGGGCTCGCTCAGAGTCTGCACGTCGCCGAGGACATCATCGACGCCCGCGATAGAATGCGCGCGGCAGGCGACGAGCGCATCGTCGTGGACCTCAAGCCAGGCGATTTTGCCAAGCTGAATATCCCCGCTCCCTGGGACCCTTGCGTGCGCACCTGGCTGGCGCTCTTCACACGGCCGTGGTTCCAGGATCTGTGGTCTATTCATGACGTCTGTGTTTCGCCGACTGTCATCTTGCTGGTCGAGGGCGGCGGCAAGGACACCAGCAGGCCAGTTTCCTGGGACTTGTTGATGCGAGGGCTGCATGCGGCGAGAGACTTGGAGTACTTTGCACTATGCCGTGAGGACACCACGTTCGCCCGGGTTATGGAGCTCGCGAGGACGCAATATCGGGATGCGACCCAGAGGCATACGAGGATCTTGCCTCTCTTGCTAGCGGGCAGGCATTACGACGTCGAGGCCATGTTGGACAAGGTATACTGCTTACTCGGGTTGCTGGAGCCGCTTCAATCGATCCAGATTGGTCATCGAGGCTGGTCAAATCCAGAGAAGGTGTTCATAGACATAGCCATCGCAATCATGGAGCAGGACGGCACGCTCGACCTACTCGGCGTCCCGCGTGGAAGAGACACGAGGTTACGCACACTGCCAACCTGGGCTCCGGACTGGACCAACTGCTCCCGCCTCATCCAGTCGCTGCAGGGCCTGGAGCTCGACAGTCCTGCCGAACAGAACGGCGATGCCATCCCGCAGTTCGCAGCCTCGGGTCCCGGCAGCACTTACACGGTCAAGCTCGGCCCAGAAAACCGCACCCTCGGCGTGTCTGGCTTCATCGTGACGAGCGTCGAGGCCCTGCATACTATGCATCCGGATGCGCGCGACATATACAGCCCTTCACCCTATGAAGGTCTTTTACGCCCTTTTAGCAGTGCCTCGCTCGAGGACTTTAGAGGCTCTGTTTCCAAGAGCGTCCAAACCTGGGAGGCGATGAAGGACACTGCAAATCTTACAACCAGCAGCAGCATAAAGCAATCCTACGTTGCGACAGGGGAGTCGGTCCAGGAGGCATTTCGGCAGACGATGGTGGCAGGACGTGTCGGCGCCGACAAAGACACAGTTAAGTTCAGTGATGTCAAGACCTTTGCAGGACACGCAGACATTGTCACTCGTGGATTGAGACTACTGAAGTCTGCAGGTAAACTAACCGGCATCAGAGGTCAAAAAGCGCTCCTGGCAGCACTTCACATCAGCGGCTGGAACCTGCCCGGGCCTGAATCCAGCGCATTCTTCCAGCGGTTGTCAGTGATGGAAGGGAGGAGGATGATGAGGGCGAGCGACGACGGCATGTTTGGGATCGTGCCCCAGGCTGCGCGAGTAGGCGACAAGATTGCCCTGTTGAAGGGAGCGAGACTGCCGATTGTTCTGCGAGAGCGAGGGTCCGATTGGGCGGTGATTGGCGAGGCGTACATCCACGGGCTTATGAACGGGGAGAGATGGGATGAGAGCAAAGTAGGGGACATATGGTTGGCCTGATTTACAGCTACAGCTCAGCTTCAGGTCGCTATGCAACGGCGTTCCGGTTCCCAGCCAAGTCCGCCCGGGGTATCATCCTACCGTGGTTTAATTGGCTGTCCCCAGAGGCAAACGAGGCACAGCGACCAACTCAGCTGAGGTCCGACCTAAAGCAGAACCTGACGTGTTTCCCTCGAACTATCGCATGCTAATCCAGAACCTAGCCAGTGCCAGAGCATCGGGGCGCCGCCTCAATCCGCCACCGGCACGGGCGCGAAGGTGGCCGGTGTTGCCAAAAGACGAACCAAAATAGCGAGGTCTGTGGGAGCTCTTTAGGTCTTTGTTCTTGAATAACGTGGTATATACGCATTGTACCCGCCATCTATGTACATCCCCCAATAGACGACACCCAGGATCCCATCCAGGTATAAATCAATAAAAATTATAATAAAAAACTCCGTCCAGGCGCCGCCTTTTGAGCTGTCGGCCTCCGTCCCGACCAAACCATTCGACGCCCCGCCATTCCTGTGTGTCCTGTTTCCTGTTCCCGTTCTCGTTCCCGTATCACGCTGGCCACCCAAATACATCTAAATAGGTCCAATTATATCCGAAGAGGGCTTGAAGCACTCTTACTGCCAGCCTTGTTGCTGGCCCGGGTGTCCTTGGTATCCTTGGTGTCCCTGCTGCCCGCTATGCACCACCGAGCCCGGCATCTCCACGGCCGCCGTAGCCACCGTGCCCTCCATCTCAAAGACATGCCCCGGCGCAACACCCTGCTGCGGCGGAAGCCCTGGCGCGCCCGGGGCGGGATACCCAGCGGCGGGGTACTGCGTCGGCGCGTTCCAGTTCTTCTGGCCGGGATCCTGGCTCGGCGCCGGGCTCGGCGTGTAGCCCCCCGGGGTCCACGCCGGCTTGTTGTCGCTGTAGCCCATGCCCGGCGCGTACTGCGGCGGGACGCCCTGCGGGTGCAGCTGCTGCTGGTCGGTGGGGAGCATCGGGTGCGACTCCTCGCCGCCCTTTCGCCGGCGGCGCAGGAGGAAGAAGGCGATGGCGCCGACGATGGCTGCGCCGAGGACTGCGCCGCCGACGCCGATTCCAATAGTGACGGGGGTGGAGAGGCCGCTTTTCTTGTCGTCGCTGTTCTTGTCGTCGCTGTTCTTGTCGTCCTTGTTCTTGTCGTTGGTGCTGGTCTGGCTCGCGATGACGGTGACTGTCTTGCCGCCCGAAGTAGTCGTTACGTATTTCGATTCGGACGCTGTTGTCGTGGCCGCATCCGTCGTAGACTGGGTAGCAGACTCGGTTGCCGATGCCGTCGTCGAGGATGCATCCGCCGAGGAAGACGCGCCCTGAGCAGCAGCCGCCTTGAACTCGGCCTCAGTCAGACCCATGGGCGTATTCGAGTTATTACACGCGCCGCTCATGTCCGTGTACACCTGATCAACGTCATCCGGGTCCTCGCTGCCGAGGCACTTGGCCGTGTCGGTGACGAAGCCGCTGGTGTTGCTGCACAGGCACTCGTTGAGCGCGGCATTGGTGTCGCCGGTGCAGGCGGCGCTGTCGGCCGCTTTGTACAGGCAGCTCTGGGCGTTTTTGGGGTAGAAGGAGAAGTCGTTGGAAGCGGCGAGGGAGAGCGAGGGAGCGAGGAGGAGGAGGGGGAGGGACGACCACAGCGATCGGGGCGCCATTGTGACGTGTTGTGTTGTGTGCTCTCGTTTGCTTCGATTTCGATCGCGGGTCCAGTATCCAGGTGGCAGTGGGCTCGAGCGAGTGATGGCGATTGCAGTCCCCAAGGCTACCTCGCAATATCGACAGCGAAAGATCCGATTGCGAGCGTGGTTACAAGAAACCCAGTGGCGGGAGCGACAGTGACGAGCGAGAGAATGCAGAATTGGTTCAGCCGTCAACCAGCCACCTCAGCTCCGAATGCGCGTTGTCCGAAAGCAGTTGGCGCGGGGGGGGAGCAAGCGAGCGATGAAACGAACGAGAGACAATTCAGCCTCGAGAGGATCTGTTGAGGGGATTTTTCCAGCGAGCAAAAAAGGGAGACAACACAGGGGGACGAGGAGAGGGAAAATGGTGGCTGAAGGGGGGTTGAAGGCCGCCAGTTAAACCGTCTTATTAATTTCAGGTGAGGCTCCATCGACGTCCATTCAGCCGTCATCCATTCTGATCCTGTCAGCAGAGGAGCACCACCAACATCACCACCAGCCAAGGCACCACGGTCGATCAGCTTGCGCCTCAAAAGGGAGGAACGTAATCCTAAACAGGTCTAGGTCTAGGCCATCTGGGTTGTTGCAGGTAGAGGTGTATACATGCCAGTGCGACCAGCTCCTCCTGAACAACACCCAACACTGACCAAGTGGACGCCCTAGACGGCAAAGGCGGAACCCAGACACACAAAGGGATCGCCAAAAGCCCGCTCAGCCCCAGGGCGGCGCAGCACCGACGGAGCCCAGAGGGACGCTAATTATAGCGTTCCGGGGCGATCGCCATAGCCGCCCTGCAGCTGTTGCTTGGTCTTGGGCCTGCCTGCCCTATAAGGCTAGAGCTGTGACCCTGCTGTGCTGCCCCACCGTTTTGTCGCCCTGGTTCTTCAGCTACCCTACACTGTCGAGTGGCGCGATGAGGGCTTCATCGTTCCATCATCTTACCTCACTTTGAGCATTCCATCTTTAGAACACAGATATCACATCTCGGGAAGTTCTTGATCCATGTCGATCTCTCCGACTCTTACCGCACGTCATCGGGAATACCGAAACTCCCGGGTCAACACTAAATTATGATTTAAGGTAATGAGATTCAACGTGCACTCGCACGTGACCCACTGAGAGACTAAACTTGCTAGGTAGCACTAAAATTTCCACCCAATCATCCCACTATTCAAAATCACACCTATCCTATTTAGTGCCGTGACTAAAAATGAGCGTCCTTATACTCTAGTCTAGGGAGTTCAAAGAGATCCGGTATGCTTTCAATTTTAATTGGAGTTATGTGATATTGATTATTACAGACAGCAACTGCGGTTTCCTTAGAGAGTGGAGAAATTCTAGTCCTATCTCAGCATTGATAGCCCCTGGCACTTCAACATCAGAAACCGTATCGGACTCGCTACATCGCTCACCCGTACTATTTCTGGTCTGGTTATCCTTTACAACGCCTTTCTGATTTATTGGCATGATCTGCGACCGGTAGAAAATCTTGCCTGCAGGGTCGTAGGATTAATGGCGGGATTGTTCATCTGGCGACGTGGCATCAGACTCTCGAACCTGCACATGAGCATTCTAGCCATAGGGAGAAAGATCCTAACAAACAAACCGGGATATCAGGAAAGAAACATTACGGAATTGGCAGAACAAGTCAGCACAGAGTGGGCCGCCATCAAATGGTGGTGGTAGATGGGATGGGGTTAGGGGGATAGATGCTACGATCCCTCGAGAGATATCAGTATAATAGAAGTATCTGAGGATGTAAAGGAGATAATTACTATATTCCATGTTATGGGGTTCAATAATCAGTTGCTAAGAGGATACGTTCAGGTTGCCTGAAAACTGCCGCTGTGGAATTCGGCTCTTCTAATGTTTCACAAGACTAGAAATACACGTCATCGGCTTTAGGCAGAAGTGCAAGTTTCAAGCCCGCCCCAAACTCCAGGCACTCATGCATGCATCTATGCGTTGTCGAGCGTGGTCGGAAAATAAGGCGACCAATTGCCGGCTCCGCAAGCCACATTCAAAGGCCAACCTGTTGGGCAATTTAAGGCTTTGAGATTCCCGCTCTTGAGAAACAGATATTACAATCCTGCATCCCAGCTAGATGCCGATTCTTTATTTCTGTTCTGGCATTCAAATTCGATTTTTATCCGACCTGCCGGCCTTTCGGGCGTCTGGCACATCGCAATCCGTTCAAAATGTCCACAAATCTGGCGTATTATGAAGAAGATGTGATCAGGCTGTGCATCGACGAGGGGAAAAGCGCTGAGGATACTATTAAATGCCTCAATGAGCAACACGGCACTGCCTTTACGTATGTTTGGTGACTCTGCAAGAAACGAAAAACTGACCAGGTGGAAGTGTCCGGCAGTTCAAGGGCATGTTCAGCGGCCTCAAGAATTTAAGCGCTCGAGAGTGGCGAGGGATTGCTCGGGAAATTTGCAACAGAGAAGCCAGAGGACTAGGCTCCGAAGTGTATCTGTACGGCCGACGACAAGATCCAGAACGTGTGACGAGAGCACTTCGGCGCTATGGCAAAGAGAAGGAAGGTGCCATACCTACTGGAATCGGTGAGTGACGTCTTATTGAGACTCGGAATTTGACTCATTGGTGATCTCTCAGACTTGACCGCCAGAAAGCACGGTCGGCAGCGGATTGAAATACGCAATCCAGGCGCCCAAAACAGCACCCAGGGAGCAGGCAAGGGTTCCAGTGCTGTCCCCCATTCCGCAGAGAGGCTCGCCACACCTCGAAGCCTGCATCTGGAGTCCGTCATTGATCCTTCGAGTATCATGTTCAGTAACGGTTTCGGGATGAGCGCGGACGGTCAAGAGCTCGACTTTTCCATGGAAGGAATCGAGCTGGACTGGAGCACGCCTCAATTCGAAGAGTTTTTCGGCACAGCCCATTGTTCCTCTTCACATATCACTAGCCTTGCTGATGTGGAACATCTCGACATGGAGTCATTACTGCAGCCTCATCGGGATCGAGTGGCTGCAGGCGCTTCGACGGGGGAGCCTTCAGGCCAACCTCGGCAGCTTGCTCTACGCCATAGAGAAGACTCTCCCTTACTCACAACTTGCAGCGTATCAAGAAGTTTCTCGAGAATTATTGGTACCACACATGGGCTAGAAGACTCATGTCGGCCTCTCATCGTCTCGCCAGGTATGTGCTATCACTTGACATGCTATTGCTCTGGAATATTCACGAAGATGGTTAGGAACCCCATCTGAAATGTTTGGAATACGCACAGAAAATCTCCTCGAAACTGGTAATCCAACAACTTCACCATCCTGGCCATCTTGGGACCAAGTTCATGGCAGAGTTCAGAGGAGTGAACCCGGGTGGCTTGCGTCGATACTGATCGGTGGGGACCCAAAGCTCGAGCATCTGACGTCTGTGGCAAGCCTGGTAGAAAAGGTCTTCACATACTCCCGAGGAGATGACGAGCTCCGCTTTGATGGCCACGACAAGGACTCGATGAATCAAATGTTCGCCATTGTCAGCCGCCTAGTCTTGAACCGATCTCTTTCCGAGGAACAGCTGTTGAATTTCATCTATTGGATTGTCGATAAAGGTCATGTCAACGGGCTGTATGGCTTCTTACGGAAAGGTTCACCTGAAACGGGGACTTTTATCGGTGAAGTGCTCCGTGTGCTTTCGAATGAAAGGCTGCTCTTCCCACCACACCACCTATGGGGAAGAGAAAATCTTTACCGCGAGGTTGATTTCATCACGAATCATCCACTCGAAGTTTTCCAGCTCATACGAACAGCGGATGCGCGGACTCTTTCGGGGTCCTTGGGTGGAAGTCTACTCATTCGCATGGTAGAGTTGGAAAATTTGGAGATGGTGAAGACGCTAGTTTCCGCCAACAGCGCCATTGTAAACTACATTGGTGTCAGAAGACACAAGCCCATGACCCCACTATGCGCTGCAGTTCGCGTTGGGTCAGCCGAAATAGTCTGCTACCTCATCGATAAAGGAGCGAATATCAACAAGCGACATAATGATCCCCGAATCACTCCCTTGGTTGAAGCTGTACGTCTCAACAACGTGGACATGGTGCAGTTGCTGCTCGACGCGGGGAGCAAGCTATTTCACAACCTCCGAATAGACCAACACAGCATCCTCGAACATGCTAAAAGGAATTGTCCGGCCATCTATGAGCAACTTCAAAGTTTTGCTGAATCAAAATTAGACTCAGATATTGCCATACGTTCATTTCTTTTAGTTAAAGCCGCAGAGAATGGAAACCATTCATTATCCCGGTTCCTCTTGCGGCATGGTAATGTTCGACACGGAGCGCTAGAGTCAGCTTTGTGGCTCGCGGTCAAGCAGGGCAACGTCAGCGCGGTGAGAACGTTGCTGCATCGAGGCATAGACCCAAATGCACTTGAATATCGTCGTGTGGAGCACTATAACGGCACTGGCCAAGATTCCGACTCTGATGAAGAGGACTTCAACTTCGACGAAGAGAGCTCCAACTTCGACGAAGAGGACTCCGACTCCGATGGTATCTCAACGCAGTATGAGGAGAATTCGGGAAGCCATTTCGACTCAACTCATCCTATTCATCTCGCGATCTGCGGCAACAACGTTTCGCCAGACATCTTATATCTCTTGATCAAAGCTGGAGCGAGCACAACAAACGAAGGTCTCTCCCGTGCCTTGCGCTGCGCAGTCCTACCCTTACGTAATTTAGACAGGCGGATCCTAATAAGGGACAAATGCCTGCTTCTAAGCCGATTACAATTTCACGTCTCCGTGGCCAACCCAGTCGCATTAGAGATGAGTGCCTATTTCGGAAGCATCGAGAAATGCGACCGTTTGCTCGATATAGGGACCGACATCAATGCGTATGGAATTGTGAGCAACGCTTTGCAGGCTGCAGCTCGCGAGGGGCATCTTGCCCTTGTGCAACATCTCCTCGAACGGGGCGCGAATGTTAATGTGCCCGCCAATTTTGCGCATGAGAAAAACAGACAGCAATGCAGAAGTTCTAAGTATGGTGGACCACAGACGGCACTCCAGGGCGCTGTTCTGGGTGGATACTACCAGGTGGTGAATTGTCTGATTGAAGCCGGGGCGAAGGTTGCAGCTCCTCCAGTTGACAACACAGACATCACCATTTTGGATGCAGCCGCTGAAGCCTTCAGTAGAAAACAATATCATGGGTATGACGTTGGCTATTCAACCCATATATTCAGGAAGCTCCTTGCTCATGGGGCTCTGATCAATCGCACAGACGGTGGACCATGTGGCGTTTTACATCACCTCGTCCACGCATCGCAGCTTGAGTGCCTGGAATTGGTACTCAAAGAACGCGCAGTGACTGAGGAGCGAGCAGTCTTCCGCACGGGCCGGGACTGGGGATCGGACATATTCGTGACCCCAATTCAACTTGCGGCCGCCCGTCACAACATGGAGATGGTGGAGCTCCTCCTCAAGTACAATGCCGACATCAACGCCCCTGCCTCCGACACCAAGCTAGGTCTCACAGCTCTACAAGCCGTCATTGAAAGCCAAGGTCACCACACTGAGAAGGAAAAAGAAACTGAAGATATGGTTGTCTTCCTACTTCAACACCACGCAGACGTCAATGCACGCGCAGGAGGCAATCGTGGCCGCACAGCCCTACAAGCAGCCACTACATGGAACGAACCCAGCGTGAGGATTGTTTCACTTCTCTTGCAGCACAAGGCCGACGTCAATGCTCCTCCTGCCGAATCATTCGGCCTCACGGCTCTACAAGGCGCTGCGATTTCAGGAGATGTCCAGATTGCGAAAATGTTGCTTGCTCACAGAGCCGATGTCAATGCGGCGGCAGCGCCAAGTGGGGGCAGGACGGCTATTCAGGGAGCAGCTGAGCATGGGAGACTTGATATGGTTCGGCTTCTCCTCGACAATGGAGCCAGGCCAGACCCGGAGAAGGGCTTCTCGAAGGCAATCGAGTTTGCCGAGAAAAATCATCGTTACCATATTGCAAGTCTATTGAGGGCCCATGAAGACGCATGCAATGGGTTAGCTATGGGTTTCAGTGCTGGGCGGTTTCGCGATTTCGGAGGGCCTTCGTCAGGCATCTTAAACGAACTGACAGATGATAACGAAATTATAATGTAGTTCCTGTGTTAGGGGATGGATGGCGAGGAAACCTGAACCCTTCAATATACCTCTCTCATAATGCTTGTATTCAGCCGTCAAACACCCGGGTATCTCTCCCCCTCTAATCCTTCTGCTCGCTTTTACAACCATCCTCATCAACGTACGCCGACACTGGACCATTCATCCCCTCACAGCCGAGAAAACACCTTGGCAAAAATCTCCCTCGCCTTCAACAGGTTGATCAAGCACATCCGCTCATTGTCCAAATGCGCCGCGTCGCTCGACTGCCCGCACGGGAGATGCGCTGCCGGCGCCCCAAACTCCTTCTCCAAGAACCGGATCGCCGGGATCGAACCGCCCTCGCGGATGAACAGGGGCTTTCGGGGCTTGCCCCCCTTGGGCTGCACTCGAGCTTTAGGACCTTCCTCTGAATCATCCTCCGAGGACTCGTCTGTCGTGGTGCCCGAAGCTTGAAACCGCTCTTCCCACACTTCTAGAATGGCCTCCTCCAGAGTGCGGAAGATGGCGTTGCTGGGGTCGCCTAGCCATGGCTCGGCCTTGTTGTCGATTGAGATGCTCAGTCGGTTTTGCGACTCGAGCACTCCAAACTCCTCCCGCAGGAACTTGGTGAGCGACTCTGCGACAGTGTCCACCTCCTGTCCAGGCACCAGTCGCAAACTAATGTGCGAGCTGGCATGGCTGCTGACCAGACTGCCGTCGGGACCCGACACCTTGTATCGGTGCAGCGTCAGATTAGGCTCTCGCCATCGTGCCATGAGCGACTGCTTGAGTCTGTCTTCAGGGCCGGCCTCGGGCTTCTTGCGGATTAGTATCGACGCAATGTCGTCGTATCGCGCTTCTTCTTCCGGAGTGATAGCGAGGATGCCGTCGTAGAACCCGGGGATCTGCACCCTGTTGCCAGGACCCTTGAGCTTGGACAGGACCTGCGTGAGGTCGGAAAGAGGCTCATTCATCATATACGAACCGTCGACGCCAGAGTGGATATCAGGACGAGGCGCATCGACGCAGATAGTCGTATGAAGGACACCTCGAAGACCATACGTTAGACAGGGCACCTCGTTGTCCAACCAGTAACTGTTGGCCAGCAGGATGTAATCCACATCGCCAATCAGCTCCTTGTTATTCTTCACAGCCTCCTCAAAACCCAGCGATCCAAACTCCTCCTCGCCTTCAATCAGAAAGATGATGTCATTTTCCAACTTCTGCGCCTGCATCAAGTCCGTGACGGCATAGAGAGCGGCGATGATGGGGCCCTTGTTGTCGCTGACGCCTCGACCATACAGGTATCCGTTAGTGCCCTGCATGGTAAAAGGGTCCGACGACCACTTCCCCTTCCTGCTGTCGGCTGCCACCACATCGTAGTGTCCGTAGAACAGGATCCGCTTCCGTGTCTCGGCAGCCTCCTTCTTGGCCGAGAACTTGGCGTACACGACCGGGTTGTGGGGCTTTTCGGTGCTGAGCATCTCCACATGGCCTCCGAGGCGCTTGAATAGAGATCCCAGGAACGTAGCTCCCTTGCGGCAATCCTCGGAAAACTCGGGCCGCGAGGAGACGGTCTTGTAGGAGATGAAATCTCTCAGTGTCGAGAGCAGCAGATTCTCCGAGTTTTGGTCCGTCTCCTTCTTGGAGCAAGCATCCTCCTTGATAGTCCAGATGGAAATGTTGTCATCGTTGGAACCGGTAATGTAGAACTGCTTGTTTTTGTAAGTGGTGGCAGCCGAGGACAGGATCTTGCCCTGGTGAGCTTGCCACCTGGATAGGCACTGGTACTTTTGCGTGACGTTGTTTGATGAGACGTGCTGGTACTTGCCGTAGTGCGCTGTGCTGTATTTCTACGGCCATGTTAGTTGGAAGTGGACCTGGGAGTGAAGTACTTACACTAGCCCAGCCATTGCTTGCAGCGGTCCAGAGATATCCCCAGCTCATTTGGAGCGACATGATATCGCAGTCATGGGCTCTGATGACCCGCAGTCGCTGTGCTGTATCGAGATCCCATAGCTCGACGATACCATCGAGCTTGCCGGCATATAGGAAAGATCCATCGAGTGCCAGGGATAGGACGGATTCGGCGTCGTCTGTTCCTAGTGTCATGATCTCCTGGATGCCGCCAGCGTTGTCGTCTTCTTCGCTGGCATGGCCCAAACTCCACACTTTGACGGTTCCATCGCCGGCACCCGATATCAGCACGTCATCGTCCGCCTCAACCTCGACAGTGGGGCCCTTGGCCACGAGCATGCAGTAGACATATCCGAAGTGGGCAAAGTTGCGGACCGAGCCGGGGTGCATCTCGAGGACGGTCTGGGCCTTGGGGATGAGGCCCCAGCGGTCGTCGTTGCGCCTGGGCGTGCTGGAGCCGCCGGCCGCCTTGGAGTCGAAGAAGCGGTGGTTCCGGCGGTCCGGATGTTGCTGCGAGTCGGTCGCGACGCGGGCGCTGGCGTCCTTGAGGCCGGCCCACTGGATGGTTGCGTTCTGGGCGCCAAAGTACAGCGTCTCGTGCTGCGGGCTGTAGGCGGTGCAGAAGATGTCGCCGACGTCGTAGGAGCCGTAGATCTCGTACAGGCGGGTCAGGGTTCGCGGGTCCCAGACATTGACGATGGCGTCGCCGGCGCTGGAGAAGAGCAGCGAGGCGTCGGGCGAGAGAGACAGCGACAGAACGCTGCGCTTGTGGGCTTGGACGCGGTGGACCTGGTGGAATGTATCCAGGGACCAGGCCACAATCTCGCCGTCCTGGGTGCCCGCGTAGATGGTTTCGTGCTGTGGGCTCACGGCGAGGGCCAGCACGGTGCTGGTATGGTTGAGGCTGTGGACGAGATCGGGGAGGGTCGCTGAGTCGTCGGCGAGCTCGAGCGGGCTGAGGATGGGTGACGAGGGAGCGGGCGACATGGTCGGCGAGACGACGCGCGAGGCCGCACGAGAGGGCATCTTGGCGGTGACTAGAGCTGGTGGTGCTGGTCAGCCTGGATGATGATGCTGTGGTGGCGATCACGAATTGCGGAGGTTCAGAGACGAGGAGGGACGAGGAGGGACGAGGACAGGCGAGGATGAAACGACCGAACACCCGAAACGGACAGCACCAAAAGACATACACACTTCTCTACTACAGAGTAGGAGACGAAACGCGGTGCAGCAGCGGCAACGACAGCGGTGGTGGTCGAGGCAAAAGTGAAGGCCCTAGCCGAGTCACGAATGCGCCGAGGCCGGGGACAGCGGCGGTGTCAATACGATGACGCGATATCGAGGGGTGCGTTGCCTTCTCTTTTGGGAGGAGTGAGGATTCCAGGGATCAAGAAGCAGTGACCAAGACGTTCCAGCCCTGCAACCGCATTATGCCACTTTGGCGAGATACGGCGCAATCGTCAACGAACACGCACGATAGACGGCCGAGTTGATGGGAAACTGGCCATGTCGACTGGTGGTGCGCCACACTTGCGCCTAGCCTCGTGTGAATGAGGGGAAGCTCTTCCGGTGGGATGCCCCTCATTGGGAGAGCTCCAAGAGGAGCTTCAGCCTCGTTGAGGCACCAGCCACTTCTGGTTGGGGCAAAAGAGCACTAGCTCACGCGGCAGTTGGGGAAGAGCCGATGGACATGTGCATCCAGCATCGATGAAGGGAAACACGAGAGGAATTCGGATCAATGATCGAAATATTCCGGGTTGGCGACACGGAAAACGACAGCTTGCAAAAACACAAGAACGTGAAGTGAAGTGCCAATTGACGAAAGTGAGTCACTGACTGAAAGCGACACGGCACAGAACGCCACCTCGAGATCGGGAAAAAGAGACCGGGACGTGGAATGGTACAGAGCCAAGAACACATTGCGTTTCTGGAAGCGCTACAGAGTACTTCACTTCATCGCCCAAGAACCATGGAAAATATAAATCAAAAACTGGAAATCAACCTCACCTATCGGCTTGACGCCGTCCTGCTGAACAATCTCACTCTGTCGAATCTTGGCGCATCCCCGACATCCCCCAGCCGGGTCGCCGGCGTCGGCCATCATTTCGAGCGAGCGAGCGAGCGACGGGGACGTGACGAGCAAAAATGATGCTTCAACGAGGGATTGTCAAATACGCAAGAAGAGCAAATGACGAGGAATAAACAGGGAAAAGAAGGATGCGGGTGGAAAGACTGCAGCCCGCATGTACTTCGACGTGGACACGCTTTGTTCCCGTGCCCGACTGCCACGCGCTGTGTCCGCCGACTGCCGGAGCCAAGCAAATGATGGACGAGGTGTAGACTGCGATGTGTAACTGAGACACGGGATTCTAGACGGATCCAATTGACCAGACCTTGCTAAAGGGGAGCACGCGGCGCAATAAATACAGCCGCCTCGACCAACTAAATCGTCTCCCTGCGTTGTCGCTTTCCAGGTGAGAAAAGACGCCATCGCGGTTTTGCGCAGCCGCTGGCCTGGGCCACACCCCCGGCACACCGACGTTTATTCCCTGCCTCAGATCCCCCTGGCCGCTGCGCATTCACCGCATCGGGGCTGGGGAGCAGGGGGTGAGCCCTTTCGTTGGGTTTCGGGGACATGAGCGGCACGAGACACCGAGGCGAAGCATTTTGGGCGGTTGGATACAGAAGTAATTGAGGGTTTTGCCATTGAAACCGCAAAAAGCAACAATAGAAGACGACATTTGAGCCATCTTTGCGACACTGGCTTTTTTTTTTTTTTTTTTTTTTGGCTACTGGTGATACTGGTGGAGGTTGGTTGGTGGTGAGAAGGTGGTACCATCTATACCACTTACTGGGCATCTTTGAAGATCGGAATCTGTCATCTTGACGTTGTCTATTCTTTTTATTGATGTTTTCCAAGTCTACCATCTAGACTTCTACTTTTCTCCCTGGTTGAACCTCTCCCATCGCTCATTAAGAACCACCGGGGCATTCGCCGCTAATATCCAGCATCCCTTCCCGGCCCATTGCCTCCAAGATCTTTTGAGCGTCCCCTAGACTAAGTAAACCGACCCGATTTCCGACACAATGCAGAACCGAAAGCTTGGGCTCAGCAGCCCAAATAAGCGCGGCAAAGTTCCTGGCCGCTTGTATGTCCATCCGGTATGGACTGTTTCCGAGTTGCACATGGTTCTGCTGGGACAATGCAGAACAGAAAGTTTAGGCTCGGCAGCCCAGATAAGCGCGGCATAGTTCTTGGCTGCTTGTAGATGCACGGAACTTGCTAGTGACAAGGCTTATGACCACCTTGGTCATATTGAATGCCTCGTCAAAGGCATATGAAGCTGGTGACTTCAGCCCCACGCCCTTCCAAGCATAACCGTTCCCTTCCTTATTATAAACCTCGATTGACTCATCGGAAGTGACTGCCCATATATGCAGTTTACTTGCGTCAAGTTCCTCTGAGGCACTCGGAATATGTGCAGTTTGCTAACATCTCGTTCCTCCGAGCCGCTTGGAACACAGGCGTCAATTCCATGCTGTTAGAGGAGGGTTGAAACCTTCATAAAAATATCCCCTCTACTTTTGGACGGAGGAGGCAATGGGGCTCCATTGATCTGCCAGTCGGGGTCCTGCCCAACAAATTCCCCGATCAGCAACTCGATCTCGACCACAAAACTGACACGAGGCGGGCAGATTGGATTAACAGCCTTAAACGTGGCGTCAGTTTCAAGTCGTTTTGGGGCGGACTTTAAGCTGGATTCTGGGGAGGAAGACTAGGTATTCCGTGACCTCTTGTGATATTTTTCCGTCGTTGGGACATTTTGAAAATAGTGAAGTTGCGACATATTTTCCGAGCACGGGCTCGATTTCCACACCAAAACTCCCCCGAGGTGGACATCTTGGTGTTCTCGCGTCCGTTTTCACCTAGTATCCCAACTCCATGACGTGAGGTTCATATGAATCGCCTTGGCACCACGGACCACTCTGACTTCCACGGGCCATTCCGTGAGACTAGAAGCTGTGCTGAAAAACACCATGGCTCTCCGTGTTGATGGTAGACACCAATAGGTTCGAAAACATGTTGCTGGAAGAGGACGAAGTAGTGTAGAGGCGCCCCGTCACCAATCATGCGAAACTTCTCCTCGTCCCTGGGTCGAGTGACGTAGACACAAGTGAATGAATCTGTATGTGGTACACCGAATTGGTCGGCCCAACGATGGAATCTGCAGTACTCGCAAAGCTCTCGACAAAGGAGAAGATGCAGGGCACCTGGTGCGGCTCTCGCAGTCGAGGGCGTAAAAGCCGTCCTGGTACGCGAGCGACAAAGCGACCATGTCGAGGCGCCCATCGATTCGCCTCAACCGACAACAAACTCCTTGTCCTTCTTGTCTTCTTCAGATTCCGCAGACCCTCCCAATGGAAGAGCCTTGTTCGGATCTGCAATGTTGAGGTTCTTGTAAAGCCCCCTGGAATCCTTGGGGAGCGTGGTAGCTCCCCCTAAGGTGTCATTCGTCCATTGAACCGAATGCGATGATAATATATAAACAGTGTGAGAGCACATGTTTTCCGATCGTGGTGATTGGTCGCCGGCGCAGACATCCGAACGGAAGCTGTATTGGTTCGGATGTTGTGGCGACGCCACCCACAGAGAGGACCGTGGTTGACTATGTTATCGTGGCTGGCTCCGTCGAGTTCGACCATATCGATCGGCGGCCCCCGCACATTTCTTTGGCCGAGAGTTTGTGTACTCCCACGGCCGGAGCTATGTGATATCCCCAACGGTGCGTTGTGGACTCCCATAGCCGGGGCGTTGTTGATTCTCGCCAGTTTGGTTGTTAGGTGAATTGTTTTGGGTATAATGCCTTGTCTTCCCACACACACAAACACACGTAGTGCTTGGCTAGGGTTTTTCCCTCATAGTTGTTGAGACAATATCGTAACTTGAGGGGCCTATGTTTCCCGTTGAACATGGCCTGGCAACGAGGAATGTTATAGAACTTGCTTCGGAGTGCACTTTGGTGGTTTCAACACCAAAGGCTGCCTTATTTCTGGCTCCGGCGGAAAAGTCAAGCTTATGACATTCGGATTTACCGGGACTTGTGGCGATTGTCAATCGTCAATCGGGGGCCAAGAGGACGGCGAACTCGTGCATGATACGGATGCGGATCTCGGCGTATTGTGAATCCAAGACGAAAGCGTCCATGAATGACACATGGTTGGTGGTTGGAACATGTGCTGACATCGAAGGAGTGAACCGTCCACGAGCTTACATGAAGGCGAGTTTGGAATTTGTGCTTGGTCCCATGAAAGCTTGGATTGGTCCACCTCCCGTCAAAACAAACGACAACTGGCGGGCCCTTCGGTACGGGTGGAATGTTGCTCAATTCTGGTGCCAGAGAGTCGACTCCATTCATCAAGGTGAGTGGTGACGGACAGTTGATGCTGGGTCTGAAGGAAGGGTGGAGAACCGGTTAAACCGGAGGCTTCCACTGATTGGGTTTTGCGTCAGAACGCTCATCTCTCCCGGGGTTTCTGGACTTCGATCGTGAATTTCCCCAATTGAGAGTAATCGATCGCGGCCGTGACAATCCCCAACGGCACATGTGTTCCGAGCATCTCTTGCAACACGGCATCAACCGTCCTTGGTGTGAGGCGATGTGTGGGGCGACGGCTGGTCGGGGACATGATCGGGCTCAAACAGATGGTAGGTGTATGTGGTAATTCGTTGAGGGATAGTCCTCCCTGCAGTGGACGTCTTTCCTCGGAAGGCACACTCTTTGGAAGAGGAGAAACGAGGGACTGCGATGTCCAGTGAATGGCAGGCCGCCGGGCTAGTGCGCATCCTCCCGGGTGTTGTCTCGACATAACCCTTATTGCTGGAGGGTTTAGGTGGACGACGACGATGTTATGTCTGCCACAGCTGCAAAGCTTCAGGGTGTCGATGTCAGACCGTGATGAGTCTCTGGTTCCATCGTGTATATGTTCTTGGTGGTGACAACTCTCGACGCTGTGCCTCGGTCCATCCCTGGAGTGATAGACCACCGGACCTGTGACAGAGGGCGCCCGTACTGCTCCTCGTCGGTGGACTCTCGAAGAGGAATCCACGGAGAGAAGATCTGTTCTCCATCCATGGGGAATCGGAGAGGAAAGAACGGCGGCTAGGACCTGGATCATTTCGGTAAACTTTCGCAAGCGGCGGGAGTTTGGCGTTCTCCGTCCAGGGGCTCTCGAAAAGGGGAGGACGGCGGCCCATACTGCTCTCCGTCCGTGGACTCTGCAGCAACTGGATGCTGGTTCGTCGCCGTCGATGGACTGAAAAATCGGCCGCCCGTTTTGTTCTCTCTCCTTTGGCTCGCGAAGCGGGGGAAGAATGCGACACGAATCATGGCGAGAGACGGTCGTAAGGCCGCGGAGCTGGCCCAGGTATATATAACAAAAAGAAAAAAAGAAGGCAAAATAGTGGTATCCGCATGCAAACCGCAAACGTCGCAGTCCCAGTACCATGCAGCTCGGCCGGAGACAACCCGATCCTGGATGGAATCGTTGAGATTGCCAGGGCTGGACCGACTGCCTGAATGTGGTGAGCATCATTCCCGCCCGAACTGAAGACCACTTGGCCATCCTTTGGCAAGGCGTGCGAGGTGGGATGCACTCCGACAGGGTCAAAGCAGGGGACCGGTCGACCGAACGTTTGCCATTGTTGCGAGAGCCGCGAAGAGTCCCGAAAGCTACAAAGTCTCCCTGACCTCCCCCGACGGTTGGGATGCATTAAGAACATCTGCAAAGTGCGAGTTAGAAACGAGCCAACATGATGTGCGGGTGCGAGAGACCGGGGGACTTACCTTTCCCAACTCGTCATGGACGGGCGGCAAAGGACCCGGGCATAGGCCCGGGGACTGTGAGGCCACGCCGGGACTGGCCCGGACGACGTCCTCGACAGGTTCAGAGGTGGTTATATAAAAGTGAGATGATGGGGAGAAAAGAGGGAGAGGAGGAATGGGAGGCGACGCAAGGCATATATAGATTTCTGGTAGGGCTTCTTCCCTAACAACACGTGAAGGGCTGGCAGGCACAGAACCGCCGCGTCAGAACTCAGTCCCGATCCAATTACCAAATGGTCATCAGGGGAACCTTAGTGTGCGGCTCTCATCCGTCGAAGCTACAAGTAACTACCTATGCTGTGTAACAGTTACGCCCTCCACTTGTCACACCCAAAACCACAGCTTAGCCAGTAAGACAAGACGGCCGCGGCACAGGCAGTCACTCGTTGACGTCAAAAGCAACCAACGGCACGAAAACTCCCGAAGTGTGACGGTCTCAGTGGTCGAAATGGCGGATAACGGCTTCGTGCAACGTCTGCTGCCCCTTAATTGTATCATCGATTCAGGGCGTGACTCACTTTTACCACCGCACGGATGAAAACATGTCAGCGTAAATAGCACAATATCGGTACGAGGCACGGGAACCGGCCGGTACGAGAAAGGCTAACGGAACGATGTATGTCTAGAACGAATGATACGACGAGCTCAGAGACAACGCAACTGAAAGTTTAGGCAGGGCCGGAAGTGTGCAACATCGGAACGGCAGACGGCGACTCGCAGTTACGAGACTCACCGACAAATTTGATCGCCAGAAGAGAGGAGTGAGAAGAAAGCCTCAGAAACACGTATCCAGTGTCCTGTAGTTGATTCATTGTGTACATGTCGAGAATGAGAGTGACATCGCTAATTCATCCATCCATCCATCCAAAAAAAAAAGTCCCGTAATTTCATCCATCATCCTGGTTGTATATATAATATTCCGACGGGTGCAATCCCCTGTAAAAGCGCGATAAAGCAAGCGCTGTAGACGCCCAACCATGAGAAATATGCCGTTTCATCTTCTGCCATCTAGACCCAAACAATGGTCTTTCTAAATCGACTCAATCAATTGAGGAAACAAAAAACACCGAATATGATGGCCTAGATTGCTCTAGGCGAGAACCATGTCTCTCTCCTTCTTGCTCTTGAACAAGGCCTTGAGCATGTTGCTGCTCTGTCGGTGCGACTTGGGCCGCATCACCACCGAGATTTCGTCATCGCCACGGCGGCTTCGTCCGTCCTCGATGGACTTTACCTCACCCTTTTCCCTCCTCTTGCTGGAGCGGTGGCTGCGACTGCTGCGCTCACTGTCGGCGATGCTCTCAGTATCACCGCGTCTACTTCCCCGGTCCGAGTCTCTGTCTCGGTCATCGCGGCTACTCCTGTGGCTGCGGTGGCTTCGACTGCTCTCGTGAGTCTTGCTAGTCTTGCTAGTTTTGTTGGTTTTGCTAGTTCTGCTAGTTCGAGTGCTTCGGAGAGACTTCATGTCATCGTCGTCTTTTCCGTACATCCCGATGGCCGTGGGTGTGATCAGCTCGAAATCAGCACTCTCAGCCTCTCCTGGCACAATGCCTCTCCTCCAGGTCTCAATGGAGCTCAGGTCGTCGTCGATGATGAGGGCCTCATCAACACCAGCGCCATACTCGCTCTGGGTTCTCAACGGGGCAGGGCGGTCCATGGGCACATTCTCATAGGCCAAAGCCTCCCGGGCGGCGCGTTGCTCGTTGACCCTTTGGACAATCTTCCAGCCTCCGAAGCAGACCACGGTAACACCAACGGCGATAGTGGAGCCGATCAGAAACTGAGGCGATGCAAGTAGCGAGAAGACAGCAGGGGATGCGCTCTTCATCACGGCGAGGAATGCGGGGGACGTCTTCTTGACCAGGCTGGAGAGCTCTGCCAGAGAAAGGGCAACAGCAGCAGCAGCGTCGGGGTCTTTCTGAAGATGAGTGATGGTGGCAGTGGCCGAGTGGTGGACACACTTGGCCTCGTCAAGAAGGTTTTCCACACGGTGCACGAGGTCCGTCGCCTCCTTCTCTTCGCCGCGGGGGTCCAGGTCGGTTCGGTACTCTAGATCCGGGGGAATGTTGCCGTAGGCGAGGTCCATGTCGATCTCCTTGCGAGGCTTCACCACGGAAAGCTCAGCGGCGGAGCGGGTTCGGGGGACCATGCCGCCAGGTTCGCGAGTGGACATGGCCATGCTCCGCATCTCGGTATGGTTGAGGTCCCTCTTGGAGACGGCCATGGTCTCGGCGTAGGGCATCACGTAGCTGCGCGGCGGGGGCGCTCTGCTAGGGGTGACGCTGGAGACCTCGCTCAGCGTCTTGAGGTTGCCGGCGGTCAGGCGGCTTCGGGTGTCCCAGTCGCGGGCATCTCTCGACTCGAGGCGGCGGGATTGAGAGCTGCGGTGGCTGCGCTCGGAGCCGCGCTCGCTGCCGGCGTCGAAGGAGCGTCGGCGAGCGTGTTGGTCGTAGTAGTATTGCTCGTCATCTTGGTAGTATCGTGGGGGTTCGGGGATGGCGCGCGAGTGATCAAAGGTCTGGGAGCGCTGGAGCTTCTCGGCCTTGATCTGGGACTTTTTCTCCTTGTAGTTGCCCTGGGCCTCTTTGAAGATGGAGAATAATTGTTTTCCCTGCAGAGAATTGTCAGCGGGGAACGAGGAGCGCAAGAACTGGCGAGCGACATACGGTCTTGATGATCTTGCCGGAGTTGTTGACGATGGTGATTGTCTGTTCGAGAGGCATGGTGGGTGGTGGAGGTGGAGGGAGCTCTCGAGCCCTCTCTATCGAATCGCGGCGGCAGTCTTGGCGGTGAAGAGGCGACGAGATTATATCCCGCCTAGAGGCCGTTCAATGTAAGATAAGTCAAGTCTGTCAACGGAGTCTGTCAACGGGAGACCAGCTCTCTCGCAAGAAAAGTAGACGTGGGAACTGGGGGCGTGTTGTATGTAAAGCGCAGGCGGGCGATGCAGGCGGACGACCCGTGATATGGGCGCTCGGGGAAGAGTGAATGGCTAACGCCCACGCCCACCGTGCGACGATGATAAGATGAGGTTGGTGGAGAGAGTTGCAGGTGCAGGTGGAGCAGGGAATTGATGGAAGTGGGGATGGGAGAGGTCGGATTTATGTGTAACGGTGAGGGCAGCTGGGAACAACTGGGAAGAGGTGACAAAGTGCACTGACGTCTAGACCGTCTAGTGCCAACCACCCACTGGAGGCCACCTGGAGGCCACCTGGAGGCCACCCGAAGCGCCAAACGGGCCCCAAGTTCCAGGCCTCCCGGGGGGAATCGCCAGGGGATCGCCCAGGGAATCGCCCAGGGAATCGCCCAGGGAATCGCCCAGGGAATCGGGGTAAAGGTCCAGCCACTGGCGGAGCCCCACTGAAAAAAAGACGATTCACTGGGGCCGATGAGGGTCAATGGAGGGTCTCAGTGCGTAGTGAGGTATCTGGCGGTGTCGGCGTCTCTTAGCCGAGGAGACCAGTCACCACGGAGCGCAACGGGTGCGGCGGTGGGAATGTGTCGGTGTAGAGCAGAGAGAGCACAGAGCAGGAGGAGCAGTCGTCAGAAGGCTGGTGTCCAGGGGAGATCCCGGGGTTCCCTCCTGTCTCTGCGTGCCTGGGACTGTCGGAGTGAGAGTAATACGGAGGTGAAGTCACCGCGGGCGAGATCACGATGGGCCTCAAAAACGGGGAAGACGAGGGAGGGGGCGTATAACGCGAAAATATAGGACTACCACCACGTACATACCCGTATGCACGAGCATCTTGGGCGGTGATGGCTGACGGGTGATGGTTGGGTACCTCTACACGGTATAGATGATTCGCCCGTCCCGTCCACACGGCTCAGGAAGGGTCAGGTACAAACGCAACCGCACATGCAGATGCAGATGCGATCACTCACTGGCTGCCCTAGAAAAGCAAAGCGAAGACGGCCGAAGGGCCTGGACTGGGGGCCGGGCAAGAAGGGGGAAAACAAGACCAAGATGCAACATGCACAATGATGGCGGCCATGCATGTCTCCTGCAGAACCCACGCGTTGAGTGGCCGCTGCCGGGCCTTGCGGAGGTGTCACGCGGCGGGAATCTGGTGTTTGTCTGCATGTACGAATACTACGCTGTGAACAAAGTATCGCGGAGAAGGAAGAGTTGATTTTGGTTCCATCAATCAATCCGACTGTGAAATCTTAGCAGGGCCTTCTGGGACGCTCCCTGCTGAACAAACTCTGCCAGTTGTGCCTACAAGCCTTGTGTGTGTCTTGTGTGCTCTCTCTGGGCAGATGCAGCGTCAAAATGGTCTCACCACGCTTGTCGTCGTGCCATCCTCCCGTTTTCGCCTCGCCCCCGTCACACACACTCTGAGCACCCCAAAGTCCTTCTCTTCTCTCCCCCCTCCCAAAAGCCCAAGGAGTCGCTGCCGATTGGCTATATGTCCTCCGTCAGGCGCCTGTGCAGTGATAGCGCGATCCCACGAGAGCCAAGGGAGGCAGGGAGCAAGGATGGTTGGAGTTGGGACTGCCAACTTGGGAGGCCGCTATCCTGGACCGATGCTGGCGTCTCTCTTGGCAAGACTCTTGTGCGCGCCAACTCGTTCTGGCGCCGGTCGACAAGGGTCTCGCCCGCCCCAGAGTCCCTTTACAGGCTGTCCATCGCCCGTGGCCCCATCGCCGAACGGGCTGGGCGACGACTTGATCACTGAGGGCGCGACATGTGGTACCGCCGGGCCCCTATCAAACGGCAACGGGGCTGGGTTGGGCCTTGACTTTGGTTCCAGCCAGGGTGTGACGAGTCTCAGCTGGCAAGACGGTCAACACTCATCGTCGTTAGCAGAAGCCGTGAGAGGCTGGGATTCGCCGGTGAGACGGACGGAAGTCACTGAAGCGGCCCGGAGATCGCTGCTTGGCTGTCGATCCTCCCTGCCTGCCAGCCCCGATGTCCGGGCTTCCTCTTTTCTCTGTCTCGTCTCAGTCCGAGTCTCATTCGCAGTCTCAGGTGCAGCTGCGAATTCCCTCCCTACATCATCATACATGCGCCTTTACGCAATGTCTGTCTGCCCAACAAGCCCTGGACTGGACTATCGACTAGAGCGAACCTCCCCGACTGACCGACTAAACTACTCTACTACCCGCTCGCCCAAGCCCCATCACCAGACCTGAAAGAAAGGTTCGCCCACAGCCACTTCCCCCACGCGCTGTGGCTCAGGCGCTCCGTTTCAGCTGCTATTGTTGGCGACGACGGGGATTCTCCATCTGCATCGACCAGACAATTCCTCTCCATTTCCGTACCACGTAATTCCAGTTCAGGTTCGTCCCGGATCCGCGGAGACGCGTCCAGGGTCTGCTCCATTGCCACGAGCAATTAAAACCTCGTCAACCGCTGTGGCGCGGTTCCTCTCCCGCTTCCTAGTCCCGGCGTTCCGGCCGCGGATGCATTGACACGACACAAGACATCAGCAGTGAGCGGCGATTAGAAGACGCCGCGAGGGAGCCTATCGCGACCGGGCCCACTCAGTCTTACGATGCGGTGATGTGCCATTGTCCATTCCAGGTAGTCATTGAGATATCACACTCATCACCGTCGATGCCGTCATGTGGAGTTGCCTTGTGCGCACAGCGGCAAAAAAACACCACCAATGCCATCACTTTTTTGCACGGCCGTCACATTCCCCCCTTGATTTCCGACATTTGCCCTGCCTGCATCCAGATTGTCGAAGAGAATACTACGTCGTAGCTCCGTCTAAGTGGTTCCCGAACCTGCAGTACACGCTGTCAACGAGCAAGAGCGGGTCGGAATTAAAAACCCCCACCGACGACGTCTAAAACGGAGAACGGCACGTTTCACACCTTCTCAGTTTGGCCAACGGTCGGCCACCGTTTGAGACGTTCCTCGTTTGATGCAAGCTCCATTGTAGATGGGAAGCCCTACCAGCTTCTCATTACCGGTGCTTGTTCCAGTGTTCAGGTACACTTCTTTGTCAGACCTATTCCATTGTGTGTTTCAGTAGTGAAAGTCTTTTGTTTCTAGAAGTCCGTAGTGTGTAGTGTCATTGACTATAGCTCGATCCAATCATTGACGTTGAGTGGTACTAACAAAGCTATTATTTTGACACTGTAAGCTATACAGTAAATCCATCCATCCAGAACACAAGGGAGCACGATTCATACCTACCCAGCACATACAATCGCCTTGGACCAGTTGGCGGAAGGTAAGATGGATGACAAAGGAGTACTGGCACAGTCCTGGGACTAAAGGGCGGTGCTTGACAAAGAGCAAGTGTCAGCACGCCAATAAGGTGAAACAATCGAAAACTCATCAATGATGGAATACAGGGCGGATAGATACGATTACAGGATGTAGTTCCAGTCCCAAGGCGAAGACGGCATGGACTAGATGGGTATAAATAAGGATGCCGTCCACCCAACTGCCGCATCTCGGACAAACACACCAATACACACTTTGCCATTCAACAAATACCACCAATACTGCAAACTATCAAGAAGCCATCTATCCACCAGCCATGATTTCATTCCGCACTGCCTCTTGGGAGGAACGCATTAAGATGGTTGAGGGAATGGTAGAGCTGGTTTCGGATGGCTCTTGGCTTTTCCTCGGGAAATTTTTATCTCCCGACAAAGCACGCGCTCCTCTGACCTCCCATGTTGGGAGACTGGAAACGGCGAATTTTTTACAATCTCTCACGCCTCATCCACAGCCCCCCAAGTCTCATCCACAACCTGCCAAGTCTCATCCACAAACCCCCAAGACCCATCTCCCGCGCTGCAAATTGGTCCGGCAACGCATGGGATAAGTCTGGTGCCTGTGGGGAGCCAGACTGGCCACTGGCCAGCATTCACGCTAATTCACTATGGTCCTGAATCCATGATATGGGACATCGGCGTCGCTAGGATGAGAATCATGGACCTCCCGCTGCATCACTTCGGAACCGGGCACCGTCACTTGGAATATGTCCAAAGCAAAGGAGACTTGGGGTTTCTCACCCCCCCAATCCTCTTCAAGGAGGAAATCGATGGTCGACTGTATGTTCTCACCGGAAATCTACCGGGTTCTTATCTTGGAGACGTCTGGCATACCCTGCAGCCTGCCGCAAAGGACTACTACGTCGAGCAGACTGCCAACATGATCCAGAAACTTTCCGAGCTTCAATCTGAGGAGCTGTGCGCGTTCGACAAGAGCCAAGTGAGAGAACATTACATGAACACAGTGCTTGATGTGGGGGTACCCAGCGCGACCAACGAAGAGCTCACTCGTCTTGCCAAAACCTGGGACATGGATTGCTCATCCTTCCATTTCTACGTCAATAATCTCTCACCCTGGAACATTATTGTCAACGGCACGGACAATCCAATTGGCGTGGCTCATTGGGGCATGGCAGGGTTTTATCCCAAAGCGTGGGCGCGAACCAAGCTCTCCATGTTGTTGGACGCGGACTTGGAAAGCACCCGCGAAAGCGATGCGGGTATCCGGAAGTCAAGGCATGCTGTGCGCACCTCGGACACCCCTGAGCTCCGGAGTTCCCTACGCCAGAAACTTGTGCAAAGAATGGAGGAAAGGCAAGAATGGAGGGCCCTGCTTCAGAGGCGCTTGGGTGAGAAGGGATTTCCCGAGAGCTCAGTCGAGTATCAAAGACATATCTTGGATCAATTGAGTCCCGGCATGGCCAAACCAAAGATGCTCAGCCCTCTTGTGGAATACCTGCCTAAGGGTCTCACCTCCCCCGGGGTATGAATGGGGTTGTCTGTTTCCTGCGTACGCACTCCAGCAGCCAAGATCCTCTACATCTTACCCGTCTCGTCCTCAGATAAGGCCAAGTCGCTAAGGGTGCAATGCTAGGTAATGGGGGGCTTGGCCATGTATGCTCTCTTATTTAGTTTATTCATTTTTTTTTAGATCTCATTGCGAACTGTGTTCAATAAATACTAGTCGCGATTAATTTCTCTCAATAATTTCTAGTTAACGTTTCCACTGAATTTATGTGTGTTTACCTCAATGTTCTCATCCCATTGTGCATGATAGGCGTCTAGTGAGCCGAAGCCAAAGCAGAAGCAAATCGAGCACTCACCCTCTTCTCCCCAGCTGTTCTCCAGTAATGGTATTAGGCTTTATTACATGATCCAGTTATGGTCATTCTTGCGCCTGAGACCTTGTATGATTCAATAAATAATGACTGGATGCAATCAATTCCATGTTAGACTAATTCACTACTTTTCGTCCCCCACAGTATTGCCCCTCCCTCCTCCACACAACCCCATATTATCGCCAAATTCCTTACTGCTCCCCCAGGTTTCTACCGCCAAGTACGACGAATGAGCTCGTCGTTGTACAACGTAAATAAAAAATTCTGGACCATCTGTCCGCTCTTGGGTTCTAAACCATGCCCAATCGACAGGACTGGGCCGTGTTATTTATTGTTGACATTCAAGCGTGGCCCACTAACAAGCGTCCGTCCCCTCGGCTCGTCGCCGCGAACGGACAGGCCTCTCCGGCCGATAGTAAAGATCGGCCGGGCCTTTATCAGACGCCGAGACCTGCCAACGGCTCTGTCTAGGTGGAATTCCCCGACGTCCAATTACACCGACTCGTTCCTCCATCCGCGTCCCGAAAGGGGAGGCCAACAGAGAGCATCCAACTCCCGCAAGATGCCCGTAGGCCAAGCCCGGCAGCCAAGCCTCGGCCCCGTCTACTGTGACTCTGGCCATTATTAATTGTGCTCCCTCTGCGAATAGCAAATGCCCTCCTCCCACGCCGGGCCAAATCCCTCCACTGACATGGCATAGCGCCGTCGCCATCTCTTGCCGCTCAGAGCTCCCGGCGTCGTGTTGTCGTGTCGTACGTCTGGACACTAGTCGCCTGTCCTGTCCGCCGATCCCGGGCGTGACGTCGTCGCAAGGTGCTCCGTGCCAAAAATCCTCCCAATCTCCATCGCAATCTCGCGGCCTCAGCTTCTGGGAACAGCTGAGGACGGAATTCTGCAGCTTTCACCATGGTGGCCTTTGTTGTACCGACGTCACTGAGCTGAGCGACATATCCCGGCCCCCAAGACGCTGCGATTCACGACTAGACACCCGATTATCGCGCAACTTCTCACCTCCATTTACATACACCCAACCCGTCTCTCCACCGCCCGGCCGTTGCGCGATTGTCCGTCATGGGCGGCGAACATCTCGGGCCCCTTTGCGCGGCGCTCCTCAGCGCCGTCACGGGCACCGGCGACGCCCTCGGCGACTTTGTCGTCTCGTACCCGGCGGCGCGGCCGGACCTCGGCGTGCTCTCCCGGGAGCTCTCGGAGATCCAGCTGGTGGCGCGCCTGTTGAGCCACAACGCCGGCGCTCTGGATACCGGCACCGCCGAGCTGCCGGCGAAGCTGTTGGTGACACTGAAGAGCGTCGTCGAGGGCGCGGGGCTTCTCGTCGAGGAGATTAACGATGCGCTGCTCCGCCCGGATGGGACCGAGAGATCGCAGGCGTGGCTTGAGCACGCGGCTGAGCGGCTGTCACCTCTCGGCAGACTGATTGAGAGCTCGAGGATTGCCATGAACCTGGGATTGGACGCTTTACTATTGTCAGTATTTAACCATGGCTGTCTGCAGACACCGCCTAACCACCAACAGCGCCATCAACTTTCAGCCCTCGGGCCAGACTGAGCTGCCACCTTACAACAGCTCTCAAATCCTCCAAGAGGCGTTCAATCTGCGAGTGCGGTTGAACGAGGACTCTGAGAGCGATGACCTACGAGTCCAGACTCATCAGCCTGCTCTCATCGAGTTTGTCGAGGCCCTGCAGGAGTACATGGAGCAGACATCCACAAGTCTCTTCGTCCCGGAAACAAGCGGCCGAGCTCCTCCTATTGCTTCTGAGTATGCCTGATCTCCCCTGGTCCTTCATATATCTCATCTTTTCGACACACAGCTCACACGACATAGAACCGCCGTCTCCTCCCTCCACTCCGAGATGGACCCCGAGATCCCCGACTACAACGCCATCGGCATCGCCAACCCGGCGCCCCTATCCATCAGCCTCCGCCACCTCGCCAAGAAGGAGTTCTCCAGCCGCGAGGTCATCGAGATCGCGTTCCTCATCCGCAACGAGAAGCCCACCATCGCCGTGTCCACCATGGACCCGCCCACGCGCTTCTTCGACATCCAGGCCAACCAGGTCTCCTGCCTGTCCAACCAGCACGGCGTCCGCATGATGTTTAGCGACAACGCCCGCTCCTGGACGTATCTGTGCGAGGAGGACGCCAAGGATCTCAACGCGTTGAGCCACGACGGCGTCACCTTTAAGAAGCCCGTCGTCTACCTAGGCGACTACATCAACGGCCGCCGGATCCAGCAGATGCGCTGGCCAGGCGCCAAACCGCTGGGATTTTCAGGGGACGGCCGATGGCTAGCCGTGGGAAGCGCCCGAAACCGCATCGCCCTCATCGACGTCAAGTCCGGAGCCGTACTCGACAAGACGCGCGTGATATCATGCCACCTCGACGCAGTCACGCACGCCGTCTTCACGCCCAACAGCAAGGCCCTCGTCTCGCAGTCCCTCGACGGCACGATCCGCCTCACCGACTCGGACACGGGCAAGTCGCTGGCCAAGCTCGACACCGACACCTGGAAGAAGCCCCTGTTCCTGGGCGTGACGCCCAACGGCGACGTCGTCGTGTCGATCCGCGGCGACACCGTCTACCACTGGAACCACACGACGTCGGACCTCGAGTCGTACAGCCTGGGCTCGCGCCGCACGCGCGAGGGCTGGCCGATCGCCATCTCCAGGGACTGCCGCTTCATGTGCTGCCGGACCGACGACGGCGTGGATATCAGCGATCTGTACTCGGGCAAGGTGCTGCACACCATCAAGTTCCAGAGCGGATACGTCACGGCAGCTACCTTCAGCGGGGATGGGCGGTATTTGATTCTCGGCAAGGCGGCGTCGTGGATGGGCGTGCGAGTCACCATGTCGACGCTGGATGTGTGGGAGCTGGTTTTCTAGAATGGGAGTATAAAAGCAAACTGTTATCAGGGCACTTAAAAGGATTTGATTATTCCATGCATTGTATTCTATGATATATAGCGTGCACATACGCATATACAATATGTACCTATACAGATGGTATCACTCAACCTCCCTCCATCTCTGCTCCAAAATGCCAATCTGCACCACATTCGACGGGTTCATCACACTCGCCCGCAACTCACTCGCCTGTCTATCATAAACATGCCCCTGAAGCACAAAATCATTGGCGTGCCCGTACCCAGCGTACGCATTGCCCACCGTGTAGCGGTGTCCCATGGTTACGTCCATCGAGCCGCCCATGAACTTATACAGACTCCCCGACGCGGCGAGCTGCTGGGCCCGCATCGATGCAATCCGCTGCTGGATCAGCATCTGCTCGGCCACGCCAATGGTCTCGCACCAGACTTGGTGGCGATGCTCGCCGTACGCCAGGAAGCCCGCGAGGTCGCCCGTTTCGCACGCCTGCGCGTATAGGCTCCGCATCCGCGGCGAGTAGAGATCGCACATGCGGTCTCTATCGCTGGCATCACGCTGCCCGTGGACCGCGAACTGGCTCTCCAGGCTGGTGCCCTGCGCGACGGTGAGATAGCACTCCTCGCAGATGGCTGCGGCGCCCCATCCCCAGACCCGACGACCACGGCCTTGCTTCTTCTGGCTTCTCTGACAGGGCGGCACGTTGCCAAACTTGGTGGCCATGTCGCGGAGCGGTGCCCAGTCGCCCCTGAGGAGAGACTCCGAGTATGCACCTAAATACGCCAGGCCACGATGATGGGACGGGTTGAAACAGCACAGTAGTGTATCTGCCTTTGAAGTTCCCGGCTTGGGCACAAACTCTTTCGTTCCGCCTAGCACCTGGATGATTCCAGCATAGCAACCTCCGCATACACCAAACCCAGTAGGGTCACTGGGAAGCGTGTACCAAGTAGCCCGGGTGGTCCCTGTGCCATCGCACAACGGCTGTCTGTCGACGCCTTTGGTGGCAGTCCAGAAAATCCCCGGGTCCTTCTTCGCAAGGGATTGTTGTGTTGGAATTACAAGATTGAGCTGCCCCAAGACGCACCGCGTCTCATGATCCCCTCCGGGGACACGCACAAACGTATTCTCATCCGTCGTACCATAGAAGTAGTCGTAATAACACGCAACGCACACCTGAATGGCAGTTGGCTCGCGCTGAGACTTGAACCATGCACGTTCATTTGCCTTGGCATTTGCTTGTTTGGGACAGCTGGGGAGTTGAATCCGTGTCTTGGCTCCCTCGGAAAAGGCCGTCCAGTTGTTGGTCTTGGCGTGGTCTTCAAACAGACGCTTGATGTACCAAGTTGATGAGTCGCAATAGCACTGGGTGGCGATGGTTTTGAGTTTGAAGTGTTCTCCAAACGATGTACCCATTAAAGCATCTTCGTAGCATGCTTGGCACATGGTCATCCCGGGAATCTCGTCCGTTATATACCAGTTTCCGCCCTCTATCATGACAGATTGTGGGCACTCGCCAATGAGCACTCTCTTCTTCATGAATTCGAGCATTGGTGCGATATTTCCAGATGGTACGGCGTCCGGCCAGAGCTGGTCCTTCACGCGTTGCGTTCCGAACATGCATTTCCGAGGCTTCTTATCGTTATGAAATGTCCTAGCGAAAGTATCCCGGAATTGAGTGCCGTAGATGTGATCGATATAGCATCGAGCACAGATGACGAACGACGGGACATCTGGGTGGTAGAGCCAATCCAGGTCGTATGTGGCAGGGTCAACAAGGCATTCAGTGAGCGGCTTTAGACCTGAGGGATGGGGCTGGGGAGGTTCCGGCGTTCTTGAAGGACGAGGGGGTGGGGACGGTTGGGCTGTGATGCTCGGATTCCTCGAATGTACTTCAGAAGATGGCTGCGCTGAGGGAGGTGAAATTTTTGGTTGAGTTGGAGACTGGACTGTAGGCTGTTGAGTCCAAGCTGCCTCAACTACCAAAGGATTCGTGGGTGGAGAAGGCTGTGTTTGATGTGGCATATAGCTCTGTTGGGCGGCTTGTTGCTGAAACTGGTCGGGTTGTTGTGGCGGGTAGTTCTGCTGAGGTTTTTCCTGGTACTGGTTTACCGGAGGGGGAGGAGGAGGGAGAGGGAAGTCCTCTCGCGGAGTAGACTGAGCCGTTGGCTGTTGGGTTGGAGGATGTCGGTAGCCCTGCTGCGTAGTCTGTTCCTGAACCGGATATACCGGAGGGGGAGGAGGAGGGACGCCCTGTTGAGGAGACTGAGCAGGCAGAGAATGAACCGGCTGTGTCACAGAAGGAGAGAAACTCTGTTGGCTCTGAAGCTGTTGAGGCGACCCAAGAGGAGGCAAGGAGGTCCCCTGAGAAACAGACTGGGGAGTCAGCTGTTGGGTCGGCGGAGACAGATAACTCTGCTGGATCGGCTCCTGGAACGGATTCGAGGAGCCAACAGTAGAGGGATATGGGGAATCCCGCTGAGTTATTGGCGAAGTCGCAAAAGGAGCCTGATAACTTTGCGTAACAGCCTCCTCCATGAACGGATTCGACGAGCCAACACCCCGCTGCAACCCAACCTGGCTCTGGCCCTTGGGCGGCGAATAGTACGCGGCCGGCTCCGGTGGACTAAAAGCCTGCGGCAACGACGAATCGCTGGCCTGTCCGGCGCCGTGAATGATCCCCGGACGAGGCGGCGGAACCGGACTTGCGCCGCCGGAGGTTTGAGCCGGCCGCGGCGGCGGAGGCGGAGGCGAGAAGTATATATTGCTCTGCGGCCTCGGAGGTACCGGCGGCGGCGTCTCCGGCATAATCTGCAATTGCTGCATTTGTTGCTGCATTTGTTGCTGTATTTGTTGCTGCAACTGCTGCTGTTGCTGCTGTATATAAACAGCCCCCTTCCTCTGCTCCTCCTCCGCCTCCAACCTCACCCTCTCCGCCTCCCGCTGCGCAAGCTGCATCTCCCGCTCATGCTCCTCGCGGAACTGCGCAGCCAAGCGCTCGGCATACTGCCTATCAGCTTCGGCCTGCTGGACGGCGGCGGCCTGCTGCTCACGCAGGCGGGCGAGTTCCTGCTCTACGTGCTGCAGGGCCTGTTGCTGCTGGGCCTGTGCCTGGGCGAGGGCGTGCTGGGCGTCGATTTGGTGTTGTGGCTGTTGGTAGGCGCCTACAGCGGGGTGAGAGGGAGGTTGAGGCCAGGATTGCGGTTGTTGCTGCTGTTGTTGCTGCCATGGTGATGATGGCGATGCTGCTGAGGATGGTGTTGGTGGTTGTTGGTGCTGCGGCTGGTACGGCTGCTGGTGATACTGCTGCGGCTGTCCATACTGAGTCCGATCTTGTTGTTGACCGTACTGAACCTGATGCCCGTACTGTCCATATTGCGTCGGCTGCTGCTGCTGTTGAGGCTGTTGTCCCTGCTGCCTCACCCGCTGATACTCTTGATTCGCCTGCTGCACAATCCCCCCCGCCTTAGAAACCATATTACTAAACCGGCCCATGGTTATATATCCTCTGCCAAAAGGCAATCCTCTCTATTTCTCTTCGTCGTGTTGTATTCCCGTCTCATCCGACAAGTCGATCTCCGAAATCGGTGGCGTCCTGTCAAGTGTCAGAAAACAAGCCACCATCGACGATGGAAGCGCGAGGCGGCGGCGCTATTTTAACAAGATCGGAAGACTCAACCGAGAACCACCGAGTGTGGGGAATCATCGAATGTCAAATGACAAGTGATAAGCTGGCGACTTTCCCTGGCACTTCATTCACTTCCTCACACCCGTCTTGCTGCGTAGAACCACAAGCGGGACAAATCCTTGTCTTCAGCTCGGTTCAGCTCTGCCTTGGCATTGACCATGACGTCGGGTATCGTTGATCCAGCAGGTTAATTCGGCAATTGGACCCATCAGGAGTGGATCATGACAGGGACCAAAGGAACCAAAGGAGCCAGAAGAGTCTCGAGGAATCTCAAAGAATCTCATAACCTACCATCAACAAACTTCAGACTACCTCCGAACATTCATACCCTGGCATCAATATCACTTCACTTCTTCCACATTCACTCTCGAAGCAACACAATTTCACTGTCAGGTCTTTTTTAATCTTCCTTTTCCGGCTCTCATACATGCATGCAAGGTCCCCTAGAATAGCTCCCGTCCATGACATGACCGGCTTTTGCCTGTAAAACATATAAAAACGATATCAAAGCAATAGGTATATCCCTCCCTCCAACGAGTTCCCACAACGCCGATTCCGTGCCGTTCCGTGCCCATCCATGCTAGTCACCTCGTATGCGAGACCATCAACGCCAATGGCCGTCTCATTATGCCGCCAAAATCTTGTCGACAAACTGTCGTCGATGCATCAATGCTGGGTAATTAACTGTTTTCTTGCTCTTATGATTCATCATGCCTCTTCTTCAATCATAGCCCGAACCTCGGGCTCGTTCAACAGGATTCGCTTGCCCAGCTCTTCTGGGGGCGTACCATCGCGGACTGCTCCAAAATCGAGAATCTATGATACGCATTAGTCAACTGATATTAGTCACAGGGCTCACTCATCAAACGTACCTCGACATATGTCAGCGAGTCTCGTTGCACAGCTGCCACGCATCTCCTCTCGTCAAACTTGACCTGCCATACACCACTCAGGTCGCTCAGCAGATCTTGTACGCATTCTCCCGTCCGAACATCCCACATCTTGACCGTCTTTTCACTGCCGCTAATAACTTTCCGGCCATCATGCTGGAAGCAAGTGATGGCTCCGGTGTGCGCCATGAGTGTGTTCCTACACTTGCCATTCTCCGGGTCCCAGATGCGGAGCGTCGAATCAGCTGCTGCAGATACCAGTCGATCGTCCCGAAGATCCAAGAGACCAACAAGTAGGCTGTGTCCCTCCAGGGTGTGGAGGCAAGCTCCAGTGGCAAGATCCCAGATCTTGACGAGTGAATCCATGGATCCAGAGATGCAGCGGTTGCGCTCGTGGTCGAGAACCACCGAGTACACCTTCTGCGAGTGCCCATGGAGCACATGGAGGGCCTCGCCAGTGCTGATCCGCCAGACGCGGACCGTGCTGTCATAAGATCCGCTGACCAATGTGTCGCCATATGCCGAGATGGCTCGGACAGAGTGAGTATGGCCGGACAAAACTCGAATGAAGTATGGACAGTCCGATTCGTGAGCTGGGGGGCCAGTCTGGATATAGCGCCGGGAGCCCACCTCGGGAAGACGCCAAACTCGCAGTTGGCTATCTCGGGACCCGGTAATAATGAGGGGCTTCTCCGGCTGCATAATGGCACTGCCGCTCGAGTCCTTTCCAGTCTCGGTGGGCATAAGAATCTGCAGGCAACGGACAGTACTAGTGTGTCCGTAAAACACCTGTTGGCAGAGCCCTCGCTCAATATCCCAGACGCGGACGGATCGGTCAGTCGAACCAGACACTAGCATGTTGCCCTCGTACTGGAGAGCCCAGACGCCGCCTTCGTGTCCCTCAAGCTTCTTCCGGAGCTTGCCCGTCTTGGTATCATAGATGTGAATCAGGGTGTCGTCGCTGCCCGTAATGATCTTGTCCTCATCGAATTGGAGGCACGTGATGACGTGACGAGGATGCGCCGCAAAGGCCACATGCCCAGGCTTGACCTCGCCGCTGGTCCAGCTCTGGCGGATCATGTGGTGGCGGCGGTACAGTGACTTGTAGAGATGCAGCTGGCGCAGACTGGGCAGCCCCAGGTGGGGGTCAGGAACAGCGGCGGCGGCGGCATTAGCAGCCGACAAGGGGCCTTCCGACTTGTGCTGCTTGACTTCGACCTGGGTCTTTTCATCCCGGGAAGCCGCTTCTTGGGCGCTCGCTCGGCGCTTGGATCTCTCCGATGCCGAGTACGTGTTGAGGGCCCTCTTGCGCTTCGAAGTCCTGGATTTCGGGCCCGGCTCGTTTCGGAGGGTTCGGGTGAGCTCTTGGTCGGTGGAAGTCAGGCGGCTCCGCATGCTCAAGTCTTTCTCATATCCAGTAGCCCCAACAGGATCCTGCCAGCCCCATCCCTGCACGATAGCCTTGTTCAGCTCGCCAGGAGGGAGATTGTAGCCGTCACGGTCAAACAGCTCCTTCCAGCCCGTCTCGTTTCGGTCAACGATGTTGCGCCAGTGCTTCGAAACTCGGGCTGCTCGGCAAAGATCGTGGTGGTTCAGATACGAAAGAACGTGGTAGCCGAGTTCGAGAGGGAGCTGTCGTAGAAAATCGCACTTGAGGGCCGGGTTCACGGCATCAGCTACCACCCTGAGAGTGGGACGGGGGCAACGTCGAAGGAACTGATACATCATGAAGGTTTTCATCTCGGTCTTCATGGAATCAAACGCCTCGAGCAGTGTCTGGGTGTCCACAACAGAGGTCTGGGGATCAGTTGAGTCGGCGCGGACAAGTGCACGGGAATCGTCATGCCCTCGAGAAGCAAGAACCAGAGCCTTTGACTCGCCATCCTCGGTAAGCTGTGACTCGTCGGCCCAGATAGCCGGATCCGTGGTGGAGGTCTGGAAGCTGGAATGGCCTTCTTCTTCCTCGTTGTCGGCAGAGTGTAGCTGGGCAGCAGCCAAGGTTGGAGATAATCTCGGACTAGGAAGACTGGCATCCTGGGCAGTGACAACGTCAACGGTGGGCCTGGGGTGGAAGGACCGCAGAGCCTGTGTTAGGGAGCCCTCAGGGTCAGCAAACGGCTCAGCGTCGGCATCGGTGATGGGCGGCGTGGCAACGTTGCTGCTAAAGACAGTATGGGAGTCGCTGTCGACGGGGCTGCTCGTTTCATAGTGAGCAGCAGTCTGCATGGAGGAAGAGGGCTCGGGGGATTGGTTCAAGCGGTCGAGGTGCAGACGGCGAGAGGAGCGTTCAGCGGGTACGATGACAACTTCAGATGTGTCTGGCGTAGCAAGAAAGCCAGACGATGCTCTCGTTGATCTCTCGCCAGGATCGCGGCGACTGCTGCTTCCATGTGCAAGAGATCGACGGAGCTTATCCGATACTGCATTTAGTTGGGCGGTTCGGACTGGCCGCCGGGAAGGGTTTGATGTGAGTGCGGCAGAGTCAGGAGACTCGGCCGGGCTTGTTCGAGTTTGCCGGGTACGGCGAGAGTAGGCCTCGGATGGGGATCGGGATGGCTGTCGGGGTATCCTGTTAAGGGTGGGGGTATCTTGGGGAGACTCGCTCTTGACGCCGGGGGTGCAACTGTCCCTGGCTGGCCGTTTGCTCTGTGTATTGTTAGTGTCCCAGTTGCTGAATGTCATAGGCACCAGGAGTGACCGGATATGGGGAGATAACTTACTAGCTCGTTTGTTGAAGGAACATCTTGGTCTTGTTCCTCTTCGTCCATATTCCGGGAGTCCGGGAGGTTGTATGAGAACTGAATCAGCTCGGGGGGTGTGGGCTTCATGGCGAGGGGGTATTCCTTGGTGTCGAGGTTCTCGAGGGGGATGGGATCGCGAACGAAGACGTGTGGGAACTTGCGAGTGAGGCGGGTGGTTGTAGTAACAGTCTTGGTCTCGACACACTCGCTGACCTCTAGTTGGAAGCGGCGTGCTCGGCTCTGGGAGCCCTCTGAGATGTTGACGGAGACAGTCTGGGAGGCTTTGGGATGTCGAGGCTCGAGAGCCTGGCTAGTCGGCGAAGGGGTCATGGCTCTCGTACTCGTGGCTGACACGAGGAGCAGACTCGTCTTATGCGAGATGGTTGTTGAATGCCGCTAATACTGTCGAGAAGGGAGGAGTGGTAACGGGGGTTGGTGTCGGTTAGAGGCGACCCTATTGTTTGCTAAGGCAGGTAATGTAGTCCCGTCGAGGGCTATGTGCCTGTACCTGATGACGTCGGGGTGTAAAAGGCGTCGTTGAACCAACGCGGTCGTCTCAGGCGAGGGTCGAGTCGACGTGGGTGGAGGGCGGCTCAAAGTCACGGCCAAGGAGACGAGGCTGACGGGGACGAGGAAGGCTCTCGATCTCGGGAGTGAGATGCGAGACGATCGAGTGGAGACGCGCCTGTGATGAAGGAGAGAAAAGGTTGGAGATGGAGAGAGGAGAGGAGCAACCACAAAGGGCGTCCCGAGGCGGACAGGGACCACGCGAGGATGGGGTTACCGGAACCGATCGAGAGAGGCAAGGCGTTGTTGGATGCAAGCGTGACGCTGAGACGGCGGCCGGGCCGAGGAGAAGGCAAAGGGAAAAAAAGGAAGGCAGGGGGCCAGGCAGATATCGAGAATGCGCGGTCAAAGCAGGAAGGAGGGACCCGATGGTTTGAAGATGCGATGATGAAGGTGTCGAGGAAGGCTGGTGGACCGCCGAGTCCGAACTCGCGCTGTCTCGATTTTCGGACGGGGTGCGTGAGGAGCGGGTGTGGAGGCGGAGGGCGGGATGCGGAAGTGGATGATGGGATGGGATGGGATGGGATGTGACGAGAGACGACGACGGGCGGCGGCTCGTGGGCTGTGGGCTGTACCTTCCTGCTAGGCTTCTGTGGGTTGTGGGTTGTGGCACTCTACGTAGGTACCTCTAGGCCACCTACCAGGTACGTTGGTACCGCTCCTGCCAACTGCCTTTTGGCTTTGGGCGGCGCGGTGGGCACGCCTTCCTCCTTGATAGCTGTTGGTTGGTGGCGCTTGCACTTGCGCTGGAACATGGCTGGGGGAGTGGGCTGGGCCTTGGGGGCAAGGGAAGGAGGTACCCAGGCACCGGGCGGGTCGGCGCTGATTGGCCAGGGGCGCCCTATTCCCCGGCGTTCATTGGCGCCCCAGACAATGTGGCGTCCAAGGTACCTGCCCTTCCTTTGCTTCCTTTCTCTCGGCCCTGCCGTGCGTTGCGCCGCACATTGTCACTGTCAACTCGGCACTTTGAGGTCTCTGTTGGGGAAAGGACTTGGAAGTCTCACGCTGACGCGGACGCCGACCTGGGGAAGGCGGGTAGGTACGTATGCACCTTGACAATGGTAATGCCCTTTTTTCCTGCCTTGGCTGCCTTGTCCTGCACCGCACGGCCGTCTCTGGGTCTGCTGCCTCTCGCCACAAGTCACGAGCGGGGAGAAGCACGAGAGCGGTTGGCGGACCCGGGTTGAAAGTTACCAAACCCCGGGGACAACTGTTGCTTGTTTGTCTCCTTGCATTGCCGCATGTTGTTTTTCCTTTTTCCTTTTTCTTTCCCTCCCTTCGTCTCGACGTTTGGCAGTTGCCTCCGGACTTATCCGCAGAGGACCGTACGTCTTTTCTCATGGTGATCCTTGGAATGCACCTAGCATAATGGCCGTCTGGTCCGTCACCCTCTTCACCATCTACTAGGGCCTGATTACGTACCAACACCTGTAAGAAGGAAAAACTCGAAAAAGTCTCTTTGGTAGTGCTTCAGGAGCAAGTGCCTCGTCCCGACCAGGCCTCTCCCTCCACTCCACTCTTTCCCATTCTTTCTCCTGACTCGTTCAGCGGCTTACAGTGCGTGCATGAGTACCTATGAAGTCGGCTTCACGGCACGTGATGGGTAGGTTTGAGGGAGATGCTGATAGCGGTGGTGCGTGTGGAAAGAAGCCATGATGAAGGTGATTTCATGACAAGACATGATTGCGGCGTTGACGTGGTTGACCGCTCGGCATCGCAGGCGACGAGATCCGGTGGTGATAACCAAACAGCCCATGATCATGATGCCCGTCGGATGCTCTTTGAAGCTCATGATCAACCCATGCCATTGCCACTCCTCAATCCAGGTGACAGAAGTCTAGCTCCAGGCGTGCACGCCCTCTATCAATCAACCACGTTTGGTGCATCCATCGATTATTCCCGTCGCCCACCTCCAGAGCCCGGCTTGGAAGCCAGCCTTGAAAACCCCACCCGCCTTGGAGCCCTCCCATGAGACGTTGCGTTGCATCTGCACATCTCCCCACTTCCGACGGTCTTTTGTCATTCTGTCCCCTGTAAGAGCTGGTGCAATCCTAGAGACCGTCGGCGTGTCGCCTCTTTTGTTCCCTCCGCATGTTCTTTCTGTCTTCTGGCTTTGCAACTCCTCTTCCTGTTCCCCCCACCTTCGCCCGACCCGGCCTCCGGTTGGTGGTTTGCCGTGTTGCGAATAACGGGTTGCCGATTGGCCCCCACCTCCCGCAGTGACATGTACCGTGATCCGCTGTCATGAGTACTTTACGCGGAGTATCCAACAGGTTCATACTCCGTAAATAGCGGATAGTCAGTCAACAATTGAGCAGTCGAGTCCTACTCCAACCATCCGATCCACAATCGCCAGGTCCAAATCCCCGGTGCAAGCGATCCAACTCCGGCCAGTCCCTCCCCCAAAGCCGCGGGGCACGTTCCCGGCCCGGCTCGGCTGAAGGCAAAGATAGGCCATGCCGCGACTGCAAAAAGCATGGCTTCACGGAGACACTGCAGACCCAGGGCGGTTCTAGACTGCCCCCGGTCTTAAGGCCACGCCTCGGCTGCGGCCGATCGAATCAGGGCCTCGCCCGACGAGACCCAACTCTAACCAACGGCACTCGCCACATGGGATTGGATTGGGGGCCGTCACCTTCAGGCTCGTGGCGTGCATGCGGCGCCCATTCCACCCAAAACGCCATCCGACACGTGAGGAATCTAAGACCTAGGTCAGCCGCAGGTCATCAGTCAGCGCTGCAGAAGATAGGAGAACGTCTCACCGGCCCGCGCCATCCGTGGGTTCCAGGCCTCTATTCAGGATTCAACCTTGGCCGGGCCATCGACGGTACCTGACTCGCCTAGGTTTCATTTTAAATGTGAACCTTTGTCATGATTCCAGTCGCTCGGGTTCCTTCACCTGTTCTGGAGCGATCGACACGCATTTTCACACATTCGGTATGCCTGTCCAAAGCCTTGTCCCAGATGCCTGGGTCAGCCCGCAGCCAATTTCGCGGGGCTGAGCAAGGCAGGATACGAGAAGCGGTGATGACAGCATCATCAAGACATCATGTCAATTAAGGATATGCGTCATCCTACCCAATCCTACACCAAATCAATCATATCGTGCATGGTATCTAAATGCCCTATTCCCATATCCTAAATCATAGCGCACAGACTCCAAGTCTTGTGCTCTCTCCATTTTATAAGATCCGTATATCTTCCATGTACACCATCTATAAGCCACCAGGGTATTCGCCTCAGGCAATGTAGACCGGCATCCGACTCCCCAACAAGTCACTCTTGCTCACCTGTACATCTAGTTTGTGAAAGTCGTGCAACATCAGCCAGCATATCATCCGGAACACCAACGTGCACCACACGTCATCATGCGAGACCTCCTCTCTGCTAAGAGACTCCTCCACCGGCGGCTCTGGTTCATCCTTGGGGTCAATGCCCGAGTCGGCGTCCTCGTTTAGAGATCCGTTCATACCAGACCGGACAGATGGTGCTGCGAGTGTTCCGTTTTCCGGGCCAGTTGACGGAAGTGGCGGCATTGGTGTGGTCGTGGTATGAGCGCCTTCCCGGATGCTGCTCGCCTGTGTCCGGCCGGTCCCCGCCCTCCGGAAGCCGTAGCCGGGTGGCGCCCCGACGATGCTCGCACGCCGGTCCGTCGAGCTTGTTGCATAAGGGACCACCTTTCGCCGGACCACTTCAAAGTAAACCTCCATGAACTTGTGCTGCCGGTCGTCAGGACTAGCCGCATCCATATCTTCAAACTTGGGTGGCGGTGGTCGTGGTACTCCGTCAGGAAAACGGGAGGCCACTGGTGATGAGGGCGCCCAGTCTGCAGAAAGAGACTGGTTGTCGGTGTTTCGGTCATCACGGTCATTGAGCAGCCGCAAGACTTCCTGCAAGTGAGATCGTAGGACGTCCAGTACCATCTGCCGCCGGAACCCCTGTCTGTCGCCTTCCGCGTTTCCAAAGCTGCGTCTGGGGCCTGACGTGGTCGGGGGAATGGGAACGCTCTGCGATCCTCGAGTCTTGCCCGTTAGAATCTCGTCGCAATCATTAATGGCTGCATGAAGGGCCTTGAGGAACCGCAGTTGCTCGGCAATGTCCTGAATCATCTGGTGTGTTAGGATCTCGCGAATGTGGTAGTTGATCTTTCTCAGGATAGGGACGTTTCGCGTCACCCCCGGGAGAGTTGTCTGGACAAGCTGTTCGTACGACTCCAACATCTTGACGAGGGAGAGCGAGCGTTTGTCCCAGCGGTCAGGCGTCGGGTTCGGAATGTATGTGAAGATGCTGTCTTCAATGTGGAAACTTTGGCTAAGCATGCCGAGAACTTCAAATGACACTGCTACTAGTTAGTCATGGATTTGATGTGTGGTTGACTTGAGAGATGTGGGTTACCTGGGAATAAGTGGGAAGTTTGTTTGTCCGGGTCAGTAAAGCAGCGGACTGCATTCTTGTTGCATCCAATCAGAACAAGAGACTCGGAAATGTCACTGTTACTGGCCATTTGCAGTGTGCCAATGTTCTGTTCATAGTCTTCCAGGAACCCAAGACGCCGATAATCGAACGTCTCTCGGTAGATGGTGGGGACGTGGCCGAAGCAAAGCTCCTTAACCTCGTCAACGGGGATGACACGCTTGCGTTCAAAGACACACTTTCCATAGACGCGGAAAGAAAACATCAGGCCTAGGTCGGTGACCCTCTCGCCGAGCAGCATGAAGCCGTTGCCCTCGGCACGGTAGCGGTCATGTGTGCGGTTGAACTCCTTCCAGTAGACACCCAGCGCAGCCATCATCTCGATCAGATGGCATATTGTGGTGGTAGCAAAGGGTCGGCTGATGGTCGACGGCATAGTGTCCCAGCTCTTGCGCATGCGCTGGAGAGCGACGGTGAGAGTGTGATTATCAATAAGAGACGGAGGCTCCGAGGGGAGGCCATGCTCCTGGGACCGGCTGCCTGGCGGACCCAGGCGCTGGTATTGGTGCTTTTGCCAGTCCCAAGAATCCTTCTCCATGCGCTGGACGGCGGAGAGGAGCATAGTCCACGAGGCACGCTCATTGTCGGTAGTATGTACCTGCTCCTTGTGTGATCGCTTAGAAACGTCCTGCGGCCCAACCTGATCGACGCTGAGTTCGGACCAGGTGTTTTCGAGGCTGTCCTTGGTTCCGTCGAGGAAGTATATAGGCTGGTCACGGACGGGACCGCGCTTGTTTGTCGGGGGCGAGACGAAGATGACGGGGACGTGGAACTCGACCTCGAATCGGAGCTCGTCCCAAGAGAAGCGACGAGTTTTGGTGTCCGCCCAGCGACCCATTACTTTGGGATTGCACTGGGAGTAGCCGGCAGCAGAAGCATAGTATTGCTGCATCACTTGCATGAAAGTTGCGGCTAGAGCGACGAGAGAGATGACGAGGGCCACGAGGGCCACGACGACCTCTGTGTTGGCCATGATGTCGGATGCGCAGCGGGTGCGCAGCGGATGTGATAGGTATCGTGGTTCGGGGGGTATTATGTACAGGGTCGGTTAGGGAGACGGCAGCGAGGTCGGTAGAGAGTATGGAACTGAAGAGAGAGATTGGTCGAGAGCGGAGGCGTGGAATTGGGTCGCGGATGGTTCGAAATGGCACGATTAGGCCCTGGCAACGAGCGACGAGGAGTGACGAGGAGCGACGAGGAGCGACGAAGAACGACGAAGAACGAAGAACGAAGAGCAATGCGATCAAGGCTGAAGAAGAGCGAGGGAATCGGCAAACAGGCTACAAATCAGGCTTCATGACAAAGGAGGGGGGTCAGACATATTGAACAGTGCGCCATCCATCAGAAAGACAAATACATGTATGTCGAAGGGGGCAAGTTGACGACGCAGAAGCTGGACGCCTCGTAGTTTCACGCAGAGCGACAAGGCTCGGGACGGGTTGCGCGACTGGCCGAGCAGGGGCCCGTTGAGAGCGTACAGTGGGCCACCCGCTGTGGATGTAGCGGTAGGGGCCCAATCAGCGCTGTGCGGAGCGGGAAATTGGGGGCGGTTTGTGAGACCCTGTTGCAGTAAAGTGGCGGTTTGTGGGTAGTGCTCTGGGATAAGGCAGGTTGATTTCTCCAGTGGCACATGATTCCACGGAAATTAGGGGTATGCGTCGCTCATTGAAGCCCAAGGCCTGAGTTACAAGCTACAGCTGAGGAGGCCATCAGATGCGAAGCATTTAGAGTATTGTCGGGATGACGTCGCTGCTACGCTGCTGCGCTCCTCCGCTCCTCACGCGGCTCAAACGACGCGGGGTTGGTCCAGTTGTCCATTCCAATGGCTCAGTAGTGAAGATGCACCGATGCCTCATTTTAGCGCTGCCGCTAAGACGGATCCGAGCAGCCCAAGCCACGGCGCTATTACCCTCCGTTCGAGAGGTCGACAAGGAGGTATTCCCAGCTTCGCGAGAGAAGAGAGAAGAGAGGAGAGGACATTAAAATAAAGTTAAAATAATAGATACCTCACGTCCATTCTGAAACATACTTAAGTTGTGACGAACCAATGGACTTGCGCTGAGTGATCCAACAAGGCTACTCGTCGAGTGAGCCTACCCTGGAACATAGGTATCCCAAGGTCAAGTGATAAATGTTCTCTCTGCCCACTGGTTGTACACATTTTATGCGATTAGTCTACGTACTCCAGCTACGATATAACTTGGTCGTTTCTCCTGTAACGTCTCTTGTGACATGTCGCAAGGCCCATCCGTCGCAATCATCTAAAGCCTGTCTTACGCCCTCGCCCAATCTACAACTTGTCTTTCCTCGAGTAATTCCTCTCGACATCAACAGCCAGCGCAACATGGTTACTCAACGCCACAACCTCCCCATTGCAATCAAACAAAATCACCTCGGCATCGTACCGTCCATTCTTCAACACCTTGGCCGCCACCCGCATCCGCAGCCATTCCTCCCCTTCCACCGGGAGCGCCTTCTTGACGTCGAGACTCATCGTCACCGTCGGGTACCAAAACCTCTTGTCAAACGCAAAGCCCCCCTCGGGGATGGCTGATTCTGGACCCGATGGTCGAAACGTTTCCACGAGTAGAGGCGGCCCGGCATCTGATAAATACCCTAGCGCGGCATTTGTGAAGCCCTCGACGTTGGCCATCCGAACCCAGAAGTCGTAAGTGGCTGGGCGAAATGTGCAGCCTTTGGGAGAGTAGAATTCAAGATTGTTGAGAATTGGGACGTAATCCATAATCGCCATGTGCAGCCGCTCCCAATTGGCGTCACTGCCCTTGTCCAGCTGCTTCAAATTGACCGGCGGAGGCGGATCCTTGACATCGAATCCTGTTGCGAACGTGATGCCATTCTCGCCCGCAAGCAGCGAGTTCGTAATGTAAGCCACCGCTCGCTTCTTGGACTGTGGTGACACCCACGGGGCCTGTGGCAGAAGCCCGCCTTGGTACAGTGTGATGTGGATGACAGATACTCCTCGTCCCGGCTTGGTGTTCTCTACCACGAGGATCGCGGGCCCTTCATGCGTCGCATTGAGGAACTGCCAGTGGGCCGCGATGGGGTCGGGTTGGTTGCGTGGGCTTAGGTATGCGCTTGCGACTCGGAGGAAAATGGATGCGACGTAGCCGCCATTGGGGACTATCCGCCAAGGTCAGCTGGGAATACGAATGGGGACCGGGCTTGGGTACCTGTTCCAACGCAGAATGCCTTGGTCAGATTGGCAGCGAATGTCGTATCATCAAGTTTTGAGACTTGGGAGTCCTTGTCGAATGAGGGAGCTTCCTTCATCCTGCAGGTCAGCAAAGAGGCGTCCAATGCACCTCAAAATCTGACTCGTGCTGACTTGTGCAATGAGATTGAACAAAACCCTAAATCTAAGGTAGGAGATGGGGATGTCGTCTGGTTGTCGGGGTATAGATCCCCAGAGTCCTCCGTATTTCAGCCGAGGTAACCCCTCAACGGGAACAGCCCGTGATATCGCCAACGATGCATCTGCGAGCAAGGGTGTGTAGCATGACCCAGATCTGATCGACCATGGCTTCTTTGGGGGGTTCTAGAATAAAGACTAACGACATAAATGTAGTATAATCCCTCGATGAGGGAACCTAGTGTTTGAATTTACTGCATTTTCGTTGCGCGCACGTCACAGTTGCCAAGGCCCAAGTTTTGGGTTTCAAGCTGCTTTTTTCTTCTCTGCCGGAATCCTGTCTAACTTTTTCGACTCTAACCTTGATGAATGCACTGAAAACTCCCACGACCCGACCTAACGCCCCGAGATCCCCAACGCCCATGATGACCCGTTTAAGTCATTCGAATCCCCCCTCTAGCCAGCACCCTATGTGGCTAGCATCCGTACCAACCCAACGCAACACAACAGCTCCTGGAACCAGGGGTCGTATTGGGCCCCGGCGATATCCTGGAGGAAGACTCGACTCCTCGGATTGGTATTGTTGATATTTTTCGCTAAGTTGTAAAATGCAGCTATTTCTATTTAAATATATAGAATAAGATTGCCGCTAAGAATTTAATTTCCTTATTTATTAATTCTATTTCTATTATAAAAAAGTAAATAATATCTAAAAATAGCTAATATAATTTATTATTTTTTATTTAGGTATTATAGATAGTATAGTAATAGCTTAAATAGATTTTCTTTTTTAAGAAAGCTTAAGAGGAAATTTAGCTTTTATTTTTTTAATTTATCTTTTAGATTTTAAGAGAATCTAAGATTATATTAGATATTATTTATATAATATAGATATAATAGGTTACTAATAGTAAGGGCTTTTTAAATAAAATTTGCTATATTTAAAGTTAGTTATTATAGGATAAGAAATGAGTATTAAAAGGGAAGTTAGCCTTTTAATAATAGGAGATATCTTCCTTATATCCCTTTACTCAGAATAAGATTACTATCTCAAGGTTATTAACTACAGATAGTAAGGTTATTAACTGCAGATAATAGGGTTGAAGTTAGAGGGGTTGAATGGAAGCTTTAGGTAGAGACCGGTGGGCAACAATCTTATTGTTCAGCTACTGTTTCTTCTGGTGCTGGGTGTAGCCCTTATTGTTTATTCCTACTGTTTGAGATTACTGTATGGCTTTGATCTATCTGATGATATTGAGTAAGACTACAAAAAACCAAATAAATGTAGTATAAGAAAAAAAGTGTATCATTAATTTAAAGTCGTTTCAACAATAATAACAGGCCAAGAAATGCTAGCAAGAGTAAGCTCACTAGCTTATAAAGATCCAACACTTTCTAAACCAGGCAGGAGTAATATAATTGCCCGGGACACTCTCCTCTCAAGCAGGCACCTTGCTGACTATTTCAGTCGCGCACCCCCGAATCGCATTCCTGTCCTGCTCCGGAAGCTTGATGAGAAAGTATTTCTGCAGCGCCTTGAGCCTTTCGGTCTCGCTCTCCAGTTCCATCTGCCAGACGGTGACGCCGTCGGTGCGCAGCTTGAGTGTGCTTCCCAGCAGTATCAGCGAGCCGTTCATGGCCGCGTCATCCGTGTCCCATCGGGTCTGCACCTCGATTTTGCCATTGACCACCTTGAAGTCGTTGTCCGTGGTGAAGCGCGTGCATAGAACCTTTTGGACGAACAGGCTGGTCGGCGTAGTGGCGGGTGCCATGTTGATGTGTTTGATGTCCTCGGGTAGGAACTCCATGTCGGTGAAACAATACAGGGGTGCCCAATCGGCATCGGGCTGAAGTCGGTGCTCGTAGAGCCAGAACTTGTCCTTCCGGTTGAAGCTCTGGGCAATGGAGTCGTATCTGAGGCGGATGCTCATGGGTCCAATATGTTTGATGACTTGGTTCGCCTCGGCATCCATCTCGAGAGGAGCTAGAGGTCCGTTGGCGCCGAAGCCCACGTCAACCATGTACGGCTGGTCGCCAATGTTGACGACGATGACGCAGTGATTGAAGCCATTGTACTTGCCGAGCTCCTGCTGGTACACCCTGGAGCCGGCCATGTAGACATCGAAACCCAAGGTCACAAGCAACGTGTAGAGGAGCGTGTTGTTCTCCATGCAGTAGCCTCCGCGGCCCGGCTCGAGAATGATCTTGGTGAAGAGGTGTTGAGGGTCGACATCGATGATGCGATGCCACGAGTAGTGCAGGCTCAGATTCTCAAAAGGAATGTTGCACAGGTGGCATTTGTGAAGAAGCGTGAGAATCTCGAGCTGCTTCGCGGGTGAGAGGCCCTCGACATTGCCGGGACGCTCTGTGACGGGCACCCGAATGCGGGCAAAGTACGGCTCGAGCTGGGAGCGGCGATACCTGGGCCGGGGTGCCATCTCGCGAGCTGTTTTGCGGCCTCTTTGTGAGCGTGAGAAAAACGAGAGTAAGAATAAGAAACACGAAAGAGTGAGAAATGCGCGATGGGCGTGGTAGAAGAATGGTCTCAAGGGAGGACCGAGGGGATGTGCGGAAGGGATCTTGACGGGTCGAGCCACTCACTTGACCAAATGGGGAATGTTGTCTTAAACTTGGTGCAACACAGCTTATTAATCGGGGATACGAACAATCGGAGAAGAGGAGGTGGAATTGTAGTAATTAAGAGGAGATCTGAATACGGGGATGTGTCTCTGGTAGCATTTCTCTGCTAAAATTTAGGTATGGGTGAAGCAGACAAGTACCTCAGGTATGTAGGATCGACGAAGTTGGTGTAAGTTGTTTGGGTGGATCGGAGCCATGATAGTTGGAATTCGCAGCCCACCGGTAGATTGACTACTTAATATTCAGGAAGGTCTTGATACTGATGAGATGAGTGTTGGTATTTGGTCGTATATATGAGTATTACAAGATAAGCCTCCTATCCTGTGTCAGAGTCATACTCAACGCGGGGGCTCACACCCAATATTTCCTATTTAAACTTGAGTTTTGATTGCATCTCATAGATAGGCTGGGATCCGATTAAGAGAATTGTTTTAGAGGACGGGATTGCCCGAGATGGCCATAAAGTAAGGTGTGAATCCAACAAGAGGCTGCCAATCTGGAACGGAAACCCATACCTGAAGGCGACTTAGCTCGTCAGCCAAGCTTCGCCGGAGGAGTCATGGATGTTGACCACTTCTTCAGGGTAAGAGATGTGGTGATAATGAGGTGACTTTTGTCGTTTCTGGATATCCAGAATGGAGCACAGTGTACCTTAATCCACGCAAGCCTGGGACATGGACCAAAGAGAAAGATAAATGCAGCTTGAACGTAGCTTCTGCTGCTCCTTGACTTGACTTGTTTACTTGCCTCGGTCGTGGAATGCGTAGCATCCAGATCTGCCCATAATCTGCCCTGGCGGATCGGTGGCGGTGCGCTAGGGGAAAATAATGGCGGGGAACTTGCTTTTAGTGGGTGCTCAGCCCAACTTCCGGCGGCCTCAGCGGGGATGGTAATTACAGGGCACAAGCACTGGAACTCGCTGTGGCGTATTGAGTTACAGGGGACGACACGGGTGCCTAAGCCGATACAGTAAGCTCCTGTGGGCTGGGTCGCTCTCCGTGGCTCGGCGGCGGTGTCTTGAATCTCAGGGCAGTCAAGTTTGGTGAAAATGTTCCGACAATATGCCTGATTTATACCAAAAAGGTTGGCTTTTAAAAAGCAATAAAAGCTTACCTAATAAGAGGATTTATAGATTATAAATAAAAATAATTAAACTAAATAAGAATCTTATTATTTATAAGACTAGAAGTTTAAGGATATTTTTATATATTTTTATATCTTAAATCGAGTAATATAATTGTCGGAACTTTTGCTCATAACTGTACGTACAACAGCCCATTCCACATCTACCAGGTAAGCACATAGACTCACTCGGCCAGCATCAACGGCCTGAGTCACCATCGAAGGAGGCACAAAGCCGTCCCGTATTATTGGAAATGAGAGTGTGCGGCAGGAGCAATGGCTTCGTCCACGGCTATAAAGATGGCACTTCTCCCATGCTTTGCTCATACTTCGAAAGAACTCGACAACACAGCACATCATGGTTCGCACAAAGGGCCCGCACGATCTTTTGATCGTCCTCGATGCCACGGCCTCTATGGGCGAATTCATCCTCGCCCTCAACAAGTCCCTTCCTGAAATCATCAGCCTGTCCGCCCTGACAGGCTGCTTCGAGCGTATCGGCGTCGTCACATACCGCGACTACTGTGGCGGCCGCCTCACCGAGTGGTCAGGATGGTGCTCTCCCTCCGGAGCCGTCTCCGGCCCAGATATTGTCAGCCAGGAGATAGTTCTCGACATGGCCCGCGGTATCCTGCCCGACTGTGGAGGCGACTGGCCCGAGGCCACCAAGACGGGCCTCGCTCTCGCGTATGAGAAGATGCGAGAGGATGCCACTACAATCATGCTTCTCTACACGGACGCTCCTCCGCATTTCACGGCCACCGGCGGCAAGAACTACAACAAAGAGAAGAGGGCCCTGGCCAAGGAGGACAGCTACGGCGGATATGGCTCCAACTTCGTCGACTGGGTTTCGGCTGCCATGTCCTTCAAGAATGGCGCCAAGAAGGGCGTCGTCTTCAGTGTTGTCAGTCACCCAAGCATGACCTCCTTCAGCCCCTACCTGTATCTGTCCACTGTGACGGGAGGAGTGCACTTCACCATCGAGCGGGTGACCTCCAACCTCATCTCCCAGTTGACTCTGGGAATTCTTCTCACCTGGATGGGAGCTGGCAAGGCAGTTGCAGATGACAACTTGCAGGTTGGCGAACATAGGTGGTACCGCATCCAGACCGACATCGAACAGGGCCGGGCGGAGACCGACCGTCTCCTCAACCGGTATTTCGTCATGGGAAACTGCGGCCCCTCCCTCACGGAAACGTCGGGGAACGTCGAACATCGCTCCGTGGCTCTCAAGGATATGCCCAGCGTCCTCAAGGCTCGAGGTCCTAGTGTTAAGAACTTTGCCAAGCGATATGTTGAGGATGAAGGCTACAAGAAGCTTGCCGTTGACCAGCTTCGGCGCATCATTAACTCCAACATCTCGACCGTCTCTGTCAACCCTATTTTCGGCACTCTATGGAGGACCGTCTGCAACGACCGCAACAACGAGGCACGCGATGGTCTGATCACTGCCTTTGGCCTCGAGGTCGACCGGATCTCTGACACTGCCGAGAAGGCCCGAATGAAGGCCTGGCTTGAGGAGTCTTACAACTACACGGCAGAGATCCAGGCGGCCATTGAGAAAGTCCCTGCGGAGGAGCGATTCCCCGTCGTGTACCTGGACCCAACTGCGGATTTCAAGGCTGCACCGGGCCAGGATGGGGAGGAAGAGGACGCTGAAAACCGCCCCCTGAACAAGTTCACACGAGGCGAGCTTCTGGAGATTGGCAGGTCGTGCGACTATCGGATCCTGCGAAGGTTGGGCAAGGTCTTGACCCGTCTCACCTACATTGAGAAGCCAGAAGACCTGCCGGCGCACATGAAGGCCGCCAGCGCAGACCAGGTCCCACAGATACCAATGGCGCTGGCAGACCCAAAGCACAAGCGCCAGTTCTGGAAGATCCTCCTCCACGCCGTCCTACCGGGTACAATGATCACAGCTCGCCCGGCCGCCGTGCTTGCGGCCCTTGCTCTGAGAATGGGAATCGTTCCCTTGCGGCATGTGGCTGACCAGGAGCTCCTGTCGTTCCGCGACCGCTGGAACACCATCGATATTCCTGAAACATGGAACATTGGATGCCTGGGGCTGCTTCTTGACGCGGACAGTGACTTTGAGAAGCGGGCTAACCAGTCCATCACCAAGCGTCAGACTCCCGAGTCTAGTAGGCGAGAGTCTAGCATCTTGAAGACTGAGGATCGCAGGTTGTTCAAGACGCTAGTGGACTACAAGATGCTCGAGGCGAACATGAAGACAACTCTGCAGGCCAAGATCGGCTGGAGCCCTGACAAGACCAAGGTGGCTCTTGGCCCGGTTGTAGTCTGCCGGGAGTGCAAGTTCCCCCGATCGGTTACCATCATGAGCGCCGGTAGAGTCTGTGGTTTCTGCAAGGCTCAGCGAGGCTGCCACTGCAATGCGTGTAAAAAGTCGGAGAACCATGAAGAACGTCTGAAGAAGAACGTCTCTGCTGAACAGACCGAAAAGTCCATGGGCTATTGGGTAGAGTGTACCCGGGCGCAGTGCCGAGCGCAGTACGTTGTTTACAACCCAGACGCCCTGCGAGTTCGAGCCAAGTGCTTCTACTGTCGACACGGCAATGGAAACGGGGCAATGGGGCCGGCTCCAGTCGTCGAGTGCTCCAAGTGTCTGAACAGAGTACTCTGGCCTACGGAGTATCGTCCCAAGTACATGGACCTTGCTGCATTTGAGTGTTACGCGTGTGCAACCGACGTCGTCACCGTCATTACGCATGAGACAACCGCCGAGGCCCTGACCAAGGAGAATGGGTCGAACTGGGTCCTGAAGAATAGTGATAGGGCGATTGCCGCAGTTTTCAATGGGCGTTCTCTGTTCTACACAGCCTCGCATTGCGACCTGGCCAACCTCCCGGACAAGGTGGAGATTCTCCCCGCTGATGACAACTCTACCCTCACTATTGCCGGTAAGCTGGTCCGGAACCAGTCGGAAGTCAGAGAGTCTCTGCAGCAATGGGTCGTAGCCCGACGGACCGAGGTCGGCGTGTGCAGCCTCTGCTTCTCCAACGTGCGCAAGGCAGACCTCCGTCAGGCTTGTGGCCGCTCTGGCTGTCACCAGCTGATCTGCAACGGGTGTGTGAAGGACTGGTACGGACTCAACGCCCGCGGGCGCATCATCAACGTCGCAGCTCTTTCGTGTGCGTTCTGCCGCCGACTTCCCGCGCCCAAGACAGTCGCGCCCTTCGGCCTCGCGAACCTGGGAAATTTGCGGAGGGCTGTCCAGGAGGCTGGATCATGGGTGTACGCCTGGTGTGACAAGTGCGGCTTTGCCAGACGGTATGTCGAGCGAGCATGTGCCGCAGGGGCGCCTCCCGAGCTGGTAGGCTGGACGTGCGAGCAGTGCGAGACGGCTCATACGATTGTCACCAAGTCGTGCCCTGGCTGTACTGCCACAACGCAGAAGGTTAGCGGATGTGACCACATCACTTGCCCCTGCGGAGTGCATTGGTGCTATGCCTGCGGGAAGAAGGTCGACCGGAACGTCATCTACACGCACATGGCGATGAAGCATGGTGGGTTCTATACGGATGTGGAGGATGATGAAGACGCCAATGAGTGGGTTATGTACGGAGGTGGAGGATGATGAAGATGGGTGGGTGTGGGATTGAGCCACTTGATACGAGATGAGATACCACTGTCTTTTATTCTGTAATTGCTGCGAGCGGGAGCTTTTCATTATTTCTTTGATAGCCATGACAATCCTTTATGAGAATTATGTGACCCTAGCTTCCATTGCTTGCATTAATGTGTAGTGTCTACATAAATTCCGTATCGACTCAGTAAAATCGGCCCTGAATCCTTATTGCCTTCGGGATTCTTTATACCTAATGATAATAAATCATAAGCCTTATAAAGCTTAGCTTTAGTCCATAAAACAGGGCCAATTTATTGAGTCGATACGGTACGATATACCTGCTTTGGTGATGGTTTGTGAATTGCCTATTCTGGTAGTTTGACGACGAGTGGAACAGGGCCGGGCCATCCGCAGCCCGAGGTCTCAGGTACTCCGTCCAGGCAGCCGAATAAAAAGGTACTCTGCAGTGATTCCAAAGGTACTGTAAACGGATGCCTGGGCACCAAGCGGTCAGCAGAGTGATCTCTCATTCGTGTTGTACGCACAGGGGCTGAAAGGATACGGCGGTGGCGCAGTATCACCAGATTGGCGGTGCTTACCTAATCCTCTGACGCGGTTCCTTCAAGAGGGAGCGGTTTCAGCTCGACGTGACCTCACTCCCTTCTCCCTTCATCCATCCATGGTTCATCAAACATCATCATACGAGAGTTCTTCTTATCTATAAACATACGGAAAAGTCATCCTTTGACTAGCACAACCTACCATGTCTCGATTCTCGCGATACGACACCGACGAGGAGCGTCTGCCCGAGGGCATGTCTCGTGTCGGCTACGACGCCGACACACAGGTCTACACGTTCCGTGACGCCGATGGCAGCTACTGGGAGAGTGCTCCCGGATGCCAGTACGGCCAGCTGACCAAGGTGAGCGACGGGGACGGCGATCATGACGACGAGGACACCGCCCCGTTCCTCGCACCCGTCCAGCACTCCACCAGCAAGCTGTCCTGGAGAACCGAGATGCGGCCGCTGCTCAACTTTGGCGTTCTGATCGGCCTCTTCCTGATCTTCATATTCTGGTTCTTGCATTGGAGCGCCAGGTCCGCGTCCGGCGAGCCCGCGCCGACGTGTACGGACGGCGCTACGAGCTACACCATCCAAGATGGTGACACGTGCTGGGACATCGCCAACAAGCATGGCCTGAGTGTTGATGACCTCCTCAAGACCAACATCGGGCTGGACTGCAAAGCCCTCGATGTCAAGTCTATTATTTGCCTGCCGACCCCTCCCTCGAACGACGACGCCGCCCTGGAGCCTGCCGCCTAAGCTCTATCAATCCATCTCAACTACACACTTGTGCGGGCACGCGACCTCGATAAGTAGCTCACGCAGCACTCTATGCTTTCAAATACCATATCGAAACACTCAACACTGGGACTAGGACTACCAGCGTCGTCATGGCGCTGGATGCAACGGCCTGGTAGATGTGATCATACGTCGTCTTCATGAACTGCTTTGGATCATTTTCGCGCGGATACGGAACGTCCGGCACGGGTTTCCCGAGGAAGGGACAGATTGTGTCCCACGATAGACCGTCTTCGAGCCGAACAACCAACAACCGGTCGGACGGAACCAGCTCGACTGCCTTGGCGTTACTGGTGCGGTTTAGTTTGCGTGGGACAAAGTTGGGAGGAAAGCTGGCGTTACTCACTGTTCTCGATACAACTGCCTGGCATGTTCTAGACCCTCACTGTCTTCCGGTGCCCATGGACCCCAAAGCTGAGCACAGAGGGCGTCTGCCATGTCTGAAAAGGCAGCTGTCCAGGCGCTGATGTGTCTCAGCTGGACGAGAGGAAAGCGCTTGAGAGCGACGCCGACGGGTTGGAAGGTGTTCTTGACCGATCGGCACCAGGCGTCCTCGTCTCGGGCCGTGAGGATGAAGAGGGCCTCTGGGTAGGCGGCGACGAGCTCCTCCATGAGGTAGCCGGGGATATCGGTGAGAGCCTGGGCAGATTGGAGGAAGCAGTCAGCTGGTTGAATACCTCATAGCTGCCTCTGTCATCCCTTGATGGGAGATGCGGGCTTGGGTGATTTACAAGGGCGGACGGACATTATAGTCACCGAGCCATTTATCAAAATCGTGCCGTTCCCAAGGCTCGCCCCGGCCAAACGCCCTGGGCTCGAGAGCTTCACGAAACATCTTCATGTGGGCAATGCTACCGATGGTATCGGTCATGTGATACGCCTTGTATCCCAGCACTTTGAGTGCCTTCCATAAGCCGACAGTGCCATTGCTATATGGCTGCGGTTAGTCGTGGGCATGATCTGACCTGACTGCAGTCTGTCTGATACGCACCGACCGAGACTAAGGACGATGACCTGTTTTGGAAGCGGGCTTTCTGGTGAAGGTACCGAGTCGACGAATCGCGACATGCCGAGCCGAGGCCGGATGGAGCGGAGGTGGCAGAGAACGGAAAGGAGTCAAGTCGGCAATGCGGAGCAGATCAGCCACTGAACTGGGCACAATGGCAACGACGATAATGGAACATGGCAGGATGGCAAAAAGAAGACGGGGACTTTGTCTACGGCCCACCGTCTTTAGCCCCATGATACCTCGCCAGAGAACTGACTAGGTTTGGTCAAGGGGCACTAAGATGGCCCCGGTCTGACTGGTAACTTCTTTCGGCGCATTCCCCCGTTAGCTGTTGCAGCGGCCATTGACGTGTGATGGAATCAGCAGCCGTGGAGTCGACTGGGTGATGGTGTTGCATTCTGATACCAGGTTTTCTTTGGGACGTGGTGGAGGACGTGGATGGATTCACCGGGTCAGATCCGGGCGTTGAAGCCATCACGAGAATACGCCTTCGTCCCTTCGTCCCGCCCCTGATTCGACTGAAACACACCCAACCACAGCTCTTGGACGCCTGCTTCCATCCAGTCCATCTCGATTGGGCGGTGAAGACAGCTGGCGTGCATCCTCACCAGTCAGGATGCATCGGCCTCACGTTGACCCGCCGATAATGGACGCAAAAGACGCGACCTAATAACAACCCCCGCGCTAAGAGGGGTAGGAGAAAATCGGGAAACGAGGGGCAATCAGACGCTGGAGATTTGGCCGCTCGCTGCCTGAAAGCTCAGCGCCCAGGTACCTACGTAAGGCCGTCGTCGTGGTGTCTGCTCTCTGTCCTAGGCGACCGCCCGAAGTGGGAAGCGGGGCAGCTCCGTCTTTTTTTTTTTTTTTTTTTCTCCCTCTCATTTATTTTCGGGCGCGGGTCTCCTACGCGAAACCCTTCCTTCTCCTTCATCATCTTTTTTTGTCGTGTCGTTGCAAACAACACCCGGCATTAATCATGGACAAGGAAAAGCTTGCCCAGCTGCTCCAGGGGAGTCAAGTCCGTAAGTGTTTTGTCATTCCTGCTGCTTCCTCTCCGCTGCACGTCAGCGTCAGATTCGCGTCGTTGGGTACCTCTCAGCTTGGGACTCGAGGAGGAGAAAAGCTCTGATTTTGTTCATGACGAGCCTCTGCTAACCATCTCCTGCTGCAGCCAACACGGAGCAGGTGAAGGCCGTCACCGCCGAGCTCCAGAAGAACTTCTACTCGCAGCCGGAGTCGCTCCTGGCGCTCGTCGAGATCTCCCTGACACACGGCGACCAAGGCGTCCGACAGCTCGCCTCGGTTCAGGCCCTGCGCCTCGTCCCCAAGTACTGGGAGAAGACCCCTGCGGACCAGCGCCAGCTCGCCCGAACACACCTGCTCGATGGCGCCCTGAAGGAGTCGTCCGGCGCCGTCCGCCACTCGCTGGCTCGTCTGGTCGCTGGTATCGTCAGCTCCGACATGGAGCAGGGCGAGGGCGAGGACTTCCTCAAGCAGCTGCTGCCCCTCAACAACAGCGACAATGTTGTTGCCCGCGAGGTCGGCTCCTTCCTGCTGTACGCCATGCTCGAGGAGGATCCCACTCACTTCAGCGACCACACCCACCAGCTCCTCGAGCTGTTCCAGGCTCGCATTGAGGATCCCCAGAGCAAGGAGGTCCGCATCAACATCGTTCGCGCTATTGGTGCCATCCTCATGATCGTCGAGCCCGAGGAGGACCCCCAGGCCCTCAAGGCCATGCAGAGCTTCGTGCCCAGCCTGGTCAACATCCTCAAGGCTACCGTCGAGGCGGAGGATGAGGAGAGCTACAAGATCGTCTTCGAGGTCTTCCACTCCTTCATCGCCTACGACTCTTCCCTCCTCGCCCTCCACCTGCGCGACCTCCTCCAGTTCATGATTGATCTGGCCGCCAACACCAACGCCGAGGATGATGCCCGAACCCAGGCCCTCGCCTTCCTCATCCAGTGCGTCCGCTACCGCCGCATGAAGATCCAGGCCATGAAGGATATGGCTGCCCAGCTCATGGTCAAGGCCATGCAGATCGTCACCGAGCTTGACTCTGAGGACGAGGAGGATATGTCTCCCGCCCGCACTGCCATCAGCCTCATTGACACTCTTGCCAACGAGCTTCCCCCCCGCCAAGTCATCATCCCTCTTCTCGAGCAGTTCCCCAGCTTTGCTGCCCACCAGAACCCCCAGTTCCGTATGGCCGCCATGCTTGCTCTTGGTAACGCCGCCGAGGGTGCTCCCGACTTCATCTCCACCCAGCTCCAGCCCATCCTTCCCACCATCATCAACCTGCTCTGCGACAGCGAGACTCAGGTCCGACACGCTTCCCTTGTCGGTCTGATCCACCTTGCCGAGGAGATGGCTGATGAGATGGCCTCTCACCACGAGGAGATCATCTCTGCTGTCCTCAAGAACCTCGAGGCTGCCTCCACTGCCGGCTCCGACAAGAAGAACGTCAGCATCATCCGCTGTGCTTGTGGTGCCCTCGACACTTTCGGTGATGGCATCGACACCAAGATCATGGCCCAGTACGGCCCTAGCCTGATTGGCCCCATGGTCCGCCTCCTTGAACACGAGGACTTTGGTGTCAAGGCTGCTGCCGCTTCTGCCATTGGTGCCATTGCCTCCTCTATGGAGAAGAGCTTCGAGCCTTACTTCAAGGACGTCATGACCTCTCTTGGCAAGTTCGTCAGCCTCAAGGAGAATGACGAGGCCATGGACCTCCGAAGCTCCACCTGCGACAGTCTTGGCCGCATCGCCACCGCTGTTGGCCCTGAGGCTTTCCAGCCCTACGTCATGGACCTCATGGCCGCCAGCGAGGAGGCTCTCCACCTGGACAACCCCCGTCTCAAGGAGACCAGCTTCATCCTGTGGTCCAACCTGTCTAAGGTCTACCACGAGCAGTTCGATCACTTCCTTTCTGGAGTCTTCAAGGGTCTCTTTGATTCCCTTGAGCTCGAGGAGGAGGAGATTGAAATCCCTGGTATTGATGCCAGCCAGCTCGGCGATGGCGCCATTGTTGTCGGTGGAAAGCGTGTCACTGTCAAGGTCCCTGACAATGATACCGACCTGGCCATTGCCACTGGTGGTGATGATGAGTGGGATGACATGGAGGACATTGACGATCTCGATGACCTCGGTGCCGTTACTGCTGTCGCTCTCGAGCAGGAGATTGCTCTCGATGTCCTCGGTGATGTCATCTCCAACTCGTGCAACAGCGCCAACCTGGAGACCTACGTCGAGCAGACCATCGCCAAGGTTTCTCCCTTTGCGGAGCACACCTACGAGGGCTGCCGAAAGACTGCCATCTCCACTCTCTGGCGCACCTACGCCCGTGTCTTCCAGGTCTGGGAGGAGGGCGCTGGCGTCAAGTGGGAGCCTGGCATGCCTCCCAAGCACACTCCCCCTGCCTCTCTCATCACTATGGGTCAGGCTCTCCAGGCTGCTACAATGGGCATCTGGGCCGATGACAGCGAACGGTCAGTTCACCCCTTTTCTTTTCCTTCCTCCTGCCAAAATGATGAACACTTCGCGTTACACCCAGCTCACTCAGACGCACTTTGCGGTTGCTGAGAACACGTTTGATCTACTTCTGATTCCATTGGCATCTTCATCTTCAATTGTCTTGCATTCTGTCGAAGCTTGATGCTAACTATTCAATAGCTCCGTCATCACTGACATCAACCGCAACGTCGCTGCCACCCTTAAGGCCTGTGGTCCCGCTGTTCTGGTTGCCAAGGACGGTATGCTGCAAGAGGTTGTGTCGGTCGTGAGTCTTATCATTACCCGATCGCACCCCTGTCAGCAGGACCTTGGAGATGAGGAGGAGGAGCAAGAGGTCGATGCTGGGTCGTCCGAGTACGACTGGCTCGTCATCGACACCGCTCTCGACGTTGTCGTTGGCCTTGCCGCCGCTCTCGGCACCGCTTTCGGCGAGCTCTGGAAGATCTTCGAGAAGCCCATCCTTAGACTGGCCAGCTCTACCGAGGACCTCCACCGCTCCACTGCCGTCGGCACCATTGCCGAGATCACCAAGTACACCGGCGAGGCTGTCACTCCCTTCACCGAGTCACTTGGCCAGGCTCTTGTTCGCCGTCTTGGCGACCCCGACCCTCTCGCTAAGTCCAACGCTGCCTACGCCATTGGTCTTGTCGTCCTGAACTCAGCCGACACGGCCAAGACCTTCCCCATGTACCCTGTGCTCTGGGAGAAGCTCGAGCCTCTCCTGACTGTCAACGAGATGCGCATGACCGACAACGTTGCCGGATCTCTGTGCCGCATGATGACCAAGAACCCCGACAACGGCTTCGTTGCCCAGGCCCTGCCTGCTGTTGTCAACGTCCTGCCTCTGTCCGAGGACTTTGAGGAGAATGCACCCATCTACCAGTGCATCTACAAGCTCTACGAGATCTCCAACCCTACCGTTGAGCAGCTGACTCCCCAGCTGATGAGCGTTTTCGAAAAGGTCCTCAGCCCCCCTGAGGAGCAGCTCGAGCAAGATACCCGCGAGATCCTGCAGCGCACGGTGCAGGTCTTGTACAAGGCCAAGCCTGAACTCCTGGCCAACAACCCCGGCCTGCTGAAGCTGGCTGGCGTCCAGTAAAAGACGGGCGCGGTGATGAGAATTAAAAAGGATATACGACGCGCGTCGACCGTGATGAAGACGGAACGCGAGGCCATGAATGATGACGAAGATGTTTACGCACACATGACGGGTGCATGATAGAGTATATAACGCTTGGGAGGTCTTGTTTAGATACCAAAGACCTGAGACCGGGAGACCAAAGAGTCTGGGACGGTCTGGGACGGAACGGGACTGTTAGCGTTGTGGAATTTTCTCACATGATGAGAGTACTGGGAACGAATGGAATAGACTTATTGGAGTACCATTCAAACATATTTGTCACCATGATGCTGTGAATGTTTGTTTTGATGACTGTTGTATTGGTTACAAGCAAGGGTTGGTTTGACTTATGCCGCGATTGCCTTGGTCAACCTTGCTATGTAAAATATTCTGTTGTTGGCGAGAAACTTCCCACGACTAACTAGGCTTGACTTTTAACTGTCTGGAACAGTCATTGAAAACAATTGATGCCCAAAGTGACAAAACTCCTCCGAGGCGTGCAAAGTACTTGAAACAAAAGTACTTGAAAAACAAAAGATGAAATCAATTCCCATTCCCAGAATTACCTGGTAGTCCGAAGCGCCATCGCACCTTTGTATATATATGCATGCAACCAGTCCGGTCCGGTCCCGTCGCGTCCCTCCGGCGCAGCCTTGAAGTTCCGTTCTAGTTTCCAGCTTTCAAGTTGAAAGGACAAAAATATGCAACCCGCAACAACCAAGGTGAAAAAGTAAAGTGAGGTAAGAATGCAGACGCTCTACCAAATGCGCTTCGCGACCATCTCGTACCGCGACACGCCCTCCATGTCGCTCTCGGGCTTCTTAATCTTGACGGAGGAACCCGACGGTCCCTTGCCTCCCTTCAACCCTTCATTCTTGTCGGCGTGGATCCAGCGCTGGCGGTCGTCACCGACCTCGACGTGTCCGAAGCCGCCGACGCGCTTGCTGCCGGGTGTTTCGTAGGTTTCGCGTTCGGCCTGGCCCTGGGCGACGAGGTGCTCGGCCTGCTTCATGCGGGCGTAGCGGTTGCGGGAGTACTTGAGCAGGACCATGCCGAGGAGCAGCTTGAGGATGAGGAGGACGAGGAAGGCGATGAAGAAGACGACGATCATGGTGATGGCGGCGATGGCGTCGTCAGATGTCCACTGGTACCAGGGGCGCGAGTTGAGCGGCGAGCCGTAGGGGTAGCCGTACGTGGCGCGGCCGAGCGAGTCGCGGATGAGCGAGTCGAAGCGATTGAGGGCGGCGATGACGGCGGGCGAGGACGGCACGGCGGATTCTTGCGTGAGAGACGTCTGCGTAGACTCCGGCATGGGCATGGGCAAGTGGGTAGAGAGGAGCATGTGGTAAGTCTGAACGGAGGCGCGGATAAAGAGGCACGAAAGGGGGATGACGGCGAGGCCCAGGCGCCGAGTTAGAGATGGGGTCATGAATGCCTAAGGATATGTCAGTATGAGATGGAGTTGATGGGGACAAGTGACGAACGTTGGTGTAGTAATCCTTGCAGAGGATATCAAGGATACGACTGTAAAATGCAGGTTTGATGTTGTTGAACTTGGTCACGTAGGCGTGCTTGATAGTGTCGACCAACATCTCACTACCAATGACGATGAGGAACGGCGAAAGAACCTCTCCCGACATGAGCCACGAAGGCAGCACGGTGAAGGCGTGCGGGAGGATAGACGGGTGATGCAGAGGGAGTGCGCCGGAGGCTTCGTCGAAGCTAGGCTCAGAGCCAGCTCCAGGGATGGAGAGGCCACCGACCTCGACGACGTTGCGCATGCCGATGATGAGGAGCATGATCCAGAGCTGGAACCGCTCGACGATGTCGGCACACGTCAGTTGGAACAGGTTGTCCTTTTCAAAGCGCTTGAAGACGGTGCTCTTGATCTCGACGAACTGGTTGGACAGCAGAAGAGTCAGGAGCGCGTTGGAGTACGAATTGACAGCCACGTTGAGCGTGATAACCTGGTAGTAAAGGGCAATGGAGTGCAGACAGCAGTAGGCGAGAGCCAGCAGGAACATGCCCATTGGAAGCAGGACCTTGGAGCGTCCCGAGGCATTGCGGGAGAGCGTCTCGGTGCTGAAGAGGCACTCGAGGATGTCCTGGCCGAGCGCCGAGAGGAGGCGGTCACCGACCTCGAGGATATTGTAGATGACGTAGAGCTTGATAGCAGACTGAGCGCGGATGAAGTGGTACATGCGGCTGGCGTCGAGCGTCATGAGGGCCATGGAGCTGCATACAATGACCAGGCCTTGAAGCAGATCGGCCTTGTGGAAGGCGGACAGGTTGGACGGTATCGACTTGGTTCTCCTGTGCCGGAACGTGCCCGATCTAGGACCGCGAGTCTGCGCTGGGATCTTGAATCGGCCGTTGCCGTTACCATTCGTCCGGTGCTCGGCACTCCCGTTCTGCGACGCATTCGAGGCGCTGGAGAGTCCGCGGGGCCGACTTTCACTGCGATGCCGGCTTTGGCTACGAGATCTCTCATCTTCCGACTGGTCGCCAGCCTGCTGTGATCGGCTTACCCGTCGACGCCGCCAAAGTCTCCCCAAGCCATACCACACGAAGTCGACGACAAATTTGACCTCCTTGACAACAACGTAACCCCACCACCGAAAGAGGACGGCCAGAGCCAGGAAGAACCGAACAGGGAGGATGGTGAAGTTGTAAAGCCAGGCATCGAGGCATGCGAGGGCGCCAAAGTTCAATGTGCGCTCGAGATACCAAGGGATGAGCAGGACGTTCTTGAGCCGCTCAAACTTGACCACGTTGGATTCGTAGGGAATGTCGTAGGCGTGTGATTGGTGGATATAGAGGGGGCTCGGTCGCTGCGCAGCAAGCTCGAGCTGGAGATGTGTGGGGAGAGACATGGGCGGAAGAGGAATAATGGGCGGCAGCGGCGATTTCGGCGGCCGGTGGGTAGGGACTGCGTCGGGTTGCTGAATCGGAATCGCCGTGGCCGGGTTCGAGCGGCTTGGACGACTTGGAGACGTTGCCACGCCCTCGAGGTTCAGGTGAAGCAAGGGAGGCCGGTTAACGGAGTTGAAGGAGGAATATCGACGGGCCGAGGGCACCGACAATCCGAGGGCGTCGCTGGGCTGCACACGACTTGTGGGCGGCGTCGAAACGGTTCGCGGCGCCGGAGACGGGCGACGCTGAGCATCACGAGAGCTGGCAGCGCTGGATGTGCGGGCTTCGATTGCAAGTCCGTTGGGTTGTAGTTGGAGGTAGTCGGGTTGGCGTCCGAGATCTGGGTGATGGAGCATAGACTGGCGGATAGCCTCGCGCTGTTCAGCAAAGCGGGCGACGGTCTCTTGGTCTATGGAGCGGCGCTGAAGCGCTGGGGCAACAGGGAGAGATTCAGGAGCGTTGGTGAGGCGTTGGATCTCGTGGCTGGAAAGGCGGCGGACGTGGCCACCGCTGTACATGGAGGCATTGGTAATTGTGCTGCTGCGACTGCCTCGTCCGTGGAACCCATCGCTTTTGTCCCTGCTGACACTGTCCTTGTCTGTTCCCCAGTTCCATGACCCTTCCCCTACGGTGTGTTGCCGCTGGTGATCGTCCTCCGTGTCGGCATCATGCTCGTGGTCATCTTCTACTGCGGGATCGGAGATGGACGACGAGTTGGACACGGGCCGCTGAGGGCTGGCGCTGCGGCGAGAGCCATCTTCCGAGGAGCGGTCCTCGTCGGACGAGATCGGGGGTAGGGACGGCGTGTCGTCGGTCGTCGTCGCTGAGTTCGAGGCGACTGTAGTCGACTGGGCGGTGGGACGAAGCGGTGGAGCGACGCCGTTGAGGGGGCTGACTGACGTCGACACGGCAGTTGAAGCGGCGGAGGCGAGCTGGTGATGGCGGTGAGATAGAGGCTCGAGAGGCGGAGAGAGCGGTAGAGCCGGTGGCGGGAGGTGCTGGTGAGGGTGTTTATGAGGGTGGCGGGCCTTGATCGAGTCCACGGAGGCGGCCATGGCCAAGTCCGAGTCGAGTATCCATTCACCAACTGGAGGAGGAGGTCAAGGTCATGCTGTCTCGGGGTTAGATGCAGTTCCCGAGGCAGTTCCTGCGGTCTGCCGTTCTTGCAGTATGTCGGCAGTATTGTGCTCGCTGCAAGGGGACGCTCCAATGGTGGTGGCCAATGGGTGCGGGTGGGTTCGACGGTTGGAGCGGTTTGAATGTGTGGTGGTGATGATTGATGAGAGGTGATAGGTTGGGGCGTGTAGTCCTGGAAAAGCAACTGGAAAAGCAAGACGGCAGATGGCACTGGCGAGAGATTCACCCGCCCGTGGTTGGCTGGCTCCTCGCTACAGGCTAGACACGGTGGGGCTTCAGCGGGGGGGCCTCGCTCCGCTGCAGTGGTTCCAGTGGAGGGGAGTTCGCGCAAGCCACCCGGGGGCCCGTGACCCGCTGCATCATCCCCCTGAGGGAAAAGTGTCCAGGTGGTCAGAAGCCCTGAGGTCGCTGAAACAGGAGAAACACGAGGGGGCTGCCGTTGGGAGTGGGTGGGGGTGTGTTCCAGGGCCCCGAAACTGCCCACCGCCGTTTTCACTTTGGAGGTGACGCCGTGGCAATAGCCTCAACTGCGATACGAGATGTCTTCGCCGTCAGCATCGTATCGCTAAATATGGCACAGCCAGTGATGACATCTTGGTAGGATTCATCCACGGTTTGGCGCTTTGCTTGGCCATCTGGAACAGTATCCCTCTTGTCATCATAGTGACGTCGCTGTGTTTGAATACCTGTTTTGGTGGTCGTACTTGTGCGAGACATGGTTGTGATTGTGATACGGTCATCTGTGAATCAAGGACAGAGGTAGCACAGACATTCACACCCAAGGCATCGATAACATTCGATGCCTGGACGGCACGTGACGGAACAGATATCGAGAATCAGCAACTTGTCATGTTGAAGATGTCGGGATCGAATTTGTCCAGATCCTTCAGCTGTCTGAGATTCACACTCGTAACTTAGCTATCAAAAATTTCCCATCCCTCTCCTTGTTCGGGGCTCCGTATGAGGACCTCCTTCGCCCTCCAAGCCGAACCGAATGACAAGAATTCCGCCGGAATCCTTTTCGTATTCCACGCTTGCAAGTACTATTATTGGCGCCGGGAAGTTCCCGTCCCTCCCGCCCGCATTCTGGGGTCCGTCGTATGTGATTCCGATATCCACAACGCCCAGCCCAGCCTTTACTTCCGGATGGCCATGTCTTGATCTACTAGGCTTGTTGAATATTGCGTGTACATATCTTCTATAGGAGCTGTGGCGCATTTGTCCTGACTGGATGTCTTTAGGCATGGCTGTGAATGGTGTCGTTGACGACTTACAAGCTGCCTATGAACCGTTGAACGTTTGGTTCTCGCAAAATAATAATTTCGCAACTTTTGTTAGCATGCAAGGGATTCATGACCTCATCCTCGGACCACCGAATGGAACTCAGCGAGTCTCTTAGCTAATCCTGCAATAGTGGGCGGTCCGCGCAACACTGAGAAGCAAAGGGCCATCAGAGTCGTTATTCAATTGCACCTAATCATATCTAAGCTTTCCCGCCGGACTTCAACAAGCCCTCGCCCCCCTCCGGAAAGTTCACCTCGCCATTCCTTTACAGCAGATGCTGGTCAAACCAAGCAATCGCCTGGAAGAAGGCCTGCTCCTTGGCAAACCGCTCCACGGCGTTGGAAATGTCGCCGCGCACCGCGAACCCGTGCTCCACGCCCGAGAAGACGTTGATCTGCCACGGCCGGCTGCTCCTGCCCAGGATCTTCTCCGACTCGATGCGCTTGTCGAGCGGGAAGATGTGGTCGGTCTGCGCGGCGGCGATGGAGAGGGGGCCGGTGATGGACACGAGCTCCTCCTCGGTGACGAATGACGGGTGCGCGATGAAGCCGACGTCGACGCCGTACTTGAAGTTTCGGACCGCGTACTAGATTATCGTCGTCAGCCATCAATATGTGTCGAGCAAGACTTGGTTGGCGCTTACCTTGGCGCCCAGGCAGTATCCAACAGCGCCAATCTTGGTACAGCCAAAATCCTCCTTGAGCGCCTTGATGCCCGCCACAGCGATGGGGTCGAGCTGCTCGGCCGTGTGCGGGTTGTTGCCGTCGGTGCCCTTGCTCAACCACGCCATGATGTCGGCCGGCCGAGGGTCCGGGAACTTGTCGCCGTTGAAGAAGTCGGGAAGGATGCAAGTGTAGCCGTTGGCGGCGAACTGGTCAGCCATCAATTGACTGTTGACCCAGATCCCCAAGATGTCGGGGACGTAGACGATGCCGACGCCCTTGTGCGCCTTGTCGGCCGGGGGCGTCGCGAGGTAGGCGTCGATGGTTCCATTGATCTTGATGAACTTTCCTGTGGGTTCGCCCCTAGCAGCCAGGTCAACCAACTGTCCGTTCAACCGTTTGCGATTGCATCTTCATCTCAATCTGGACATGCCGAGTTCGCGCAAGAAAGAAAAGAGTGGGGAGCTCATACTCGTGGCGCACTCCAACAGCGCAGCACTGTCCAGGTTGGTTTGACGTCATTTTGCGTGTCTTGGATCTCTACAGAGTCGCGATTTGGCACAATTCAAAAACACCACGGACAAGGGAGTGAGAAGAGGGGAATTAAGAGCAAGAGAAGGCCTTCCGCCGTCGGGGTGCCTCGGCCGACCTTATAAAGTGCCGGGTTCCGAACCCGAGCTCCGCCGAGTGACGCAACCGCCCTAAATCTCAGATCGAATCCCGAGAGAGATCGGACGAGATGGAATCGTACACAGGAAAGCACTGCTTCGGAACAATTATCCCTCTATGATAGTTCAACCATTCCGAAGCGGGGATGCTCCCGCCCTTGCCCCGCCAGTGTTGGAGGGGTCCAACAGTAGTCGGAGCTTTCACATCGGGTTAGAAATCATTGGGAATAATTCCAAATTGTGGCCCTCCTTGTTAGATTCGGGCCGCCGTCCTTGACGGGGTGGATAACTATGTGTTGATAACCATGCAAATCTGCGTTGAGGCCGTTATCACCGGCGCTTGTCCTATTGACATCGATTCTCCACGAAATCACGGCTGCAAAAATCCGGGTTAATCCTGGCACTTTGGCGCCGGCATTCCGGCTTTAGGATGCTCCCTATGACATCAATAACGGATAGCAGATGACGCTCGCTTTGCCGGCATTAGCATGTCTAGGCCCGCTGGGAGGCTGAGCCCATCGAGCAGCGGCGTCGTGCATTATCTCGAGCAGTGGTGCTTTATGCATGTCAGCAAACAAACATTGCTTCGAGTTCTATCGCCCGCAACGCGTCGTGCGGCAAGGAAATCGTCAGTTGCGTGGCATGTAAAGTGGGTAGGCGTGAGAAGCGGTGCAGGAGAGTCAGAATCTGATAAACGAATGTCGTTTTGGTCGAGGATGACGATAGCCTTGCGCTTTGCTGACAAGACGGCAAAGCGCAACTGTTAATAGTCGTAGATCCAGTCTCAGGATGCGGTGTGATAATGTATCGGCTCGGTGATGAAACGTCGGGGTCTTCCCTCTTGGCATCGTGTAGGTGGAATCGTGTCAGAGTGCCATTGATAAGTGCAGCTGCATCTCGTATCATGCAGTGGCGTCAAGCCTCCATGCTCACTTCTGGCGGATGCCCTTTGGCTTTCGCTTCTTAAAGACCACGGGAGCGATTCCCGACTCGCCAGCATCCGCCTCGGGCTTGATCGGAGGCGCTTGCTCGGACGCCTCACCCTTGACAGCAGTGCTATCCCGCGCTTCCTCGGTTGCGCCGTCATCTTCCACTTTAACGTTGGTCTTGTCGTCCGGTGTGGCCTCTTCTTTGACGTCCTCCCGCTTGTCGACCTGCGCGGGTTGGAATGTCGACCCGCTCAGCAACGCATCCAGCTCCTTGTCTTCTTCTTGAGGCATCGCCTTCGAGTCCCTGCCCCATCGCCGTGGTTTCTTGAACAGCGCCTGGACAGCGTCCTCCTCCTCCTTCTCATCCTCAGTAGCCTCGCGTTTTCTAACACCGTTTGCCCTAGACTCCAGCTTCCCATCCCCATTCTCTTCTTTCGTAGTCTCGATGACTCGCGTTTTCGTAACAGTCCATTGGCCCGGCATCGCCATCTCGGGTTGAAATTCGGTCGGCATCGCCACGCCCATCTCGGCCAGCTGCTCTCGCTGTCGCTTCAGTTGCGACTCGGAGGGTGCACTTGGCCTGTCGCGCTGCATGCCGCCGGAGGGGGGTGCAGAGGGCCCCGAGGACCCCGGTTCTGAAGATCCCGCGACGACGCCATTGACTCTCGCGACTTCTCGACGTGCAAATTCCTTCTCTCGTTCTTCTCGCTCGTGGCCGCGGTGCAGGTCGCGCAGGAAGCGTTTCAGAGCGCCCTGGTGCTTTCCGGTAGCCTCATGGTTCTGTCGCTCAAGCTTGGTATCGCGTACGTAGGTGGAGCAGTGCTTGCACCAGTATTTCGGTGTCGACTTCCAGTATTCTGACATTTTGCGACGGCGCAATGGTGTTGATGATGATGGAGACTTCAACTTCGAGAAACCTACCGCGATGACAAGGTGCTTATGTCACCCTTCCAGGCACCATCGCACGGACCATTGATCCCGTGTGAGCTTTTCAAGAGAACCTACCCTAGACAAGGGCGGACAATCGACGACGAGTCTTCAACAGGGGGCTGTGATGAATGCAGGATTCATCCTCGAGCTTTATCAATTCAGTGAGCTGAGGAGGTTGCTAACTTTCATAGAAGGCAGCCAGGGGAGTAAGAAATTGATGTTAGCTTTTGAAAATGGCTAGATTTCGTCCGTTTTATTTTGTTTGTATTGTTAGCAATTCAACGTCTACAAACTTTGTATTTTGACGCCGACCCATTGTCTGCCTCCTCCTCCGATGTGGTCTATTCCTCAACACTAGGGCCAGTCCAGAACAAAACTTGTCATAGAAAACACCATCCGAGTACAAAGTTAAGACCAGATGAGATCTAATGATGCTCATAAGAATAGTTTTCTGTTTATGACATAAGGTAACATCTACGAGGTGGTATCTTTTCTTTTTACAGCAAGTACCGTCCCGATTTTTGATGCCGCTGAAATAATAACGACGTAAAGAATCTAATCGGGTTAATCGGCAAATTTTCAGTTTAATACTATGAGACGTTCTGAGAGACGCACGGAGAGACCGTCGATTTCAGGAGCTCAACATAGCCAAAACGCTCACTTCCCGCTGAATCCTTCACACAGCATCGTAGCGCAAGAGTGTAATTACTACTGGTTTGTCAAATGTTACTTCTATAAAAATATGCGTCTCAACATCAAATAGCTAGCGAACTACAACATGACGTCGATAAACATTTTCGTATTTGATGTATCCTATGGACAACGACCCGCGACTTCCTTGAATGCTCCTCCACGAGTCATGAGCTAAATCCCGTCTAAAACACCAAAAAACAACTAACCGTATACTAGCCTATGTAAATACTGTTCTATCACGTCGTGTATGCATGACCCATGACCCATATATTCTCCTCACCAGTCTAACACTACAGGAAGCAAAACGCGCCGAACGCGCCAATCAAAAGCGCAACAACCATATTGGGAATGACCTTCATCCCGCTTGAAGCAGTAGCCGATGCTCCCGGGGCCGTGCTGGACTCGTTGGGGGTATCAGTGTTATCGGGAGCCGCCTCGGTCGTCGAACTAGCCTCCGTAGACTTCGTTGTTTTCGCGGTGGAAGTGCTCGACGTGAAGTATTTAAGGGACGCTGTAGCCTTGAGAATTGACGTTTCGGTCATAAGCTTGTCCACCTTGGTCTGCCCTTCAGCAGTTTTAGCAGTTTCAGCTGCAGGCTCATCGGGCTGGGCAATCTTCTTCTTAGGCACGACGACAGTCTCGGGAGCGCCCGTGGGGACTTGGATCTGGCCATCCTCGATCTGGCTCACAGGCGGGGCCGTGATGATTGGTAGCTTCATATCGTCGCAGGGCGTCGTGCGGACTTGAACTTGGCCGTCGCCGATCTGGCACATGGGGACTTCAATCGTGGTGGCGACCTCCTTTGTTGTTCCGTCAGAAACCACGGTTACAACAGTGGTGGCGATGATGCTCCCAACCACCTTTCTCGCGGCTGCGCTGTTGCTGGAGCCACCACAGGGCATCATGACAATCTGAACTGGCTCACACTGGGCTGCCCAGTTGCGGTCGTAGAGGTTGTAAAAATCTCCCGAGAGACACTTGTAGAAGACGGTTGACGAGCCAAGTGCTAGGGACTGGTTCGAGCAGGCCGAGAACCCGCTGGTGAACTTGGCGCCTGCTTGAGGCGGACCGTCGAATTGGAATTGGTAGTTGGAGGCAATGTAACCGGTGCGATCCTTGGCATCCTTCAGGATACCATCCTTTAATGTCATGACCAAGACACCGTCTCCATTGCACGATCGCTTCTACTGATGGTGAGATTGTTGACTAAACATAAACTGGGAACCTGCTTACCTCGAGGTCACGCTTGGATTCTGATGCCTTTACCACAGTCACTTCGAAAGTGCCATCATATGTGGCATCGCATCCTTCTGGCGCAGAACCCTTGGGACTGATGTCTTCCGTCACTGCCTGGGGAACGGCGAAGGCGGAGGCTGCGAGAGCTAGCAGACACAATGAAGTCTTCATGATGAATTAAATGTGGCAAATTTGATGCTGGAGAGCGAATGTAGGAAGAGGCGTACACAGATGACACAAGTAGTGACGAAGTGTTACTCTCTTGTCGTGGGCGTCTTGGACCGATGGTTTGGAGGTAAAATGGCTGTTCCGGGAACTTGGGCTGCCGACTCCTACCTTCAAATACTTGCCCGTGAAGATCTCGAGGCCATCTCTGGCACGCACTTCTACGACGCGAGCACATCGGGAGCGTTCCATGAGACACGATCGCTTTTTACTGCATTGTTTCTCGGTTGAAAGTGCATCCACCAAGTGTGGCTGGGGCCATAACCAGCTGAAGGATGGCCACACATCGACCATGTGCCTCCCTAACAAAGACTCCCTCGAGAGCTTTGCATACCTCTCAGGTGAGGTGTGCGTCTAGAGCGTGGCTGGACGGGTGCCAAGACACCGGAGCTCAGCTGGTATGCCCCCTTAGCCCATAGATGGGTGTCCTCACCACGTGCCGTCGCGTCGCGGCCGATCTCATGCGTCGACGCGGCTGGTTCGCGGCGCGTGGATGAGGGATAGAGATACGCGCTAGGATTTGAACAAAGCTTCGTTAATGGGCAGCAGCTTGGGGAGTGTCTCGGTGTCGCGAGGGAGGTTTGTTGGTCACAGTCCAAGCGAGGAATGTAGGGGTTTGCACCAGCCCCAATGTCTCAGGGACCACGCCAACGAGAACGAGCCAATGTCTCATCCGGGGTAATGCCTTAAAAACCAGCTGCTGAGTGCCGTAGATAGGGATGAGCTCTGCCAGCATTGAAGAATTTGGTGGCCAGCATGCCATAGCTTGGATGTTCGTGCTTTCGTGGGTGTAATAGATGCATGGCTCGATTCTCTAAGAAAGTGATGATTGAAATCCATGCTACAGTATTGTTTCATTTCAGATTGAGCCTCTGGTTTCTTGATTGGTATTCCTCCCACAAAGTAATTCACCTGAACGACTACCCCAGAGAGAAGTCTGGGGATGCATGAAGGAACTGACCATCACAAGGTCCTTGTCCCTGTCAGACGCTCGTTGGGTAGCATCCCGGTGGGGTAAAAGGGCCGTCTCCGAGATGGTTCAAGATCAGCAGGACAGACCGAAGGGGTTGGATTGAGTCAAGGGCTTATAACTGCCCGTTTGGACGTTGAGTACGTACCCGCCCATCCTTGAATGCCAGATCGTTCGGCAAAGCCTTTCCTGTTTTCGCCTAGGCCGGCAATAATCTGCGCCGAGGCGGCTGGGAGTTGCATGGCGCCGAGTACGCTTGCCGGTGGCTAATATATGCCAAACGGGAATGGTTCTTCCATCACGCCGGAATTAGTTGTCCTGGGGCTGAGAGTCACACCACGCATAGGCCACGCATAGACCCAAGTAGTCTGGCTCATGATCTATCAATTCTTTCTAGTTGACACTCCGCTGAATCCATTTGTCGTCCAGCTGGCCCATTGTGATTTTGCCTGCCACCTTGCCATTTACAGCATCGAGGAGCTTGCCGCGGAGCAGATACGTCGGCGTGCAGCTCCAGGCGTGGCAAAAGCTGTTGTTCCTGACATCGCCGTACGGGCTCGCGCGAGGATCCTCCGGGTCGTAGCACTCCCAGAACGTGTCTGCTCCAGCCCGGATCATGCCGCCCCAGTAGTTGTTGATAATCTCTAAGCACTTTTCGAAGCATCCCACCGTTACCAAGGCGTCGCAAACGTGGTGCCATAGGTATGGAGTCAGGGGCTTCACCGCGTCTGGGTGGGCGATTGTGTTGAGCATTGCTGTTCGGGCAGTCTCTTCTGGGAAAGCCTCTGCCAAGACGAGCCAGGCTGCAGAGGCATAGCTGATCTGAGAATCAGGCCCAGAAGTAAAGAGGTTATCCTTGGTGATAAAGTACGTAGCTGCAGCTGTCATCTTGTCTACCATCTCCAAGTGTGGAGGCTCCTTGTCCAACGCTGCAGCTAACTTGTTGATTGCTTTTAAGCAGTACAACAGGACACCGTGGGACCCGGCATTACGATCCAAAGTGGGAGCCCAGTCTAAAAACTTCCAAAGCTCCGTACGTTCTGTCTCGAAGACGTGCGTCTCAGGATTGATGTGTAACAACGAACGCTTCGTACAAGTCAACATTGTGGGCCACAGAGCTTGCCCGGCGGCAACATCTCCTGACTCAACAACGTAGTCCAGAACAATGGCCCCAAACAGGGCATCGTAGTCGACAATGTAATCAGTCGAGGGCGCCAGCTTCGGCTTTTCGAAAATGCAAGCCGGCAGCGAGCCGTCGGAACGAATCACGGCGGCGAACTGGAAGATGCAGCGTTTGACGAGACCAAAGTCTCGAAGCGTGCTATAGTTAGCGAGGGCCTGGAGCCTCAGATCGCCGCTCCACAGGCGACGGTCTCGGCGAGGTCCGTCCTCGAAGACGGTCTGCATGCAGTCCCTGAGAGTGGAGATGCTGCAGTGATCGATGTCCCGCAGCAGTGGGTTCTCGAACTCGATAGCGTCCAGCTCGTGGTCTTGGCCAATGGCGCTGACGCACTCGCAATTAACGTTGGAAAAGGAGACTTTGAATTTGGGAGATGTGTCGATGACTTGGACGCGTAGGAAGCGGAATGAGTACCGTCTTGGCAGAACCACAGTCTCGGGACACATGTCGATGTTGATCACTTCGTCCGGAAGCCAAGCCGTGCTGATCCACGTCTTGACATCGTCCATGGGCATGGTAACGTCCAGTGGAGATTCTCCAAAGGTCAGACGCAGCCTGCATGGGGCATCCATGTTGGTTCCCACGCAAGCCAGCTTAAACGAGAGGAAGCCAACCATGTGGACCCCAAAGTCCAGAACGAACTCGTCTCCTTTGCCCCAGGCAAGCGCGGGGAGCGTGTCGATGGCATCCTTGCCTGGGGTAGGACTGATGCCAAAGTAACTCTGCTGGTCTGGACTGAAGGTGACGAATCTCTGGGGCGCGCGATCCCATCTGGCGAGACTGGGGCACAAGCCTTCTGAGATTTTTTCAAAGTCGCGGTTCCAAACTGTCGGTACGACTTCCTCGATCGGGGGATTAGCGGCGTCAGCCATGGCGGTTGGGCTGGAGATATTGGGTTGGGAGCTGAAAGAGACGAGCGAACAACGGGCAATCTCCGGGGTTTTAACGAAGTTTGGTGATGTGATGCTTCGATTTCAACTTGAGACGACCAAAGAAAGCCGCGAGAAGCAGCAAAGTGGCGATGGACGCGATGAGATGACACGAGCCGCGGTTGATACTTGCCCGAATCCGAGTGCTTGGCGTCAATGGCTCCCGTTGATGCATGCAAAACCGGGAGCCAATCGACCGAAACGCTCTCAACTACACCGAATAATTGGAGACCTGAATCGGGTGATCATGCAACCCCTCAAAGTCATGACTCTTCCCACAGTCTTTGGGACAGTCTGGGCGCCAAGCGAAGGTGTCAACTCCACCAACATGGTCCTGGAACGGCAAGTCTAGGCACAACTCTGGGAGAACCACGGATAGTTCTCCCGAGACTGGGATACGAATCGGCGAGCCAGACTCCATTCGTATTAGCGACCTTGCCTCCTCGTGGCGGCGGGGAAGTTGGCTTCGGGCTAGCCATGTACCCCAATTACGACGTCGGCAAACCCCCAGGTTGATCGTCGCTGACAGAGGCAATACACTGGAGCAGACACATGATCCTCTTTGCGGGGAGATGAGGGGATTCCGGGGACTGCAATATGGGGCCATGGTACGTTGATCCTCGGCAAAGGGGACGACGGTCTGCGGTCTGCGGTCTGCAATCTGTGGGCGGTGATGCCCTCAGAAGAACTTCAGAGCCTCCCTCCACAAAAACAAACCGCAATTACGTCAATTCCCCGTTCCACGAGTCAATTCCCCATGACAGGAACCGTCCTAGCTCCCCAAACCACGCCGTGGCTGGCCCTGCCTGCGCCTGAACAGGCCAAACTACGCGCTGAGGTCTGCCGGTTCTTCCCCAATTCCGCATGACCCTAGGCTAGCTTCAGCCCGCTCCAAGAGCCGGTCTAGACTCCCGAGGGAAATAGTCGAGAAAATTTTTGGGGTTTATGGCCTGGACGACCACACGACCTCGCTAATAACCGCTAAACCCAAGTCCTCCCAGCGCCATGGGTGTGCCCACGCCCGGACGCTCTCTCCAATGCTTCGGTCCAGCCGACCCCGTGGGGAAGGGTTGGAGAGAGCTAGCGGAATGTGGACGTGGCAGGCCGTGTGGGCAATTAAGTTAAATAGCTTGCAACGTCCATCTCAAGAGCTTCCGTTCATCTCATCTCCATCTCCATCTCCATCTTCATCCCGCTCCATCTCACAGGGTTGACAAGTCTTCAATCGCCTCAGACCGCCTTGTCGACACAGATCCACAGTCCACAACCTCCCCGCGTCAAATCAACCCCCTTGATCGCCATGAGCGACGTCAAGAAAGACTCGGAGACCGGTGTCGTCGACGTCGGCAAGCCCGAGCACTTCGAGCAGGTCGCTGCCACCGCCGCCGCCGAAGACCACCAGGAGGGCCCTATCCAGGCCATCCGCAAGCACCCTCTCGCTTTCATCTGGTGTGTCTACGCCATCTACATCCTCATCCTGTCCAGCTTCGACAACCAGGCGAGCGGTATCGTCCTGGGTATTCCTCAGTTCCGCAAGGACTTTGGAACTGCCTTTGCCGGCGACTATGTCCTTCCCGCGAAGTGGCAGTCCGCCTATAGCGGTGGCCCCGTTGCCTCGTAAGTGGTCTATAATGCTCTGACTGCCGCGGTTGCTTCAGCTCAGCTAACAAATCTCCCAACAGAGCTGTCATCGGTTCCCTAGGCTCTGGATTTATCACGGACAAGGTCGGCCGCAAGTGGACTCTTCTGCTCTGCTACGTTCTCGTCTTCGTTGCCATCACCGTCGAAGTCATCAGCACTACCAACGCCGTCTTCTTCGTCGGCAAGTTCATCGCCGGTTTCGCCGTCGGTGGCTTCATCACTGTCAGCATGACCTATATCGGCGAGGTTGCTCCTCTGGCTCTCCGAGGAACACTCACCGCCGCCGCTGCCATCGCCTTCACCATCGGACCCTTCATCGTCTCCCTCGTCGTCAAGGGAACCGGCGCTGGAACCACCCGCTGGGCCTACCGCTCCATTTTCGTTTCCCAGTACGCTGTCAGCGGTCTCGGAGTCATCGTCCTTCCCTTCATGCCCGAGTCTCCCTGGTGGCTCCTCGACCACGGCAAGGGCGACAAAGCCGTCCGCGCCCTCGAGCGACTTGGCTACACTGGACAGGAGAATGAGAAGCGCATCGCTGTCATCACCCAGACCTTGGAGGAGGTCCGCAAGGAGACCGATGGAGCCAGCTTCTTGGAGTGCTTCCGCAAGTCTAACCTTCGCCGCACCATGATCTCCGTTGCCCCCATGAGCATCCAGGCCCTCTGCGGTGTCTTCTTCGTTGCCGCCTACTCTACCTACTACCAGCAGCTTGCCGGATACTCCACCGACATGAGCTTCAACCTCGGTGTCATCCAGCAGGTTCTGTCCATGCTTGGCAACATTACTTCGTGGTTCCTGATCGACCGAGTTGGTCGCCGACCCCTCACCATCTGGGGAATGGTTGTCCTTACTGTTATCCTGTGTGTCACCGGTGGACTCGCTGTTGTCGGCTCCGTTGCTGCTACCAAGGGCACCGTTGCTCTGCTCCTGGTTTACTGCTACTTCTACAACGTCACCATCGGTGCCACCGCCTACACCCTTCTTACCGAGGTCGCCACCTCCCGACTTCGCGCCAAGACTGCTTCCATCTCGCTTGCTCTCCAGAACTCCCTCTTCGTAAGTTTTTCGGTAACAAAAGCTTCCCCGAACAGTCACTAACATCCATCTAGACCATGTGGGCTTTCGTCATCCCCTTCCTGTTCAACCCCGATCAGGCCAACCTCGGAGCCAAGGTTGCCTTCATCTTCGGCGCCCTGGCGGTGTTGTCCACTATCTACCTCTGGTTCTGCCAGCCCGAGACTGCTGGTCGCTCCTACGAGGAGTTGGATGAGCTCTTCATGAAGAAGGTCCCCGCTCGCGAGTTCAAGACCTTCGTGACCGACGCGGAGCAGAGGCAGTAGATCTGACCTCATCATGAGCAACGACCTGAATGGTTACTATTAGCAGAAAGGCGGCGACCCAGCGAAATACTGGGATACATCGGCGGTACATATAGTTCGCCTTTTCGCTTCTCTAAAAACAACCTCCCCAGGCATATACTGGCGGATTAATCAATAACATTTGTTACTTCACTAAACATATCCTCTTTGGTGCACGTATCCCTCTCCACGTCTATTGTTCCCTCCAAACCTATTCCATCGTGCCTTGTTGCGTTCACCTCAGTCCATAAAGATGCGGTATAATGATGCAATGTGGGATCACAGGATCTGACAGTTATTGCAGATGCCCCACCAAGTACTCTTGAGCCAACCACCAAGTATCGAATCCTGAGACACTTAGTTCTATAGTGCACCGAGTAAGCTTGGCGTTAAAAATTGTCACTGACAGGCCTCAGTAGATGCGGTGTGAGAGGGGCGAGGTAGATTTGCGCGGGGCCCAGTGGCCTTTTCGAATAATTTTGTCGCCAGCTAAGACGGCACAGTCCGGGAACTTACTGAAAGGTACGCACGATTGCCATAACGAAGAATTCTACAAAGCCATGCTTGTTGACGTATGTGGGATATTGGCTTATTGTGGCTTGGCTCGGCTGACGCTCAATTCTACCCATTCAAGTCGTTTGGCGAGCATGTCCTAGCTCATGGCTGCTTATGTCTGGGCTTACACCTGAAAACCCTTTCCATTCTTGCCGGTTGACGTGTGCAGTTTGGCTCATTGGTCCAAGTTCAGTAGGATCTGCTGATACTCTCCAATTAGGCAATGGCCGGTACTTCGCCTCGAGGTAATGAAGCCCACTATAACGGGAGGTTAATATACCACGGCTTGCAAGTAATTATATAAATCGATATTTACACCAAATGATATATTCTACTGCCGCTACAGCTACACATCGTCAACTCTATCCGGATTTAAAACGAATACCTAAGTTGTTGAACACGAAGACAGCCATGGTTACAAAAACGACTTTCTGCTGGGTAGCCTGGGCCCTCGTTGCCCTCCATTCTCCAGTGTTTGCCTCCCCTTTGAAGGCACACAACTCAACATATCCGCCAAACCCAACTATTAGCTTCACCACTTGTGCACCGGAGTATAGCATGTCGGAAGAGTTTGAGTGCGGCTCTCTGACAGTGCCCATCGATCACGACAACGCAGGCGACGGTAGCATTGACCTATTCGTTTCTCGTCGGAAGGCAACTGGAACATCGAGATCTCTTGGTAGCCTCGTTTTCAATAACGGCGGTCCTGGGTCGGGATCCTCCGTTGTATTCCAAGCCCTTTCAATTGGGTTGCCTGCCTTTCCTTCCTTTAGCCAGGATATCTTGGAGAACTACGACGTTATTGCTGTTGATACTCGGGGTATTGGTTACAGCAATGCAATATCTTGCGACAAGGATATTTGGAATAGTGCCCCTAAAGTATTCGCAACAGACGACGCCGGTTCCTCGAAACTCGTTGCATTTAACAAAGACCTGGGGGAGAGTTGCTTGAAGCTAACAGGCCCTCTTGCTGGCTTCATGGACTCTGTATCAACTGCTAAAGACTTCGAACTGCTACGCAAAACTCTTGGTGATGAAGTGCTGAACTACATTGGATTCTCCTATGGCACTGTACCTGGTCAAGCCTATGCAGAGCTCTACCCGCAGCATGTCGGCCGGATGGTTCTTGATGCCGTGGTCGACCATTCGACCGCGGGGGCCATAACCTCTATCATGACAGAGTCCCAGACCTACCAGGCCACCCTCGAGCAGTTCTTTGTGTGGTGCAACGAGACGGTCGAGTGCTCTCTCAATGGCCAGGATCTTCCGACTATCTTCAAGACCCTTGCATCTGCCACTTCGTTGCCTGCACACTGCGAGGAAGGCGAGGGCAAATGCAAGCCTCAGATCACGGGCGAAGATGTGCTCTTCAATGCCCAAGGCCAACTGTTGTTTGCCCAGTCACCATTTCAAAATTGGACAGACCTTGCAGATGCCATCATTTTAGCCTTCAACGGGAATGCCAAAGGCTTATCCACGAAGTTGAAGACCGACAATACGGAAACAAATATCGGCTCGGACTACGCCGCCCGTGCCATTATTTGCCAAGACTACGGCAGCTCTTTCACCTCATCAGCAGATATCAAGAACATTCTGGGGGTCACCTCAGCGCTTCTCCCCTTGACACGTGGTGCATCCGAGGCTTTTGCCGCTGAAGCCTACTGTGCAAGTTGGCCAACCTCGGTACGCTATCCGCCCCAGGTACCAAACGCAACTCAAATGGGCAGAGTGCCGCCGCTTATGCTCGTGAACGCATTCTTGGACCCCGAGACAAGTGCTGCGTGGGCGCAAAGTGTGGGGCAGCAGATCCCAAGTGCTGTGAATATCTGGCGAAACGGATCTGGCCATACAAGTTACCCATTCCAAGGGGAGACTAGAAAGGCGATTGATGAATTCTTGATCAGCGGGAGGTTGCCGGAGCAAGGAACGGTGTTTGAGACATGAAAGATTAGGAACGGGAATGGTAGGTGTATGGAGGCGGATTTATCGGCAATTTATGGTCATCATCCAACCTGTAAACAAACTAGGGCCACTATGATATGCTAGATATATTCCTATTCAAATCAACTACACAGTGTTCAAGTTTGCGAACTTGGATGTATTGGAAGCTGCCTTTATACTGTATATACGCAGAGGCGGCTTGGTGTTCACAGTCAAAGTAAGACCAACCCCACGTTTTCAGGCCTCCTGTCATAACCGAACCGCACGACTCCGGCCCTATGGAATATGCGCGTGAGAATTTATTTTTAGAATTTGTTAATCTCCATGTCCTTTTTACCAAAATAGATTACTTGCTTAGCTCACGTAGAACCTACCAATGGGGTATTGTGTGTGGCTGGGTGCGGCCTTTGCTAACGAGCAGGTGTGTTGGCTGTGGCCGGAACATAGACCCAGGAGTGCATTGTGACTAGTGGCTGGAGCGTACACGCATGTAGGTGGCCGGCTGAATGAACTGGCTCGGCAGGGATATTTGTTTCGTATGTTGGTATCTTTTGGGCTCTGTACGGCTGAGAGGACATCCGGAACGACCGCCGCAGCCATGCATACCCTGAGACAAGACGCCTACAACCCAAATCTCAAGTGTAGCCTGGCCGCATCAATCGTATCTTCAGGGTTCGTTGATTGGGCACCGCAAGCTCACACCATCGGCGTTTGGGTTGATAGCCGCCGACCATGTCTCCGCTAAGAACCAACTGCATATTCACGAAACGGAAGGTCAGGACAACCAACACACATATTTGGTCGAGCTGTTGGCTCCTACGGATAAGTGATAACCCCATTCAGCACATCCTCCGGGGCTTATTATGCCGCATCACCCCGCAGTTTATCTCATTCGGTTCAAATCGCATCATTCTGATCTACCAAACGTGTGGTTTTCCTTCATCGCCTCGTTCCATGACGCAACTGACATTCCAAGCCATGAAATCAAAGGTACGTCTTTTTAATCCATCAACTATCCGTCGCGAACCCAGATCATCTGATGGCTATTGTAGCGTCGAGCCAGCGGAGCAGGTTCTGCCGCCACTCCCAGCATCTCCGGCACCCCGCGTGACGACGCAGACGTGCCCATCCCTTCAATTGAAGATCGCGCATCATCCAATTCAGTGTCTGATGACACATCTACGACTTCTAGTCGTTCTTCGCGCCTTCGTACGCCTTCTGTATCTGTCACCCCTCCGGTCTCCTCCTCGAGTGCTCGATCCACTGTCAGTCGGGGAGGTAGCGGGACAGTTGGTCGGGCACAATCCGAAAGTCATGGCATTGACTCTGCTCTAAATCGCATGACCCTCTCAAGCCCAGATGGGATCGGTAACTTGTCCCATGTAGCTGCTGCAATCGATGCTGTGGCTCGAGGATCAGACAGTCGTTCCGTGTCGCTCGCCCCAGATGACCAAATCGGTAAAGACAAGTCGAGATCATCTCAGCCATCGACTCACAGGAGACGCTCAAGTTCTAAAGTCAACGCTTTGCCGCATGATGTCAAGGATGAAGAGCTTCCACATGATGCTTTCCATAACCCATCCTTCCAACAGGCATTCGGAGACGCGAAGATGCTCATGTCAAATATACGGGACGTATTAGGAAGCACTTCACTTCACAGCGACCCTGACTCTACAATGCAACGGCTTCACAAGGAGGCTGGTGACTTGGCTTGCTTCAAATATCCATCCACGCGGACCGTTGGGTTCGTCGGTGACTCTGGTGTTGGTAAGTTATTTTGTCCCTCTTGGAAAATAACCATAGGAAATATCTAATTCTCTCTGATACAGGAAAAAGCAGCCTCTTAAACTCTCTCCTTGATTTTCAAGATCTTGCTAGGACGGTAAGTTCCATGATCTAATGACTGCATGCCTGCCTGTAGAGTATTGACAATGGATAGAGCAACAGTGGCGAGGCATGCACATGTGTCGCCACAGAATACCACTACCATGAGCGCAATGCCTTCGATATCGAGGTAGAGTTGTTCTCAATGGATGAGATCAAAGACCAGCTCTTAGATCTCCTGCAGTCTTATCGGCACTTCCACTTTCATCAGCATGAGATGGAACCTGCAGAGAAACAGGATATGGAAGAAATCGCAAAGCGAGCACGATATACTTTCCGTGCCATGTTCTGTGATCGCATGGACGATGAGGATTTCCTTATTGAGAATTCGGAACGTGCTGTTCTAAAGAGTCTTACTTCTTGGGCGGCAGATGCCAGGCCTTCGGGCATCGCCTCTCGGGAATCTGGGCTCTCGCTGCAGAGATGTTCTGCCAAATTGATGCAACTGTCCTCAGAGCCGGCTTCGAATCAAAATCCAGCAAAGTGGCCATTTATCAGGAAGATCAAGTGAGTTGAAGCGTGATTTCTTTGGTGTGCTCACCGATACAAACTGACACTTTGCAAGGTTGTTCCTGAACGCCCACATCCTCAGTAAAGGCCTCGTCCTTGTTGACCTCCCTGGTATGTTGAACGTGTATCGTCCACCCAAAAATGAGATGCGAAATTTACACTGGCAGGTCTTCATGATATGAATTTGGCCCGAAGAACGATTACTGAGAGGTTTCTGCTCGAATGCGATGAGATATTCGTCGTTTGCAACATTGGACGTGCCGTGACCGACGCAGGAGTCGAGTCTGTGTTCGAGTTGGCGCGCCAGGCTAACTTGTCCAATGTGGGAGTCATATGTACTAGATCCGATGTGAGTGACAACATATCCCTCGATGATCTAGTCATTGTGTTTAACGTCGAGGACTAATTGGTGGAAAATAGGACATTAATGCCAACGAAGCCAAGAAAGACTGGAAAGGGCAGAAGTCGAAGAATATCCAACGCCTGATTGATGCAGTTGCCGCGGATAAGAGAGACTATGACAAGATTGAGTCTGAGATTACTGAATATGGTGAGGATGATGATCTTTCTGATGGAGAGAGAGACCATGTTCTGGGACTTCACAAAAAGAAACGCCTTATCCGGTTAGTAGATAGTTCCTCCTTCGTCGAATTCTGTGGAAACCGAGCTCCCCTAGGCCAAATGCTAACGAATTTCACTTCCAGAAACCGAAAGAATGATCACACGTTTGAGTATGTTGCTCATTCCCACCATCGCGCACACCACAATACTAGATGCTAATATAGGGATCGCTATTCTAGATTACATGCTTACCTTGTCACAACGCGCAACTCAACGATCTATCAGAAACTGCGAGATCAATACAGTAGCAAGGTGCCGAGTGGGGACCTCAGGGTGTTCTGCGTGAGCAACAAGAACTACTGGGACCACAGGATGCGTCCACGGGACGCTGCCCTTCCTTACCTTCAACTAAGCTGCATCCTCGAAGTGCGGAAATATTGCATCTCTATTGTAGCAAACAGCCAACGCCGCATTGCTACCCGCTATATGAGAGACGAAATCCCCGATCTTCTTGCTCAAATAGAGCTCTGGGTTCAATCTGGCGCGGGCAGCGCCGATGCGGAGAGGAAAGAAGTTGTCCGCCGCACTTTGAATGAGCTTGAAAGTCGACTGAAAAAAGTAGGTAGATATCAAGATGGAGCTAGTTGTGATAGTGGCCCAGTGAGGGCGATCAAGCTGACGAGGCTGGGCAGGATTTGAGTTCCAACTCGTCTAGTGTCAATAATATCGCCGCATCGATCAAGCAAGACTTTTTGGAGCAAATATACGAGAGTACGTATTTTCTCATATATTCATATCCCGATGCCTGGTGCTTTTGACTGCCAATCGCCATGACACTTAACTAACAGTTTCCACAAGAACGACGTATCTCTGACTGGAGCGAGTCGGCAATAGAAGCTGGGGATGAGTGGAGTGGGGTATGTATACAAACCTAAGCGTCCCGGCTCAGTATACATCTTACTAACTTATGGCCATTAGTGGCATCACTGTGAGTTACTAATGATCCTCTGATGGGGACCTTGCTTCCTCGCGAAAGCTATGTGACTGATAGTAATATAGCTTCGTATGCTGCATTTTGTCGACAATTTGGCAACTATTGCACACCGGCAGCTGGGAAACACAACTGGAATGAAGAAGCTATTGACGGAATGGTCAAGGACCTGAAGAGACCCTGGAAAGCCCTTTGCGCTCGCATAGAAGATCGAGAGATTGAAACCGGGAGACTTGTGGAGGAGTTGACAGACTGGTCGATTCAGCATCTAGGTAAGCCAAGTTCTGGGCAGCAGCCTCGCTCTGCCTTATTCAACCTACGAACCCCTTGCAACACGCAGCCACCTGGCTGGAAACATCAAATACTGTTTCATTTGTCAACAGAAACCATAAGAGTCCCAGATTATTTGCGTTCAGGTACTAATTGAGTTTCAGACTGTGGCCTGAGCGACATGCCAGAGATAGCATCCCCTCTGGCTAATGCAATTGTCTCCCAACAGCAAGTTCTGCTTGGTAACATTGAAGAAGTTTACGAGGAGTTTGGTGCTAGTCTGAGGTGAGTCACGATTACGTCTCAGCAAACGCTTGAAATTATGCATACTAAGGGTTAATACACTAGGACACTACGTACGGATGCTATGTCAGGCATTCAGACCTCACTCATTGGACAAAGCATGGATGGACCCTACAGATCATGCAATCGAGAAAGCGGTGAGTAATCATTACTGAAATTGGAGGCTCTCATCTCAACCGAGATGGTTTCCTATATGTTTCTGCTTCGTTGAAAACATTGCTGACGAAATTTGGGAATTTTAGGAAGAGGTAGTGATGCACGACGGAAGGGTATAATCAATGACGCACTTGCCCGCGACGACCTGTTCAGTGATCTGATGAGAAGTTTCAGAAAAAGCTTCTCTCAACTTGCCAAAGTTGCCCAGAAGAAGATCGATACTGCAGTGTCGACCTACCTCGCTTCTATACATGGAACTTTGAAGATTATTCTCAGTGAGAACGTGGCGTTGGAGAGCGAGCAAGATCCTGCGTTCCGTCGCCGCGTGGATGAAGCTGTCAAGGAGAGCAAGGCGAAGATTGAAAGAATCAAGGCCGAGATCGATCATTGATTTGGTAGAGTTTCCCAAGGGCGGGATTGATGGAGGCTTAAATAAGTACGCTGCAACCTTTTCGTCCTCAGAATGTAAGTGGACAAGGAGATGGAAGTTTGGATGTATAGTAAGTGGATTAGCTTAGTGATGAATCGAGAGTATTTTTATTTCTCCACACACACACACCCATTACTTGGTGAGAAGAAGTATGTCAATGAATATTGCAGCTGCTGGGCTGCAGGCCTTGAAATTTAAGGCCCGAATAGCAGATCGTGCCATTATTCTCTAACGACAACTTATAACGTCGTTATAGTGAGAAAATTGGGTGCCTTGATATTTTTCAAGATTCCTACAGAAGGAAACAATAAACTACCTATATAAATGACGTCGTGGGGACAGTTCCTTCTAGAACTGGAGTTCTACAGGAGAACTCGGAAGAGAAGTCGGTGGCCCATCTGCTAGGGGTTTATTATACTAAGCAAAGTTGACAAATCCTGGAGGGACTAAACTTAGCTCGGGTATCTTCCAAAAGTAGTCCATCACGCGCATGTGGCTCAACGTGCTATTGGGAGAAATATCGGAATCCATCCCGATGATCCACAGCAAGCTGGTGCAATTCCTCGGCCCCACTCCTCTGAACGCCATACATAAACCTGACCCTTGTTGAAAGCTCAACTCGCCTCTGGGTATTGAGTAGAACTCTTCCATATTCAATACCGTACCTTCCATCACCGATCGCCTACCATCACAAGCGTTATGGCAACACCGCAACCTGTCGACAATGTCCTCGACGCAATCGGAAACACGCCGTGTGTCCGTTTGCGGCGTGTCGTTCCAGAGGGACACGCCCAAGTGTTTTTGAAGCTCGAATCTCTCAACCCAACAGGGTCTTACAAAGACCGTATGGCGAGGTCCATGATCGAAGAGGCGGAAAGTAGAGGAGATCTGCGCCCGGGAATGACTGTTGTGGAGGCAACCGGAGGGAGTACCGGCTCGTCACTGGCGTTTGTCTGCGCGGTCAAGGGCTACAAGTTTCAAGTGATCTCTTCTAACGCCTTTGCACCTGAAAAACTGCGAACAATGTCAGTGTTCGGTTCAAGTGTCGAATTGGTCCACAGCCCTTCAGGAAAGATCACAGCAGATCTGATTCCTTCAATGAGAGACCGTGCCAAGGCGGTATCGAATAATGGATCTTGCTATCTAACGGACCAGTTCAACAACCGGGACGTTCTTGTTGGCTACGAGGGCCTTGGTCGCGAATTGGTTCATCAATTCCCGAACGGAATCGACGCCTTCTGCGGTGCAGTGGGTGGAGCCGGCATGATGATGGGTGTGTCAAGAGTCTTGAAGACTAAATGGCCGCAAACCAAGGTGGTCATTCTCGAACCGGCGTCTGCTCCAGTCATTACAGAGGGTCGAGGTGGGACGCATGGCGTCGAGGGAATCGGGATAGGATTTGTGCCGCCGCTCCTTGACAAGGAACTATACGATGAAGCCCGAGCGATCCCAGAAGACGAAGCTCGTGACATGTGCCGGAGGCTTGCAGCAGAGGAAGGACTTTTGGTGGGCACTTCTACTGGCATGAATGTTGTCGCTGCTCTTGCGCTTGCAAAACAGTGTGGACCTGGGAAGACAGTGGTCACTGTCGCATGCGACACGGGGCTGAAATATATGAACGGAATTTTGTTTAGTGGCAGCTAGGATAATGTTGGGCATTATTCTAGAATAGTTAATTAAGCAAATGAATAAATATCATAGGGAGGTGCAGATACCGAAAATTGATAAACATTATACGGAGTACTGAAAGCCTACATTGTCAGTTGCATCACTGATAATTTGTACATGCCAGGACTAAAATGCATATGGGCTGTGTGCAAATCGCAAGACCCAAGACAAGATAATTGAAAAATAAAATGGCGGCATGCAAGTTATACCATAGAACTCTGCCCCCGATAATCGGACTCTGTTTGTATGAACTCTGTTTGCATGAAAAGGTTGAATCGAGGCCAATGGACACTCGCAGTACGTAAAGCCAACCCTTGTAGCACTGAGCCACGAAAGTCCACATGTCCTCCGCTGTAGACAATTAAGACGGGAAAAACACTATGTAAATAAATAGAGTGATTGAATCCACCTCTATTCAGCCCTTTCTTGAAAAAGATCAACGAGCGGACAGGTGTTTCGCACGAGCCGCGATCATGAAACTGCTGATTCACAACTTAGTAGAGTATACCGTGAGGCAATCCACATCAATCACTAGGGGATTTGGTCTAGGGGAATGACGTTTGTTTTGCATTGTCTCATCGACATGAAAGCCTACAAAAGGTCGGGGGTTCAATTCCCTCAATCTCCATTTTTTGCTGGTCGTGGTTGCAGCACATATCCTCAGCGGGTAGTAATTTATGCAAGGAGATGATGCATAGAGGCACTTTGTTTATACTCAATCTGTTCAATCCAGCCTTTAGTGCTGGAGGGAGTTCTGGCGATGACGCCGCATTGGTAGCTCTGAAGGGAAGTCCAATGCTCCGTCTACTGACATGGGAGGATCCATCCGCGCACCTGCGGCCTTTATTAATGGCGTTTACGGCATTACACCATCTGTTGACCGTGTCCCCAAGCGAGGAATGAAGAGTGTAGAAAGCGGCCAGTTGAACATCAGAGTTTCCTATGGCCCCCATTTGCCATAGCATCTCTGATCTCAAACTCATGATCACTTGAGACGTATGTGATGGTAGTAAGCTGATGTGCTTAATGCAAAATGGCATCGCGGAGGAAATTGAGAAGCGGTTGGATAGGAAGGGGTGATAGCTGTAGAAACACTCGGGATTAAGACCGTGACAAGATTAAACAGAAAATTGGGGATAACAAGTAGCCCATTTAGTCTTCTCACGACCCCTGACCCTTTGTCAGAGGGCGTTATAGACCCAGATACACAAGCATGTACCAATTATAGTAGCGCACTACGTTTTTTGGCCTGACGGTGTAAATCTGACACCTTTCTAGGCCACATGAGTGCGCTGATAGGTTGATGAACGGAAGATTAGCTGTGTAATACCACGATCCCCTCCAAATTTCGATACTGAGCGGAGCCTAAGCGGGCTGGCCAACCGGGGAAAGATCCCATTGGCATGGCCCAACATCTTGGAGAAACCGATCACCAAAAATAGAGTGGGCGGTTTCGACCTTTCAAATACCGTCAGAGCCGGGCATTTGGTACCCAAGCTGAAATTCAGATGCGCGTCTCAGGGTACGATTGCCGTGGAAAAGAAGGTTAATGGAGAACTGCCTCGGCGTCGACATTGTTTAGAGAGCAGGTTGAATAGCGGACACCTCGACAACAAGTATTAAGGGGAAAATGACATAATCTTCGCCGTGCTTCGGCGTGGATCTAGGCATTTTCATTGTCATTGTTGTTTAGCCTCTGTGTTGAAAAACAGCGAGAGCAAAGGAGCTCTGGACTAACATTTCCTTTGTGTCAAGTAATTTCCTTGTCTCAAATTTAGAAAGTTTGTTTGTCTTTCAAAACAAGTCATTTGTTCAAGCATCGCTGTTTACAACTAGTCCCTAGCGTCTAAACAAAGAGCCGATGGTTGCGAACAAAGGGGCAAATCTGATCGTGGAACACTGAATCATTGCATTGACATCACATCATGAACAGATTTTAAGTGCCGTTTGAAAAACAGACCCAGAGTCGGATTGACAGGTATAAATAAATTAAAAGACTTGTGAAGAAATCATCAGTACCATATTCTCCTATCAATCCATTTCTCTTCAACCCACACCACTACATCAAATACCTGACCACGACCAGCAACTTCAAAATGTCGAACGAATCACTTCAAACCTGCCTTTACTGTGGCAAAGCCGAAGAGACCCTGGCATATGGCCAACGCTGCAGCGAATGTTTTCGTCGAGTCATGGACGCGGACATGAGCACTGTGCAATCAGCCACGAAATATGACCCCCTGGGGCGTTGTGCAACCTGCAATAGGGAGTACTTCAACCGTCAACTCCAGTTTGATGCCAAATACCGGAAGATATGCGTGCCATGCAAGCTACTCGAGGCCTACCAAAAGTGAGATCCTCGACCCGAGCTTGATGAAACCTCCCATGCCTAACACGGCTAGGACAAATCCCAGGAATGATTATCACAAAAGCATGTCGAAATTTTTGTGACCAAGCGTCGCAAGGAGCTTGGATCATGGTTAAGGACTGGTCTGAAAATAGCACTGCCCCAATTACAAGATATTATGGAGGAAATTATAGCACTTGATACACCGAATCGAATATTTCCCCAACGATCAAGAGCATCGGGTAGCTTGAGCCCCTGATGCAATTTTAGTCCCTTAATCATCCGACTTGGGAACTCTTCCAAGTCAAGTCGTTTGAGTTTGTATTCCCTGCCTGTGCCACTTTATGCAAGAGCATGACATGAACACAGTCACCGTAGCCTTGGACTCCTCCCCATAGATGAGCCCTCAGCCATCCCCGTCCAAGACAGAAGCTCAGCAAGGCTTTGCCAAGCCACTGGGGATACCGCGTACTTGAAGACAAGACCGGAGGATTGACGTAGGCGTAGGAGTGGCGTAGGCGTCCAAGGTAGATAGGACAGATCGAAGGTTTCGGGTGTCGCACAAATGAAGGAAAGAGTATGGAAGTCTCGGAGGATTGGTCTCGGCCTGGGTCACATTAGAGTGTTGCTTCGGGTTGCAAGGCTACATCTCTGCTTACATGGACCGACTCCACGAATGACAGCCGTGTCGGCAGCGCCTTTACAAGCCCAGCCACGTCGTATTTCTCATGTTAGGGGAGTTGAACTGAGACCCTATTCCGATGAGGAAGCCCGAGCAATCGTTCGAAGAATCTTGGTATGCAATCGGGGATATTTCCACGTCGACCCGTCGGAACCCTGGCGACCCAAATTGTCGCCAGACGAAGGTAGCAAAAGAGGGCGATCGGAGAGGATCCTGCAGCCGGGCGTTGATGGGTCCCCTAAAGTCGTAAATGTAGCAGTTTATGGGGATAAACGAGGGATAGGCCTTCGATGACAGGATTACGTCGCATTGATGACTTCCGGTACTGAGTCTGACCCACTGTTAGTCAAGGAGTTCGTCATGTTGGGAGAGTTGGGTGTTCTGGGGGGAGTACTCAAACATACGTTGATGGGAAGTCATCGCCTTGCGAGAACGGCGTTGAGTGCGGCATGTTCAAGCAATTCTGAAGGTCGACGGGGAGGCCGGTCTGGGTTGGAGCCAGGAGGTCAAACGGAAGGGTATTTATGCTGAGCCGAAGAATCTAGCCCTTGGCCGGCAGGTAGAGCCCGTCGTTTTCATTGCTTTTTCGAGTCCTTCGGGAGGCTGTCGGAGAAGTGGTCGCATGTACGGTTTGACAATAGACATCAAGTCCAAGGCTGGCCACAGGGCCAAGAAGGCGCGTCGACATGGTCATCAGAATGATGGCGTCCAGGCGAGTTCGAGTGGCGGCTGAGAGTATGCGTTGTTGACTTGCGGGATGGAATTGGGAGGAGTCGGTGAAGAAGGACCAGAGGGAAGAGGAAACAAGAGTAGAGCAAGGACCAGGGATGATGGGAAGACCAATCTTGAGGATGAAGGACAAAATGGCTGCAGCACTCGTGAGAGCCTGACGCTGAGAATACAGCTGATAGGTAGGGAGAGAGTGTGATACGCACCGGCTGGTGGCTCAGGGGTGTGTCCGGAGTGTTATGGAAGGGTCCTTCAGAGCGTGTGATAGACTCGGTCACTTGGGTTGGGTCAATCAGCCCAGCTGAGACCTTCTTCGTCTTGGCACGCCCACCATCTCATCATACCTGTGATTCTTGACGGGAAGGCAAAGCCCCTCCTGTCCTGATGGGGGCAAAGCTTGACGCCTCGCGCCAGATCCACTAGGCTTCGTCACTATCGCCGGTCCACGCCCCCGTCAAGAGTCAAAGTGAGGCGACCGAGGAAAGAGGAAACTGTTGGATTAAGCAGCCGGATGCAGTATCCGAATGTATGAGGCCCCATTGAGCTGCGCTTGAGGGACGAGCCAATGTGTGGGGGTTGTTGAGTCTAGATGGTTTTGGCAAGGTCTGACCGCGACACATTCCAGAGCCCGCGCACGAAACGCGCACACTTTTTGGCCATCAAGGCCATCGTTCTATTTACGGCTACGTAAGCTGCCGTCGCCCGATCTTTCTGGGCCCGCAACTGAGAAGCTCTTGGCCACCACGCGCTTGCGATCTGTCAGGATGCTACTGGACCGATGCGGAGGGACAGATCCGGCTTCTCAGCAGGATTCCGAGGCAGCCTTCTGCCCTCTTCCCTTCTCTACTCCAATAACCTTGTCCAGCTGCGGTGGCTTGACTCCTTCACGTACACTAAATGGAGCCGTAACGATTCCGGGCTCACCGCTCGGGTACCTCCCCGGATGGCCCGGTATACATCCTCCTGCCTCCAAAGAAGAAAAGAAAGATGACCACAGGCGCAGGTTATCTGTAGCCACACGCACGAGTGACAATGAATTGTATACTAGCAGGTGAACCAGCACAGCTGGCGCCCTGTCCCGTCCCGCGCGTCCTATCTGGGGGCGTGTGGTGGAGAACAGGCGTTTCTCAGGGGAGATTCAGGGCTGACGAGAGCCGTAGACTGTCTTGCACTGACTCAAGACGCCCAATGTTCCAGCACACCCGCCAAGAGATACCCAAGGTCACCTGCCGGTCACCGTGACCTAGAGATTTGCAGTTTGCTGCGCGTGGACAGCGCATGGACAGCGCGTGGACAGCGCGATCTAGGACGTATGCGGCGTGGCCATGCAGGAGACGACGGAAACGGCCATCCGAACAGCTTTGCGCAAGCCACGTCCGCGTCTCGTTCCCATAGAATGTCAGATTTTGTATGCAATTGCACCTGGCGGTGCTTCCTCCGCCAAACAAGAGCAAGTAAAGCGGAACGAGGCCGACCCCGTCAATGCATATCCTTCCCTGCCGCACGCAAACTGAAAGTACCAAATCCTGGAAATATTTTCTAGGATCTGTACGGGCCGTTAGTCGGGGTACACACTGAGGTAACAAGGCTCTGAGAAGTTTGCTCGGCAAGTAGTTCATTTCCGGGGCACCAACCAGTAGACCCGAGTCATGGTTCGTTCCCAAGGGGGTCATGATCGCAACCCACCCACTCCTATAAACGTACGATGAGATATCCAGTGCTATTGTCTACTAAATCAAACCATAGTTATCAAAATAGAAGCCGCGGCTAAGGAAGATCGTTTGGTGTTTCATCTGGGCAAAAAGCCGTTGCGATGATGCTGTCCATGAGCCCGAGAGAGCCCGCTCCGTTCGCGAAGTCGTCGCTCAAGCGCCTCACTTCTAGCCCATGTGGATCCCTCAATCGCCCACCGCCATTATTAGACTTTCCCTCCAGCCTCAATGGAGGGAGTGTGCCTGCATTGCGCAACCATGACCCAGTTCCGCTCTGCCTTCATTGGAAGCGAGCAAACATCTCGCTCCACCACCATTCGGCCAAGATGCGCTAAGGTAGTGGGCAATGTCGTACAGTCTGCCACACTCACAATCGAAGGCGGCTAGACTCTAGAGGGTGCTCTTCGCGTCATGCCCAAGGCGCACGCGTTTTAGATTCTTACGCGGAAGCCGGGGGACTCGCCCCCTGAAAATAGCCAGCCTCCGCGGGAACATGGTAAGCCCCAGGCAAGTTGGGGAAGGACTCAAAGCCGGAACCCTCGATTCCATCTACCTACTCCCTTTCCCATCGTCCCCCTTCAGTGTTGACTGCCAGGGCTAGCCGAGCGTTCAGGGGGGGCGAGTTCCGGGCGCTAGCCAGAGGCCCCAGGCCCCAGCGGGTGCGACAAACTGGACCATACCGAGTCGGAGAGGGGGATTTCCAGGAGGATTTGGTGAATAATTAACTGAATCTTACGCTTTAAGGCGATGTGATGGTCATTGAAAGCTTTCGAATCCTATACACAGAATAAGGGGATGAGACAGTGTGGACGGACGACACAAGCGACCAAGCGCTATGAATTGGGAAGGTCTCAAGAACGGATGGCACCCCTCACTGTCACAACTTAAATCAGCCGCTAATTTAGATACGTCAAGATCACCTCGGGACTCAGAATCGTCGCAAACTGCCAGACGGTAGCCACGCGTGCTCAAGTAGCCGCAGTTTAGTGCAATCTGTCAGAGAAGCATGCGGAGATCTCGCTACCAGAACAAGGCGGTCTAGATTGGGCAGCCACACATTCCCCGGTACACCCTCTCTTACCTGCTGGAGGAGGCTGAGGTGTTTGGGGGATGTGCAACGCAGTAATGTCTTGGCCTACGGCTCCGGGCCGCTGGCCGGTGAGCCACCGCGGAGTACATCCGGCAGTGACATCGCCCACAGTGGACCCTGACGCTCGACTACTGCGAGAGCGTATTGCTTTTTATTTCATTGAACGAACTACTAGGGCTTGTAAGCAGAGTTTTTCCGTTGAGACAGCCTCGTTCCGTCTCAACCTCCGGTCGTCAGCAAGGCCCATTATGCGGCCATCAGGAGGGTATCGCAACTGCCACGCTGTCATGGATTCGGAAGCATCCCCGGGTCCACTGCCTAGCTCAATGATGGGAATGCGGTGTGATCCTCTTTCGCTCTTGTTGTCTCGAGACAACAACTGACGAAGGCACAAGATACACATTTGTGCCCCGGAGCAGTCCGCGCAATCTCCCCGGAGGCAGCGACACGAGAAAATGCAGGGTTTTTGATTAGATGCGTTAGTAAAACACAGCCATTGAGTCACTTTTCATGCTGATCATGAGACACAGAGCCGCATATGGTTCGCGAACTGGCAAAATACTTGGACCGTGACTAGTTGCCTCGTGAAGCTGGGGCCATCCGAACAACCAACACTACACACCAAGATAGCCATGGAAAGCGATAGAATCCCCAGGAAATTCTCTGCCAGATTAGGGAAATTGGATCCTAAATTTACTCTAGGGTGCCCCTTTATCCGAAGAATACGTCCATGATCCCCTGAACTGCAGTCGTTGTAGATGGTTGCATAGGCCCATACCTCAAGCGAGAGACAAGAATACTGTCCGGAATGAGAAACACGTCGCCGCTATTCGGTTGACTTGCAAAATTTCCGTCAGTCAATACTTTCTTGGCTGGCTACATCCGGAGTCTGCCCAACGTTTCGTCATCTAATCTCCCCAATAATTAATTTCACGACTATCCATGCTTCTTCAATCCAACGAGATAGTGCGCTGCGAGCGGTGCGACACTATGTAAATGCGACATTTGACTAAGCTACTCCTTTGAATCCAAATTCAGGATTTCATTCATCATCTCTGCCCATTTCCAGGGGCTTCCCTCGTCAGGATGGCTTTCCGTCACCGCGTTGTAGTACTCCCACCCCATCACACCTCCAATTCTGGGATATCTTGTCAGTAGCTCTTGTATGCACGCCCTGAGCTCGTCGTCTTTGACCCACCCTGCGCCATTGGCAGGGTTTGTCACCAGGCCTACGACGATCTTTTCCTGTGGCCACCCTCGCGCAATGATGGAGTCGTAGCCATGTGGCTTGCTCATATCGCCCCAGCCACAGTAGAACTGGGTATTATACCATGCTATTCGTGATCCCAGGCCCTTTTCCAGCTCTTCGATGTTGAAACCACCCAGGTTTTGTCGATTTAGCAAGGCCGGCGCGACGGGTGCAAGCGTGACGAGGAAGGACTGTCCAAAGTCGGTCTTCAGATGATCGATAAGGCGAACCACTCCTCCAAGGGACATGGCTTCCTCGATATCCAAGTCCAGTCCATCAAGTCCCGCCCAGGCGATCATCTTTCGAAGCGGTTGGTAGTATTTATGAAAGCCCTCGAGCGTGCCGTCAAGCCTGGAATACGAGCCTTGCGCAGCCCCGCCGAGCATGCCGAGGACTTTGATTCCCGCGGCCTGGAGCTGTCGGACCTCTGCCCACAAGGTGTCGAACCTTTCGGAGTCATAGAGATGGTCGTTCAGGTTGATTTTGTCGGGCGCATTGAGGTGGATCGCGGCGACGATAACGTGGGTAACACCAGCCGAGGGCCTGAGAGCGGGGAGGATGGAGACGTATTCGCCCTTGGAGTACTGGGTCTGGTGGTAGTAAATAACCCGAGGGCGATGGGGCTTGCTGGTGACGGGTTCTGGCATAGCGAGACGCATTTTGGCAGTTTCTTCTGGGTAAGTCAAAGAGCAAAGGTTGGGATTTGAAGGGGCTGGTAGCGACAATGTTGCACCAAGGTGAGACAGGTCATCTGAGATAGACACTCGCGCTTAAGTCCCGTTTCAGCCAATAGGACTGATGAGCTGTACTGACATCTTGCGTGCTCATCACTACTCATTATAAGAACAAAACAAGAAAAATACAAAAAGATCATTGAATCACGGGTTAAATTTTCACTCGATATGAAGCCAGAAAGCTTTTCGCCCAGCACCTTGTCATGAATACCCGTTAGCGGTAAGGTGGGAGAGCGACTCAGGATAGATGCTACCCTACACTACCTGTCCAAACCACCAAAAAGTAATGATGAGACTGGGATTCGAACCCAGGAGGATTGCTCCACCAGGAAATTGAGGTGTTAAGGTTGACCTTAACCTGGCGCCATAACCAACTCGGCCATCTCACCAGGGATCTCGAAGACCCGCTTGTGGATTGGTGTTTGGGCGGCTTCATCCTCGTTCTTATGGGGTTGGGGCCACACGGGTTTAGCCCTAGAAAATATCGCTCAATTCCGTACATTCTTTTTACCCGGAACAGTGTAGTGAACTGTAGACAATGGAAATGAGCTAGGGATTCTTCGGAAATGCCACGATTCCAATAAGTTATGATGCTCATTAGCCAATACGACCAAGTTGTACAGTGAATGATGTGAGATGCTGATATTATGAGCACCATCACGTGATGCCCTCACAGCAACATTCCTTGTGATTGACCGACTCACAAAACTACAACCAAGGCACAGTATCACAACTAGGAAAGCGAGAGAAATCCTGAAATATCGTTTTGAATTATGAGATGCAACTCCATTTAACTCTTTGGGTACCTCATACCTCGGCAATTAAGCTTGTTGCGGATCCATAGAATGCCCTCCAGGAACATATTTAAAGTTATATAGAAGCTTAGATGTTGCCAACACATAAGCAGCTGATGGGCTGCAGCCCTTTTCAAGGGTGCTTTGAAGAACAAGTCCCTACGGAATCTTGCGTGTTAAGCCGAACGGCACCGGAGCTGAGAAAGTAGAACGGGTCGGCTGAGTTACACCGGCTCCGGCCAATGAATGACGCGTCAACGGTCAGTGCCCACCTCGCCTTAGTCGTATCTGCAAAATAACGACCGGTTGCTACGCTCAAGTGAAGTACAGCAATGTGAATTCTAGAAGATTATTAAGATAAATACCCTGCTTTGGTAGGTCAATTGACTTTTTGTTCTAGATCAAACCCATTGTGCACATTTACGACCCTCAGCAAACCAAAATGTTCTCGATATCGCGAATTTGTGCTTCTAAAGCGCTGATTACTGCGAACACTGTCCCTCATGTCGCAGTAGTGGTCTGCGGAACAGCTGGTATAGGAAAAGCAACCTTATCTTTTCTTATCTGGAAGAACACGCCTATCAAGATGTACGTGATCGGTCGTGATGCGGCGAAGATGAAGCATTTCCTTCACCAGCTACGGCAATCAAATGATCAGGCGGAAATAATTAGGATTGAGGGGCAAGTGTCTTCGCTGGCGGATACAAAGAGCCCCGCGAGTTGTTTCATTTAAAGGGGCGTCGTGTTGATGTAGAGATATCGGTGTCCGTGTGACTTGAAAGGACTATCCTTAAGAATAAGGTGAATATTTTGATCTCTCCGTCAACCCGATAAAAAATTAATGTCATAGTCAACAAGTAACGTACTTGATATGCGAGTGAGACAGACAAGCGAGTGAGACAAAAATCCCTCAACCTACATCCTCTCCATTTAATCAATCGATTCTCAACCACCCAGCATATTACAGTCTAATTATGAGGCTAGAATGCTCCTTACCCTTTAGGCCCTTTAAAATAACCTAAATCTATATATCCGATGTGCTGCAGAGATCTATATAGTTAATTATTATACTCTAGGTTGCTGGTAAAAGGGTATTTAGTCTTAATATAATACTATTCCAAATTTATATAAGCTATTTAATCTAGAAAAAGAGATTTTTATTTATTTTATTTTTAATTTAAATTTATAAGAATTCCCCCTCTAGCTATATAGTATAAAAAATATAGCTAATTAATTACTTATTAATTATAATATACTACTAGTTAGTATATATTAAGCTTATAATTTTATTAAGTAGTATCTAAATCTAAAGATATATTTTAGCAGCAGGAAGGGACGGAAAACAACACCCAACTCATTAACTTACCCTAGGGGAAATGCATAGAGAGTTGTCGCATAGGCGTCTTGGCCAGTCAGCCCGAAGCTGCACCAGATTACGCGTATGAGGTCGGATCAATCTGAGGCTTATGTCTCCTGATAGGGAAGCATCTCATGAGATAGAATATCGGGTCGGTCGCAGGAAAGTTTGCTGGCAAGGCATCAATAGGGCCTGCGGCAGCCCGATATCTGAGGGAGGTTGAAGACGGAGGTTGGACAGGGAGCGTAGTAACGGCAAGAAGGCTCAAATAAATCTCTTAAAAATAAAGGCAATCAATTAATAGACTCCCTAGCAGCCTCGAGCCCTTCCGGCCTCTCTGACTTCTAGGAAGAATCTCTGATGAAAGGAAAAAAAAATGATCATTTCCCCCAGTGACGGCACTGACCTCCCCTTTTAACCCCATCCGGGTCACCCTAGAGACATCCCCGCTAGCGACCAGCTAGCCCAAGTGTCCCTAACCGCCTGTCACAATACCTTAAAAGGCAAATTAGAAGATATTAAAGCAGCTCTCCAGAATTAATTTTAGAGGCTCTACAGTCTCTTATAAAGGGGATAAAGGCAGTTATATATCGGGTTGCCTTATTAACTACTAAAAATAAAAACCTTTAAGAGGCAAATAAGATACTAAGCCAGCGCCGGAGGGTAAAAAGAACCAGACTGCAGAAAAGAGGGGTTATAATAGTAGAAGAGGGAAGATAAGTAATTAATCAAATAGATGTAGATATGCAGGTAGTGGCCGAATCGTCGAGGAGTAGTGGTCGAGGAAGATTAGTCGGACTGAGAGTTCGGCGCTGTAGTGTCTGCGGCAAGCCCGGCCATAATGCAAGGACCTGTCAGGTAGTAATTGAGATATCTGGAGAAGAGTATAGTGAGTAGTTTTAATTGATTAAATAGTTTGTAGTATTTTTATTGCGATTTCTAGTAGGAAGGTTGGGATTTTTGTCTTACTTGCTTGTCTGTCTCACTCGCATATCAAGTACGTTACGTAAAATTGGGGCTATTCTATAAATTCTTACCTTCCGAGGCTGAAACGTATAGTAATGCCAATCTAGAGATGAATGTCCCTTGAATGTTTTATCTTTTTGTTCGCGTATGTTCTAGTACCACGAGATTCTCCCAATTTGACACCTATCTGTCCCATGTTTGTGCTGCATTAATTCCCAATGTCCTCTCCTGGTTAAGCCCAAAACTTGTTGCGGACCGACCCTTTGGGACCAAGCTAGTCTCCAAATCATCAAATACGGGGCTATTGCTGCCCAGAATAATCTTATAGAAATTCCCATTCCAAGGCTCCCAGTCAACAATATCCCTAAGGCGAGATAGTTAGTTACTGGGCGTGTGAGTTGGACGGAATACTCACTGGCCGTCGCACCCATCGGCATTCTTTATCTCATCATCATATTCTGTAAAGTTTGTCTTGGAAATCTCATCCTCGCCGAACAAGACGAACTCAACGCTGAACGGGCGGTCTCCAAGACTATGTTCAAGTCGCCTTGGCTCCCGCAATTTCTTGATACAGTTGACAATGGTCTCTCTGACCTTCCTGGCCTGATCCCTATTCTGGGTCCAAAGCCCATTGGTAAGCATGATAACCGTCATGGGATTGGGCATACTCTTAAAGTCCTTCATCCTCTTGTCTACCGAATTGCGGTATTCGTCAAAACATTCCCCAAGTTGTTTTGACACGTCGACAGCGATAGAAGGTTTATTGTTGTCTGGATGCTCCTTTTTCATGCACTTCTGAAACGATTTGGCATCCGTTCCCCTTGGAACGGACCTCCGTCCATTCAAGAAGCGCAATGTTAGTCCTCCTGAGTTGAATTCAAGCAGTTTGACTGCAACACACTTGACGAGGACGGTGGCACCTTCCCAGTGGTCTTTCATAGTGGCGCTATCATCGACCAATAGCTTCTAAGCAAGCTTGCTGTCAGTATCACTAGCCTTGTGAAAACAAGGGTGGTCGGAACACAAATGAACTCGTAAACGGAAGGAATCGTGACGACTTACGAAGTCTCGGTTTTTGAGGTATTTATTTAGGAGCGAGTCAGTTCCAGGTTCTCTGCCAAAAAGACTGAATGTCCTTTTGAGCTTCGCGAAACCAGCGGGGTGGTTTTTCATGATGGAGTCGATCGATGTGTCCATCATGTGATTTCTGTCGATGGAAGAAAGTTCCAAGGTATCAGCTCTCTCGATTCCAGGCACTGGTATGATGTCATCTTTGGGTTTCGTTGTGTCCACTTGGTCCGGTGCCTTTTCTGGGTGGTCTGTAGTCACATGGTGTTCTCGAGATATCTCTGCGGGTAGTTTCTGAGTGTCATGTGCCATGGAAACACGGTAAGTCACTTCAATTTGCTGCAAAAGGCCATTATCGACATGATTCCGATCCTTGGATGCGGCCGATCTTGAGGAATGATTCGGCCAAGTTGTTCGCGAAGCTTAGTCGCCGAGATTCTAACCCCGCCAGTTTCAACCAACATGTGGCTGTCAACCAATTCGAGCACCTGTTCGGTGATGGTATCGACTTTTCGCGCCGCCGTTTTCACGAAGCCATGCCACTGCGTGACTACAGCCAACAACTTGTTTGAGTCGTGAAACTGATCGCCTTTCTCCAAAATCTTTTCTCCGGGGCGCCGTTTCGTGAACTCCTCTATTAGTTCGTCGACAGCTGTTGTCCGCAGGGCTTCGAATCTTCTAAAACACTCACTGCCGAGAACTATCCAGGTCGCCGCGATAGAGAAGACACATCCGAGCGACCAAATATCCACGCTCTGGGGAACTGCCGTCTGATCTCGATTCAAATGGGTTTCAGGCGCCCCTAGGAGACGTTAGCCCGCCAGTTGCGGTGTGTGAAGAATCAATAGTTTTGTACCGCACGTCCTCGTCCCTTGTTGCCAGGATATCGTAGCTTGATCAACAGCTGTTGGGGACTCACCACTCCCACTTTGTTGAAACTTGGCAAAACCGAGATCTCCAAGCTTCCATTTGCCGTCAGCTCTGAGAATGTTATCAGGCTTGATGTCGAAGTGCCACCTTCATATACCTCGATTAGTCCCTTTACTTATACCACTTTAGAGCGTTGGCAAGGATACTAACCCATCCCATTGAGAGTTGTCATGTGCATGAAAGTTGTGAAGTTTTTCCAGGCCTTTGGCAACTTCAAAAAGACCAGACCAAAATCCCAGGACGTCCTGCTGGAAGACCGGCGACCTCATTGTATCCATCCAGTTGGCCAGGTCTCCGTCGCACCATTCAAGGACAATATTGCATGATTTGCTGCGGCTAGCCATCATGTCCTGTTGCTCCTGTGTGTACTTGCAGAAATACTTGACTATTCCGTCAGTGTTATCCTCGAAGATCTCAAAGCTCTCAGCTTCACGTTTGAAATCGTTTTCGTGAAGCTCCTTGATAGCGAATTTATAGTACTGTCCCTTCAGTTCTCCTTTAGTATCGCTATGGATGCACACTTACTAAATGTTAACTACATTTATTTTCTACCTGTACAGCCACATAACTGACCTTGCGACGTATGTAGTGGGAATGGAAACTCTGAGCCGGGGAATGAAGTATCCACCTCTAAGTCACTTGGCGTTTCAATGTGTTATCCGGAATAGTGCCAGGGTCCTTTAATACAGTTTGCAGCAAGATATTCGAGGCAACTTGGATTAATTACATGTACCACCTATCAATACGAAGTCTTTACCAACGGCATTTTCGGAATATACCCTAGCACTGAGATCGCGGGAACTATCTGATAGATGCCAAAGTGGCCATATGCTTTGGAAAAAAGAAAACAGCACAGCCTCGTAAGTCAGACTGGATTAAACCATAGCAGCCGGTGCGAAGGGATCTTCTGAGAATGTTACATAATATGCATGTCTTGATTATAAAATTATCAGCGCCTCCTGTTTGAGTGTCCATTCTACTTTTGGTCTCATCAGTTAGTGACCGAATGCGACAGAGGGCGATGGTTAATTGAGTTAGATCTAACCTCATCTCAAGTTTATTAAAGCCTATATCTTCATGAACATGACCAAACGCTGAGAAATTCAAAATATCCAACAAACGTATACCACTATTAAGTAAGGCCATCGACAAATTCCAAGCACTAGCAATTGGGATGCTCATCTTTTATATGCTTATTCAGCCATTGTCGTGTATGAGCTCGACGGGGACAATGTGGACATGGGAACTTGGCCTCAATACTCGGCGGTGCATGACGTTGTGGGAAATCTTGGCGCGCTTGTCCATGCTGAGACTGCTGTGGTGACAAAGTCGGCGAAGGCAGGATTGGGGCCATCCCGGATGCCTTGAGCTGCTGCCCGTTGAGAGGTTGGTTGTGAAAAGACCGTGGATGTTGACCTGGTCCCGCTTGCATGTTTGGGAATGGCAACTGAGGAGTTGGCCTCGATCCAACGTCAGGACGCAACAGGGGTGCCGCATAGTTCATAACGGGCGTGAAACCTGGTAAAGGCGGCTGGGAAAAGGACACCGGCATAGAATGATCAGGTGGTCCGGGATTTAGGGGAGGTAGGCGGTTTGTGGTTGGGCTCATCAAGCTTGCGTTGAGCTCCTTCGGGGAAGGGAGGAAAAAGCCTGGTCTTCGAGCAGGCAAGAAACCAGGCGGCGGATGTGGGCCCAGTTGGATGTTCTGGTGTACTGTTGCCGCCGTATGTATTGAAATGCTTTTCTTTCGATGGACGGAGGTCTGGTGTCTGGGAATAGGTGCAGCAGTGGTCGCATCACCTTTCCTACCCCCCGCAGTATTGGCGAAAAACTCGTCGTAAGTCTTTGGAGGCTGCACGGTGACCTGCGTTACAACCACCTGTTCTTGAGCTGCTCGGGGCGGTGCTTTCAATAGAGTTCTTTGGATTGGTTGTTGGTTAACTGGTTCTTTTCTCGTCTCCGGGGCGCCTGGTGGTGAGGTGGCAGCAGCTGAGTAGACTCTGTCCCCTGGTCTTGAGCTCTGGAAGTTGTCCTCCGAAGACAGCCCTCCCATTTTCAGCGTTTCTCTCGCCGCTTGTATCAAGTGGGTATGGTTGGTCAGTGCAGGCTGGCCCTTCTCTTGGTTACCTTTGACTGGAACTGGAGGAGCCGAGGGGACTGTAGCCATCTCGGGCACTGCTGAGATTGGAGGTGGAGGAGCTTCTGCCGGAGGCGCAGAACTTGATCGGCTCGAAGATCCGCTGCTTATGGACACAACGCTCGGAGCCTGATACCCCTGGAACTTCGGTTGATCCAGCTTGGGCTCGTAGCCAAAGTCATCTTCATTCGTGAACGATCTGAACAATCCACCAATCGACGTGCCTTCGGAAACCTCACGAGCCTCTGGAAGAGACTCGACGTTTTTGTAAGAGAGCGGGACGTCATTTGGCAGTGGATCCGATCGGTCATCGGTCAACTCGGGTGCCCAGTCGCTTCTTGGAGGGGATTCCGGCGGGCTCATCTCCATGAGAGGAGGAAGCGGAGAGGAGCTGAGATCTTCATGCTCCCCTTGATCGTCTTCTCTGGAGTCATTTTGATCCATGTCGGGCGGAACACAGCCCGATTTCCCGTCCTGTTCTTGCGTGGGCTGGTTCGCCTCGTTGGTGATATCCTCGCAGTTCCCCATATTCACGGCGCTCGTGTCTCTCGGACGATCCTCAAGATCCATGGGCTCCGGAATTTCAGCTCTTGCCTCGTCGGTCTTGTTGTTGGAACGAGTCTCCAAATACTTCAGAACTGATTTCGAATTCGGTACGAGCTTGAGCTCAGGGCCATGGACATCCATGGCTCTAAGATCTTTCGCTGGGAGCCAAGCGATGGAGTTTTTATTCGAAAAGTCTGCGACGTCGAAGAAAACGGCTGGAAACTGCCGTTCAGTGACGGACTTCCCGCCGTCTTCATAGCCTTTCTGCCATTTCAGAGCGCCGGTATCCGGGTCGACAACGAAACACTGCGGTACATCATCCATGAAGTCCATGTCCTTGTCCTGGATGGTCCCCGGTAGACCGGTATAAACCGCTCCCTCAACGGCCACACTTGGAAGAACGAGAACGGCGTACCACTGGTTGTAGTATCCGAGATAGATCTCGCCGGGTATTGGATCAACAACGCCCACAAACTCTCCTCGAGTTCTTCGGCTTGTGGAATTCGCGTTTGACGATTCTTCATTCCTCGAGGATCTCGTGGGCCGGAATGCGTCTGAGTCGTCTGAGTGCTGGGACAATTCTCGCTGGAACACCCTGGCCTTCTTCGGATTTTGGTGGCCATGTTTGAACGCCTCGCGGGTGACCTCGTTGTTCCGATTTGCGCGAGATGTGTTGCAGTCTCGAACGCGAATACCGAGGCGGTCAATAGCCTGCTGCTCGCTCCGTCCCATTCGACCGTGGGCTTCGCTGTCGAGGTGTACGCCAGCACCCCTGGTAGGTCTGTTTGTGGTGAAGACCATGTCGTGCTCCTCGCACACAAGAATATACCACTCGCCATTGTTATTCACGATGATGTGCTTCGTGGCGGCTTTGCCATTTTGGAATACATCATCAAAATCAATGACTCTCTCCGAGTCCGAAGGTCGTGTTCGGCCTGTCCTCGCACGCTTCGATGGCTCATGAGAGTCTGCCACTGCGGATCGTCTTCTTTTGGCCTGGACTTGTTAGCAAAATACTTAGTTCCGTGTGGGTCTGGTCGGACATGTAGAACTTACGGGACTGGCAGGCGTGGGTCGGGGTTGCACTTCATCAAGCTCTTGGGGATCTGTTTCTTGCATGTTGACATCAGGTTCTTGTTCGCTGGTGTCAGGAACTTGAACATCTGGGTGTGTGGGGGTGTGATCAATTGCCAACTGCGTACTCTCGTCTCGCTGTGTGGTCTCCTGCGGCTGGGGAGGTTCTTGAGGTTCAGTAGCCTCATCTAGCTGCACGCTCTCTTCCGGGAGCGCATTCTCTTGCAGCTGGGTGCTCTCCTCTTCTGTGGACTCTCCTGCGACAGGGAGGTTTTTGGGGGGAGGTTTCGATTCCTTTGACACATTCTGTTTGTATTCCTCGAATAGCTCTTCCAAGGCGCCCAGCTCCATTACATTGAACATGTGTGTATAGAAGGTTTTGATGTGTGCGTACAATGCCAGAACGTAATTACTTTCGGCGTCGTCGATAGTAGCATCATGCTTGAGTTGCAGGTCCCTCAATTGGGCACCGAAGTTTATTGTGTTCTTTGTAGCCGCAGAGTAGTCTTGGGGGCTCGGGTTTGGCGGTATGCGCGCGAACTCATTTCGAATCATGTCCTCCAGGGCTGTCGTTTGCGCTCGGTACGTCACAAGGGGCGACTTGATGGTCTCGCGATCGCGCATCCATTGCACCATACGCTCCTCCATGGCGTCAATGAAGCGGAGAGCGGGAGCGCCAGGGTCTTCCATGCTTTTTTTTTTTTTTTCAGATACACCAGGGTGGAATTGGGATTCCCAGGTTTGTTGTTGTGGGCGACTTGCAGGTAAAGGACCAAGTTCGGGCGGCGGGCGGACGTGGCGCGGACGCGGGGTTTCACGCCATTCAGGTGACCAGAGGATCAAGAGAGAAGAGACGGGAGACAGGAGACAACAAGAATCCGGGGGGCAGCAACTATTGGGGGAACTGGAAGACAGTTTTTCAGTTGTTGGTTGTGTCCCGACAGCGTGGTTGACCCAATTTGCCCCTCCCATCCATCAAGTAAACAGCCTGGTTTATTGGCTTGTCTCGACATGGATGCTTAGGCTAGACGCCAACTCGCTTCCCATTTATGTCACATGCCCAATCAGGGGCGCTAATACTCCCAATCACACCGTGATATCATGCCACAATACGTACTGATTACAGCCAAGGCGACCAGTGAATGGTGGCTGTGGCTGTGAGCTCCTCACCGTTCAGTCAGGGATCTTCGCCTCTCTCTCATCTCATCGCAACGCAGCGAACGGCGTGGGGTTGTTGACTTGTGGGGCTAGGATCTCGCCCTCTAAATAAGACCCCGACAGATCGATCGTTGGATTAGACACTACCTAGGTAGGTATGCTTGATTATCGCCCGTGCGTACTATATAGAAAAAACCAATGCTCGTGCCAATTCACCTTCATTGGCGGAAGAAAATCTTCGTGTCATACGTTTCTCCCTGTCATTTCATGACTTTTCATAACAGTGCATGCCGTCGCTTAAGGGCTGTTGACGGTGATGGCAGTGATGACTGCCCCGTTGACAGGAATGACTTTAGGTAGCATCGGCTAAAATGTGTAAAAACAACAGGATAACAAACTGAGGAACACTCCCGCGTCCAAAGAACTTTCCAAATCATCTTCAGCGGGACGTCGATTGGCGCCTTGCCAAAGACTGCTATACTTGCTCCTGCATCCCGCCACAGTCATGGTCAACATAAAGCACACCCTGCACTTTGACACCAGGCCCAAGTCGATAACATCAATTCCTTCACCAGCATGTCGCTCTCACCATGTCGCCCTCGTGGCATGAACCCTGTCATCTCCACTCAACCAAGTTCGCTTTCGGTTAGCTGACGGGGCAAAGAGAGGCATTAGCCCCGGCTCCTCGCTTCCGCGCAAGCCGGTGGACTGAAGAAAGCCTAGCCCCGCGGAACTTGAAGACTGGTGCCGATAACCTTCGGTTGTTTTTGGAAGAGAAATGTCACCATCGCAGAGCTAAGAATTTAACGAGACATCGCGTCTACGGCTCGTGCAATTACCTGCCCCGCTGCAGTAGCGCAATAGCCCCTTGACCGTTCGGATAAGATCTGTCGTCGGAGGATCGGAAGCTACTACGTAGCAGTACTCAGAGGCCGTTTAGACGCTAGTCGTAATCTAATGAGCGCGTTCGGTCTGGAGTAGGTACACACTGTGACACCGTAGGACTTCTTCTGTGCTCATTCTGCCCAATACGTAGCTATTAGACCTCCCTAAGTTACCGGCCTTGTTAATTGCCAAGTTAGGAGACGCAGGAGATTCATACCGATCACATTCCATCACATGCCACACGTCCCCATCGTGTGCCACTTCTACAGCCGATGCTGCGCGATTTTTGGGACTTAGTGCAAACCAAGAGCAGGGACTCAGACGGCCAAGTCCGTATTCTTGCAAGGTATTACCAAACTGTCGGGCTCTTGGCTCTTGCCCCTTTGCTGCAGCAACCGTTCTCGTATCCATTTGTCCGATGGCGTCACTTGACAAGTCGTGACCTGGAGAGATCTACAGACCTCGACTAGCTCCACGTGGAACATCTTGTATATGCCCAGAGGATGACCTTAAGATTGGTGCTGACAGAGTCACAGGGAATTGATCTCCATTTTCGGTGGCTGATGGACGCATTCTTAAGTATTTATAGTCTCGCCTCTAGAGCCTATTTTATCGAGACCTCGAATTATTTGCACAAATTTGACTGCAGAAGGAGTGGTGCTGTTTACAAAAAGTGTGTGATGTGCTCTGAATGTCATCTTGACATCAGTGCGACGGGCGATCGCTACAACCTCCTCTGCCCCTACTACGCATTGGAGTTTCACCTGGTGAATCCTCCCCTAGCACTGGAGCTAGGACCGCCGTGCGTGCAATTTCCAAAGGCCTGGGTCCTAGGAACAATTTAGAGCCCAACTATTCTCATGGATCAGATGCAACAATCACGGCATGCAGGTAGAATATTGACTAGCTCCGAATTGAGTATTCTAGCCATACGGACCCACCGCAAGACCCGTTCAGTTCTTTATAAAGTCCATGTCAACACATTCCTTATAGCTAGCGGTATTCAGCGTCCGACATAGGCGGATTATGGTGGCTAAACTTGATCAACTTTGACCTCGAGCGCGGGACGCAGCATACCTTGAACCCGCAAACGAACCTTTGCAGGCTCCTCACATCCTTGGTCAGTTGCCCTTACTAAGTTTAATCGTAAGAAGGGGGCTCAGCTGACCCCCAAGCGCCTGCAGGCCATTTAATATACACGAGGCAAGTTGTTGGCTATTTTGCTGTGCAAGGGTGGAGAAGCAAGGGATGAGCCCGGTCAACGCCTGGCAGTAAGATAAATAGGTCGAGCAGTTGCAACTCAGCGCTCGCACCTGTGTAAAGAATTGCATCGAACAACCCGATCGGTTTTATCTCAATTGATATCTCAGATCTAGAGTCAAGATTTCAAGGCGACGGAAGCCATTTTTCTGAGACGATGGAAGAACTAACCACTTATGATGGAAAATGGTTCAATGAAAACTATTTTGGAAAATTGGAAACATGATCTTATCCTGATTCCAATAGGGTACTTTGTATTTGATATGATAGATGTCTTTGTAGGCCCCCTTCAATGGCTTGATGAGACTAAAAAGACCGTTGCACATGTCCCTTAATGCGAAAGCTCCATCGTCTCCCTGAAATTTAAAGCATGCTGTATGTGGTCTGCAAACACGCCCCGTGGCGTTCTGGACAGTTCTTCACGGAGTTCTTTGGCGTTGAGGTGTTAATTCACAGAACGAGAGGTACTAGATTGTGGAGACCTCATTCAATGTGCCGTTGTCAATTCCATGCAGTGGCCGTACCCATTCTACTGTACCAGGGCTTCAGCGTCAGCTTACAGGAGTCTAGTGACTCATGCTGTTCGAGGTTATGAGGCGACAGACTTCCTGCATCTGTCTGGCGGGCCTGGGTACGTGGTTATTGTCAAAATATTACTTGAGGATGGCATTGGCACCTCTGCAGCTAAGAGAAACCAATTGAGATAGCAAGAGCGAAGACTGTGCGTTGGAAATGTTTGGTCTTTCGGGATACAAGGGATATTAGAATCTCTGCTTCTACAAGAAGGATCCCACAGCGGACTGTCTTGAAAAGGAAGTTCCGCCTAGCGTCTGGGCTATTGGTTCAACCCAATTTGCCAGCCTCAAAGATCACAGGGGAGTATTTTGGGACCCAGATATAGGCCGTCTACCTTCACCAGCGGGCGCATGCATCAGCATACCCAATTTACAGTACTTTTGATCCATTTTTGCCGTAACACTTTGGAAGCCACTTGGTCAGATGATGCCGGTAGTGGTATTCGTGATATCTTGTCTATTTGCTTGTTTCTAGTGTCTCTAGCTAAGCCTTAGCCTTCCTTACTATTACAGACGATTGCCGCAAGAGTCTCCATCAATCTGCCTCTAGGTGCGTTTCAGTCTCTCCAGTCCGTCCCACTCACACATTATCTTCGCCCAATCAATCAATCCCACCGAGGAAAGAATCAGGATTCCGCCCTAGTTCTCGCAGTGTCTAGCGGTGCAACAAGGCGGTAGGAGGAAGTGACAAAAGTGTCTTGTCTCATGCTGAGGGACACCACATACGCATGCATACACGAAGGCCGCGCGTCAAGACGTCTATTTATCTTCACCATCATTGGCTGCCTTAAACTAATTCCCTGTTCCTGACACAGAAATCTGCAAAAGCCGTCAGCACCAGCCCGGCATCCTGCGCGGTGCGCGGAAAGCCTTGGGGCGTCATACTCTACCCACTACATCCTGTTATTGATCAACCGGCCTCGTATGGCACTTGCCGTGACTGCAGAAGCTTGGGAACTGAGTATCGACGTCTTATATCAATTTAGCTAGCTCACACGATGGACGAATGATAACCAAGTGTGCTTGAACCGTCGGGCAGTGATTGTATTTTCGCCTCTGCATTGTAAACGCGGACCAAATGCATACTATTGTTATCGTATACCGCCCCCTCTCTGCCTTGTCGCCTTGCTGAGCGGTTGATGCGCTGTCATTCAGCCCAACTCCGCATCAAAGACGCCACCTCGCCAAATCCATAGCCTTCCATCCACTCATTTTGGTCAGGCTGTCCACCCGCATAGCTCCTTGCATATTAGGCAGACAACAGGTTCTACAATGTGCAATTGTTTCAATCATTCCGCCTTGATTCCGCCTCTGTTCTCGTATAGCATGCACATACCCATCTCACTCGAGGGGTATTTATTTTGATGAGACTGCTGGATGCCGATGGATTCGCACATCTCTTCTCACACATTAATCACTTTGCCTTACCAAGACCTATCCAATCGACATGGATCCTCTCTCTCTTGCTGCTAGTGTTGCAGGATTAGTCTCCCTCGCCGACCTTGTGTTTCGAACAGCCACAAAGTACTGGAAGGAGGTCAAAGACTCGCGCAAAGACGTCGACGAGTTGCTGAGCGAGGTGAAAGGTGTATCCATCCTTTTGCACGACTTGAGCCTCGTTGCATTCAGCCTTGAAATTGACCCTTCTCAGGATGGAGGTCGCTCTGAGCGCTCATCTCACCTGAAGTTGCATCATTTGCATGAATGCCAGAAATTGCTGCGGCAGCTTGAACAGAGTCTCAACGATGCGAAGAAAAAATTCAACTCGCCATCCAGCCTTAACCGGCTTCAAAGTCGCTTAAAGTGGCCATTTTCTTCAGGCGAGATGAGCCAGATTGTCCAGTCGATCCAACGCCATAAGCAGGCGATCAACGTCGCTCTGACAGCAGACTCCGTCACTCAGCTCAAAGTCAGCCTATCTATCCAAGAGGATACCAGTACTCGAGTCAAGGATTTACAAACAACCACAAAAAGAATCCTGGAGATCCAGACACGAATAGTATTGGATGACAAGAAACGCCGCGTTTTGGATTTCTTTACCAAATGCAATCCCCAATCAGAGTTTGAGATGAGCAAGAAGCTGCGTCATCCTCTGACAGGCCTTTGGCTCACTGAGGGTGCTGATTTTCAGGAATGGTTTTCTACCCAGAAATCCAGGATTTGGTTGACTGGTATTCCTGGAGGTGGAAAGTCAGTGCTTGCAGGTGCAATCATTACCGAATGCCTGACTCGAACCCAGGCAACTCCAGGTGTCGCTGTGGCATACTTCTTTTGCACTTACAGAGACAAAAACACACACAAGCCTTCCAACATCCTGTCATCTATAGCTGTGCAACTGGCTCGCCAAGATGAAACCGCGTATCAAGTTCTGGAACAGGCCTACGACGACCTAGAGTCGAGCCATTTCCTCTCTAGAGAACCGACAGAGGATATGTTAGTGGAGACATTGGACAAAATGTGCGCATTGTTTAACCAAGTTTACTTGGTTGTTGATGGACTCGATGAGTGTGGAGTTCAAGTCGAAAATACAATCCGGAAGTTGTTGTCTCTTGTCAACCAAAATGACAGTCAGATAATCAACACAGCATTCCTGAGCCGAGACGAGCTTCCAATCCGAGAGAAGCTGGAATTTACATTTGATTATGTTGAAATTGAGGCTCATACCGAGGATCTTCAGCTATATGTCGCCGCCGAACTTGAAGAACGGATCAGCTCAAAGAGACTGAGACTCCGCGACATAACGCTCAAAGATCGAATAATGGCACAGCTCGTTAGTGGAGCCAAGGGAATGTAAGTTCTGATGACACACCTGACCTTGCTTCTTTAACATTTCTTTACTAACGCCGTAACCAAGGTTCCGATGGGTTGCGTGTCAGCTAGACCATATTTGTGAACTCCCAACCGACAAAGCACGACGTAATGCACTAGACAGACTACCACCAACGCTTCCCGCCACATACGAGCGTATTCTCTTGAGGGTGGAGGCATGTGCCGAGGAAGTAAGAGTGCTGGTGCAGAGGTGTCTCCTGCTCCTAGCTTCTTCACAGAACCTGAGCACCCGAGCGATATGCGAAGCAGTGTCTATTTCACATGATTGTGACACTCTCGACGACGATGACATCATAGACGAAAATGAGATCTTGCGATGGTGCGGCAGTCTTGTGCGAAAGTCTAGCGGTGGCCACAGGATCGAATTCGCGCATTTCACTGTGAAGGAGTTCCTTCAAGACAGTTGTTCCAAAGACCTCACACTGAGTTTCTATGCTGTCTCCGACGAGAAGATTTACAAACTCCTCAGCTCTATTTGTTTACGTTACATGACTCTTGAGGATTATGACCACCTACCTGAGGCAACTGAGAACGAAATCCGAAACATCCTGGCAAGGGAGAAATCGCGCCCATTCTACAGGCATGCCGCAAAGTTCTGGCCACGTTATGTTCGCCGACAATCCACCGAATGTGAGGGGGCTACGCTTCAATACCTCTTCGACTTATTCCAGACACATAAGACAAAGAAGTTTTGTTTGTGGGCGATAGAGTTCATACGCCACACTACCTTTTGGCGCAGTCGAGATTTTGGACGTAATCCCAAAATAGCGATTTGGGTTATTTCTTCTGTTCTAAGGCCAGACTTTACTCCTCTTCATATGGCAGCCGCTTTGGGACTTCCCGATCTCTGCACTCACTTATTGGAACGAGGCGCCAAGATGAATTTGAGAGGTGAATTTGGCACCCCACTGCACTGCGCCATTAGCTATGCTTTCATGTTCTCTAATGAGAAGACGTATGATAAGAAGTATGGTGATTGCGATATATTGGGGATCGCATTTCTATACCATGGGGATCCAAACCCATCGCGACGACGAACAGTCCAGGTACTCTTGAGTGCTGGGGCAAATGTCAACTTGCAACTACCGGCGCGTTTCCAGAGCTTAACCACTCTGTCCCTATCGGTCCTCTCGTCTACGTATGGAGAGGACCCTGAGGTTGTTGCTGATCTCATCAGTGCCGAAATTGGCGTTGAGGAAGAAGACTTAGAGCATTTTTCCCTATACTACACTTATTCGAAAAATAGACTCATGGGGGATGGCAAGCCCAAGTTCAATGATGGTCAAGCAATCGCACACCTTCTCCAGGGTCTTGGAAACCACCAGGGAATGAATACTTCTCGGTCACGATTATACGATATGACTCTGGATTTCAGCAAGTCCATGGGACTAGACCCAAGATGCTTGGATGTTCCCAGTAATGATGCCACAGATAACGAAGTTCGCGCATTCCTGGATACGGTAATCAGAAGTAACGATGTGCTGAAACTAGAACAATTCGTCCAAGATGGTAGATCAGAGCTATTGAAACGACTCAAGCTCGATTCCATATGGGCACCAATTCACTTAGCCATCTTTCGCGGATCTCTGGATGTCCTAACCACCTTGATGGAAGTAGGATGCGATCCGAACGATGTCGGTTATGGAGGTCAAACACCCGTACAGCTTTGCTGCAGCAATAAGGATGAGGACGTCCTGCGAGTTCTCTTGAAACATGGCGGCTCCACTGTATTGCCAGACAAGAATAATGAAACAATATGGCATACAGCATCGGCAAATAACTCATGCCGGATAATCAAAGTTCTTGTTGAACAGGACGAAAGAGATCAAGGGTTACAAATGGAGTCAGACGAACATGGAACCCCAATCTGCACTGCAATTGCTCACGAACAAGAAGAGGCTGCTCTTCTTCTTCTGCCACATTGTAACACGAAGGAATTTTGGAAAAGCAAAAAGCCAATATATCGGCAAGCAGCAGAGCTAGGCTCTACAACTGTCCTGAAGAAACTACTGGACATCGGTATCGATTTGGACAGATTTGATGACAAGATGGGAAATCCTTTGCATTTTCTTGCAGCTGAGTCAAGTTCTGAATTTGTCAGGCTTCTCAAAGAAGTCTTCTCCATCGACCAGCGACGTCGAGATGATTCGAGAACCCCATTCGAGTTGACCACACTTCGGGCAATTGAGACAGAAGCTGTGCCATCCCCTGATGCACTGACCGCGCTGTTACCCGAAACCCTTACGCCGGCATACGCAAGCACAATCTGGAAATTTTTATGTTGCGATGCCATTTCAAGCACTCTAGATGCCAATACCGTACCAACCTGGCTCAGTCACCTGTTTTCAGCTCTCATCGAACAGGGTATTATTAACTCATGGGAGGAGGGCACAAATACGACAGCAATGGCTCCATTCGCTTCCAATCTCGTTGACCATGGTTTTAAAAGGGGTTCGTTGGTTGAAGCATTGCGGCAACAAAATGGGTTCGCACGAGAAGATGGGTCCACACAAAAAGACGCGATCGCCTTGGACCGCCTTGACTCCTGGGAATTGATCTCTGGGATTTTGATGCAAATTGCAAAGAAGTCAAAACTTAATGAAGAAGCATTGAGTGAGCCCAACATGAATCAACTGCTAAGTCTATCTATCATTCATGATGATGGTGAAATGATAGAATTCTTGGTGAGAAATGGTGTCGACATTCACTCAAAGGTTGACCATGTATCACCTTTTGAACTTGCCTGCTTTGCTTGCATAGAGCTGAGTGATGAGAATTTCGACTTTCTCGTAACAAACTCCACAGCGGATCACATTTCTCGGGGCAATGAAGCTCTCGGTGGCCATGGCCCTCTTCACTTCACTGCAGGCAGTCTGCGTGTCAAAGGCTCCGTATCGAAATTGAACCGATTGCTCCAATTCAATGCCGATTGCAATCTACCGATAGATGATACTTGGGGTAGTCCACTCGTGTATCATATTGCCTGTCAGTCCGTCGATACGGCGAGGATGCTTCTCGACGCTGGCGCTGACCCATGGCTTGCAACGTCGTTTGGAGCCAACGCACCGCTGATGGCAATTTCCAGGAACTGCCCTGGTCTCTTGGAGATCATTGTAAAACTTCCCCAAGAAGAGGTCTCTTCTCGGCACTGGATACATCAATGGAGTCAATGTTCTAATCGAGAACCTGGTGGACATGGACCAAGCAGATCTACACAATCGTACAGCCCTTCACGCTGCAGCTTCCGCAGGGTCGGTTGAAATGACCAAATCACTCCTACGTGCGGGCGCTTCTTCCAACATTGTGGATATGTTCGGCTACACCCCTCTCATGTTTGCTTGTGTTGGAAGACGCTGGGAAGTTGCTCAAGTGCTCATTAACAATGGTGCATCAGTCACGACCCGCGATGTAATTGGACAAGATAGCTTGTCTCAAATTACCATTTACAAAGGAAATCTTGCCAGCTTGCAAGTCTTCGATCTACTTCTTGATGCGGGGGTGGATATACACCGGGTAGACACATCCGGGTTGTCTACTACGAACTACTTACTCTCAAATGAGTCTCAACTTTACCTTCGGTCATTGCTCAACCGAGATGTCAACTTATTACAGCCCATGCGGGTTCAATGGCCCGACTCCTGTTGGATCGTTGCATCCCAATCGCCACCTGCCCGCCTCATCGCAATAACAAAGAGTTTGAGACTTCTTAGTCGCTACCTCAGCACGGAAGAGTTAATGCATCTTGGCGATCTCCGAACGCCATGGAAACACAACTTACTATGCCAGGCTGCCTGCCGAGGGTTGGTCGAAGCGATCCAGAACTTCCTTGCGATTGGAGCCGATATTGAACAACGATGTCATGATCACGGCACTGCACTGGACGCTGCCATGTTGAATGGACGGCTTGAAGCGATCAAAGTCCTCGTCCGTGCTGGCGCCAGGATTCCCTCCACGGTTGGTGGACTACTTGACAGACTATCCAAGCAGAAACGCCAGGTCCCTAAAACGTGCGAGTCGATTCTGTATTGGCTCTCTGTGGTGCGCTACCTGGAACAGCCAAAGCTCGCGTATGAGGCTTTTGATCGAGGGACGGCAGATATCAAGAATTGGACAGGGGTACGTACTGGGGAAGTGGTTCTAAAGTGGCAATGGCAGAAAGGTCGACAGGAGTGTTTGCTGGAGTATGCGAAGAGACGACGGGAAATAGCATGTGGACTAAGGGGGAAAGTCGTTGAAGTAATCGGGTTGCGGTAGAGAGAGCAGTTGAACCAATCGAATTCATTTTGTCATAGTTTCAACATTCGCGTAATTAATTGCCCAGATGCATGTCGGTTATCCGCTGGAGGCTCTTCTTCTAGGAAGCTAACATGTCAAGCCAATGTCGTTATCAGTGATGAGTGAGCCGAAATGCATCTAGGCTGCACTATCAGGTCGTGAGAGAAAGCATAAAAACTCAATAACTAAACTCCAGCAAATTGAGCAGATCGTCGTACCTAAAGCCTCACTGCCTTGAGCCACCATCCTAAGTTTATTGTGAGCGGCGTCTAAGTACTCGCGGCCGGATTGAAAAGGGACGAGATAATGGTCGTGTGCACGTAAGCCAGGCTAAGCATTACGGTAACTCAGGAACCCAAGCGCAGATACAACATGGTGACTGCCCGTAGGTAAGATGAATGAAGCGTAGTTCTGAGCTGCAAGGTTACCATAAAATGTTCTATTATTTTCATACTATCATGTCTATGACTTTTGAGCCGCGTTGCCCTTCAACTTGCCGACCAAGCCTGCAATCTTGCCCTTGAGACCTGAACTCGCTCCCTCATTCGCGCCCACGAATCTCCTCACCAGAATATTGTATAGGCCTCCAAACGCCAGCGCAATCGCCGTCGACGTGAAGATGATGACGTTGTAGGGCATGCTGAAATCGGGCGTGGGCAGGTACAGCAGCAAGCTCGTGGTGCGAAGGTTCATCTTCTTGGGCTCCAGCGTCGTGATGACGGCGGCCGCCACGTCGAAGCCGCGGTTGGCGTCGGGCGGGTACTCAGTGTACCGCAGGATGGCCTTCTCGAAGTCGTAGGTGAGGAAGACGGTGCAGTGCGGGGGGATGCGCATGAGGAGCTCGAGCTGGGTTCCGCGGGAGCGGTCGAGGGCGGGGCGGTAGTAGATCTCCTTGATGAGGTCGGTGGAGTTGTCGGCCGAGGTCGAGCTGGAGATGCGGGCGGAGAGGGTGTGGAGGTAGATGCGCATGAACCACGGTAGAGAATCCATGTAGACAAACTCGACGTCGGTGTCGCTGGGGTTGCTGAGAATGGCCTGGACACCGCCGTGTTCCTGGCCATGGCCCGTGAAACTACGCTCAGCGTAGAGCAGCGGGGTCTCGGGCGCGACGAGCAACTGAGACTCCTCATTTACCTCAGGCTTGGTGAGGACCAGGTTGAATTCGGTGTTGGGATCAATACGGTAGCATCGTGAGTTGCCGTCGGGAGCCTTGATCTCGTGGGCGCCCTGGCTAGAGAAGATATCGCGTGAACCAGGGACCTGTACGCAGACAGGCGGCACATCAGGGCCAGTTAGGGGACAGGCTCCCTTCATGGGTCGGCCGAAGATTTGGGATAGTGTCCAGTCTTGGCCGTCGAGATGGTCGGCGGGGAAACAGGTGTCGTGGGAGTGGTATGGCTTGGAGGTATCGCAAAGAAGGTCCTGGCCTGGCGGGGGTCGCGGGATAGGGTTGTCTATGAAACATGTGTGAGTGGCTTCAGCTTCATCTAGAGCCGGATTCAGATCATACCTCGGGGTCGCTTGGAGCGGTTCACATCAAGAACCATATCAACAGTTTCCTCCATCTCGAGAACGCAGTGGCCTTCGACATCACACTTGGGACGCACGTCGATGGCCATGCTCTGGTACGAAGCATCGAACAGCTTGTGTCCATCCAGCAAACTAGCAATGCCGGCCTTGCCCTTGCACGGTAGCAATTTCAAGAACGGCGTCAGGTTCTCTGTGCAGACAACCTCATGGGGTAGAACTCCGTGGAGCAATCGCGTATTGGCGAGCGTTGTGTTCGGGTGGTCGCCTTCGGGCTGGAAGGACATGACAGGTCGAATGGTCCTCGTCTCGTCGATGAAGTTGAGACTGGCGCAGAACAGACCAGAAAGCGCATTCGTCAGCGTCAACCACTTCTCATCGGCCTCTTCGTCAGTCTCAGCATCCAGCCACGCCCACAGCTCGACGCCGGTGCCGCCCTCGCGCGTGCCATCCCACGGACGGGCGCCCCAGCGCTCGGCGTCCCAGCGACCGAGGGTGAAGCGCAGGTGCAGCTCGCGGGTGCCGGCGTACTGCAGGATCTGGCCGAGCGAGCGCGGGAACAGGCGGAAGTTGTGCGCCTCGAAGTCCTCGATGGAGGTGCTGGCGCGGAAGTTGAAGCTGGCGAGGAGCGCGGATAGGGGCAGCGGACGCAGCGTCAGCTGCTCGTGGTAGTCGGAGTCGGAAGCGGCGGCGAGGCCAAGCCCGTGGGCAATGGCCAGGAAGAGGAACGCCAGAAACTGGCGCATCATGGCGGCGGAAGGAAAAAAAGAGGCTGCGAGATGGGTGTGAGATCCGGCTGGATTTCACATCTCACCAAGGCCGTGCCGGAGATCGTTTGGGGAAGCTGTACTAGCACGATCTGGCTACTGGATACGTACCCTGCATAGAGGAGCATCGCGGCGCGCCGGGTCCAGCTTCGGGCGGTGGGCGGCGGCAGAAATATATCCATGCTTCGCGACTGCGGGCGACAATACTCCTTCACATGGCGGCCGAGCCTCGAATTCAAGCCCCGCCAGTCTCGATTCCTTTCCCTCCGCAACTCGACACACACGCACTCCACCATGGCCGCCGAACAGAGGAAGCTGCTCGAGCAGCTCATGGGCGCGTCGTCGTCGTCGCGCGCCGCCCAGCTCTCCATGACGGACCCGAAAGTCTGCCGGTCGTACCTCGCCGGCACCTGTCCGCACGACCTCTTCACCAACACCAAGCAGGACATCGGCCCGTGTCCCAAGGTGCACTCCGAGGGCATCAAGGCCGAGTACGAGGCGCTGGGCGACCGCGAGAAGCAAAAGTACGGCTTCGAGTACGACTACATGCGCGACCTGCAAAAGTACATTGACGAGTGCAACCGCCGCATCGACGCTGCGCAGCGGAGGTTGGAGAAGACGCCTGACGAGATTCGTCAAACCAATGTTCTGGTATGGAACCGCTCCTTGCCTACTCTTGTTTCGCCCCGTTACTAACAATACGCACAGCTCAAGGGCATCTCCGAACTCTCCTCGTCCATCAGCAACGGCCTCCTCGAAGTCGAGATCCTCGGCTCCATGTCCGAAGTCTCGCGCGCCCAGGACGAGCTCTTCCGCGTGCGCCAGGCCTCGCAGGCCAAGCTCGACCGCGAGAAGGAGCTCAAGGCCCTCTCCGACACGTCCGGTCCCTCGGGCCACCAGAAGCTGCAGGTCTGCGACGTCTGCGGCGCCTACCTCAGCCGGCTCGACAACGACCGCCGCCTCGCCGACCACTTCTACGGCAAGATGCACCTGGGCTACGCGCAGATGCGCAAGACATACGAGGCCTTCCCCAAGGAGATGAAGGGCCGCCCGCGCCCGGCCATGGACGACGACGGCTCTGGCATGGGAGGCCACCGCGGACCTAGAGGGCCCGGGGGGTACAGGGGCGGCAGAGGCGGCAGGGGATATCGCGGCGGGTGGTAATTGCGATTTCCCGCGCGAGGGCATGGAAAGAAACTCTTGTCTGGTTCCGCATCGGCATTTTGGACGGCGTTAGGGCGCTTTTTGTAACACGCAAACTCTGGCAATTCAGCGTGGTGATCGGGATGGATGGCCAAACTTTGGGGGAAATACCCTTTTTTTTCTTAAAAAAAACTAGACAGGCCCGAGAGGTCGGGTAGCAATTAAAAGAAAGAGGACTCGTCAATCTCGCTTTGGGTTTACTGTCTATGCTATGCTGGCCTAATACAATTTCCCAACCGTAGGCTCGTCCCGTGCGATGAATATATTTAACCCCTAGAGCGTGCTTCGCATTACATCCTTCTCTTGTGTATACTGAGCCGGGCACCGAAGTTCGATCCTCGCCTTGTTCCTCTGCGTCCTCAGCAGGTCTGGTATCACGCCTTGTTCTTCTGGATCTCGTCAAAGGCCTCCATCTCGTCGTCCCACTTGCCGACGTTGGGCGGCGACAACGGCGGCGGCGGTGGGAGCGCCACGACAACCTCGGGCTTCGGCGGCACGTTGACGTCGGGCTTCTTCACGCCCTCGGTCGGCAGCGCGGGGAAGTCGTCGGCGGCGGGGATCGCCTGCTTGGCCGGGACCTGGCTGTTGGGGCCGCCCTCGTGGCCGCCTCGTCCTCCGCGACCTCCCCTGCCGCCGCGACCTCGGCCGCCTCGCCCCCGTCCTCGGTGCCGCTCGTCCAGGAATCGATCCACGTCGTGCTCTTCTCCTTCCTTAGAGGCGTAGCGACTGGCACCAAGCCCACCGCCGCTCTTAGAGCCCCTGATGCCGCCATTGGCGCCTCTGAATCCTCGTCTGGCCTCCTCCTCTTCCTGGGCCTCCTTGCCCTCGTCCCAGCCGCCCTCCTTGTTGCCCATCGCCTTCAGCTTCCTCTCCCTGTTTTTGGCTCGCTCATCCTCCATCTTCTTGCGGTCCTCGTCGCCTCGTCGCCGCCGCTCAGCCTCCTCGGCGCGTCGCTTGCGCGCCTCCTGCATGCCGCGGGCATACGCTTCGGCGTGGTCCTTCTCGTCCTGCTCGGCCTTCTCGAACTTACGCGCCTTCTCCGCCGACAGCAGCTTCATCTGCTCCATCTTGGCGGCCAGCTCCGTGTCCGTCAGCTTCTGGCGCGGGTTGGCGCCGGACCCGAGGCGCGAGTTTGGGTTGGCGGCCGTGTTCTGGGCCGCATGGCTGGTCTTCTCGCGGGGCGCCGTGGGAGCATTGGGCGGCGCGTTGGAGGGTTGTTGCTGCGGTTGGCGGGGAGGCTTCGGGCTCGGGGCGGGCTTGACGGCGGGCTTGTCGACGGGCTTCTCGGCGGGTTTATCGGCGAATCGGGACGACGAGAGCGTCTTAGGCGGCGGTAATGAGCTCTTGGTCGGCGCGGGCTTTTCCACAGCTACAGGCTCCTGTACGGGGGCTGGCAACTCTGGTTCAAGCGCCGGCTGAGGTGCTGGCACCAGGGTGGCGACAGCGGGAGTGACGACGGTCTCGCTCTCGACGGGCTCGAAGTCGTCGTAGAAGAGGTCATCGTCGGTGCGGCCTCCAAACTGGTCATCCATGGCGGGCAGCAGGTTCTGGGAGCAGGTTCAAGCCGATAATATATAGCAATTAATCGCCAGCAAGCGAGCCAAGGTATATCATGCAGCAATATCGTATTCAGAGGGCCGCAGGCAGAGAGGTTGACGCCGAAGAGCCGGTGGCAATGCTCGTCGATGGAGCTTCTTGCAAGGTGCTTCTTGCAAGGTGCTTCTTGCAAGGTACCTACACCGATACCCCGCCACAGTCATTTGCGGTCATGGGGCAGCGCGTACCTGGAAGTGGGGGAGAGGTACAGAGCCTGGGGCGGTGGCGGTGGCGGGTGGTGGCTGGAGCCCGCGGCTAATACTCGGGCGAGTTGGCCTGCTGCTGCCACAGTGTGAGTTGCGCCTCGTACATCTACGCTAGGTTGATCGTCGGTGAGTCTCGGTGAGCATCCCACAATTCAGCCTAGCACAACTTGACACTGGATAACTTGCTCGTCAAGGAGTTGGTCCAATATGTTTCATTAGGGTATTGAACTATTTGGGGGGTTGAAAGGGCAAGTATCGCTCAGAGAGAATCTATCGTCCCATCAAGTCCCGACCGACTCCCCCCATCTTAATCACTCTTCTCCTCTGCCCACCCGCAGCTCACTCAGTCTCTCCATCACCACCCTCCTCAGCTCATCCTCGCTCCGCACAAACGGCGCCTTGAACTTCCTACAGACCGCCTCCACGTAGCCCTTCTTACAGTACCCGTCCAGCGCGCACGCAATCAGCTTCCCCGTCCGCGAAGCCATGCCCATCTCGGCCAAGCTGACGGGCGCGGCCGTGACGCCATGGAACAGCACCACGATGATGTCGGCCGTGTCCTGCATGTCGAGCTCCCACTGGATCTGGTCCGCCCAGCGCGTGTCGGAGAAGTCCTCTCGCCATGTCGCGTCCCAGTCGTCGCGTTTCGGGTCGAAGATGGTGACGGCCTGGTCGGCGAGTCCTTTGTTCAGCGCCTCCCGCCAATCGGGTTCCCCCGTGTCGCTGGCGGTCCCTCCGAGGAAGATGGACAGGCGATGCGTCTGCTGCGGCCGCGCAGGGGCTCTGATAACTTGCGCTTGGGACGCCATTGATTGAATTTTCGTTTGGTGATTTTTGTTTTGTTTGCGCTGTTTGAATGAAAAGGCACACAATGCTGTTCTTTTATGGTGCGAGAGCGAAGCTGCTGTCAGAGGTCTCCGAGCTGAAAGCCTGAAGTCTGCCTTCTCACACGAGGCACATTTAGCCAGCCAAGCCACTAACATCCTAATTGGCCAAGCATACCAACAAAAAGCCAAGTATGGTAGTGATTCGGTCATGCCGCATCAGACAGTCATCTTTCCCATTTCTAGTCAGCCTCTTACTAAATCATTGGCTTTATCCATTTCCACTCAGCTTGCACTTGTTAGGCAGTCTCTTGGCCCGTGGTCTTTTTGATGTATCTCAACTGTGCCTTTTGATCCCGTGATATTGTAAACATGCACTCCAACCAGCTGACTATTGTTTGCTGTATCTATTTACCTCTGTCACCGCCGTGTGCTCCAATCAGCTGACAACATAAGTCAATTCACAAATACGCACAATAGCAAAATGACATTGAATCATGGCCACAATGCTGGTGGGAAAACGGGGAGCTATTGCAACGTCTAAAACAACAATGCGCAAACAATACGCACTCTGTCACAATTTCCTTCAATCACTGCTTCGCAAACTTCAAAGTTCAGGTCTGTGACTCGCCGTTGTCCTGGTCTCTGGTTGAGCCGAGATGAGGATTTAATCATGTCATCCATTCCCTCCAGACCACCAACCAACTCAGATCTATCCACTACCCAGGCTTCCCAGCAGCGATCATGCCCAAATCAATGAAAACCTGGCAAGTAAAGGCGATTAAAAACGGCCGACGGCCACTACCAGAGGAACCAGGTCAGCGTCCATGGATACCAGAGAAACCCGAGGACACACCATGTCATCCCCCCGAGGCATCTTTGGCCAAGGCCGTAGCCGCGGTACGTCTACTCTAGAGCTCTCCCCTGCATCCTGTGCCTGACATATCTAATCTCCATGACCAGCCTGCTCAAAGACTTGCTACGAACGGCTCCAAGGGCTCTCCCTGGACAGACCAAGAAGTTGCCCTTCTGGTCAATCTCAAGCATCAAAATTTTGGATGGGTGTGTATACAGGTAAGTTTTAATCCCCAGTGACGGGTTTTCGAAATTTCAATCACTAACCACGCACTCCTCTCCAGCGCTATTTTCCCAACCGACCCATCGACGGTATCAAGCAGAAGTGGTTCAAGCAGGCCCAGCTAGCGCGAAAGACCATGTCGAATTAGAACAAATACACAGAAAGCCCCAGCTGGAAAAGGATCACAACGCCGAAGCCCAGCCCTAGCCTAAGCACCCCTTCACTATTTTACATCTTTAATAAACCGATATCTAAGATTTAGTGTATTAAATTGCCTGCCGCGTAGCCGAAGTGACTGGTACTTGTGTGCGAGTAGCAATGCTCAGAAAATATTACGTTATTTATTCATCTAATAGGCAATCAAGAATGAAACAAATATGTTCATTGTCAATTTAAGCTAATAATTTATATGCTCCTTGGTCGCAGGATCTGGGGGGGTTTTTTTTTTAAAAAAAACCGTGTTTGCGAGCTTCCGGTTATGGCTAATCGGTGTTTGGCATTTCACCCTCCTGGGTCACATCTTGTTGACCACACTACGTTAGGGACTAAACGCCATCAAAATTCCCCGAGACCTTCCTTCTGACACTGACAATAAGTTCGTCTCTCCAACTTGGTAATCAGCGCAAGCCGGCTGCGTTGGGCGGGTCACACCCTCGACGTCACCTAGCCCTCTCCTTACCCTATAGCCTCGACGACAAGCGCTCGGGTATTCATGAGAAACCCTACCTCACAAATTATGTCAATGAATTCAAGGATGAAAAATAGCAAGACTAGCGCCTCTATGAAGAGATGTTCGCCAGTAGAAAATAGCTGTGATAAAGGAGGTTAGGATGAATAAAGCCGCAAGTTAGGTTAGAAATCCACCTTTCTTGCCTACGTATTCGACGTGATGCTTTTTCTCACCGATACGGCTTGCATGTAACCCCTTGCAATATTATATCTACTCTTGCCTTCAGGGTGCAAGTCGTGTTTGGCAAGCTTTTCCAGGCCTCGGCTTTCCATTCTTCAGTGATTTTAGATTTCCTCCCAAAGCATCTATGTCAGCGACGTAGGTGGCATACCAAGACCCGCCCTAACTTAGGGCGTCAAAAATAGGGCGAATGATTTCATGCCGTCACTACGGACGACCTCACGGGGAACGCTAGATTGCTTCCAATTGACGAATTTACCAAGGGGAAGGCCAACTAGAAACACCACTACTCACGGATATCAGCGGAGGTGTTGTTAATAAAAGGATCGATGTATACTCTCCATCCTAATTGTCTCCTTAGAATCTTTTTATGCATTAGTCATCGATCTGCGTCACACTTCCAGCCAATTGGGGAGTGTATAGTCAAGTTTACTTGGACAAATCAACAGCCTAAGCTCGCTGAGGTAATGTCAGTAAGGCTGTGCTTGTAAGATCATGCTTTGAGTCTCTGCCTAATACACTCCTTTGAGTCAGATCCCTCTGTATCCGACTTCTTAAAAATAAATATCAGTTACTCTCTCCCACTCTATGAACCTCACTCAGATTTGTCAGAGAAAATGACACTAGACAAGACCATCTACCAAAGCGTCCAGACGGGCCGATGGACAGACCATAATGCACACAGTGGGTGCCTATTTTGCTAGTCTCATTGATGCTATAGTTCAACACTAACGTTATGCTATGTTCTCTTCAGGAACGCGATGGTTGATGGATGACTACCATGCGGCTTTATTGACATCTCTCATTGCCGTCTGGCTCTCGTTCGCGTGGAAAAGCGTTTTTCGCATTGCTAAATACTTTATCGTCATCTCGCTACGGCAGATTCCCGCCAACTTGGACGTTCGAGAGAATCAAGAGGGACGACCTCTCCTCTCAACCCGTGATAGCGAAACTGGAACAACAACGCCTCAGAATGTCACCGAGGTTCTTGAAAGATCTGATGGAGGTGCCAAGTTGATAAAAAATATCGAAAAGTACGTCAGCCAAAGACGAAGCCGCCACAAAACGGTATCGATCGTATTCGGCCTAGTCTTCTTCGCAATGTTTCTCGGCTGGGTCATCTTGGGCATCTACTCCGCCATGATCAAAACCGACAATGCAGCTTTGTGGGCTTCTGACCACTGCGGCATCTTCTTGTTTGATGCAGACCACGCCGGCGAAGGAGCTGCTACTCGCGCCGACGTTCGGGGCCGGAACAAGGAATCGCGAGCTGGGGAGTACGCCAAGAGCTGCTACCAGCTCCCGGAGGATTCAATACTTCAAACCAAAGACTGCGGCTTCTTCTATCAGCCTTTTATTCCATTCACTAACAAGACTACCTACGAATGCCCATTCCGGGACCCCAAGATTTGCGCACCAGACGCTCAAGCCATCACCTTCGACACTGGACTTGTGGACGCCAGTCGCATAGGTGTCAACGACCCGATCACCTACAAGTTCAGTCGATCTACAACGTGTGTTCCTCTGAACAATGACTACCCGTACGTACAGAGAGAGGATATAAATGGTACTCCAACTTTTACCTATCACTACGGAGAGATTGTCGATGATGATGGTAGCACAAATTATACTTTTTCCAGTGCTGGAGATCCTTTCGACATGTTGGCACCCGCGTACAACGTCAGGTAAGCCAACTGGAGAAGACCGATTATTACTCACTGCGAATTTGTTCTAATGGGAACACTTCAGCGCGTACGCGACTTCATGGTATCCCGAATACGACTATTGGAAGCCAAGGCCGGAACTCACTCCACCTGAGAACAGTACTCTCACTTTGTTGTTCATCTCCGCCCTTCATATCTTATATCTCGACTCGAGCTCCGATCCCATCTTTGGCGCTGACGAAAAGTATGTCTTTGAGGGAGAGCCAAGGCCCTGGTGGTATAAGTCTGATCCACGATCTGGAGTCCTTGCCTGCATCGATTACCACCAGCTTTGCAGCCCCGATGGCAAAAGCTGTTGGTCCGTCAAAGAGCGTCGTGAGAACCTTCCTCCTGGATATTGGCTTATGAGACTTTCAATGGAGACAGCCTCGAGCATCTATGACTCCATTTTGGGACGTCTTGGCTCCGCTCTCATTGCTCAAGAGAGAGTCTCCCAGTCTACCTCGGCTGGTCTTGGCTATGACCATTGGAAGCTCGAGGCTGCTCGACTCTTCGCGACGTCCTTGGCCCGAATCCAATTTGACGCTTGGAGCATTGCCAGCGGGGAAGACAGAAGAGAGGAAGGCTTCGTCGACGAAACTCCAGATGAAGCGGGGGATTTGTGCGGCCTTTTCAAGTTTAAGACCGTTGGGTATGAGAACATCGACGTTCTTTGGCTTGTCATCCTTTCGCTGCTGTCCCCCTTGCTCTGGATTCTCAGTCAGGAAGTACGAGATATCCGGGACAGACGGAATTGGGCTTGGGCCTTTATGAAGGATCTCTATTCAGGACAGCGTGAGAATGGACAACAAGACGAAGAGAGAAACTCAGAGGTTGAGAACAATCCTTGGACTGAAGATGAAGAGCGACCCCATCTGGCATCAGAGAACCAACCAGGACAACAAGAAGCAGGTGATGACATAGGGGAGGATCGTTTGGGTGGTCCAGATGACGACATTTTGGTTGTCTACTTTATCATTCGCCGCACATGGACTTTTCTGCGCACCTTCTTCAGTTGCATTGTGGATGTCGTCAAGTCAATATGGCAAGGTCTCCTAAAGCTGCGAGGCGATTAGAATGAATCGAGTTTGGGGCTAGATGAAAACCTTGTGAATCATGATCGAGAACATAAAAGGGTAAAGGCGAAATATAATTTTGGGTATCTGATATAAAATTGTTCTTGATTCCTCATTATTTGTCGTTGACCGATCGCGCAAACTTCCTTCAAGATGCAGTCCCTTTTTTACCGCATTCCCAATAATTTACAATGAATAGCCTTAGATTCCCCATAACTCAGCGCCTCGATTCCTTCCCTGAAATTTTGACCCTTATCAGCCTATTATTTGTTGAAATTATGACGAGCCAAGGCACTCACCTAGAATAGTTTCTCTTGAGTCGTACCTCAGCATCACCACGCCAACTCCCGAGACCACCATATATGCAGTATTTCTCTAAGCATACGCTGGGCGGTTGAATCGGTCTTGATTGTGATTAAGCCGGCGTCGATTCCTAGCTAATCGCCGCCGATAATCTTCATCATCCTGCTCGACTTCAATCGGGCTGCACGAAATAAGTTCATGGGAGCAATTCAATACGAGAAGGGCACTGTTACCGATTCACTACCGTGTAAAACGCGTTTTCGTCTTGGATGGAAGGGAGATCATTAGATACTTGGTCGGTGGAAATTTCTTCTGCTTGGTAATAGCTAGGTTGATATGCTTAGGGATTTGCACTGGTAGGTTGAATTGCGTTGGCGTAGTGGTATTGATACTCGTGGGTATTTGGATCAGTAATTTGAGTCGAGTTGACATAGCCATAGGGATATCCAGGGATATTTTGGTTGGTAGGTGGAGCTGAGCTACTATAGTAATCTTGATGCCTGTGGGTATTTGGATCGGCAGGTTGAGTCGAGTTGGCATAACCATAAGGATATCCAAGAATATTTGGGTTGCTAGGTGGAGCTGAGCTACCGTGGATATGTTGATACCCGTGCAGAGTTGAATCGACAGGTCGAGTCGAGTTGGCATGGCCATAATCAGGGGTGACATCTGGGTAGACTTGGTAGTTATCGCCGGCTTCGTTCTCGGCCTCAGCCTCGTGCCCGCGGTAAGTTTCGTGATTTTTCCCAGATTGTGACGTTGAAAGAAAGCTTGAAAGAATTAGCTAGACACCCTGTGTATTACGTAGCCATGGCATAGAAAGTAAGTTACCAGTTATTTGACGAGTCATGCCCGGCAGAGGATGAAGGTTCTGAATAAAAGGCGTCGGTGTCTTCGTCTGGCCAGCTACCGTATGAATGTGTTATTTCGTCGGGAGCTTCATCAACACCAACATACATATCCTCAGGATCGGCGACCGTATGTCTAGTACGGTTAGGTCGGTGAGTATGACTACGCGACTGTGATGGGCGGACTGCTTTTCTCCGTTTCTCTGGTTTCCATCGAGCTGAATCGGCCTTCAACCTGTCGATGTGCTCGTTCGTTAGGCTGCTGTAGGCTGTGATCTTGTAGATCTTGATGCTGCGGCCGAACGGATCTAATTGCCTATCACGGTGGACTTCGGTAACATCATAATCGATATCGTCCCTTGGGATAGAAAACTCTTGATGCAAGGGGTTTGTTGAGGGAGGGGTAGAATAACTGGGATAAGCCATGTTGAGGGTAAGGGCCAATTTTAGGTCGTGATGCTCTATTAGCCAGAATGCTGAGTCATTCTATCGACAGGATTATAGTTCGAGGTGCCATATATGCGCACTCGACACACCAATTAAGTACAGTGTAGGGTACTCGCCTATGCTTGACGTCACTATGCCCCTGGCTGATCACAAGGCGGAGAGCTTGACGGTCGGACGAGCAAGGCTCTGTGTGGGTGCAGTTATCGGAGGGCTTTCTAAAGAGGCCAGGGATGGTTACTCGAGAATAACGCCGATCTCCACCAAAAGGAAATCAGCAGGAAAACTAGCAAGCATCATATCGAGAAATGAGGGATTTTTGACTGGGAATCGGAGAAGAGGCGGTGATCTGACAAAAGGCAGTGGTGGTTCGCGACCAATACCTCTTTCGTCTGATATGTCTTGCTTGAGGCGCTGTGGCTTATGCATATATGCTGACATAATGGATCTTATTTGCACCAGGGGCGGTGCGGCCCTTATTTGCATCGCCACATTGCCCCTTGATTTCGGCCTGATGAGGTTCTGGGAATGAGAGATATGAACCGACTTGACCAGCAAGGTTATAGAGAGGAAGGTCGTCTTGAGGCTCCTCTGCACAAATTTGGTTAGTCCAAGATAGCTGTGCGACTGCTTAGTCACCCAGGACGGCGGCTAAAACAACTGACGAGCCAATCAGATCATTTACCGTTGATGGCACTCCATGTTCATCTTATTCCTTCTCATATCTCCATCCTCAATCTCAACGGTTCCTCATATTCTCGCACTCGTTAGATCAGGGCGAACGGCCCCCTTGCCATGTCTCTCAGCGCTCAATCCTCCAACCCGGACGAGTATCTCAACCTAAACTCGGCTGAGAACGGGGACGAGGAAGCACTGCGGACATCGTTGGAGAATGATGACGGCCCCCCTGGCATGTCTCTTACCGCTCAATTCTCCAACCCAGACGAGTCTCTCATCCTAGACTCGGCGGAGAACGGAGACGAGGAAACAGTGCGGACATTGTTGGAGAAGAATGACGGCCTCGTCTGGACAAAGGCTCCAAACACGGGCAACACACCACTCCATCTGGCTGCTGGCCACAACTACGAGGGGCTAGTGCTCCTACTGCTCGAAAGGGGAGCCAACCCGGAAGCAGCCAACAAGGAAGGCTGGAAGCCTTTGGCCGTCGCGGCGAGGAATGGCCCCTCGTTTCTACCGATTGCTCAGCTTCTACTCGAGTATGGAGCCAACGTTGAGTCGAAGAATGGCCGCCTCAGACAATCTGCTCTTCACCTCTGCGCTGAGACGGGTTTTTGCGAGTTGGCTCGGATTCTGCTGGATCACGGAGCGCAAGTGGACATCAGGGACTCGCATTCTCAGACACCGCTATTCAAGGCTGTTGCTGCGGGAAAGCTGGACATGATCAAACTGTTACTGGAATACGGAGCGATAAAGGATATCCAAAATGACCAAGGTGTTTCGCCAGAGGTTCTTGCAGCTGAGAATGAAGACATCTTGAGACTTCTCCGGACTCCTCAGCTTCTTCATGGACCGAGAATATCAGACCAGGGACGGACGCCCAGGACAGGAAAGGCGCAGACACTGATTGCCAAGATTCCTCCACCTTTCGATGATCATGCCAAGATGAGGGCTTGTTACGCCTTCAAGGCTACGGTGGTCGACTTTCATCTTGGTGAGTTGGAGCAGCGCATACAGAAAACTGTTCCTCTTTACCAGGTCATTTACGGAGAGGGGGCAAACTCCATTATGAAGACAGCCAGGCAGGGGCAGATTCAGACTGAGCCATCATTTCGGTGGTATCATCTCCCTGCTAATAATGTGAGTAATATTGACTTGAGAGAGTGTGTGTTGAACGCTGACCGAGTTGCAGATGGAATGGATTGAGGTATGGGTATTCCTGATTGTTCCTTTCAGTATCCGAATCTTGCCTGTTCTTATCGAGAGGATCCAGCAAGATCAATAATGAAAGTGCTTAAATGTTGAAGTTATTCTGCATTACTAACACCTTCTCACCGCCAACAGGCTCTGATGCGCAGGCATTTCGCTGAACGAAGCCCCAGGACGGCACAGTACACCAACGAGTTTGCCAGAGACCTCGGCATAGGTCGAACACGTGATGAGCATCATTTAATGTTTACCTCGAAAGGATCATTTGTCCGACCATTCTGTCGAGAAGTCAAGGTATGCCAAGTTTGAGAGCCATGCCTGAAATTGAACGAGACTAACAACAATCTACTTTGGCACTGAAGACTGAGCGTGACTCAGTGAATGAGCGGTACATTGCAGCATTTGTATGACTTCGACTTTCCAGTTGGACCTTGAGTGCTAAGTGCGAACAGGTCCCCTACTTACACTATGAAACGCATCGCGATTTCCAAGCCATGGCCGACACAGTCGCCGAAGCCATTGATGCTTGGCCTGACATGAGCGATGGGACCACAGGCATGATTAAAGATCGCGAGGGATTAGTGAGCTCCAAGAAGAAACGTCCCTCGAAGCATACTGAAAAGACTGGTGGGTGGCTCACCGAAAAATTGGAAATATACTTGTAAGCTATACTGACATCAACTTCGCAGCCTCGGCACGATACAAGCCGGATCCGCCTGGCACTCAACAAAAGAAGAAGAAGACAAAGGACAACAAAAATGGACGCCCAACGAGCGACAATGCCAGCATTGACACATCGTATAAGGGCATTCCTCCGGGCATTCTGCACAAAATGCTGATCCAGGGCTACTTAAAATCTGGAGCAGGCGGTGAAGTACCGCCACTGCAAATTCGACGCACTTTGGACCATTACTTCTACAGCCATCTGGACAACACTTCGAAGAGGGACAGTGATCAAGTGGTGCAGCGATACACATCCAAAATCATGGACATGGAGCCCAAGATGTTCATGGTGGATCAACTCTGGCTTTGGATCCTGGATAATGGTATGTGCCCGTGATGAAACTCTTGTGCCTGCATTAATGCTGCAATTTCCAGATACAGTTATCAGTTGCTGTCCAATGAGATGGGATTCTTGGGAAACAGACCCCCAAGCCAAACCAGAGTCGAATACCCGTCCTGGTGATCCTCCAGGTAACAGGCCAAGGATAGGGGAGGACTTTGCGGTCCGTGAGAACGATCCTCTCAACATTTATCAAGCCATTGCCGAATACATGAGCAAGATAAGACGAGACTCCATCCAGAATGTCGAGGATCTATGTCGCATCATCACATCGGCGTGTCTCAATGCGTTTGACCCTCACAGGGTGCCAGAAGAGTTTCATTTCTTCGATTTCATGGAGAGGTCTATAGGTGATGTAGTCAGTACGAGGTTCACGAAGTTGGGGCTCTACTAATTCCCTCTTGAGATTGAGCAAACGACTGAACGATTCGAAGAATTCCAAGTAATGTTGGACACCGCCGCGGCAACAAATGAGCTCCTCTCCGCCATGAACATTCGGATCGAGGCGGAGACTAACCTTTTAGTCGAGATTGAGGACATTAGAGATGAACTGGGCATCCTAAGATTAGTCATTGAAGACCAGAAATTTGTCGTTGACGACCTAGAGAAGATTCTCTCCCCAGACGCAGATGAGGCATTCCATCCGGCACATGTTCGGAAGGATCACATTCTCAAAGACAATCGTGTTCTGGAGAGCCATTTTGCTCGAATCAAGAGGATGGAGGGCCTGACAGCAAGGGCTATTCAATCTGTAAGACACTGGCAATTTATCCTTTCAGGCCGTCCCACCCGCATTCTGTCCCACACCCGTCACACTCACATCTTCTATGGTTTGCTAACGTTGCCAGCTTCGCTCACTTCTCAAGCTGAAGCAACAACATGCCAGCCTCTCTGAAGCACATTCTGCTCGCAGACTGGCCGAGTATAACTCCGAGCAAGCTCGTCTTGCTACTTCCTACAACAAGCTAGTTGCCGATCAACTCACAATGGCGGGAAAGCAAGCGGAACAAACGGCTAAGCAGGCCAACGTGATTCTCCTATTCACCGTCGTCACTGCAGTCTTTGTATGTCCACCTGCGATTTTGCCTGGTTGCCCGTATACTGACGCCGCTAGCTTCCTTTATCCTTCATGACGTCGTTCTTTACCATTGAGATAGCCTCATTTCCCGTCGACGAAAGCGGCAAGATGGCCCTGTCCTATGTTTTACCCATCATTTGTACGTGCTTTGGTGCATCTCTTGCAGTTGGCTTATACTAACGATCGCAGTGTCCGTATCAGCCGGCGTGTCCATACCGTTTATCCTGATTGCATTCAACCTTGATAAGGTGTCGGCGTGGCCTCGAAAATTTTACGACGCCATCAAGGATGGATACGAAGTCACGACTTTCATGACAATAGTCTGTTTGGTTATTTTCATCTCTCTTGCCGTCGTTCTCTCACAGCCACTTGCTGCGCCGATTAAGGGCAGCATAGGCGCTGCTCTAGGACTACTGATCAGTGTGGTTCTGATTGCTATACTCATCTGGAAGAAGGGGCGACATTGGCTCTGAGCTGGCATGTTTGACTAGATATGTAGATATGACGGGAGCTTATACATTTCCTCCAATAGAGTTTAAGGGATACCTCTGTAACTGTGACTATGCGTCATAACTCTCATCAGATATCGTTTCTGCATAACCCCGAGGCACGTTCGTTTGCTGCCTCCATCGGTCTACCCGCACAGCAGTGTCGTAATATCTAGGAGGATACGCCGTGCTCCGCTGTTGTCCGGCAAAGTAAAACATCCTGTTGAGAGCTGCCTGGTTCACATGCTGCGCCATAGGCGGTATATTCTGCGTATTATAAAGAGGCATCGTCTGGTGTCTCTGTTGGCCTTCGACATTGTCACCGGGGCTGCTGTCGACTTCAGATGCATCACTATCGGTCGACGTGAGCTCGCTGGGCAATTCCCAGCCCACGGGACTATCGGAGTGAAAAAGGGCTCCCATGAGAGTCAGCAAGAAACCACAGGCGACGAGCAGGAAACTAAGCCAGCCTAAAGCCAGGGCAGCCGTGCCAGTTTGGTACTTGACGGCTCCAAAGGTGAGGTCCGTTGCCAACGAAGCGGAAGCACCCGCGAGATGCTGCCATATTGCGGCGGTGAGGGCTGCAAAGCTGCCGACTAGTAGACGGCTCACAGACAATACCCCCACCGCATGGGAGTGTCTCTGCGAGTGGTTCAAGAATCTTGTGGCCCAGCTGCCACCTTCGGCCCACTGCTCCTGGTTAGGAGGATACAAGATGCCCATGATGACGGCTGCTAGGACAAGTATAATAGTGACAAACCTGAGCAGTTAGACCATGATTTAGTGATTGGTACTTAAGGCTTACATAAAGGCAGAGGTGATGGCCTCGGACTGAAACTTTTCTCCGATCCATAGCAAATTAAGAGGATCCGTCTGGTTGTCCGCCCGAAGAGACTGGGCCAAATTCGAGGCGTTAGAGTCGCATATCCAGTTTCTTGCACTTGTCAATACGCAGAGAGCGAAGTAGGCAACTCTGACTTCGACAATTTTTGACGTGTCGTTGAGTGGGTTGGTGAATGCGCCATACAGGGTCTCGTTGACTGAGGAAGTCTGCAGCGTGCGACTATTGGTATTGTAGGATAATGATAGGATGTATATGTCGCGGAGAGAGGGCGCTGATATCGCGCAGCCAGCGAGGAGAGTACCTTCGAGCACGGGTGAATATGAAGTTGAGACGATTGATAATTGTGTTGAGGGAGTGCTTACTGAGCGGTACAAGAGCAACGACAAACGAGAATTCTTGCAAAAGGTTAATTTTTGACGTTAAAACCTGTAGAATGCCTACTCGATGTGGATAGTGACGTGACTCTTTCGCATGATGGTCAGTAAGAACGTTATGAAGCGGACGCTGCGACGCATTCACCTGAACTTGAAGAATCGGACGGATTTCCAGACGTTGCGGCCATGTTTAATCCCTCTTGCAGTGAATGACTGAAGGCGATTTATTTGAACAATAAGGTCATCGCTGGATAGCTGGTGCCGCGCAGCATGCTTTGTCTTTGCCTGGTGTCTCGTCACGATTATTTGCGTCGAGAGATTCGCAACCAAACACCGAAGCTCAACTGAGCTGAACGAAGCAAGCGGGTCTAGACGCACGTGATGCTTGATTATGTCAGACAAGGAGGCTGGTTGCGCGAGGTGTTTATCTTGTTGGCTCTGACTATTGGCTCCTTAACCGCCCAACCCTGGTCATTTCCAGGGTCTCTGGACCATTTTTCGATTCCACACAGATCAGACGAGGGACATACGGACAGGGCGGAGGAATCTTCCTTCATTCTGTGTCTGCACACTCATCTGCAGAATGTCTGGACGTGGCACGGGAAGCCACTCGGGCTCTCGTCCAGCCAGTCATAGATCTACCTTGCCGAATATTGGAGCTCAGAGGCAGAGCGGAGAACGCCCTCAACCGAGTGGCCACGCGCAGACGACAAACGAATCAACAGCTTCTACTAGCCGTAAGTTATGTTATCTAGAGGGTTGGTCTGTATGCCCTGTTGACCAACAGCTGCAGCATCGGTCTCTCGGTTCCGGACCGGCTTTTATAGATTCATCCCGTTTATCGGATACCACCATGTGCTCATGTTCCTTTTGTTGCTGCCCATTCTCTTCATGTGTAGGTATCCACAATGTCTCTTCGGTACGCTGCTAATGTTATACAGGCATAGTTATAGCAGGTTGCGCAGAGATAGGTGGCATCCGAAGTGTACACCTGGCATCCTTTTCCTACCGCCAACATCCCCCAGCCTATGAGACCGATGGATCGTTCATGAACGAAAGTATCCAAGATGTCATGCTTAATTGGACAGTCAGGTCAACAGACGCCGTGCGTGTGGAAGCGGTGCGGGCGGGATACTTGCGCATCTGCGTGAAACTCGAACAAATAGGCTGGCACTGCGGAATCAAGGGTTCGACAGTACCAAACGTGGAGGTCTTTGATCCATTGCAACTTATTCAAATTGGCCATCATTTTCGCACGCAGATGGTGACATGCGGTCAAATGTAAGTTCTCTGAACACCCCCTTTCATATTTACCCATCTGCTAATTGCACAGAATCATCTACCTCATCCTTGCCGTCGTCACGTTTGTCCTTCTGGCCAGATTCCCCGGCTGGCACGAGGAAGAAGACCCGGGAGGCAGCATGATCGACGTCAGGCCTTTCCCGTCCCGTAAACTAACGAATATAGCCTTGATCACCAACGGCCTTGGCAGCATAGGGTTGTTCATCTCCGTTGCGTGGCAAAATATTGCTGTAGCATCAGTGGCCGCTGTGGTTGAGGGCATGAGGTACGATGGCGTTGAGGTGAAGATGGGGGTTGCGGCGGCCGTGCTGAGTTGGCTGGGTGTTTTGATTTATGCGCTTAGTTTGCTAGGATTGACGGTGATGGTCCTTTCTATAACCATTCTATCCTGGATGTAACCATTATATATGCATTGAGTTAGCTTACTTATCGGAGGGTGCCAGCGGGCATGCCATTCAGCTACACCATGGGGAATGCATGCTCAATGGATCGAGATCGCTTGGGACCACATGACTCATGAACTTGCTGGACGGCGGTCGTTGTGAAGGTCTCGGGGGTAGCAAACCCGGCACTGGAAGATGTAGAGGCATGTCCATTGTGAGTATTGCGGTATCTAGTCAGGTCGGGCTGAGCGTCTCCAAAGTTGAACGTCAGCGACATGGTACAAGAATGGCCTCGAAGTGAAGGCTTTGGGTTAGTAGGAGAGGAAAGAGGGTACACTGAAGGTATGACAAAAGATAGAAAGGGCAGCTTCGGAAGCCATAATCTAGCATACCCATTCAGTCCGCTTCGTCCAGATGCTGGCTAAGAGAAGATGCAATTAGAAGAGGATAGATCAGTGTATGTATACAAGCATGCAGATAGCCACCCATGGTACTGGTTCAACTTCAGAAATGTTCAAAATAGAAACGAGTAAAATGAGCGATGAAAAGGGACGTATGATGCTGGTTTGGCGGCCCAATGATGGTGTGGCGTGCGCGTGATTCGACGCCTAGGCCCTCCGTGTAAACGGACACACGGCCCCACAAGTGTCTGTTTTCTCTTGCCGCTGTATTGTCCGAAGGGATTCTTGAGCCTGATATTCCTTAGGAACTAGATACCTAATACACCAAGTTTATTCCTAATAATACCTATCTTTACGTTACCATCGAATAATAAATATTATTTTAGTGAAAGCTTAGTCTTATCTTATAATTGTAGTATTTATTTATTACCTAATTTGGTCACTTTGAATAGAGAGGACCCATCGGAAATGGTCGCTGGGCAAGGAACAGCTGGTCTCTAAAACTGCCATGTCTCTTACAGACCTTTGGAACTGGAATTTGAATACCCTAATTCTACACTATCGCGTCTGTATCGTCTTGGCACACTCCATGGAGCATTACTAATTAACCATGCTTATGTTTGTCTCCTGTCTGCTCCCCTTTGTTGTGCAGTCTTCCCTTTGGTCTGTCTTGTAAGAAAATTACAGTTATAGTGTTCGGAGATTGTCTGGGTATAGACTCTTTCTACATGTTGATGTCACACCTACCTAGATCATAGACAATATCAAGAGAAGAAGGAGCGCGTGGGAAAAAGCTCTTTCTGCGGGTATGCCGCCATCATGCTCAAGGGGACGGGGCGGTACAACTGAAGCACGTTTGAAGGGCATCGACCAAACACCTTCTTGACAATGGGTACTACGCTATGAAGGAGATTTAGTAGAAGGTTGCGATGTGATGTATTAATGCGCCGAGCCGCATCCTTCCCTCCGAATCTGCCAAAGTGACGCAGGTTCAATAACTCTGCAGGGCAGTTTCAGATGATATATTGCGTCTCCGTGAGACCTTATTACCCTTTGAATATGCTCCTGTTTTACTTGAAGTTCAGAAAGAGACAGCTTCGAGGCCGCGAGTTGCCACGACTTGACCACACGAGGACGTAACTCAAGATGCCACGTTCCGCGCCAAGTGACTGAGGCACCGTCTCTGTCCATGCGGTATATGAAGGCACAGGCATGTGCCTTCCCGCCATTCCAAAGCACAAACGTGTGTAACTTGGGCATCTTCTGAACAAGGACCCCGGCTCGGCAGAGCAAAGCTCCAATCTCCTCCCGCTTTTCCCCATCGTCCTGCAGGAGCTGCGATGTGAGCGCTAGAGATTGTAGATGTGACCAGCCCCACGTCGACTGACAATGTTGAAACAGTTCTTCGGCATTGATCATGAAGGAGATGGCCAGGTGTTGTAAGTCGAGACTTTTTGATGCGAAAACCGGACCAAGCCTTTTGCGAGGATCATTCCAATCAATAAAATTGAACAAGAGGAAAGCGGGTTGTGTGAGTGCTTCCCGCTTTGGAAATGGATCGTAGAATTCATAGGAATCTTCAAACACTACCAATTCTTTGAGAGTATCCGGAAAATTGGTTCGCATCGCAATAGAAAGGTCTATCCTCAAACATTAGCAGTTGACCATCAGCGCGTATTGACATGGTGGGAAAATGAAATCGCGATTCCTGCTAAGGCGTGGCCGCGTGGGTGCGTACCTCGATCATCAAATTCTCTCCCCTGAGTTTTATATGGCGCCCACGGTTCGTAGGACATGTACTCTAGACGATCAAACTTGCTGAGTAACATGCCTATTGATTTCGGAGAAAGGCGACGCCGGAGTTGTCGACGGATAATGAGGCAATTGACTGCTTCAACTCGAGGCAGCATTTCAGGTAACACTAAGTGGATACGTCTGAAAAGTCGTTCCATGACTGGGTATGGAGGAGCTTTGACTTGTTGACCGTGGATCCAGCCATGCCGTGGGTCATGATATCCAGTTCCAGTCCTCCACGTATCCGACATTGTGTCCTCTCCATACTCAACATCGTCGGAGGACAAGTACAAGTTCTTGAACCAGTGTTCGCAGTCGCTAGGAGAGAACACGTTGATCTCTAGCGCTAACTTATTCGATGGGCTCCAAGAACTGAGAATGGAAAGTAGCCTCGATATCCCATTACTGACGATAGAGTCAATCCTCACTGGTGGTATACGTCGTTTCGAGCAACACTTGGGTGTATATCGTGGTAATTCGAAATCCAAACAGATGTGGTGAATGAGCGCTCTCTTCTGCGTCGAAGCTATACTTTCGAAATTGTCGAGGCAAGATACTCCCAGCTTCATCTTGTAGTAATTGGCCTTCTCCAAAACGTGCTGCCATTCTCTGCATACAGACGCAAGAGAAGCCCAGCCAGAATTCTTTTGGTATGCGATTGCCTCCAAGATCATCAAGCGAATCTCTGCGGGAAGAGATATCCATTTGATGGCTTGTGCCCTTGTTTGGCTGCGGGTTTTCATTGTGCGGAGTTTAGAAGAGAAACAGCGGGGGGCAAATATAAACAGTGGCATCAGAAGGGGCTGAGGGTTGCTTATATAGCAGTCAGGAAAGACGGTGCCTCTCTGAATAGTATTTTTGCCTGCCGGATCGAAGGTTAAGATGGCGACCTTTATGACCATCGAAGTCGATTTTTTAAATCTGAATCCACGTGCCACGCGCTACAGACAGCAAGGTCATTGTCTATGGTAAACAAAGTTGAGGATAGAACGGTTGAATTGGAGCCCAAGGCAAATGTCTGTATACAGCAACCTTATTTTAAGCTATTGTCTCTTCTGGCGCTGGCTCTAGTACTGAATGTGCGTCTCTATTGCGCGTAAAAACTGCATATTCTTGACCCATTTAATAGTATGGAATAATGCTAAAAAAGGATTCCACCTGTCAAGCACTGTACGTATACAAGACGGGTCTAGATAAATCTACCCGAAAGGCTTACCGCGACGTTGTGTAATCCAAATTAAATCAGCCCCTCGATACCCTGATAGCACCAGGCTATCTGCGGTTTAAAGAAGATCGCGTGCCCGAGAGGGCTTCAAAATTGCCGTTAGAAGCGGCAAGGTAAAATACAGGCATGTTGTGCCGTGATAATGGATCTACTGGCTCAGCGAAGTAACCGGACATCCACAAGGCCGTCTAAATGAGGCCTCATCGGCATTAACTGGTGGACTCGATGTGTTTAGACTCGTTCGACAAGAGCTCATTTTAGAGTGACCTGCATGAGGCGGTACAGAACTGTGACAACGATTTCCGCACCTGTGATTTTCCGACATGGATTAAAGTAAAGGCATCGTTGCTACGAGGGAGAGCATGTGAGCCTTGGATCATAGCATCAGTGCTTCTCGACTGTGCAACCCGCATCTGTGTTTCTATTTACTCCGCGGACCCGATACACAAATAATTTTGGGACAAACTTTACTTACACGGCCGACTCGGGCTGGTCTAAGTCTCGAGGATACAAGGTTCGAGCTGAGAATCTGAATGCTTTCAGTCACTCATCCATAGGAATCAACACTGGGGTCTAGGGTGGGCCTCCAAATGAGGGGTCTGCTGCGACTAGGCAATAATAATTGGGAAGTGTGTTTAGCCATAACTGATATTAGCCGGGATAGCGACCCGCCTCCGCATGATATAAGTACGGATTTGGCCTTCAATCTAAAATGGCCAGATTTTGCTCACTTGCTGCATAATCCTTGATTTCTACTGGAACTTTCCTGTCATGTGCCAATGTAAACATGGGGTCATCCCTTCGGAGAAGTCATTGTAAATGGCCTTTACAATGCCCATCTTCGGTAAGAAATAATGGGTCTAACTCGGCTCAGGTGTCCGAGATTCCGTCTCGTAAACTTTGCATCCTCATGAGCAGGCGAACATCTGAACCGTCTCCAGGATGAATTTGCTTGTGCCAAGACCCCACGCTTTATGCAGTTGCATTCTGCATTCTAACACGGTCCCCTGTAAAACAGTAATTTTACATCAATGCGACCACATCACAGTTTTCCATAGTCTAGTTCCTCGAGGCATATACTGCAATATATCTGCTCTACAAGTCTATGTAGATAAAATCTTTTGAGACGGGTGCTTCATCTACATGCAGTGGATAGCTGCACTGACCGGGAACGGTTCCTGCGGGCCTATGTTCCGACGTCAATGACTGAAAGGGGATCGGCATCAATTCCCCCTTTAGGTTTACCGTCCGCCAGTGCCGTAGGCTCCCTCATTAATAAATCGCCAAGTAGCTTTCATCGGAGGTTGAGGTTCCATCTGGATCAGAACGGCACACTCCTCAGTGGACCCCGTGCTCTTAGTCCCAAAAGGTCAATACGAATCATAAATGATTCGCGGGAAATCAGAGAAATTGAGGTCATGTTGAAATTACCCGGCCTAAAATAATTGTTCTACGAAATGGTTGCTGGGAGCTAGAGTATCGAGTTGGTTAGAGACCAGTATAAAAGGCAAGAATGCGACGCTGCCTATCAGCAATATTGTGCCTCGATCACACTCATCATCTCTATTGATCTCACGATGAAGTACCTCAAGCTCCTTGCAGCACTGGTAGCGCCTGTCCTGGCCGCTACTAGCTGGGATAATGTGCATATCGGAGGTGGTGGTGGTTTTGTGTCTGGCATCGTCTTCCACCCAACAGAAGCCGGGCTAGCATATGCTAGAACAGATATTGGTGGCATCTACAAGCTCAACAGTGACGACTCGTGGACCCCGATTACGGATGGGATTGCTTCTAGCAGTAATTGGTAAGATTTTATGATTACTTTTCACAAATTGGTTTCACTCATCAGACACTAGGCACAACTGGGGCATTGATGCAATTGCTCTCGATCCTCAAAATGCCAACATCATCTACGCTGCCGTAGGCATGTACACCAATAGCTGGGACCCTAACAACGGATCCATCATGAAAAGCACCGACAAAGGCGCCACGTGGACTTTCACGAGCTTGTCATTCAAAGTTGGTGGCAACATGCCTGGACGAGGTACTGGTGAACGTCTGGCAGTGGACCCCAAGAACTCCAACATTGTTTATTTTGGAGCCAGAAGTGGAAACGGTCTTTGGAAGAGCACAAACGGAGGCCAGAGTTTCTCAAAGGTCACCTCGTTCACAGGAGTTGGAACCTTCAAGCCTGATCCCAGCGACACTAACGGCTACAACAGCGACATCCAGGGCCTTACCTTTATCACATTTGATTCGACTTCGGGCACGACTGGGGGCGCAACCTCTCGTATCTTTGTTGGAACCGCCGACAACATCACCGCCTCCGTCTATGTTTCTGAAAATGCCGGGTCTACTTGGACTGCTGTAGCCAATCAGCCGGCCAAGTTCTTCCCACACAAGTGCCGTCTTCAACCCGACGAGAAGGCTCTGTACCTGACATACTCAGACGGCACGGGTCCTTATGATGGCACCCAGGGCGCTGTCTATCGCTATGATCTTGCCACTAGTGTCTGGAAAAACATCACTCCTGTGTCCGGAAGTTCACTTTACTTTGGATTTGGAGGTATTGGTGTCGACATGAAAAAGCCCGGGACTCTCGTTGTTGCAAGTCTAAACTCGTGGTGGCCTGATGCTCAGCTATTCCGGTCCACCGACTCCGGCGCTACATGGAACCCGATATGGGAGTTTGGATCAAGCGGGACGCCAGAACGCAAGCATACGATGGATGTGAGCCTTGCTCCCTGGATCAAGACCGAATTCCTCGACAACGACTCGAAGTGGCTGGGCTGGATGATTGAAAGTCTGGAGATTGATCCCCATGATAGTGATCACTGGCTGTATGGTACAGGGTTGACTATCTACGGTGGCCATGACCTGACCAACTGGGGCACTTCCGCAAAAGTCACCACGAAGTCTCTCGCCGATGGAATCGAGGAGTACTCGGTTCAGGAAGTCAAGTCTGCTCCAGGGGGCACTGAGCTCCTAGCTGCTGTCGGAGATGAATGCGGTTTCACATTCGCATCTCAGTCTGACTTGGGAACTTCGCCCAACAAAGCCTGGGATACGCCACTTTGGACCACTTCAAGCAGCGTCGACTATGCTGGCAACAAGGTCAGCAACGTCGTCCGTGTCGGTAATGCGGCGGGGTCTTATAATGTCGCCATGTCAAGCAACGGCGGTTCTTCTTGGTACATCAACTATGCCACCGACACTGCCAAGTACGGCGGCCAGGTTGCCTACTCTGCCGACGCTGACACGATCCTGTGGTCGAGTTCAACTTCTGGAGTTGTTCGGTCCGCTAACAGCGCAACGTTCTCCGCCGTCTCCAGCCTACCATCGAACGCTGTTATTGCGTCCGACAAACGCGACAACAAGTACTTCTACGCTGGATCCAGTGCCACTTTCTATGTCTCCTCCAACACTGCCTCAAGCTTCTCCTCAGGTGGTTCACTGAGTGGAGCCGGCTCTATTCGCGATATCGAGGCTCATCCTACGACGGCAGGCGAGCTATATGTTTCCACCGACGTCGGCATTTTCCACAGCACCAACTATGGGTCCAGTTTTACGAAGGTCTCTACAACTCTGACAGACACGCACCGAATCTCGCTCGGAAAGGGCTCAACCTCGTCCTGGAATCTTTATGCGTTTGGTAATGGTGCCAAGGGCGAGAGGCTGTATGGCAGTGCCGATGGCGGCTCTTCCTGGACTGATGTTCAGGGCGACAGCCAAACCTTTGGTGCCATTGACAGTGGCCGCGTAGCAGGTAGTGGAAACGTCGCCGACTATGTATATGTTGGTACGAATGGGCGTGGTGTTCTGTACGGCAAGGTTACGGTCTCAGGTGGGAGCAGTGGTGGTTCTTCGACTACGACTTCGACTTCTTCTAGGACTTCGACGACTTTGATTACAAGTACGACTACTACTTCAAGAGCTACCCAGTCCTCTTCCACAACGACAACGACAAGGTCGTCAACAACATCAAGCGCAGCTCCTGCGACCACCTCGACAGCTGCCCACTACCAGCAATGTGGCGGTTCGAGCTGGACCGGCCCCACGGTTTGCGAGAGCCCTTACACTTGTATTAAGCAGAACGACTTCTACTCGCAGTGTTTGTAGATCACTGATGGTTGAAGAATCAAGTGCTGAATCTTGCGCGAGGCCTTTCATGGCCCGATTTCTACTGCTTTATAAGCGATGGATGTGTTGAAATTGCTCAATAGCGGCTAGGTGAGCTTCTTGGTGGTTAGTCTGTGACATGAGGCGTGGGGGAGCAACATCTGGTTACCGACAGGCCAGGCATCGCAAATTTAGGGGGTTTTAGTCTTATTCGTCATCTCAAGTAAATTTCATCTGTACATATTGAGAAATTATTCCGAATCTTCGTTGTATTTTGTTCACTGCACTCAAATTTCTTTCTTTGGAGCTCTCCTCTCCCGGTGGTGAAGCAAACTCAGAATGATCTTTGCAATGTCGACGTCACAAGTAGAAACCTTTAAGATATGTTTTTATTTACTATCTTCTTCGGTAGCTTTGGTTTGCTATCCAAGCTACTATCATTTGTCCCCAGAATCTCATACCGCGGAATATCCACCTAAGTAAATGTGTTAGCGAGAGGATGCTGATGAGTGATCTGTAAAATCTTACCTTCTGCAATTATGTCCGCACCGGTATGCTCATGTCCTGACCGAGAGTCGAAATTCTTAATATACAGGATGCTGTTTTTTTTTAAGTAATTGCCTCTACATCTAGTGGTACCGTCGATCCCAACTAAGGGCTTCACTGCGAGCCATGTCGCTGAAGGCAATCCTGCCGACGTCACTCTTCGGTTGTACATCCTGTATCCTCACCCACTTGTCCTTTAGCAGCCTCACTCTTTCGATACCGCTCAGCGCGCTTCCTCCATCGGGAACTACCATATATGGCGAGTCCCGCATGAGGGTCGAGACACTACTCAGCAGGTCCGGGCTCTTGGTCTTACACTGTAGGGCAACATGCCCAAGAGCAAAAACCGTCATAACTAGGGTGGATACCACATAAACACCCATCCACATCCAGTTCACTTTATACACCTGGTCAGAGAACTCTAGCCACGTCCCAGTGCTATTGTCCCAATCCGCAAGAGGTGTTATGATCGAACCCGTGGCATTGTCGACGATCATCTGCGTCGATGGCGATAGACCGTCGGCACCCACAATGATAGACTGCTCGAATGACGCCCTGATTACTGTATTGAGTATAGCTGCTAGTCGCGCTTCGAAAATAGGCATCGACACATTCTCGAGTGATGGCGGCGAAAAATATGCCATGTAGTTGTAAAAAGCGCTGATCGGGCGGGCGAGAGTTGGGTCCCGAAGGAAGAGGTTCAGCATATTGTTCTGCCCCCCTTCAGGATCTGGGAGGAGCCGAGGAATCATAGAGAGTACAGGGAGGTTTTTAGGAAAGGAAAAGACCGTCGCGTTTGCTTGGATTGGTCGCCCTTTGCTATGTCGAATTCTCTCGGCAGAACAAGAGAGGTACCCAAAGTCGGAAGATCGAGAGCACCGTACCATGGTGTCAACGTACGAGGTGCTGGGAGCGCACATGGTCATATTCCACAAGAAATCGTCGAAGGTTTTGCCTATGCTGTTGGCGACAAAGACAAGAGTCTGCTTTGATGGCCTATCGTCACCGTTCGAAAGGCTAAAGTTTCCTCCCATTTGCAAAGTAGCGTTGAGGAATTCGTCTTTGAGGAAGTCAAATTGTATCGGTGGTGCGATATAGGTGGGGCCAAATGTGTTCTCTCTGCCTTCCCGAACGGCAGAGAAGAACGAATCATTACCCCAGTCGACTTTTATCATCTCCTGGGCTTCCAGGGGCCCGGCTAGAATCAGCTGGGATATGTTCTTCTGAAGCCAGGAAGTGCCATTGATCCACGGACCGCACTGAAAAACTCTTGTCAGCATACAGGACGACAACGAAGAATAAGAGGCGCCAGTGACAAAAAGATAGTGGTGGTCAAGTGGACTTACCGATACCGAGATGTATGACGACTGGACCATCATGCTACCGTTACCAGCTCGTGTTCCTGGTATACCGCGGACCGGCACCCCGACAATGGATTCGTATGGTGGGATAACGTCACTTGGAACGTTGACCCAAGTGTGCGGGTCACTGGAGTTGTATCCATCCAGCATGTGCAGAAACGGAATCCGGACATTGCCCCATATATCCTGTTGGGCTAATCTCAGCGCCTCATCAGGCCCCCCGACCTGCTCCAAGCTATCGTTGAAGTTCGGGCTCGACCCATTCGCAAGCATAAGACGACTCGCCGAGGACGAAAATGCAGCCGAAGAAACAGTGCGCATACCGAATGGCAGAGCGTACAAGGTCGGCAGCATGTCGAACTTTGCCGTGAAATTGCTAGCTGGATATGAGATGATGGAGAAGTCTGAGGAGATAGTATCTGCGCTCAGGGCGACGGCACGTAGGACGCTCTGACCGCCGAGGGGACTCAAAACCCAAGTGAATACCAGTATTGGTGTCCAGAAGCTGACAAGTCGGACCCAGAACAGCAACTTCAGGGTATTGGTCATTGTGACGCTGCCAAGGAGGATCTCCAGTGTCTGCGGTACCCCCATGATTAGCGTTCACGCTCTTCAGACTTGTGGGAATGCTCAGTGGCTCAGTTGGTATCTATACTTACGCCCAGCGTCGTCCCTCTCTCGCAGCTATATAGAGCAACACTCCTCAGCGATGTGCCAAGAACCGCGGCAAAGGCGATGGGCCATATGGTTGCAGCAACATTAGCGGCCTCAAGGACACGACTTCCGAGCTCTGATTCAGGCTGCTGGTGCAAATAAACGAGAGAGATCCCGAGAACTATTGAAATGCAAACTTTAGCATAGACACCTACAGAGGGCCGAGTGCTCTCACCAATGAAGGCTGCTGGAATAAAAACCAAGCTGGCGGACAGGGAGAACCGCTGCCATGTCGAAAGAGAGGAGTCTCGTAATGTTGTCGGGCTGCTAGGCCAGTCGTGGAGTAGCGATGGATCCAGCTGGCTCTTCCTGTCAATGTCATCTTGCGTACTCCGTCTTCTCTCCATGGCAAGCGGTGTTCTTCCGCTACGAGTAGCAAAATCTGGCCGAGAGATAGGCTTCAGGTGTGTAAGGCGCAGTGCTCTCTCTTCTTTGTGGGGTTTGACTCAAGATACTCCACAGCTCTTATACCTGGAGAGGCACCTTTTCTCCTTCATGTCAACTACTCGGCGTACGAAATAAGGCTGCGTGCCTCAATCCTCAACATTAGCGCTGAATCAACATTAGCGCTTAGCCAGCCCATTTAGGAGTGACCAAGCACTTTCCAGTGTCTCGGCGCCAATGAATCCTGCTGCAGGTACAAGATTCGAAGGCCGGCGACATAAGCTGCAACGTTTCGGGGGCACGCTTAAATCTGACCGACAGAGCGCCAAGTATCATCGGACAATTCGTGTATCATAATTATCCGCCAAAAGTCGACAATGTAACGCTGTACAGAGGAGACCCCGCGAGCGAGAAAAAGCCGTGCTTAATATATAATAAACTACCCGATCTTTAACATCGGCGTGAATCCTGGGTATGGAGACGCATCCAAGTAGTCTTCACGCCGGCGTGAAAAACGTTGTCGATGCGACAAATAATCCTCCCATCTAGTCTACAAGACTGAAAGTGGGAAACTGGAGTTTAGACCTTGGGGCCAGGCAGTAGGCGAGGTCGTCGAAGCTCGAAGACCCTGCAGTGGTTTTCCATTCCCACGATGGCCGCTTCGGCCTCGTGAGTACGCTCCTGCACAGCGTAGATGCTCCCAAATTCAAGACACCAAGTGCTTCAGATGAGTTTGGCACTCATCGGCGCGAATTCCAAGTCCGGCGCCTACGGAAACGCCGACTGCTTTGGGGTAAGATAAATGAGACACTCGGATCCCCGTCATTGGCTGTCGCAGATCGAGTGACTTCAAGATATCAGGCTCGCGCCATGCACCAATAGAAGTCCATTCTGCCTATCTGGGATGATGGCGGGGTAAACTGGCCTTCAGCCGCATGCGAAATGGTTTTAACAGATCTCCTCATCTTTCTCAGCCTCTACCCACCACGTCAAATCCCAGTGCAGCTGCAAGCGCTGGACTTCGGTTGACCCTTTGCTTTGCTTTTATCGTCTAATCTAGTCCAAGGATACCTTCTATGACCGCAATGGCTCAATCTGATGTCGACGGGATTGCCAAGTTGTCCGAATCATCTGACGACGAGGAGATCAAACTTGGAGAGTCTAGAGGTGTTCAGGATGGTTCTTCGGCCGGATGTGATGACGATACAGTATGAAGAATTAACGAATATGCAATAGCTTTGTGCTAATTTGATTGTAGCCTATGAGAGATAACGACGACGGCGATAGCGGATCTGATGGTTCATGGGAAGATATGTCAGACCAGGAAGATATTGTTGAATTGATAAAGCAAGCACTCGAAACAGAACTAGAGGGCGGTCCTGAGCAATTTCAGTTGCTAGTTCTGCTTGGACAAGCGCTCTTTGATCGATATTACACCACGAGAGCCATAGCCGACCTTGACGAGGCCATTCAAATAGGCAGGCAAGTCATCAACAGAATGCAAGTCGATCATCCGGAACGACCAGGGTATTTGAACGACCTTGGGATTCGACTCGGTGAGCGATACTCAAGGAGCGGATGCGCAGCGGATATCGATGAGGCGGTGCAAACTATGAGAGAAGCAGTCGATCTACGACGAAGCGGCGATCTGGAGCCCGCTGGTGTCTTACACAATCTTGGAAGGTTGCTCAAATATAAGTACTCAAGAACAGGGGAACTGGCCGATCTTGAAGAAGCAATCCTCGTCACCAGGAAAGCAGTCGATGCAACCCCAGAAGACCATCCAGAATGGGTAGCGCTTGCGAACAGTCTTGGATCGCACCTGAGCGATCGGTATTTGGCCATAGGAGCCGTTCACGACCTTGAAGAATCCACTCGGCTCGCAAAACGAGCACTCGAAGCAGCACCAGAAGAACACCCCGATTATCCGGGGCTGTTGTCCAACCTTGGAGCCCGCCTTGGCGATCAATATACGAGGAGAGGAGTGGCAGCCGGCTTGGGGGAACTCGAAGAAGTCATTCAATATATCCGAAAATCAGTGGATATAATGCCGTATGATCACCCGGGACAAGCCATGGTCCTGAACAGTCTTGGGAACTATCTAGGCAAACGATACTTGAAAACAGATTCTTTGCCCAACCTCGAAGAAGCTGTTCAAGTTTCGAAGCAAGCAGTCGATTTGACTCCAGATGGCGATGCAGACCGAGCGATATACTTAAATACCCTGGGGATGCAGCTTGGCCAACGATACTTGAGAACAGGCGCCGTGGCTGACCTTGACGAAGCCATCCAAGACGTACAACAGGCAATCGACATGACTCCAGAACAAAATCCAAACTGGCTGGCCTATGTCAACAACCTTGGAGCTCAGCTCGGTGACCGATATGTAAGGATAGGAGCCAGAGCAGACCTAGAAGAAGCCATCCGAATCCTAGGCCGGGCAATTGATGTCGCGCCGGAAGGGTATCTAAACTCGGGACCACTATTGACACACCTTGGACTTCAACTCAGCTTTCGATATTCAATAAGCAAAGATGAATCGGATCTCGATGTCGGCATTCAAATGACAAGAAAAGCGCTCGAAATTACGGCAGAGAACGATTCAAGCCGAGTAGCACAGCTAGACATGCTGGCGATATTACTCGGGCAGAGATATTCAGAAACACGAGTTACATCGGATCTTGAGGAAGCTATCAGAGTTTCACGCCAAGCAGTCCGGGCGGCGCCACAAGGCGATCCATACCGGCCCAGGGTACTCAACAATCTCGGAGATGATCTCGGCAATTTGTATCTGAGGACACAAAACACGGCGGACCTGGAAGAAGCAATATCATATCTCCGCCAAGCAGTTGAGATAATGCCACAGGACTACCCAGATCGGTCAGCGCTGCTAGGCAACCTCGGAGACCAACTCGACAGTCTGTACGAAAGGACAGGAGCGATAAAGGACCGCGAAGATGCCATCGAGAGCTACCAGGGGGCATTGAACCAGGCCAACTCGTATACCCTCAGTCGCATATGGGCTGGACGGGGCATCCTCCGCTGCGCTTCAGACTGGCAGCAGGCCTACGAGGCCGCAAGCCTCGCAGTCGGCCTTGTTCCTAGACTATCATCACGCTCGCTCCAGAACTCGGACAGACAACACGCGCTTAGCCAGGTGGTCGGCCTTGCTTCCGATGCGGCCGCGGTAGCTCTGCAGGCGGGCCAGACGCCACTGGTCGCGCTAGGTCTGCTCGAACAGGGCCGCGGTGTGCTGGGGACATCCTTAGAAGAGGTGCGGACGGACATTCTAAGCCTTCGGGACAGGGACTCTGAGTTGGCGGACCAGTTTGTACGTCTCCGGGATGAGCTAGAGACGGCCGTCTCTCAGAACCCGCAACTGGTGGGCGAAAACCTCGAGTCGCCCTGGAAGGCCCAAGCGAGCCGGCGCTACGAGGCAGGGAAGGAGTTTGACAAGTTGGTTGCCAAGATTCAAACGTTGCCTGGGTTTGAAGATTTCCTGCTCCCGCCTCGTGAGAGGGACCCGAAGGATGCGGCTCAACGGGGCCCGATCATCGTCATCAACGTCAGCAAGTATCGCTGCGATGCGTTGCTAGTTGAGCCGCACCAAATACGAGCCCTTCCTCTGACCCAGTTGTCTTTTGAGGAGATCGAGGCCAAGGCACAACGGGGCGATCTAGGAAGCTACGAAGTTCTCGAATGGCTCTGGGACCGGGTGACACGCCCGGTTCTCGACGCTCTTGGCTTCACCGACCTTCCCTCTTCTGACAGTAGCTGGCCCCATGTATGGTGGATTCCCACTGGACCGTTGAGCAAGTTTCCCCTTCATGCCACGGGCTATCATCGCACTGGCTCTGCCGAAACTGTGCTGGACAGGGTCATGTCCTCCTACGCCTCCTCAATCAAGACTGTCATACACAGCCGCCGGCGACGGTCCAACATCGCTACGTCTTCCAAAGCACTCCTTGTTGCCATGGAGAACACTCCAGGGAACCGCACGCTCCCATTTTCCACCAAAGAGGTGGATATGGTGTGGAATCTGTGCGGATCGATGCTGCTTCAGCCCGTCCGACCAGGACGCCGTAAGCAAGACGTCGAATCGCACTTGCGAGACTGTAGGATATTCCACTTCGCCGGCCATGGCACCACAGACCAGTATGATGCATCCAATAGCCGTCTGATTCTGGAAGACGGCACGCTCAAAGTCGCCGAACTCCTGGAGATGAGCCTCCAAAGGCAATCGCCGCTTCTCGCCTACCTCGCGGCCTGCGGGACAGGCCGTATCAAAGATGATAAATCTGTCGATGAGAGCATTCACTTGATGAGCGCGTTCCAACTGGCCGGGTTTCCCCATGTTATAGGCACGCTATGGGAGGTAAATGACGAACTCTGTGTCGACATGGCGAGGATCGCGTATGAAGGGATAAGGGACGGTAACATGACAGATGAGTCGGTTTGTCGTGGCCTCCACAACGCATCTCGCACGCTTCGAGATCAGTGCCTTGAGGTGCCGCCTGAAACCGAGGCGACTGTTCAAGACAGCGCAGGGAACGAGGGGACGACGGGGACTCCATCAGGGAGAGACATGATCATCATAGAGGAACTTGATGCGGGCCTGGCCCCCTGGGCTCCCTATATCCACTTTGGAATATGAGGATGCTCTTAGTTTGCTTTCAAGAGTCCAACGTTAGCTAACCATTACTCTTAATCGAACCTATTATAACCGACTTTCCTTGTTAATGAACTCGTATAGATACATGAAACGGATGAAATCAAGCCTATCTCGTGGGACATAACTAGCATGTCTGGTTCAAAATGATCTAAACAATGAGACCAACATGAGAACAACTGTTTTTGCATGGGCTGGGCAGCCTGCGGAGGGTTCAATCTGCCGTATACTGAAACGATAGGTAGATGCTAAGTCTAGAATTTGTTTGTATATTTAGCCATCACAGAGATCAGAGCACGAATCATCACAACTCAAATCCTACACCCGCTTCAACCGGTGGTATCGTCACGACCTGCGTGCTTCCCATCGCACCGCCTCTATATGCGTAGGTAAACGTCCAACCACTACCAGCTGCCCCGTGCTCGCCCTTGTTGTTGACGACGACGATGCCACTCGAAACCTGCGGATACTTCCTCACCATTCGGAGGACGACGTCTTCTGCAGCCTCAGTTGGTGACATGCCACGCCTCAAGTTCTCGATTGCTTGGTAGCAAGGCAGAAATCTCATCATTATGTCTCCATCTCCCGTAGCACCACAACCGCCAACATCTCCATCGACGTAGGAGCCGCTTCCGGTGATCGGCCCGTCACCTACTCGGCCGGGGATTTTATGCGAAGCGCCATTTGTAGTCGTGCCTGCAGCCATGGTTCCATCGGCATGTAGTGTTATAATGGAAAGAGTATCGTGGGATGCTTGGGCGGCATCACCACCAAGACTGGCCTTAGTTTGCGGCACATATGGACCGCAGGACGACGATGCGTCTGGACTGACGTTCAGCCGATAGTTGGGTTGACACTGTGCTTCTCTCCACTCCAAGCACTGCCTGGTTGATGCTTCCGTTGACAGGCTCTCGGCCTTGAAGCCATTCTGGATCGCAAATTCGGTGGCTAAATCCCCTGCCAGCATACTGTGCGTAGTGTACTCCAGGACATGCCGCGCAACGGAAATGGCATCTCGAACTCTGCGAAGAGCAGCGACAGCGCCAGACTTCATCGTCGCTCCATCCATTATCATGGCGTCGAGCGTCGTCTCGCAATTCTCGTCCGGGGAACCTCCAAACCCAACGCTGCCGTCGCACTGGTTGCGTTCGCAGGTGAGGCATCCAATCTCGACCGCGTCGAGCGCTGAGGCGCCGTCGCGGTGCAGGGCGGAAAAGGCGGCATCTGTCGCCGCGGTAAAGGCTCCTCCCCACGTGTTGATGACCATGGGAAATCCCGGTGAGGGGCTTCCAAGACCAAGTGATCCCATGGAGAGGAAGGGCAGAAGAAGCGACAGGCGAGCCATTACGGCGAAGCACCGCCAATCTCGGGCGCTCAGATTCTACTCGTCAAATGAAAGCGCGACGCATTGAAAACATCAAGGAAAGATTGGTTGTGCCTTGGTTCGCATGCATACGCATACGACTTCGCCGTATTCGGAAGGTCGTTGCAATTGGCGATAATGGTTGTCAGGTCGAAGCAGGGATGAAGCCGAGTTCCAGACACAGCCCCAACTAACCACGTGAATTCCAGCGCTTTTATAAACCGCTGCCAACCCCTCACCACCCAGGCTCCCTTTTCCCTCCTTATCACCAGATTCTCCAGAGCTGTGGGTGAAACAATTTCAGAAGCTTGCATCCACAAGCCCGGATAGAACCTTTTCGTGCTCGATAGCGCCAAACGTAGATAATTGATCAAGCGCTGTGCCCATTACATGCTATAAAATGGAATCAGCTGCTCGTCCCGTCGCTTGCGATCAGTCCGTCCTGGACACAATCGCAGGCTTCTTGAAGACCGCCATTGATGTTTACCAAGCCGCGGTCGCTCTGCATGATGTCGATCCCTCGTCCAAGTCAATGGTTTCAGGCCGTGACTGGACAAAACTTTCCGATGCCATATCGCATTCCATCCAACAGATGCAGAATCTAGTGCACTCGGCCGAGATATCCACGGAACATCTGATTTGTGCGTGTATCAAGATTGGACATGATGTTTCTGTGCATCTAGACCGTGTCCAGGCATCATTTTCAAACCTTGATGCCGACCAGGTCGATGCAGCGAAATTTCATGTCCTCTGGCCTCGTGAGAATGTTGATGCTCTTGGTTGCCGCATCGCGGACTTCATACAACGTTGGAAAGAATTACAAGCACCTGGCAGGTAGGCATTAGCGCAATGAATTCCTCCATGAGACCCAAGCACGGCTAACACTAGCACCCTTGACAGTCCTACCGAAGGCCTCACCCAAGCGTTGTCTCTATCTTCACTGTCTCTTCATGGCCCAACTCTGAACAAGACCGCCGGGTCCAATGCGACAAAGCCGGATGCCTCTGTGGAAGCCAAAACTTCAGTGCCGCTTGCGACAGACAGCCTGGGTAGAGTACAGACCAACTCAGACATGGATAACGGCAGTTCGAATACCACTCGAGCCAGAGCAACTCGATTAGCTCCCGCCGGTATTATCAATGACTTTCTTCTCGACGCTCTCGCGTACAAAAGTATGCACGATCGTGAAGAAGAAGTCACGGAAGCGCACGCCCAGACGCTCGAGTGGATTTTCGACCAGACTGTCTTGGACGACACCCATCGCAAGGATTTCAGCAGCCAGTTCACCTCGTGGCTGAAAACACCAGACCTCGGATCAATCTACTGGATCACCGGTAAACCAGGCTCAGGCAAGTCGACCCTGGTGAGATTTCTTTCCCAGCATCCCGTCGCCATGCACCACCTACGGCATTGGGCAATGGGCCGTCCTGTCTGCACAGCAGGTTTCTTCTTTTGGACCAGCGGTTCGCAAGAGCAACGATCACAGACAGGTCTGTTGCGCTATCTTCTGCACCAGTTGCTATCTGCCAACCCAGATCTCATGCCTTCGACCTTTCCAGCATTGTGGGACAAGTTGCGGCACATGACCACCAAGGAGAGGATCAATCTTTCTCTTGAATGGACTGTGCCCGACTTGATGGCTGCGTTTCATTCACTTCTGGATACTGCTCTGCCGCGGATGAATATTTGCCTCTTCATTGATGGGCTTGATGAGTTTGACGGCGACCACTACAGCATAGTCGAATTCTTCAAGGCTATTTCTGCAGGGGAAAATGGCCACGCAATCAAAATGTGTCTCTCTTCACGCCCATGGTCAGTCTTTGAAGGCGCGTTCCAAACCAGCGTCCCCAATGCTCGTCTCCAGGATCTCACCTACGAAGACATGCACCGATACGCCAGAGATCAGTTACGGCACGAGGCACCCGTTCGAAGGTTGTTCAAACACAACGCCGCTTCGGGGCACGACTTGGTCGAGGCTACAGTGCAACGAGCGGATGGGGTCTTCCTTTGGGTGAGACTTGCGGTCGAACGGATGTTGAGGCTCTTCCAGAAAAGCGATACCATTGACGATCTCAAGGCCACACTGGAGAGTTTCCCCAGAGATCTTGATGGGTTCTTCAACAAACTAGTCTTCGAGGACCAGACAGAAATTGAAATCATGGGAACGGCAGCCCTGTTTCAGCTTCTGTGTTCACGAGAGGTAGTTGCCGATTTCATCAAAGACGAATCTTCAACTTCCCTTACAGTTTGGGAACTTGCTTTCGCGCTTGACCAAGAGGATGATGCACTAGCACTCGAGCGCAGCGTCACGGAAGCCACGGATCAGGAAATTGTGACTCGATGCGAAACAACTGCAATTCATGTCCACGCCCGTTTTTCTGGGCTTTTGTCTCTTCACCGGCGCCGGAGGCTAGGTAATCTTCGCGCCACTAAATTTGCGGATGAAAATCATCGCGTCGACAATGCACGAAGCCTCGCAGAACATAAGGTCACGTACATTCACCGCACTGTGCGAGACTGGCTGATGGATCCCAGCGGTGCATACGACCGTCTCCACAGCATACGCGACTCTTTATTTGATCCTCATCTTCGCTTGTTGCGATCCTATGTCTTGCGTCTCAAACATCCGCTTGAAGAGGTCGAGCATCATCGCAGACTTGACGAGTGGTATCCGGATATTGCCCTAACCATGTCTCATGCGAGATACATCGTCAACGACCCGAAGAATCTGCAACGACCGTTTTTGAACGCTATGGAAAAGGCGCTCTCCTGGCACTGGTTAGCGAAGCCTTCAGATTCCTTCGACCACTGGGCTAGGAACACGTTCGGCGCTTACGAAGTGCGCATGAAGGCTCCTCCGATCCGGCATCCCTTTCTTTTCCTAGCAGCCAAGTTTGGTCTGACGACGTATATTTTGGAGGAGTTGGAGGAGAACAGCGACTTGGATAACGGTGTCCTGGAGGATGATACCGATGATGAAAGGGAACCGACGCCACTCTTGTCGTACGCAACAGAGTTCCTCTGCTCTCGAAACAAGACGATATTCCCGCTTTCGGACCCTCAACTCGTGGAGTACCTCCTCAGGCACCCTTCTAAGGTCAATCCAGGCCCGAATCACCTATATACTGACTTCAACACTCGCGCATCCACAACTCCTTGGCTGGCGCTACTCTGCCATCTACGTGATGCCCGTCGAAGGGACTGGATCGAGCATTATGACATCAGTGCAGAGGGTACGCAACGCTGGGCGCATATTGCACGACTTTTTGTTGAAACAGGGGAGGCCGATGTGAATGCTGTGGTGGCGGCAAATGCCTGGGACCCGGAGATTACAGCAATGGGGGTTTTCGAGTTGTTGGAGGAGACGTATGGATCGATGGAAGTACAAAGAATCAGGACGCTCATAGTAGAGAAACAGCAGAAGGTTTAAGGTGTTATTCATGCACATCTTTAGTAGCATTATGGGCTGGGCCGTGTTTATCATTCATACGTATGTCATGTTCAAAACTCAGTGTCTGTCACTACCCAATAAACGAGTCTTTAGTATCCCTTCTTGCGGTTGACCTTGTTAATGAGCTCCCTTCCCTCACTCAACCTCTCAAGGTTCAGCCTAAAGATATCCAACAAACGCGTGTAATAGGCACCTGATGCACCACTAATATGCGGCGTAATGGTGACGTTCTTTGCCTTCCACAGCGGGTGGCCTTCGGGCAGAGGCTCTGGATCCGTAACATCGAGGGCCGCTCCGCGAATCAAACCCTGGTCAAGAGCTTCGATGAGGTCGTCTGTGTTGACGATTGGTCCACGGGCGATGTTTGACACATAGGTCCTCTTCTTGGAAAGAATCTCGAATTCGGGCTTCGAAATCAGACCCTGGGTTTTGTCGGTAAGAGGCACGGCAATGACGAGGAGGTCAAGCCCAGAATCAAGAAACTCATGGATTTCTTCTTTAGAGCTCCCCGAAAACCACTTGCTAGGGAAAATTCCCTTGGGATCTCCGAGTCCGACTGGCGAGTACGAGTGATCCTCCCGGGATGCAGGTGTCGTGCGGGGGCTCAGAGTGTAGGCATGGACGTCCATGCCCATGGCCTTGGCAACGCGGGCGGTCTGGCGACCTATGCTGCCGTATCCAAGGATTCCGCTATGAAAGCGTGAGAAGGGTTTCTTGCACAGATGTGTAGGTCTCGCTTACACTCGTTTTCCAACTGCGTCCTCTGAGCTCTCAGGGTTATCTGCCAGCCTCTTCCATTTTCCCTCTTTCTGATGCTCGTAGTATTTCTGCACTGTATGTTGTTAGTTATTGCGAAATCCACTCAGCCATCGGGGTGGTTTGAGCGTACAGTGATGTTGGAAGGACAGGAATGTCGTAATCACCCATTCAGAAATTTGAGGCCTAATAGAGGTTACATCAGCATGTCAGCACCTTAGATGCCAAGCATAATGGGATCTAACCCGTGAACACCGTTGGCCGTGCAGAATGGGACGTTGGTGTCTGAGAAAAACGGGTTGGAGACGAGATGATTGACGCCAGCACTCGTGAGCTGAACATATTGGATGTGAGGGGCCTGCTCGACTGTTGGGAGCACAGTCGACGTGAGAAACAAGGTGGTCTCCTTCCAATCCTCCTCTTTGAAGTCGCCCCCGATCTCTGATTTGCCCCAGGGAACGATGTAGAGCTTGAGCTTGAGGTCGGGGAACTGATTACGAATCGCCTCAATGGCTTCCGGTGGCGCGGGGATGGTGGTGAGGATGATGGCATTGTGCCCCTTGAGGGTCTTGTTTTCGTTTATCCTGATTAACGTCATGATTGTCTATTGATTCGGGATGTTTCTGATGGATGATGCTGGGATGTATGGGATTTAAGACTTCACACTACCGGAATGCGAGGTTGAGAGGAGAGCTTATCAAGATGACAAATCCGTATCACGACCTGGCCGCGATTTGGCGTCAATGTGGGGCAGTGTGACGCCTTGCTGGTTTCGCATCACAACTGGATGGATGCAGCGGGATTGGAGTGGTTTCTCTCAGTTTGGGGCAGATGTTGTCATTGTGTGAGTGGGATGTGGGATAATGACGGATTCTTAGCCGTCTTACAAAGTTACATTCTGGTAGTGTGTTGCAGTCTCTTTATTCCCTCCTCTTCTTCATTGACGAACGGCCTGAGCAAAGCAGCAGTTCATCCCGATACTCATACACACCAGCCGCTACAGTCGATAACGAAGCTGTGGTTCCGATCTTGACCTTGAAAGTCGTCCCGATTGAGTCGACGAAACGTCATTGGTGGAGCGCTACATCTGGTTGTTACAGTTCAGGTCGTCGCACTTTAGTTTTCGTCTCGGTTTTCGTACGGGAACATCCTTATGCCTTGCATACATCCGTGTACTGGGCATAACCCAGTCTCTTGGCCCTGACCATTTCGTCGGCATTGACAGCGCGGGGTGAGTGCATGACCAGCACCAAGTTTAGAGAGGGGCAATCGACGATACCTGGAAAGCGTTGGCTGGATGGACAGTTGGCAATCACATGGAACGAGCCAGGGGAATATGTAAAAGACGAGAACTAAACATAAAACGCCGAGGCATTGTAGTTAAGCTTCCCATTCGTCATCCCGAAACATTCAGCATGTGCCTTTACTGATGCAGTCAATCCGCGGCCGAGGAGGATGAAGCATGAGACGAAAGTTGTTGGGAAGCCTGGCTCAGCCACCGCCAACCTCGGCGTACCCAAATCGCTAGCGGAGCTCTCCAGTGGCTGGTAGGCATCCTGAAAGTGCTGGCGCTGTGGCTCTGCTGCCGTCTAGCGCGCCAAGGCCAGCGTAGTGTTGGCCCGTTGCGCCGTTGGCTCAGGCTTCCCAGCGGGCGTCTTGCACTAAGCAACCCCTGGAAAACGGGATGACAGCAGCCTGCAGCCTGAACCCCGTCCACTAGCGGAGCCCCAGCACTCTGGAGCGGGGCTCAGCTCGCAGCTGAGGCTTTCACGAGCTCAGTCTATCTCCGTCTCCCAACCAAACCCTCCACCACGACTGCCATGACGGAACCAACAGCAGCCAGCTTCAGCCGCACACAAGTCGACGAGCCTCAAATATGGCTTCGCCTTCCCTTCGACCAGAAGCATTCAAATCTGCTCCCCACGGATTTACTTGAGCTTCTATCAGCATAATACCCATCTCCCTTCGCAAACGTACGACCTTGCGATTCTCGCGGCACACCACAACTACGTCATCGCCAATGAGCGCCCAAACCCTCCCAACACCTCCCACCAGCCCTCCTCCTCCGGACTACTCGTCGGAACCAGTCCCCACATACTCGGCGACCGACGATGATTCCCTCTTCGCCCGAATCGAGCAGTCCACCGCCGTGAACATCCCAATCCTGCACGCCCCCGCCCAGAATTGGGAAGCCGAGTTCTCCCGGCGCTTCCACGACGGGCAGATACTCAACCCCGGAAACGAAACATACTTCCTCGAGACCGATATTGTCGAGTCCTTCTTCGGCTCCATCGAGGCCGGCCGGGATGATCTCGTCGCCGAATTCGTGTCCCGCGGCCTCGTGTCTCCGGACGTCACAAGGCGGAACGGCGAGACGCCGCTCCTGGCTGCTGTGCGCGTGGGTAAAATCCCCATGGTCAGCAGGCTCGTAGCCCTGGGCGCAACTGTGAATGCCTTCGGCGTCTCTACGATTGCTGCCAACAATGGCGGCACCCCTTCATACCCGAAGCGCACGTCGTTGCAACTGGCCGCCGAGAATGGACACCTAGCCTTGGTCAAGGTCCTGATGGAGGACTACGGCGGCGACGATAGCCTAGTTGCCCCCGACGGCGCCATCGCGCTACGACTCGCCGCCATGAACGGCCATCGCGACATCGTCCAGTACCTGCCCGCCCGGCGTGTCGGCGCATGGCTCCGGTGGAAGACGGCGCACGAGGCCGAGATGAAGCGGGTGCGACGGGCATTGGGGCACATCGCCGCGTTCTTCAAGGTGATTTTCTGGGAGATCCCAAGGTTCTTCGTCTACGTAATCCCCAAGGAAATCGGAAAATCGGTGTGGAAGGGTCGCCATAAAGTTGCCGCGTGGTGCAGGCGATGCAAGGACACAATTGTCAAGCTACCCGGGCGCACCAAGCGGTTCGCCGCGAACCTGCCCGGCCATGTGAAGAACGGAGCGAAGTGGGCCTGGGAGGGCATCAAGGGGATTCCTGCCTTCCTGAAGAAGATGATCAAGGAGATTTCTCGCGCAGTGAAGGAATTCGCGCAGGGGACTTGGAAGGTGATGAAGGAAATTCCTCCCTTGTTGAAGGAGATCGCCAAGGGAACTTGGAAACACATCAAAGCCATCCCCGGAGTCATCAAGGTGATCTTTCTGTGGATTGGCCGTGGCTTAAAGAACATCGGCGAGGCTGTCTTTAACGTGGTGGCTCGGTTCGTCTCCTTGCTACATACGGCTATATCTGCTGTATTCTCCTTCTTCCGCAGCATCACCCTGAAGGACATCTGGGACGGCTTCTGCTCACTGCTCCGGGCCATCTTCATCGACACGCCCCACGCCATTTTCCGCTTCATCATATCGGTTGGTGATATGACCTACGACGTGCTCAAGGGCCTGTTTGGCTTCTTTGGGCAGCTCGCGTGGTACATCGGAGCCGGAATCTTGTGGCTCATCACTTTTGTTCCCCGAAAACTGTGGCAATGCCTCGCGGCCGTCGGACGGTCGATACAACGCGCGTTCCAGGAGGTGATGGCGTACCTGGATCCCAAGCGGATGTAAGACGGCTGCCTTTGTAGTTCGAGTTGTACCGAGTATGGAATGGGAGAATGTGGCTCTGATGGGTTGAAGGGGCAGTCGACATGGTCAAAGCAGCGTGCAAGGTTGGCGGACAGGTCTCACATTTGTGTAATATATTACGTCAAGATACCATGATACTTAGAGATGAAATGATGTAAAATTTTGCTATCTTAGGGGTCATAGTAAAGGTTTCCATACAGACCCTAAATCACTAAGAAAAGGGTTTTAGGCTTAAGCACTTATTGGATGCTTTGTTGACTTTTCTGCAGTTTAGATATAACTTTTATAATAATTTTATCCCCGTTTTAACACATAGAGAACTCAGTATAGCAGCGTCTCTCAGCCCGATGTATCAACAAGAGTAAAGCCTCTGTTGATAAGCTCATCGGCTGCAGTGGCGACACACCAGTCTCTCATCATCCCACCTTCAGGGGCATATCGAAAGAAACCGACATCGCCCTCCTCAGTCCAGATTGCGCCCGCACACATTCCCGCCCGAAGATTGGTTCCGAAATCTTGTCCCATGTAGTACCAGGTCGTACTAACCCATTGATGTTGCTCTGGCACGTTAGGATCATCCGTCAGGACCCGTTCATAAGCCTGCGCTTGGGAGGTGCCCTGGATGCAACCTGTGTCTGGTGAGTCCAAAACAACGAGGTTTCCACTCGTGAGCTTGTCGGCCTGGACGAGTTGCTTCAGTGGAATTGATTCAGTGATCTGGCTGCTTTCAAACATGACATTCACGAACTTCTCGTCCGGCTCCAACTTGACCACCCCTAAACCTGTGTGAGACTTCGTAGTTGACCTCGCCGATCTTTCTTCCACCTGTAGGGAGAGCGAGGTTGACGTCAGTGCCACATTCGCCAGGAAACCCAGGTGCAGCAACAGTCATAAACTCGTTCCCAACACCGTCTTTGACGAGGACTCCGGTTGTCGTGGCCCGGAACATATCGGGCCGTCCCGGCATGTACGCTGATGTGACCCTCATTCCTGGCCGCAAGGTGGTGTACTGAGTCTGATCAGGATTTGCAGGAGTGGGGTCAGTCTGCTGTCGAGGTTGAGGCAAGCGTGGGCTTCCCGTCTCATCGTCGTATAGGTACAGGCACGGGATCCGAGCTGCTTTCCAGGGCAGTCTAGCTATATCAATGTCGCGATGCTCTAAGACGATGTTAAGGAAGTTGCCCCAGGAAATGGCCTGCGTGATGGAGATCTCCAGGGCAAGGAAATGGTCACGAACAGCTTAAAAAAGAGGAGTCCAGGACTGCATGTCGCGTCCGTTCATCTGATCAGCAATGGTGCCGTTTCTTCTGTGGACGGACCACCCCTGGGGCATGGGACAATACTCAGGGCCAAGGCGGGGACCCAAATATAGTGGAAGGCCGGCGATCGTCTTTGGCCACGGCTTGGGGGGCATCTCGGACACGATGATGTAGAGAAAGAAGCCGTCGTGGCCAGCGCCAATCGTGCTTGGGAATATTTGTTCCAGCATCTCTAGGGTCTCAGACTTGTCGTGGGAAGTCTGGTTATCCCGAAGATCAAACGGAACGGCGATTTTGGGACAGGATGATACTCCACACAAAGGAGTGACTTGACGTTATCAGGACAGTAGGGGGTTAGTTGTAGAGGGAGTGTCCATCGCGGCGAATGGTATTTGACGAGGTTACAAGAATGAGAAGAATCAGCTTCTCGCTAGTGAGCTGCGAAATGATAAACGGGTGAGTGTCCAGCGGACCTGCCTACAGGCCACAAGGATAACGCCCCAACCGTACGATAATTATATATAACCCTAATAAAGCAGTTTAGGGTGTAAACTTTTAGAAGATAAATAAACTTAATTTTAGTGATAGTAAGTGCACTCCTTCCGTTACAGTGGATAGATACAGATAGGGGCTGAAGGAGATCATACTTGGGTGGCTGATAACACTGAAGACGACGCCCTTCTTGGCGCCCTTCTTAAAGGATATAGCGCCGAAATCCAGTCGACGAAGTTGGAGCCATATCCGCTATAGCTGCCCCCTTTAGCCAGGGCCCTCTTCTTCTTGTTGTAGTTCTGACCGCCGGTGGCCGTGAAATGCGGAGGATGGCCCATGTCCCAGGCTTATGTAGGTTATACTGTGCTATATTATGGATATCCAAAAACAGCATAAGTTACCTTATTTATCACTCTATCTCTTATCCTGAAGAAGTAGTTAATATCTACAACTCCTCCGGCGAAGCTTAGCTGACGAGCTGAGTTGCCTTCAGGTATGGGTTTCCGTTCCAGATTGATAGCCCCTTGTTGGATTCACACCTTATGTTATAGTTATTACGGGCTATCCCGTCCTAATACTGCAGGATAATTACTTGAAGAGAGTCGAACCAGAAGTAATATAGAGGATTTAATAGTCGTGTAAATTTAGAGTTTTTAGTACTTGGTAACTTCTCTGTAATGGAGTATATACCTAGGTAACAAGAAAACTTGGGCGGCGGGCGTGAAGCTAAGACATTGACGGCGAGGAGTTGCACTGTTATCTCACCTTGGAACATGAAGAGAAACAATGACCTGATACCGATATTACTCAAGCATTTGGCCGAGCTCGTACACTACACTTTCAAAGGTATACATCACATACATAGTGTGTCAAAAGTTTAGTTCATCACAAGTTGAAAACAAATTATTTGCAATTCCAAAAGGTACTTGCGTAGCTTTTTTAATATATTTAAAGAATGCGAGGTCATATGTACAGCAGAAGATTCAATATCCACTCCCGCCTAAAAGGTAAGGCTTTCTGAAATAGCTACACGCTCTACGTGTTTCTTCAGCACTCATTGGGGTGAGTCTCGCGGATTCTCGTCGATGCTTAGACGCCGAGGGGAGCAATGTCGCGGGCAGCGCGGGCCTTCTTGCTGCGCTTGGACTTGCGGCGGCGGCTGCTGCAGCCAGAGCTGGCCTTGGTGGTGGTGGCAGCAGGGGCAGCAGCCTCGGTGGAGGTGGCAGCAGGGACGGCGGCCTCGGTGGTGGCCTCAACGGGGGCAGCAGAGGTGACGGCGGCAGCGGCGGAGGTAGCAGCGGCAGAGGTGACGGCGGCCTCAGCGGCGCTGGTAACAGCAGCGGAGGTTGCAACGGCGGCGGCGGAAGTGGCAACGGCGGAGCCGGCACCAGTGGCCAGAGCAGTGCCGGTGGTGGGATCGGCGCTGCTAGCGATGGCAGAGCTGGCCTGCTCAACCTCGGTGGCACCAGCGATCATGGTAGGACCGGGGATGGGGTAGGTACTGAGGGAGGTGTAGATGTTGAACAGGATACCGGCGTCATCGGCCTTGTAGAGCTCAGTACCCAAGGTACCGGTGGGCACCTCGGTACCGGAACCGGTGATCTCGAGGTTGAAGCACTGGGGGTAGTTCTGGGCACCGTCGGCGTTGCCAGCGGAGTGGAGGGCGATGATCTCGTGGCGGAGAACGTAGAAGCCGGGCTTGATGCTCTCGGGGATCTGGACCAACCAACCGATGCCGTTGTCGATGAGCTCGTCGGCGGCGTAGGTACCGGGGCTGGCGGAGCCGTCAATCAGGCCCTTCTCGCCAATCTTGAAGAACTCGAGGGTGGTCTTCTCGACGGACTCGCAGCCGGAGTCACCGCAGGCGGCGAGGTAGTCCAGGACGGGACCCTTGTGGGAATCGGGCCAGGTGTCCCACTGGAGGTAGATGCTGTCACCGGCGGCGACGGTGGCGTGGCCCTTGGCGTTCTCGGCGTTCTTGTGGCAGATGATGTCGGAAGTACCGTAGGCGGAGGGGGCGATGAAGCCGTTGTCAGTGGCATCCTGGGCCCAGCCAACGACGACGGGAGGGTTGCTCTCGTAGGGCAGGGTGAAGACATCGTAACCGGCGTACGAGGCACCGTTGATGACGATGTTGTTGACGTGACCGTGGGCGGCAACGGTGGCGGCACCGGCCAGCATGGAGAGGAGGGTCTTGGAAGAAGGCATTGTTGCGATGTGTTTGGTGATGTGAATCGGGTGAAGCTGAAGAAAACTGTTGGAGTGGTAGTTGAATGAGTGGTGATCCGGCTAGCGGTAGAGTGAATGAAACGACCTCAATCAATGAAGTCTATGAAGTGAATGGAAAGAAAGCAAAAACCTCAAGGGTTGAAAGGGAGTGGAACTGAAAGCTAATGATGGGATGAGCCTGAGAGAGAAAGGAAGTCTGGGAGAATGGGCGGGTGGTGTGGTCTTTTATCCCAACTCTCCACCTCCATCTCTCTTCGTCTGACGCTCCCCGTTGCCGTTAGCCGTGATTGCACAGACGACAAGAGCCGCATCTAGCTACGGGTCAACTCTCACTTGGGAAACGGGTCTTTGCTCGATCCCAGGGTTGTGGGTTGTCGGGAGGAGTTACCGTGAGGGGATAGGGGCCGATGTGCCACCCCGTTTCAGGGTCGGTGGTGATGGGCCGCGCCAGGGGAAGGCATCCAACCAAGTTGCTAGTATTGGAGGTCCAGATGATTCCAGGATTTTGCTGTGCTTCCAGGATCTTCCTATATTTCCAGGATCTTCCTATACTCCCAGGATCTTCCTGTATCCTGTCCATGCACGTCTCGATTCCTTCCAACGAAGCCAAGCCCTCGGTACGTAGCGCGGTGCATCTCCCAAGGTAGCATTGATTTCCGAAGCTCAGGTAGACCATCTAAAGCAGCATCTCGCTACCGGTGGAGGGCATTATTGAACCCCGATCTCTCTACAGGATCCAAGATCAAGGCGCAACTGAGAGAAAGCCACTGCATGGGGAAAAGACGCCCCCGCTTGGCACTTGCTTCAGCAGGCGAGTTCATCCCATGTTGGCAAACGGAACCGCTGGTTGGACGGCGCCAGCCAGGGATGCGCATCTGGCGTGCGGTCTGTCGTTTGGCGACTACCGCTGCACCTGAAACCCCAGCGACTTGCAACGGCCGGGGGGCTGCGGGCGGGTGGGCTGGATGGAGACGATGTGGGTGATGGAGAGGAAGATGGAAAATGCAGATGGACGGCGAGATCCCAGGCGGTTTTTCGCTTCCAGACTTCCAGGCCTCTATCCCCTGTCGCGGCTACCATCCGTACCTTGCAGCCAAGTGCGTAGGCGCCCTCGGCTAGGCAGGGGCCTCGCTGTGGCTGTCAGTTGTCAGGTTCGATAGGGCTTGTCCTCAGTGGGCGAAGCGGGCTTTGCAGAGCGGTACAGCGGGGTCGCTTCCGTCGCTAATCCACCAACTCTCCGGGTGAGATGCCCTGGCTTCAGTGGCCTGTGCTGCCACCGCTGGGAGCCGACATGATCCATCCATGGATCTATCTATTCTGGCCCTGTCGATACAGTGATGTGCTATAGTCTAGAAGCCCAGACCGCACCTTCAAGACCCCTCCTCCCTTCAACCCGACCACTGTCGGCGGACGTTCCAGTGGGTTTCCGCGGCTGGGCGTTGCCGATGCGGCGTCCGGGGCTATTTTTCCGCTGGTCACTGCCTCGGCCGACCTGCCGCAAGAGTCCCACCCCGCCGCCGCGCCCTGTTTGAAGCCCCTGCCGGAGGGGAGCTGCTCAATTTCGATGAGACTGACTCGTGGACGGCGGCGTTATACTACATGCATATTACATACGGTTATGCAGTAGGGCGCTCCCTTGAGCCCATGTGGGCGGGAGGAGCTGCCAAGATGACGAGTGTGGCTGCAAGCTCTCCCTCCATCATCTCGAGCTTTTTTCACCATCTTGATTGTTAGGCCTATCCCCACAGCCACATCAGCCTTATCTACCTATCCACCACAGAGCAATAGGGCAGTCATTGATGGAACTCAACAACCGGAAGGATTACTCCTCTATCTTCATTCAACATGAAAACTTCACCGATGACGCACCGCATAGCTCTCGGGATGATCATTTACCTTAATGTGTTCCAACAAAACGTCGTGGTGGGTGTCAGCCGAACCCTTCATCCCTGGCCCATTCGGATGAAACAGGCGTGAATCATAGAATCGCCGATAATGGAGGGACGGATGACCTGCAATCAATGGTACCACACAGATCGACGGGCGCTCGCGAATCTTCTGCGGCTTGAGACATGCCAAACGACACAATTTCTGTCGATTCCGGCAGCTGTTGCAAACAACTGCCAGGAATCGCATGTTGTGACGTGGAAAACAGCTGAGAGTCTCCGCAACCTCAACTCAGGTGCCGGGCTTTGGGCTTCGTAGTAGTAGTCGCAATACTCTCCGTCTATCTGCTAGGTATCGCTAAACGTGCATCCGCCACCCGCGCGAGATTAATTACGCGTTTAGGCCAGGGCTCAATGCTCTCTTTTCCCAACTCGCAGCATCGAGTCTTCGCCATGTCATGGCCCTCCCAGCGCAATTTCCCGCGTTCCCCTATTTGCGGGCCAAATTTCCCCCATGGCCAAGCGAAAAAACAAAAGTCGTTTACGAATCTCTCGGCCTGCGACAAGCAAAGCCATCCCTAATTCTCTCTCCCCTCCTCGCAGCCGTTGGCTCGAAACAGAAACGCGCGCACTGAGGCCATCGCCATGTTCTGGCCACGGGCTCAACGTGAGACGCGAGCGGGGTCCTCGCCTGCAGACCTGGAACAAGGGGCTGCCCAGACACCTTCACGCAGGGGTCCGCAGCCCAACAACCCTGTCTCCGAGGCCACTCCTCCTGCAGCCGTGGAAGGGCGCCTAGAGCCCAGCGACAGGCTGACCCGTCACCAGCTGTTCTACGTCTTGGTGCTGGACGGCTTTGGCGGCATGCTGCTCTCAGGCGGCGTCAATTTTGCGCTGGCTTACGGTGCGTTGGGTCCCTGTATCTCACTGGAACTAACACTAACACGGGAATCAATCCTCTAGCCATGTACACCACCCAGGACACCGTCAACAACCCTGTTCGTCTCTTCCAGCTGCCCAACACCCTGGCCGGCGATGCGGCTGTCACCATCATCGTCCAGTGCATTCTCACTTGGTTTGTCGAGAAGGGCCTAGTCGCCTATGACCTCTCCAAGCGCTCCGTCCAGCCCATTGGCTTTATCCCTGAGCCCTCCCGGCGCTGGCAAAGGTGGCTGTTTTTTCTACCCTCCGTCAGCGAAGCTGCAGCTGAAGTTGAGACAAAGGGCGAGGCCGCGGTCATCGCGCCCGCCCAGCCCTCGGCCTTGACATCGTTGCTTCAGCAGGCGCTCAGAGGGTTTCTCCTCGCCGTCGTCGGCTTTGTCCTGCTGTGGCCCGCGGGCGTTGGGATCTTGACCGCATTTGGCAAACGCTCCGGTGGCGACTACACGTATGCCGATCGGTGGACACCAGAGGTCTTCAAGTTTCTTCTCGGCGGCTTGCTTGGCTTGCTGACCACGCCCTTGATGGCAGCATTCTGGCTCATCAAGGCCGGGTGGGAAGCGAAATCGGACGACATGTCAGAATCATGAGATGCCAGGCACATACCACGTTCGGTTTCCACGAAGCCGTCCCGATTTGGATCCTCTTACTACCACATGATACATTCTGACCATCTTATCCGTGCATACGCCTTTGGCTTACGACGCTCTCCGATGGGGAGTTTCGTTTCAAGTGCGGGATGCCACGCAGTGTCAGAATGGCATGGGTCATCGCCAAAGATATATTAACTTTCCTTGGCGGCAAAAACACCCATGTGATTGAGCGTCGGGAAATCCACTGGGCGAAAGATAACCCTTCGGATAAATTCCCGACAATCGAACGAATCGCTTGCATGTCACGATGGAGATCTTACTCCATGTGTTTGTGATTTGTTCCAAGGCCTAATATAAACTTCAAGACGCCGCCGTCCAACGGTTGTGAAACCCCGTTTTAGTCCATTCATTGATGGGTTTACTTTTCTGTTCGTACGGCTAATCTTCCGGAGAGCTTGGGAAGGAAAGCCAAGGCAGTGCGACGAATATTAATAGTAATAGAATAATAGTGTGTAATTGATGCAGGCTAGGTCGGCCGTGACTTTCTCTTCCCTGTTGTCCATGTATACAGTCAATCCATGGACCGAGCGTGAACTCCAAGTTTGCATAGTGTGTGGGAAGAAACCTGGCAGTCATGATGATCAGCTGAATCTAATTATACATACCTGGTCCTGAAATTTGGCCTCTGTTAAACTGCTGTTCAATGAGTGGACTGGGATATGTGCGGATGTCGTGGAATGAACTAGAGAGGAGATCAGACACTCCTTTAAATAGACTTCCTACGTTATTTTTAGGCGCAAATCCAATAGGAACGATTTGAATTTTCAACGACTGCTATTTACTTGGTTAGTAATGACTTATTTTCACTTTGTAAAAGCCGTCTCAATCCAGATCTCAAGAACTGTTAATTGATGGTGCAGGGTAGCCGTGCTGAATTAACTCCCTCCGCAAAATTGAAGCTTATAAATACAATTTACGTTTAGCCTGTGTAAATTAAATTGAATCTAGAGAATCTAAATGGTGGGAAACGTGTTGTGGTCATGCGCGAAGTTTCTTGCTTCCTATTGCACCCTTCATGCGCCGCAAACGTAAGTTGTCTTCATCGACATAAACATTAGCCAACCTGCAGTAAATTGGTGGACAGCAGTATGGATCCCGATTGAATTAATTCACGCTTGATCATTATCTTCTTGTTAACTTCATGCTATATTGAAGGTATGTGTTCTGCCTGTCAAACCCTCCATCCTGTTAGCAAAAAGTGCCAAAAAAAATATTCAATGACATGTGTAACACATATGGCCGGATCTCTCCCGCCGGGAATTGAACCCGGGTCTCAAGCGTGACAAGCTTGCATACTGACCACTATACTACGGAAGATGTCAGGCGTTTGGCGCCTGTGTAGGTGGATCGGTGGTTGTCGACGAGCTTCCGAGCCATTTTATTGTGTTGCGATGGGTCTCGGGCAGCTTCGCGCAAGTGGTTAGACACTGTGGAGACTGCGCCGGAACGCCGAAACACCCAACCACCTTGACAATCGGACGCTAGGCAACCTCCCGCATCTAGCCTTCGTCCTCTACAATTCAACCTAGGTCGACTATTCGCACAATGGCGCTGTCTAGGCTCTTGACAGCTTCAATTATTGGTCTCGCGGCTTCCCTCACCGCTGGCCAGGTTCACGGCGCGAACACCGAATTCCGGGCATTCCACAGTGGGGCGACGCGTCCGCTCCGTTCCGAAAGCTCCCCGCCTGCCATCATCTCTGTGCCGATTGATCACTTCCACAATGAATCCATCTACGCGCCCCATTCAGCTGATTCTTTTCATTTGAGATACTGGTTCGATTCTCAGCACTATCGGGAAGGTGGCCCGGTCATCATCCTCGCCTCTGGCGAGACCAGTGGCGAGGACCGGCTCCCGTTTCTAGACCACGGCATCCTCGCCATGCTGGCCGAGGCGACGGGCGGCGTTGGCGTTGTACTTGAACATCGATACTATGGCACCAGTTTCCCGGTGCCTGATCTGCGGGCCGAGAACATGCGCTTCTTGTCGACCGAGCAAGCGCTCGCCGACACTGCCTACTTTGCCCAGCACGTCCAGTTCCCAGGCCTCGAGCACCTTGACCTCACGTCGTCGAATGCGCCGTACATCATATACGGCGGATCCTACGCAGGAGCGTTTGCTGCATTCGCGAGAAAGGTATACCCTGATATTTTCTGGGGTGCCATCTCATCTTCCGGCGTAACCGAGGCCATCATCGACTACTGGGAGTACTATGAGGCGGCCCGGCTATTTGCCCCTGGCGACTGTGCTGCCACAACACAGAAACTCACCCACTTCGTCGACAATATTCTTTTGGGCGACGATGGCGATGCGAAACAGCTGCTCAAGGATGTCTTTGGCCTTGGAGAGCTGCGGGACGATGACTTTGCGAACGCCATCAGCCGGGGTATCACGGGGCTGCAATCCACGAACTGGGATCCCGAGGAGGACAGCTCCGACTTTGGATTCTACTGCGGTAGCGTTTCTTCTGACGATGTACTCTTTGCCAGCACCCGCTCCCTCGCTCCGACTGTGCACGATCTTCTCTCCGCGGGAGGATACAAGGAGCAGGCCGAGTCGTTCACGAATCGCGTGTTGAACTACATTGGATATATCAGGTCGCACCTTAGAACTGACCTCAGTACATATTGTAAGGGGAAGAGCGTCGAGGAATGCTATTCCAGCCGAGGAAAGAACAATCGCATCGATCTTGATCAGGGAATGGAGCGGAGTTGGGGCTATCAGACATGCACTCAGTAAGCACACCCCAACCAACTCCCGTTCAATGCTAACTATTTCTGTAGGTGGGGATACTTCCAAACCGGATCTGGAGTTCCGAAAGGTCAACTCCCTCTCGTCTCTCGCCTGATTGACCTCGAGTATACCACCATTCACTGCCGCGAGGGGTTCAACATCACGACGCCGCCGAACGTTGAGTCAATCAATAAGCTCGGCGGCCTCAACTTCAGCTATCCCAGAGTGGCCTTTGTCGATGGAGCTGTGGACCCGTGGCGGGCAGCTACACCCCATCGCATTGGTCTCCCAGAGAGGGCGTCGACTGTGAGTGAGCCCTTCATCCTTATCGAGCATGGTGTCCACCATTGGGATGAGAATGGCCTGAAACCAAATGATACCGCGATAGGATTGCCTCCGCCGAGTGTAGCAAAGGCGCAGGAGCAGGAAATTGCGTTTGTCAAGGCGTGGCTGGAGGAGTGGACAGAACTTAGGAAGGATCACGGGGATTTGCCTGGAGAATTGTAGACTGATTCCACATTGCCTTTAATTGAAGATATTAAATTAACAGGCCTCATCTTTTGCCTAGTCTACTTACGAAGATGCTCTTTTTGCTGGCAGTTCGACTGTCTGATAAATGGCTGTGCCCGGTGCGCACTCGTCGCATTTGTGGCAGCTGAGGTCGTTCCATATCAGTGCTCATACAAGTGTTCCCGCTTCCACTTTGTAGCACATCTTTAACCTATTAGAGAATTGAAAAATGCTGCAAAAGTGGACAAGATGATCACCAACATTTGGCAATTTGGGTCGAGGGATGGCTTGCTATGTAGGTGGTCCAGCAATTGTAAAATCACACCATACGGGCCATTATTGTGTGGCGTAGTTTGTCTTGCTTGCTTAACTTTAGCCGACCCCAGATCAATGTTGAAGCGGCTAATAAATGCACTGGTAGTCCAGCCTCAACCTAGTGGCAGCCTAGGAGATACCATAACGGGAATTAAGCTACGTATCTGATCGTGATGGGTGTCTTCCAAATTGAACGTGCAACACGGAGGGTGATTGGCTTGGCGTCGGAAGCCACACAATGAGACGCACTTAAACATGCCAGTCCAGTGATTGAACAACAGCAACAATGCTGATTCCGTACGTGGTCAATCTGCGGAGGTAGTTGGATGCCATCACAGATCTTGAATGTCAGCACCACCAGGTGGCATTGGGTGACGATTAATGATTGGCAAGCGCCATTTAAGCCCAATAACTGGTTTATACGAATTCACATCTTATCAAAAACACTAAATTTAGGATGTTATCACTTGTCGAGTACGACCTAGTCGCCGCCGCCGCCGCCGCCACCACCACCGTCTCCTCCACCTCCTCCACCTCCACTGTCGCAGCTACTGCTACCACCTCCACCAGAGCTGCTATAACCACCACCGTAGCTACTGCTGCTATGTCCCCCACCAGAGCTGCTATGGCTGGTATAGCCGCCGCTGTGACCGCTGTAGCTGCTGTGGCCCGCACTGTGGCCCTCGCTCTTATGATCGCGGCATCCAGAACTGTCGTCGCCTCCGGAGTAGAGACTGGCGTATAGCATATTGTTGTTGGCATTGTTGTTTCCCCAATTATTGTTGCTGGCATGGTTGCTGTGTGTAGAACCAGAAGTAGAAGATTTGGACCGGGCATTCTTCTTCTTCCTCTTATTGATCTTCCTCCTAATCTCTTCGGCTGACTCTTCAGATGAAGGGGTAGGTTTGGCGTTTCCGGCCTGGGCGGGCTCTTCCTGGGTTGAGGCAAGTTTGATATGGACCTTCTTAGTCTGACTCCCACCTGATTCCGCACGCTTTCCAGAAGGCTTGAAATCCGTTTGAGAAGATTGAGAGCTAGATTCTGCCGTGGAGACTGTAATCGTGGGCTGGATAGGAGGAATCTGCTGTGGCGTGAACTTTGGCTCAGCTTTTAGAGTAGCCTCGGCATCAGGTGCAGCATCTTTCTTGTTGTGGCGTTTCGTCCACCATCGTGTGGGGAGATAGATGCACATGGTGAGCGCTTTTGCCTGGCAGTCGGGAATTAGAGAGTTTGATGTAGAATTGCGCTGTGTGATGAGGTTGGGTTGTTGAATGTGGTGATGAGCCCAAGTGTGTTTGTGGCAGCATCTTTCATGTACTGAGATTCAGCCTGTTTATATAATTCATTGACCGTGGGGCAACTCTGCCCATCTAGGTATAGACACCAACCATAGCCACTTCGTGATGCAATTGCTCATGCGTTGGATTTCGCGACACAATCAACACACAGTCTCGGAGAGGTAAACAACCCGAGTGTGGAGCTGCAAGCCTCAAAAATGCCTGACAAGGCTGCTGGGTCTTTGCAGTCTCGCCCGAGTGACGTGTGGTACGTCATTCGACATGCTGGACGAGCTCCACAAAACCTCAGCTCAACTTCAGCTCCGTGCCGTGTATGCCTAGAGCCGCGCAGGTTTCCGGTTTAGAGGCAGGATCTGCGAAACTGTGGGGATTGCGTTGTTTAAGTGCGGAATCACGTTGATGGCTTCTTTAAGCTACATCCGCCGATACTCGACCGTGTCCCTGCTGCGATACCCGGACTTCGGCTGGGATTGATTGAAACAAACCTCTACGGAATACAACATCGCGAAAAAGGCTGCAATTGGAATGTGAAAATTGGGAAGAATTAAGTCTTGGCATTTATACTAAAGTGCCTACATCTGCATTAATAAACAGACATCTTGATTCTGCGATTCGTCTGAGCTGGATCTAAGCTCCACCTCCACCATAGCATAGCCTCCCCCTATTTGTTCGCGGAAAAAGCCTCGCCCAAGGCTTCGGAGAATCCTTGAGCGTAACCGCCGCCAGGATCCGAGCCAGCATTTTGGCCAAGAGCAGGAGGTGCAGGAGTAGGACCACGGGGGATTGCAGGGCGGGAAGCTGCAGGCTTCGGACCCGAATTTCCAGTGGCAGTCTTCTTCTGGAAGATCTTTGGAAGACACATGGTTGCGGTGTGCCAAGGGGTTCGTAGAGTTCAAAGATTTCTCAAGTGTGGTTGGTTTTCCTTTCGGATGATTTTGTGAAGGTTGACAAAGGAAGAAGTAATGACGGGCTGAGAAGGATGCGAATTTATAGCCCAAAGTTTGGCTGTTCTGGAACAAATCACCTTGTCCCTCTTATGTTGATGAGTGAACACTCGCAGCGATTCCCGGACTTTCAAGCTTGATCGGGAAACTTGAATCATGATATATCAAACACTCATCGAATTCCTGGAGGGCATGGAATTCAGGCTGTCCGTTAGTTGGGTTGATGGCAATGGCAGCTCGTCACATCTGTTGAGTGCATTGACCCGCGGAGCATACGAAGCTGGCGATCTGCAAGAAGTGGTAGGAAACGCGGTATTGGTATCTATTTAAAACTGATTGAATGCCCCCCAAACTGCCATGCTCATTGATCGTATAAAGCGTGAAACGACACTGAATTGAGAGCGACCTGGTCGCCTCATTCTCCGCCACCACCACCTCCGCCGCCGTCGCCTCCTCCTCCGCCGCCGCCGTCATAACCACCTCCTCCACCGCCGCCGTCATAGCCACCTCCCCCACCGCCATGGCTGTCTCCTCCTGAATAGCCGTGGTCGCCGTGGCCAGTGTGGCCAGTGTGGCCATCGTGACCTCCCCAGCCTCCATAGTGGTTTCCATGATGGTGTCCATGAGACCCAGAGTGGTTGTTATCATCGCCGCTGTAAGCCCCTCCGTAGGCCCATGCTGCGCCAGCGGCCGCGTCGTTATTCACTTGGGTGTAGTTTTTCCGGCGCTGAGACGCTTTGCTTTGGACAGCTGTCGTGTCGCCAGCAGGCTTGCGCAGAACATTCGGCCGTTGTTCGCTCTCTCGGATCTGGACTTCTCGGAACTGAGCCGCGGCTGAGGCATTGCCGGCGTACTTGCGGCGCCGAACGGATTGGATCGGGCGGGGGCCGGACCCGTTTTCGCTCATGGCGACAGGGGCTTTTTGTTTGCGGAAGAGGTTTGGGAGACACATGGTGGAGTCTCTGTGGAGTTGTGCGCTCAGCTGAGCTGGAGGATCGGGGGATTACTTCAGAGGCGTATGCGCTTAAGTTCCTGGACAAAGGAGGGATTTGTGATGGCTTCCCGCGGAGGTCTGTACGGTTTGGGAACGGAGAGTGGATTGACGATCAACGCGGGGGGGACATGTGTTTATATACGAGCTTAACTGGCGAGGCACCCTGAGAGAAACCCTTGTCGAGCTGCTTTGACCTCGCTTGTGGTGCGGTAGCTTTAGCCTCACAGCGTAGCCTGGGGGGCTGGGACAGCGTGGGCAGTTCACGAGGACACCCCTCGTGCGTCATCCACCAAGTTAAGCTCAGAACTGTGGGCATTGACTGACGGTTGGGTCGGATAGCGTGACGCTTATAGCGCTTCTAGAACCCTTATCGTGTCGCGCTCGCCGTTAGTCGCGATGGCTACACAGCCTCACCCGCTGGCACCACGCCCGATTTCGCCACCGAGGCTGCCTTGCGAGGCACAGCCGGGGAGACGTGACCAGTTCGAACCCAGCTGCCTAGAGGGGATGGCGTAGTAGAGTGTTGAGGACGCTTTCAACCGGTGCTTTGTCCCCTGGGAATCGTGTTTATTGCCCTGCATGACCATCGGAACCAAGCCGTCTCGCCCTACCCCGTGGCGCCTGTGCCTGTGCCTGTGTCTTGGCCATAGATTATACCCAAATAGGAACATGAGGCGATGATCCATGCCTCCCAAAGAACAGCCGCACTCTCTCCGCTGCACAGAGCACACGCGGCCGGGGTAAGCAGTGCGTCACTATCAGGATGGAGAACCCTGCGTCAATCGGCTCAGCCCCATCACACTCTCACGGCGCCACGGAACCCGAACTCGTAATTGATCATACAAGAGGACACCTGACACCTACCAGCAAGGCGACCAGCTGGCAAGTTTCGATGCCGGAAATTCCCTTATGAGCGACTCGAAGCCCTGCTGGGCGTGCCTCAAGAAGCGCCTTGTCTGTGACTTTGGCCGCCCGGGATGCCGGAAATGTGCAGCAAGGAACGCCGAGTGTCCGGGGTACGGCAAGAAACCGCTGAAATGGCTTGCGCCTGGACAGACCCGGTCCAAGGGAAGACGTGCAAGAGACGAGTCCAATGTCATCCGCCTATGCCTTAAAGACTCGAGTGAAGCCAGCACCTTGTTTGAGGCCATCGAGTATTGTAGGTTTCCACCCCATCACCCCCGTCACCGCCCTGGTTCTCTGCGTTGTCGTCCATATGAGGGGGGAATATTGCAAAGACCTGGATAAACTATCCATTCTGGTCGAAAATTCTGACAGTCTTCTTTCGCAGATAACATTCGCATCTGCCCCGACCAGGTCGCGACGGGCTGCGGAGGCCACCCAAAGAGCCCTTTCTACATACCCATCGCCAATGCGCCAAATCTTCCCGCCAACATCAGACATACTGTTATCTCCATTGCCCTTGCTCACCGTATCATCCAGTCTGAGGAATCATTCGAACCTGACCGGGCGGCGCTATCAGTGAAGTTGCAAACCCATCGAGGCTCGGCAATTAGGCATCTGGCAATCCAGTTGAAGACTGCATCGCAGGCCCGTGAAGTCACACTGGCTTCCGTTCTTGTCTTCTTATTTGCTGAAGTATGCTAGTTGAGGAAGGACTGTGTCCCAATTAACTGACATCGATCCTCTAGATTCAGCACACACTCTCTCCGAACTGGCGCTATCACTGCGATGCTGTCTACGCCGTTATAGAGATGCTGGGGGGAATGTCGAATACCGTTCTTTCTCAACCTCTGTTCCAACATCTCCTGCGGTATTTTATCCTGTATGTGCCATTCCGTCCTCAGACATCAGAAAACCTTACATTTTCGTAGAGTAGAAATAATGGGTAGCACCACTGCGCCCCGAGTCGAATCAGAACGAGCTCTTCGTCAAATTGGGTTGATTAGTTTACTACCCAGTGTGTACGGAAATGGGCTATCCACGTCCCTACCTTGTCCTCCAGACCTGCTGTCAGACATCATCTCGATTAATTACTTGCGCTCCGAGCCAGGTGCAACACTGTCCCGAGGAATTGATGTCAAAACTGCTGCTCTAAACATCTTGAAACGAGTAGAGTCCTTTTCTGCAGAGAAATGGATAAGGGACATCAATCAACATGAGCAACGTCAAGTCTGCGATGACAAAGCTCTGCAAGAGCAGATAGGAGCCTGGGACTGGCAAAGTATCGCCCAGATATTCCAAGCGACCGTTGCACTTTACTGCATTTCATCTCTTCTTGATGTGGATAAGCAGTCAAGAAAACCACAAGGGGACGTCAGTGGTGACGAAGAACTCGATTTTCATATCGCCACTCTACGGTCAACCTACCTTGATGTCCTTCTTCGTAACCTGAAAGACATCGCGTCGAATCCGAAAAGCCAACTACGAAAACTGGTATTCTGGCCCCTTGTAATTGGTGGCATTCATGTCGAAGCTAGCGATGACGAGTCCAAGGAATTCATCCTCGGCGAGCTTACATGGGTGAGCAAGGCGCTCGGTATTGCGTCCCCATTGGTGGCGAAAGAGCTTTTGGGAAAGATCTGGATATCTTCACGCAGCTCAAAAGGAAATAGGCACCAATCTTGGGGTTCATTATTTGATAGACCCTACGTATTTGCGATGTAATCACAAATATCACGCGTCGTGCTTCAGGACAAGCTCAAATGGTGGATACCTTCGAGCTTACAACTCCGACTTCCAGCCACCTTTCGCAGCAAAGAGGGGACCCACGGCCTTTCCGACCTGTAAAAGATGCTGATCTTTGTACCTCGATGTCACGAGAGACACTCCCACTGGCATTCCGTTCTCGCCTCCAAACCCAGGAATATTGAGAACTGGAGTATGGAGGGCCTATATCATATTAGTTTCATCACAAAAGGCCTTCGCGAGACATACCGTCCAAATGCCGTTAAAGTCGGAGCTTCCGGTCCATTCAATCCCAACGGGCGCCACGTCAACCGAGCTGGGCGTGATAATTGCCGTGTACTGATCTGCAATGTCATCAATCTTCGGCCGAAGAGACGCAATTGTATCAAAAGCTCGTAGGAATTCCTTCTTGGAGCAGGTATCAATGTTTCTCGCCATGTCGGCGAGTTTGTCGCTGATTTGGTCTCTTCTCGTGTTGTATTCCCTATAGAAGGCGACACCGGCTTCAGCTTGAAGCACCTGGTTTTGCAACGAAAGCAGATTGTCAAACTCGGAAGGTAATGTGACTTCTTCAACTGTTGCCCCCGCATCCTTTAGGATTTGGACCGCACGCTCCATGGCCGCGATGGTCCCGGCTCCGGCCTTTGGCCAAACCGGTGTCTTGACGAAGGCGAATCTAGCTTCGTTCAGCCGAATTTCCTTAGGCGGGTCATCATCTCTTAAAGAAAATATATCGGCCAGAACCTGTAGATCTTCGATGCTTCGTGACATGAAGCCAAACGTATCCAGTGTCACTGAAGAGACCTTTTGACCTTCGGCCGATACAGCGTTCCAGGTTGGCTTAAGGCCGTAGATGCCGTTGAACGAGGACGGCCGAACAACGCTCCCGACTGTTTGGGTTCCAAGCCCAATGGGGATTTGCTTGTCGGCGACTGCTGCCCCTGATCCTGAGGATGAGCCGCCGGGGGATCTTGAAGGATCATGTGGGTTTTTCGTGCCGGGGCCTACAGTCGTCGCGGCGAACTCTGTGGTTCTGGTCTTGCCTGGACTTCTTAGTAACATAATCATATACTTGGCTGTGACAGGTTTTACCCATGATTAATGCGCCATTTCTTCGTAAGATGGCCACAGTCGATGCATCCAGAAGTGGCCCGTCGGAAGCGTATGCGGGAGAATTATACTGAGTAGGAAGATCTGACGCGCACAGAGTTTAGCGAATAATTTCCATTCTTACGCCCTATTGACTCACCTTTCGTCAACAGGACATCTTTCACACCGATGACGAAGCCATGGAGGCGACCACGCTTTGCCGAGGGGATTTGGTCCAGCTGCCTCGCTTGCTCCAGGACCTTGTCTGGTTCAATAAATGCCCAAGCATCGACATCCTCATCTCGAATCCTGTAGCGAGCAAGAAGTGACTGAACATAGTCCTCCAGAAGCAGCGAATTGGATCGGATTTGGCGCTGGACTTCTGACGCTGTCAGTGCGCAAAGTTCGGGGGACGTCATGTTGACGAACAGAGACGGTGGCTCGGATCAAGTTCGTTGGGAATTCAGGCTCAAATGACCGACAGATGGGAAATGGGAAGATTGACAAGAGTCTATTCGAATCTTTGCACCATCAAGCTGGATTCCTCTACGCTCGCGATGTGCTCCAGAGGAGGTTACCCCGCTCGCACTTCAGTCTGTATTTGGGTTGGGTGGAGAATTGTAACATCGACTACTTTTATGTCACGATCAGCAAAGATGTCGGAGTGGGGCAAGCCGACCTTGGCTCTTGTAACTGATTGCAGTCATTCTTCGGTCTTTCCTCAGGTATCTATAAAAGCTAAGGATATGGGAACAGACTGGCGGGGGCGTTTTCATCGCATCCAACAGCTTGAATGTTTGAGATTGACTACTACGCATCAACTATCTACGGGATAGAGCTGTTAACGAACCAAATTTGGAGTGTGGCTAGTTTGGATCTTAAAATGATCCGTGTATTGGCTTCCACAATTGAAGAAAATTTTAATAGTGGTCAACAGATGTTGAGGTAGTAGCTAAATGATGTATATAGCTGAAGACCAGTCATAGCCCTCATGCTCACAACTGAATAGCCCGATCAGGCCTTGGAAGGCTTTGCGTTCCTGGCCTTCGTGAATGAGCATCTCCGTATATTGTCTTTTCTCCGACGTGAATAGGCTTCGAATCAGATCCATCCAATCTAATCGCGCCTTGGCCTCGTGCTCAGCTAACTGTACCTTGCTCTTGTGTGAATGAGTGTTTTGCTTACGCCTCCAATCTCAATGGCAGGAAATTGAATAAAAGAGCGAGCCTTGTGTTTAAGAAGATCTTGGATTATTGCAATGTGCTCTGCCTTATTTTCAACGATGAGTTTCTCTCGCCCTTTATCCGATGTAGAGGTAGTGGTAGCTTGGAGATAGCTCCCAAGTAATCTTCAAATCTCCGAAAATATAAAGGGGCCAATTAGTCTGGCCTTGCTATTGCCGCCTGAGACAGCTGTCAATGATGCGGGGTCGTTTAGTGTTGCTGGATTATGCTTATCGTCTGTAATGAATAAAACGCAATCAATCCCTGCTGAGATCATGTGGTATTTCTCATGATTTGATCACCGATCATGTGGTCTGCAGAAGCCTGGAAAATGCACAATTGGTGGAAGTGAAGGATCGTCCATGTCGCACAGCTTCCCGCAAGCGGTGTTCAACAGCGATTTCACGCCACTTCCAAGATAGACAAGAGGTCGCGTTATCTCTGATCTATTTAGCCTGAAGATTAGTGGCGCACGTGTCGGTCTTGTTCCTTCTTCATCGGCGGGGCCCTCCCTTCTTGATGTAGCTGCATGAGAGCTGAACTGTGGCGTGGATACTAGCAGGGAATATTGCAGGATTTCGTGCCTTAGACTAGGCTGAAGCAACCCACGCGAGCAACGGCTCTGGGAACCTGGCCAACACGATCGAATACGCGGGTGGGGTATCGTCACACCGCGATGATCTGCCCAGGACATGCCCTTGAGGTCTTGGGGCTGGGTAGGCGCCTTATATTCGGTCTGTTGGGCGCTGCTTGTTGATGACGCCCAAGGACCTCCTAATTCTTGCACTTCACAGATTTGAACGTTGTGTGATCTGCTATCTCAAATCAAGAGTCACGCTCACGATGCTGAGAATTTTGATTCCATTTATTGCCCTCTGGGTGGAGGCTAGCTTGGGGTCTCTCAACTTGGAGCTTGAGCAGACACCCAAGTGGTCTATGGCCGACATGACGAAGGCCAAGGCTGGAGAGCCCTTGTCCTTTGGAAGCGCAATCAATCTATCATCTATTCAAACCCTAGAGGGCCGAGGATTGTTCGCATTGGAAAAGAGGGAGTGTCTTAATACTGGATATTGTAATACTCCTCTCCAACGGACTCATCGCGGAGTTACTGACACCAACAGACGTGTGCGAAGATGGAGCAAGATGCTGCCCAAATGGAGACACCTGCGTTGCCTTGGGCTGCTGCGAAGGTACAAGCGAACAGTGCGGAACTCGCAAGTGTTACGACTCGAGCTCACAAACCTGCTGTGGGTCTGAGAGCGATATTGACAGCCTCGTCTGCGGTGATGGCCAGGTGTGCCAACCAGGCGGATGCTGTGATTCTGGGTATAAACAGTGTGGATCACAGGGCTGCTACGCCCCGGATACACAAGTTTGCTGCGCAGCTTACAACACGCATTGTCCGAAAGGCTACGATTGCGTTACGGGGGGTGACTGCTGCAAATCCGGTCTGGTGCCCTGCGGAGATACCAAGTGCTATGATCCTGATACGCAAACTTGCTGCGGTAATGGCGCTGGTGCTTGTCAAAAAGGCACTACTTGCTGTGGGAGCAAATGCTGCAAAGATATCGCGTACTGCGGGTCTAATGACATCTGTTCCGCTTGCCCCGACGAAACGAAGACGGTAACGTCCACGCAGACCACCACGGACGTCGTGGTCAAGACGAATACTATCACAGAGGTCCCCAAGGACGAGCCTACAGGCTTCAGCTGCGTGCCGATAACAGTAACGAATACCGACGAGGAAACACTAATCCTCGGGACGGACTGCGGGCTTACATACGAACCGCCCAGTACTACCTCAACCGATGATGGTAGTCTGCGACTCCGCGCGAGACAGATCAACTGCAAAGCCCCTGCAACAAGAACTACAACCGTGATTGTGACAAAGGGCGTTACTACACGCACAACCACCACCATCACTACCACCAAGGCGGCGTCCGAGTTAGGATTCTCGTGTCCTCCGATGGAGGCTACGAACGATGCTGGCGACGTGCTCGCGTTGGATGAGGATTGTTCCATGAGTTTGTCATTTGCTGAACCAACCACCACCTCTGAAAGCCAAAGGACAGTTACTGTCCAGGGCGGAGGCGGTAGTGCCAGCACCAGTGAGGCTGGTGGGGATTCAGCTGCGAGCCCGATGGGAGGACCGTTTGTGTCAGCAGGGACACTGGCTATCATCTGGGTGGCTGGATTCATTGCACAAGGCATTTGAAATTAAAGCCGCTAGGATTCGAGGCTGGTTTTCCCATTTATGTTAACGTGAATGAGCTTGAAAGGTGCATCTTGACAGATGTAGGACACGTGAAAGTAAGACTATAGAAAAACGCATGGATAGCAAACGCTAGGTTCATATTATGCAGTGAGTAATTACTTCCGATAGTCTTTGTTAGTAGTATATATTTTGAGCTTTACTATCGTTCCGTTGGATTGAGCTTGGTAGTGGTCTCGGAAACCTTTCGAAATCGCACCCCGAGCATCATATTCTCCTAAGACCGGAAACAAGCTCTCTTGGTCCGATTATCACCATATTTCAAGTTTATGGGATCCAGCATCTTCACCTTCCTTACAACCCTTCTCTAGACTCCACAAGTCACAGCGAAGGAATGATCCCACGGTTGCTACAGACAGCATTTCGTGGGCCGCAATCATACCGCGTTACAAAAGAGCTCATCAGGGCAAGTATTTCTCTAGAGGCGCTAGCCAGATGGATCGAAGAGATGGATCCCTCCATTTTCAGTTGGTCCATAGGTTCGAATGCACCACTTTCTTTCACGAAAGCATTTGAAACCTTCAGGGCTGCAGGATGTTCTACAGAGGAGGTGAAAATACTGGAGTTGGCTCTAGAGACTGCGCGTAGCAGGTTAGTTGAGTTGGATGGCACGTAGGCATAATTTATCTTGTATTATAGCAATTTTTGTTACCGTCCTATATCCGTATCATTTGTCTCCGGCGAATCATTAGCGTGGCCCTACAGAGTCCCGAACTAATTTCTTCCTTTCCTAAAATTTCCACGCCTGCGAAGAGCCATCGTAATCTTCTTCAAGATGCGATCAAAATCACCCTTCCATCTATTCTTTTTATATCCAAAAGGTTCACTCTCGTGTAGTAATATCGTCATCATTTTCGCGATCAAGCGGTAAACTTCCTTGGGGAGGGAAATTTGAAAATAGAAGTACGGCCACTGCAACAACCGCAATGGCCTAGAGTAATATTAGCCATAGGAACAGATCGCTCACTCAGAAATACGATGGCTTACCGCATTGCAGAAAAAAGTCGCATACGACTTGCCAATTCCCGCCAGACTTGCGAAAACAAACCCAAACAATCCCTGGGTAGACAGTCTAGCAATGTTTTCGACAAGCGTGACGGCATTTAGTGCGTCTGCGCGTTGAGATTCTGAACACATCTCGGTAATAACTCCTTTGGCTGCAGGGGCTGACCCAGAACCAAATGGGAGAAGGAAGGCGGCTTCCAGTACAATGTTAGAGTATTGCATAGGGTGTATTGGATTGTGGGCTATACGTACCAAGATATATGTGCCACCGACGAGTGGCAAAAGCTGCCACAGTGGTGAGGGCTCCGTCCACAACGAGGCTCCAACGCAAGAACACAAGATCAAAATGACTTCCATCATTATCCTTTGTAGTTTTCAGAGGCTCCACAGGTTCCTCAGCCACCTGTTCGCCTGCTGTGGCATCAAATTCTCCAGGAGAGGTTGGCAACAGCGCAGGCGAGGGTTCGTCATTTTCCGGGACCAGGTTGGATGTGGGAGATGTCCAGCGGCGTCCCCAGGAGATGATGTGAGGAAAGAGAAATATCAGGAACAAACTTCTCACAAACGCAAACTCGGCCATCAGCCAGCCGTTGTCATTTTGGTTGAATTCGAACGCTGCCGTGGCGTACATCTGGATGAGCAAAGGGACGTAGCCCGTGGCGAGCTGAAATATTTGTTAGCTTGAGAGGCATGGTTCCGGCCATTCGACTTACCACTCCAAGAAAGATGCCGCCGCACAGAAATATGACACCATAATGCTTCTTAATCTCCCCATTTTCGAGCCTTAGGCGTCGTGGCACGAGGATCTTTAGTGGCGCTAAGAACCCTTCACCCTGCTGGCCCGGCTTTTTGGCGTCAACCATGGAGTCGGGAGATATGTACGGTAGGGCGACCCAAGCATATGTGCCGGCTAGGAGAAATGAGACAAAGGCGACATCGAATGGAGCCCGAATGTCAATAGAGTCGCCAATCATGCCGCCAGCTGGTTGAGAGTTAGCGAATTAAGATTCAAATCTGCTTGTCTCACTTACTTAAATATCCGATGCCCTGCCCCAGCATAATGCACCCTTGAAGCTTTCCGAAAAGAGCCGTGCGTCGTATAGGCTCAGTAACTTCACCAGCTATGATGTTGACAACAAGACTGCACAACAGTGAGTAAGATGATTGCCTTTCATGTTTTGACATACTTACATATAACCAACCGGGCCACCCAAGACAGTGATAAGCTGGGTGCATTGGATGATCATCATACCGGTTCTCTTTCCAGCCACAACGCCAAGAATCTGGGTAGCGACTCGAATGGCTGGGACAAAGGTCTGGACCATGAGAGCGGTTCGAGGACCGAATTTTTTGGCTGTCCACCCAGCCACGAAAAGGTTCAGGGTTCCTAGAATCAATTAGAAGAGTCCAAATAAGCCACTGGGAGTACATGCCGCATAGGGTTGTACTCATCCCGAGAATACTGTACTGTGCAGCCGTCCCGGCCGCCACCTCATCTCGGCTGCACCTGTCCCCAGAACCATTGTAGGGTGGGTGGGTGTCATAGAAGGCATCGCATTCCATTAAATGGAAGACATAAAAGATACAACTTGGAGTTAATACGCAATGTTCACATCGGGTGACTGGCGGACTTACGGAACTTGGGTAAAGCTGAACGACAAGGTGATGAGAAACCCCGCAAAGAGCACGCGGTTCTCGACATTGAAAGCACTCCGTACCCACGACCAGAGGCTCTTCTTCCCAGTCTCCCTCTTGGGGAGGAGCGGCGTTCTTTCGTCAGTAGTCATGATTTCGAGCGATCATCGGAATTGAAAGCCGCAAGTGTGCGGTGACAGAAATGAATCCGAAGGGACCGATGAGAAATCGGATTTTCGGCACTGGCGATAACGACCCACAATTTCTTGCTAATGACCGCCGGAACCGGGAATGCCATTGCATCTTATTGCCTATCTGCCCCTCCTCGGCAATGGATCTACGGTTGATTCTCCGTTTTTATCGAGGCCGCCGAAGTAATTTGGTCCGTTGATAGGCAGACTTGATCCGACATGTACGCTTGGGCCGGTCTTTGACGGGGATGGGTGTCCTACGAGTGTTGAGAAACCCGGCATGGACTGCCAAGACAGGCTAGATGATCTACCTTGTCTAGAGCGGCGCTACCAAAAGGTGTGTATGTTTTAACTCTAGTAAAATCTATTAGATTATAGCAGAATTAGCTTTTCTCTATATACAGCTGGCAGTCAGGAATTAAGTCTGACATCTTAAGTATCATCAAACTCACAACACTTCTGCATATATATTGAAGCCACCAGCTCACCAACCTTGTCAGCACGATCCGTCAGCAACGGCGTGATCAAATGGCCCAGTTAGTCCATGACCTCCTTCCGGATGATGAAACGGCAAAATGCCTGGCATGCCTTGACAGCGGAGATGGCTAGGTCAACGACCCAACCTAGCTGGTCGACACAGCCGTGTAAGCGAAAGCAAGAGGCGAGGACAGAGTCGGACTAACGACCTCAGCCTGTCGGATCAGAAACAACTGGCATGGTTCGGTGAAACATCTTGCTGTACTTCTATACATAGTGGCTCGGGAGCTAGTTACGGGCTGTTGATCTGCATACTTGCACGACACTACTTAGATCCATCCCGGCCGGTTCCATAGTATACTTGTTAGCTACAATAACGCGCTACCGAACTTCTCCGTCGAACACACTCCGCTTTTCCCTCAGGCTCTGGACGCATTCCCACACCCGCGACTTCTGTGCAGCTTCGTGCAGATACTCTTCAGTCGCTGTCTCAATGGCTCCTCGGTTCGCGTATTCCTCAGGACCGACGTTCTGGAGCTCTTGTTCGACATTGAATCGGAAGAATTGCCTGTTGTCGTACTTCTGTCTCAATCTATTGATGACCTTTGCCGCTGCCTCCTCCGTTTCGGTCGCGATACTGGCTAACGCCACTGAAATGGGGATATTAACTTGATACTCGACCGGCCCGCCGGCATTCCCCGTGCCGACAGATATGAAGCTTTTGACGAGTGACTTCAAGTCACCAGTGTTGGGACACCAAATGTCCGATGCCTCGCGTTCCACTTGATCGACCGGGTTGTTCGCTGCCACAGTGCCGTCGACATACTGGTGTGAACCAATTTGCACGGGGTCGAAGAATCCACTCGTGGCCGATGTCGCCAGCGCAGCCTCCCAGATGGTACAAGGTATGGCCTTTTCCTCCTGGAAGTCATACGTTCTCAGTCGTTGAATCCCATGGAGGTCATTCGAAGCGGCGCACACGAAGCTAAGGGACGTCAGCAGGGACCACGCGGGAGAACGGATGGGACATGTACGGACACCTTGCAACTGTGATCTTGGCCGCCGTCGTATGGTTCTTCCGGCGAGAGACCCCGGCTGGTGATGAGTTTGATCACGGTAATCTTCAGCTTGCTTGAATCGAACCGTTGCTGTGGGTGTCCGTTAATAAAGCGGACAGGAAGCCTGCCCACCGACTGGGCCAAGACGACGGCGGAAAGCTCGTAGAATGCCGCAATCCACTCATCCACGTCCATCTCCAATCGCCCAAGCATGATGGCGATCAGCCTGTTCTGGTCAGCTGGTCATCGCCGCGGAGATGCAGGGCCAACTTACCCTCCCGTACTTGTGCCGCCAATCAGGTCAAAGACATCGCACGGCTTCAAGACGTCGGGAAGGCCGCTGTTCTTGCGCTTGTGATTGAGTTGAATCATGATACTCTTCAAGATAAAAAGCGTAGACAGGCCGCGGATCCCACCGCCATCCAGCGACAGAAGGCAGAGGCCGGACTGGTCAAAAGGATTCGGGTCGCCGCTGGATGCCCAGGGTTGAGTCGAGAGCGAATGGTCTGTTTGCGGGCGAGCCGATGCCCCCTCCTTAATGTCGGCAAAGTAGTCGTTTTCAGCAAAATAGCCGAGTCCGATGGGTGCATGTGAGCTCAAGGCCTCTGGATATGAAGATGGACTCAGGTCGAACTCGTGGGACAGCTGGAGCTGGGGCGGGCGGGACGCCGCTTTATCGAGCTCTAAGGCGTCGATCCAAGTTGCAATCCACGGGTCATCAGGATTGAATGTTCCAACGTGGCCTGGAAGATCTGGGATTGAATGCTCTGGCCAAGGGAGAGAGCGAAGAGAGAAGTCGTGCATGTGCTCCAATACGTGCCCATCCAACTCGGCGGTGTCCTGCGAACTGAATGACTTGCACAGGGGACACGACTGGACCCCCAACCAACTTTGACCAGACGATGATATGACGGTGGAGAAGAAGTCGTCCGCTGAGATATTCGCGTGGTTCTGACTGAAGTGGCCTGTGATAGCGTCCATCGTGTGAAATGTCTCACCGCCGGCATCGCAGAGGTGACACTCCCAGGTCGATGGGTGCTCGTGCCTTACGTGATGCTCCAAGGCCTCGTGTGAAGTAAACATAGCCACGTGTTCCGCAGGGCAGTCGGCTTTGATGCAGGTATGCGGAAGAATATCCTCGGTCAGGTGCTTCCTGCGTAGCGGTGTTAGTAGCAGGCTATGTCTGTCAAGGGCCATGCTATGGGTCTGTGGACTTACCTCCACTTTGCATCGCTGTCGACGTCCGAGAAGAGTATTGACTGGCAGCAGCAAGGGCACTTGAAGATTTTCTGACCTCTGGGCCGTTTCGGCTTCGGATAGTAAGCCGTGGCCGCGATCAAAGTGATCTCAGTCTTCGGGGAGGTCGAATTCAGTCGTTTCCGTCCGTCGTATTTGAAGCTACTCTCTGGTGCCGACGCCGAGGTTCCCGATACGGCGAGAGAGACGCGTTTCTCGGCCGAAGATAGGCCCAGCTGCGAACTTGACGCGGGAGCTGTGAGAGGTTGCGGCGCCTGGGGCTTCGCGTTCTGGACAGAAATCCGCCTTTCTTCCTTTGTAGGATTTGAACGCAGGGCCAGTCGCATTGAGTGCCGCGGGGCTTGAACGAATCTATTCCGGCGCCGTAGATTGGCCTCGATCAGACGCTCCTGGACAGGCGTGAGCCTGGACGTGTCCAAGCGAGGCGGGCTCCCGGCTCCTACGCTTGTTCGAGCGAGCACGATGCATTGAGGATGGAGTCGTAGCTCCTCGTGCTCTTCTGGGTTAAACATTCAATCGGCTTTTTTTCAAGCGGGACCGCTTGCCGGTTCGTCGAATGGCCACGGCTATCATGGCGAGATCCTCCAGCAATGAATCTACATCTTGGAAGTCCTTGTCGACCAGCGACGCTCTTTCGGCCACGCTTGCAGCCTCATCCAGAAACTGCTGGAGAAGGGCCAAGATACCTTTAACCAAAATCAGGACTTCTGGCCGTTCCTCGAAACGATGGTCGAGGGACGCCTCCGAGCCGGCCATGGCCCCTACGCCTGCCGCCCAGAGATTGAAGTCGGCGAACCGGTTTTCGAGGTCCTCGGAGTGCTTCACGCCGTTTACTGCGAAGCAGCGCTCGAAGCCTGCTATAGACGCTGTCGTGAGATCCGACACGGAGCCTGTGGCAAAATCCATGCTTCCAGGGATGGGCAAGTGTATATTCTGGCGAATGCTGGTGGATCAGGAGAGGTGATGGCAGGAGAAACATGGCATACCGTTGAAGGGACCGACGGTTGACAGCCTGGTTGCCCCGCGCGTGGCTGCTTCAGCCGCATGTCGCAGCCCGATGATTGGCGTTTTTATGGTTGAAGGGGGGTGTTCTCAGCTGAATACGGTTGCTTCTTATTGATCGAAACATGCTGCAAACGTCTCTCCAGAGGCGGACGGGGTCAGTCTAGTATAAAAGACGTGTGTGACCGTCCTAGTCAACAGCACCCATGCCACAGCCGTCTTCGAACTTCTCGTTTCCTCTGCTGGGATGGAATACTGGCAAGACATCTCTCTCGGCCTTCCGCTGTAAGAGAGAATTCATCTTTGTCTGCCGCTCAATTGCCCAAACTAACAAACATGATCCAGACGAACTCCAGGTCGCCGCGGCCATGTGAGCTTCCAAGAAGAGCCAGAGGTGGAGAAACATAATTTGAGGCTGGGAAAGTGCATTCCTGTGATATCCGGGAGCGTCTGCCAGTTTCTTATGCAGAGAATCTGTGCGGGAATCGACCTCCAGTTTGTGCCCAACGGCGGCCTAGTTCGAATTCCTGACTGCACGAGACTCGGTAGGCTCATTTTTCAAGGGAGCGGCATACAGCTGTCCAGAGTCCTCGAAACGTACAAGCTGACAATTCGGGCCAAAATCCGGCTTGCTCATATTATTAGCCGAGCCCTTTGGCAGTTCTATGGCTCCGAACTGTCGCGGGACAAATGGACAAGCGACAACATCTGGCTCATGCAGGAAGCTGGTCATGACAAACCGAAGGATAGGCTTCCGCTGCAGGTTTATATTTCTCCGGATCTGGGACAGCACGGTAAAGGGCTGCCCGAGATTCTCGACAATGGATACTTCCATCGGCGACCACACATTCTGGCCCTCGGAATACTCCTACTCGAGATTGGGCTCGGCCGGCCCATCACCCGCATTCTGTTTGACAAACTGCACACTGAAGTCCATACGGAGCTTGAGAATGGCTTCAAGTGCCGCTTCGGGGATTGGTTTCAGCTTTCGAATTTCGTGATCCACAGTGCCGTATCGCTGGACGTCGCGTCGGCTTGCCTTGATGCTCGCCGAACCTGACACCAAGTCGACGAACTTGGCCAGGATGTTGAATCCGACAGACCGCTCGACCTCGTTGAAGTGCTCATGCTTGGGCTCGACGAATCTGTCGTCCTCGGAGAGTTGGATGGCCGGCGTTCCGGGGTCGGCCGAGGGGAGGGGGGGAGGAACCAGGTCGGCATGTTTCTGATCTTTGATACGTCGTGAACTTGACGAAGTTGCGTACCTCCCAGCGCCCCAGGGATGCTTTGGCCTCGTCGTTATGAGCCCTTAGTCCCCGGCTTCCCCAGGCTGTGGCATGCATATCTCAGTCCAATCAATGATGAACATGTGGACAGCCCAGCATCGAGAAAGATGCTAACAGCCTCCAGCGTACCTCTAGTGCAGCCACTGTAAGACAACTCACCGACCTACGGGCCACTCCTACCTACAGGCTACATCTGTGCACCCGATTTCAATTGGCTAGATCGACTCTATTTGTTATGTGATATATTCAGCAGAGTGGTTTTATAGTCTTTACTGATATCAGACAATAAGGTAGGTAGCTTATTTGTTTTTTTTTTTTTTTTTGGCTCTACTCAATATCATCAGATAGATCAAAGCGATGCAGTATTCTCAAACAGCAGGGATAAACAGTAATCTACACCCAGCACGAGAAGAAACAGTAGCTGAACAAGAAGGCTTGTGTTCTTTATAGTCCCTCTACTGTTCAGAGCTTGCCCTCAAGCTCTCCGCCTTTCCAATGCTCTGAGGATCAAGATACGGGTGCTCTCCAATGCCCACAACCCGGTTGCCAAATCTATCGCCGTATCCTTCGTAGTCAAGTGTCGCGGAGTGGAAAACACTTCGGTTGTCCCAGATAGCTATCGTATAAAGTCAGCAACATGGCACCAATAGGGTTACATTCTCCAATGCTTACCGATATCGTTGGGGTTCTGCCACTTCAACCGCACTTGGATCGAGTGGTCCTTGGCAATCAGGTCGTAAAACCACGAGAGAAGATTGCTGCTCTCCTCTTTTGTCACGCCGTTGATATGTCCGACGTGGGCGCCGATCGGGAACACGCTCTTCCACCCCGTCACCGGGTTGGTACGCACCACGGGGTGCACCGCTTTGAGTACGTCGCCGATGTTATCTGGGGCGCCGCGTGGCTTGTCATACAGCTTGAAACCCTGACGAGCCGCGATCTGACCAAAGTGTGGCTGCGAAAAGGTTGCTGTCAGAGACTCCAAGAACTTCTGGTAAGCGGGACTAAGTCGGTCGTAGACATCGTATCCAGAGGCCCAGAGGGTATCTAATCAAAGAGGCAATTAGTCTTGCTGTCGAGCAGTGTTTGGGGCTATTGGAGGCATTAGTAGTGGAATGATTGACGTACCACCCCCAGTTTCAGGCAGCTCCACGAGACGAAGCGACGTGTAGTCCGCAGGCGAGGGCTCAAAAGCAATGTCCGAGTGCCAAATGTCCTCATCGGGCTTGGTGACGACGACACCATCGTCGCTTGTCTTTCGATAGAACTTTTTGTGTTGCTTAGAGCTAATCGTGCTGACCTCGAGGTCTTCACCACCCAAGTCTCGCTCTGAGTTGAGCAGTGGATGGATGTGAAGGGTAGAGGTCGAGGGTCGACCCGTCAGCTCCCCGAGCTTCAGAATAAGTTTCTTCTGGAGGTCATTGGTGAGATTCTCCTGGGCACGAAAGAAGACCACACCGCGTTGGGAGACTGTTGATGGTGGTTAGATGACTCAGTTGCTCATAACAATTGCGGATGAGGGGGTCGCCTCACTGGTGATGGCAAGATCACGGATCAATTCATCCGCATTCGGTGCATTGAGCCAGTCGACCAAGTTCGCCTTGGGAAACTCGCGTCCAATGGCGGGAGTAACATCGAACGACTCATAATCCTTCAGTGCTCCCGAAGGCTTGAGAGGCTCCCGGCTCTGAGTCTGGCCCTTTGAGTGGATGGGAATCTCGCTTTCGGTTGCAGAGGGTGCCATCTTGAGTACAGCTGGTGGACAAAGGTATAAGTGAGATGCAATTGAATGAGGCGAAGTTTATTTCGAAGCTGATGCAGTTCTAATGAATTCTTCAATTTCACGAGGTGGCCATGTTCTTATATATGCGCATCTTGCAACCCTTTGCACGCGGGGAAACGAGAAAGGGAGCAATCATGCTCCACACTCAACGTCAATCCGTATCGGCTTGACACCATTCACTTGGCGGAAGTCGGGATTGCGAGGCGAATTGCGACAACCGGCCACTCAGAGTCTGGGCGATTGATATGACGGCAGTGTGGTGCAGCATGTCGTGACCTAGTGCCTGAGCCAGTCTTAGTCCTTTATCCGGCGATGGCGCCATCGACGTCGAATCCAAAAACACCAATGGCCCTGACAAAGCATCCCGAGCCCCTCACCAAACTATAGATAACTCATCATCTTATCTGATGAGCCAATTAGCATCCGCCAGAGGAAAGCTAGATTGCGGGGGATGAAGAAACAGGAGTCATGTTAGCGCATGCAAGGTGCACCTCATTGATGATGCACTCCGTGCTTAGAAATTCAGTCCGAAAGATCGAGGTCACATGTGATGAAGGGTAGCTAACTGTGACACGATTGAGTCAGCCTGGCCAATTTAGACACTATTTGAAACGAAGGAGGCATAGTTTTTGGGATGTTTGGGAGGCATGACGATGAGTCCGACAAGCTTATTTCGAATGATATCATGGGGCAATATAATGGAGAAGGTTTTTTGGGGGCTTTTGTTTCCTCAACTTTGTTCAATATCATGCTAATTTCACCTTGTTTAAATGTTATCTATTGAACAAATCGGAGTCTAGAAAGGACAGATAGAAAGATGCCAGCCAGAATACCGTTAGCCTACTAGTCTCCATAAGTATAGAACAACGGTGAAAGACAAATAACAGCCATGAAACAGTGCAACAAATACTGCCCGCATTCAACCGTTGCCAATAGGGCTGGGGATCCTAGACATGCTTAGGTAGCACCTATAGTCAAAGGAAAATGAGGAGAGGTGGAAATGCCATTGACGGCAAATCCAAGGACGCCAAAAGGTTCCTGACCTTCGAGCAGTGGATCGATGCATACCTTTTACTTCGCCGAGAGCTTGTTACGAGTTTGTATTCTGGCAATAGTAAGCTTGCACTTGATAACTTTAACAATGCCCTAAATCCCACAGGTAGGTACGTGTAGGAAAACGCCAGCGTTCACAAAATATAGCAGCCTCGTTATTCATTTGCTACCCGCTTCTTACACATCCACTTCATACATATACCAACCCTATATATCATATACGATTAGATAAACATATTAATGTTGCTGATTTTTCTTGTGTGAACAGAGGGACAGAAATTCTACCTCGAGCATGCAGCTGCGGCTAATCAATAGGTGGCTCAAATTGTATCAGAACTGATCGTTTCTTCAGTGCTTGAAAATTGAGACGAGAAGCAGCGGGTATAGGCCCTGCTACTTAAGACTTGTCTAGGTAATAGCTCGGATCGTTTATGAAATCTTGCTTTTAAATTCTCGCTGCATAACCCTGCAAACTCTAGTCAGACAGCAATAGTGTAAATAGAGTCAGATATTGATACCGACCCTTAGATTTTGGAGCCACACAGTTGGTAGAATACTTGCGCTCATTTTAACCGCGATCATGGCGCTTGTATGCGAATACAGATCCGCTAGAGCGACGATGGATGAGAAAATCGCAGGGCTGCAATTGGACTGGATCGAATGTACATCCAAACAATTAAATAGACTTGCCCTGCTTGTGCTGCTCATAGGCAGTATATTTAAACTGGACTCGAAGCATAAAGTCTAGAATAGTAAAAAGAATATAGCTCAAGAAGGCAACATATTTTTACTCGAGGACAACAAACTATATTGCTCATTGTTGTTACGCTGTGAGGAGTACATACTCCTCCTATGGCCTCTACTTCTATGCTGTAGCAACAGAAAGGATTCACCAATGTAGTTTGCTGTTTACGCATATATGCATCCATGCCGTGAATGTCAGCGCTCGTTGAATTTCAGAGCTATTTAAACCATCCCCTTCTATCTAACCCCAATCTATGGTTCAAGGAGACTGCCGCTGTGGTAAATTATAGCCTTCAATTCATTCATTTGTTTTCTTGTCGCGCAGTGATAAACTTTCTCGGCTTGCTATCAATATAGTGCGCATAGATATGTTAATACTACCTCTTTTGGTGTTGGGTATAGTACTAATTATTTGCCTCTATTGATTGCAAAGACTGCATGGCTTTGATCGAATATGATCATGTCGAATAAAGCTAGAAAAAAAAAAGGTATGTTTAATAGGATATTGCGCGACAGGGAGTTGTTTTATGTTGCTCGATGTCTTTACAACTGAGCTCCGACTTCCTTTATAAGTCACAAATATCTTACAGAGCATTCCTTGAATAGAAGCACCTCTTACACGGATACCCCTTCCCGAAAGAATAAGAAATGAGTGGGCGGGTTCGACTACTGGAAGTAAATTGTGCAACCAACATTCTCACCACCACAAACTCAGAATCAGGTTATCGATAGTTGAGAGTCTCTTACTAAACTACCAAACCCGATGGCTTCCGCGCATGAAGCTTCTATTTCTTAATGCTCTTTCATCGCAAGCAATCGGGATCGAGCTGAATTATCCAAGGCTTTGTCATGTGTCGAGAAACCATGCATTGCCAGGCGTATACGTCCAACTTCACAACTCAACTGCCATCGAATGGAAGACTGTTCAACCCAACGGTTGCAAGGGATCCCATGCTACATCAGCCGTGCGTACCTGATATCGGATGTCTCTACCCCGTTTGTGCCCATCGAATACCTAGGAGACTAAGACACGAGGGAATAAGTTGGATAGCAGTCATAGCGACATCGAAGTTGAAATCGGTCTGTTGACTTGAGAAGGCAGGACAGACGAACCAACGGACCTGTGACTTCTGTTCATCTTATGCACGTTAACCCTGCACTTTGGACTCCGAGCTACCCGTATCCAACATTGCCCATCCACCCACACACAATCTTGTCCCTAGACGATGACTCCAAGCGACCAACACGTTCATTTCAAACCGGCAGTACCGAAACCTCACACCCCTGGACCCGCAATGACAAAAAGTCCACAGAGTTGCGCCCGCCAGGCCCCTTGCCGCGCATCTCATGTACAGTTACCGATGAAGCCATTCCGCGCCGTAAGCACGTGCTGCGGTGACCCCGGCGCGAGATACCCGTAAATGCGCCTTGGACAATGCAGCAATCCAGCCCACAGTCCCCGGCGGGACGATTGCGATTCCACCAATGTCTTGTTTCCAGAACCAGATCGTGCCCAGGGTTGCCTTCCTGGTTTGACGGCGTCGCGTACATCTAGGTGTGGGCGGAACAAACTGGGGTCTCAGATGCGGGCGGTCGGGTTCATGTCGGCGTGGATCGTGGCATAGCGTCATTCGAAGGCATTTTGACGAACGCTGGAAGCACCGAAAGAGCAATAGGCATGTCGATCACCTAAATCGGAACAATGAAGGTTAGGCTTCTAGATTGTGACTGCAGGTTTTGGTTCCTCATTCTGAAGGATTATGGTATCACCGCCCTCAGGGTGAGCACAGGTATCCAGCAGATTGTAATCGCAATCTAATCGCCTGCGCATTATTCAATAAACAAATCGGGACAGCGTCAGGCTATGAGCGCGTATTCTTGTCTTGATGTGTCAGTACCCACAGCAGCCACGCTAGTTCCTACGGCATCTTACTCTATCGTATTAATCTTCAACAAGAGGTTGGTATCCACTTACCTTCCATCAGACTTGCTCCTGTGCCAAGATGCGATTTGCGAAGTTGCTGGTGAATAACAGTCCTCATCGTCCCTGAACTAGCGCAATATCCTGAGCTTAAATAAGCATAAATAGTGGTGGCAAAAAGAACTCTAAACGGAAGTCTTAATCAAATAGTGATGATGAGCATTTAAGTTGCTTTACACACCTGGCAGGTTCCTACATATGTCGTCACAGAAACAGGCATTAAGAAGCAAGTGTAGTGAGATGCTCCTCAGAGCTCATCTATTAGAGATCGGATCGGGGTATCGACATCATATCGCCTAATAACAACTGGCGGTGGGCAACAACAAACTCGCCATCCAAACCAAATTAACAACATATCCACGGTGAGTCTACAAGACCCATTAACACCATCAACGCTCCCAACTTCAAAAACGGACAAATTAATGCTGCTTGGTCTCCGCGCTCATAATGGCAGCATCCAGGGCCTCCTGGAGATCGAGGTGGAAGTAAGGTCGGTTAAGACCTTGGATAGCGACGAGACGGGAGTTGGAGGTACCCTTGCTCAAGTCCTTGTCTGAACCCTGGGCGCTGATAGTATCCACAGCCTCAATATCCTGGCGCATAGAGAGACGACCGGCCTTCTCTCCGAGAGCGATGGCAGCGGAAGGGCTGTCGTCGCCACCGAGGTCTGCAATACTGAAGATAGCCTTCCACTGGCCAGCGGTCTCGCCGTCGCGGGGGGTTCGGAAGCCAAAGCCAGCGGCAGCCAAGGCCCTCTTGGTCCAGCGGTTCTCGATATTGGCGAAGTGCCAGTCAACGACCTCGGGAGAAGCGAATCTGTCGAGCTGGTTGCGGACATCGATCAAGCCTTGGATGGAGGTGACATCGACGTTGTTGACAGTGGAAAAGTCGAGAATGACAGCCTTGAGGATAGGTCGCCCATCGTCGGCGTTCTCCTTGATGTGACGGGGCTCGCCGTCGTTCCAGGGTCGGTCCTGTTTAGATTGTCAGTGATTGGTTCCCATGTCGGATATTAAGGTTTTACTTACACCAAGCTTGCCCAAGAGAGAAGGGTTGGTTCGTCGGCAGCTTGCGAAGACGGTCTCGGTCAGGTGGTTGAGGTATCGGGAAGCATTGGGGTAGTTGAAGCCCTCTGCGAAGCGATAGATAAAGACACCGGGGTAGGGGGTTCGGACAACGACCTTGGGGTTGGAGCCATCGCCGTGGTCGAGAGGCAGGAAGCCAGCACGCAGAGAAGTCTCGTTCTCATCGTCGAGAGGGACCTCCTTCGCAATGGTGTCGGGGCTGGATGTGCCATCGTTGAGGTTGGCCTTCATGGTGCGGATGCGGACAACACCGAGGAAGCGGCCCTGGGTCTGGAAAAGTCGGACGATGACAACAGCAAAGGAGATGCTGATGGTGGTGTAGATTCCGTTCTCGATGCTGGAGAAGATGGTAACGAGGACACCAGCGAAGAAGATGGGCACCTCAAGGGGAGAGACGCGCCAGAACTGGTAAATGACCTTGGGAGGGGTGATGACATCTCCGACAGCGTGGATGATGACAGCGGCGAGAGCTGCGTTGGGAATGTAGAAGAAGACAGCAGTCAGAGCGTAGAGAGCCAGCAGCACAACAATTCCGGTAATGACACCGGCGAAGGGAGTGCGGACACCAGCCTTGGCCTTGATGGCAGTTCGGGAGAAGGATCCAGTGGCGGGGTAGGCACCGAGGAAGGGACCGAGCAGGTTGGTGACGCCAATGGCGACGAGCTCCTGCGAAGGGTCGATGATGTAGTTGTTGACACGGCCGAAGGACTTGGAGATGGAGATGTGCTCAATCAGGACGACGATGACGGCGGCGGGAAGCTCCGAGATGAAGGACTTGATGATGCGGACGTTGATCTCGGGGGCGGCAGCGTGGGTGAAGCCACTGGGGACAGTCTCGATGATGCTGACCATGGGATCATCCTTGCGGTGGATGTTGATGCCAGCGCTGATTCCAGTGTACAGCAGGATGACGAAGGCGGTTCGCAGGGTGGAGATGAAGAAGTACAGCTTGGCGCGCTGCGGCTGGCGCTTGGCGAGGGTCGAGCAGATGGCGCGGATGCCGTAGAGCATGACCAGGGCGGTCAGGCCGAGGGCAGCGTCGATCTTGGTGGTGCCGAGGTTCTTGAGGGTGTGGATGATGACCTCGTACGTGGGAGCACGCGTGTTGACGCCCTTGATGCCCATGAGCTTGGGGACCTGGCCGGCGGCGATGGAGACGCCGGAGCCAGTCATGAAGGCGCAGATGGCGGGGAGCGGGATGAACTCGACGAGCCATCCAATGCGGGCGAGGCCGATGAAGGTGACAATGGCACCGATGATGACGGCGAGAGCAGAAGCAACGACGTGACCCTCAACGTCGGGGATCGACTCGGCCGAGGCCAAAACGATGTTGCCTGTGACCTGCGACATGACTGCAACGGGCTGCAAGATGTCAGCTGGGCTGCGCTAGGAGTGTGGGGGAGGAGGTTGCAACGTACACCAATAGTGATATCCTTGGACGTGGCAAAGAACCAATAGATGAGCACACCCATGAAGGATGTGTACAAGCCATATTCGACGGGGAGTTGGGCCAATTGGGCATAGGCCATGGACTGGGGAACCACGACGGCGCCAACGGTGATACCTGTGGAGCGGGGAGTTAGCGATTGTCCATTGTCGTCTTTTTTGCTTCAACTGCGGCCGACTTACCAGCAATCAGATCACCAAGGAACCAGATCCAGTTGTACTTGCCAATCCACGACAGGAAGGGGAACAGGCTGTAGAGGTACTCGGCAATGCCGTGGATGGTAGGGGTGAACTCCTCGAGGAACTCGCCGACGGTGGGCTCGCGCTCAATGAAGGGGTCGGCGTTGGTGATGGAGGGCGCGCGCTCCTCGGGCTCGATATGGTCGGCACCGAGGAACTTTTCCAGGGCGGACCTGGCCTTGTTGGGAGGAGCAGTCATTCTGTCCAGCGGAGAGCAGAGAGTATGACTAGACAATCAGCTGGGGGAGGGGAATTGGGACGAGGGCGTCGTATTTGAGGCTGAAATGTCGCGGGCGGCGGAGACACAAAGTGTACTCGGGCTGTCGCTCGGTCGGTCGGGGAGTGGCACACACTAGAACTGCTGCCAAGATGGACAAGCTGTCGCCAAGGCCACACCAAGAGAGGGGGAATTGGATAGCGGCAGAGAATAGCGCGCCAGCAAGAAGGCGGTCGAGGCCGGCTGGGGAGTGTATGTGTGAGACTTGTGACCCGTGGCTCTGGTCGTCCAGGCAAGGCAAGTCTGGTGAGAGAGTGCTTGCGGGTTGAAGATGGAAGGCTCTGGGACTGGAACTGGAACTGGGAAAGAAGAGCGGCGAGGACGGGGTATTAATTAAGTTTCCGTCGACTCGGGAGACCGCGTAGTGCGCGTGGCGATCCAGATGGCGAGATGCATGGAGTCGAGTCTGGGCTTGGCTGGCCGGCGGTGGTGGAGCAAGCCTACGCAGACACCACCACAACTTCCATGTTCACTCGCCCAGAACAAGGCTCTACTCAGTCTGCTCAGTCTACTGCGAGGACACTACCACCAAGATCCCAGGGGTCGGCTGATGACTGCGGATCGTCGAGGATCACACCCAGGCCACACCGGGGCGTCGGGAGCGGCAGGGATGATGCATGCCCTCGGGGAGTACTGGTACAAGCTGCATCCTCACAGGACCCGCGCGTACCGTAGGAGTCACCCACGGCCGGAGCGTCGCGCAGAGAAGGGAGCGAGAGTCGAGCCAGGCGAACCACGGCCCCCTGTCGCCTGCGCATCGCTCACGCTTATTGGCAGCCTGGGCGGGGAGTTGGGTTGGCGTGGGGGATTGGGGGATTGGGGCCAGAGCGACAACCGGGGCCCCTTCACGCTTCCAGATTGCGTGCTGGCCGGGATGCGAGCATGCCATCGTCGTCATTGCAGGATCCACAGGCTTGCGTCTTCTTTATTGAGCTCGCGGCGGGGTTGGGACCTGGAGCTGTAGCTGTAGCCATCGAGTTAGAGTGATTAAACAAACTCGGCGCCGTACGCGGCTGACCCGTGCTGCGATTATTCGGGATGATGGCGGTGGTGACTTTCTGGCGCAGGGGGGGAAAAAGGGAAAAAAGGATGACTGGACACACACACTGTGGCTTCGGCCGCCCATCCCCCCTCCCCCCCCCCCCCCCCCCCCCAAATCATCTCAGGATAGAGCAGATACACCGCGTTCTCGCCTGTTGGAGGAATTTTGCACGCACGACGAAGTCGTCGACGATGGCGCAATCGAGCCACGAGCCAATGGAACCGCCGCCGCGTCCATCCAAAGCGGGTTCCCCAAGGACGCTTGGATCCTCACGCGCACGCCCCAGGCCCGTTTCGGCTTGGTGGAGAACAGCCCTGGGGAGATGGGCGCGGCCTTACCGCGTCCACATGGGAGTTGGATGCACATGTGCGAACGAGGGAGCGGCCAGCGCAAGGGCATTTGTGATTACTGAGGGAGGGAGGGAAGAGGAATCATGGCAGTCATGGAACCCCGCTCCACCCCATATGGCACAATTCATTGGGGTTCGGTTGGGGTTTGGCTGGGGTCCGTCTCTCCATCTTTGGTGGGGTTCATCCTCGGTGGGATTGTGCACCTCTCTTCTCCTCTGCCAAGCGCTTGCTGCCTTCCTTTCCTGCTTGCTGGCTTGCTCACTGCGTCTGCAGTACCTACACCCGGTGGAGGAAACAAGGTCGCCCATCTGCCAAAAGGAGGCAGCAAATTCCCTTCGTTCGGCTGGATCCAGCACCAGTGCCCATCACCATTCACCTCAAAATGGCATCATCACGAGCTAGCTCCCGTGCCAATCTGCACCAATCACATCCCCCAAGCTTTCCATTTGTCTTCGCTACGGGCTTGGTTAGCCCTTACTTACTCCGTAGTAGGCTTTCGTCCAGCGTCGGGCACTAGGACTCAGGTGTCCAGCGTTCGACCTGGCCGGCCCCACTCTCCCCGGAGCGGTAACCGTCTTCTCTCGCCAACTGTCAACAGCCAGCTGCCAGCTGCCAGCTGCCAACTGCTAAACCGTCCTCACCACTGACAACGTGCCGAAAGTCACCACCCCTGTCTGTGTATCTGGACCAAAAGAGATGCAAACACTTCCGCCATTTCCACCCCCATCCCACGCTTCATCACCCCCTCTCCGCCTGCAGCAAGTACCTCGTACGTACCCAACCGGCTCGTCGCGCCCAACGGGCAACCCAGCGTGGGCGTTACGTGGGGAATGTGGTCATGCCCATGTGTTTGATGACCACCACAAACGTGATGCCAATACTTTGTCTCTGTCTCGCCCAGGTTGCTCTCCACCGGAGCCAAGACAACGGCCCCTGGAACATGGCAGCTCCCGATGCAGCGAACACACAAATCTGCCCTTTGTCTTGTCCCGCTAACGGTTTCGAGATGGGGAATCACCAAACCGTCTCTGGCAGTTCTCCAGGCCTGGCGGTCCTCTCCCAGGAGTAGACGCTGCAACAGTCTGGGCTCGCCCCGCAGTCTCGGGAAGCCAGTACTAAGCGGTACAGACCACGCATGAAGTAAATCAGCTCGCTCTATGCATTCTCAAACTCACGAGACTCGTAAACCGTACTAGCGATTTCTTTTTCCATCTCAACCTGCCATCTATTCGGCCCAGCCGCACTGGCTTGGCGCCTCTCGAGGCCTAGGCCTTGTCTGTGTGCTGCGTTATGAGTCCGTCTCATGAAGCCAGCTCTGACGCAATAGACCCTGATATATTGCTACATTTCTAGCGCGCCTTTGGCTGGCTCTTTACTGCACTTTGCTCCGAATCACGAAAAACTCTTCGCAATCATGCCAGAATCTAATCACCCGCCAAGGGCCGTCCCATCCGGCCATCACTCCCACGGGCCATCGCCATGCTCGTTTGGAACGTCGGTGGTTTCCCCGTCTTGGACTTACGAAATGGAAATAGAGACTGCTGCACCTTGGAGTCGCAGCCGCCGGTCAGACCCGGAGCACGTCATTGGAGCCGTTCGTCTCATCCTTGCACGCTGAGTTGGCGCAGGGCGGCCAGCGGGGAGTATCCTCGCTTGCCGTCTCCTCTTTGAATCCTCCTGCATTGTAGATGGGGCTGTCCCATGCATCGGACCGTCGGCGCTCGTCCGACGTTCCAGCCTGCCACTGAGAGATTAACTGATCGAGAGGCCTCGCCGGTGCCACCGACCCCACGCATCGTGAGATCGCTTCCTTCACCTTCGGCCTAGGCGGCCTCGATTCGAGGCCATCTCCAAAGCTCCACAGGGCCTCGGCCTGACAGCGTCTCAACCCGGGTGGACATTGAGTTCGTATTGTTGGTTCCGCCCGACAGGCATTGGGAGTGAAAGCAATTAGCCAGTCAGAATCCCAACGTTGATCCTGCTATGACGAGACTTGATGATATGTTGACGAATCTGCGACAGCTTCCTGACAACTTTGAACTTCTCAGCTCGTGATGCATATCGCTTTGTGACACCACCGATAGATCAGCTTCGGTGAGGGGCCCCGGCCTAGCGTCCCAGTCTGCGCAGGCTGATGGTGGCAGCCCACGGAAATCATGCCAAGCGGCGTGCCGATCTGCCCAGGTTCACCCCTCCATCACCAAGAGATTTAGTCATGGCCAAGTCCTGGGGGAGACTGCATATCGCGGCAGTTTGGGTCTAGGCTCCCGGCGCCAGCTCCATGGATCTCCTGCCTGCATCACCGAGTACTGGTACATCTGCGTGCCCAGCCGGGATGGCACCCCCTTTACAGCCCCTAGACATGCGACCACCCGGCCGTACAGTCCCGGGGCGACGGTAATGACCGGTCGCCACCTGCAGAAAGCACGCCTTCAGCCGTCTGGGCGGTCTTGGTGAATCAAGAGGCTCTTCGTGGCGTTCTGCGGCCAAGCTTCGATCGCTTGGCAACACACCCTACTCGGCTTCCGGCACGGATCCTAGCCTCGCGAGGCCATCGACGACATTGATGCATGGGTTTTTGCCTCCGTGATGAGTTCGCCCCCATCCTAACTCTCGGTAATGGGGTCCACCGCCGACGTTCCTGAGAACCTTACCCCCATGCCCGCATGTCTAGCACCGAGGCCATTGGGTCGCAAGCACGCTCTTTTATGAGGACATGCTTCCGCCACGCCCCCATTGGTGAGATCAGCTGCAGGGAGGCCAGGCGAGATGGCCAAGGGCCTGCTCTTTGTCGGGGATACTTCCCTGGACTCAGAGTCTGGAATTGCGCGAGGCAGTGGAATATTGGTCTAGACGATGGCGTCGAAAGCCATGATAATGATGACAGCCTCGCGAGCAAGAATCACGTCGACGCGGTGCAGCTCTGCCGTGGATCTAGATCTGCCGCTGCGTCTAGTAGTTGCCACCCTGCGTGCCGATATCCCGAGATGTCTGGGCATCCAAGCCCGACGCAGACGCAGCCGGGAATGGGTATCCCATCGCGTGCTCTCCGCTCGAGACCCTGCAGGCCGATTATTTGAAATTATGCTCAGATTTTGGCTTTCAATTAAGCTTACCAATGACCCACCCGTCGAACCAGCATTGTGTATGATTTCTGGTATCCATCCTGGGTGTTGCGCGGGTCTGGCGTGGTGTTGAGGATACAGGCCAACACCAGACGTCGTCGAAATGGGGTGCGCTGAGGCTGTAAATGCATAAAAAGGGTTGCATTGGGTTTTCCAGGGTCCAGTGGATGGGATGGAGCCGGCCCATCTTTCACGCGCGAGTTTGGACGTTTTCGGGGAGTTCACGGGGAGCTGCAACTCGTGGTCGGGGAGTTGGTGCGCAGCAGCGTCGGGGAGTTTAGAAACGTACCGCCAACAGAGGTCCACCGAATACGCTCAACCACCGTGTCGGAGAGGTGGATGAACGATCGAGTTCAGGCAGAAATGAATAGAATCAATTGATCGAATTTACCAGGCCTCTCCAAGATGGGCTATGGACCCAGATTCATCGGATGCCTGACGACGCGCCCATCTCCATGCCTCAGCTCATGCTCTGGGTGCCAGACGATCCTAACAAACGCATCCACTCTCCCCTGAATTCCACACATCAATATCGTTTATTCATCATTGCACCAGTAGAGGTCCAGCCCATGACAATCCCTCGCACCAGCCTTGCGGCGAAGAACCGATACCTCGATTGCCGCGTTGGTTTCCTCGCGGAGAGATGACGCGGCTCGGGGAGTTCACCGCCAAAAGCACCCACTCGCCGCGCGTCGTAATTGAGCCGATAGCACGGAGGTGAGTCGTCACGGTAGACGTAAAGCTCATCTTGGGAGAAGAGATGCGTGGGTCGAGATTGCGACGAGCGCAGACGCAATCTGGTATTTTTGGAGCTGGAATCGAGCAAGGGTGGGATTGGGTTATGCCAACATGTGCTCTTGTGTCCGCCATGGCTCTAGGGTAGCATTTTCGTTCACAGAGTCATCATTACTAGAGTAAGACTGTATTGTGCGGGCGTGTCCCTTACTGCAACTGTATTTCAACCTTTATTAAGTTCAGTCAAAGTGATTCTATATGTCTCTCGTACGGTATCAACGAGATTCGATTGGGATGCGCGTCGAACTTATGCCTCCCAAATACTTTAAGATCATGTCAAAATCCCATGCAGGCCAATTTAGCAGACAAATTCCAACTTCACCAGGTCACTGCGTCTAGGGAGAGATCCTATTAGATGCCATATTGTGGACGTGACTCGTTTTACGGACTCTGATACACCGTGAAGGCTAGTGGAAGTGTGCACCTCAACCACACCCAAGTCACATTCTTCGGTGAGTGAGTCACAACGAAATAACTTGACTTGCTCGAGCGCACTGCAGCTTATATTCGCGCCTCAGTAATAACATAATTCTTCTCCTCTAAACATTTCCAATCCCCTTTCTCCTCATTTAACCCAGCGCATTCAAGATGGCAGCCTCCACGTTTAATCTGGAGCAGACAACTATCAGCTCCATCAGGTCTCTGCCTCCCGACACTTACCTCATCCATGCCACAAACTGCATCGCAGAATGGGGAGCCGGTATCGCAGCTGAGCTTGCTCTCGTTTTCCCAGCCGCATACACAGAGTACAAGAGATTTTGCATTGCCGCCAAGACCGAAGCATCAGCACCGTGGCCACCACAAACTCTCGGTGGGCGATGCCTCATTATCCCCCCACAACACGCAGATGTAGCGGCTGGTGCCCCGCGCATCCACATTGTCTGTGTCTTCACAAGCTATGGCTACGGACGACCGAATAATAAAACTGGGAAGCCGGGGAAGGACAACATTGGCAAGATTTTGGTTCAGACGTTGAGCTCCCTCAAGGAGCTAAGAGTGCAGCTGGAGGCAAAAGTGGCGGAGGCAGGAAAGAACCAGGACGAAAATTCGGAGAGTGATATTGTAATCTACTCACCAATGTTCAATTCGGGCGCTTTTCAGGTGCCGTGGGAGAAAACAACAGCTTTGATTGACAAGGCTTTCACAGGCTGGGGTGGCCGTTGGCTGGTTATGGAACCACCATTGAAATGAGAAGTATTGAGGATGAGTTGACTTACCATTGTAAGAACTTAGATGCCATGGAAATCAGTATTCGAGACTCAAGAAAGAGAACATAGGGTAGGTGTGTCTACAGCATATGTATATTGCAGCTCTGGCTACCCCCAATAGCATTCCAGACAGTTATATTAACATGAAATCGACTTCTAATTTAGCAATGGTGGTGCGTAGCAGCCAAGATTTATTGGGGCAGTCAATTCGTATTGATAGCTAAGGAGCAAATTGCATATCCAAGGGAGCTTTGGGGGTGTTATACTGAGCTTGATCACTTGTCTGAGTGATGGTGGTTCACAATGCTCACTGATGGAGTGGGGTCGTAGGTGAGCGCTCCTCATATCTGCTAACGCGAATACATGTCGGTCCGCTCACGCTCACCACTACTGCACAGCATCGAAACAATTACCGAGAATATCACCCTTGGCCAAAAAAGATGCAAAGGATAGCCGGCGAGTCTGAAATTTTGAAGATCTTCTCGGGATTCCTGTAGATCCAGTGTTGCACTTGCCCGATCATCTTGACACATGAATTTTAGATGCAAACTAACCGGATTCTAGATCAAAAGTTTTCAAATGCTCCTCCTCCAGCTGCCCTGTAAGAGACATTGTCGTATTCTTTTCAGGACTTCCTACTATAAGTGTATAAGTGTCTGTGCAAATTGGCCCTGTTGTATTAAAAAGAACAGGTGAAATAGCCTTTCTTTCGGAAGAAATTACTGACGGGCACATCGGTGGCCCAAATCCAGGATACATGAGATTCGGCTGGGGCAGCGTTAAGACACAGTGGGCTTCGCGCCCGCGACCACATTCAAGGCGGCCGGCGACCACCATCAAGGTGACCGGCGATCATTTTTTGGTGACCGGCGACCATTATTAAGGCGGCCCGGCGACTTTCGACCACAGGCTCGAAGCTTAGGGTGCCGAAACATCCGGTCCACTAGCATCGGACATCACTTTCTCCGTTAGTCGGAGTCGACCGGGTGTTAGACCGCCCGCGTTCAAGCGGCGTCCCAATTTACGCCTCAATGTAATGCAGCAGCGACATGGGTCATCCACATCAGGACACCTTTTTTGCCGCTTTAGCTAGATAGAGACACACAAAATCAACAGCCTCTACAAGACGGAAATGGATTATGGCGGGGGGTGAGTTCTGTCTTCGAGTCAAGTGACAATTGTGATATATCATGTCTCAGTCATATTTGGCAAAACATCATCCAGAGACTGCACGGTGCGGGATGCAGTCCCAACTGTCAGAAGGAAGGAAGGGGTGGTACTCAACGTCGACTGGGAAGAATAAAATAATAAAGAGGGACTTGCATATTACGTCCCGGTGATTTTGGGAATGTCGAAAGGAAATGCAGCGACGAGGGCGGCTGCGACAGCCGTAGTAAGGGAACTCAATGGCGCAAATGGTTTACTGGCTCGGAAGGGAAAAAGCATGTCTTCTCAATTGGTTGGCAGAATGCATGCCTTAAGTACAGGCTAGCTAGTCGCTAGGGATCCTGGACTTCATTAAAACACCAAACGCAAGCCGGTACTATCACCCATATTCTAAATAAATCGAAACATGCTGCAGAAAGCCGGATCATGAGCCTTAGGCTCCAGTCTCAACCGCCGTTAATTAGCATCACCAAGTTCCACAACCCTTCAAGATACCCTCACAATGTGACTGCGAGAGATTATTTCTTCAGTCGCAGAGCAAGATATGCCAGAAGCCTATACCCGCAAATAATGCCAATCATGATCCCAATCCATGTTCCTTCAAGACCTGTCTCAATCTTAAACGACTTTAAGACATCCGTACCTCGAATCTTCCCTTCAGCGTTCAAATCACCAACATACATGCACTGGTAGCCGCCATTCGCGCTCTGGGGGCAAGTATACGTCCGAGCCTTAAACTCGTTGACCATCATGCCTTGAAAGACGTATGCCTGATAATCGATGTAATGGAAAACATATTTCCAAAACGGGTTGAGGATGTTCATCGGCACAAGGAATCCATCGACAGCCATCCAGAGCCCATTTGCGAATGCCGTGATAGCCAGTGCGACGACGAAGATTGGGAAAATACTGGATACCAGCACAACAAGGGATTCGGCCGCCAGAAGGTCAAGAAAGAGCCAAAGGACCCACAGCATAAAGGCTGACCCGTCGGCACGGAAGTTGGAGAGCCAGTATTCGATAACAGAAAAGATGACTGTGATGAGAAAAAGGAACGGCAGACCGATGAGAAAGTTGGACACCATAAACGCCAAGGGCCCAACAAGGCCGTTTGCGCGCTCACGCTGGAACGTATGAAGATCCTCGAGGAAGGAGGGAACATAAGCGACGGCCATGAAAGACATGAAGGCGCCTCCGAAAAAGATTGCGTTGATGAATGGCTGGATGTACTCCTGTGACGATTTCAATCGAAGGAATACCGTTCCCATCAGGACGGCAAGGCCGAAATACATGATGACTCGGATCTCATAGGCGACGATATCGCGATAAGCCTTGATCCAGGAGCGGTGCAAGAGGGTCAGGGGGACCATCCACGCGCTTGCCTTGGGTATTTTGAGCTTCGCCAGGTCAGTCCCGGATGGCGTGGTTGCTACCCTCTCTATCTCCTCATCCAGAGCACGGCGTTCCTGGGTGCTCTTCCATGTCTTAATAATATGCTGCGTCCTCTCTATCACCTCGCCGTTTTTGTCGAGATCGATGTTGATGAGGTCGAGGAAGAACTCGGCCGGATTGGTAGCGGGTGGCATGTGATATCCGATTCGGTGGAAGTAATCGGGCGCGTCGTTGATGGCCCCGAAATAACACGTCTCGCCCACGGACAAGAGTGCCAATTTGTCGAACAGTTGATAGGTAATCGTAGACGGTTGGTGGATAGAGGAGATGACGATGAGCTAAGGGGGACCCGGTCAGTCTGGGATTATTGGTGAACAAGTTAGGACTCATGGAACTCACATTATTCCTCTTGGCGATATCTTTGATGTATCTAATCACTTCTGCACTCAGAGCTGAGTCCAGACCACTCGTAGGCTCATCCAAGAAGAGAATTCTCGGGTCAGTGACGAGGCGGCTCGCTATACCAAGGCGCTTCTTCTGGCCGCCACTGAGACCTTTCTTGATGGGAGTTCCAACAATGGTATGGGCCTGTCCCTGTAACCCAAAGCTGGCAATTAGGTCGTCGACCCGGCGGATGGCATCTTTTCTCGAGACATTGCTACATTTTGTTAGTTTAGTCTTGGAAAACCCAGAGCGGAATCTTGCCTTGGAAGTGCCAGCCGAGCAGCGAACATCATCGTCTCTTTTACGGTGATGCTGCCAATCAGCGCATCCTCTTGCTCCACATAAGCAGAGAGGTCTCGGGTGATGGCCATGTTAGCTGTTTGCCCGTTCGTCATGATTTGGCCGGTGGTGTCTGCTCCAGCAGCAGCGACTCGATGCGCGAGGGTGTTGAGCAACGTTGTCTTGCCAGAGCCGCTTGGGCCCATGATGGCCAGCATCTCACCGGCGTGCACCAAGCCAGCGCCCTCGGACAGAATGTTCTTAGGTTTCCCAGTGTTTCTGTCCTTGACGACAACCTGCATCTGCCGCCACGAGAAGTTGTCGACGATGCTGTTGATAAGGTGTGCCGTAGGCACGTCGTTGAGCTCGATGTCTGTGTTGGAATCCATGTCGATTGCCATTGATTAGGGTCGCTTGCTTGGTGTGAGTTTGGAGTGAATTATTAAGACCGTAGGTCGAACGAAAGGGACAGCCAGAGTAGATCTGTTCTTGAGTTGCGTAGGGGACCGAGAAGTCAAGACCTTGTGGGAAAGAGTCGATATTTTAAATACTGCAATACATACACAGACCTTTGATGAGACAAGCTTCACCACCACTAATTCTACAAGTGCTGTAGAATATTAAAGTTCATGACCACAGAGGTTTTGCTGTAAGTGACGTAAGGCCACCAGTCTGTAGTCGCCGAGGTGGAAGACGCTAAATATTGGTACTAGTATAGAAAGGTGACAGGATTTGCCAAGTAGTCCAACAGGCCGAAAGATGGTCGCCGACCAGGGCCTCTGGATTGTTAGCCTTCGGTCACTGTACACCGGCCATTAATTCTTTCGGGGTGATTTCCCCTACTGTCACGGCTTAGCCATCTTGATGACTTTAAGTAAGAACTCGTTTGGACAGAATAAATGTAGCTTCCGTATGCGTCACCTACTAGCTATTGCTGCACACAAGTTTGCTCGCTTATTATATAGATGAATGGGCAAGCTATTTGCATGCCGTGTAAACCAGGCCTAAGAATTATCGAAACAGCCAAGGTGTAGCAATATGGAAAACACTTAGAAGGAATCAAGGGCTCGTATGCAGTGAACGAAGCCTAAATCCGCAGCCGGCTCTGGTCGGCGACCACATCTGCCGGTATCAAGCTGTCTGACAAACCCCAGCCCCTTTCCCACCGCCCCATGTGCCGAGGGTCCGAAGATCCGAGGATCCGGAGAAGATACAACTAGCGCTGCCATTACAGTGTTTGCTCTGACTAATCTGTTCAATAACTGAGACAGACAATAAATGAGGACTGCTAACGTCTCTTGACTAGCCCATACTTTTATTCCCCGCTGCACGTTCCCTACGTGTCGCTGGAAGACGTTGTATCCCCGGGGTCGATCATTTCACCTCGGCGACCAGGGATCGGTGACCTTGGGTCGATCACGGCGAAATCTCTTCAAGTATAAAATTTAAATGTCTGCATATGTTTTATTATTCAAAATACGGACTTTGCGTGTCAGATCTTATCTTTTCGATAACTTAAGAACATACATTTACTTTTACCATCCCTTTCCATTCACCACATGGTCTTTAATAACCGCACCACCATGACAAACAAGCCCCACAGGAGGGTTCAGAAGGCATGCGAGAGGTGTAGAATGAAAAAGACAAAGGTAGGTGGCCTAATCAGTAAATCCTACAACTCTATGCGTGGATTTTATGGATGCAACTAGTGCGATGGCGAGATTCCTTGCAAAAGGTGCAAAGACGACGAACGGATATGCACAGTCAGCGTTAAGAGGACCATTCCATGTAAACAGACGCCTAGAGGGTAGGTAATATGCCTCGTACTGCTCTCGTGTGAGGTCACTAACACGTCGCGCGCAGATACGCCGAGGTCCTGGAGCACACCCAGTACATCCTGATAGCAACCGTTTACAAGCTGTACGGCATGGTTAGGAACTCAGAGCCTTGGGAGGTGGATGAGCCCCAACTCAATGACCGGGGTCAGCCCGTCGTCCAACACATTGCGCAGATGCTGGGCTGCGTTGGACCCAATAACGATGTTGATCTCCCTACCCACTCCGTCTTCCCCGAAGATGCGATGGGCATGGAGGGGCTTTGCCGCGAGCTGGAGGAACAGGAGCGATACGAAACGGGGTCGACACTAAGTCATGAAAGAGGCACGAAATCACCTTGCAATGGCCTCGACGAAACTGCCTTACGGGAGCCAGACGATTCGGGCGTCGGGCAGGACTCCTGCGGGATCGCCTTTGCCACTGAGACTGCCATGGACCTGCCGCCTCAGTACTTCAGCACGACTAGTGACGACCTGAAGTTTGATAGCGCTGCGTCCCCCAACATGAACTGGAATGCACCGTTTCCCGACATTGCCCCCAAACCCTTCGCCTGGTCTATACCCGACACCAAGCACGGCGACCTGAGAATGGGCTACCTTCAAAAGGCCGATACAATGCAGAACATGGACACAATCGATCAGGGTCTTGTGAACTTCGGGGTTGATGCGATGGAGTTGCACATCTTGTCGTACAGTTCAGAGGCGAGGCATCGAGGAATCCCAGGATGTCTACGATTACTACAGTCAGGTGGAACTAACAATGGCGGGTATTAGCGATACGAAGGGTGCGATAAATGACGGTGATTACCCAAGTCTATATGTACAATTAATAAATGGCTGTTTCTCTTTTATACACTCCCATCTACCTCGTTGTCAGCATGTGGAAAGACCATTCTAATAGAGCGCTATTTGTCGAGCGGAAGACAAGATTCCTGGCTCCTGCTGGACTGGCAGCTAGTCATCTCCCGAGCTTTGATCCTCCTATTGTGCCAAGACTTGCGCAGGTTGTGGCTGAAACCTGGTCTCGAGGCCACGCCGAGATGCATTCTGCCGCTCCGTCTGAGCGATACGTGTGCGCATCGTATCTAAGGACTCTATGGAATATGCTGTATCTTCGTGGGGCGGTGGGAACATGGATAATGGATGACGGATGGAAGGAACTTCAGGACAAGGAAGAGTCCCAGGCATCTGTTTTAGGCTGCATTTATTAGTCCAGCTACGTAATGGTAGGGGTCATGGGTGTTGGTAAAAGAGCCACTCTAGCCGTCAAAAACAATGCTGGTTTAGAGTTATTGACTTGACCGGGGATTCCTCGTCGGAAGGGAACGGGCCTTTCGGTCACGTCGTTAGCTTGTCAAAAAAGCCAATTTGAAAAGTATAAAGAGATTAATCTCGCAATGGCTAAGGTATGTCGACAGGCTGGGCCGGCCCAAACGCAGGGCTTCGCTGCGTAGTCGCAATTGTTGCATCTGCCGCGTTGGTGCTGCCTGGAATATGATATTCCAGCGATGATAATATCGAAAGTGAGCTCAACGCGATTAATAACTTGAGCGATTCGCCGACCGCGTTGTTTGTCTTGTCTCTGGCAGCGAATGCCAATACCGCACTTCCGAGTCGGCCAAGGAGAACGACGCTAGAAAAGGCCAGGAACCAGCATGATGCAGATCATTACAAGTCTGTTCCGGCATCAACGGCACAATCCTAGGAAATACGCCCGTCGAGCCGGAGGGTTTTGATAGGAGGATCGTTTTAGGGTTTTTCATTTGCGAGCAGATTTTCCCCATTTGAGCCCCTCTCTTCCTTGAATGCTCCGTACCTGCAGCCAAGTGCCGGGAGTGCATCTGAAGTTTTCATTCCCTATACCGGGGCATGGTTGGTCACCCCATTAAATCGTGTTGCGTGGGATTGTACCTGGACCCTGCAGGACCAATAGCTTGCCTAGGAAGCCTTGAATGCGAACACCTTATTAGCCTTTCGAAGCCCGTCGAACACACGGAGGGCATTCGGAAATGAAAGCACCGTCAGATCACTGACGAAGTCCGCGGGCTTGGCACCGACCTGCGCCCTACAGATAGGGGCAATTCGTGTTAGTGAACTCAAACTAAATTAAACCACGGGATTATTACCAACATCTCCGACCTCTTTCTGGTCGTTCATCTTCGCTTCATATAAATCCATCGCCGGAGTTGATGTTTTCCTAAGCTTGGTTCTTACGTCCATACTCTTGCTCTTACTGGCATTCTTTTACTTGCCGTTTTTGGTTCCGTCTGGGTATGTGCTGCCAAATATATCCATCTAATATATCGATCGTTACCACATTGGAACTTCCTTTCCGCGAAGAATCACCTACGGACTGGTGATCTAAGCATCATGGGTCCCAGAAATATCATTGTTGGCGCTTTGCTTTGTGCGGTTGGAGTCCAGGCAGCTATCCCCAAGATTCATGGGTTCAGACTTACTTGGGCTGATGACTTCAACGGGTACCTTAACACCCTACCCGATGAAAAGAACTGGATTATCGATACCGGCACTAGCTATCCGGGTGGCCCTCCGGCTTGGGGTACCTGGGAAATCCAGACGTATACGAATAGCACCGAGAATGTCCGTGTGAATGGCAAGGGTGATCTTCTGATAACCGCCCTGCGAAACTCTTCTGGATCATGGACGTCTTCACGGATCGAGACTCAGCGGACGGACTTTATGGCACTGCCGGGAGGGAAAATGCGAATCCAGGCTGATCTGAAGATTCCCGACGTGGGCAGCAACGGCCTCGGGTACTGGGCTGCCTTTTGGACTCTCGGCAGCGAGTTTCGCGGCGACTACTGGTACAACAATCCATCTTAATTCAACCTAGACGTAGTTCTAACGACTGAGTGATCTAGGAACTGGCCCTCTATTGGAGAGTATGATATCATGGAGAACGTCAACACCCTTGACCGGGTCTGGGGCGTGCTACATTGCGACAAAAACCCCGGCGGCGCTTGCGATGAATCCAACGGCATCGGAAACAGCCGACCATGCCCCGGCAGTTCTTGCGCAGGGAACTTCCACACCTACGCCATTGAGGTCGACAGGACGGGGTATCCTGAGACGCTGAGCTGGTTTGTTGATGGGGAGCAGTTTCACCAAGTCAACGAAACGCAATTGCCGGAAACCGTTTGGAAGAAAACGGTGCACCACCCTCATTTCATTCTCCTCAACTTGGCCATGGGCGGTGGCTTCCCGAACGGCGTTAATGGTGGTCCGACGCCAACCAACAGCACTGTTTCAGGAGGCACGTACGAGATCGGATATGTTGCTGTATATAACTCAATCGGCCATCGCCATTATCACGGCAATGCTGCTCTTGACATTCATCTAGGCGCCTGAGAAAGGGATATTTTTGGAGGCCGGAGGGCTTCGCGGGATTGGAGCGGTCATAGTTACAGTAGTATATGGCTTACCTGGCCACGCGGCTACTGGCGTCTTTCTTTTTCTTTGTCTCTCCTTCCTGTCTTCTCTTCTTTAATTCAAATTTATTCCGACCCGTCCCACGACTCCGCTTCCCTAATCGTCAGCTTGACCCGTCTCTGTACTGTATTCCCCACGAAGACATCTCTCGCGCCTTGGACAGGACCATAATGCCGTCTAGCGGCCTACACCGCAACAGCTAGATGCACAGGCTATAATTTAGGGGCTGCACGGCCTCGGAACCGCGTGGCTGTAAATATTTGTAGTTCTGGTCCCCTGCAGCTCCACGCTATTACACGCCCAGCTACCCAAATACACATCGTGAGAGTAGCTGTCACGCCCAGCCAGGTCAGGGCCCGGCGAATCTGGGCACTGGAAGCAGCGAGACTGTCAAAAATGAGGGTACATTTTGGCCAGTTATAAACTTTGGCTCAGGAGAATGGCCTTCGGGGAGCTGATGATGGACTTCGGTGGGGATGCCCAAATGTATAGTATTGACATTTGCCGGCGTATTCAGTTGCCTCTTGGAGCGATCCTTCAAACTCAACCACCTTCCAGTAGCCTAAAACATTCCTAACACTCGATCAGATGGTTTAAACTATGGTTATGAGTCTGAGGATCAAGCTGTGACATGATGTACTTCGTAGTGACTAGCTCCCAAAGGTGACTCTTACGAACCAACGACTGGGATGATTGCGCGATACAGACTGACGAGGGTGTTCTCATCCCCACTCAGAATTAGGAATCACATTGTGCTAACCGAAATTTAGCCTTGTCCGATTACGGTCGGGTCCTTCTGATATAATGACTCAATAAGTCAATGGTGTTAACTTCGTCATCGCAAACTTCATCTTCAATTAAATTTGATCGAGAATCAAACCCAAAATGCCGAGCAACATTTTTACCTACCGTGCTGTTCCAGATGGGCTGCTGCAACTTGTCACGAGCCACCTGCCATTCTCGTTGCCCCTTCTAAGACGACTGCAATATACATCGTTCAAGCACGGGCTAACCCCGACATCGAGAATCATATTGGTTTCCGACACTGGGGAGATTGGTGATGAGCTTCCTCCACCGACAAGATTTACCGTGGCTTATGTCGATGTTGGCAGCGATCACAACACTCAAATGTGGCTGTACTCGACGCTCGAGGATCAGAAGGAATTGAGTGCAGATGATGACTTATTTTATGAACAGCAACTCAGGGGACTTGTAGATGAAATAATCTTCATTGACAAGGAATATGGTGGCAAGCTAGCGCATTCCAATGCCGTGCTAATTGGAACTCTCAACTCGAGCGTTCGCGCGATTTTGGAGAGGACCGGACGAGTCATCGGGAGAAAATCTGGAATCTACGACAAGTGGCTCTTCAGGGTCGAGGACGTTCCAGAAAATCATTCACCACTCCCCGACGGGATGCATTGGGCCACTGCCACATTGGATGACTGCAAGGTTGCCATCTCGCGCTCGGATATTCCACGGACAGCGTGAGAAGGCCCGAAAATACTTGAACTGGCAGGTTTACTAATTGGCGTTGAATAAAGAGAATCGCTATCTTTGCTTCCAAGCTCGATGATCAAACTCGAGGATGGGACGCCAATCGCGTGGGCGTTTCTCAGTAGGTTTCCCCGAAACTAGCAAATGTCGACTTGCTAACTTGACTGCAGGCCCGGATGGATCGCTGGCCAGCCTTCATTGTGAAGTTTGTTGCCCTCTCTCTTCACCGATTCTTGAACTAAGAAACGATATTAGGAACCATACCGGCGGCGAGGCTTGGCCAAGACATTGGCCGCGAAGCTTTTCCGAGAGAGGACTTATGATTACGGTAATGACGGATGGTGCTCCGCTGACGTGTCGCCGGACAACGACGGCAGCCGCGGGATGTGCATGCGTCTGAATGGAAAGCCATACTGGACTTTGTCGTGGTGAGTCACAAAAAACCTACCGAGATAGGATCTCAATTGACGTCATGTTAGGGTTCTCTTGGTTGTGAGAGCTGCAGTGGAGGGAGAAACAGAGGGAAGACGATAAATGAGACTTTGACTAGAGATATGCAATTCAGGTTTCCGTAACTTGGATCCTCTACAATGCGGTGTGTTCCATGTGGATCTTAGATCTTTCTGCTGGGCAATGGGTCAGAACAATCGAGATATCAACTTCATCGATGAGGCCACCGCCAGATAGGGAGAAACTACATCGTCATCGGTAGATCTTAATCAGCAGATTTAGTAATATCTTATGACCTGGCACGGTTGGGATTTTATAATGATGGGTAAACCAGCTTCGTACGTGAACAAGGCCATGATCGCGTGGAGATATTCTGTAGACGAAATCGTCGAGTGACCCGGTTTCAGATGTTACAGCACCGTAATTCCTCGCATTTGCCGCAACGATTCACCCATGAATTCCTGGCCTAAATAGTAGTTCCGACTAGGAACGGTCTCGGACATAGGCTCAGGGTCAGATGCAAACAGGCTTCGGCTCTATAAAACGCTCCTGGAGTGGTTCCAGACAATGACTCAGATTTGACTCTGGATTCAACAAAATGTCTTAAAGTAGCAGCAAGCGGGAATTGAGCAAAAGTACGGAAGATTAAAACAATTGTTCTGATAAGAATCTCTAAGTAATATATAAAACTTCATGGTATCTTATGAAAAAGTTCTGTCCAGGTCTTGTCCGCGACTTCGAAGATCGGCGATGCGGCCCGTGGTCGAGGGGAAATGTACTTCGCAACCACCGCGTCTCGAGGGTCAGTAAGCATTGGGGGGAGTTGGGAAACGAGAAATAAACGAACTGGGAAAGTCTCAGTCTCGACGTAGTCAATCTCTTAAATCCCCAATGCGACAAGAGACAAATAATCCCCTCGGCGTATTCTCCAGTCTCTCGGCTTCCGGATTGATGCGCCAGGCTAGGCGACACACCTTATTAGGGATCAGCCACGCGCAAACCCTCGAGCCACCAAATGTGCGCCGCCGTTTCCGTTTTCATCGAGAGCTTCGGTTAAGTATAGGGTTAGGGGGCTTGCAACTCAAAACCACAGCCCAGCCCATCCCATCATGCGTTTTCAGTTTCAGCCTGATTCGCCATTTCCCTCCTCCATCAACCACCAGTCCTCACAATGAACCCGAAAACGCCAGTCGCGTTTGCGAGCTTGCCTCCAGAAATCATCAACGAAATATGCTCGACGTTGCCCACCTCCCCGCTTCTAAACCTCCGGCTCGTTAATCGCCAACTCGGAGCCATCGCGACGTCCTGGGCATTTCGCCACGTGCGACTGGGAGCACGACAAGGATGCTACGACCATCAACATTTCGTCTGGATCGCCCAGTCAGAAAAATTGCGCCCTCTGGTGCGGGAAATCACCTGCGATACCTGGCTCGGACACACTGCCAAACACAGCAGTCGATTCGCCTTCAACCACCCCGCCGAGTTCTTGAATTCACTACCACTAATACGATGCTTCCACAACCTGGAAAGTCTGCATTTGCGCTTCAGTGAGCACACTAAACACGACCACATGGATGCCATGGATACAGAGACCGACAATTTCAGATACAGGGTACTTGATACTGCGTTCAACTGCCTGGCTGGGACCTGGTCTGCCGAAAGTCAGCTAGAGATGGATGAAAACGTGCTGCCGTATTCGTTCGAAGCCGACTATGAGACGGCGCCCGCTTCGGTCGCCGACTTAGGGCCGCTTGCTATCAAGGAATTGACAGTTTCCAACCTAGCTGATTTCCATGATGAGCGCTTCACAGAGTCGGAAGTGTTCAAGAAGGTCATTTCGATGAGCAGCCTGAAGGATTTGAAGTTATCTATTACACTGCAAGAAGTCGAGAAAGACCACGATGATGACTATGAACCACCGGACGCCCTCTGGTTCCGCGAAAAATATGTCATGTTTGAGAATTTACCTCGCACTTGGCTGTTCCCATCAGTTGCTGGGAATCTCAGGGTTCTATCCTTGTACTCTCGAGATTATTGGGGATGGAACCCGAAGATGGATTTTCGAGCTGTCCGCCCCGGTAATGGCCCGGATTCCGGATTTCCTAATCTGAAAGTCCTGGCTCTGGGAAAGTACATCTTCAGCCATGATTGGCAAGTTGAGTGGATCGAATCCCTCGGTCAAATGAACACATCTGGTGGTCTTGAAGAGCTCTACCTAGACAGATGCCCTATTCTGGTCCAAGCCCGACACGATGCACCTGCCGACCACGGCACCACGGTCGTTGGCAGAGATTCGGACGGTAATAGCGTCGAAGTTTCCAACGATGGCTACTACCAGATGGACGCCATGCTCGACGATGATATGTTTGAACCTGAATTGACGTATGAAGATTACCCTCTCAGGTGGCACCACATCTTCCCACGCTGGCGTGAGTCGATGAAATCCCTAAGAGTCTTCAAAATGGGCCATAGCTCATGGAATTCTGCGCCGGAGCAGACCATGGATGCTTGGTGCAACGAAGACACGGTTCAAGAGCGAGACCGTGAGGATCTAGCGACCATATTGCATCATAATAACTTTCGCTCCTTCGACTCCCCATCGCCACCTCAAAACAAAAGAGATAAGGTCACGACGGGGCTGGAGAAGTACAGGCACGGCACCGGAATAAATCAACACCCCAGGCATCAGGCGGCGTACATCTACTTTGACATCGATGTTGCACCGACGCAATGGTGTGAGGTGTATTGGCCTTGGTGTGCATATTCCTGGCAGCCGCGGCTGGATAATGAGGTCCGCGAGAAGGATAAAGCGGAATTGGCCCTTTTCTTAGACGAGGTTCAAGGCAGACAGATGGGGTCTAGAGACTCGTGATGGGTTGCGACCCGCTGGTGGTCCGGTTAATGAGGTGGGCCCAAAGAAGGGTGCTGAGGAGAATGGAGTAGGCGTTCCGGCACATGGCGAGCCAGGATTAATTTTCCTTGAACAGGCTAAATGCACATAAGATTTCATATACTTCAGATCATCTGGCTCAGCTTCCAACTACACCTGATGTCATAATCTAAGTTTTGTCTCGCCCATCTCATGCAGATTGTATGGACAGCTACAGCACTCTGATGGATTATACTCACCCAGACGTCAATTCAACTTGTAATCAAAAGTCAGTACCCAGATGATTTACAAGACCTGGGTAAATGGGTTTCTTGATCATGTCACATAAACGGCTGGTTTTCTCGACATGGTCGGAAGAATACCCTTGCCCAAAGCCAAGACATACTATTCCCCTCTCACGCCAGAATGGCACGTCGCATAAATGTGGAAGATTCCAAGATCAATGCGTGGCACCAAGGGAGAGGATTCTCGGCAGTCAGGCCCGAAATAAACTTGCGGTGGTCACCAGATGCCCCTGCCACTCTCCTTCAGGAGATCGGTAGACCGGAGCCATCGCCTGACTGCCCTATCGGGGTGTCGGATGATGGCTGCCGAGGGGCCATTTGTGCGTGGAATATAGGTTCGGTAGCGTTTCCGGGCCGCCAAGGCGTTGTGTAAACGGATGGAAAAACCGTGGGGCAGCGCTCCTTCATTTGCGACTTGTCCGGTGGCTCGATGGAGATTGCGGGTGGCTCCAAAAAAGTACGCGGAGCTGTTTCAGGCCTGTTTCCGTCTGCTCCGTCAGATCCATGCACCAGCGGACCAACTACCCCGTCCGGGATGTTTCCCCGCAAGTTTGTCTCGATATCAGCTGGATTTCTATTAAGCTTCGGGGGTTTGAGAATCATATGTAAAGGGTCCGCTTCGTCTGCTTCTTTCGTGTGGAAACTGAAACCAGCTCAGTCAAACATTGTTTATTCTTTCGTCCATCTTCCTTCCTTTCTTATCGAACATCATGGTTGGCTTCAATTCACTTCTCTCAGGGCTTGCCCTCGTTGCCGGAGTCTTGTCTGCCCCCGGCTCCATTCAGAAGAGGTCTACCCCCAGCAGCACGGGTACGAACAACGGGTATGGGCTGTCTCGAATCACCTCTTCGCATATTGAAGCTAAATTATAACCCAGATTCTACTACTCCTGGTGGACAGATGGCGGTTCAGACGTGACCTACACCAACGGCGCCGGCGGCCAGTACAGCGTGGAATGGAAGACGGGAGGCAACTTTGTTGGTGGCAAGGGATGGAACCCCGGTAGCCGTCGGTAAGTGCCCGTGTCTCGTTACTAAATCACAATGGCAAAATACTGATCCATTTCCAGAGCCGTCGAGTACTCTGGTACTTACAGCCCCAATGGCAACAGCTACCTCGCGCTCTACGGCTGGACCACAAGCCCTCTCATCGAATACTACGTCGTCGAGTCCTACGGAACCTACAACCCATCGACCGGCGCCACCAAGATCGGCGAGGTGACCAGCGACGGCGGCACGTACGACATTTACCAGACCACCCGTACCAACGCGCCATCCATCGAGGGCACCGCGACCTTCCAGCAGTACTGGTCGGTCCGCCGAACCAAGCGCGTCGGAGGCACCATCACGACCGGCAACCACTTCGACGCGTGGGCTGCTGCTGGCCTGAAGCTCGGCACCTTCAACTACATGATCATGGCTACCGAGGGGTACTTCAGCAGCGGATCTGCGAGCATCACTGTTGGAGGATCGTCGGGTTCTAGTGGCGGGTCGAGCAGCAGCAGCAGCAGCATCATCAGCAGCAGCACCACGACCAAGGCCGCCGCTACTAGCACCGGCTCCAGCTCCACCGTAAGTCTTGCCTTTTATCCTCTCTCTACAACGAATTTAGATCCCCAAGCTAACCATTGAAATCAGTGCGCTGCTAAATGGGGACAATGCGGCGGATCGGGCTGGACTGGAGCGACCTGCTGCGTGTCTGGGTCGACTTGCACCTCGACAAACCAGTGGTACTCTCAGTGCCTGTAAGGGCACAGCAAAGGCCAAATGATGGAGGTTTTCTTGTACATATAAAACGCTGCCAGAGTTGAGCTCTGTGCTGAAGAACATACTTGAGCTCTGTACCGAAGAACATATTTGATGTCCCACCTGGGACCTGCTCTATCTCTTTGTCCCCAGTAAGATCGGCTCCGTGCAGTAACACAGTGTCGAATGCCGCTGCCTGGAGATTTCGCACCGTTAGTGATGTGCTAGGCTGAGATATGTAGACCCACAACTGCTCTGAAATCCTTGGCTGAATACAGTGCGCATTCTATCCAGCCTTCACAAACCCTTCGTTTGAAGACTCACCGTCACGATAGCATCAAATCTCTCCAACGCAACAACCACCATTCTTCAGCCATCATGGACACGAGACCGCCATCTCCGCCCGACCACAGAAATCCTCTCTCTCTTCCCTTCTAAACCCTGTCGGTCATTCCTCTCCAGCTGGCAGCCTTTGTTTTCACACCGTGAGCGCGTTCGCGACGCCGATTCACAATGTCCACGTTCAACGGGATCGTGTCCGAGTTTCCAGACATCAGAAGTCGGTCCAGGCACTGAAATGAAATGCGCATGAGCTAAATATTATCAGTTGACTTCTTCCGACAACGCGATGATGCCCAACCTCCCCTAGCTTGCTTCTTGAGCCATGTCCACAGTGATCACCTGGCTGGCCTGGAGACTCTGCGATCGCCCTTGTACGTGTCGCATTTTATCTTTTCCATAATCCCTAACATTTTTCAAGTGTTTACTGCTCTGCAGCTACTAGGGAGATCCTCCTCCGACTAGAAAGGTACCCTTGCCGAGTCAACTACGCCAAGGGCATCCTGGAAGCATCAAAGCAAACCTACAAGCACCTTTCCAAGGTCCTGGTATGTGGGTCGCCTTAATCTAGTCGTGAAATTTGCTTACTCTCTGACAGAAACCATTACCATTGGATACGCCTACCACGATCGAGCTCCGTCCCGGTTGTCACATCCAAGTGACATTATTTGATGCCAATCACTGCCCTGGAGCGGTCATGTTCTGTGAGGCCAGTCCCACCTCACCGCCTACATATACTAACCAACTGGCCCAAAGTGCTTGAAGGCAATGGTAAAGCCGTCCTTTACACTGGCGACATTCGAAGCGAGCCGTGGTTTGTCAACACCATAGCACGAAGCCCCATTCTCGTCGAATATACCTCGGGCATCAAAACCCTGGATAAAATCTACCTCGATACGTCCTTCCTCGATGACATTCCCTTCCAGACAAAAGCGGAAGGAATCGCGGAGCTCCTCCGAAAGGTTGCTCGATACCCCGACGACACCGTGTTCCATTTCCAAGCTTGGACTTACGGGTATGAAGACGTCTGGGTTGCTTTATCCAAGGCCCTAAAGTCACCAGTAAGCCACCTTCGTCCCTTCTTGAGTTTCAGTTCCTTGACCAGTCAAAGATCCATGTCGATGACTACAAGCTTCGCATCTACGGCTCTCTGAAGACGCGTCCATCGGAAGCTCGGTTCAGCAGCGACTACCACTTGACACCAGAATCCCCAGCGCTTACAGGGTACATGTGCGGCAACGCTTCGCATCCCGGATGCTTGACCGCGGATAAGGCCGTTCGCCTTCACAGTTGTGAGAAAGGCAACATGTGCGAGGTTGCTCGGGATCCATCCACTGTCATCATCCAGCCTGTCATCGCCCGTATAGCAAATGGAGAGACTTTGGTTGAAGTTGGCGTTGGTGGCGGTGGGGATGACCTGCAACGAGAGGCAGAGTTAGATTTCTTGGATCAACTCGACCTCAACGCTCTACTAGACCTGTTTGTTTCCCAAAACTCTTCTTCGTTGGTTCATGGGTCACTGACTGCAAGTAGGCTCTGGTCGTCTGATGGCCTGTCAGCAGAGGCGCGCGAAAGTCTTAAGGAGGCTTTAACACGGGCAACTTTAACAGGTCGAAACATTCATCTCAACCAAGGCATTGCCTCCCTTGATGGCGAGCATTCAGTGCAAGAAGCTATCATCAATGCTATCAAAAAAATTTCCGCCACTTCCCAGCCAGTCATGGAAGAAGATCAGTCGGAGCAAATCCCCCTACCTAAGATCATTCAATTTCCCTACTCAAGGCACTCATCCTATCCTGAGCTTTGTCAACTAGTGAAGGTGTTTCGGCCGAAAGATGTTTGGCCGTGCACGGTAAATCCTACAGAGTGGCTCAAAGAGGGTAAATCATCACATTCATCAGCAAGCGCGGCACTAATACCAGGATTCAGGAATCAGCATCACGTCACTCTTTGGACAATTTTGTTCAGGAAATGAGTTTGCCCACGAAATCGAGATGCAAGAGTTTGCAGAGAGACATGGTCCAATCAATCATGCTAAGAGCCAAACTACGACCGATTCGCTACCAAAAACTCCACCTCCCATGATTTATCGAATTCCAGATAATGCTTCAGGCTCCCATGGAGCTCATTCCTCCCCGCATTCTCTCCCCGACCCTGAAACACTTGTCAGCCCTCTGACAGTTACCCAACCCCGGGCTGAGCTCGAAGGAATTCAAGACGAGGATGAGGTTGAGCTGGCAGCCAACTCCTCCTTCAATCCATCCTCTGTACACAAGCGATCTTTTGACACATTTGCGGGTGAGAACTTGGTGGACTTTGGGTTGGACCAGGTTGCCCCATCTCAGGCTACGGAATCTTTCAGTTCGACAATATCGGTCCGAGATTCCACGGCTCGTTGGCACGCGTACTATCAAATGCTCGACAATGTAACTACGGACACCTGGAACCCGATTGAACTGATATCGACGAGCGACGAGCATACGGTCATGGATCAGGAACTTTGACAGGTCAGCATTCCGATCTCGCTTCCATTCTTTATCCGAAAGGGCCTGGGAGTCCTTGTTGAAATATAAGACCCTAACAGGCTCTTAGGTACTAACCTTTTTTATTTTATCAGTCCTAACCAATATGAGTGGCCGGAACAAGCTATGTACCTTAGAGCCAGTGGTGCGACTCGGCTAGTTTCTGTTTTGGCCATTGAAAAAGCTCCAGAAATTTGGTTTGCCCAATCAAATGGACCTCGATATCCTCTATCAGCTGCTTTGACCAGCCTTTCGTGTACCAGTGATTCCTTTCTAGTGTGGAAAGGAAGAGGGAATAATACGCCAAGATGAGGAGCGCATGTGGTCTATATGCGGCAATGTCCATGATGATGCTATCGTGTATGCCATATATCCAGGCTATAACCGCTCCGCATTCGACATAGGGGCCGGCGCGTGCAATAAGCTTGGCATTTTCTTCCAATTTGTCAACGAGTTTGAGATAATGCTCCAAGCTAGTGGAAGGTAGGTCGGTCTTGTAGAAATCGTGAAGTCTCCCAATCGCATCCCAGGTATCTAGAGGCAGAAGGGAGTTTTCAAGAGATGGAATACTAAATGGATTCGTCAGAAAGCGCATCTGTCGTCTTGGCAGCAGGAACACTTACTTGTCTACTGGACCGACGCCCTCGATGGGCCAAACTCCATAGACGATGGGTGCAAATTCGGATCTCAAAACGCCAGGCAAAAGCGGTGAGAGGTTCGTCTTTATGCCTCTGATGAGAGTACCAAGCTCTAGCCAGTTCTGTATGGGAGCTTCCAATCTCCCACCTTCAGAGCGGATAGGGAGAGCGAACACGAAGAAAATGACAATGGATGCAAAGCAGAAGATTGGCACTGTAGTTTCCGGGCAGACGTTCTGCAAGGCCGAACGGAAGCCTTCTGAGCCCACGGTTTGATGGTAGTCGGACATTGCCAAATATTTCTTGCGGCCGTTGGGAAGAAGATAGGCCTTGTGGGTTGCAGAGATGGCGAGGATGCCATGCATGACGAATGGGTACCGATAGCCCTCCTTGGGCATAACAACTCTCCATACATGACGCATCTCGCGCTGAGTAGACAAGGCTTCGGCGGTCACAGTGCAGTAGTGGTGCATGAGCTCAAAGTCATTGCTCCAGAGCTCGTGGGGCGGAAACGGTGCAATCTGTTCTGCGACGGTGGCCATGGCGGCCGAGGCATGGTCGCTTGGAGGTGTGAAATCATTCTCATCGCTGGAACTGGGAGTCGGAGGAAGAATATTCGGCTGCAGCGAATGAGAAGCGAGGCGGTTGGTATCAGGGGGGTCGATAATGGTACCAGAGAGACTGCACGGCACGTCTTGTCGCTTGCAATTGAAACATGTTGGATAGGCCTCGTCGCACTTTGAAGGATCGTCAGCTACCATCAAGGTCTCTTCTAGATCCCGCAGCCTCGCCCCAGCCAAATCAGGCAATGACACCTTGCGGAACGCCATTATAGGCGCAGAAGACAATCTCGTACCTTGACTTTTCGGCGCTTGCAGTTGGAGCAGCCCGACCGGGACTTGGTGTGCGTACGTCGGGGCGGCATGTTGGGCGACTCCGGGTCCGCGGGTTCGGACAGGAACAAGACGGAAAGGCCAGGGGAGGTATGGTACAAATGAATATGAGCGAAGGGAGACGGGAGCGGATGGATATTGGCAGCGGGCACAGTCGTAATCCTTCCTCCAGGAGGTTATGATGCGAGGACAGAATACGAAGCCGAACCCGAACCCTCGGAAACGACACTCGGAACGCGGCTTCGGACCGGCTAGGCCAACTCGGGACGCAGATGGAACCATGAATCCCTGTCGGCCACGCTCAAAACTGGGGAACTGAGGCTTAGCCACGATGCCAAGTCCCCAGTCGACGCTCCTGTCAGCTGTCGGAGTCTTCGATTGACCCGCCGCCACGAGCCTGCGGTGCTGTGAGAGCGCTTAATTGGAAAGGTGGATGGGCTGCGGTGGCTAAGGCATGCGAGATGATTGCTGGAGATGCGAGATACGAGAGTTGACGCGCAATCGAATCCTGCGTCTTTCCCTGATAAAAGACTCGTCTCCCCACTGCATCTGGTAGATCTCAAAAACAGATCAGGCTTAATTTCCTCGACACGACCCACATCTCTCAAGTCGATTTCTTCTCTCCTGTCTCTTTTGCTTGAGGGCTCGAGGAAGTTCTCCTTGGCAGTACACGGGTCCAGCAATTCGTTCGACGACGAGCCTATCCTTCAGCGCTAAAAACCACCATGGATAAGTGCAATCCCGACTACAAAGATGCGCAATGGGCATATTATCGCTTCGAGCCGTCGGTCGCTGTCAACGTCCTCTTCATTGTACTGTTCGGCATCTCGAGCCTTCTGCACGGGTTCCAGATATGGAAGACAAAGACGTGGTATCTCTCAGCCCTCGTTGCAGGCGGTGTCGGTATGTTCTGCGATCCACCACAACCATTTGGCCAAGTTGGAGTTGCTGACTTGACGGTGTGCCCTGAAAATAGCTGAATTTATCGGATACATCGGCCGACTGATGGGCGCCATGGAAGACCCAGGATGCTGGACCATGGGGCCGTACATTATGCAGAACCTGTTGATCTTGATCGCGCCGGCGTTCATGGCCGCCTCCATTTACATGATCCTGGGTCGTATCATCGAGCTTACTGAAGGCGAGCAATACTCTCTGGTCAGGAAACAATGGCTCACCAAGCTTTTTGTCATGGGCGACGTGACGTCTCTGCTCTTCCAGTCAGCAGGTCAGTACCTATTTCCCCTTGGATTGGAGCTGGAACACTGAGCTAACCTGTCTGACCTCTTCCAGGTGGCGGTATGATGGCCGTCGCCAGCCTCAACAAAACCGGAGAGAAAGTCATCGTCGGCGGCCTCTTCGTGCAGCTCATCTTCTTCGGCGGCTTCATCATCGTCGCCGCCGTCTTCCACCGGCGCATGGCGGCCGCCCCGACGGCGCGAGCCTCGGAGCCGTACGTGCGATGGAAGCAGTACCTGACGACGCTGTACGTCACCGGCGTGCTGATCCTGATCCGAAGCATCTTCCGCGTCGTCGAGTTCATCCAGGGCAACCACGGCGCGCTGATGCGCAGCGAGGCGTACGTGTTTGTGTTTGACGGGCTGTTGATGCTGATCGTGCTGGTGTGGATGAACTGGTTCCACCCCAGCGAGATTGGCCTGCTGCTGCGCGGAGACGAGCCCGTCAAGAACGGGTTGGAGCTGGTCAAGGTTGGACTCGGTGGGAGGCGCCGCTCGCAGACGATGGAGAGTCTGTCTTCGGCAAATGGGGCCTTCGTGACGCCGACGCGAAATGCCGAGCCATAAGGGCCTTTGTTTAGATGGCATTCATAAAGATGTTGGTGATCTTTATTGGTGATGTGGGTGAATTTCTTTACGGAGTTAGTTTCATGTATTTTTAAATAGAAAAGAAAATAGACCCAAGGATAGAACAAATTATTTCAACCCTTACAGCTAATGTCTTATAAACAAGACTCCGTGATTACCTCTTCACCTTGCTTAATACGGCCCTGAATAGAATGCAGTACTTCTAAATACTATTTCACTGCCCCTTAAGCGTGGAACAATTGGGAACCGTATCTTGAAATGGCCGTGGTAGACTTGAACATCTGAGTAACAGAGCCCAGCTATCCAAACCTTGACAAGAAGTTACTTTTCTTGGGGGTCCTAGCCGTGAGTATTTCTTTCAGATTTATTTCACAGTAGGGTCATGGTGAAGTAACAGTAGCTATACGTTTCTCATTATACTAATATTGTTCAGGAAGATGTTGACAGTTCTCTCGAAATCATCGTTGCCAGGCCAAGAACCTTCTCCTCCTCCAGGCGTCTACAAACTACCTGAACACCTACCGGAGCGCCGTGGTAGAGCTCGGCATCATCTGTGACCAAGTATTAGATAAATATACTCAACATGGAACCATCTGCAGGTAGCAGGCGAGACGAAACAGGACTTACAGCTTCTCCACACCCGCTCGTCAAGGTCGTTGAGTGGGACATATTCCGTATTAAAGACATCAACATCTTTGTTGGAAGCTGTGACTGGAATCACTACAGCAGAGTAGTCGAGCGCATTTGTGAATGTGGTGTAACCTGAACATGGTCAGTACCGAACATACGCACTTTTCTCAGGTCAATCATGGGCAAGTTACCGTAATAGTCATATTTTCCAGGTATTGCTGCCGCAAAGGGCGCCACCGGAGTGATCAAGGCTACCACAGGCTTATCTGTCCCCGTCAGTCGGGACGTGGAGTTCCAGTATTCCATGTATTCTTTCTGGTAAGCGCGCTTTGCCACATTCGTCGCTGCGATGTGAGATGCTGTCTTTTCGGCACTTGGTTCCCGGCCATAAGTCCGAGCAATTTGGTCTGAAATAGGCTCACCCGAAAGCGAGAAAGCCTTGTGCACATCGTGACCCCCATCAAACGTCCAAATGTCGTCCTGAGCTGAGTTAGTCACGTACTTCCCAGAAGAATGGACCATGACGGATTTCTTACCACTATGTCGGCTCCGCGTTTGTGAGAGGGTGGCTTCCACTCGATAACCTTATGATTCAACCTCTTGAGGGCATCAACAACCAAGTTCAGCGCACGGGAAACCGGTGGATGAACTGAAACCTGACCGTCGTTCAGGAGGAGCCCAAATGCCATTGGCCTGTCGCTGTTGAGAGCTTGCTGAAAAACTGGCTCTCGCCACGGTAACTCCAATGCCAGCGGATCATGAAGCCATGGCTTTGTGCCAAGCACTGCTTGGACAAAGATCTTGAGCGATTCAACCGTCGTAGCCAGGGGGCCAACAACACTCAACAATGAACTCTGGCCATCCATGCTATTCGCCATCCCTTCGTACGGGATCCTTCCGCTCGAAGGTTTCAATCCGCAAAGGCCATTGAAAGCCGAAGGAATTCGAATGCTGCCTCCAATGTCTGTCCCGACCCCTAGGGGGCTTCCACGGAGTGCGATTAGAGCTCCTTCTCCACCGGAGCTGCCCCCTGACGACAGCAGCCTGTTCTTTGGATTCGGCGTGTATCCGATGATGTTGTTGATCGTTTCGCCAACCATGAGTGTATGGGGGACACTCGTTTTGCAGTACAACAGAGCCCCAAGTTCTCTCAGTTCACGCACAAGTTCGCTTTCGTGAACTTTCTCCTTGCCTGTGCCTTCCTTCCCCTCAAATGTTCCGATCCAGCCGACATAGCCCATGGTTGTTTCCACGCCTTTGACATGCAGCTGGTCTTTGAGACTGATAGGGAGACCATGTAGAGGGCCTACAGGCTTCCCAGTCTTGAGGAAGATATCGTCAAGCCTTTGAGCATCATTCAAGGCAGCTTCGAAGAAGATCTCGTGCAGGCAATTGGTCTGATCGCTACCATAGTTAGGAATGGGCTCTCACAGAAAGATGCAGATAGCTTTTATAAAGAGCAACATGGTGGTGAGGGATTTCTGGTACTGACCATTTGATGGGCAAGCGCCGCTCGATGGCAAAAGGCCTCAAGCACCTTGCGTGATGTCCACTTTCCGGCATGGACATGTCGTAGTATCACCGATGCTTCAGCTTCGGTATACTCAACTTCCGATTCAGATAGAAATTGACGGATGTATTCATCTGTCACATCTCTCTGCACTTGAGGCGATGGTAAAGCAACAGGGAGGACCCATTCTGGTGGGATGAGACTGTTGACAGACTCTCGCTTTCTTGTGGCTGCCGATTGCCAAGTTGACATCTCTTCAGTAGGTGCCGAAGACATTTTGATTTGTGTGAGAACTGTCGGCCATGGGCAAAAGTGCCACGTCGGGCTCATTTAAGAACAAAAGTTGGGGTCGTCTCATGCATGGTTGGTTCACCCAATGAGTAAGCAAATACTCCGAGTTGTTCGGGGTTACTCCGATACATTTCTCACATGCATGAAATACTCCAAGTACATCTCGTGTACTCCAAAGTGCTCCAACTTATAGGAAGTGGTGTGGGAAGTCCGCTCCAGGTGGGTTTGAGGTGCGTAATCGATGAATTGAAGGTTGTCGGCAAACGAGCCCGGAACTACTCCAATCTTCAAGGTTCCAATCACTCCCAATACATATCAAAGCCCCCAATAGCTCGCTCTAATCATTTTAGATAGCTAGGCCTTGAATCCTCCAAGTCACCCCAACCATGTAGATATCGGAAGCCTCCAAGAGATCTGCCCTGGTCGAGCCGTTTTCGATCAAACCCCTGCAATCACTCCAGACAGAACGTATCACAAGCCTCCGATCTATCTACCCCGCCCTAATCAATTCTGGAACCCCAGGCTCGACTTTGAAGCCTCCAAATCATGCCAACTATCTGAAGGCCTCGTAAGGTTGCAATGTTACATCACCCCAATTCGAGCGGAGTCGAGCTTCACTCTGCCTTATCTGCTTATGGGCGGGGGTAACACTTCGGGCTCGTTTATCTCTTGATGGAGATTGATGCAAGATAGATATAATGTCACATTTCCTCTGAGAGCTACGATGCCGATTTTCCATTCTTTCCATCCTTGTCTCCACCAGACGTAGAACTGAAGTTTCTCGGCAACATTTCATCTTGTCAGGATTTATTACATCATGGCCTCTACCGCAAGTGGTCTCGAAATCCTCTCGCAAGGGATAGGATATGGCATCATTGTTGGTATCGGCGGCTTCTTTGCCATTTTCATGTAAGATCGCATCCCCTCTGGGCTCTCTCGATCGCTTGACCACACTTTGATTGAATCAAATAATCTAACGATTAAAAGGCTTATCCTCACGTACTTTCAAAATCGGTACACGGCGCTTTCTACGCACAATGCAGAAGAATTCAACACGGCGTCTCGATCAGTCAAACCTGGGTTGATTGCCACCGGAATCGTGTCTTCTTGGACATGGTCTGCGACTCTCTTGACCTCGTCGACATTCGCCTACAGCTATGGTATATCCGGTGGCATGTGGTACGCCGCCAATGGTACACTGCAGATCCTCTTGTTCGGCCTGATTGCCATCAAGATTAAGGCGCACGCCCCGGGAGCCCATACATTCCCCGAGATAGTCCTTAGTCGACATGGACGTTTTGCTCATCTGACCTATTGGTTCTTCGGCATAGCTACCAACATGCTGGTCGGGTCTTGCCTGGTTCTTGGGGGGGCCCAAGTCGTCACTGCATTGTCCGGTGTAAATGTATATGCTGCTTGTTGGATCATCCCTTTCGTGGTAGCCGCTTACGTCGTTTCCGGTGGACTGAGGAGTACTTTCATTGCCGACTACACCCATACAGTCATTCTGTACGTGGCCATTATCGTTTTTGCTTTTACAGTCTATCTGCCTAGCGGGCCGCTCGGTGGCCTGGATCGATTCTATGACCTCCTTGTCGAGGCATCGGAGAAGACGCCTGTTGAAAGGAATCATGAAGGGTCTTATCTGACTTTCCATTCCGTTGACGGGTTGATCTTTGCTTGGAGTAAGTCTCGCTGGAAGAAAGGCGAACTAGATCTGACCTTTTGCTTTAGACCTATTGATTGCTGGTTTCGCCAATGTTTGGCTTGATCAAGCCTACTGGCAGCGTGCGATCGCCTCTCAGCCACACACGTCAGTCAAGGCATACATCGCAGGTGGCATCGCCTGGTACGGGATTCCATTTGGCTTTGCAACTGCCATGGGTCTCGGCTGCGTGGCTCTGACTGCTGATCCGTCCTTTCCAACCTACCCCAACCCACTGAGCGCTGCTCAAAATGGCGCTGGCCTGAGTGCACCTGCGGCGGCTATCACTCTCCTCGGAAAAGGAGGTGCTGGGCTGATGTTGCTGCTCCTGTTCATGGCCGTCACCTCTGCGACGAGCGCGGAACTGATCGCGGCCAGTTCACTATTGACGTTTGATATATACAAGGCGTATATCCGGCCTCGGGCGTCCAGTACTGAACTAGTCAAGATCTCCCACGGTGGCATTCTCCTATATGCGGCCCTTTTAGCCGGGTATGTCGATCAAAATCACCATTGTCCTTGAACCAATCACTAACACAAACTAGGTTTTGCTGCATTTTGAATGCCGTGTCCATCGACCTCACATGGATTCTCACAGTCCTTGGTGTTATTGTCGGTGGCGGTGTCTTTCCAATTGCCTTGATTCTCCTCTGGCGCCGAATGTCCTGGGTGGCGACTGTAGTCTCCCCTTGGGCCGGTCTCGCCTGCGGGCTGACCGCTTGGTTCGTCGTTACCAAAAGACGAAGCGGGAATATCAACGTCCACACCTCGGGAGAACCTCTGAATGCCCTCGCTGGTAACATCACGTCAGTCATGACTGGATTGCTGCTTGCTATTGTGCTTAGCCTTCTGTTCCCCACCAAATACTCCAGTTCTGATCCAGAAGCCATCGCCCGCGATGCTAAAATCAAGGGCATAATCGTCTCTGACGGCGAGAGTGTTGATGCTGGTGGTTCGACGGTCCAGCCTGGACTTCTGACTGAAAAACCAGCTGCACTGGCCACGAACAAGTCAAATGGAAGAAATGTTGACCATCCAGACATCGGTCAACTTGAATCTCAACCCACTGGCGACAAAGCTGCTCCTCAAACCGACACAGCAGTGGACAATATCGCGTCAAACCAACTTGGCAGTCCCTTCATCGAGCCAATGAACGCCGAAGAAGTGAGGAAGGCCACACGGCTCGCTGTCACTGTGAACGGAGTGTTCATCCTGGTCGCTGTATTACTGGTTCCTTACACGCTCTTTGGGTCCTCCTGGACCTTTTCCCGTGCTGGCTTCAAAGGATGGTGCATCGTGAGTTTTATTTGGGTTTGGGCTGGAATGTTCATATGTGTTTTCTGGCCACTCTTCGAGAGCAGGTCATCAATCGCAAAGATTTTCAGAGGGATTGTTGGTGATATGGGGAGAGATAAGTAGAAACAATACAGAAATACAGGACAAAAAGATGCAAAAAGACATACAACACCTGGCATTCGCTGGTCGTCACCGACCCAACTACTACTCAAGCGCTCCTCAGCTTGACTCTGGGAGAGCGGACGGGATCCCGTATTCTCTAAGGGCTATGGTCGTATGTGGTGGAACGGGGTGGTGAGGGGGACTATCACGATGTTGCAGAATGGAGGAGATGGGCTGCTCTGATGAATGTAGGTCTGTATTCGCTGGCTCGCTTGCTGACTTATAAGTTACCCTGGACTCCCCGCGGAAACTTGCACCACATCCCTGCGATTGAAAATCCAAGACGCCAATTGGCGGGCGGGCGGCGTGAGAGACGCACTGAGCAACCCCTGAACAACCCCTGAACAGCCCCCCGCGAGAGCCGTGCGCAGAACATCCAAGCCCACTAAATACAGTTGGCCAACCCGCTACAGCAGGATCGTAAACCCCCTGTAAGATGTTGATCCAGGTGATTCGCATGCCCGTTATGTCATTGTTTTGGCAGTCTCAGGGATTCCCCTGGCGGCAGGAGGGGCACATTTCTGAAACGGGAGAGCTCCAAGACGAAACGGTTCGCCTTGGCATCCGCCAGCTCTTTGTTCCATGTGCGTCCTGTCAAGTCAATTATCCTTTTCTCCTTCTCTTCTTTTTTATCTTCATTCATATTTAAGCTGCTGAGTGATTGCTGAGCTGTTGGGATAGTCCTAGACGACGCCTCATCACGTCAGCAGGTCAATCTTAGCTCTTACTCTGCGGGGAGCTACCTACTTTGGCTACCCACCACCAAAGACAACCGCTTCTCAGCTCTTCCCAACACCATTCACAAACCAATTGACATCGCCGCCATGGCCCAGCAGACGCTCTCCGTCGTCGGCGTCGTCCTCGACTCCCTCACGTGGACGCGGGTGCTCGGCTACGGCTTCCTCTTCCTCGTGGCCTCGTTCATCTTCGACACGGCCAGCCATCCTCGATATCCAAAGGAGATTCCGTGGATGGGCAACGGAGGCGGCGGATGGCTGGCCAAGGTGCGTAATGGCATCGCCTACTTTACGCAGCACCGCAACTGGATCCAGGAAGGCTATCACAAGGTGAGTTGCCTATATCCAACTCCTCCTCCTCAGTCCTGGCGCTGACAATTACCATAGTATGGCAAGCAAGACGTCGCCTTCGTCGCTCCCGCTTCCATCTCACGTCCCGACGACGTCATCCTCCCACGCTCCCAGATCGCCTGGATGATGGACCAGCCGGATAGCGTCCTCTCCGCCGACCACGCCCACAGCCACATCCTGCACTCGCCGTACAACTTCCTCGGTCACGACCTCGACCGCGATGCCTTCGCCAGCCGCGCCATGCACAAGTACCTCGCGCGCCACCTCTCCAGCCTCATCCCGGACGTCGAGGACGAGGTCAACGCCGCCGTCGACGACGTCATGGGCACCGACGCCGACGCCGACAACTGGATCAAGGTGAACCTGTGGGAGATGTGGCTGGCCATTGTCCCCCGCGTCACCAACCGCTTGCTCGTCGGCGAGCCCATCTGCCGCGAGGACCGCTTCCTCCAGGCCATGGTCAAGTTCGTCGACGACGTCATCCGCAACAGCTTCCTGCTCAAGATGTTCCCGCTCGTGCTGCACCCAATCGTCGGCCGCCTGCTGGCCATCCCCAACTGGCTGCACTGGCGCGCCGCAAGCCGCTTCGTCCTGCCCGTCATCAAGCAGCGCATCCACGACATGGAGCAAAAGGAGCTCGGCAACCCGGAGTACAAGCACTGGACACCGCCGGAGGACTTCATCACTTGGGATATCCGCCTCGCCCGCCTCGAGCGCAACGCCTTTGAGCTCAACCCAGCCGTCATCTCCAAGCGCTTGCTGCCCATCGAGTTCGCCGCCATCCACACCACCGCCCTCACCGGCCAGTCGCTGATGCTGGATCTCCTCACCACTTGCCCCGAAGACGGCGTCCTCGATGCCCTCCGCGAAGAGATCAGCGCCCACAAGCCTGCTGAGGGGCACTGGACCAAGATTGGCCTTGCCTCCCTTCTGCGACTAGACTCGTCCATCCGCGAGTCGCAGCGCCTCAGCAACTTCGCGGCCACCCTCGTCGAGCGCCAGGTCATTACTCGCGAGGGCCTACACAACCCGACTCTCGGTTGGACGCTCCCCTATGGAGCCTTTGTGACGGTCAACCTGGAAGGCACGCACCATGATGACGAGCTGTACCCCGGCGGCCAGGGCTATAACCCCTGGCGATACTCGCAGGTCCGAGAGGCGTGGGAGCAGAAGTCGGAGGAGGAGCGACAGGAGAACCCCGAAGATGGTACCAAGGCCAGAGGACTCGGCATGGTGACGACGAGCGATCGTCATCTGGCGTTTGGCCACGGAAGACACGCATGGTAAGTCCCTTTGCGTTCCCCGGTGATATACTCCACCTGAGCACTGCTAACCACAACCAATCGACATAGCCCCGGTCGCTTCTTCGTCGCCCACGAGCTCAAGCTCATCATGACCGCCATCCTGCTAAAATACGACATCAAAATGATGGATGAGCGGCCTCAACCCCAGTGGTTCGGCGCCACCATCATTCCGCCTCTAGACGCCAGCGTCGAGATCCGCCGGAAACCTGGAACGGCTTGATATACCCCAGGATGATCTAATTTGGACAGTTTAATATGTTGGATGATGGCGTGGCGTTTGGGGTGCTGTATATGACACTTGGACGGATTAATTATAGATTCCTGGATATACGCATTTGAAAATGGCTTGCTCTACTTTGATGGCAAATGATTCAACTGGATATGATATACCAACACCTTTCGTCTTGGCTCCCTTTACCCCTGAGCATCCAACATGACATATGTCGTTACTCGTTCGACTTCCGCTCTCTCCCTCACAGATCGAATCCCAGCCCGTTTGTATTCCCCAGAAAGATTCCTCCCTTCGCGCCCTCTCTCAACAGGGCGCCCATATCTACCCTTCCGCCCGTCACGTACCGCTCACTCACGCCCAGGTTGACACGCCGGCTCAGCTCATCGCGCAGCTGCGCTCGCATCGCACCCATCTCGGCCTTTGTCAGTCCGCGCGCCGCAGCCTCGTTCTTGAGACGACCGCCGCCGCGGCCGCCCTTGCCCTTGCTCGCGGCGTCGAGGTCGTCGGAGTCGTACTCGACGCCCAGCTCTTCAGCGGCGTTGCGCATCCACTGGTCATCGCTGTGCGCCTTCTCCTTGGCCAGCACCGTGTCGGCGAGCGTCTTGGCCAACGTCACGCGCGGCTTGAGACGCGACGCCATCTTGGGATCCAGCGGAAGCGTCTGGATGAAGTGCTCCCGCTTGGCCCCGCGCTTCTCGTGCACCTTGTTCGCGAGGCGCCGCGTCGGCAGCACCTCTTCCGGCGCGCAGAGCATCACGCTGACACCGCTCCGCTCACCACGCGCCGTACGGCCGGAGCGATGGATGTAGGTGTCGGCAGCGCGCGGCACATGGTAGTGCAGCACCTGGTCGACCTCCTTGATATCGAGGCCACGCGCGGCAACGTCGGTGGCGATGAGGATCGAGTTGCGCGACGCCGTGAAGCGCTCCAGCGAGCGGAGACGCGCCTTCTGGGCCATCTGCGAGTGCAGCGGCAGGGCTGCCAGGTTGAGGTTGGCGAGAAGCGGCGTGAGGCGGCGGACGGCCGAGATGGAGTTGGTGAAGACGAGGGTGCGTTTGCCGGGGTTGAGGAGCAGTACGGTATAGAGGTAGAGATCCTATATGTTGTTAGACACATAATTCTTGCTTGCATGTCAAATCAACTCACCTTTTCCATTGCACCACACTCGATCAGTCCCTCACGCAGTCCCGTGGCCATTTGGCTGACGGGGTTGACGTCGATGAACTTGGGCTCGCGCCGGAACTTGAGGCACTTCATCAAGTAGGCCATCTTATCCTGGTCATCGGCCTTCAGGTTCTTGCCCTTGTGCGCCAGCTTCATCTGGAGATCCTTGTCGAACGTGGCCGAGAAGACGAGCGTTTGTCGAGTAGCAGACGGGTCGCTGTCTTCATCGCCCTCCTCCTCATCGGAGCTGTCGTCATATGACTCCGGGTCCCGCTTGTCCAGCGCACCGATGATGTCCTGGGCCTCCTTGAACTGGCCGACCTTGAACAGCCTGTCCGCCTCGTCGACCACGAGGAAGCGGATCTTGGCAAAGGAATCCTGGAGCTCCATGTCGCCGCTCAGCACCTCCCACAGACGTCCCGGCGTGCCGATGACGAAATCCGCCTTCTCCAGCTGTCGCTGCTGCTTGTGGATGCTCAGGCCACCCGTGACGACACAGACGTACGGGGCAGTCGACAGGCCGTCGCACAGGGCCTTGAGATGGTCGCCCAGCTGCTTGGCCAACTCACGGGTCGGACTCAGAATGACAGCCAAGGGGCCGCTCTTCTTAGCCTCCTCCTCACGGCCCTCATACATCTCGAGCCAGCGCTCGACCATGGGGATGCCGAACGCGAGCGTCTTTCCGGAACCCGTCTGGGCCTTGCCGATGACGTCCTCGCCGGCGATAATCTCGGGGATCGTCTGCTCCTGGATGTCGGTGGGCTTGGTGAAGCCGAGGCGGGCAATGGCCGACATGATGCGCGGCGACAGGTTCAGCGGAACCCAGGCCTCCATGTCGACTTCTTCGTCTTCCTCTGCGTCGGCCAGCGCGTCGAAGGCGTTGCCCTGTGGAGCGGACTTTTGTACTTCTTTCTGGGCCTTTGCCAGCTGCTCGTCGTCCTTGGAAACCAGCTGCTTCTTGTTCTTGTTCTTTGCGTCCTTCTTTTTGTCTTTCTTGGGCTCTTCTTTGGACTTAGCCTTGCCCTTATCCTTTGCCGGAGCGTCCTTGCTCTCCAGGCTAGCTTGAGCGTTGCCAGCTTCGTCGGAACCGACACGCTCGACCTCCACAGCGTCGTCGCCAAACCCTTCAAAAGATTCGTCCGCATGATCGTCTTTGTCGTCGTCGTCGTCGTCGTTTTCGTTCTCGTTGGTCTCGTCGTTCGCTACCGGTTGTTTCTTGTCCTGACTTGAAGCCACCATGAACTGCACCCGATCCCCATGCCTCACCACATCCACGCCTTCAATCACCTCGAGCGCTCCGAACTCCTCGCCGAAGGCCTGCCACTCGAGTGCAGTAGCGTCGACGGCCCGACGGGTAGTAGCGCTGTTGTTCTTGCTGCCCTTCTTCGCTTTTCGAGGCTGCGGCTTCGAGTTCTTGGTGCGCTTCGGGGCGGGATCGGCTGGGGCGGGAAGCTTGCGCTTCTTCGACGGAGGTACCATTGAACGGTTCAGTCGCCTTTTCTGCGGCGATTGTGTATCTGGGATTGATTGCGTGTCTTTTCTTCGGGTGTCGCTGTTCACAACCACTTCCTTGGTGATACCGACTGCGGAGGTACGAAGTGGGATGAAGCTCGAAAGTGTTTTTTTTTTCTGGCCGTATCCTTATCGCTTATCGCAAAAGTTGCCGATCCACCAGCCTCTCCACCCATCTCTCACAAGCTCACATTACAACTGCTTCGTACAACTGTTGTCTCACGATAGGCAAAGACAATTACTCACCGAACTCCGAGTGCGAGTTCAAGACAATGAGTTAGAGTACATTCACCTAAATGGGGAACATGGTGGCAAATCAACACTTTCCTCACTTAACGTAAAACAAAACGGACAGCGTACAGCATCACATCACTTATATCCACACCTCACCAAGGCGACATCACTAAACACCAAGCAAGCCCATCAAATATTCAACAACCAAGGAAAAGTGTCTTTTGTCTTCCGTCAAGGAGCCCCCGGAAAAGGTACATAATATGCTCAAATACTACCCCATTGCCACCCTTCCATTCCTTATTCCCTTTGCCGTCTGCGTTTGCCAACATTGCAAATACGAGTACATACTTGTAATACATACCAAATATACCATCGTGACCATCTCGTCCGCATCTCAAGTCAAACACCTGCATTAATGCGCTCCCCTCGCCCTCTTAGCTCCTCCGCCAACCTCCGAATCTCCTCGAGGCCGCTTGTTACCCGGCTGGAAGTCACTTGCCACTGGGTTAAGCGAAGCACGCCCGCCTCTGGCTCCTCCTCGTCCTCCGCGACCAGCATGTGCTGGTCCACCCTCCTGGTTGCCGCTCGCCGCTCGCTGGCCTGGTGTTACATAGGCAGTACCGCGACCGCCTCGGCCACCACCGCGGGCCACAGGGATACCGCCACCGCCACCGCGAGGCATGGGGATGCCTGATCGAGCGGGCTGTTGTTGCTGTCCCTGTTGCGGTTGCTGTCGCTGTTGGGGCTGCGCCGCTGCGGGGGCAGTTGTAGTTGATCCTTCAGCCTTTACTACGAATGGGTTGGGCGCTTCCGCAGAAGCCGAGTTTGTAGAGACAGCGAACGGGTTGTTAGCCTTGGGCGCGGGAATGGCTCTCGTCGCAGGCTGCGCAGCAGGTGCATGGGCCGGGACTGGCTTGGCTGGTAATGTTTCCGTCCCGGGCGTCGCTGAGACAGCCGGAGCAGGCTTCGCAACAGGTGTTGCTGGGGCTGGCGATGGGGGCACACCAGCTGTCGAGTCCTGTCTTGCAGGTGTCGGTTTCGGAACTGGTGCTGCAGGAGGTGCAACCGCATTCTTCGCCACCTCCCAGACCTCGACGACTGGTTTCTGAGGTGTCTCGCCTACAGCCTTCTCCACAACATTGATCTTTGCTTGGATGTTCTTCAACTTGTTCTCTGCCATGTTGATTCGCAAGGTAGACTTCTTAGACTCCATGAGCTGGGCTTGCTCCCTCGCTGACGAGATCTTCGACTCATTTTCGCTCTTCATAGTCGATTCCAGATCCGTCCTCAGCTTGGCAATCTCCACCTCAAGCTTCTTCTTGATGTTAGCAGCTACGATATTCTTCACAGTCGGGTTCGTAGACAAGAATTGGCGAATACCGGCGTCGTCAAGCTGGGTGAGGTCGGGTGCCCCAACCGAGGCAGGGGTCGCAGGGACGGGTACTGCCTCGGGCTTCATAGGAGTAGCTGGAGGTTGGTTATTGGACACAGGTGCCTGGGCTCCAGGTTTGGGTGCGTTCTCAGCAAGGAATATTTGTTTCTCTTGCTCAAACTTGAGCTGGAGATCCGCATCCTTCTGCTTGAACTCGTCCTCCAGCTTGGCTCGGGATTGCTTGAGCCTGTTGTTCAAATCGCCCTTCATCTTGTCCGAACGTTCCTTCAAGGTTTGCTGAATCTTAGCCTCGATATCGACCGCTCTTTGTTCGTATTCTGCGGCCTTAGCCTCAGCGGCAGCAATCTTTGCCTCCAAGGCCTTCTTCTCCTCGTCAGAGACAGAGGGAGCTGTCGTCTCTCCAGCAGCATCGCTGGTCTCAGCCGGGGCGGTGGCAATGGGGACCTGTTCGGTGGACTGAGGTGCGCCTTGGGCTGCCTCGTGCAACTTCTTGGTAGCCTCGTCTCTCTCAGACACAGCTGTTTGCAACTCGGTTTGGAGCGCCGCAAGACATTGCTCGGCTCCCAGCTTCTGGGCGTTGACCGCCTCGAGCTCTTTGTGAACGTTGGCTAGTTGCTGCTCCAACTGCGAGACAACTTCTGCGGAAGCAGATGCCTCGGTTGGCTGAGCCGCAGATGAGGCCCGGGTAGCCTCAGCAACTTGAGCTTGTCGTCGGAGTTCTTCCACCTCCTTCTGGAAATTTTGGATTTGTTGCTCAAGCTCCGACTTCTGTTTCCCAGTCTGCTCCGCCTGGCCCTTGGCACCTTCAAGCTCGCCGTTGACTTGGCCTAAGGTCTCTTGGAGCTCGGTGACCTGTTGAGCGACCTCGGCCTTCTCTGCCTTGAGCTTCCTCGCCCTCTCCTTGTATTGGTCACCCAGCTTGGTACGAGTCACGAGCCAGGCGGCGCGTTCCGCCTCCAAGGTGGCCTCGGCTTCAGCGACCTTGGCCTTGAGTGGCTCTTCACCCTCCTTCAAGGCGTTGCGTTCCGTTTCCAGGCCGCTGATGGTTTCCTTCAACTGCTCCATCTCTGCAGGGTCAACGCGGCCATACTTGGTCAGAATGCCCTCGGTTCGCTTCTGCCAACGGTCGCGATCCTCCTGGATCTGCTTGATCTCCTCCTCCAAGAAAGACTTCTGAGTCGTGAGAGTGTCGATTTCGGCCTCGAGCGGTTGCACCTTGGCCCCCATCTCTTCAATCTTCTGGTTCTTCTCCACGATCTGATCCTTGAGTTGCTGGTTCTCATTTCGGAGAGTCATGCTGCTCTCGCGGTAGAGGTTGAGCTCATTCAACTTCTCCATGAGGTCTTGGTGAGTCATCGAGGTTCGACCACTCTGCGCCGCCTGAGTGCGCTCCTGGTCAAGCTTGAGACGTGCTTCATCAAGTTGCGATTGGGTATACTCAAGCTGTTGTTGGAGTCGCTTGGCTTCCTGAGTCTTCAAGTCGTACTGGACCTCAAGAATCTCCTTCTCGCGGCGAAGGTAGCTGTTCAATTCACGAAGACCTTCGGTGGCATCTCCCATGGGAACAGGAGACATTCCCTCATCGCCGTCTTCGGCGTCGGTGCGCTTCTGCTGCAACGTTGCAACCTGCGTAGTGAGGCCTTCCAATTGTTGGTGGAGGAGCTTGTTTTGCGCATTGACATCTTCGCGCCGCGTCTTGAGCTCAGCCATCTCCTGCTCCAGCTGTTGCCGACGATCCTCCCAAGAAGTCTCACTCTGAGCGAGAGTCACCTTGGCGGACTCTGCCTCGGTCCTTAGAGATTGAGCCTCGCTCTTGAGTTGGTTGTGCTCAACTCTCAGTTGCTGAACAAGCTTGGCAGCCTCGGCGTGCTTGACAAGCTCTTGCTCGTAGTCTTGCTGCGCCTTTGTGGCAATCTCAGCTTGTGCACGGAGATCCTGTTGATGATACCTCGTTGCCTCCAGGTGCCGAGCACTCTCTTCCTTCAGTCGGTTGACCTCCTCCTCAAGAATTCCCTTTTCATCTTCATACCTCCGCGCAACTTCTCCCTGAGAATCCCGAAGAGTAGAGAGCTCAGTGTTAGATCGAGAAAGCTCGGCAGACATGTCCTCGATGCGATGGCTGAGTTCCTTGAATTTGTTGTCCTTCTCCTCGATAAGCGCTTCCGTCTCTTGGCGGTATTGGTCTTGTGAACCCCGAAGGTCCTCCAAGGCTTCCTCGTTGGCCTGGCTCAGTTCCTTGAACTGCTCAGCCTGAGCTTTGGCGTTCTCCAGGTGAGTGTTGGCCATATCCAGATCACGTTTGAGATCAGAAATCTCCATGTTGAGTTCTTGGATTTCGGCTTCGAGTTGCTGCTGCTGCTCGTTGTTGTCCGCAACAGTGCCAGGCCTGGGAGTAGGTCGGGGTTGGAGGCGACCGGCTCGCTCCTCGGCGTTTCTCAGCTCAACAGCCAGCTCGTCGACTCGGGCTTGTAGGTGATCTCTACTAGTCTTGATACCGACATGGTCTTCCCGAATCTGGCTCAGGCTGGCCATGAGCTCGTCAATTCGCTTCTGTGCTTCCTTCGACTCATACTCCTTCCTAAGCTGTAACTTCTTAGTCTCTTCCGTTTCGTAAGATAGCTTCCGTTGGGTTTCGCTCAATTCCTTTTCGAGGGTCTCAATTCTGGACTGGGCCTTTCGTCGAGTCTCGGATTCACCCCGGTTTCGCTCGTTCTCGAGAGACTGTTGGGTAGCAAGGAGATTGTTAAGTCGGTTCTTCTCCTCGATCAGGTTTTCGTTGTCCTTGCTCAGTCGGTCTTGGATATCCTTCCACAGCTTCTTTTCGGCCTTCAAGTTGGCAGCCTCGTTCCGCATGCTGTCGAGTAGGCCCTTAGCCTCGATGAGCTCCTCGGCAACCTGCTGAGTTCGAATATCTTGTTTGGCTGCCGTCTCAGAGAGGGTCTGATTTCGCTTTTGCAACTCTCGGTTCTCGCTCTGGAGAGCAACATAGTTGCCGTTCAGCATCTCGCGACGCTCATCTCCAATTCGCACGTCGCCATGCAATTTCACATTTTCGGTCTGCAAGGAATTCTTCTCAGACGCAAGGCTGCTGACCTGGTCGCGTAGGTCCTTGCGCACTCCATCCTGCGCATCCCGGAAACTATCGTATTCGGACTGCAGCTTACGCAGTGCCTCATTCAGAGTCTCTGCCTGCTCTCCGGCTTCGATACTAGCCAAGGGCAGTCGTCCGCTGCCATCCAGAGAGCTGCGCATCAAGGAAGCCTCGTCTCCATTTGTGCCTCGTTGCTGGAGCAGGCGGCGGAACATGTCTCGCTCCATCTTGTAGCTTTCCATGGTGTTCTTAATCGACTTGGTCTCCTCAGTCATGTGGGCAAGCTCTTGCTGAAGCTTTTCAACCATGTCGTGATCTTCCTTTGCTTGGTGCTTCGCAGCCAGTGCTTCTTCACTCTCCAGCTGCTCTGCGAGCTCTCGGGTAATTCGCATGAGCTCCTCGTTCTTGGCCTGGAGGGACTTGACGTCCTTGAAGACAACCAACTTCTGCGTAATGAACTGGTGAGTGTCGGACATGTCAGAGAGCACCTCCTCGGAAATCTCTCCCTTCTCCAGTTGCTTAAGACGGAAGGTCTCCTCGTCGGTGAGTTGCTCCATGCCCTTCTCGATGGCATAAATGTTGAAGACAAGCAACTGGATCTGAGTTCCGAGATCCCGCAGTTGAGTTCGCAGGATCTTCGTCTCGGCCTGTGCTGTAGCAAGAGCACCTTCAGCCTTTCTGGCAGCCCTCCGAGAGACATCACGCTCCTCGAAGCTCTGCTGAGACAACTCGGACATTCGGGCGATCTCGTTGCGAAGAGTCTCCGATTCGGCTTGAAGTTCTTGGATTTCGGGGGCCTTTGCCTCCAAGGCGGTCATCATGTTGTCCAGCTCTTCAGAGAGTTGCTGGTTCCGTCGGCGCTCACTTGCCAACTGAGCCTTGACCTGGTACAACTGCTCAATGGCTTGAGTGGCGGTGATGGCAGACTTGCTGCGAATAGAACCAGGAGTGGCGAATCCAGGTGTTCCGAAAGGAGAAGCAGCCCGTCCGATCAGGGATCCATTGGCTCGGGGAGTCTGCGGTGTCGACTCGGGTGGCGGGCCATGCTCCAGTCGCACCTGAAGCTCATCGATTTCCGTCTCAAGTTGACGGATGCGCTCCTCCATTTCAACTCCGGCCTGTCGCTCCTGTTCAAGCTCAACTCGAACGCGGCGAATCTCGTTTTCGTAGTTGTCCTTCAAGCGTTCCTTCTCAGCTTCCAGTTCGCGCACACGTTCTTGGTGTTTCTTGCTGAGCTGGTCAGACATGTCCACCAACCGCCTCTGGTCCTCCAGTTCCTGTTTGTAGCTCTCGACCGTCGTGGCGAAAGAACCTTCTTGCTTCTGGAGCTTGACAAGGGCGTCGTCTGCCTTGGCCTGCATGGCATCAAGTCGTTCACGCAGTTGCTGCTCGGTTCGCTTCAGGGCATCGACCTGCGATTGGATATCCTCGTTCTGTCGCTGAAGCTCGGCAATGCGAGAGCCCTTCTCCTTTCGGTACTTGAGACTCTCCTCGCTCTTGGTCTTGAGTTCATTCTCAAGCCATTCGCTGTTCTTGCGGGCCAGGTCGAGCTGTTGCTGTGTAGACTCCTCTCGGTACTTGGCACTGTTGAGCTGGCCCTTTGCATTCTGCTCGGACTGCTGTAGGGCCGTAATCTCGCGAGAGAGTTCCACGTTTCGTTGGTGCTGCTTGGTCATCTCTTCTGTAAGAGTCTGATCGCGCTTGTTGTTCGACTCGATGATGCTGAGGTTGGTTCGGTTCGACGACTGGAGGGTCTCGATCTTATCGTTGAGGGCCTTGACTTCGGCATCGTGGTCAGACTTCTTCGACTTGAGGATCTGCAGTTCATTGTCGATGGACTGTCGCTTTGTTTCTGTGGCGGGGGAGAAGAATTAGCAAATGGACCATTTTGTTCCAGGACCACCTCGCAAGCACCTACCTTCGTCCTTCAATTGCTGTCGAGCCTCCTCAACATCCTTGAGGGCCTTGTCGGCAGTCGCCTTAAAGGTCTGCGACCGAGTCTCAGAGCTTCGCACGGCATTCTCCAGCTCGATGTCGGTCTGGAGCTTGTCGGCGTAGAGGGTGTCGAACTCATGCGCTTTCGCAGCCACGGACTGCAAGAGCGCCGTGACAAGATCAACGGTCGGCTCGGTCGTCAGCGTCACCAGCGCGGGCTGGTCGAGGCCAAGGTGGCCCGCGATGTAGCCGAAGTCTACATCTGCGGCCGCCATGGTCGTGGATCGTTTAGGTCAACAGCACGGTTCTCGTCATTCCCGCTGCTGCGATTCCACGAGGAGAAGGAAGGGGGGAAGAAGACGCGGCTCGCACTTCTTGTCTCGTCGACGGCGATGGGCGCGTGCGCGCGGGAGTGGGAATCGAGGCTGTGCGAGGCTGACGGGGTTGCGTTGTGGTGAAGAACAAAGGATCGAGTTTGGTGGAGAGGATGAGGCAGAGAAATTGGAGCTTCGCGCCTGAACGACGAGACACTGTTTTTAGAACCAACACCAACAACGCTCAGCTGTTTGAAGGAGCAACGGCGCACGGACCATCCGCCGCGTCCAACTTGTCGTGTTTGGTACCTCAGGTACCTTGAGCTGCTGCAAGCTGCCCCACCGTATTCCCACCTGGTGGTGCAGCTACCCTATACTGAGACGATAATGTCTGGGCCATTCTGCAGCATGACATGAAGGTATAAGCGGCAGTTGATAAGTCTCAGGGAATTCTTTGCATAGATGCTTTTAACTTATTTTCTCGAGGCTTTGTCATGCTAGGCCCTAATTTAGGCCTTGGGCAGTCAGGTATATTGGCGAAGCATCCTACCTTAACACGATTCACACAATGAGAGCTTCAAGAAGAGCAAACAAACTCAAGACTTGTGTACACCCTCCAACATATTGTACCAAAAACTGGGCAATTCGTAATTTTACGTTCTAATCGCTACAAAAAGACATAATCTTCACCGCTAGCCAAAAAGTAACCAACAACGCCGGCCTAGAATACATCTTCCCATACCAAAGCGCCGTATCGCTTCGTAACCTTGCTCGCCTTCACATCTGCTAGCGTCGTGCAGAAAGATCGAGATACACCCTTTGTCCCCCCTATTTTGCCCACCGACCAACATTAGAGTCTAGCTCGTATGATTCCACTGGCCCAGATTGCCATGCCGGGTTTTGCTGACCGTTCGGCCTCTGCGCGGCCGGCGACGGGTGCGCTGGGAACTCGTACACCTGTTGTCCATGCGGTGCCTGCGGCGAAGGCTGGAAAGCATACCCACCAGGGCTTTGTAGCTCGTGAGGCGTTACCGGCGACGGCGCGTACCCAGCCTGAGGCGACGGATGGCAGTATTGTGCATTTGGAGGAGCGTGGTATCCCTTGATATCGGGATTGCTCGGATAGTTTGGCGGCAGTTCCGCGACCCCAGGCTTCATACCACCGTATAACTCAGGTCGGGGAGAGCCATGTCCCGACAACTCGGACGGGCCGTAGTTTGTCTTGTGATCGCCCATACCAGGCGCGAGATGAGTATCTCCCATCAGCTCCGGCTTGCCGTTGTACTCGTGGTGTTGATCGCCACCTGACGGGATCTGCTCTCCCTTCATTTGTTGGCGGCGTTTCTTTCGCCAGAAGAAAAAGAGACCGAGGCCAATTGCGGCCACAGCTACTACACCAGCGATGCCGCCTGCAATCGGGACAATACCCACGCCCTTAGATTTATCCTTGGACTCATCCTTGCTGTCGCCAGAGGAACTGCTGTTTCCTGAGGAACCGGAGTCGAGGGTTTCCGAAGCACTGGAAGACGCTGTTCGCGATACAGCAGTTGACTCAGCCCCGACACTGGCAGTTTGATATGTCGGAGCAACCGACTCGCGCACTGTGGCCACAACCTTTTTCTCTGCCGCACTGCAATAGTAGTCCCAAGCTGCAACGGCGGATGTCATATCGGCTGTGGCGGTGTTGGAGCAGGCATACTTTACACTCTCGGTTAGGACACTGGAAATGTAGTTTGACATGCCCGATTTGAGGCATGCACAAGAAGCTAATTCTTGTGGTCCGCTGCCGCAGAGCCAGGAGGTTTGCTGAAGAAATGTTAGCGACTGGATTTGGGACAAGTGAATGATGGAAATACAAACGTACACTGAGAATGGCGACTGAGACGGCGCTCTGGGCACAGTTGCGTAGAGACTTGAACTGTGGTAGGGCGGTAATGTAATATGTCACTGACAACAGTTAGTCACGTATTTCCTAGACTGACTTGATTGATGACTGACTATCTCCCGGGGGTCCATCTGGCGTTGCAAAGGACGTGGTTCCCTTGTTCATGGCACAATATTCATTGTAGAAGCTCTGGGCGGTGGTGACGTCTTGGTTGTTGGAACACGAGTACTTCACAGACTGTCGAAGTGTGTCGCTGATCGCACTCACAACCTCGCTCTTGCTACAAACACAAGGCGCGAATAGCTCGGCCGCTTCGGGGCAGTTGTACGCTCCCTGGGACTAGAGTTAGTCTATAAACCATGGCGTTGATGGAAGGCATTCATACCGCTCCCATTACGGCCTCAGACACTGCAGACTGCGCGCACGGAGGCATGTAGGCCATCTCTGGCAGGTCTGTGATATATGCGTGAACGATGTTGGTCGTTGGGGACGAGAAGGTGACGGTCATGGATTCCTGGTTGCAGTATTGGTCCATCACTTTTGAAGCACTCGATAGGTCGTCTGTGGCAGCTGTACCGCAACTGTACGTCACATCGGTGGAAATCGAGGAGTAGATGTCGCCGAATCTTGCCGTGTTTGAGCAGACGCAGGATTGCAACATGGTCTCATCATCGCCGCAAACTGTCGACGAGTAGGTGAGGGCGAAGACATCGTATGAGATGGCGCTGGCAACACATGGCGCCTGTCTAAGTCAGTATGACGGGTTGGTCTCGGGAGAGGACTGACCGCATACCAGAAGCGTATAGATCTCGAGGTCGGTCACGTAAACGATGTCGGTCGCGGTGGAAAGAGTGGTGAGGCCCGCCAAAGCGACCAGCGCGAGGCCGTGTAAGTGACGCATGGCACCAGGACCCGTCTGGGATAGGCACACAATAGGGAACAAAGCGATACGGCCAAAGAATGGAGCCCTTAACCAAGGAATACGACGACAACAACAATCACGAGAAAGCGAGATTTCCAGAAGGAGAAAACGCCAGGCTTCTGCTTGACCTCGCGAAGTGCCTTCAGCCTGGCGGCGGCCTGTGGGGGAGCTGGAGGGCCCCAACTCGCGCCCAGCCAGGGCCAGATGCAGTAGCCGTCGGGACCCCTGAAGCTAGTGCGAATGGCTTGGGGAGCTGAAAACTCGGCTGCATGTCGTCCCATTGCTTACAGCCGCTCTCGAGATTGGCGGCGCCCTGAGCTGTGCAACGCCTGGGGATTGATGCAGGAACCATCGGGGGGGAGCATGCGCCAATGCCGTCAGCCATGGCAATTCCTCTGAAGCCATAGTCCTGTGCTAAAAGGAGGCACGGCGACAACCGAAGCCGGGGATGGGGAGTTTGACTGTCACTCGCCAGGCTCCAATGGTGTTTTTAGCGTTGGGAAGGGGGAGTGACAATTTCGATTTCGACTTGGCATGTCGTCGGTGGGTTGTTGAGCCGATATCTCTTGGTATGACAGATTCACGGTCTTGGCTTTGAAGCACCGGCCATCTGCAGGTAAACCCGCATTGCCATGAACCCTGCATTTGAATACATGGATAATTTTAGGGATGAAGTCAACCTTACGCGTATGTTGCACCATGTAGGGCTGGCTCGGGAGCCTTAATTGCCTCGCCTCGCCCTGGGTTTTGGCCCGTGATAGCCTGCTGGAGAGACGGGGAGACGGGGAACGGGGGAAGACATGGGGCCAGCGTTGAGAGCGGGATTTCTCCTCTCAACGCCGCGGTGGAGGGCATTCCCAAAAGAGCCAAGGGCAGCGCCACCAGTATCACCGGCCTCAACCCAGCCTCGCCCCATTGGCCCCGTGGTGAAATGAGAAAAGCAAACTGCCGCTAACTGCGAGGAGGGATGCCGGTGACGAGAGGTGAAACTGTTGGCGCCTGCACGCCGAGTCTGGAGCCTGCAAACACCAAAGGACGGCATTGGAGATGGTCTGATGTTCAGTACCGAGGCGCCTCTTTCTGAATAGCCCCGCGCCGTCGAGTCACGTGGATCTCGGGCCGTCTTCTTCGGCATGACGGCAACACCAATGCCGTGTTCGACGATGGTGTGGTCTAGTGAGGTTTATTGATCCCCAAAGAATCACCAACGTGTAGAGTGTCACAGAGTAATGTATCGTATGCGTATCATCAATCGTTGATTTGTAGATGCTACCGCTAATTTGAGACATTTTCCGTTCCCTTGCGCGATCTCCAAAATCCCCCATAAAAATTTCCAAATCCAAAACGCCATGCTAAAATAATTCTGGGTTGTCCATGTTGTCGACCGTGTTCCTTCCCTGGCGCGTGGCCACCAATGTTAAACCCTCGTTTGCGCCATGCTGAAATGAGAAATGAGAAATCCAAAGCCAGTAGTAAATGTAATCAAAGTGCATTGCCGCCGCCATGTGCCTGGATCATGCTCTCGCCGAACGCGCCCATGGTTTTTCTCACGGCATTCGCGCAGCTACTGGGAATCATCTTCGGTAGCTTGTATCGCGATCCGCCAGCAGCCTTGCCGGCGTTGTCGCTGCAGGACAGGGGCTCTGTAGAGCTGCGCGTGGGAATCTTGCCGCTGGATCCCCTGCGCAGCGATGGGCAAAGTTCGGCGACGGATGATCGACGGGGAGGATCAGAGACATTCGCCTCCTCTCTCTCGGCGGAGGGCTTTCGGGATTTTCTCGAGAACTTGCTCTCGATCGAAGACCGAGAGCTCGTTCGGGACCGTTGAGGTGTGGGATAAGCCGACCTGCCGGATTCTCCTTCGCTCTGGAAGGACGAAGCCAGCTCTCTTGAGACGCGACCGCTATGGCGATCCTCGGTCTTGAGCTTCAGCCAGAGGCCGTGTCCAAGGTCGTCCCAAATGACCACAGCCTTGAAGAGGCGTCGACAGGCCTTTGTGCCTTCACCCTCGTCGAGCTCTCCAAAGGTTCTGAGCTCATGCATGGGAGGAAGGACATCCCAGGAAATGGAGATTTGGTTCTGATCCATCTGATCTCTCCAGATGGAGTTCTCCAGGAAATCGTTGAGGTACTGGAAGGTAGCTTCAATGGATGCCTCTTGGGCTTCTTGAGCGGCCTGCTTCATAATCGCATCTTGCTGGCGCTCCTGTTCTTGCCGGCGCTGCTTTCTCTTCTTGTGCCCGTCGAAGAGGGGGACCTTGGGGACTGTGTTGGGCATTTTTGGCGGTGTTATTGAGATGTGGGGTGAAGGGTTCGGTAGAGTATTGAGGAGTGTTGAGCGAGTGAGATGGTTGTTGATTGAATGCGATCGGGATCGAGAGTCCAGCTCGTCGACAATCTTGTTTGGGTGATGACCGGGTAATTTGCCGGTACGGTATCAGTTGCCGATGATTGCGAGGCCGGGATGGTGGAGTTCGGGCCGTGTGAAGTCGTGTTTGGCAATCGCCGATGTTGGACAATCTCAAGAGTGCGAGGCTGCGAAATGTTTGGGACGAGAGTGATACTAAATATTTTCAGGACACGACTGCGGCGCGGCGTATTTCTGAAATTCCATTCGGCGTCAAACACAACGGCGGGCAAATCAGAGTTTGTGAGGTAGCCGCTATCCAGGCCCATGGAGCCCATGGAACCCATGGATTCAAGGTTTAATTGAGGCTTGCCTTACTCGCAGACCCGACTGGCCGGGACCATTGTGGGATGGGAAGTCTCCCCGGCATTTACCGCGGGCGGGCGGGGGTAAGAATTGCCCACTTCCCACCACTTCCCAGATGGCGGAGATTGGCGGAGATGGCGGTGGGAAACATGTCTCAGCCTCTCAGGACTGGAGGACTGGAGGACTGGAGAGGGGGAAACGTCATTGTGGCTTTTTGTCATTTTGACATGCTTCCTGTTGGTCGAGTTGATGCCAAGAAGCCGACCGAGGGATTTGTTCATCCCGGACTGCCGAGGCGAAAGATGTCACGAAATTGGTGCGGGTGATGTCGCTGGAGAGCTGCTGGTATGGGCTTTCGAGCCCACTGATCAAAGCAGGTTCAATTTCCTCATTCTTGCGTACATACATGCGTAGTACGACTTTAGACGCCATCAAACCATCAACGCAGCCTGGCCATCATGGCCTGTGATGTCGGGTTCTTGTTGGGCAATGATCGGATGCCTAGCCATGGGCCGCGGGAAGCCATCAGGGAGAGGGAGGCGTTGTGATTCACGCCGTGTTATTGGGAGACCTGGGTCCATGGCTGGGTGTCTGGCGGGGTGTTGTCGGTCCGTTTGGCGGTCTGTCGGCGGTCTGTCGGCGAGCTGGTGGTGGTGTGCGCAAGGCGTGAGCTGGTGGAACTGGTGGCGGATGCATTTCCTTAGCGGCGTTGGCCCCGGATTTCGCGGAAATGTATTCCACAGATCCGGACCGCGCTGGCAGCTGGGGCAGGCTGGTGCCAGGCGCGGTTGGCGCAGGGGGCACTGTGCCCTGTGCACCGGACTTCCGGACCGTGCGGCGGGAACCAAGGGCCTGGGACGCGGAGCGAAGAATTGCCCGTCTGGTGTCTCAATGGGCTATTCACTATTGAGCGTTTACTTGAGGAATCACTATTGAGCGTTCATTTGAGGATTCACGAGGTACTGATTGTTCACTATTGAGCGTTCACTCGAGCATTCACTAGGGTATTGACTGTTCACTATTGAGCGCGCGGGGTCCAGTAACCCTCGGTCGGTGTCCTCATTCAGCGGACCGACAACGGTGCTACTGGTCGACCCCCGAGCAGCATTCCTCCTATCGAGGCCCAAGGCGTGTGCTTGCGTGGCCTGGTGTTGTCGACTGAGGGGCGTACGTGTGCGCGTGTGGTCTTGTGCTGTGGACCTGTGGTGGGCTGAGAAGGCGTCTGTCTATGGTCCTGAAACCCGTCAGGCCGCATCATCGCAAGGTCAGAGGCAAAATGCGTTGTGGTGGAAGGCCGAGAACGGCTGAGAACGAGTTGGGACGGCCTCGTGGATGGAAATCCCAACCCAATACTTGGAACTTGTCGGGAGTGAGACGCCTAGTCGCTGAAGATACCAACCACCGGGGTCCAGGACAGTCCTCGACCATGGCTGGAAGCCTTCACTGCACTCACCGCCGACTAATAATGACCGCCACCGGGAACCAGCTCTGACACCAGGAACCAATTCTGCCACCCGGAATCACCTTGCTGAAGCTCTCACCTGCCGGCCCAGGCAAGTTCCGTGCTGTGCGTGGTGGCTGTCTCCCTAGTACTGAGAGTGGTAATGAAAGTTAAATATCTGGGAAGCCCACATTCCAGCTGCCCTCTGAAAACTGCTTCTACGGGAACTTTCCTTGCTCTCGGGAACCGTTCTCGCTGTAGCTCCCCACCTCCCGCGACCACAGCCCACCACCTACGGCCCACGAACCCGAAACCGAAACCGATCACTGTTCTCGGCGGTGGCCGCCGACTTCGGCAATTTTGAGTGTCTTAGTGGTCGTCGTTGTGGAAATTGGGCTACGTGAACCACGTGGAAGGACTGAGACTGGATGTGGCAACCTCAACTACAGAGGCGCACTAGGAGCGGATCCGCGGTCTAGACGGTCTCCAAGCAGCCCAGTCGCCAGACAATGTCGACACAAAGTCTTCAAGTCTAGACGACTTGGACCCTAGCCAAGCCGTAGACGGTCTGGAATACTGTTGTGAAACGGGAAGATCACGCCGTGTTTGGATTCCCAGTTTGCTGGGCCCCGACCAAAGCCTATTTCGGTCTTGAGCCCCAGGAGGCGGATTCGTATTGGGCCTCCTTTGAGTTTCTTCTGGCCAAGCTGAGTCTGGATTGGGTGATGGCTGAGTCCCAGGGGAATGGTTCTCCCTGAGCCTCACTCGAGCTTCATTGGGACGCCTCTGAGATTGTAAACACAGCCAAAAGCCACTTGCTTGTTGATGACCAGCCCTTCCACTCCAGATTTGGACAACTCTAAATGGTCAATACGGGCCTCCAGGCGGGCGCATCGCCAGACTATTGATACGCTATTGTCGATGCTTTCTTTGTCGAATTTTGTGTTTTAGGTCACACGGCACACATGGCATCCTGAAAGGGCTTGATTTGCGTGGGTGCACCGTCCTGTCGCATTGTTTGTCTGCAGCTGAAAGGGCTGTGGAAGTCAGGTGCTGCAAACACCGTTGCGCCGTTGGGATTCAGACTTCACATTGTTCTCACCTCTGGCCGTTCAAAGAGCCAAATGCAGGAAACGCATTGGCCCATGATGGAACAAAGAAAACATCATGTGGGACTTTCTCACCTTTGTCTTGCATGATTTTTATTGATTCAAGATCGTGGGAAACACCGCTCTCCTTTGCTTCTCCCACATCCAACTTGCCCAAACTTGACACTCTCGACGCTTGCATTCCGACTATCAAGACCACGTCTGCTACAAGCAACAATGCCTTCGCAGCAAAGAACATCTTTTGAGGCGCCCCCTGGGCATCGGAACATATCGCCCCTTGTTTATCGCCCGAAAACAAAGTCAGAACTCCTCGCCCAGTTCTTGCTTGTGGTGGTGACTTTCATCGTCAGCACGTGTAAATTAGCCCTCACGATCACGAAGATACTGGCCAATATCCCTTCCCGAACCCTTCAAAAACCGTCGTCGCTATTCGATTCTCTCGACGAACTTTTCGAAATCTTCAAGACCATCCCAAAGATCCAACTCGCGATTTTGACGGGCATCGTCTACGTTTGCTACTGCATCATCCCCCCCATATTTTTCAACACGCTGCTTTCGATACAGTCTGCCTACCAGGCATGGGTTTCTTTCACGAGAGCGCTCCCTTTTCGGGCCGTAGAAAACATCGTTTCGTTCGCGCAATATGTGGACACAATAGGTCCGCAGCTCCTTGAGGCCACTTTTGGCGGGCTCATCCTTTGTGCTGGCGGCTTCCTGGTGGTATGGGTTGCCTACCCTTTGTTTCAAAGACTCACGAAGACCAAAACACAACCAAGCTGTGACGTCGATACGCCGCCCCGAGTCCACTCGCCTTCGATTCCAGAAACGAACAGCTCGCTGAAGCCACCAGGCACTTCAAAGAGTGCTGCCAAGGACGTGGCAGTCAAACACGCCACTTCCTCTTCGAAGCCTCCGGCCATGATGGAAACTGTTGGTGAAAGCTCGACCACTGGCAGCACTTCCCGTTGGAAAACCTTTCTGGAACGAGAAGAGCCGCGGGAAGCGAGACGCTCAGACAGAGACCGGGATGGGGCTGAACGGGAAAAAGCGAATACCAAAGGGGATCACCCAGCGTTCTCGCGTCTGCTAGATGAATACGCAGCGCTGCACAACCAAACCCACCAAATGAGGTCGGAGATCGAAAGATTGAATAAACAGGTGGCAGATTTGCAGGAGAACAAGCCAGTTGGAGGAGCGTTCCTGGGCAAGGGAAAGATGCCTGAAAGACCACCCACCTTTGGCTACCTCGAAGCGCTGGCCTCGCAGCAGGAGGAGAAGAAGCAGAGAAAGCTTGCAGAGGACAATTGCCTCCAATACCGGGCTGAGCTGGAGCGGCTGAGGGTACGAATGAGGGAGAAGGATGAGGCTCACGCCGTCGAACTCCACACTTGGCGACAGCGAGTCATTTCGACAGAGGGGAAATTGCACCGCATCAATACCCTCGAGCATGAGCTCCGTGAATACCAAAAGAAACTGCGGCTCGCGATGGAAGCGGCGTTCGGACCTGGGACTGAGGCATGACGCTCGTCACCAGACACTCACGAGATAGGCGGCGGATTTTGAAGCGGATGTTGTTGGAATCACGGACATTGGGTGCGGGCATTCACTGTCGTCACACCGCCTAAGAAGATTCCAGGTATTTTGATCAACATTGCGAGTAGCCAGGCTGGGTTTTGCGAGGCGTCAAGGAAAAAGGGTACATGGACATGAAACCATGGCACGAGGATTGCTTTTAAGGTTGACGCCCACGACGAGAAAATGATTGCACGAGATTAGCTAGATTTGACTTGAGGGCGTCTAGAGAAAGACGAACAAACAAATGGCTTTCAATAATGGATCCTGACATACCAACCGCATCGTGAGGCTAGAGAGAGTACGCCCGCGATTGAACTCAACCTCGACTTAAAAAGAGGCATCACGAACCATTTCACGCAACACTGCAATCACGGAACTTGACGCACCAACTAGATGGGCGACATGGATGAGAGATGTGACAGGAAGTAGTTTCAAACTCAAATTGACCCTGGCTAAGCAGAAGAGGTATGTCTATCCGACGTCATTTCCATTCCTTCGCCCCCCGCCTTGCCGACAAAAGAGAATTCCTAGACGCCATTCGCCCCTCGTATCGTGTCCCCGCATTGCCGTTTGCTCCTGTCCCTGGTTCCGAACTCAAGGAAAAGTAGAGTGAGAGCGTTCGAGTCCGGAGAGAGTAGGATTGTGCCGTGAATGGCAGCCGAGTTCCGTGTAGGTCCAGCCTGTGTGCCTGTCGTGATCGTCGTCCCCTCTTCCTGTTCATGTGTGCTCTTTTTCTCGTTCCAGTCTTACGTGGTGCGTCGTTTGTGTCCCCCGGCAAAAGCGCACCGGCGAGGGATCTCAAGATCGACTTAAGCACCGGGGTAGTAAAGTTGCCACCCCAGAGCAGCCTTGACACTCTTGTCGTTGCCGCGGACCGCGCAGTTGACGCTGCCACGGGCACCGATCAGAGAGCCCGAAGAGTACTCGTTCAGCGCCTTCTTGAGGATCAGACTGATGTCGACATCGCCCATGACCAGCAGCTGGTCCAGCGAGGTTGGCTGGACGGCGAAGGTGCACGAGTCGGCCTGCAAGATGGGGATGTAGTCGAGGTTGTTGCCGGGCGCATCGTAGGCGCGCTTGGCAGGGTAGTCGTAGCTGGTGCCATCATCGTCACCGCCGCTAGTGGCGTTCTTGCGGCCGATAGTGAAAGTGCCGTTGTACGAGGCCCAGGTGCTGTACAGGGAAGCGCAAGCGTTCCAGTCGGCAGGCGTAACGGGGTTGTCGACGGACTCGTCGGCGAAGGAGGCTTCGTCGCAGGCCTTCTGGTCGTTGACAGTGGGGGTCCACGAGGCCGGGGTCTCGATGGCACCGGGAATAGACGTGACCGCAGCGACGGACGAAGTGGCCGAGCCGCAGGAGAGCACCGTCGAGACGAGGATGATGTTGTGCTTCGAGAAGGAAGCGGTGGTGGCAAGGGGAGCTACAGCCGAAGTGGTATCATACCCGGTCACAGCGAGAGCTGCAGCCAACGTGTTGTAGGCGGCGGGAGCGGCAGAGGCAAAGCCAGCCAGCAGAGTCGCCCAGATGACAAGGGTGGCGAGAGAGCGCATTGTTGCGGTAGGCGTTGAAAGAAAACGCGTGATGAAGGAAGTAATTCGAGTGAGTGAAGAGTTGCAGACGTTGTTGTCAAGGGATCGGACGATATCGAGGATCCCAGGTGAACGGCCGTCGAGGAAACGAAAGGGCGAATGAGTGACTGTGAATGAAGTACGGTTTGGCGATCAACACCGCGAGAGTAGGAGAGCGTTGTGAAGAAGAGAGACGGTGTGCAAAAACAGCGTAGAGAAGGAGAAAAAGAAGGCCGACCAAGGCATCTAAAAAGAGAGCGGTGCGGGAAGTGATTCAAAGGATGAAGCGAAGGTGAGAATGAGGTGAGCCAACAGTGACGAGAAAGCGAGAGTCAACGCCCGCGCCCGTGTCCGTGTGCTCAGAACCAAAAGAGGCTGTGGGCTAACACGGCGACGATTGGTGAGATGATGGATTGTTTCAAGTAGAGCATGGCAACAAAAATCCCGGGCTGCAATTGCCCGTCGCCTGTTGTTGTCCGTGGGTTTGAGCGTCCAGGAATAACACCACTTTACAAGCCCGTCAAAATATCAGGCTGGAGGGGGGGATTTTGGTTTCGATCAGCGTCCAGGACCGTCCGGCTGCCTCAAACCCCGGTGCTGGTTAAGGTTGAAGCCCCTCCCCCCCCGGGACGCTGGGACGTTGGCGATGGTGCTTCCTGGTTGGTGATGGTGTTTATCTGGTTCGTTTCGAGTTGACGGCCTGAGACAACGACCAGCGATCGTCCATCCGGGCGGTTGGTTGGTCGACAGCAGAGACAGGTTTCTTGCTCAAACATAGGAACAAAAAAGCAGCTTAAAATAGTGTCTGATACCTGGTCTGACTCTACGTGTCTGTTCAGTCCTCTCCTCTTGCCCTATCGCATCTTCTCGCAACCCAAGTATGAATTGAACCGCTCTGACAGGGCCCCGTTCCCAGCACTCTATCCGACGTCAAGATTGCGGCGCTCTGGTATTGGCGGGGGGGCCTTTGCCATGCGTGTAGTGGGGTTCAGCCCAGCTACGGCAGCCAATCCACAGGAGCTGGCCCCCTAATCCCCCTAACAATCCAGCTCGACCACTGAAATCGCCCGGAGACACTTTATACGGTCCAGGGCTCATTAGCTCTTCCATGCGTTCCTCCACTATGACGCCCCAACAACCTGGCGCCCTGCCGGACTGCCGTACCAGCGCCAGCGCCAGTGCCGGGAGCCATTTTGCGTGTTCTGCCAACTGCCTTTGGACGTCGGGTGGAAAAGGGCCCGCGGCTCCGCAGCTTCAGCGGGGCTTTAGCGGGAAGAGGCAGACTTGCCGACCTTGGCGGCATCCAGTGACATGCCTCCAGTGCCTTGTATTCTCCGCCGACTATGACGAAGGGGCCCGTCTTTACGGATAACCTTTGCGGATAACATACCCCAATCGGACCCATCTGTGAACATCACAACGTCACTTTTCCCGTTTATGATTTTTCTCGCCAAGAACATTACTCGCGACTCAATTGCCAAGCTGTAGCCGAAGTTGGGAGCCGAGACCGAGTTAGGATGTTACCCACCGTCGTCATCACTGTGTTTTGGAGGAGGAATAGAAGGATTGTCAACGACGAGTCTCATTTCAGCGTCGATAAGATACTGCACTGCCCTGCTCAACCACTAAACATCACACTGGCTGTGATTTGACATTGAATCGTTATCACCAACACCACCATCGCTCCAACCATCACCAACCATGAGCCCCGCTACCACACTCAACGCGCCACCACCAGCGGCAACCAGTCGAGTAAAACGCATCGTAGGCAGGATCCGCCGCCATACAGATGACACCGCGTCTACCAAATCCTGCTCCCTACATCGCATCTCCGGCAGCCACAACCACGCCACACAGGAAGCCGACCTCTGGAACACGGCCTACGACGCCCTGAAAGCCAACCTCAGCACGACCGGCCTCGTGCTAGCCTATGAGTCCATCCTTCTCCAGCAACTGCCCAGCCAAGGGGTCAATGATAACTCCGCCGGCCTGCCGGGGGGTCCTCGCCGTCTCGAGCTCATGACGGCGGTTGCGTCGGCGGGGCTGGCGCGCGAGCTGAGTTCCAAGTCTGATGCTGGCGATGACCTGGCGAGGAACGTCCTGGTGGCTGCTCGTGAGACTGTGGCTTCCTTGCTGGATGCGCATCCCGGTGCAGCTATTGCGTGGGCGGGAATCTGCTCTCTCACCCCTGTACGTCATTATGTGGGCTCCTTACCTACCGACAATCGATCTGTATGTTGTGGCTAACATGGATGCAGTTACTCCTCGACCCTCTCCTGAGACATCAAGATATTGCCCAAGGCTTCCTCTACCTCACAACCAACATCCCCCGCTTCACAACCCTTCCGCGCATCTTGCAACGCTCCGCCTGGCAGGACGAGCGCGACTACCTGCGCTTACGGGAGCAAACCCGCGAAGCCCTGGTGGTGCTGTACCGCCGCATCCTAGAGTGCGAGATGAACTGCGTCTGTGCCGCGGCGAGTTCGTGGAACCGCGCCGCGCGCAACGTCGTGGACTGGCAGGGCTGGCGGGCCATGACGGACAAGATGCGCGAGGCGGATGAGGAGCTGGCACGGGATATCGAGCGGTACGCTACTGAGGAGACACAAAAGTCACTACAACAAGTGTCAAAACCGGTCCAGGATGACTGAATGAATGCAAGACAGTAATTTCGTCCGATGTTGGCGTTGGCGTTGTTGGTTCAGGGGACAGGGATTGAGAGAGGAATATTTGCTTCTGCATACTCCATACCAATCAACCAACCGACCTCTTGTTTCATTATTAAGGGGGATCTGGCCTGCGCCTGACAAGCCAATCTTCTAAGAATTAGGGCTGCATATTGCTTCTTGGTAACTAGGTAATATGCGCCCGCGCCCAATCCACCTCCTGTTTCCTCCAGGTAGCTTCTGCGCAAAAAGCAGAACTTCAGATGGTGGCCGAAACCAGTCGTTTCACATCAAGGAACGAAAACATGTCATCACAAGCTGATACAACCCAGTGCTACTGGATATTATTACAAAAAAAGTCAAATTCACTTGATCTAGCTGCAATTGCTAACTCTCCTCCTATGCTAAACGCACTGGCGTTATGATCTACCCAAAAGCGCTCTACCCAACCTGATGATTATCCAAGCACATGAATGTGACACAATACCCGGAGATCAGGACTTAATCAAGAGCCATTCTAGGTCGCGGAGGCATGATTCCCTGTTGATCTAGGTCCTTCAGTGGCCCGTCAAATTCACTGATCCACTTCTTCCACTTCTCCGGGCCGACGTCTGTGAACTCGATGGCCTCCATCGCGGCCTCCCAGCCGACCGCCTTGTCCTGCGCGACAAGTTCGTACACGCGGCAAAGAATCTGCGAGAACTCGTCGGCTGGCTTCATGGCAAGGGCGAAAATGTGTCGCACCAACTGGCCCCACGCCGCAATGTATTCGGAATCGAAAGTTGATGCTGGGTATCGGAACTCCAAGGTATCGTTCCTGGAAACCACCAGCCCACAACGGCGAGTGGTGCGCACCGGTCCTTCATCAAACTTCTTCAGAATCGATCGGAGACTCTCGAGGCCGGCTTGAGCATAGATGCGTTTCATAGCCTGTAGGATCTTCTTGTCTACCTTATTGCTGTCCTCGAAGCTTTTCATGACCTTACCTAGAGCCTCCATCTGCATGGCACCGTCACCAACCAATCCAGGGATCCAGGATTCCTCCATGACAGCCTTGGAATCCGTGCTGATTCTCACGCAGAAGGGGGACTTGCCTCGATGCGGGTGACTGATTTGGTATAGCAAGGGTTCCTCCAGGAGAAGGACGAGACATGCGATGCGTTTCGCAGTGTCCTGCCTCAATTTCCCGGACTGGTTTACGTGGAGGTGAAGTCCACAGCTTTCATTCAGAGCAACTTTGACGTTGTTCTGAATTGCGTCAAGGCTTCGCTTGAGCGAAGGCAGCCCATACTTGAACTCTTCAGGACGAGTCAGGACAGGGCTGTTTAGTTCGGTTCCGTGCCAGTTATACTTGGTCGAAGGTGACTTCCCAGGCAGCTTTCGGACGTCGACAGAGATGTGCGCTTCGCGAACCATGAACCAGTAATCAGCTCGGGAGACAATGCCATCCTTGGACACGGCAGCTTCTTTGTTCCAGACACGGATACGCGAAAAGTCTGGAAGTTCAAGGATCGAGTCTGCAGGGGCATCATGGGCAATAGGGTTCAGAGGGTCAGACTTGGAAGGATATGGACATCCCGTGGGAAGTTGAGCGGTTGCTAAAGCCTCGCAACCTTGCATGACGGAAGCCATCTCGGCCCAATAATGAGGCCCCGCAGGCGAGGGCACCGTATACGGGTCCTCGGACGGAGGATCACATGCCCATCTGTGATCCTGATCGAGAACTTGAGCATCCTTGTCTTTGTATTGAGCAGTGAGGAACTCAACCTCCACTCCTAGACTGATGGAATCTGGGATCTCCATTTTCTGTAAGTGAATCGCTGTAGAAGTGAATATGATTCGGATTGTTTGCCTAGATCGTGGAATGGTTGGTGAGGTTTATGCTTCAAAGTAAACCAGTAGTGTGTGACATGATGAAACGGAATCTGCGGAAGGGCACATGGCATTCAATAAATAGCTGGGCATACGTCGACTGAATTCTACAAGAGACCGGCGAACTGATGTTCAGCCATTCGGAGACCTGATGTTCATGATGCTGTGGTGCGAGAGTTATAAGAACATCGTTCCCCGTTCCTTTGCATGGGACAGAATCTTGGCTGGTGTAGCCAAGTAAAAAGAGACGGGACTTCGGGAATGGAACTGGTCTAAGAACTTTCGGGCATGTAATTAGCTTCGTTGACGGGAACTGAACAGTTGCGGTCGTTTCCCATGGCATGATACTGCGTATGTTCTCAAGGCTGGTAGGGGAGTAAGTGTTCTGCATCATGAACCAGACCAGGCGTGAACGAGTAGATGCTTGTGAAAGCCATAACTTCTTTGGAAGACATTGATTTGATGTCGAGATTAATGGACGAGCGTATTAGTTCTGGGTCAGTTCACTAAGTACCGTCGAGGTCATGTCGGCCTCGATCGTGTGGAGGGGGCTACACTTGTGTAATACCATGGATCCGGGGGAAATGACTCCGCATGGCCCAATCAACTGGAATATCTGATCCCAGGACACAGACCGGTGAAACTCACAGACTAGAACACTGATCATGGGCCATCAAGAGTCTCTTTGTGAGCGCTGTGACAGGTCCCAGTGGTCCGTGACCAGCCCTCGCCAACAAAGCCATTGGAGCTTTGCAAGGCGGCGCACATCGAGTAAGTTGCACTGAAGGACATGTGAATAAAATTAGCGGTACTTGGAGTGCGTCCGATGGTCGGAGCCCACTACAGGATTGGAATCACATGGCAATACTGTTCTTGGTGTGCGTGATGCTGTGTTGCGGACAAAGCCAGGAGATGGTCCCAGATGGATGCGCTGCTGCGGAGCACAATCGTTAATCCGGCCCATCCAATCACAGCCCCGGATTCCGGGGGTCCATTGTGGGGAAGTCGCCAACCTGACAGCCCCAGAGCTCCCGACAAGGCAGGAGCCGGGAGGTACGTACCGTGCTCCCCGGAGCTCTGCGACGTAGAAGCTGCACAGCAAGCTCTAGCGCCTGAGCTGGCGCATCCGACGAAACCAGGCCAGGCCCTTTTCTGATTGATTGATTTGCAAAAAAAAGTCACGGCTGTACTTTGGGCCCTGGAAAACGCGACACAGCGCAACTGCAGCGCGTCACCTCACCACCAACATTTTGGATCCGTCACCATCGCCATCACCGTCGCCACCCAATCATCTCCCACCACAACCACCACCGCGCCGTCCATCACCACCCCATTCCGGCGTCCAACCCGCACCTCCAGCGTCGCGAATACCTTCCGCCAACAGCTGCGACCGACCGACTTCACCCTCCGTCGACCCCCGTTGCCCATGCGGCTCGCCCCGCCCCGGCCGCCGCTCTCTCGTCCTCGCCCTCGCCCTCGCCATGCATCTCATCAAGCCCTCATGGCTAAGCCACAGCGGCGAGCAGAAGGACTTTGAAGTCTATAGCTGCCACGTCTCTCCCGATGGCAAGCGTCTCGCGACCGCTGGCGGCGACGGCCACGTCCGCATCTGGTCCACCGAGTCCATCTACAACGCCAACTCGCCCGACTACAACAAGCCGCGACAGCTCTGCCACATGAGCCACCATCTCGGCACAATTCACTCAGTCCGCTTCTCCCCCAACAACCGTTACCTGGCCAGTGGCGCCGACGATAAGATCATCTGTGTTTACCACCTCGACAAAGGCCCCCCTGCCGCCACCTTCGGTACCAATGAGCCGCCTCCCGTTGAGAATTGGAAGACCTACAAGCGCCTAATTGGCCACGACAACGACATCCAGGATCTCGCTTGGTCATACGACTCCTCCCTCCTTGTCTCCGTTGGCCTCGACTCCAAGGTCGTTGTCTGGTCCGGCTACACTTTCGAGAAGCTCAAGACTCTCGCTGCGCACCAGAGTCATGTCAAGGGCATCACCTTCGACCCGGCGAACAAGTTCTTCGCCACGGCTAGCGATGACCGAACCATCAAGATCTTCCGCTTCACCTCCCCAGCACCCAATGCCACCCAGCACGACATGGTCAATAACTTCGTCCTCGAAACTACCATCAGCTCCCCCTTCAAGAGCTCACCCCTTACCACTTACTTCCGCCGCTGCTCCTGGTCCCCCGACGGAAACCACATCGCTGCCGCCAATGCTGTCAACGGCCCCGTCAGCTCCGTCGCCATCATTGAACGAAGCAGGTGGGACAGCGAGATCAACCTGATTGGACACGAGGCACCCACCGAGGTCTGCATGTTCTCTCCCCGACTCTTCCACACCGTGCAGCCAGACAAGGACGACCCCACGAACGGTAGTGGTGGACAGCTCGTTACTGTCATTGCCTCGGCTGGTCAGGACAAGACACTGAGTATTTGGAACACCAACACCTCCAGGCCGGTTGTCGTTCTCCAGGACTTGGCTGGCAAGTCAATATCTGATTTGGCCTGGACCCCTGATGGTCAGACCCTGTTTACCGCAAGTCTTGACGGAAGTATTGTGGTCGTCAAGTTCGGAGAAGGAGAGCTAGGATGGGTCGCGCAACCTGAAGAGAACGACAAGGCACTGCAAAAGTATGGTGTGTCCCGAAAGGGAATGGGTATTGTTGAGGATGTGGATGGGTTGATGCTGGAGAACCAGAGCAAAGAAGGCGAGTCAAGGGCCGTCGAGTCGAGGATGGGCGCCCTCATGGGTGATTTTACAGCTGAGTCCACCAAGGAGTCCACGCCTGCTACCAATGGCACCAAACCAAGCTCAACAACAGCTAAGCCTGCTACCAATGGCCAAGCGGAGCCTGAGAAGAAGCCAGAAGAGGCCGCGGACAAGACTGCAGAACGCGTCAAGGAGCTCAAATCCAGAGTCACAGTTGGCAAGGACGGTAAGAAGCGAGTTGCGCCCTTGTTGGTCTCGTCATCTGGAACCGGTCAATCGTCACTGCCTCAGACTCAGTTGGTCGGATCGGCCACGACCAAGACAACCCAGAACGAAGCTCCACAAACCGTCCTTGACCTCACGAAGCCGTTTGACGGGCTTCCTAGGGGAGGCATTGCTTCTATGCTGCTCGGCAACAAGAGGCGAATGGCCCCGGCCGAAGTCGAGGACGAGGAAGAGCCTACGGCAAAGCGAGTTTCCACTGGCCCGACGCCCGTCATCACTAATGGTGCAGACGGCGCGGAGCCTGCGGCCCTCGTGCCCGTTCAAAACGGCGTGGTGCCGACCCCCGAATTCCTCAGACCGGCGGTCCTGAACCCGTCGATTTCCTTCGCTCAGGTCAGGCTTGCTGTCCCCAAGATTCGGTCACACATCCTTCGACCGCTCGAACGCGGTATCCTGCAAGAAGAGAGTTCGCTCGAAGAGGCGTCCAGGATCTCCGAGAATTTCATTTTGGAAGCCAAAAACGACGTCAACCCGCGTGATCCTTCTCATGTTACCGTCACAAAGAGAGGCTCATTATTGTGGCAGGAATTTCTGCCTCGAGCAATCATTTTGGTGACAGCAAACAAGAACTTCTGGGCAGTGGCGTGCGAGGACGGATCTGTACACGTCTGGACACCCGCTGGAAGAAGGCTCCTCAACCCTATGGTTCTGGAAGCACAGCCAGTCATCCTCGAGTGCCGCGAGCATTGGCTTCTTTGCATCACCGCCATGGGCTTGGCACACGTCTGGGATCTCAAGACACAGTCCTCACCTCACCCGCCTGTCTCTCTTGGACCAATCCTCGACGTCGTCACGACCTCGCTGAACCAGCACACGGCGACCCCGGGACCCGGTGTCACCTCTGCACATCTCAACTCGACTGGGCACGTTGTCGTCACCCTCACCAATGGTGATGGCTACTACTACGCCCGAGAGATGTACACCTGGCAGCGACTCAGTGAAGCCTGGTGGGCGGTCGGGTCCCAGTACTGGAACTCCAATGACTCCTCTATATCTGCCTTGCAATCCACCGCGGTGGGCCCGGTTTCCAAGGACGGCAAGGACAAGGACTCGACAAAGGTCACCGCTTCCTCTGGCATCATTCCTTTCTTGGAACGCCACACCACCAACGAGTTTCTGCTTAAGGGCCGGTCGTATGGGTTGCAGCGTATTATCAAGATGCTCGTTCAGCGTAAAGAATCAGAGGGCCTGGAGAGCAGTATTAGCATCGCGCACTTGGAGAACAGGATCGCAGGAGCCATGCAGCTGGGGTCAACAGAAGAGTTCCGGTTGTATCTCTTCATGTATGCGAAGCGACTGGGAGCCGAGGGAGCACGGGGAAAGGTTGAAGAACTGCTCAATAGCCTCATCGGCGGCATTCTTGAAGAAAAGGATGACAAGGTCAAAGACAACGGACGAGGCTGGTACAGCAAGGAAGGAGAGCTTTGTGGATGGGACCGAAAGGAACTGCTCAAGGGTGTGGTGATGATTCTCGGTGAGTTTATTCTGACTGATAGTTCGTTGCGTAATGTACTAACATGTGGACAGGAAAATTCCGTGAGTTACAACGGTTGACACTGCAGTACGCGAGGGTTCTGGACCTGGACCTGGAGGACGGGTCGGTGGATGCGGAGTCGATGGACGTGGAGGCTTGAGGGTTGTGTCGCAATCCGTGTATCAGTACCAGTACATGTTTGTGGATGGGTAGACTGGGATAGTCTGCCGACAGGATAAGACCGGCGTTGGGGCATATTTCTTGGGCGATGATGGAGGTGGGGGAGACAGAACTCTTGGCTGTATGCGGGTATAGAAAACTGTATGTTTCTGTAACAATGATGGTTCGTGATGATACATAGCCGTCGACTGTGCTTGCTGGTAAGATGTTATTCAAGATATGGTGTCTTGGCCAGTCTGGATTTCCATCTGGTTGGACGACATGTACGAGTGCTGGCAGAGAGCCGGCCAATGGCGGCGAGGCCTGAGGCAGGGCGAAGCCGGGGGAACTCGGTCGACTGGCTGCGGGCGCCGTTAATCACAGCTCACCGTGGTGTTGGCTCAGGTATCACACCCACCGGGAGCCGCGGTGCAACTCGAGCCTCCCTGCGTTTCAACTTCTCTCAAGGCAACCGAGGGGTCAGCAGACTCGACGACCAGTGCTACTCACCGCCGACTTTGCTTGGCCAACGTGCTTCGCCCTTTATCTATTCCGCCGCGGAGCCGCAGAAGGGGATTGTCCGTTACCCAGAAACACTCGCGACGTCTGCCCGCTCCGTCGTGGGCTGCTCGGACTCGCGGCGCCGAGGACGGTCGGTTTGCGCTGTGCGTGCGCCGATTTGGCCCCAGAGGAGGCTTTCATTGTTCCCGCCCTCGCTATTGTCGGCCTCGACAGTGAGGTTGAGCTTTTGGCGCTTCCCACGGCTCTGAGTCTATTGTCCCGTCGAAGCTCATTGTCGACTGGCCGAATGAGCCCGTCGACTTGCTATTGTTACCACTGACCTTTCGGGTTCCACCACTGCCCTGCCTCCGTGGGCAGAACATATTCTCTCCCTGCCTGCTGCTTGCTGCTTGCTGATTCTACGCTATTCTCTCTCAGATTCCGGTGAGTTTCTCTCTCTCTGCGAATCGGCGAGGGCTTGGCTCGCCCGTTGTACACCCGTCTCGCACCTGCCAACGGCTGCCCCCTCCCAGGCCGAGTGCTGCTCCCATTTTCGCGTCCTGAACAATAAGGCTTGACAAAGGTTTGCAGGCCCGCCCTCTGCTCACAAGTTTGCCTCCCACACCTCTTATATTTAGATCTTCTACCACTTCTACTTCTGCTCCTTACCTACTTGAACTTCAACTTCAACTTCACCTTCACCTTCAACTCAAACTTCTACTTCAACCACTCTCCTTCTCTGACACATTGTTTCCGGATTCGTTTCACTTCGGCTCTTCAACTACAAACAAGTCACTTGGTCACTTGGTGCGTGTCGACACAACCGTCTTGCCCTGGCATTGCCCCACGCTCCCTTCACTTCGTTGCTTTCCCAGTCTCTCCTTGAGTTTTGTCTGCGCTTCACACCCTCCTTCAATTGTCAACCTGATTGGAAACCTTCGGCAGTATGAGATACACGCTGTCCCTCCCGTGGTGGGCTTTGATAAGCTTGTTGCTCCATCTTCCGGCATTCATCCACGGCCTGGGTTTCAATTCCTCCACTGATCCACCTCCTCGCGCAGCCTTGGTTACGCTCGCCCATGACTCCGATCTCCCTGCCATGCTCGTCTCTATGCATCAACTTGAGGATCAGTTTATCAGCCAGTACCACTGGATCTTCTTCAGCACTCGCGAGCTCAGCGAAGACTTCAAGCGTCTGACATCAAACGCCACCAGCGCCACGTGCATCTATGAAGTTATTGCCGACGAGCACTGGGGTACCCCGGATTGGGCCAGGCAGGACCCTCTTTACGTACCTCCTAGCTACGAAACGGACTTTCACCCTGATCCCGAGACCCCTGCTGCGGATTCTCGGCAGAGATATCGTTGGAACTCTGGCCTTTTCGCTAGGGAGAAGCGGTTGAAGGACTATGATTGGTTCTGGAGGGTCGAACCTGGTGTAAGTTCCTGTTGTGCATAACAGTTGGGGGTCGTCCAAGCTCTACCGGTAGCTAACAGAAGCGATTAGTCGCGGTTGACACAAAGCATCGACTTCGACATTTTTCGTTTCATGCGAGACAACGGAATCGAATACGGCTTCCACCGAGATGCCCTCGCTGAAACGAACTTGCGAGTTCTGTCACCTCGAATCAGGTCCTTCATCGACAAACACCCAGAGCTACTGCATAAAGAAGCCGACGTCTCGTGGTTATTCGATAGCCCGAATGCAGAGAGTACGCAGACGGAAGAGGACGAGGAATCATTGGTTCGTGAGGGCCCAATAAGACTCAGGAAGCGGATTAACTAGGAGGGCCGCCCTGACCTTGCGGGCCACTCGGACACGGATTCTCCCCAGAGCGAGAATGAAGATGACGACGAAGAAAGCGATGATATGATTTCCTCGCTGGCCGAGGCTTTTACGTCTTGGTTAAGTGGCATTTATGAGAGCAGTCTTTACCCGACATTTGAGATTGGATCTCTTGCCTTGTTTCGCAGCCCCAACCACGCCGCTTTCTTTGATCATCTTGATAGTGCAGGAGCGTTCTACTACCACGCCTCCAAAGACGTGCCGGTGCACACGCTGAGTGCCAGCATGTTTTTACCAAGGCAGAGTGTTTGGAACTTTAGCAAGAAGGCAGTCAGACATCGAGCTCACCAGGAGCAGCGCCCAAGTCAACCGAAAGAAACTCCCGACTGCGATGCCAACGTCCAAAACAGCGCCCAACCCGAATCGACCAACAAGTTCCAGTTTGCGAATAACGCCGAGGAAATCATGGCGACATGGCTGGCGTGTTGGGAGGTGCTGGCTCGTGACCTGGAGAGGCAGGAATCCTTCCCGGGGTTGATGTCGGGGAACACAGTCATCGATGAGCGCAACTTTTCCCTTGCCTAAGCAAATCTCCCGCGACGCGTTGTACAGAGGCACGATATGATGAGTCAAGATAGCGGTGGGAACAGACCAGGTCGATGACGATGAATGATTGCAGGTCTGGTGTGTTTACTAGAAGCAATTAAGTGTGACGTCTCGCAGGTCGAGCGGCACCAAATAGAAGATTGCCAAATTTACGGATGTTGAATGCAGCGGTGAAGAGAAAGTGTGCGTGACTGCGTGGTGTCCCATGAGTTTGGGAACTTTGCAGGTTGAGTGAGAAGATGTCGTCAACTGTCGCACGAGACGCCGGCATGAACAAGCCGGCGTTACGTGTGTGTCGACATGAAGACGTTACAGACGGATGGCCGGAATGGCGGCTACACGGCTCCGTGCCTTGCAGTCCCTGCAGACCTACGTCACCGCGTTGGACGCGGCTTTCTGGGAGGTAGAGATGGATTACCGGATGACGCCATACAGCACAATGGTGACTGGGCGCGGCTGGTGGAACAATGATATGCGAGATGGCGATGGCGAAGACAGGGGATGTCCCTCGTTGTGGTTCAGCAATAGGTCGTGAACGCAAGGCGTATTGAAACGGGATGTGAAATGGCGTAACACTAGGCTGGCCATCCTTTTGATAAGGGTGCTGGAGGAAGGGGATGTTTGGCACGGGGTGGTTTGGTGGTTTGGTGGACTTGGTGTATGTGTATCATGGACAAGCGGTCTCATGCCTCGTGCTTGTTGAAGGCAGCAAAACGGCACAGGGGGACATGATGCCTCGTCACGCAAATTGAGCTTCGGTTTCCACAAACTTTTGCTGGACTAGGAGATATGAATTGTCATTACACGACTGTACGAAGTAACTTAGGCAGCTGGCAATACCGTATCGACTCGATAAATTGGCCCTGTTTTATGGACTCAAGCTAAGTTATATAAAGCTTAGATTTTCTAAATCATTTATTATCATTAGGTATAAAACTCCCAAAGGCCATGAGTGGGGGATGGATTCAGGGCCAATTTACTGAGTCGATACGGTACATCTAGGACGTCATTTCCACCGCCCGACTGTGGGGAGTTTGCGGGATTCCGATGATGATCGGCGCCGGACCGGAGCCGGAACATGCCACCCCTGGGCCGGCGTACGCAATCCGTGGCGCCAACGACATTGATAAGGCAGCTTACTGTCTTAAACGAGAAATGCATGGAGCTCCGATACGACTAATTTTCTTGCATGACGACTTCCGGAGGTGATGGTCCTTGAGAGTTTAATTCTTTTCCCTCATTTTCTGGCCACTACTCTGCGAGCGACAGGGTGGTGGTCATCCGCCGATGGGCTGATTTCCTATAACGGCCGTCTTCAGGATGTAACTTAGGGGATCAATGTGGTTGAAGAGGATGGCTGGGACCGGGGATGAGGCGAACTACTGCGCTGTACACGTGGACATGTCCCCAGTCCGTCGCAGCATCGCAGCATCACATCAAGAGGAGCGCCGAGGACCGGGATGGACCGTCAAGGGTTGACAATGTGACCCGCCATGTGTGCATCGCAGCTAATGTACCTTTGCAGGAGAGAGGGCATTCAGGAAACGGCCATACATATCTTCCGTTTAAGTGCAGCACAGGGCATTCATTTAACAGAGCTGTCAGTGTATCGGCGCGTCAGTTGTGTCGTTTCCCATGCAGGCAGGGTCAGCCCTGCGTCGTAATGGTGCAAGACGCCAAAAAAGGATATTATTACGGTACTGACTCAGCGGGACAGCCCACCCATATGTAGCTTTCAGCAGCTCCAATGTGGCTGAGGAGCTGGTTGACGCTCGACTGGCCACGACAACCATCTGGCTGGAGCCTGGGCAGCTGGGCTGAACTGGATTGGACATCAGGGGGCGGGGAGTTTGTTGTTTGTTTCGATCTCAGGGGGGTGCTCGCTCATGTCTCTCCAGTGTCTCCCTCCCACGGCTCTCCAGCTCGCTAATATCGAGTAAATGAATGCCGTATTTATTCTTAGCCACCTCCTGACGCCTCTAGAGGCTAGGGTTAGGCTAGATCGGTCACAACTCTGGCGTGTAATTTTTTTTTCCATTCGGTCCAGTACGCGGGTGGGAAGCCTCCCTGGCGAGTGTGCGAGCCGACAGGGCGGCTGGCCTCCAGCTTGAGCGGCGGAGGAAAAGCCAAGACAGGGGTCACAAAAGGCTGGACAGGGGGGTGCTTGTGCTCCACCCCTGGCGGCCCTGAAAAGAAGGGACCTGCAAAAGGAGGGTTGCGAATCGGAGGGCTTGGTTTGATGATTTGGTCCTCCACCTTTTCCGACGTTGGATGTCTGGAAATGTCGAGGGTTGGCTGAAAAGGGTTGGCACTACCTAAGTCAGGTAGCTAAGGTAGGAGAACGACTCCCCAACAAAAGAGACAATGTTGATTGATACCCGATGCACCAGCCGCGCCCCAGGCCAATCTCAGGTACCCAGAAACGGAGTCCAACGTGTGCCCTGCGTCGGCCTGCACTGTAGGGACCGCATAAGGCCCTAAAACAAAAAGTCGGGGAAGGTTAACTTGCCGGGCCCTGCCCCTGCCCAGCCCGCGTGCCGCCATCACCCATTCGAGGTACCTTCCTTAGTCTACTACCTTAGCACATACCTTGGTGGGCACCACGGAGCACCTGCCTCCACCTCCACCATGGGCCACGACCGAAAAAGACCAAGGCCAAACCTCATGCGACCGACAGGCCGACCGCCTCGCGCGTGCCTGCCCTGTCTGAGGCTGTCCTCGACCCTTTGCCCCGTCTTCTGCTACCGTACGGAGTGCATTCGAGTACGGTACCCTGGCCCTTTTTCGCCTTTAACTGCTTGTGCAACAGGGCTATTGACTGGCTACTGCGTTTGCTGGCCCGGCTTGCTAGTTGCATTCGCATCTGCGCTCGCATTGCTCCTTCAATCTTTCCCGCCTGCCGCGTTCCCTCTTCGAGGTTGCTCCTCCCCTCCTTTGACGCCTCCTTCTACGCCTCCCTCTGACTTCTCCTCTTCACCTGCTTCTTCACCTCCAACCTCGGCCTCGCTTCTCCTCGCTCCTTCATTCCAGTTTTTCTCCAAACTTCCTTCCCTCCTTCTCTGGTCCGAATTCGCTTTATCCCCGCCGTTAACCTCGACCCACGACGAGCAGACCCGCCCGAAATCAAGCTCCGGAGAGGACTGGGAAAGGCAGCTCTTTTGGCTCCCGAGCCGTGGCAGCACTGCCCAGTTGCGATTGCGGAGGGTCCCTAACTAGTGCGAAGAAAGGGATAGCTATCAATTCTTCATTCGCGACGCTTCCCCATATTTTCGACAGTCCCGCACGGCTCCCGATCGCCCACGGCGGATATTGCGACTGCGACGCAAACCTCGACAACCCTTCCCCCACGCCGGTCGCATCCGCAGTCGACATCGCAGTCGCAGGCGCAGGCACATTGCTTTGCTCGATCTGACTCGAACAATCGGTCAATCTCATACCAAATCGCTCTCCACCGACCGCGCCCGCACCAACTGCGCCGTGAGTCGTGTGCGTCATGGCCATCCTCGACAGATACCCGCGCGGTGTCGCGCCGACCAGCCAGAGCACCTTCTTGGGCCTCACCACGAAGCAATGGTCGCTGACCACGGTACGGCCCCCAATTCACCATTCCCTCCCATGGACTCGACCTTTAGCCTGTTAGTGAAGCGATATACTGACAATCTGGTGGCACAGTTGGTCTTGCAAAATTCCGCCCTGATCTTGGTATGTACCCGAATCACCACCTCCAATATCATGACAATTCTAACCAGACTGTTAATAGATCATGCACTACTCTCGCGTTATGCCCCCGTCTGGCGACCACCGGTACTTTACCTCGACCGCCGTATTTCTCAACGAGGTCATAAAGTTCGCCGTCTCTCTCTCCCTCGCCATCTACGAAACTTCCAAGACACTCGCCCCCACCACCCCCGCCACGGTCCTCTTCGAGCAGATCTACAACACCGTTTTTGCCGGCGATGGCTGGAAGCTCATCCTTATTGCTGCTTTCTTTACACTCCAGAACCTGTTGCAATACGTTGCCGTGGGTAACCTCGACGCCGTTCACTTCCAGATTCTCTACCAGCTCAAAGTATGTCCGCCCCACGAATTTCGTGGCTTCAATCCATGGGAATACCTGTACCAAGACTCGAATTAAACTAACAATTCTCTAGATCCTCATTACTGCCCTTTTCAGCGTCAAACTTCTCCGCCGACATCTGAGTCCTAAGCGCTGGTTCGCCCTCGTCATCCTCACCCTTGGCGTTTGCATTGTCTCCATGCCTCAATCCGACTCCTCCTCTCCGGGACCCTCTCCCATTATTCACGATATGACGGACCACTTCTTCCCCCGGTCCCTCCATGAACTCGGTCACGCCCCCGTTGACTTTGCTTCTGGAGGTAGCCTCTCTAAGCGCTCCGCTACCTATCAAGGCATCGACCATGACCTACCACCTCCCGACCCCCTGATGGACTACTCTGTCGGACTGAGCTCTGTCTTGGTTGCCGCCTCTGTTTCTGGTCTCACCGGCGTCTACTTTGAGAAACTGCTCAAGGAGAGCCCCACCCAGGCCAGTGTCTGGATCCGCAATGTTCAGCTGAGCTTCTACTCTCTTTTTGCGGCGCTCCTAGGCGGTGTTATCTGGCAAGACGGAAGCGGCATTAGAGAGCATGGCTTCTTTGAGGGTTACAACTGGGTCGTGTGGAGTGCTGTGATCCTCCAAGCTGCCGGCGGCCTGATTGGCAGCGTAGTCATTCGCGATGCCGACAATATTGTCAAGAGCTTTGCGACAGGTATCAGCATTGTCGTCAGTTTCTTAATCAGCGTCTTCGTTTTCAACTTCGAGGTTACTTTTACGGTATGACCCCTTGCTGCAGTTTGCACTGCCCCTGCCAACCCACTCTAACTAATGTTTCCAGTTCATCCTCGGCACCTCACTCGTCCTCTTGTCCACATACATCTACGGTAGCTCGGATCGTAGTATCCACCGCCCCGCCCCTATCAAGATCGCCAAATTTGAGAAGCCCACCATCGAGCGAGTATACACTCCTCGTGGAACTTCTGGGACTCGCATGACCCTCGCGCCTTTCGACGGCAATGTTGGCGTAACCAGCAGCCGGCCCAACAGCCCGATGCTTCCCCGGCAACCTAGCCGGACCAACATCAAGAGGGATGATTGATTTATGACCAACAAAGAAATGGGGAAAGGTCCCCACGGCACTCCGAACAAAAACCAGGTTAACATCCAGGTGCGAGATCAACAGCACCAGAAGGATGTCACATTTTATGAATTTGCAACGATATTATGACATGAAATATATTCACATATATACAGATATATATAGGCAACATATCCTAGATGCCATGGACACATGCATTTTTTGGACAGCTAGAACAGTAACTTCCGGGTCTAGATGGGCGTTGTCCTGGTGGCAATGCAGGTCAGGAACGCAGGAAAGGCGCGCTGGAGATACCACGAAATGTGCCCATCCCTTCCTAACAGTTGGGCGGGAAGATGGAAGGATAGATTCTCAAAATGTTGGATTTTAGAAGTGTGAGGAATCATTGCCTGATCCTCCACCGGCTTTTCTACGACCATTATTGGTCCATTGGGTGGAAATAGACGTCTATTTTTGATTCTAGCCCATCTGTTTTGTGTGGTTCGTCCAACTCGATCCCTTCTCCAGGACGAAGGAGCGTGATACTCATCTCCATCTGCGTCATATACCCATTCCCATTAAATCCGCCATCGACTTGATGACATGTGCTCCGGGGGTTTACAGAAACTGAATTTTGGTTTCATGCTTTGGTATTATATAGTGTGCTTCTCCGTTTACATGATGACCTCGTTAGAGACGTCCTAGGATTTTATGTTAGTAGACAAGATGCATTAGTTAGGGGGGATGGACATACCCGCTTCAGCTCCTTGTAGGGCAAGCAGATACAGTTTGACACGCGAACCTCATCGCCAACACCGCAGTCCTTGCCGAGAATGGTGATGCTCTGGACCTTGACGCCGTTCTTGATGATGCTGGTCGAGTGGCTGCCGGCGGGGAGAGGAGTGCCCTCAACACGTGCCCAAGCACCGATCCGGCTGCCCCAGCCGATGATAGAGTAGAGGACGCAGGCATCGTGCTTGACCTCGGAGTCCTCGAGGACAACACTCTCCTTGATGCGGGCGCCAGCGCCAACGGTGACACGGGGACCAATGCTCACGTTGGGGCCCAGCTTGGCGGTGGGGTGGACATCGGCGGTGGGGTGGATGAAGACCGGGGGCACAATGTTGACGCTGGGTGCAGAGAGCTCGTCGCTGCCGGCCTGGGCGGCCTGCTGGAGGTAGAGGGCGTTGGCGGGGACGGCGGAGCCAGCAGTCTTGATCTGACGCCAGAAGTCCTTAGTCTCGTAGACGTAGAACTGCTTGCTGTCGGCCATATCACTCAGGATATCCTGCTCGAGGCGGATGACCTCGTTCTTCTTGCCCTCATCATCATCGTCGTCGTCGGGGAGGATGAAGCTGTTCTCGAGGTTATCGGAGGAGGGGTAAGAGACGAGGCGAGAGGGTCGATCAAGGCGGCGCTTAATGGCAGAGCGGATGGAGGGGAAGATGGCCTCAGTAGAGAAGAGATAGACACCGCAATTGATGAGGTTGCTAATGCGAGACTCGGGCTTCTCGACGTAGTGCAGCACACGGCGGGTGTGGGCGTCGGAGACGATGCAGCCGAAGTTGGTGGCAGCCTCGTCGCTCACGCGGGTACCGAGGATGACGGCCTCGGCATCCTTCTCGATGAAGAGGCGCAGCATCTCATCGAGGGGGAAGGAGCAGCAGACATCGGCGTTGAGGACAAAGAGGCGCTCCGGGCGGCCCTTGAGGATGGCATCGCGGAAGTGGTAGAGACCACCAGCGGTACCGAGCGCCTCGTACTCGCGGAGGTACTTGATGGTGATGGCGGGGAACTCCTTGGCGGAGTCCTTGATGAAGTCGCGGAAGACAGACTCATCGTAGTAGCCAATGATGTAGACCTCCTGGATCTGCTTGTTCGGGACGCGGGCGACGGAGCTGAGGCAGTGCCAGATGATGGGGTGACCGGCGACCTCGAAGAGGGGCTTGGGGACGTCGAGGGAGAGGGGGCGGAAGCGGGTGCCTCGCGAAGGGCCACCGACCTGGGAAGAGTTAGCGGATTCGAACCTATCGAGGGTCAAACGAGGGGGAGTGAAGCTATACCAGGATAACGGCCTTGGTGGCGCCCTGGTCCTTTGCGCGATGCGCCATGGGGACGTGCAGAGACATTTCTGTGGAAGGGCAACGGAAAATGGAGAGGGTGGAGGAATCTGAGCAGAAGCGTCTCGGAGGGCGTCCGTTGGAGGGCTGAGGGTGACAATGTATAGTTGAGCGGTGGTGGGAGATTTGGCGGTTGCTGGCCTTGTCTGGGCTGTTTTGGCGGGGGAGATGATGGAGGCGGTCACAGCAAACTAGGCGTCTAGGACAGGGGGGTAGCTGGTTTCGCTGTGGATTATGCGATTAAGCGATGAGACCAGTCTTGAAAGCTGTCAACTTGGGCTAGCTCCATCAATAAGAGTCGCAGGATGCATCTCGTGGCATGTTAGACTTGGCCCAAGGGATCTCACATGGGTCTCGTCAATCCAGGGGAAGCCCTTTTCTAGCCGTAGAAGTGGGTTATAGATTACATTGACTGTCACACCGCGGGGATGAGACCCTGCGTCTGCGTGCCTTATCGTTTCGGTGAACAACCAGCTCCACCGATATCGTCGAGGCCACACCGACGGTGAACCTCCCGCCCGCGAGCCTCCCGCACCAACTTTCCAGGGTGGTGGACCCCCTGTGACGGCCCGCGCGCCCCTGACCACTTACACGGCAGCGCGCTGCAACCACTAAAACTCGCCTGCCTCACAGCCCGCGCGTTCACTGGAGGGCGGCTGCTCTCAGGGGCAGCAAGGCGCGCCAGCAAGGGGGCCGCCGCTGCCTGGTTGCTCCCCCAGCCACTCTAATTTTCTTTTCCCAATCTTTGGCCGGTGGAGATACGTACCTGCACTGGCGCAACTCCAGGAAGCATTAACTTTTGTTAAGAGGAGGACCGATATAGCGGCTAGAAATTCAATTCAACGGGCATTTAAAGACTGATAGCTCCCTGAATACGAATTTCGTGATCGTTTCAGTCCCATTTCCTATTTTCATGGATTTTTGAAGGCGCATGCAGCGCGTGGTATCACATGACCGAGTCTGACCCTCTAACAGCCATTATCGACCCCCGGTGCTGCGCCAGAGCCGCATCGCTCGGGGGGCGAGAGTGCGAAACACCATCCGCATCAGCCCTCCAACACCTCGACTCATCACTTTCATCTCACCAGCTCCCTCACCAACCGCTCACCTTGCGATAATACATTCTTTCTGTGTTTTGTTTGTTTTTGATACCCTCTATGAGTCTCTTGTCGTTTGGTTAGACCCGTGACTTGTCATTCATCTGTTTACCTGGGCAACCATCTCAAAAACGGCCTAGCAACGACAGCTGAAGCATCTGTCAGTGTTTGCTTCACTCACTCACCTGACATCCAGTCCAAACGCCTGCCTATTCACTTCCACCAAGTGGGCCCCACTCAAGTCGAGGTGAATGAATTCTGAACCGGCGTTCAACAACAACAAGATGCCGCACTCTACAAATCGCCGGGCTGCGCGTGGGCCCAACTCTCACCGAAACAACATCAAAAGAGATCCCGACTCCAGCACCGACTCAACATCACTTGATGATTCCGGAACTTTCAACAACACAGATCGCAGGAGAGGCACTTCAAATACATCAAACTTTGGTGGCAGCTCGACCTACTTAGCCGTCGACCAGTCCTTCTACCGCCAGGGGCGCTCTGATGCACGTAAGTCTCATGTTATCTTCTCACTCAGATCCCAACGAACCAACAACTGACTCATCTTTCATAGCAACGCCCAGTGAGCGTATCACAGAGCCAGAACCGCTGCTGCGGGAAATGAGGATGCGTGCCCCTACCAGCGCTGCCGCTGAGAGTCCCACCAGCGTGGATCCTGGCGAGTCCTTCTTCCACACATCGTTCCAGGATATCGGCAAGAAGCTCAAGGCCTGCAACGACACGCTCGGTGAGCTTCAGCAGCTTGGTGTCTCTCACGATGTGCAGCTCCCAGAGCTTGTCCTCGTCGGCGACCAGTCAGCCGGCAAGTCCAGTCTGATGTCGGGACTGGCCAACCTTGAGCTTCCACGGAGTGAAGGCACTTGCACCCGCTGCCCACTGCACATTCGTGTTTCTCGAAACAACGATTGGTCTTGTCGCGTGTGGCTGCGTAAGGAGTACTCCTACCAACCTCCAAATGGGCGATCCATCACCGAATCTGATGTCACGGATGAGGATCCCTTCTACCCTTGGCGCAAGCTTCCTGTCTCCGTTGTTCACGAGTTCAAGACCATGCATGAAAAGAACGAGATCGAAGACGTTCTCCGCTGGGCCCAGATAGCCATTCTCAACGACGACAAAAGCCACAAACTCTTCGTTCCTGGCTCTGGATCCATCGCTATGAATACCCCGATCGCTAAGGCAGCTGATGAGGTGACGGCCAAGTTTTCGCCCAATATTGTTGCTCTCGAAATCAAGGGCCCTGAGCTTCCTGACTTGTCTTTCTATGACATGCCTGGCATCTTTCAAAACCCTGCCGACGCTCGGGACGATTACCTTGTCAACGTTGTTCGGAACCTGTCCAGGGAATACATCAAACACCCATCCGCCATCATTCTTTGCTCCATGCCCATGAACAGCGATGCCGAAAACTCATCCACTTTTGGGCTCACCCGCAAACTGGGCGCATTGAAACGAACTATCGGTGTGCTGACCAAGGCGGATCTCATTCCCGAGGGCGGTAACCATGACCAGTGGTTATCTATCATGAATGGCGAAGCTCATCAGACTGGTCTTGGTTATTTCATCACTTCACGGCCCCAAGGCAAGGACCTTGATGAACTGAAAGCGTGGGAGGAGCATGTGTTTGAGGACCACTCGTTTGAGAGATGGCCAGCTGAGTTCCATTGCTTCTTTGCGCGATGTGGCATCGAGAGACTCAAGGCATTTCTGTCGGAGCGACTAGGAGAAGAGTTTGCGAAGAGGTAAGTCACCCCTACCAATCATTCGGTTAGACAAGCAATATGATATACTAACATATCTACCTTTAGCCTTCCCAACATCAAGTCCACCCTCAAACACCACCTCGACAAGATCAACGGCCAACTCAGCAAACTCCCAGAGCTACCGATGAACGTTGAACTCGAAGTGCAGACTGGCGTCATGGAGTTTGGTGAACATGCCCGATCCGAGCTGCGGCCTGCTGAGTTCTCGAAGCGGTTCGGTGCTCTCCCTGACAACTTCCGTGACTGCCTCCTCGAAATGAAGCCCAAGTTTACCCTCAAAGATGCCAGCGACTCTCCTGTGGTCGAGATATCCGATGATGAATCAGATGCGGGATCTGCTACGACGGGCGTCATGACACCCACCTCTAAGCGACGTAATATGGGGCCTCCAACTACTCCGGCGAAGCGACAACGTATGGAGCAAGCGGCCAATGGAAACAATCACAACGTCCAAAACGGAAACAATGGATACATCAAGCCAGAGGAAGGGAGAGGCAGTCTCCCTCCCAGACCTTCTCCGGCCGCACGACGAGCTCAATTTCCCGAACCTTTTGCCGCCTTCAGCGGCGTTGGACGAGGGTTCCGGACACTACGCCAGGTACGGGATGAGATCAAAGCCAAGACTCGGGCCGGCATGCCGGACATCATTACTGAAGAAGTCTACAATGACCTTTGTCGCGAAGCTATAAAGCCATGGGACGGGCCGATGAAGGCATTCCTGGATCAGATTATGCGTCTACTCTCCAACCTACTGGAAGCAGCCCTCAAGAAGTCCTTTGACCGCCTCAGCAAGCGTCTGATCTACCAGGAGTCTCGGAAACTGCTGAGGGGGTACTTGGAGGAGCAACGCGGGGAGACTCTCATCGCTCTCGCAGGTGTATATCGCCTGGAGACATTTGGCCTGTTCACCATCAATCGCGAGGCCTTCCACGGATGCCGCTCGGCTGAAGGGATCCTCTTGATCCGCTACCGCCACGAAATGCGTATGAAAGCCCATGGGTATTCCGATGGGCGAGCACCAGATCCATGGGAGAGTCTAACGGAGGAGAAGCGAGCCCAAGACAAGAAGCGACGCGAAGCTGATGTCGTCAAGATTGGCCCCGATCCGTTCGAGCGAGAGCTTGAGGTGATTGCTTACGTTAGAGGCTACTATCGCCTCGCGGCGCTTCGGTTTGCTGACTCAGTGGCGCTGCAAATTACGAACGGCATGATTCCCCAGATTCAAAGGCAGCTGCCGTATTATCTGGATGAGAAGCTGGGCCTTCGGGGGCCGGACGCCGCTAAGATCTATGAGCGGCTCATGGCGGAGGACGAGGCCACGGCGACGAAGCGAGAGACGCTCAAGGGAGAGCGGGAGAAGTTTGTCAAGGCGCTGGCCAGTATCGAGGGGCTGGAGACGGGAGCCGACAACAACGAATTCTCGCAGGAGGAGTCGTATGAACCGCATGAGACTGAGCAGACCGATGCCATGATGAGCGGCGCGATCCAGGAGGATGGCGGAGAGGCATAAGTTGGCTTCGGTTGCTGCGTGGCTTTGCTCGGTCGGTGAACGGCCGACTGTAATAAGAACAGTTTGTGGAATTGCTTTCAGGTGGCATGGACGCGGTCTTGCTTTGATGTTAACTTTTGGTTGGATGTCCCCAGGATAGGGCTTGTATGTATTACATCGGATTTGTTATTTCGGTTTTGTTTTGATGTGAAAGGGAAAACGAGAGATGTCTGGATGCCAGATTCCTCTGGTGGTATGGGAATGTTGCCACGATGCTTGGTATCGCTTGCTTTGTGACAAGGAGCTGAACCACAGCGGAGTTGACGGACGGCTAATGGATAAATGGATCTGCGGGGCGACGCACATTGTATCGGGAAGCTATTCAGGCGATCCCGCGCCAAGAATAGGGTCCTTCATGCAGGAATCAGTTTGTTTTTGGAAGCTGAAGGGTTAAGATGTTATGATGAACAAAACAGGATGAAAAAGTACATTACTCCGGCCGAGATCCGAATAGCATGGTGACGACGAGTCCCAGGTGACAGATGGTCTGGTAGGATAACAAGGATGCAAGATGAATTCCAGATAGCCTAAATGCAAATTGTGACTTCCCATCGTCCGCACCCGCATGGTCGCACCTTAATATTGCTGTTAAAGCAGGGGATATATTAGCCAGACCAGCAGCGATGGCGCCTAAAACGAATGGCGCCGTCGTGAGACCTGGTCATACGAGAGTCGAGAGCCGAGACTCGTCTTTCGGATTCATAACGTAACGTAACCGATATTCCTCGTTTAGTGGCATGTGGCAGGCACATATTTCACCCCAGCAGGCTCTGAGAGATTCCCCTCGTCAATGATATTTGTAAAGTATTATACTTGCCTGCATCTTGCCGCCACGGACAAGCAGGCGCCAACCCGGTGGCTTTCTCTCGGCTGTTGTATTGTCGCCTGTGACCAAGATCAGAGGCGGGAGTCGCCGAATGAGGGTCAATCTAGAAGCCGGCATACGGCCATACAGTACCGTGGGGCCCAGGTCACGGCGTGGTTTCTTCCTGCGGAGCTCGTCTGTCGGCGGAGATCCCGCATCTCCGGGCCTGCCCCACCCGCCTCCGGGCACCCCTCCATGACACCAAATCCCACTCTTCTTCGGCTGCAGGATGAGAAACTCCAAGATAGCTACAGATAATAAGCTTCCAATTTGGAATTTCGATGGGAGCCACCATCAGGTTTGGAGAAGGCAACCCCAAGTTACCGTTGCCACGGGTCCGTCCTGGAGCTTCCCGACAACACACCCAACCCATCGGCATTGAAGTCTCCGGATCAAGTACTGTCCTAGAAGATGCCTACTCCTTCACCCCAATGGCTATCTGATGTCTTGTATCATCTCCGTCCGCATTGACTCTGAAGACGTCACAGGCACGTGGGAGGGTGGACGATGCCGGTCACCCTAACCTAAGATGCCCAAATCCACTCAAGAATTGCATTCTCTTCTCACCTCACATCTCCCATTGATGACATTCACAACCCTCAAGGTCGTGCTGACTGGAACCGTGCCTGACAACGCATACATGGAAGCTGAAGCTGGGACAGTTACAGTCTTATTCAGCCTTCATTTTCTCGTAAAGCACACCGGCCAAAGTACCAATTTCGGTTGCGCGCCTTCTACCAAGGTCGGCACTGTGGCTCTCGGGCCTGGTATCCGAAAGCGCGTTTCGTCAATTGGAACCAGGGTTAAAACCCGGTCACATATAGCCTTGCCTCCCTCGTCCACAGAGCCCAAGGTTGGCTCTGCGAGAAGCCTGTACCGTAAAGCTCCGGCCTGGCTGTAGCAACTGCCGAGAGACGACTGGGGACTGCACGAGCTGCATTCATGTGGCCTACGATTCGCGGGACGCATCACGGCATCGTCGCCCGTTGGAGGTTTTTGGGTGGGGAGCGGGTGGCTGGACGGAAGTACCCTAAAAACTGGTGTCACACCAGGCTGAGAATCTAGCATCGGCCTTATTTCTACATGAGTCTGGCCGCCGTGTCCAATCAGCTGAAACGTTGCACCCGCATGGCATAGTACTGGTTAGAGCGTTAGAGCCAGGTCCAGCGGAGCCAGCCATGCCGTTCGTTGTCGGGTATTTGTTCTACTCTACTTAGTCGGCCACGGACTGCCTGTTTGATCCATTGACTCGGTACAGAAGAGGGACTAGAACTTGAGTAGATACACTGTACGTACATGGTAGCATTGAAAAAGGATCACGGATCACGGATCACGGATCATGCCACCCTCCACCCACGTGAAGCCGGATATTGACCCAAATCACCCGCCGTCGATTCCCCGCAGGACGAGCTCCAGTGGCCTCCTCTCTCCACAACAACATCCCCACCGCTCACCCACAAAACCCTTGCAACCTTGCATCTCCTCCACGTTTTGGAGCCGGCCCAGCAGATCAACAACCCGTTCCGCCTTTTCGGGGTTGAGGGAGGGAAGCCGTCGACACATTGGCTGGATGAATCCGCGTCCCTATTTTGCCGGTTTTCCCACACGCCGCTGCGAGGATCCCCCTCACCCCAGACTTGATTAGGGTGGGCACAGACTTCTCGCGCCATCTTGGGCCAGGATCAACGTTAATTTTCGAGCCTAAGTGATGGGTACCTTTGTTTTTCGCTTAGTCGGAAGCTTTGCTATCGTTCGTGGGGTTTTGTGGGAGACCAAAGAGAGCGCAATGGGAGGGTGCAAGGCCATGCTGAGGCCATCACGGACGACGATGAAATTGGCATCAGTAGTTGGCACTTGGACCACGGCCATCCCAGGATGCAGTACTTCGTACATCGACCATTGCATTGTAGCTGGCTGGATCTTGATGCCGACAAAGTTCCGTCCTTCGACCTGCCTGCGCTGCAACGCAACGCTCCATGCCCACTGACCAAAGCGGCTGAGCTTCAATATCCCTTGGGGGCCAAGTTAGGTTCTAACGGCCCCGAGCTGACGGGTCCAGGAGCTGCGGGCCACGTTTGCGGATCTTGGCAACCCCTTGAACGACGTCTTTCACAGGTTGGTTACATGTATATCCCGAATCACAGGCGTTGTAGCTCTCTAACTGCTCTAGCCGCCGGATGACCTCTCACGGTACATCTCCAGGTACTCGACGACGAGCGTCCACGAGACCGCACCCCGGTCACAAATGGACTTATCCTAGCCGAGATCTACTTCTCTCCAGGGTCCTGCCCTGAGCATGAGCGCCGGTGAACCACACGACATGACACCCTGCTGTAGTCTCACGAGGGGCCGTCGACAGTCAAACTCCCCAACCCGCCTTTCCGCCCCCGGTTGCAAGACGCCTACCATCCCGGTTCGGGACTCTCCCCGCCATGTCCGATGCATCCCCCACACCATTCCCGTCGGTTGAAATGCACCATGGGAGCTCTGTGGTGGTCAGACGTAGCTCCAGAGCAGAGCTCACGCTCCCAGGAACAATATAAGTGGAACGGATATCCCCTTGACGCTGTGCCTTTCACTTCGTCAATCTCCATCCACGAGACTGCCCTCCAGCCAATTCCTCACTCGGGCCTCCTTCTTATCTTCTTTATCACAACTTCACCCCGCAATCAACCGATCAATTGCGCACCGCAATGGCGTTGCCCAAGTTTCTGACGCCCATCGGTGACCGGCGCGGCGTGCACAGCTCCAACGGGCAAACCAACCTCGATGCCGCCCGCGACACTGCCCCCAGGTTCGAGAAGGTGACCTGGTACAAGGAGCCTCACTTGCGCAAGCTCTACATCCTCTCCATCTTCCTGCTGATTGCCTCGGCCACCACCGGCTACGATGGCATGATGGTCAACACGTCGCAGCAGATGGACAAGTGGAAGACGTACTTTCCCGAGGTCGAAGACAACAACAAGCTCGGAATCCTCATCAACATGTACAACATTGGTTCCATTGTCTCCTTCTTCATCGTCCCCTACATGGCCGATAACCTGGGCCGAAAGCCCACCATTATGATCGGCTGTGTCATCATGATTACCGGTGCCCTGATTTCCACCTTCTGCAACGGCTATGGAAGTGAGTTTTGCCATGTCTGGCATCCGCATACAGACGCCGGGCTTGGACTAACGAATTGCACTTAGTGTACATTGGCGGTCGATTTATTCTCGGTTTCGGCAACTCGCTAGCCCAGATGTCATCTCCCATGCTTCTGACTGAGATCTGCCACCCTCAGCACCGTGGTCCTCTCACTGCTGTTTACAACTGTCTCTGGAATTTGGGCTCCTTGAGTAAGTTGAAATAGTGCCTCGAGCGTCGCATTTGAATCGCCGGCTAACTCGTACAAAAGTTGTTTCCGTTGTTGGTTGGGGAACTGCTTCCATCAACAACAACTGGTCATGGCGATCCATCACCTTCATCCAGGCCGTCCCCTCCATCATCCAGCTCGCCGGTATCTGGTGGGTCCCCGAGTCCCCTCGATTCCTCGTCAACAAGGACAAGTCCGAGGAGGCCCTCGCCATGCTCGCCAAGCACCACGCCGGTGGCGACGTGAACAACGCGACTGTCCAGTTCCAGTACCGTGAAATCAAGCAGACCATTGAGGCCGACAAGTCAGCCCGCAGGGCTACCAGCTATGCCGACTTCCTCAAGACCAAGGGTAACCGATGGAGGCTCGCCATTATCATTTCCCTGGGTATCATCTCGCAGTACTCTGGAAATGCTCTGTTCTCCAACTACATCGATATCATCTACACCGGTGCTGGTATCAAAGAGCAGAACAAGAAGCTCGCTGTAAGTGGCATATTTTTAACCGTTGCTTGAATCACGATGCTGATCATTTCTCTTTTGTAGCTCTCTGCCGGAAAGACGATCATGGATTTGTCCATTGCCATTGGAGCCGCCCTCACTGTCGATAGGATTGGTCGCCGTCCGCTGTTCCTGGTTGCCATCTCCGGTATGGTCGCCTCTTTCGTCCTCTGGACCATCGTTGGTGCCATCTACGAGAACTCTGCCGTTCCCACTCCCCCCACTGCGGACGAGCCCAAGGGTGGCATCAAGTACACCAACGTGGGTTCCGGCTACGCCCAGATCGCCTTTGTCTGGCTATTCGGTATTTTCTACGATATTGGTTTCTCCGGTCTGCTCGTTGCCTACGCCCTCGAGGTCCTCCCCTTCCATCTCCGTGCCAAGGGAATGACTATTATGAACATTACCGTCCAGGCTATCCTTGCCATTGGAAAGTAAGTCTTGCCCCTGACACCTCATTCTCATTGCAACGCAAAACACTAACATGGGACCAGCCAAACCAACAAGGTCGCCTGGGATCACCTCCCCAAGCACTGGCACTTCATGCTCTTCTACACTCTTTGGGACGCCGTTGAGTTCATCTTCGTCTGGTTCTTCTACGTCGAGACCAAGGGCCCCACCCTGGAGGAGATTGCAAAGATCTTTGACGGCGACGACGCCGTGGTCGAGCACATCGATCTCGCCCAGGTCGAGAAGGAAGTTCACCTTGGCCGACACGAGGAGGACATCAACTTGTCCCACATGCACAGCGAGAAGACGGCAGCCTAAACCCGTTGCCACCTACTTGTTGCAGTTATGCGAATGCGTTGATTGTCGAATGCTGCCCTGTTCATGTTGATCATCTCAGATGCCCTAAGGGCCACAGCGTTAATGGAGGATGATACCACTGAGGAGAAACTGAAAATACCTATTTGATACAATCGTTTAGTCCTATACCACGAGGTAGCAGAATATGCTGCTTAAATTACCACTGTTTTACTCTTCTTCCGATACATTTGTCCATTCCAATGCGCCTCGACGTCGATATCTTAGGAACCGAATAACGGCGTGTAAATTAGAGAATAACACATAAGCTTTTACCATACACGAAGTGTTGGATTTCATAACGTCCTTGGCGTTAGGATTCCAGGGCACCGGACGCCAAGGCAGAGTCGTGTAACGCAACGTGTCTGATCCCCCGACCTGCAGTCATAGATTGTGCTGTCACCCAAGCAATCACATACGACCATAGCTCTTAGAAAATACGGGATCCCGTCCGCTCTCCCTTAGTCAAGCTGAGAAGCGGCGAATTAGTACTCGGGTCGGTGACGACCGGGGAATCCTCGCTGTTGTATGTTTTTTTTTTGTGGATTTTACATTTATGGCATAGGGTAGCGGGCCTGGCGAGGAAAACATCGTCAACATGTTGTTTATAGCAACTCAACCAACATCCCTTTCGCTTCGTCTACTATTCATATTCAGATGAGCAATCGACTCTTTTCGTCATGTTTAGGCATTCTAGCGGCCTAGAACTGAGTATGGCAGAGTTTTGCCTAAAACTGATATCGCTTAGGAAGGCACAAATACCAGCCACTGACGTCGGTGTATCAAGCATCCAGACTAGGATTGTTTAACCGAGAATCCAGCATGGAAAAGCAGGGTTTCTAGTTTCTAATATTGGGTGCGGACGACTCGACTCGCGTGTTGCTTTCATATGGATATCATCCCTATGTATTGTTCAAGGGCGTTTTCGTAGCACTAACAGCTCGAGGACCGTCGACTGTTTGGCTCGGCGAGCAACTGAAAGGTCACAGGAACATGAGAGAAGCGGTTTTCCCCCCCCTGCAATGCAGTCTATCGTGCGAACCAGCAGTAGAGCTTGGTGAATACCGGGGTTTTCTCCAGGGTCGTATGGAGTCTAGCGACCCGCCTCCGTAGTCAGTGCGGGAAAAGCCAGAGAGCGAGGGACAAAGTTCGATAGATAGAGATTTGGTGGGCAGGTTCGAGCTTTCTACGCCTTAGGCAAACCATAATTTTTGTGGATTCGTTCCAAATTTGACACAGCTTATTCCATTTTACTCTGTGTCATCTATCCAGTTTCTTTTGCTAGTGTACTGGGGCAACATGCCCCGGCATTTGTTACGAAAATGGTCGGGACAGATGAGATTGTGGGACGTAATGTAGATCAAAGAAAGGATGAACTCAGCTGAATACAACCCATTCTATCACATTCTATTATCTGATCATTTGTTGCTGGTCAATAGCGTGATACCACCCGATTTTCCACTTCGCCTACTGAGATACATGAGTGAGACACCTAGATCAATGAGAAACAGCGTAGTTTTGGCGTTCTCACGTACCCTGAGCCTAATGTCACCCCCTCAATTTTCGGCTAAGCTGCGAATGATCATGATGTTTGGCGTCGTGGCTGACACATTCCCAAGAGCTGATCGAGACTCAGTCAATGGAACGAATCTTGGTGTAACTTCAAATCAGGAATGAAGGAGTCTTTTCTACTTCAAACGCCATGCCATCTTTCCGCTATGTCGTGAGGCCCAGTCAGCAGGTCAGGTCGTCGCAAAGGAGAACCAACCACAGGCGAAGGACTACACGGGTAAATGTTCGGGCATCTGTGATAGTCGGGTGGCTGGAGTCATGTCGTTGCCTAATGCCACCAATCTGACGAGAGATTTGAACTTTGTGATGCCGTGTACAATTTGTCTGAACCAGTTGCTTGGCTTTGGATGCGAGGTGGATTGTCGCTTTGGAGAACCGAGATATTGACCGTCTCTGTCTCTCAATGGTTGTGTGATAATTGGTGTCTTGCCATACCCTACGTGTGACATAGACCCAATATTTGAGCTGAATAGTCATCGGTGGAAAGAATCGGCCACGAGGGATGAAAACGAACTAGTATAAGAGGTCGAGGTCATCTAGCTGAAGAGCGTCTCCGAGTTGTTAGCAGTCACAAAAATACAAAGAAGCATCAAGCACACACCTTTAGCACCTTTTGCACCTCCATTCCAACCACAATGAAGTTCACTAGCGCCTCAGCCATTATCATCAACATCCTGGCAACCACTAGCTGGGCCACTCCCACTCCTGTCTCTGAATCCATCTCGCCCTCGAGGACCTCGGATCTCGTGTGGTTGGCCTCTGAAACCGCTGGGTGCGGAGCCGCTGGATCCTGCCATGGATTTGGAGGAGGGGATCTTTGTAACGACCGCGTGTGTTTCGCTCTTCTGACCTCGTTATTTTGTGAGCTGACGTACTGACGCTGTTGATTTGTGATTTAGTGTCAGCATTGTTCAGGACCCTCGGGGTCATACACTCGGGGAGCGTGCTGCGGGCCCGCATGGCAGTAAGTCTGATACCTACTTGGAGGTTTTGTTGACTCTGGTGATGTGAGCTAATGTACGGTGTTTTAAGAGCGTGCTGCTGCTACTATTCGTAGAATTCCTGTCGAATAGTTCCTCACGGAGAGGAGCTTGAGTGAAACATGAGTTTGACGTGGGTGGCCTGATAGGGGCTCGTTATAAAGGAAAGCAAGCATCCGAGGGGTCTACTTAAATTGAAATGAAGTTTCGATGATTCATGGGGTGACTCACTGTGTGTTTCTAGTCGTCATTATGATTCTTGCCTATGCAGACCTATAAACTCGTTTTGTAATCCATCACCCTCTCCATAGTACAGCTAGTATACGAACGAGACTTGGAGTGGCCGTTATAGGCATAGTGAGCCAAGGCGCTATCGATGCCCAATATTACCAGCTTGGCGGGTCGGTCCGCCTCGAGCCCCACGTGTGACTGCTGATATCCCGTCATCCCTCGCTCGATATCCATCTCTGCGGACCATACGCTCTCCGCAGTTGACAGGGAGCCTAGTTGACGGGGAATCCAGTTGACAAGGAACCCCGGCCATTTCTCGTCAGCATGGATGTGGGCTTTGGCGGGCCTTCGCCTGCGAAGAAAGGTGGCTTCGATGCAACATATCTGGTCGATCTGCTCCACTTCCTGAAGAACACTCCCTCCGATTCCAAAGCCGACAACATCAAATCCGCCCTTGAAGCTTTGGCAAGTAGGCGCCCTGACATGCAGACATAGACAGGGCATCGGCGAAACCGACCATCGACACCATTTCTATACTCTATCATCACGCGCTCATGTGCCAGATCTTACAGACAAAACCTGCGGAATATCAGGACGTAATGACACTACTCTTGGACATTGGAAATATGTTCAAGGATCCAAAGTCGACTCTGGAGACTGTTGGAATATGAAAACAGCACCTTGACGGGGATTGGACACCTGCCGATATTATCGCAACACTGAACTCTCGAGATACCACCGAACAAACACTCCATCGACTGACAAAGAGGTTTGAATTGAGCCCAGGGGAACTCGGATACTTCACCGCCCCGGGCGCCACGGTTGAACTCGACCCCAAAGCACCCTCTTTGTCGAGCCTCTCCACACTAGCAAGCTATACGAAACTACACGACTCAACTGCAGCAGGTCATGACGATCTCATCAGTTTGTTTCGATGGCTGACGAACCCGACTGGAGACTCAACCCCTGCGTCGTGGCTTGCTGCCTTCACTCGTTGGCCTGAGCCGAAATGTTCGCTGATGTTGAACACCAAATATCACGGATTCAGGTCTAACGAATTAATTACGAGGATTAATAGTGTCCAAGAACTCTCCTCTTTGCATTCTGTATTTGATCTGTGCGACAAGGTCGATCGGACCCGCGAGCTCCCGCTGGAGATGGGTTCGGGTGTACCGGCCTCTCATATCGACCATAAGAAATGGAGGTCGATGCAGATGAGACACAGTCTCTCTTGACTTTAGTAGCAGGGTTCCAACCCGTAGCCTGGCGCTATCAAGGATAGTCCAGGTCTGTGGAGGAATATAGTGCTGAGTGGCTGCATGTTCCCGCGACCTCGCCTTTGCGGAGACATGTTGGGACGGGGCACTGTGTGAGAATCGATGTGCATCCATTCATTCCGGTCTCAAGCCTCATTCTTAAAAAATGGGTTAAATAAACTTTGTCGCCTGGCCCGGTGTAGATTTGGGTTCATTCTGCATACCTCGACGACAGTGCAACCGTGTAGTCAGATACTTTCGTGGCTCAAGATGCATGTTGGCCCGAAGGATCATGACGTTGGTAGAAGGCGGTCAGGCATTACCGTCCTGTGATTCCGAAGCGCGTGTCAGAGAAGGCAGTAAGACTGCTGAGAAGGCACTGAGTTCCTGTAACCATGAGGCGTTCGTCTCTCCAATTGATGGGACTGCTAGCGGAACTTCGTGTGCATGCCATCAATCAATCTGTGGTGGATGGTGGGGTGGAGATGGCCAAGAAAACCCCCTGTCATTGATCATCGTTCCATCCTCCAATGCGACGTCGGCTGGGTCCGGATTCAAGTGCCATCTCCGATTCGTAGCAGGTTCATAGAGACGTGTAAGTCGATATTGACGCTGTAAGATCTTCTTGATTTTAATTTGCGTGGTACCTCGGAACACCGCGAGGTAATGTGATATACATGGCTCCTCATCTTGCGAATCGTACACTCATCTACTACCCAAAACCAGTCCCAAGCTCCATCCTAGATCAAGTCGCTTTGCCGACAGACCCCATCCTCCAGAGTACTCCTTAAACGCCGTGCATGTGATGTAATATGTGCAAGATAAACAACGCGACATGCTGCGTCCCAGACGCATTACAGTCGCATTTTTCCCTTTCCTGTTTTCTCAAGATGCCTTTGATTCATCCTCGGGGGACCACAGCATCGGGCCGGCGCAGATATTTTCTCGTGCATATGCGCGGTATCGTTCCAGTACGTCGGTCTTCTCCATGCCTCCGCGTTGACTGCCGAAGCTGTAGTGAACAGCGAGGCCTCGGCCATCGGCAACGGCGTCTGTGACAGAGGTTAGCAGGTATGTCGTTTTGTCAATTGGATGCGTGGAGGCAACTTACGACGTCCGAGTTGCCGAGCCATGGTGCATGAGAAGTGGTTCTCGTCATCGGCCTCAATAGGCTTGGCGATGTTGATATCACGGCCCATCATTGCCACAAACTGAATACCCATGCGGTCATATTGGAAGTCCCAGGTGCCAAACTTGTACTGCCACAGCTCATCCTTCTCGAGGTTCTCCAGGAAGCTGTAGTGCTCCTGGGCCCCAATCTTCCATTGAGTCCACCCACGGCCGTAAGCATTGTACTCGGTCTCCTTGATAGGAGTACCGTCGAGGATGTGGTCCTTTTTCCGGTTGAGGGGCAACCAGCGGTGCAATCCTCCCTCGGAGGGCTCCCATTTTTCAAGGTCGAACTCATTGGGACGCTTCCAATACGGGAGTTTCGAAGGGCGCCAGTCCATGCTGGAGTTGACGACGGGTGAGAGGCGGCCAACTTCTGGGAGGTAGGGTTTGACAGCGTCGAGGTTCCAGTGAATCCAGCTGAGAAGGGGTTGGTTGACAATGTTGGCAGAGACGATGTAGTATTCAGGGTGGTCGAGCTTTTTCTGGACGATTGAGGGAATGACGCTGTCCTCCATGAAGACCTTCGAGGGTCAGCGATGGTAATCATCAGATGGGTGGACGGCTTACAATATCGTCGTCAATCTTGATGTACAAAACATCATCCTCAATGCGATCATATGAGTTGCCAAAACCACTGGAAAACTGGTCGTCGTCGGCCATCTCGATATGCCACGTCTCATAGGCAGGCTCACTCTCCGTCAAACGATGCAGAAGATCGAGATCGAGGGCCTCACTAGTGCGCTCGACAAAAATGACGCCGTCTAGCATGCCGCCATTCTTGATGAGGTTTCGCTACAGGGAAAGGCAAGTGTTAGCGTTTCTATGTGACTATTGATTGCCTCGTAGTCAAGAGGTGGGCTACGGCGAGGTCAAGGGATGGAGTGTACCTTCAGGTAGCAATCCAAGATGGAGACGGGTTGACGACGACCGAAAAAGACCAGGGCCATGATCTTTCTGATGTTTTTGGGCCTCTTGTAGTCCCACACGCTGGGCAGCAGATGACCCTTGGAGGACCAGAATCGCTCTTTTGTCTTGTGGCCACCATCTTGGACGGGCGCGGTTTCGTTCTTGTCGTCTTTGTTGTCGTCGATTTCCTGCTTCTGGTCTTTCTGGTCTTTCTGGTCTTTCTGGTCTTTCTGGTCCTGCTTCTGATCTTGCGTCTGGTCCTGCTTCTGGTCTTGATTTTGGTCCGGCTTCTGATCTTTCTGGCCCTGTGAGGTCTCCTTGGCAGCTTCAGGGATGGTCGTGGTAGGGCTGTTGTTTGGCTTGGCGTTTCCAAGGGTGGATGAAACGAGGCCAGTCACGTTATCTTGCTGGTGCCAGAGCAGGACGGTGAGGAGCATCATCAAGGCGACGCTGGCGATGATGTGTTTCCGCGACAAGTTCGGCATTGTGGCGGTTGTGAATACCAGGGAGACAAGAGAGTATGGCGAGGAGGATGGCGGGGAGAAAGGGAGACCCGGTGGAGGAGTACAGCCAGGAAATCTAGTCAAAGAGTCCCTCGGCGGTTAGTTGCTGGCGGTTGGATTTCAGACGTTGACCGTGGGAGGCTTTGAAGGTTGTGGGAGTGAATCCCTGAGATCGGACGTGCGGCGGTGATGGGATCGCAGGACCGTGGGACCGTGACCGTGACCGTGGGGAAGGGAAGGAAGGACTGGCATGCATACGTCGCAGGCTGGCGCAGCAGGTGCCAGACAGGCGGGTATTAAAGGATGCATCGATGGTGGAGGAGACCAATGGTCCGGCCGACCCCTAGAATGGACCGGAGGGAGTCTAGACTCCAATAACTCTGGATGCGGCACTCCGTACGAGACATTGGAAGGGAGGAGGTACGAGTTAGTAGGACGGATCAGGCAATGTCTGAGCCGGGAGTTGGGTGCGGATTGGCCGGTCCGTACCTGGAAATGGGTAAAGGTGGGTACCCACTGTAATCCCCTGTAATCCCCTGTGATCCCTTGTGATCCCAACTGTGCCGGCTGCCCTTCAGGGAAGTCTAGTTGGGCGATGGTACCCTGAACCGCTATCTTCCATCAAGCCCCTGTCCCCTTTACCACTGGAATCCATGCCAATACGAACTTTAGCATGGCCGGGGTGCAAGTGTCGGAGCCGTGCAGCCGACGGGCAATGGGCCGAGACGCAGCACACACACGAACCAACCACAAGCCAGGGAACACTAACTAACACCAAACCGACACACCAATACCAGCGCCAGCGCCAGCGCCAACACCACCAGCACCGAGATGGATGCAGGGATTCAGCACGAAGAAGCAGCATGAGTTTGAATTGGGGAATGGAGAGTCCCTTGTCGCGGGGATTCATCCTTGGCAGTACGGAGTATCTTGCAGGCAGCTGCAAGGTCTTGTCGCCTTATCATCCCATCTCGTCCTGTCAGCTTGTCAGCTTGTCCTGTCTCGCCTCGTCTCTTCTCTTCTCGTCCTGTCTTGTCTTGAGCAAATCACAACCTGCTCACTGCTTCCGATGGGTATTTGGTGGACGCGCCATGGCTGAGACATCCAGTGTGCGTGATCGATGCAACGCGACGTGCCGCTCAGATCCCGCCGTCTAAATGGCGTAGAATCTTCTACTAATTCTCCGTTTCCCCTGTGGCGGCGACGCCTCAACGGAAGTAGCAATTACGACAGCACTGCATCCCCAGATCCACTCGTAAGGCTCTTTCTCGTATTCTGGCCCAGGCCAGGAGAGTGCGCAGTCTATTTTACACCCAGTTTGGGATGTCCGTGTCTTACGCATTTTTACGGCATGCGGCACATTCTTCCCGCAGACATTTCGCACCACACCGCCCCTTTACTACAGCTGTATCTCCTCTTGCACCAAGCTGACACGAAAATAACTGGCGTACTGTCAAAAGCTTACCTTATTTTTATCTTGGTGTGGCCCTATTCCCATCGCGATACGTGGCCCGAAATTGGCCCTTTTTCCCGTCGCACGATCGACTACCTTTTGAGTTGACGCCAGCCACGCGACACATCGGCTACACCAGATTGGCCATATCGCGAGCCACGACAATAGCCAATATTTGCCCCCCCCCCCCCCCCCCCCTGTAGGTGGGGCAGTACCTCGTACTTCGTAACTTTTGCTGGATAATTGCCGTCCGAATGATTGCAGTGACAATGGCGCGATCTAAGCCACCAACCACATCCAGCCAATCTCTGGTCCGTTCACTCGTTACTCTCCAATAGTTCGACGACCAATGCCCTGTACGAAGTACTATGCACAGTCTGGACTAGTCTGATGTCAAGCGCAGGAACAGCCGAGCGCCTGGGTCGCATGGCAACTTGGCAAGCACCGAGAACCCGAACGAACTCGCGCCCTGAATAGTCATGGTAGGTTGAGAATGGGAACCAATGCCATGCTCTTCTCTATGCGCTGGTGAATCATGAGACGAAGTACCGACCCTCGTAATTAACTCTAAGGCACGAGCCACAGTCTATCACTCAATTCCACATGCATGAGACAGTTTTGTAATCATTGAATAACTAAAAGGAAACCCCCGTCTCATTAATACTATCCCTACCGGCCCCCTTATCTATTAATTGCCCAGCTTTTCCAACAACTATGTCGTACAAGCCTTGTACATCAAATGGCTCTTCCAATATTGGCCGTTCCCCCGCATTAGTGCCCTCCACTGTAGACAAATCCTCCATTACCGTATATGTCATCCTCTCCTCCTCAATAAGTAGTGTCAATGTGTCAATCTTTTCCTCCTTCACGTCCCACATCCGAAATCACCATCGAATGGACCGAGGGGCTCGTGGCTGCCGAGCCCGGATGTTGCGGCTGCTCACCGGGTGCTCCACCCCCTCGGTCATCGTCGCCGTCCCGGTACTCTCCGGGGCGGCACCTCCGTCCGGCCCCACAGTCATAACCACTGTGTTATAAACAGTGGAAATGCTGGTGGAGACCGAAATCGGAGAGCAATCCGTCTCCGTGGCCCCCGATTCCTCCGTGACCGTCAAAATGGACACCTCGGGGAGCTCGTAGTCGTTCTTGCCATGGCAAGGCAGTCCGCTCAGCTTCTTCTTGCAGGTCGACTTGCCAGTCTCAATGTTGATAATGATAATCTCAACATCGGGCTGGCCGTAGGAATCTGTCACCGTAGTCGTAATCGTCTTGTATTCCTGCTTGGTTACAGTCTGAGTCTGTGCGGGTGCAGTGATCGTAGCTGTGCGGTACACCTCGACAGTCTTGGTTGTCTTCTCGCCACCTTCCAGCGTGATTGTCTGAACACTCGGCTCAGGCTTGACGACGACGGTGTAAGGCTTGCCGTCCTCGTGGATTGTCTTGGTGACAACGCGGTCATTAGAGTCTCCGATTGTGACGGTGTAATACTTGTCGCCTTCACGGATTGTCTTAGTGACAACGCGGTCGTCGGAGTCTCCAACCGTGACGGTGTAATATTTGTCGCCGTCGTGGATTGTCTTGGTAACAACGTGGTCATCAGAGTCCCCAATTGTGACAGTGTAGTATTTGTCGCCGTCGTGGATTGTCTTGGTAACAACATGATCACCTGAGCCGCCGATTGGAACCGTGTAATATTTGTCGCCTTCGCGGATCGTCTTGGTAACAACGCGATCACTTGAGCCTCCCATTGGAACAGTGTAGTATTTGCCGCCGTCGTGAATTGTCTTAGTAACAATGCCGTCGTCCGAGTTTCCGATTGTGACCGTGTGATAATTATCGCCATCCTTGATTGTCTTGGTGTAAACACGTTCATTTGAGTGTCCGATCGTGATCGTATGAACCTTGTTCGACTCCTTGGCGTTCTCAAGAGTCACCGTCTTAACTTGTTCGTCGTCGTCGCCGACTGTGATTGTGACAACATGATCACGCACCATTTCCTTGTCGTTACCAATTGTGACCGTCTTGTAATGCTCCTCGTGGTGGGTCTGCAAAGGATCCGCAGGAATTGTTACCTTTTTGGTCACGGTATATTGCTCAGTTTGGGTGATGTAGACAGTTTTTCCAGGCTGAGTAATGGTGTGCTCAATCGTGATCGTCTCCTTGGATGGATACCCAGCGGGTTCCGTGACCGTGACTGTGTGAGCTGTTCCAGCAGGCTCACTGATTGTCACGGTCTTAGCAGTGTCGTCCGGCGCACCAGGCGACGGACAAGGGCAGCACTCCTCAGCTTGATGCCGAGCGTGTAGCCAGTCAAAACGAGCCTGAGCCAATGGCGCCATGGCCAACGCGGCCCAGGGTGCGAATCGAAGCATGATGGATTGGGGTAAGTCGATTACTCGAACAAGGTGGAAATTTTAAAACGTGGGAAGAACAAAGTTGTTCAAACCCGCGGGAATGAGTTGTTGAAAAGGGTTGATAAAAAAGTAGAAGAGGGAAGACGAAAAGAAGTCAAAGGGGTTGGTGGTGAATGAAGAGGTGAGAATGGGTTGAATGAGAATGAAGTGATGATGAGAGAAAGAGAATGGGGTGGGAAGTTGGCATCTTTATATGCCTCTGTCTCCCCGTTCTCCTCTCGGGGGCCTCGATACTAGGGGAGGAGCGAAGGGGCATGACACCTTGATTGAGAGACGTTTGAGATGGAATATTGGAAATAGTGGAGGTACTGGAGATGATGGAAACCAAATCTAGGACCAAAATGAATCATAGGGAGAATGAATTGGCAATACGAAGGAGACGAGAGACCAGTCCCTTGTTAGTTGTGGGCCAGAACTGTGAGGGGGACAACCTCCTAGGTTTGAGATGATCAACCAACGGACTATTTGGCCCGCAGGGACGACAATGGGCCTAAGGCAGATCAAAGGAAGAAACATTTGCTACAAACAATAAAAATCGCGGGACTAGGGAGAAGCCAGTGGATACATATTGAGAGACAGTGGACTTCTAAGAGCTACCTAGTCCAAGAAACCGCTCAGCGCTTCTCCCTTCACAAGGGACGATGTGCTTTGCCTTGATATTGTCTCGAGACATGACAAAATAAGACAAGAAAATTAGGCAATGACCCCCAGGGACCGCACTTCTCTCACTTATCGCAAATTCAATCCTCAAGGTCACAAAGAAAAGACCTTAAGTTTCGAGTTTCACGATGTTAAGGTTACTGTTGTGCTGTGTATCCTGTCGCCTGCCATACCAGCAGTATGGTTCGAGACGCGGTCCGAGATTTACCCGATGCGCCGAGGCCACCCCACGTAGACCCACCACGTAATCTCATGAAGCTTCACGGCGCGACTGACGACGAGCATTACCATTACGAGCGTTGTACGAGCGGACGAACACCAGGCCAGTCAAGGAGTTCCTCTTTGGGAATGCTATCAAACGACCGGCACCCCATTGCCACGACTACATCAACCTAGACCCTCCCCGCCTGCTATGCGCGACCGAGCAGCCGTGGCCTAAGATGGGAGTTTGCGCATCATGCTTGGGGCGGCGCGACAGCGACGCCTACGATGAGGTGCGTGGACTAAGACACAAGGATACGACGGAGCATCCCCCTGGCTAACGATGGAGTTAGGATGAGGAGAACCGGCTCCTGTACGACGACGCCAACGGCATGCAATACGGCAGCTTTGGCGACCAAGGCTTGACAGGCGAGAACGACACCCTCGAAGTCCAGCGAGAGAACGAAGCCCTCCAGAGAGTGGTGGCCAAGACATCAAAGTTCGTACAATGGATGGTGCCCGTTGACGGGGTGTGAGGATACGCAAGACTGACTGACCTCTTTCAGCAACATGGTGGACATCTTCGAGATTGCTCCGCAAGAGAACGCTTCCCGCGGGACCTCGACGCCGTTCGCATATGCCGGCCAGGGCGCACGCCTAGCTCGATACCAGCATCTTGTCTCGAAGCTCAACACGCAAGGCGACGCGCCGGCTCCTGGCGTCAAGGTCGACTGGCTGCCAGAGGAGGAGACGATCGAAATGCAGCGTAATGGACCAGCCAGCATCAAGACCATCGACACCGACGATGGACCCCTTGTAGGGACTTTTGCCGACGCCGCCGCAGCCATGCAGTGATGATGACCATGGCATACTCCGTGGAGTTGCTTCACCAATCGGGCCACAGCAATAGCCCGTTGCCGCCATCGGGAGCCTCTTGGACATATGTATAACATTCGGGGTGGGGAGACGAGGAAGATATGGCGAGGAAGATGTGACGAGAGTTGGCTGATCGATGGCGATGGCGGTGTAGCGGAGGAACAGAGTCGATGGGCTCACGGCATCTTGATATTCGGCCTCCTTTTCTCGTTGCTTCCTCTCCCCCGGTTCCCTCATCCCTGGCATGACCTGGCAGATGATCCCCTCTGCCCGAGTCCCCGTCCAAGGTTGCCCGACGGGTCATGTCGACGAACTCTTTTTACTCACGCATATCTCATGAACAACAATAATCACAACAAACGCACAGCCAACCACCGACTTGCCTTTTCTCCACCGACGAATGGACAAAGCTTGGTGTTGGCAACGACAGGCGGGCGACGTATCTTTTCCCAGACTGGGGTCATTTCATTTATCGTTAAATTTTTTTAAAACACGTTGTCCAAAATCTCTTCTTTGATTGATGTGGGCAGGGGAAGTGGACTTGTACAAAACAGACACACCAATCGAATTTCACAGATTTTTTTTTCACTCTTGAGCTGGGTCCAGCAAGAAAAAAAATCCCACACTACCTATCCATCCATCCACACATACCACATACAGCCTGCATGGTTCTAATCCCGAAAGAGAGAGGAAAGGAACCCACCCCGGATCATCCAGGATCACCCAGCCTCGTTTAATGGCGTCTCATATTTGCATCCCTTTGAGTCCCTGTCGCCCTTTTTTGCTGGCCTGCGACTACTCATTCTCCATTAATTGCAGTGTCACAGGCCAAGCTGGCGTAGGGAGAAGACAGGGAAACAGATCAATTGAATCCTCGGACAGTCGTGCTGTCACGGAAAACACAACCGCCCACCACCACAGCCAACACGGCCCATTTAGCATCAGACACGTGCGCTGGCTCACGCCGTGGCTCGCTCGCGGTGGGGGAGGGGGCGACGCTAGACTCGTGAGAGGAAGGGAGGCGGCACTCTAGCTCTAAGCTTGCCGTCGGCCCTCGTTTTAGATTCATTTTCTCCGGCTTCGGCTCGCACCGTTGATGGCGGCGTGCATGGGTCCATCCGCTGCCCGCTGCCCGCTGCCCTGTGCAGGCCCAGGGTTTCGATGGATCCCGTCACCGTGGGAGACACAGACCCTGGGCCTGCGACCACGATCCCGCCCACTTCCCACTCACCACTTACCAAGCCTTCGGGATTTCCTGGAGGCTGGATCCCCTCTGGCAGTCCCAGGGCTGAGGGCTGGGCTATAACCCGTTACCGCGGAGCCGGTTGAGGGTGGACGGGGGGTGTGGCCACCGTCGACGGGCGAGTCCAATGGGTTGATGGGACCGGTGCTTGGGAGGTCTACGTGGCTGGTGGTTTTAGGTATGGGCCGCCGCGCTGGGCCGGACCGTGACGCTGGGGACGGGACCATCGGCCATGCCAGATCCTCCTGGCCCTGGAGATTGGGGATTGGAGATTGGAGATTGGAGAGACGGGGGCGGCCAATGTCTCGGGACCATGACCCAGAACCGTATCCTGGAGCCGTAGGTATCCTGGGAGCCGTATCCTAGAACTGTATCCTAGGACCACGGGCGGATGGGGCGCTCCCGTCGACTCGCGAGATGGGCCAGCCCAGTCCAGCCCGAGAGGCAATGGACGGAGCGTCAGCACTTCGGGGCACTACCACGCAGACTACGTAGTAGATGCGTCTGCGTCGGGGCCGAAGAGCAGGGGCCCTCAAGATGGGCAAGGTTCACGAAGCCAGGGCACCACAGCAAGGCAAGGCAGAGCACGCAGGAGGGAAAAGGCCACAAAAGAGCAAACAAGCAAATGAGCCCGCCCCAGTTTGTGTCTCTGTCATGGCGTCTTCGCTGCCACTCTGCCACTCCGTCACGGGCTCTTCTGCCAACCGACCGGGTTCCACTGCTCCGACTTTCTCTTTTCATGCCATGCCCCTCTTTGCGTGCTTGTGTCTATCTTCAGTCCCCTTGGAGAACCGCATCGGCCCCGTCCAAGAAGCCAAGACACACGAAAACAAGCAGACGCAGGCGTAGCAGACACGCAGATGCATCAGACACAGGCCGCACGCACGCACCTACCTTACGCAGCACAGGCAAGGCAAGGCAAGGCAAGGCAGACAAGCAGGCAAGGCGAGGACCCATCATGGATGCTCCCAAGCAAGAGCCACTCACACTGGCTCACTGCCTGCCAAACCCTGACGGCCCTTCTTGCTCCACCCTCACCCTTTCATCCTCTCACCCTCGACTGACAGCCTGCTTATTTGCTTGCTTGCTTGCATAATGCTCGCCCGCCATCTCCACGCCCTTCGATCCGATTCACCATCGCCGGGAATGGATTCTACGCGTACATGACAGCTGCCGAGCTCGAAGAATGAGCATGACGGAGGAAATAGCCTAGCCCTGGCGAGGCCGTTCGTCCTACCTGCCGCTTTCTATTCGGCGTGCCCGTCTCCTAGCCATTTTGGATCGTCTCGCGCCGCCCACCCGCTTCCTTTTTTGCCTCCCCCGAGTCCTCGTCACTCAGCTGGAACATGCCACTGAGAGTCACTACCGCCGGAGCCTCCTCTCAGCGCCTTGTGGCCCGGCCCAATGCTGTGCTGCCGCACCTGCATCAAGGCATCCCGTCCTCATTCGTCGACCTGGGACTCCCCCGGAGCCCCGATAAGCAAGGGATATGCCCCGTCGAATGGGTTACGGTTACGCTGCATTTGCCTTGAGGGGAAAAGCCCGACCATCCTCGGGCCATTTGTGCTGGTTTTCCTTGCCCGTTGGCCACTTTGCTACCTAACTGACTAGACTTGACTGACTCTCCTCGCTCGACGCTCTGCTTCTCCTTCCTTATCCTCGTCTTCTGCATCCCACCCCGGACCCATATAGAGATTCTGCCGTTACCGACCCGCGTCTCTTCGTGCCTAAAGGTACGTCCCAATACCAACTACCGCCGCCTCCGCCGCTCTTCTACGTCGACCACTCCGCCCCGCCAGTCTTCCATACAGGACCCCTCCTTCCACTCACCTCTCCCACTCTCCTCCAGGCTCGGCGCCGTTGATCTCCAACCGGACTTAAACCCGCCTCTCCCCCGCCGTGGAGAGGGGCAGACTCCTCCCCTCTCCCTCGTCATCGTACCGCATGTAGAAGCGGTCTTGATCATCTGGCATGGTACTAGCCCACATTCTCGCGTCCCAGCTCCGCCCACGCTACGCACACTACCCCTCATGTTATGCCGTTCTTTCGATTCGGTCAGCTCACGTTAGGGCCAGGGAGAAAGAATATTATTTCTCTTGTTGAATTCTTTTTTGGTTAGAAGAAGAGAGAGAGAGAGGCCGGAAAATATCCACAAAGGAGTGCAAGGCCTACAGAACAAGAGATGAAGAGAAGAAGAAGAAGAGAAAGAAGAAAAAAAGACACACAGAAGACATATCCCTCCCTACCCAAATCCCTTGATGCCCATCATACAAAAAAAAAATTAACAGAGGACGACCCATGCCCCAACTCTTTTGTTTTTCCCCCCTTCGGTCTCACCTCCCGCACAACTCTCGCCTCTTACAGGCCAGACAAGAAAAGGACCGAGTTCCATCGCTAAGACGTGAAGAAGAAAGAATCGGTTGAAGCACAAAAAACCTCGCCGTCTCGTTAACATCAATCCATCCATTCGCAACTCCCCCTCTCTTGCAGGGTGCGTCCTCCCTTTCCCTTTTCACCCCACCTCGTGGTCTCGTCTCGTTCTGGTTCATATTCTTGTTCTCGTTCCTGGTCGTTTGCTTGCCCTTTCCCCCCAGTTTCGTCTCATTGGGGACAAAACATGTTTCGCGACATGGGTGCCCATCTCTATCGCTCACTTGTCGAAACCTCCAGGCGTCTGTTGCGTCCTGTGAGCCGCTCCCACCCTTGCTCCCCGTGCTTGTCCCGGTACTCGATGCTCGCTGCCACTTGATACTATATTTCCATGCTTGCCATCTCTCACGATGCCATACCCATGCCGATGCTGCCGTTGCCACTGGTTGTCGTCATCACTAGAAAGAAAGAGAAGCATCTCGTTAGCCTGCAGCTTCTTCGCTTCTCTTGTCTTCCCATGATGCCCATGATGCAGCAACGCAACCCAACACTACCACCCTTTCCCCCTCCTCATTTGACCCTCCCTCCCTCCCTTCCCCCCTTTCCCCTCGCCAACAGGGGCGCACACACACTCCCACTCCCACGAGCATTATTTTTCCACGCCAAAAAATAAAATGCTCATACCTGTCCCAGCGACTGTAGCCTATGATCGTGCTCTTCCTTCATCCGATAGATCTGCCCCATCACATCGTGCATCTCGCCGCACGTCCGCTCAATGGTGGCACTCCGATTGCCCTCGCGCTGCCACCGCTGAACGTCGCGGAACATCTTATCGTACCGGCGCTGCTTCTTCTCGGTGTCGTGACAGAGCTTACACACGTCGGGCTCGGTACGGGTCTCGTAGACCAGCTTCAGGCCGCACGTCTCGCCCATCCGGTATTCCTTGTTGCACTGCTGCCGGAAATGGCCCCAGCGCCAGTAGCCGCACGCCCAGCGGGTTTGTTCGAAGTAGCACATGGTTGGGTATCGACGGCCGCGACGATGGCAGAAAGAAGAAGTCCCGAACGAGACAAGCAAGACAGAGGCAGGAGTAGCGGCACGGCAAGACAATGGGCGGGGGGCGAGATTATACAGATGGGATTCGCTTGGGTTTCGTTTCTTGGGCCGTCTCGTCCCGTTTCGCGTTGGATTCGCTTCGATTCGTTCGGTTCCGTTTCTGCACAGAGTAACAAAGCCGGGTTAGCCAACGAACCATTTCCTATTGTTCTTTTTCCATTCCTGCCGTCCCCGTCCCGCGACCTTGGAGTGTTCCGGGATCATCCCCTCTCCACTAGCACGTCCGCTCCCGCTCCCGCTGCCGTTCCCGTCCGGCAACCTTTTTAGCTTGCGCCCCTCTCCGGGGAGGGGAATGGAATGGGAACGGCACCAAAAAGCCCGTGACTGGCATGATGCCGGGGGATGTTTTGACTCACCATACACACACGCACACGCTCACGCACACGACACCACGACCGCAGAGAACTGGGGTGGCGATGCTCGACAGTGAGGGGTTGTCTGTTTTCTCCCTCCGGGCAAGACTTGGTCCCTTTTTTTTTTTTGGGCAACTAGGTTTGCCGTCGGCGGACGTATCCTAGGTACGGCAGGGGAAAAAAGAGACGTGGGGGAGGTCGGGCGATGACCTCTTCGGGGGGTAGTAAGTGGGGAGGATTAAACGATTGTCGTTGACTTGTCGTCTTGGTGTTGCTGGCGCCGTTCTGTCTCCTCAGCAGTCCACGTTCGGACGTCGAGGTAAGTGGGATTCTTGTCGTCGTTCTCTCCCTCTTGGAGGTTTTTGCAGTTGGTGTTGCTGCAGCAGTGGCAAGTTGGTGTTTGTGTTTGTGTTGGTATTGGTGTTGCTATGGCTAAGGCTAAGGCCACTGCTCTTGCTCTTGCTCTTGTTGCTGTTTGTGATGGTGATGGTAGTAGGTAAGGTAGGTAAGTAAGGTAGGTAGTGAGTGGCTCTGGCTCTAAGAAAGGAAGGGGGGTCTTTCTACTCCAACTCCAGGATGCCGTAGCTAACTTATACTTGGTCCGGAGGCAGGAACCCTTGGCCCATTCGATCGTCGTCCTTTATCCATCCCATCCACCATCCATCCATCCATCCACATCCCATCCCATCCGCATCACATCCACAGTGGGACTCGGCGGCCAACAAGCAGCCCTTTCGCCTCACACGGGCCAACGAAGCAAATCATCGTCATGCTGCTTGCTGCTGCTTGCTGCTACTACTGCTGCTTGTTTTCTGCGGGATAAAAGAGGGCTTGCTCCGGCCTGGATACGTGGATTGGGTATCCGTACTTGATGCCCCATATGTCCCTCCCAATCCCTATCCCCATCGCCAATTCACACCACACCACAACCCGCATATGCTCTCGCTCACACGCCCCCCCTTCCCCCCCTCCACTGTCTCTCCCGCCGCCATGCGACACCCCCGTTAATGCCGGGGCTTGATGGTATTCCGTTCCTGGCCTGGAAGCAGGTGGGTGGCGTCCTGACCACGGGCGTTTTACTCGGAGTCCCTGCAGCAATATCGACCTTAGGCCTAAACCAGCCTTTCCACATTATCGTGGATGGTGATGTTTGTTATTGTTGTTGTTGTTTTTGTTATTATTATTTTTTCTTTTTTTTTCTTCCTCGCCCATCTTTCCTCTATCCGCCCGCCTCTCAGCCCGTTTCTTCCCCAGCCCGTTTCCCCTCTCTCGTCACCCGAACTATTCAATCTAGGGTTGAGGGGCGCTGACCCGGTTCTTCGCCAGGCCCGGTGGCCGCTTGCCACGTTGATCATGGCTCGAGATCACACACACGCATATTACCATGTACGCACACGCACACGCACACGGAACCGGTGACACACGCCCCCCGGGGCAAAAAAGAACAGGGCGAACGGCAGGCCCTTGCCACCCCACACCACGAGATGCGATTCTCTGACTTCACTGATTGATATGTGCCACAACGCAGCGCTGCAGACAAGAGAAGAGAAGGACAAGGACAAGGAGAGAGGCTAAGCAATGAAGGCAGGGCTAACGGAGACTTGTCCATAAATCCCCCGGGGAATGGAGAGGGAGGGGGAATCACAAAGAGGGGGAGGGGCGTGTATAGCTGTGTCGTGGTGTGCGATGCACGCTGCTCGCTCTCTAAGATTGGGTTACATACAGTTCCCAGGCCGCGGCCCCCGCCGGTCTCGAGTGAGATATCTTTCCGCCATGGCCCATCATTGGGCGTGGAAAAGCCATCGTCCTTCGATTTCCCGTCCGCGGGCCTCAACTCCTGGGGCTTCCCTCCTGGGCATTCCATCCTGGGCATTCCTTACATGTTCCTGCCACCACGCACTGCACGCACACGCGCATCCCAGGATCAGTCGGAGAGGGGGACCGTCGTGGGCCAGAGGGACAGGCCTAGCGAAGGGCTCCGGACGGGGCTTCCATGCAAACAACTCACAGCAACTAACTAACTAGGCCGGGTCACATAGGCGGCCGTGTTATTGCCCAGGGCCCAGGACCCAGGACCCGCGGGGGCGAGGAGGGAGGAGGGGGCGATCAATGGCGACAAAACGAGGCCTGGTGTCTCTCCCGCTGCGGGCCACGGCCAGGCCTCCATTCAGGCCGCTTGTCTCTCTGTGTGCTTTCTCCTCACAGGCATCCAGCCCAGTCCAGCCCAGCCCGCTTCTGCTGTACAGCATGGCCACCGGCGTACATAAGGGGGTGTATCATCTGCGGCCGCTGTGGGGCTTCATGGTTCGTCCCGAGGACGGACAAGTGTCAAGATCCTAGGACATCCTGACCGCTCAGCATCTGCTCTCTCCGGTGGTCGTTTTCGGTGAGATCCAGGCTTCTGGTTCGCTGCCTGCATCCTGCGTCAGTCCTGCGTGTGCGGGTGAGGGTGCGTGTGCGGATGCGTGTGCGTGTGTGTGCGGGTACTCGTGCTGCTACTACTGCTGCTCGTGCTTCTGCTTCTGTTTCTGCTCGTGCTTGTACACCTGCTTGTGCGTTTACTTGTGCGTCTTCCTGTGGGTTTGCCTGTGATGAGGCTTGGGGACGACCGAATGAGCAAGCCAGTGGCTGCGCGAAGCATCATGGCTATTGATGCCCCTCGATGCTCATTGATACTAATTGATGCTAATTGATGCTGTCTGCTCTACTACAGCACTCTACTACTAAAGCACTCTGCTGCTCTGTTACTACCCTGACGCCCAGCCGTGTCGGTATTTCCAATGGTGGCCCACAAACTTCACCTCGATATCGGATAACGGCCTCGCCTCGCCCTTACGCCCTACAGAGTACCTCCTCCGATTATCAAATTCTCCCTCCCGTATTCACAACTGCAGACAAGCCAGCAGAAATTCACAGTTTCGAGTCGTCGCCCTATTTTCTTCATTCTTCTGGCTGGACCCCAATATCCAAAAGAAGAAGTTTCTCCGTCAAGCTCGAGTGCCCCCTATTTTCAGGAGTGCCACATCTACACTGCCTGCCCCGTCAATATCGACACCGTCACCCGTCTCTTTTCTCATCTGCCCAGCTTCTCGGCAGAGCGTGACAAAAGCTCGCAGCCTGGCCAAGAACAGCTCAGCCTGCAGCAGTCCACGTTGATCTCATAGTGCGTGTCACGGCCCCAAGGGGCAGGGGGGAGGCGAGCTCAACTCGCCTGCTCCCTGTTCTAGTTGACCGACCCATCCCCATATTCCACTAGGAAATGGCTTCCGTCGGGCTCTTCTCCATGGCGTTCATGCATTAGCGTCCCACGACTACGAGGCTGATTGTTCCCTTGGCGGAGAATGACCCGGCGGGGAGCAGTCCGGACCAGAACCTCGACTGGCCGAAAGTCCTTGCGTCTGCCTGCAAGGCCTTACTGCGGCGACAGATAAGAATACAGGGTGTTTGCATGCTTTTCGTGCATGGCTGCCGGCTCACATGAATCGACGGAACCGTCGCCACTTGGCGATTGGCCGCTCCAGGTGGCCTCCTCAGGGGGGGCTTGTGTTCATCAACTACCATCGTCGTCAACGACTCAAAAGCAAATCCAGAGCCAGCCCAGGTTGGGCCAGGCACATGGGCCAGACCGACGTGGCATCCCCCCTCTGGTCCTGCTACCAGCCTGGTCTTTGCATCTCATCGTTTCCCCATCAGGGTGACAGTGTACGCCCTCCTCGCAGATGCATTTCTGTCAGCATCTCGGCCATCTTTCATATGCCGCAGCCATCCCTCTACCGCCTCATTTCTGAACCGCCCCTCCGCCACTGGTGGAAGGGCGCTGTACCTGGTCCTGTGATCAAGTCCTGATCGAGTGATGATGCACTGGAGGAGCATATTGTCACACCGAAGTTCTCAAAACTTCGCTGCAAGGCCCCCCCTATTTTTGGCCGGCCATCTGAATCGCCACTTGGGAGGGGTCGGACCGTGAACTTCATTATCAACTCTGGCTATCAGAGTCGGAGTCAAACAAGGCAACGATGAATGTCTTGCTGCACAGTATCTCCGGCCCCGGTTATATGCACGATTCGTCAGCCTGATCGAACTCTCTCTCGCACAAGGTAGCTGAATCCAGAGATTACCTTCCATTGATTTAGGACCGTTTGCTGCATGTCGCGCACGACGATGACGTTCAATCTGGGCACCAAATGACATGTCACTGATCCGAGTCGCTCGAGCAAAGCGCGGATCGCCGCACGATCTATAAGAGCATCAGTCAACGTGGTGGTGACAGAGTCTAGAACCATTGCTGGTGCATATGGCAAGTGGTTCGCCCAATTCAGCCATGAGCGCACTCGAACTCCAAACACTCCCAGCGGCAGGCAGTTCCAGACCCCCTAGACACGGCTGGAACAAAGGTTCGCCACGGGGAAACATCAACGAGCATCCGGAGAGTGATGAGCTGGCCTTCTGCTTCGGGAAAGGCTTGCGTCTTGGGCGGATCGAGTCATCTGTGATGACTTCACGGCCCGCATGAGATCACGAGAGATGGAGTGGAGGAGGCGAGGAGGG